TCTTTTCCTTAGATGAGATTGAAGCAGAAAGGGAGCAATGTGACGAGAGGCTAGATGAGCTTGATGGAGGTGGTATAAGTGATCGTGAGGAGGCTGAGGAGGAGGCTGAGGAGGAGGCTGAGGAGGAGGAGGTACTACAGCTACCAGAGATGAGTACTCAGCTACGAACATCGGGAAGGAAGCGAAAGAACAGGGAGGATGATGGATATGAGCATTACTAAGTTTAAAAAACAACCATGAGGATGAGGATATATATCATCATGAGGATGAAACCAACATGTAAGTTTACATCTACAAGCCACCTACAAGCTATCTTTGTGCACAAAACCTCACCTCTCCATCTGAGCCTCACCTCCCCCCCCCCTATGCCTAAAAGCAGCTACCTACGATATGGTAGAGCTATCTTTGTGCACAAAACCTCACCTCTCCATCTGAGCCTCAGCTCCCCCCCCCCTATGCCTAAAAGCAGCTACCTACGATATGGTAGAGATATGTTTTTGTGCACAAAGCTAACTTAGAAGTACATTCAATCATCTTTCATTTGATCTTTTTTAATTAATGTTTCATCTATTTCATCTATTCCATCTATTTAATCCGCTTGCTAACTACTCTACTAGCTAGCCTTTTTACAAAGACTACTTTCTTTGTCTACTTTCTTTGTTATTTCCTAGTCTCTTCTCCCCCTCACCCCTCATCCCTTCTTTTTCTTTTCATCCTCCTTAACTACTCAGTTTCCATCACTTATCATTCAACATTTATCATATTAATCGTGTCTGCTGTGTCTATCATAATGGACACCCTAGCTGAGGGAACTGGGACCCTCCAAGTCTCATTCAAGAGCACACTTGATCTTTGTGGACAGCCAGTAAGGTCTATGGAAGAAGCTCTTGAGGTAATGAAGACGCTTGCCCCAGAAGAGGTCTATCCAGCTGCGCTTAGAATCCAGGACCACGCCCACTCATTCCTTAGCGAAGCAGTTAAGTCTCTAGAGAAGCTGCACGATTTCATCGAACAAGGCGAGTTTTGGAGAGAGCATGAAGAGAATGTGGAGGCATTCCACGACTCATGGAAAATCACGCGTGACGCGGTTAGAAGCCAGCAGGGTGTGGCCCGATTCAACGACAACCTCCTGCTACGTGCGAAGACACAGTGGGGTGAGGGCCAGGCGAATGCTCTTTTTCTCCGCATCAAAGGTGACACAATGAAGCGAAAAATCAGCAAATTCCTCACAAGCGGCATATCCTATGAGCATACACGAGCATCCATCAACAATGCATATGTGGCACAGAGGTCTACTCGCAAACGTGGAATTCGGCAAGAAAGCCGAATCATGCAGGCTGATCTAACCAATGCCTTCTTAAGCCAAGACACTACGCCCTTAGACCATAGTGTCTTACAAGGCTTGGAGCTAGGAATTGACATAGATGGGTTTGTGTGTCCAAGTATAGGTATGTATTCTTACCTATGAGCCTAGTCTAAAAGATGTGGTTTTAACCTTTAACCTTTAATCTTTACTAGGCTTGGTCTCTGAGGCGCCTACTACCCAGCCACCTACTCCTAAGAAACAACAAAAGAATAGCTGCCAAGAAGAAGATGATGATGATGATGATGAAGAAGAAGAAGGCCATTCTAGCAGCCAGGCTAAGGATAAGGAAGATCACAACAACAGCAGCAGTGGCAACAGCAATGATGAAAATGGCGACAGCGACAGCAATAGCAATAGTGATAGCAATAGCAATAGTGATAGCAACAGCGATGGTGATAGTGAAGGTAGTGGTGATGCCGATGATGATTTTCAACCTCACCCACGGAAACGAGCTAAGCACACAACACCACCTATGTCTACATGTGGCTGTCCTCTCACAAAGGCTGCTCTCCAGCGTTTAATACCAGCTAAGAAAAATGTTGTACTTCCCACAGATACATTGAAGAAACAGGCTCTCAGAAAAATTGGCCGAGAAACTAGCAGCCCTAACGAATCCCACACCTTACGCTTATGCCCCGAACACACACATGCTCTCTGCAGGCAGCTAGGTATCTACCATCGTTTTGCTATTACTCAGGCTCATAGACGGCTTCTCTACCTTTACAAGAAGCTAGATTCATGGGACTCCGTGAGGCAGCAGCACCCTTCTTGGTTCAAAGGCAGCATTGGAAATCTTCAGTCTGGCTGGCGCTTTGAGGCCACTGCCCTACCACTAAGGCCAAAGGTTTCCAAACCAACCCAGATGTCATCCTTTACCTTTATGAAGCTATATAAACGATGCTTTGGCAAGGCCCCGCCCCCTGAAGCTATGCATATGGACCAGCAAATGAAGAAGGATGGTAGTGTGGTAGTCACTGGGCTCTTTAGTTGGCTAACAGAAGACCTTGACGGCCAGCATCCTGGTGGTATCCTGCCTATGATCTTACAGGAGTTTGATATGTATGACTGGCATTACCGTGCCCGTCCTGGAAAACCTCGAATTGGCTGGGCCCGGAACATGTGGTTTAGCTTGGTCCAGCAGCTTGTCCGGCAAGACCCTGCTTATTATGCATTCTATGTGTTCTTTCGGCCAGACCATGCTTGGCGACTAATCTCCTTTCCTTATTACACCAAGAGCACCTATCCTGGGGAATCTACGTTTTTTCGTCATATTGATGTGAATATCGCTGATTTCGTACGTACTGGACGTGGTCAGAATGCTTTACAAGGTAGTCTTGCACTATCTGTGGAGGATGACAACAACTGTACAGAGATGCTCCTTGGTATGCATCGGGATATCAGAGAATGGAATGACCGCCTTCGTCTCCGAGGCTATACAAAAGATGGCTATGTACAACAGATTCAGCCTACAATGTGGACTAAAGATGATGAGGACCACTTTGGCTACACGTGGTCTAAACAGAAGTGTACTATTGGAGATGTGCGCCTTAGCCTACCTGGCCTGCCACACGGCTCTACTGGCCCTGCTACTTCACGTCGCCTCAATATCCTACCTTGGTTTGTGGGTATTGGAGAAGACCACCAGACATTAGATGTGGCTGAGTCAGGAACTTGGGGTGACCTGTCTCACTGCCACCGCAGTTTTTACTCTGGCACTAAGACCCCTTCAGGCTTGCCCAATAGCACTTTTGGAGGGCGTATGGACCAGATTTTCCCAGCAACTGTACGCCTTGGGCGGCTGGGTGCAATTTCAGATGCACTAGTTGGGCAGGTGCGCTGGGACGAGGTGGATGTACGAGAAGAGCTTGACATTTTATTTGGAGATGACGATGTGGCTGCTTGGGGTTTTATACAGAGGTGGCGGAAACACGCTCAGCAGCTATACATTGCTGCCTTTGAGAAGCTAGTTCTAACAGAACGTGCTGCGTTTGGGGCTAACTCCTTCTTCGAGCGTACCCAGCTTGGCCTTGATGTTACCCCTGTGTTTATTAAGGGTGGTTTTTACTGGTCTAGGTTTCAGGATGAGCACGAGCACGAGCACGAGCATGAGCATGAAGAATGAGGAATGAGGATGAGGGTCAGATGCTACAGAGGTAAATTTTGTGCACAAAAGCCTGTTAGTTTTTAATAGGAGCCTAGGAGACAGCTAGTATTGGCAGCCCACAAACTATTTTTTGTGCACAAAACCCTATGCTTCAGACGAATCCTACCTTACTTTGTAGGAGGTAGAAGAGAAAGGACAGACCAGGCAGGACGAGAAAATGGATAGAATGGTAGATTAAGGAGATTGAGTTAAGAATTGATTGAGCTAGTTAAAAAACGCTTTTCTTTGCTAGTTTCTAAAAAGCTGTAGCCGCAGTACCCAAAGGTCTGTAAGGGGAATACCCAAAAATACAACGCCAAGATGCATAATTTATGCTACAGCAAAATCTTGGCATGTTTGCTATGTTTGGGACCCAATTGGGTACCTATGGGTTGGGTTGGGTCCAAGGAAAAAACCCAAAACCCAGGCTTGGGTCTAAGTTTTGGAGCCAAACCCAACCCAATGTTGGGTTGGGTTGGGTTGGGTCTTGGGTCCATTGGGTTTTGGAGAAGTCTACTGGCTATTGCGCTGAAAAGCCCAGTGTTGTCGAACTTGGCCCACGAGCTGACTGCATACAAGCGGGTCTAGGGTTCGTATGTATGTATGTATATGTTTCCGTCATTTCATGCACAAGAACGGGATGAATATTCAGTCTTGTCATCTAATTGAAGAGGTGAGGCGAGGGAGGGATCGCCGCAAGAATGACGGTGACTGGCCGTGGAAGGGCAACGGAACTCTCATGGTTGCATAAAAATGCATCACAGTTGGCGCAGCACAGAAGTGCGTGATATCCTCATATTTCAGAAGATACAAATCGTTGCGTAATCAACTTTGCGTAAGCAATAGGGGACCCCGCGTGCCGCGGTCACTGCCCATGCAAAACACCATCCCGGCTCTTCTATCAGCGAACAAAATACGACCCGAGAATCGCTTTCAGCGCTCACTCATAGCGTGGGAAAGAGCACTTGAACCAATTTCCATGGATATTGGGTGGTTCAATTGTTCAATCCAAGCCCATACATGTATTCACTTACTTTGGCCAATGAGAAATATCCATCGATGGAACGCCTAGATAGCCGATCCCTGGAGGTTTTTCAATCTCTTCAATATTGTAGACTTCTAGCACTTGAGTATGTATGTGCTACCTCCTCCAGGGCTCTTCCAAGGTTGACTAGCCAGATGTCTTTTATATATGTATCCATGTATTTGATAGTTGATGATTCAAATGTTCAAGTTACAACGATCAAAACCTTGGAAGTAGTGTGATCTGCTCCATCTTTCAAGGACATAGTATGCTGATCAAAAGATGGATTCAACGTTGGAAACGGCGCTGGTAGATACTAGTAGCTCATTTGCGGCGTATTCCACGTTCTACTCTAACTTGAAGTCCTGGAGGTTATTTCTTTTCTCAGGTATGTATACACATCACAGTCAGAACATTTGAAACCAGCATGGAGCTGAATTTCCCTTCACATACTAGTCACATGTACATCAGATCTCCTCGAACGCGCGAACCATAAATGACTTGCCGTCAATAGTCACTTTCTCGCCGGGAACCCTCCAAGATCCCTTACCCTCGCCCTCGAACCCGGTCTTCATCGATGGTACATCACTTCCATCAGGGCCAACGACGTACTTATCCTCCCACCCAGAGTTCCACTCCTCTCTCCTGGTGCTAACCTCTGCTCCAGTCCTGTTGATAGAAAAGGTTCCATCAGATCCCTTTTGCCAAGTATGAGTTTGAACCTGCTTGAACGCTAGAAACGTTCCCCAAATACGACCGAAGAATATCTTAGTCACAGTTGCCTCTCCTTCTCCTTCGCCAAAGTCCAGATCACTATCATCAGATTCAAGAATCCAAGAAATACCCTTCTTAGCGCCTTCGGGGCCCTCTCTGAACGGCAGCTCCCGCCAAACCTCCTCAAAGGTCGTCATGGGTGCACCGGGAAGATCGGCACGGGGCATCTCGCCAGTTTCAAGATCATCGCCATTGGGGAGACGGCTGAAGTTTCCAACATCAACAATACCGATCTCATTCAGGGAGTCCAGCTCACGCGTGAAGAGGGTCTTGACTGGTCATATAATTAGCATAGATTCATCCTGGGCTAGACAATTTCACGTACCTGGTGACTCATGTGGGTTCTCTTCAATCCTTGTACCTGCCATTGCCCAGTCAATTTGTCCAGATGCCTTATCCATCCGCAGGTCTAGGAAATAATTCCCCACGGAAAGGACAATCGTGTCTGTCGTCTCCTCTGGTGGTTCAGGAACCCATCGGAGCGATAGACGGGTTGAGAAGCCGCATGACGAGCCCAGCGCAGCATCAGTAGCCATTGTGAAGGGGTTGTCCGAGAGAATGTTTGAAATAGTTCACCTTCGTCCATGCGGGGTGAATTGACTTCCTTATAATAAAGCAGTGGAGCCATTTTCAGACTTCGAATCGGGGATTTGGACAAATCGGGAAGCTTGAGGAGACCAACCGGACGAATCACGGTCGTGATATGGGGAGCTCCCCCTCGCCTTAAAATGTAGATTTCTATTTGGGCCCAACGCATTGTGGCCATTCGTGATAAAAGTGAGAGGTACAGGAATGCAGGAATGGACATAACTTGAGTGACAATTCCAACCGATAAAACAATACACTCAATAAATCATAAACGACGCGACAAAAACAATATTGGAATGATATGCGAAGTTGGAGAAAATGGGGTATGAACCGTATGATAGAGTAAAAGATGTTCATTGGCTATGGAATAATAAAAATGGGGCAAGGTAAAGTCCCATAGACCGCCTTGCACACCGCTTACCTAGGTAGGATAGAACTAGCATTACTCCAGATTACAGCTCCGCACTCTCTCACTGATCCCGAGATCCAGGTGGATATGCCTTCTTAGGTTCTCCTCTTACCTCAAGTGCTCCAGGGCTACATATGTTCAAGTTTATACCCATACTTCTTAATCTGTTTCTCTGTATGTTCCTACCCTGTACCCGGGTGTCCGCTTCTGCACTGTTATTTTTTTTATCTTTCTTATCTTTTATTTTTTTTTCACTTCTTGACATCCCTTCAAGTTTCTCACATCTCTCCTTAATTCTCCTTAATATCACGTTTCTACTTTCAGAGTATCTCCTTTTTGATTCAAAGGTCTCCAGTTCCCAGCACACAAATACTTCAAATGTCTTATTTACCGCCAGGATGGACCCTTGAGCGACTTCAAACAGCAACAGTCGATGATCTGCGGCAAATACCAGAGGAAGTAAGTGGTGCAAACTTCATATTTGGTAGTTTTCTGTCCAGGGCAATGGATCTAGATCTCTAATTTCCTCACATAGAGACTCCATGAGATTGACCATAATTTAATTCCCGTCGAGAATGTTCCAGTGCGATTGGTCATTGGCCGTGCAACTCATAACGAACACCGACGAAAAGTTCGCGAGGAGCGCGGCCTGCCACCTGCTCCCGGCGTGTCGCTTCTTGAAAAGAACGACGATCCAGTAGTGGAAGTAGTAGAAAGGGGAGGACTCCACGATTTTGGATTCATCGTCTTTCGGACTAATTACTTAGACGATGAACGCTGGCAGCAATGGGATACAGAATTCCAGCGCATTATTGACGCCTCAATAGAGGACGCTAACGGGGGAAAGAAAATTGAATACAAATGCCTCACTTTAATCTACAATGATGAGGACATGGCTGATGCTACTCATGAACAGATTCAGCAGTAAAAGTTTAACTCTATTCTTCACGATCCTGACTTTTTATTGATGATCACCTCAGGGCATACTATGGGTTCAAAGAGACTGAAGGTGTCCCCGCGAGATTAGACACTGATATGTGCCTAATTGTCGATTCAACTGCCATGGCATCTATAACAACAGACAAGCCGTGGGTATACGCACTGGACTTGTCATTCGATCATGAGAGTCCACCCGAAGATGGAGAATATCCAGGCTACTTCCGAGTTGCCGTTGACTCGGTAATCACGGAACTATATCCTATGCTCACAGCAATGACACCACTGGAGCTTTGGCCTCAAGATAACAGTATATGGGAGTCGGCCTTTTAATAGAACACTTCAAGTTCTTGAAATAGATTACCTTCAATCTTGGAAGCCTATGTATTGCACAGATGGGAAAGAATTTCTTGACAATCGAAGACTGGAAAGACTGGAAAGACTTGAGCCTGCAACCTTGGAAGATCTATCTAACGTTAAATTAATGCACATGTGTGATTGTATAACTGGGGTTTATCATCATGGGCTAGTAACTTGAATGGTGAGACTCGGATGATCCTCATTAAGATAAAAGCTGCCTTCAGAGCTGTACATTTGGACTATCAATTACATATGACCAATTCTTGAAACCTTTCTGCGAGTCTATTCAAAGGGGGAATCCGTGGAGGTTTCATGGCACGTTATTATACCACTTTTCCTCTTGTTCCCAAGGACAGAGATAGGTGGCCGAGGTGGACTACCCTGTGCTGAGTCGTTGGATGATCGACTATCAGGTGACAGTTCATTGGGCGCAATAGGCAGAGCCGCAATATCTTGTGGGTGCACATTGGTCTTCCTAATGAGGCTTGGAGGTTCATAGTGATCCCATACGTCCTGTCCTGCGTTACTGACAACTTCTGCGAGACTCATCCCGCGATCAGACATAACCTGCAAAGCCTTCTGACACCATTGGAATTTTTCCTCTCGTCGTAGAGCCACGTACGGCTTATAAACATGTTTCATAGAAGCGATTATGACATTTGCACCCCAGGCGTTCATTCCAGTTTGTAGACAGAACGGTAATGACCGCACAAAATTATCAGCATACTGCTCGGCGATCAGACAGTATTCGATGTGTCGCATTGCAAAATTACTTTGCCGTCGACCACGACCAAGAGCCATAATAGAGGTTGATACTCCGTAGATCAAGAGTTCAATTAGCAGACATGCAGTCCAGTAGAGAACATAATTACACATAGTGTCGAGATCTGAGAACATGTACGGGAGACCAAAGATTTTATCCGACTTTGGTAACCCGTCGCATGGTAAGCTCTCAGGAGAGCAGCAATGTGGGAATTCTCCAAGTATTTCTCCTCGGTCGAGATACCATTTGACTACTTTATCTCTTTGTACAAGACAAGCAGACATCATTTCTTCGGCAGTTTCATTATTCAAAATTGGTGTGCGCTCGACTTTATTGAACAGTGATGAAATCCCAGCGTAAAGTTCAAAAAGCTCGTCAACTGGCCCAACGACTGGGGTACTCAATAGTCGGGAGTAGTGAGATGTGAATTCTTCTGATACCGTGGCAGCGCTGTACATCTGGAAATACCGTATTAGTATATGTGGTGGGATACCTACACGTTGGTGAGAATAATCAAATCCATTGGTGACGTACAAGAGCAAGTTTTTGATGATTATATATGGCCTGTTCAATTGGACTTCCGGAGAGACGTTGATAACACGATCGAACCATTTTACTGGTCCCTTCCACGTGTGAAAGCCAAGCCTTAAGGCCGCGTGAGCAATGAACACACTGATCAAAACACACGATTAGTCGCCATTGATACAATGAAATAAGTAAAGCCTTACCTCTAAAAGTTGAAAGACTATTGATGTGTATAAAGCGTCCACATCTAATCGATTCCGACTTAGATTCTTTACCAAATGCCCAATCGCCTCGTTGTATAGCTCAATACCATACCGGAGCATGGGCTCATCGTACTTGGTCTTGCCGAAATGGATACAAGAGAGTGCCGAAAGAGCCTTTTCAAGCATTGGGGATATGCTAGGAAGCTCCAAGGCATGAGATAATATACGGTATAGTGAGCCTACCCCTGCTGCTCCATCCACGTTTGTCGGGAAATAATCCATAATAAATGAAGAGGATATTTGGATTCGTAGTTCGGGGCCAGATGATACAGCTCTGGTTAAAGAAGTTTTTGGTTGGGATGTGGTAGGCCCCTCGAGAGCATGAGAATGCCATTCATGTTTCTCATAAGCTGATTCCCAAACGCGTGAACGAATCCAACGCCTTTCGGGATACCCTGGACATGGAAGACCTCGTTTTGTGCATCGCCGGCATTCTGGTTTTTCCAGATCACACTAGAGCAACATGTCAGAGAGGAATCGCGTGACAAGCCCAGAATCTTCACTTACTCTAACTTTGCTTTTTCTGCAATTTGGACAAGCCAATGAGCTATATGGCGCCCCGCCCATTTTTTTAACAGAGGTTTATTCCGCACAGAGGGCCGATGAGGGGCTCCGGGAGGCGGGAACTGGCGGGAACGTGAAGCAGCGTGAAATGGCCTGCCAATGACCCGATCTCTCAGTGCGAGTTTACTCCGTTGGATAGAACTTGAAAGGAACCGATCGATATTATGTGGCGTCGGATGTTTCAATTCTCGCAAGATCTGATTGCCGCATGCGAAAATTAATTAGTCCCAAATGTCCCCTCACGAGCGCTGTTCTTCAGGAGCAAGAGGGGCTGGGGCACTTTTAGCCCCCACTTTAACAGCATTGTCTCCACTTCCAAGTTTCCATGCACATCTTCAAGAGTGAATAAGAGTCAATGTTACGTTCGAGTGATCAAACCACTTTCATGTTATTCAATCACTGGAAATAAATATTAGAGGACGAGAGAGCGAGAATGAGGGAGTATGGGAAAAAGAAGGGAAAGAAGGGAAAGAGAGGTAGGTGAGAGAAAGAATAGTAGGCCCCTTGTACTACTCGCGGGTTGCAGCCAATGGTTTTTCAAGTTTCATCACCGCTTGGCAGAATGAATATCCACCAGTTAGCTATAAATAGTAACATTCAAACATTCAAATGTTTGAAGACGTACATGTACTAGTACCTAATAAAATAAGAAGCAGAACCTGATCAGGCCAACCATTTGATCTCGGTGGGGACCCATTCAACATTGCTTGGAATCTTTAAACTTGACTGAGGCGACACAAGGGGAATCACGCCAATGCACCTGTGTAGTACTATATAGTAGTAGTCCTCTTTTAGTACTCGGGTTGCAGTGGTTTTTTCGACTTTTCTAGGTGTAGTGATCCAGACATCTGGATGGATGGATCTCGGGAAGGATTGAGCTGCTGACACTACGTATACATAGTAGCTGACGAGCCCATGGGGAATGTCTTGAATGCACATTTATGTGCCAACCTTGGAACTTGAAAGTCAGAGATATCCATGCAAGTTCCAGAGTTATGAATCAAAGCTTGAGTTGCTCAGTCTTTTCGCACGCATCTATCATTACAACAGCCCAAGGGCACAGAAAGTGAGCACGCTTGAACATCGCCTGCCGCCGGAGGGTCTTAGCACGGAGTAGCCTTTCAAAGTCCCACTCATCGCCCACAACCCACTCTGAGCCCAGTAAAATTCCATGCTCTTCCTCCAGGGCTGTCTTCGCTGCCGTGTACAGTAATTTGGAATCCCACGTTGCATAGATCTCTAAGCAGCACTTTTCTTTGAACAAAGATAATGCAGCCAGTCGGAGCTCTAAGCTTCGACTTCTTATGATAAGGAAATGTAACACGGCAGGGAACCCTGCGCCAATGATCACTCCAACCGAATCTTTTGCCTCGAACCGGGCAACTCCGAATGCGAGATCGGTGATTCGTTGAAACTCCAGACCTTGATAATCGTGACTCGGACTTGGAACAGACCTGTCTCCGGGACTTTGACTGATCCACATCTTACAAATGAGCCACCTGGCTTCAAGGACCTGGCATATAGGTCCATGTATTGGTCTAGGGTCGTGGTCGCCTTTGACTAGAGTAAAGGCCTGTGACCAGACATCCAAATCTCTGTCCAATTGTCGCACCTGCGATAGAAGAAGATTTATGGTCTCATTATCTTCCGTCATCATAATGCACTGATTGAGTGCGAAAGAAACATTCATGGATCTATATGTAAGCCAGTCAAGGCTCTCTTGTGCCTGTGTAAGATCATCGAAGGGTCCATTGGGAGAGGGATTTATTGTCCCATTGCTCAAAGGCGAATCCAGAAAGTCTGAGTAGAATAGAGTGAACACATTCAGCTGACGAAAAACCCCCAAAAGGTGGGGAGGAGCATTGTACGAGTTCAAGATTTTCCTCCCGTGTCGATAATGAAACAGTGCAGCATTGGAGTTTCCCCTTAGGAATTCAATGCTCATGAAGAGGATACAGAGTGTAATCATGATGTCAAGGTTCCCAGTTTGGGAATGAGCAACGTGGTGGATAGCTTTGTTATACTGAGTCAAGGCGAAGTCTCTATTTGAGGACTTCAAGTTTCTTGTGAGGCCATTCTGGTAATCCTCGTAAAGGGATCCCACTGCAGTAGCTGCATTGCGGATTACTGGCTCATGGTAGATCATTTGTGGAATAAGACGGGTCCAAAATGAAGGAGGTAAAGTCCCTGATAGCACAGGCGCTACCTGTAGCCTGTAATACTCCAAGCTTCGCAAAACCATTGGGTCGGCACCCGGAATGATGGATGGTTTTACACGGCGCAATGATACCGGAGTCCATTTTTTGTAACCTTCACACTTCCTTCCAGTTGACGTACATCTAAGGCAGTGTGGATAGGCCTCATCGCATTTCACCCTCCTTATTCTGACGCCTGTTTAGTTGGAAGATGAAATAATCAAGATTTAGGGAAACGTACTTGCATGTCAAACAGCCTGTATGTGATCGATGAAGCCCTTTGCGTGGCATTGTATAAGAAACCTTTGAAGACCCTATAGGTGTTGGACCCCTTGAAGGATTGAGATTCAACTGGGTCAGACGGTCAGAGCTCCAGCTGCCAAGTGGCGTCTTTGTCAGCTTGAAATGCTCAATCTAACCACTCTCGACCAATCAATCTCGATTGCTTGATTTGTGTTGGGAACGGAAACTAGGGCGAAAACTGAGTGGGGAAGCGTGAGGAGCCTGGAGGGAAGTTCTACCGAGCAGCCAAAACATGAGCAAGTGAAACCCAACTCTGGAGCCCTGGAGGTGTGAAAGTACAATGAGTCAAATTAAACTAGGACCACGTGACCTGTGTAGGATCAGCATAGAATAAAATATCAAAAAAATTGTGAGATGTCTCCTTCTAGACCTACTTCGAAGTTCGAATACATGGAATCTGTTTGTCTTTTGTGGGGATACCCGACCATACGTCAGAAAGTCGGCATATATAGTCGATCTGTTTCGAAAACCATAGTGATTCTCTGAGCCAGGACCATGAGAGCGTAGAGGGTTTGTAAAACATAGACCTCGGGATATTCGCGGTCGGCCAACGAGGTGAGGTTTGCCGCGTAACCCCGCGTTCAGCTCGCAAGATAGTGCATGGAACGCGGCCGCTCGCAAACCCCTCGTGCTGATCACCGGCAGTTTGATGTTTATAGTACTACGGAAAATTCTGAGTGTTCAAGGGGTCAACGTTCAACCACAACGCCACTATTTGAATTCTTCTCTTCCTCTAGCAGAAGAAAAGACAAAAGGGGTAAGATCACGTAGAATCACGTAGAGATGTTTGCAATGTTTGCAGTGTTTGCAACTCAAGTCCGAAATGGTGATGATGTCATGTGATTTCTCATCCTTCTCATGGATAAAAAGGCAGCAATGTCAGTAAGCCACACTTTACATTAAGAGAATTTGAGATTATGAGAATTTCTGCTTCTCAACGTCTACCCGCTCCCTTGTTTTTATCCAGTTTTGAAGAGAAAAAGTCATTTATAGGTAGTTATAGCACCCTGTACTCTGAGATTCTATGATTGATTGATCGATCAGTTCGTCACTTTAGATCAGCCACTAGAAGGCCCCTTATTCCACAAGATGACAGAGGCAGCGCCAAAGAGACAATCATGTCACGGATCCTGTCACTGTGGATTGACAAAGTATATTGTCTTCCTCACACTTCCACATCCATTCTCGTCCTCTCATCCACCACAAGGAATGGCACAAGAAGTCTACCGTTGTAACTGCAGCACATGTTATAAAATGAACTTTTTCCACGTCCATCCCGCTAATCCTCGAGACGATTTCATACTCCTTTCACCACTTGATCCGGATCATACATTGAGTACCTACCAATGTCATGATAAGCAACGTAAATTCTACTTCTGTCCAAAGTGTGGAGTACGATGCTTTACGTTTACTGGTGTGGGTGAGACCAATGTTGTTAGTCTTACAGAGCTAGCTACCGAGGACCAAGAAAGGAAGAAAAAAGAGGGAAACCAAGAAATCTGGCGCGCGAAATGGGATGGAGAGAATGCTACAAGACCGTATGTTTCAGTTAATGCGACTACGATTGATTTAAGAGAGGATTTCGATCTACGTGTTCTTATTGAGCAGAAAAGAGTGCAGTATTTTGACGATCGGAGTGAGCCTGAAGAGAAGAAGAAAGAGGCAAGATGGGACAGACCACATTATGGTGGAAGTTATTGACCGGCTGAGAAGGCTAGAGATTCAGGCAAGTGGTGGTTTATCGTTCAGCACAGCAATACATTAGAAAGGAATTTTACGACCTCCCAATACTACTGAATGCCCTTTTCAGCGAGTCGGAATTCAAGCGCGCGGGCGGAAAATTGCACAATCCTCTGGATGCAGCCTTCGTGTTTGTTGATGGTTTTCGGGAGAAGCCCTGGATAGGCTGGGAAGAGGCCTTCCATAATATTTCTGTCTGTCACCGTGGCTTTGGCGCTAGTGAAGCCTGACGACTGTCAGCGAGTGGTGGCATCCCAATTTCAATAGGTCCAAGATTGTCGGTCCTGTACACTACGGAGCGGACCTATCAGAACAGGATTCCTAGGTAAATACACATGGACATGTGTGCACATGATAATTTCCTACTCGGTCAATGAATCGGGCCCAGTTATGGTAACCGATCAAATATTTCGCTGTATCCGCCTATACCCATTTGCAAATTTCAAGTTCTGAGAGCTTAGTAGATATACCTAGGCCCTATCCCTTGCTGTGGCTCCAAAGGGCCCTGGTTGTGAGAGAGGGCATGTGAGAGAGCATATATATTAGGACCACGGAGTAGTGGCATAGAAAATCCAACCTTGTAAGTTTTCATGGACTCTGTAATGCAAAGTTTGAGACTGGACTGTTGAGGATTCCGACAGGCATATTGCTCAGTCTGACAGGGAGGTTGCGGAGTTGAATGGTTGTAATACTCGTAAGAATATCGAAAATCCCGGCGACGATTACCATAGGTATATTGATGGTATGGGGGTTGTGTGTGAAAGGAAGCTTTAGACGGCCGATTTTCGTTGCAAGGACATTATTGAGAATAAGGACTATTCACGGATAAAGGACTCGGTGCCGGGGATCGGGGTAAAAAATTGGTGCTGTTGGGTATGCTGGCACCGCCGGTTTCTTGGAGAAGACCATGCCGGATGCAGGGTTTGACTTCGAGACTGGGGGCACGAGATTCTGAGTATGCTGCTTGCAGGTCTTGGCTATCTTGTGGAGTCGTTCTAGGAAACTCTCAGTACTTTTCTGGGCGCACAACCCGAGTCTGCCGTTGTTTAGAGTCAGTATGGACACATCTCTAGTGTTTATTCTCGTGTAGGAGGTCGAATTTGCCTTCCTGTTAGTTGTTTGCTTGGGGGATGCTTTGCGGAGACTTTTTTGGTCAAATCTACTCACGCCGTTTTTGGTGAGTTGAAAATTGAAATTAGGAGTCAATGTTGCGAAGCAGGGAGGTCTAGGCTGGAACTTTGTGAAATGAGAGTTGGGTTATATGGTGAGCTAGGAATGGGGTGGTCCCTGACAGATCAGGTCTAACATTGAAGTGTGGAGATAGCGCCGCGGGGTAATAGTTGATTAGGTTGATGGTTGGAAAGTGTTGACAAGGTCATATCTGTATAGAGTGACGTCCGGGGCAAGTTTCCAGCTTGAGATATCCCAGTTCGTATAAGATTTCACATGTGGGCATCAAGTAGTGAAAGGGCCGTTGTTTATTAGGCGAAATTCACCTAAAATCCGCGTAGATGTTATCTCCATCCGTCTGTATGCTGTATGTATATCCTTGATAGCCAGGCTCTTGCTTCTAAGGACTCGGATCTAAGTATCGATTCCTAAGGGTTGTATAGTTTCCCCCCCGAAACTAATGATCTACTCCGGTTGATTAACGTGAAACGACTTTCTGTGGTGCGCAGTACGGTCTGTGTAAGTGTGGTTTATGGTTCTTCAAGCATAATACTCGTAGAATGAGCGTAATAGGTATTAGAGGCTGTGGGACCATCGGTTCAAATGTTAACTGTACAAGAAGATGTGCTACAAGATAAGGAGTCTTACCAGACACTATGTCCACTGTATCATGGAACCCAACCCAACTGTTCCATTGGCCACTGCAGCCAACAACGATACTCCTCGTTCAAGAAGTAGTAGATTCCACTAATCAGATGAACACTCAATCCTCGCATCCACCACATCCATTCCAACGCGTGTGTAATTACACAGAAATACGAAAAAATGATCAGGGCTTCGGGCTTTCGCTGGCGAAGGAGTTGGAGGTATTCATCAGATATCTGGAGTAACCAAACAAACACGTCAGCCGTCTGACAGTTTTGAGGGCCTTCGTCTTCCAAAGTGCCAAAGGACTTGCTCAGGTCCTCGATAGCACCGAAGTAGACATCCAATTCATGGGCATCTGCTACGTGGTCCTTGAGCAAGTTTCGCAAATCATCCAGATAGGTCAATGTAATGGTGGATCTCGCATTTCGCGCAGAACTCCTCCTTGCACCATTCCTGAAGATCGGTGCAAGAGCGCCGGACGTAATGGTGTCCTCTGCAGTAGCGATGATCCATCTAGTGCCTCGGAAAAGTGACAGCCATTCAATATCCCTGTCGCCAATTACCCAGAAATCATTGGGCTGTCTTGGTTTAGCACAAGAAATGATGGATGTGATCGTAGAAAATAGATATACAGCAGCCGCATTTTCCTCGTTTATCATGGGTAAAGTCGCGGAAACCATCTGTAGGGCTAGATTGTGATGAAAATCGGCCTGTGTCACATATTGCGCGTGATGCTCGGGCTTCAAATAAGCCAGATGTAGCGCGGATAGGGATAAAATCGCGTGGAGAACGAATGGTGAAGAAAACCCAAACTTGGGCACTCTAATGCGCCAAACTGTTTGCAGAATGGGGAGGCGAGAGATCGTATAGCAGGTGGATGTAGAGTAGTGATGAAGCAGTTCCATTTCCGCTATTCCAATTGTCCCTCCGGCATATGGATTTAATGTAAAATTGCCACCCGCAAGGCTTGTACCAGCAGTGATGGCGGATGGCGAGGCCTTTGCATTTAGCGCCTCTGCTGATGGTGACGGAGCGATGACAGATAACGAGGCCTTCATGCCAGCGTTTAGCGTCTCTATTGACGGTGACGGAGCGATGACGGATGGCGAAGCCTTCGCATTTGAAGCCTCTGTTGATGGTGATGGAGCTATTGAGCCTATCTCTGAAGTCCCCGTGAAAGTAGTTTGTTTATTGAAATCGCATTCAATTTCATGTTTGACACAGTTGCTGCAACTTGGCTTGATTTCGTCACACTTGATGCCATCTCGATTAGAATACTCGTTGGTTTTCCAAGGTTCTTAACATGAGGGGTGATGTGGACGGCTCTGACATAATTTGCAAGAGCTTGTACGGGGCGGAACATACCTTCACCTTGCGAGCTTTGCAGCGCCTACAGCCATTTCTTGACTTTGTATGTGTTCTTCTAGATGTCCCACGTTTCATATTGACACGGTATTCAAATGTTCATGATATTGTATATGGAGAAGACTAACTCGGTTCCTTTTTTTTTCTTGTCTTTTTTTTTAGGTTTTTTTTTTGGGTATTCGCGCCAATGTTGAGTTGTTGACTAATATTCCATTTGTTGGAGCCTGGATCCCGGGGAGTCACGTGGAGATATGTATTTTATGGTTATGGAACTTTGTTAGTCCGGTATCGGAAGGAAACCAGATTCTTGCACATGGGGCCCGTTTTAAATGAGCAACATTTGAAGTACAAGCACTTGAACATTTCAAACATTGAAGCTCTAAGATTAGATCAATCTACTACTAGCTAGTAGGTTTAAATTACATATGATTCAAATGTTTGAGATTCAAAAGATAATTGCCTTTTTCAAATGATACTATAGTAGTATGCACATGTGGGGGAAATCTTTGGTAAAAACAATCGCAACATATAATATGTACAGTCTAGAATATATAATTTTCGTTTCGCGCATTACTTCATTCGAGTTCAAGTTGCAAAATTGAAGTTTGCCCATGGCAACTTGTCCCTCCAATCCATTGATCAAACCCATCATTACACAATCGTCTCATCAGATTCGGTGCGGGTCATTTTGACCTCAGTGGAGATAGGGGTCTCGCTAGAACACAGAACAACCGAGGGGTGGTACAGGTTCATCACAATCATGACCAGGAACATCATGGCGGCATCAAAAACATAAAGGAATACCTCGTGGCTAATCACATAGCCGCTGTTTCCTTGTGCGAATTCAATGATACGGTAGATGGATCGGATCAAAATCAAGACACTGGCGGTGTAAAGCGCGAATAACAGGCCTCGCCAATCACGGGAGAAAAGCCCCGAGATATCAATCGAGTCCTTGGCCTCCTGAGTGGGTGACTTGGTAATTCTGCAGTGGAAGCAGATGGAGGTGATGACGAAAGCACCAAAAAAGACAAGCTGGACGCCGAGACCTGCGACAATGATCCACTGGCCAACAGCTAAGAGACTTGCAGACCCACTGCTCATGACACCACCTCCGGCACCTTGAAGAATGAAAGAGAGAACATCTCCCATAACAAAGGTGATGGTCATGTATTTCACCGGCACATAGCTCAGGTGTTCACCCCGCAAAAACTTGATCACTCGTCCGAGAACCCGGTAAATCGATGCCGCATACAGAGTGGGGGCGAGCAGGATCAGGAGGGTCTGAAGCGCATAAAGGATGGTGGATGTTGTGTGAAAATGAGAGACAGCACGAGCTCCGTATCCGATAATTTGAACTGTAGAGAGAGAGTTTTCATTAGCGAAGTTCTGAGAGGAGTATGTAGTTGAGAGAAGTCAATATGAAGAGTTCCTTACAGATGCCTCCAACAATGAATGGGTTGAAGTATTGGGTGTGGTTGCGAATTCGTTGCCATAAATGAACCACGGTGGTCAAAAAGAAGAGGACAGCAAAGATGACCGCAACCACGAAGCTCGGGGTATATTGGTAGAGGACGTAAGTGGAGGAAGTCATGGTGAGTCGAGAAAGCGAAGACAATTGGGAGAAAAGGATAAGATAGAGATAGATTGTATGATGATGCGAAGGTTATGTCGTTTGTCGAATGTTGTTGAGAGAATGGATGAGAATGATATTGACTAGTACATTTTACCACAGGATTTATCAACGACTTTATACATAATGATTGACCCTGCTTCGGCGAAAAGCCGTGCGAGTAGAGAGCTCTTAAGACTGAAAAAAATGCAAATTTAGTTTTCTTGAACCTTGGTCCAGTGTATGTTGATCCTAAAAAAAACTGCTCTACAGCAGGGTCCGAGGATGAAAAATAGAATGCGGAGGCTTAGAAACGAGTACGAGGTACAATAGGCATTGCAATAGATCTTCTAGCGTAACTTTATTTATTTTATTTTATATTTTATATATATATATATATTTTTTTTTATTAGACTTTTCTCCACTTTTGCCAACCGTCAGGAGCGAGCCAATCGGAAATTTCAAAACCCGAATACGACGGTTTCTTATTTTGATCCACATGCACATCTCCCGGATCTTTTCCGACTTTTTAAGGAGCTCATCCGAATTTTACGCTATACTGCGCCTTGTTAGAGGCGTACGTAGTATGGAATTCTGAACTAGGCTACCAAAAAAATTCCATGGAATCTGATACAACCTCTCATAGCCCTACCAGGCTCCCGAATTAAATTTAGAGTCCTTTCGGAGCCCGCAGATCGGGAGTGCGAATCCTCCGCAGATACGAGATCCCCGCAAAGACATCACTATGTATCTGCATAATCTGATCTTCTTCTCTTGTGGGTAAGTTTGAAATCTAGTCGTCTACCTAACCAGGTAAAACTGAAAATTCTGATGGACATACGATCTCTAGCTGCCGAGAAGATCTGCAAAGGCCTGGATGCTTGCCGGTGAACCCCTATAAACCGTCTATGGGCCTACATAGCACCCAAGAGTTTCTACAAAAAAAACAATATGATTTCCCAAAACTTAGGAGAATATCCAGATCCATGGATCTATCAATGTATATTGCATATTTTCGTCAATTATTGAATATCCACCTGGGCAGACCTTCTACGGCTTCTGTAGATCTTTATAGACACGTGGGGACTCGGATAAACACAAAATAAACTTGCGACCCTTGTGGCGTCAGAAAAAATTTTTAAATGCGAAAAAACAGACCAATTCTGGTACATATGCTGATAGTGGAACCATCACCTCGGATTCGCGTTCCCGATACCTTAATTCTGAATTTAGAGTGAGGCGTTTTCACTTACTCCGTACACCATGACGTGGATGAGATGGGGATGATAAAAATTATAATGATAATTATTTGGATGCCTAGACTGTCTTCGTAGACACCTCATCCTTTCTAGATTTTGGTTCACGATTGTTCAATGTTGATCATCGCTGTAAATACGAACCCGAGCATTCGTATCGCCATTTGATTTTCAAGTTCCCTGACAGCACTCTCTATTGTAAACCGAAGCGGAGCCTTGAACTTGAATTCCGAAGATGATCAACATTTAGGGGAACCTTGGTTGGAATGACTGTGTAATGACTTTAAAAGCAGAACATTCCTGGCTGTTTAGGACTTTGATGATCAGAAAATCAATTGACCAGACAAGGACTCCTCAGCATGCGTCTTTCACTATCTGCTGTCGGGCTCGGTCTTTCGAGTCTGGCATATGCTAGCACAAATGCTTCAACTACCCTGACCAGCACACTCAGCACTTCCTCCGGCGTTCTTGAGATCCCCACAGGATCGAAATGTGCCTGCGCGAAGCTTTCCCAGGCTATGCCCCAGAGTTTTATTCTTCCTGGATCGCAGAACTACACGACCCAGGCAGTCGACAGCTACTGGGATATCCGTGCGGATCTTTCTCCCGCCTGTATTGTTGTGCCTTCCACTGCCCGTGAGGTCTCACAGGCCGTTCGGATCATTGGAACTTGCCAGGCTAAATTTGCTGTTCGTGGTGGAGGCCACATGAACGTGAGTTGATATCCATGATTGTATAGCTAGTATATGCGCTAATGATGTATAAAGTATCCTGGTGCCAACAACATCGATGCGGGTGTTCTTATCGGACTGTCCAACCTGGACGCCATCAACGTAAAGAACGGGAGTGTGGACGTGGGCCCCGGCAACAACTGGTATGATGTTTATTCAGCTCTTGAACCCTACGGTCGCGTCTGTATTGGAGGACGAATGAAGACAATCGGTGTTCCAGGTTTGAGTCTAATTGGTGGATTCCACTACTTCAACAACAAATACGGGTATGCGATGGATAATGTGATCAGCTATGACATTGTCCTTGGCAATGGAACTCTCATTACTGTTACCCGTGACGCCTACAGTGATTTATTCTGGGCTCTGAAGGGAGGTGCAAACAACTATGGCATTGTCACTCGTTTCGAGCTACGCACCTTTGATGTTCCTAAGGTCAGCACGACTATTCAAGTCTTTAATGAGACTCACATCCCCGAATTCTTGTCGGCTGTCTGTGAGGCAGCCGAGCTTGACGATGAAGACCCTATCGCTGCTGGCATGATCGCAACTATCACCTATAATGCTACAACCCAGATTGCCCAAGCTTCCGTTCTTGGTGTTCAGGCTGGAATTAGTATGCCCCCATCTCAATTCACCAACTTCACCCAGATTCCTGCTACCGAGAGAATTAATAATATCACTACCATGAAGCCTTGGGCCGATGCTCTTGACTCTCCTAAGCAAACCATGCGGTATGTGTATAGTCTACAACCTACCATCTTACACAAAGTGACAGATATGTTAGTGTCCAATTCTCACATAAGACTATGAAGCCTGATTCAAAGGTCCTCTATTCTATTTACAGTGCTTGGAAAGACGCTGTCGATGAGATTTCTGATGTCCAAGGTCTCTACCCTACTTTTGTGACTAATGTTATTTCGCCTACCTCAATTCGTGTAGCCAAGACCAATGGTGTTGGCAATGTCTGGGGCCTTGAGGAACAACCTTTGATCAGTGAGTTTGATCTACATATTCTCAAAACCATAAATCATCTCATCTAACATTCTTCTTAGTTTGGCAATTCAGCACTGGCTGGGACTTGGCCCAGGACGATATTCGCATGGAAGCTTGGTCGCGCCAATTGTCTGAGCATCTCCACGGTATCAACAAGAAACTCGGACTTGCTTCGGAGTTCGTATACATGGGAGATGCCGGTGAGTGGCAAGACCCATATGCGGGATTCCCTGGCGAGAACGTTGACCGTATGCGCGAAATTCGGTCTGCCTATGATCCCGCTGGCGTTTTCTCTATTCTCAGTTATGGCGGTTTCAAGCTTGGTCTTTAGATCCGCCTCACCTTCACGCACTGAGTGTGGGGTCCAGCGCCGCTGGAAGATTAACATCATGATGAATAAGTCGTGAATGTAAATACAGACTCGTTTGACTGCAGGTCCTCGCTATATGTCCCTTCACCTATCTGCACGGTCAAACCCTCAACCCTTGTATTATAGATATATTTGACAGTTGAAAATTCAATAGATGAGAGTGAAAATTTGAAGTCAACTGGTAAAAAGATACATCAAGGGTGAACTAGTAATACATATGTGCGAGGATCATATCCATGGACCTATTTGGACATATCGAGATACATGTAGGATTGTACTGCATAGTATAAATTATTATTTACAAAATTACAATTTATATAACGACGTTACCTCATTGAAGATTTGAAGATTATAGTATGCCCATCAATAGGTAACAGGTGGCCTTGGCCTCTTGTTAGTCCACTGCGTAACTCCGGGTCAGAAAGTCTTTCTTATGTTCAAGTTTCTACTATTGAACAACTTGCACTTTTTCTAAGCCCATATATGCAAAAAAAACTCGAGATTCATATCGAGAGAAAGAGATAAACAGGTATGCGTTTAATAAAGGGGGCTCGGGGTTAAATTCTTCTCCGATGGCTGCACGGAAAGGAAATTCAAGTTATGGTGATGAACACGAATACGAAGCGATCAAAGCGCGGAAATTGGCAACATTCAAAGCCGCGATGTCTCTCAGCGACCGTCAGTGAACAACTATAGATTAAACTGCTGCCTGCGACGAGTGTTCATCTCATAAAATTTGAAATTTTATTATAGAGTGTAAAAACTGTTGATATACTATCTGAAGCTTTTGGCTACTTGCGACTCCCACCCTCCGAGCACAGTGTTTTAATATGATGACATGACAATAACCAGAGGACAAAAGGGAGCACTTTCGATAGACAATCGACGTATTTAGATGTTCAAATGTCGCGGGCGCAGACAAACATACTCCGTACTCCGTACAGTGTCACTAGCTCGAAGCTTTCAAGGTTGTGGAACACCTTCCAAGGTTGCCAAGCTTTAACTAGTGAAAGTCACTCAATAATCGGATCATAGTGGACTGAGAAAGATGACAAGATGAAAACTTGAAGGTTGAGCTCCACATTACTAGTGTCTAGATCTATTACAGACTGAGCTCCGAGAACTTTGGAAAGGGGTAGAGTTAGATCTTCAATAAGAGAGTAATTAAATCATCCAGATGTCGTCCATAAACACTACTACTACATAGTAGGCTTTGTTGCTTCATGTTTTTCCGTATTCAACCTAATCATCATGCCATATTCGGATATTTTAAATCAGCATACTAGCTATGACCCTGGTGTCTATCATGATCACGACAGATCCTCGATCAAGTCCAAGAGATCGCAAACCTCAATGTCGACGGTATCAACAGGTTCGGTCGCTAATCAGCCCAACGACTCCGACCAAACACCAAACTCTGTGCGAGCTCTTCTTTACATCCCAAACTCTATATGGACGCGAATGTTCGCGACAACTATGGTAACCGAAATGGTATTCACGGTTGCAATTGAAATGTGAGTACTCAAGTCCGTGTCTAGTGATAGTCAAAATGCCATGTTAGACTTGAATTGACTCTGGTAGTTGGGTTCTCATGAGTCTTTGGAATCATCTGGGCGACGATACAGGGGCCACAGAATCCCATCTGCAATCCTTTTTGGGCCTTTATGTATTTGGACTTCTATACGAGCTAGCACTCTCATACGATGCGTTGCGCCGTAGAAATACAATACAACTAGTCGGGCTCTGTGTTTGTAACCTGGGCTTGACGGCATATGGCGTCCTCCAAATGCAGGAGATTGAACCGACATTAAAAAGCATGATGGCAGATGCTCTGATTGAAACACGTCTGCTTCACCTATATCGCGCGGTCCTTATCCTCGTACCAATAATCTTGGCCATCGGCACCCTTTGCATGACTTTTCTCACGTGGAAGTTGCGAGCTGAGTTCTCGTGGTCTATCTATAAAAATATTAGTGCCGATCTACAGATGAAACGTCGATATTTGACATATCAGGTTTGCTGCAACCTTCAATCCGGCATTATTTTCAAACTCTGAGCTAACATCTCATATACAGGTGTACATCGCACTACTGAAATTCGATTTTTTCTTTGTGTTTGGAACACAGCTTCAATTTCTTCTCATCGTTGTCAAATTCGAAAGCCTCGATTTCATTGTCAATGCTGCTTTTGTACCGATAGCCATCGCAAGCCTGGTACTATCAGCATATTATTGCAAAAGAGAGAAAAGGAAATCTCTCATTGGCATGATGGTGAGAACCACCAAGATTGATTTTTTGTAGCTCGAGCTAACGAAATCTGTAGTTTTTGATGCTAATCACAATGGCATTTTTGGTTCTTGCTATAATCCGAGTTAACAGCAACTACACCTCGGCTAGAGTCTCCATCACTCTCTTCGCAATTTTCTCCTTGCTGTTGCTGATTGCTACACTCATCAACTCTCTGTTGTGTGTTATGAATTTTCACCAAGGATTGATGACTCATGTTAATCCACCAGACAATGACCCAGCCAGTCTGCAGCTTAAACAAATGGAGACTCCTACGCGATTCTTGCTCAGTTAAAGGCCCCGAAAATATTATGATAGAAACAATTGGAAGCACTCTGACATAGATACATATTCACATGTGTGCATGTGACCGACGGGGCTCAAGCGACTAGTACAACGAGTGATCGTGAAACATAAATTCAAGTTCAAATAAAATAAAGAAATATCATGGTACAGCGTGGTACGTCTACATAGTTTGAGAGTTGAAATTTTTTGATCGTAGTAGTAGTACCTACATAGTAGTAGGTACTAGTAGCAAATTTCGGTAAGCCTCAAGTGCTTGTGAAAGACTATCGATAGAGTAGAGGTATAGCCACATGATGTTCATAAAATTAATAATTATTCATTTGGAATATTATGATGCCTCGGGTGATTGGAGTGACTCGGAGCCTCAGGCTTCCAAAGGTTCCACCTGGGCAATGTTTTGAAGGTTCAACTTTGGAAGTTCCAACGTTGGAATGGTCTAACGAGTTTGCGGTGCCAGCCTGAGTGGCGCCACTGTCGATCATCAGCCCCGGAGGCGCCGACTCGGAAATATATGTGGATCATCCCGACTCGGAGGTCAGGAACTTGGAATATTGCCGACCTCGGACAACTTCAGTCATTGTAATCCGTGAGATATTCAAAAAAATGTTGATCTGGAAGTGCTCACTGGCAAGTGCTACATAGCAAAATAGTATAAAATAATACTAGCACTTGAGTAAACAGATACATCCAGACATCTGGTCATTAACGGTACAGCCCAGTGACATCTGGACAGGGATAAATGGTATTCCAAGGTTTTATTACAATGCGCAGACCCGTGGACTGGGTTACTAGTATTAATTACTTAATTACTCAACCTTGGAACCTTGGAACCTTGGAAGTAGCTAAGTAAAAGAAGTTTCTTTGAGGTGGACCATCCAGTATACTAAACATTTGACTCAATTCAATCAATTCTACAAAGTCGGAGTATTAAAGGGTGAGATCTTGGCAATGGCTTGTAGTCGGACTAAAGGGACACCAATAGATACGAAATTGTGGAATGATGGAACTTGAAACTACTGTAACATTGGAGCCTAGTGAATTTGGCAATATGCGACTATATGAACATTGAAGTTAGAAAATTCTGATCATGTTCTACGGAGTACAAAGTACGAAGTCTTGTCGGAAGCGTTAGATCGAGGGATCCACAAATAAATCGAAAATCCGAGTTGAGCTAGCCACATTATGGATATTATGGATACCTATTAGACAAACTTTGGGGCAAACAGGGTTCATGCTGAACATCCGAATCCGAGCCCTTGATCGGTTCGACCCGTCTCGTATTCGGATCTCGCATTCGCATTCGCATATAGGAATGCTCTGAGCTGTCATCTGGGAACCGCTCAAATCTTGAATTATCCTATTATTCTCCGTGGCGCTAGATTTTAATCTTGATTTCTACTCGTCCGAAGTAGCAGTCTGTTTTGCGTAGTGGGTCAACTAACATCGTAGATCGGCTTGCTGACCCACGACTCGGAAGGATTTTTTTTGGATACAGTTCTGACATACTACAATAGTAGTACATGTATATTCCTTTTCAAACACAGAAAGATAATATTACTCCAGGGCACTTTTCCAAGTTCAGAGGAGCTGCCTAGGCGATGAATAAATCAGGTATGCGGAACATTTGAAGGTGTCTGACATGGCTGGAACAGAATCACCACTGGCAACGTGAACCTTCAAGTTGCAAGCTTTCTTATTTTCGTACAAATGTTTATGTGTGTGTATATAAAGGTTATTCAATCCATTCTTTTGACATCTGAAGTCCACCCAAGATCCACAGATGATCCAGATTGCTCAATCATTATACAGCATTTGGGGATCATATGGGCCAGTGAGGCTCTTCAAATTTGGCGAATAAATGAAAAATTGAATGAAAACAGATAGTTCATGAATGTATCTCAGAGAAATGGCATCTGATTTTTGTGTTATGATGAAGAAATATTTGAATGAAAAAAAGACTCCGGATCTATATCACTAAAACTGGCAGTGTTCAAAAAAAGCTTCGCTTAGACTTGCTGCTGGTAACCTGGCCGCCCGTAGATCAATTCAGTTTCATCCAATTTCTCGTGGTAGCCAGCAAAAATCTGGCTGGGGTGAAAGACAACAAATATGCCCATGACAAACATCATGAGGGAGGCGTCAAAGATGTAGGCGAAGTACTCATGACTTTGGAAAAAGCCTGTTGATCCTTGAATGTACTCAATGACTCGATACAGACAACGGATCATAATCAAGACACTGGCGAAGTACAGAACTCTCATGTAGCGTGCCCAGTTAAACGAGCTCCCCATAGCAGCCGCGGTTGGGTTATTGGACATTCTCTTGTGGAAGACGACCGATACAGCCACAAAGAAGCTAAAGAAGATGATTTGGACAATGAGACCCACAATAATAACATCTTCTCCGAGCTTCAGCTTGCTTGCAGTCTTGGCACCGGACATTATTGCACCACCTAGAAGCCAGTTAGTCCAATTATAAGCTTGGAATGTAAGTATAGAGATAGAATACTGACCTCCACTTTGGATGAAGAAAGATAATACATCGCCGGAGACGAAGATCTTAGTCAATCTGGTTCCGCGAACCATGGATCGAGAGTCTCCATCGGTTAAGCGGATGATGCGACCGAGAATCATATAGATCGATGCGGCAAACAAAGATGGAGCAAGCAGAATGAATAAACTCTGAAGCGCATACGGCATGGTCGAATAGTTTGGTGCTTGGTGTGCATTGACTGCTCGCGCAGCATAACCGACAGCTTCAAAGAAACCTCCAATGATAAAGGCAATCAAAAACTTGACTTTATGTTTGCAGGCAAGGAATATATGCACAATTGTCAAAGTGAAAAACAGGAGGACGAAAATGACGGCAGCAGCCAGCGACGGCGTGTAATTGTAGAGAGTGTAGGCCATTGTGGGCAAAGTTGAAAAATGAAAAAGAAAATGAAAAAAGAACTCAGAAACGAAGATGAGAGCGAATGAATGAATTTCCCAGGAGTTTAGGATCTGGGGGAAGAGTGTGTTATTATATGAATCAAAAACAAAGAGTAAACAAATAAACTACTTGGGATCAATGTTTAGCTTTTATGGACGAGACCTTAGAACCAATTAAGACTAATGGTCAACAGCTACAAGGCAGAAGCAATAATTGAAGCTTATTTTAGCTAGAAGCGCCTTTAAAACATTCTATAGTTTTTTTATGTATCCACATAAATGGGAAACCGAATAACCCGAATACGAAAGCAAGCAGTGGGTCCCTCTGGCACTACACCAGCTCTGTAGGTACCCGAATGCTGTAGGCTACAGTAGCTATTTGTAGCACTTGAGAATTTTGCCTTATCTGAAACACAAAATTTGAACCCAGGAACAAGGATATATTCGGACTAATATTTATTCAATGAGAGAAAAAGAAATTCGGTTCTAATTGGCCAACCACCACAGAAGCTAAATATTCCAAGCTTGATGGAATCAATTGAGCTTCCAAAGTTCCAAACTTACTACTATCCAATTGCCTATCAAGTACTCGGCAGTTGCAGAGATTGATCATTCAAGTTCCTGACCACTTGCAGAGTTGAATCATCTCACCTCTACCAATTATCACTCCCCAACATGGCTCTCAGCAATTCTGCCCTGATCGTGATCATTCTTGTTTGTTGCCTTTCATCAGTTTCGCTCGCGGCAGCTATGTTTGGTCATTTTTCCATTGCGCAAACTATCCGATGGTCACCGACAATCGAGCAACAACGATACATGCGCGATCTACGAATGAGATACTTGGAAATGCTCTATGCAGAAAGCAGAATCAGGGATCCCAGGCCTTTAAGGTTAGTGAGGAGAGTCTCAGGTTCTGGCGACTGCTAACATTTGGGATAATAGAAAAGACCAGACTATGAGCATAGGTGAAAGCTTTGTGACAGATCTCGAGGCCCAATCCGTGGCAGGCACAGAGAAATAAATTCGACCATGCACAGGTGGAAGCGAGATGTCCAACGAAGCGCAGATTATCGACCATCCACACCAGAAGGCAAGTGGGTCACAAGTGTGAGCGGCCTGGGCCAACAGCCCGATACATGAATGCACATATGGAAACGCGAGGGAGTCCCGACCTTAATAGTTTGATCTATCGTCTCCTTTCCCGTTGCATTATCGTGGTTTTGCGAAGTCCTCGTGCGCGTTTTGTGGGAATGCAAATATGGAAACACATGTATATTAATTCATGATTCGTCGTAATAAAGGGCTTCTGTACAACAGAAAGGAGTGGCAAGACAGAAAAATGGATGTATTGGAATTCAATTTTTGACTTGACATCTGGAGGTGGTTCCATTTGAAGGCGCCATATTTTGTAATTTGCAACACTTAGTAGATAAATACGACACTAGGAAGCAACCTGAGAGACTATAACATTCCAAAACTCAGAATGGACCATTCTACTAACCTCGTATCCGAGAGTCACCTATTTATCTCTTCTTCGCTGCTTGAAATTGGGGGTTCTCATGCTATCAATCACGCTGCTGAGGGTAACATTGAAAGAATGTTGAAAGAATGCTTTAACAAAAAAGTAAAATCAACTTTGGCTGAATCAATAATCTAGTACAAGCTAGCGCATTCCCAGTTCTGCGGCTCCCACATATCGCCGCTGCCCTTGTATCTGGCCTGTTGAGGGAAGGGACAGATAGGTCGTTGCTTGGTCACGTAGTCTAGCGTAGTCTCATCGTGGAACTTCGTACCGATAAGATAGTCAGGCGCAGTGTTGTTCTCTACCCAAGCAATCATCGCCAAAAGGGCATCATGTTTACCATCGTTGAATCCATTGCGCTCATGCAGATGATTACCCGAGCCGTCGCTACCGATAGTTGACGCCTGTGATGAGCCACCGATATACCATGGTGCCTCCATATTCGATGGGGTATTTCCACAATGTTGCATACCGGGAATCAGATAGAAGCGGTAGAAATCGTCAAGGTCAATGCCAAGTTTGGACATCATGCGCTGGACATGTTTGTAAAAGTAGACACTGCTACCAGTAGGGATAGATGGGTCTGCCATGCCATGATAGTGCAGTAATTTGGACCCACGCGCATAGAATGGCGACAGATCAAAGTCGTCGGCTGTTGCGTTCCCGGGATTCATCTCGTCGGATAACTTGATCAGACTTGGGGACCAATCCTTCCATGTGAAGTTGGTGCCGATGCCCAGGAAATATTCTATGTAGCTGAAATCGGGAGCCATGCCCCATCCTGTCTCGCTGCCTATCTCGTAGTGAGGGAAGATAAATGTCTGGTCGGCTTCGACCCAGTCGTTGTAGTAATGGTAGAGTGTGTCAAGCTGGTCATCGGTGATACAGGTTGTCGAACTTGTCTCGTTCTGCTTGCACAACATCACCTCCAAATCAAGGTCACAGCGACGTGGGTCAGAGATAATGTTATCAGTCAAACCGTCCTGGGGATCTATAAAGTATAAGTATTGTTACATCGAGGTATGAGTAGATATTCATATAAAGAATGTCACTTACCGCACTGCTTCAGAGTCTCATTGGCAATAAACTCAAAGAGATCATCACTGATGTGATGGGTCGAGTTCTCCGGGTAGTTGTATTCAGCAGCATATATGTTAAACAACTGCAAATGTTTAGTCCACCAAGCGGGGGCTCCTACAACTGCACCATCAAAGTCCTCTGGAGACATCTCGATCTCTTTGAGTCCCTGTCGACCACCGGTGGAGCAGCCATTGTAATAGCTATATTTGAGGTTGTGGCCATAGTATGCCTGAATAACCTTCTTGGCCTCCACAACGGAGAGATGCATTGCACGCCAGCCCCAATCGGTCACCGACTCTGGGTTTTCCGCCCAAGAGTTATCAAAAGCCGAATCATGCCCGGTGTCAGTAGACATTGCCGCTGCACCATAGGTCACACCAGCACCCTAAATATACTCAATGTTCCAAGGTTAGATACTGGTAAGCAAGGAAAGGAAGCTATTTTCACGCACCATCTCTTCATAATTGACGCCTCCTGAGAAGGCAGAGTTGCCCGAGACGACCATTCGGCCTGCCCAGACATCAGGCAAGAAAAGACCAAAATTGAATGTGGTATTCGCCTCGGTTGGCATCTCGATTTGGACCACGCATAACGCTGGCAACTGGTATGCCGGGCTCGAAAATCCAATGTCGGCTGATGGAGGAGTAAAGGTACCATTCTGTGCGACTCTATGAGCTAGAATCACGGAGGCATTGGAGGGAATGATAGAAGCGAAGGCTTTGGCCGAACAGTTCATCGTAGCCATCGCAGGGGCCGCTACGGCGAGCATGACGCCTGCCTGAAAGAGAGACGATTTCATTGGCACAAAACGGATTGTAGAACTAGGTGGATTACAGGAATGTAGGAGAAGGTATATGAATTCGCATTTCAAAATGCAATGATCATGAGGAGTACCTTTCAGATATACACGTAAAACTCCTCTCCTTTTCTCCTCAGTCCACAAATTAATCATTAACATAAGATGAATCTCAAAAACGCAGTACCTGCAGTGGATAATGAAACCTTTAGCTGCTACTGTATACGTACGCCGACAGCGTCATGCAGTGGAATTTAGATGGAAATTAGAAATTGGAAAATTGGATCAGCGTCACCAGTGGGTCCTGAAGGAAATTTTATCTGATCTTGAATCTTCCCCGTAGATAGTTCGGCTTAATCCCAAGTTTCTTCGGCTTAATAGAACCCTCAGCTTGGTACTCCATAGCTTCGTACTCCGACATCATCCCCCATTGACCCACTACTCCATCGTCTTTCATCACCTCACTATCCAGCTCAGTTAAAAAGGTAGATTGGTTTAAACCCTTATTATCTCCTCCACATCTGATATCATTACTCTAATATAGACCTCACTATGGAGTGCCATTTCCAAGGAATCGAAGTGCTCAATATGCGCTGTTTTTACATCTGTCCCACTAGCTAGCGATTGACGTCTAACGACATCTGGAGTTGGGCAAATTTCCAATTTATTAAAAGGGGGTGGTCAGTACTTGATGACCTAATAACTGACCGACTAGAGTCACTGCCAGTGTATCTAGATTACAGAAAGAGAAAGATCATTCAGGGCATCTTCAAGTTCAAACATTGACAGTACACTGCAGGTGGAGCTAGTCCTGGTTTACGCTCCCAGGGTGGAACCCTGAATATCGGGATTTGTGATCGGGATTTAATTATCTTCCGAATCTTTCTTATAACTTACGCACATTTGCAGTCCTTGGCAATAAGAGCTAGTTAGAATTCGGTTAGCGACCGATAGTTAAAATCTTGAAGCATATCCCGAGGTCGCTCTCCCGGTTCAAATACGCGTATTCGCTTCCACCAGCCCCAGGTGCCGTGAACTTGAACCACTAAACTTCATAGTGGGTATCTGACCCCTTGAATGCACTGCAATAAACCGGATTGATTGCTTCCTATTTTGATTTTCAACTTCAGTTATGTTACAGGCTTTACAATAATTGTAATTTGTTACAAAAAGTCTGTTAATAGTTGATTAAATCTAGTGTTTGGTCGGAAAAGTAGAGCAATTTGATCTGATTTTATTCTTGCTCACTGGCAGGTGGTAATCACAAACTAGAAATGCTGGAAAGCTTTGAGTCTTTTTTTTTACGATATTACGTGTACCTGGAGCCTATCCACAAAATATGGGGTCATAGATGACGGAAAAATTGCTAAATTATATCTCGAATTCTGTTTATATTCCTTCGCTATAGTATACTAATAACAACATACACGATAACACAAGCAGTGAAGACGTTACTAGCAAGCGGGTCATCGACTATCTTTCTACCATTCAATATTCTCACTGAACCAATCACGGATGAAGTCAATGACCTCCTGACTTTGAGCCACGGAACCTGATCCCCAAGAGTCACCCAGCCACATAGTGGTCTGGTTCTCCTTGCTTGGTGCCCAGTAGGGCAAACCTGCCCCGTTAGGACTGCCGCTCTTGATGAAATTCGCCCAGTAGGAGGTCATGGTGGCAGCGACGGCGTAGTCCGTCTGGGTCCAGTTAGCCGATGAATCGGCATATGGCAGCGAGTGGAAGGCATAGTACAGCTCCGAGCCATGATAGGCCCCTCCATTCCCGTTAGGTGGCGCATGGGTCCAGAAGTAGGTGTAGACGTCACTTTGCGCACCCCCAGAGATCCAGTCATGCGCCCAGTCCCAAGTACCAGTGCGACTGATATCACGATAAATTTCATTGACCATTTGATTTGCCTCCGTGGTGCTGCTGGCGGGGAAGAGGTCGAAGAATTTGGAAGATAAATCCCCAAAGACATTGGTAAAATCTGTGTGGTATGTGCTCACAGTATAGCCCGGTGAGGTAGATGCACCTGATTCGTCCTTGTTGTTTCCTGTAAGGATGGGCACGTCGTGGTGTTTGTTGAAGCGAAGTGACTCGCCGTAGCCAAGAGGAAGGACGTAACCATCGTGGACAGGTCGCCATTCAGGAGGCTCCATATACGCACTGACATTAACGAGATCAGTCGACTCATACCAAATACCGTTGGTGGTAGCGTAGTCATTTAATGTTTCATATGAAACATTGCGAAGCTCAGCAATGCTGGTCAGGTTCAGCTCTTTCAGAAAGATCTCTCCATAATTCTCGGCGCTCTCCTTCTGTCTGTAGCTAGTTGAGGCACCTCCCATCATAGGATCGCGAACACCACGAGAACCAGTCTCAGAGATGACACCGGCCACTCCAAGGCCCTCGGTCAATGGGCTAAACATCATGTCTAATGCACCGGAAGAGCCCGCCGACTGCCCGCCGACAGTAATATGGTTAGGGTCACCACCAAAATTGGAGATTTCCTCATGTACCCATGTCAGAGCAGAGATCATATCCAGCACACCATAGTTTCCTGAGCTATTGTGGGGACTCTCAGCCGATAGCTCCGGGTGCGCCATGTAGCCAAGGACTCCCAGGCGATAATTGATGGTTACCACAATGATGTTTTTCTTGGCAAGAGAAGAGCCGTCGTAGGTGACAACATCCCCAGAGCCCATATAGAAGCGACCTCCATAGATCCAAAAGTAGACAGGCAAATTATCCCCGGCAGTTGCGTTTTCAGGTGCCCAGATATTCAGGGAAAGACAATCTTCGCTCATTTCAGTGGAGCCTGTGGTAAAAATGGAGGAACCCATGTTGATCTGTGGGCACTGAGGGCCAAAAACAGTGGCATTGCGCACCCCTGTCCAGGGCTGAGCTTTTTCCGGGGGCCGGAATCGAAGTGACTTTGTTGGAGGGGCCGCGTAAGGAATACCTTTCCAAACATTTACGCCACTGAGATACTCTGATGTGGTACCTTCAACAACACCATATGAAGTTTTGGCGACTTGGTGACGAGAGCTGGCCTGGGCTGTCAGTGCAAAGGCCAGTAGCCCGGAAAAGGGTTTTGACAGCAACATGCCCAGGTACAAAGGAACCTTGGAAGGGAAAGTTCTGTGAACAATAAATTTGGAATGGGTAAGAGAAGGAATAGTGTTGACCAGTATTGCCCGTTCAATTGCGCCCGGTGGATTTATAGCATCCAGCACTTGAGATCCATATCATGGCATGACCAAGTATACGGCCCGAGAAAAGCCACGCGGGCCATCTATAAATTGTGGATCAAACATTTGAACCGTCTAAATGTTTATTTAATCCGGAATCCGTCAAGAGGAATTAAAGCTCCCAGATGCCGGAGTATAATATGGCTCCGTGGTGGAGCCAGTCGTCATCGTCCGACCACCCTAGCTACGAATCCACTATATAGCCATGAAAAATATTCCATATCTTTTATTTCACGTATGCTTTTGCGCATCATTTCCTATTCAAATGTTTTAATTAGAGTGCTGTTCCGTTTTTGTACAAGCTGCAGGATGTGATCGTCAAGTTTATCAATCTATCATTTGAAACAATTTCGCTAGCTTCAATACACAGCTCTGCAGCCCTGGAGGAGTTTCATGTATTTAAAACGAACCACTACTGGGAATATTATCTGAGGATATTTAAAAATCAAGTAGCATCATTCCGTCGGTCATTTTCATGATCACTTCACTTTGTCTTATGATAATTTCCCCCATTTCCCCTTAGCATTCACAATGCTCTATCGGCTGGTGTTATTGGCTGCCACATTGTTGGCTGGCATGAGTGCTAGCAGCAGCACTCCTACAGCAACAACAGCTGCTTCGTCAACAATGCCGTCAGTTGTTCTCGATTATTGTACAGTCGCTGCTGCCGTGGGCAATGAATCACTAGGGTTTTATCGCTATCAGAATATCCGTTACGCGGCAGTCCCTACAGGTGATCTCCGTTTTGCGGCCCCGGAGTGGCCACCTCAAGAGACTGAGGTCAATCAAGGCCACTTGGTGTCTGAAGCAGTCGACTGTTCTACTTCTGAGGACTGCCTGTACTTAGATGTGTGGGCTCCCGCTAACAGTGCTGGCAAAAAACTGCCTGTTTTGGTCTACATGTTTGGTGGTGGCTTCACTGCCGGCAGCAAGATTCAGAGCACTCCAGAGGGACTCTTTGACCTGAGTAAAGAGTTTATCTTTGTAGCTTTCAATTATCGCCTCGGATTCTCAGGCCTTGCTAACGGACCGACCTTCTTGCATGAGGGTGGTACGTCCAATACGGCTGTTTGGGATGTCGCACATGGGTTTTCCTGGGTGCGCAAGTACATCAGCGCGTTTGGCGGCGACCCAAATGCTGTGACAGCCGCTGGATTTTCTGCTGGTGGATCACAGGTCATGTTCCAAATGACGGTACTATTTGAACCTCCTTATGATTCAATTCAATGGCTAATCTGATTTTCAGCGCTTTAATGGACGTGCCGAACAGCTCTTTGATCAAGCCTACATTATGTCGCCGGGCTACGTACCCGGTGCAGGTCACCATCAGGCTGAGGTATGTTTGTATTTTTGTATTTTTGATCTTCATTTTTGCTCGGACTCACTGTCACAGGCCTACTGGCAAAATGTTTCCTCCATCATGGGCTGTAACGCCGCCGACATAGCATGTATGCGTCAGGTCAACTTCACCACTCTCCAGGATAAAGCAAGTGATGCAGCTTCAACATACAACTACCAGCTACAGCCTAGAGTGGATGGGGACTTTATCAGTGATACTTGTACGGTTGTTATTCTTTGTTTTAATTTTTATACATTTCTACCGACCGGGATAAGGAAGCTAATCATTTGCTTCAGATGAAGCCCAGCTCTACCAGAAGCGATTTAACTTCTCTGGTCCTGTCGTGATAAGCCACGAGCGACACGAAGAGAACAGCCAGAATACGACTGGTGTCACCAACGAGGCTGACATCGTCTCTGAGCTCAAGATTTATTTCCCAGCCATCACCGATGATGTCATCACGGAAATTTTGAATCTATATCCAGCCTCACACTATGAGAGTGCCGGTTTGCGTCTCTCGGATATTCGGCAATCCTTCGACCTGACAGGGAAAGACTTGGCCCTGACTCAGGCGCTGCATAATCAGACATGGAATGCCATGGTAAACCTCGGCGACGCTACGCATGGAACGGATCAGTATTACTACTGGTACAGTACCTACAGCACCGTGCCCGCCAATGGATTGTCGGTCTCTGAGAATGTGAATGTCACAGTTGCAGTAAGATAACCCAATCGACTCCTGGTCTATCATAATGCTGGGTACTGACAGCTGGCAGCGTAAAATGCAGAAATATCTTCTTTCATTCGTGCTAACTGGCAACCCGAATACCCTCTGGCCTAAAGACAAGATCTATTGGCCAAAGTACGGAAACTTGACCAATACTCTCAACCTCAACACCACCATGAATATTATCACCGACGATTTAGCCAATGACCGTAGCCTATTCTGGAATAAAGCTTTGTGGTACTAAGCATACCATCTGGGCATATTATCTGTTTTCGGAAGTTTCGCTCGCCCGCATCGATCAGGTAAACTACAATGGTACTGGATGACTGAGTATAGACAAACATTGATTGAATACATGTATACTGCATCCGTGGACTCAGAGTCACAAAGCCAGACCTTTGTATATCGACGCTTCAATATGATCTTCCTGCTCTCCTCTAGGTTTAGACCACATAATTTTCTCTCAGATATCACTTTCTCCCGCATACACAACAAATTACACACATGGCACTTTCAATTCCCATTCAGGCCTCCTGCACGAGAGAAACAGGAGGAGAAGTAAACAAGCCCTTATTTTGGTACATTTCCGTGAAGAATGAGACTCAAATATCGTATTCCGAATGTTCAAAATGTTGGAGGGAAGAGTAAGTTTTCAACTGCATTCTTTCAAACACTATATTTTCTCAATTCCGTTCAACTGACATTCTTGTCAAGGGATTGAGATCATACATGGCTAGATATAGACAGCCGGCATAGCTACTCATAGTGAACTTTGTTGACAAGAGTTCCAATTTTCCCAATTTGGACATGAATAAAGTCTTCGTCTTGCAGTATCACTTTTGGCTGTTACAAACAGCCAATGCCAGCGGGCGTTCCTGTCAGTATGATAGTACCGGCTTCTAGAGTAGTACCTTGAGATAAGTACGAGATTTGCTTCTTCACGTCAAATATCATATCTCTTGTATGTCCATCTTGCACAGTTGCACCGTTATAGATGGCCTTTATCGTCAAAGCCTGCGGATCCGTGATGATTGATAAAGCGACAAGGACTGGACCCTAAAGGGCATATAATTATTAGCTTGAAATCAAGAGCCAGGAAAATATGACTTACCGATTGGGCAGCTTCCATCAAGTCCTTTGGAAAAAGACCATTGAGCATTAGCTCTTTGTAACCCGCGTGCCGACACATCGTTTGATGCAGTATACCCGAGAACGTGTTCCAGGGCTTTCTCTTCCGGTATGTCTCTTCCTGTCTTACCAATCACAAGACAAAGTTCAGCTTCATAGTCGCTCGTGCCATCCTGAGCACACTTTGGCACGTTGATTACTGCGGGGTATGGCCCAGATAGTGCGGATCGAGGTTTCGTGAATACAATAGGAGTGTTTGGTAGCTCAAGGTTGCACTCCTTGTGAGTTGGTTAGATCGAGTTTGAGGGTGTAGAGGAAATATCTCGTACCCTTGCATGATCGGCGTAGTTCAGGCCCAGACAGCGGATATAGTCACATTGTTCACGGGATACATGAGAAAGAAGCTTCAAGTATTCAAATTCCCTGTCAGTATGCGCCTTCTTTTGATTTAAGAAATATTTAATTCGACAAGGAGATTTGATATGGGTCTCAGATGATTCGGGCTTTGCTAAGCTCACTCGTTTCACATGAAAGACTTGGTCCGTAACCGTTCCGTCGAATATATTGCCCTCAATCAGATGAGCAGATATTTCTTTGCCGTTCAATGAGTCCAAGCCAATATCTTGGGAGCTATCCACGAGCTGTCCCAAGTAAATCTCACTATCCTCGACTGCAATAAACCGGATCAGGTGGGTCCAGCTGGCCATAATCGGCGGGGAAGAGTATCGCGTGCTAGATTAGAATGACGCGAGTCGGGTCCTCAGCATTAAAGATGAATCTGGTTTGAAGAGCACGGTATAGAAAATCGCGATGTGAAATGGAAAGAATGGAGCCGAATATAGGTATCGCTCTTTGTTGAAATTGTCATTGAATCGAGTGAAATAAATATGGGGTGATTCTGGAGGTTCTTAAAAATTTTTGATTTGAACTTGAAGAGGTCAACTGGTCGTTTTCGGGTTGGTGGGTTCCGCGGAACTGCCTGTGTGATACAACTTGAAGCCATTCCCCGGAAAAGACAACATTGAATGCTAACAGAATTTGAGGACTCGGGGCATTTGAATATTCTAGATTTTCACAATCCTCTATTTGCCCCATATGCATATTCCAAATTGAAGCTTGTTATTGCGTCATGACTCTTATCACGCACGGTGCTGTGTTCATACCCAACCTCCCCACATACGTTCGTTATTTAGCTAGAAAATTGCCATCGCATTGGGCGGCGAAGCTATAACTCCCTTGTATCTAAGAGAATCACTGGTTATGAAAAAGGACCAACGATCATTTCGCTTGCACAAATCTGCAATCGCATCAAGATCGAACATCTCCCCAATGGGGGTTCCCCGGCCTGCCAATAGGATAGGATGAAGCATCCACGTATCATCTGTCGGGGCTAAATGATGTCAAAATAAGGAAAGTCAATTTGGAGGGCTCTTTTCACTCACGGATGCATTCAAGCGCTGGATTGTCTGCCGCAATCGCGGCGAATTGCCTTCTCCAGAGCCAGCGAGTCATAGCTTCACCTTGCTCGAGACCAGGCCAGGTATGTTCCGCTTTTTGCAGGCCAACCTTACCCGTTTCATCAAAAGTCTTGTAGGTAGAGACAAAGCCGGTTCATATGAAGAGGATATCACCCTGTCGAAGCTGTACATTCTTCGCAGCGAAGAATTCTTTAATATCACTCACACTGATAGGCTGTGTACTTGTTGCACTGTAAGGGATACCTTTCTCGGCGGCCCAAGAGGGGTAATCCACCAGAATCTCACGGCCGGCGATTGCTCTTTCAGACCAGCCATCGATTCTATTGATGCTACGATCAGGACCATGGTGAATATCATCTTGAGTGACCCTGAGATGTGGAAATTAGTTACAGACCCCACTTTGGATGGGAATGCAAGTCTTTATACCCATTATAAAATTTGCCTTCCGCTTGATACGCGAAATGCCGGAATGATCCCATTGAGCACTAGTTTGGGTGTTGAATGTAATCTTAAGAAACTTAGACGGCCCCCTATATGGATCATGGTAGTTGAACTTACTATATCATCGTTGATCACACGTGGTGACTTGTTGATAAGTTTTTGTTCAAAGTCAATCCGTCCCAAAAGGGCAGGTTTGACTGCATCAAGAGGAAGGCTTGAGGTAGTCAGTACATATCAAGTGCCGGCTGGTATGCGAAGTTGTCTGCTCACTCCAACGTCACGCACTCGCCAGTTTGAACCTCCTCTTTGCTGGCTCTCAAGATGACTTCGTCACTCAGATGGTTGAGTGCTCCCAGAGCTGGATTTTTCCACAGTCCCCAGGCAGAATGGTGTGGATCACCAGCCCGGGGGGTAGGTCATCAAACTCAGGAATTGATTGTGTGAATGGGGAATCCATGGTTCCAAGTTGTATATTGAAAAAAATATCAGATTAGCAAAAGAATGAGAGTTCAACAAAAAATGCACATGTGGATGCTGTAGAAGTAGTGTAAATCTCCAGGGCGTGGAACTGGTGGCGGGAAAAAAGTTATGTAGTTTTGAGTAGTGAGATCCGGGGGACGCTCCGAATTGCCACGGAGATTTGAGGGATGAAGAGTATCTACTGAGTTTAAATTGAAGTAAAGTGACAAAATAAAATGATGCTCATAATAAATTTAACCATACTTTGCACAGATTTGAAATAAAAAAGCTACACATGCAATCTACTAGAGAGATGACCAATCATTCCGTTCAAGTCCCTGAATGGTCTGAATACGTTTCTTTCGAGGGATCACCCATGCTGCCAGGCGATCCGGAATCTCCTCCAATTGTAGATCTGCAGTGATCATAGTAGCAAGAGCATCAGCGCCAGTCAGTGATTGAGATGTTCCCGCTAGTTCAACTACCAATGAAGTAAGCTTTTTTTGTGTGCTCGATAATTCGCTTCAGATGACTCCTAAGGGAGGAATGGGTGTGCAGCATCGCCAATTAGGATCACTTTCTCGTTTGACCACTCTTTGGTATGTGTTATGGTTGAATAAAACCAAGATTTCAGAGTGTTAGGGTCGATTCCCTCGAGTATGTCTCTGAGAGGCGAATTATCAGACCCAAATGCCTCTAGTAGCTCATGCTTCAGGAATTGTCCATGAATGCCTTAGTATTTGCCAAGGAATAATATGGTCACAAAGGGGATGAGGACTAGAATTACCGGTTTCCTTTGACGCTGGAAACACGGCATCCATGATAAGCGTTTCAGGCTCAACAGAATAGATTCTCAGCTCCTTATCTATTCCTGTCCATTTCTCATATCTCTGACGCTGAAGGCGTAGGTAAGGTACCACAGCGTTTTTATTCAAACCAGTCAAGCTCACTCTTGAATGAATTAAAACTCTTTCAGGTCCGGAAATGCTGGTAGCTCTTTCCGTTAAAGTCTCCCGTGGGGTTGACTGTGAAGTGAAGGGAATTCATTAGAAATGTAGGGCCGGAACTCAGCAGTTAAGTGCTTGATAACTTACATGCCACCCATCAGCTCCAATGACAGCGTCCCATGATAGGTCTGGCCACCTTCGACACTAACCGACCCTGACTTTGGGTTCACAGACTCGATTTTCTTCCCCAGGAAGAGTTCCAAGGGATGGCCTGGTCCTGTTGAAGCCGTAGCCAACACGAGCAATCCTCGATGGAGTTTACTGCGCTCGTAGAATTTCCATCCGGCCTTGGAGTGGAATTAATGGTGAGGTATTTGGGTTGGATAGTGAAGACAGGCTGCTTACTGGTTTTGGTTCATTCTGCGCGGATTTCGGTGTGCCATTAAGGTCAAAATCACATATTTGAAACGATATTAGCAATTTTAAACATGATAGGCTAGTTCAGGCATATGTGACTAGTACCTCTTTGATGGGTACTGGCAATGTCAACAAAGGGTCGACGCCCCACTTCTCCAAGATATCGTTCACTTTGGGTCCAATTTGATCAACCGCTCCATCAGTATCCTCAGAGGTCAGTTCCGATGCCTCAAAGACCTTCGGTATTTCAGATTAGCAAGTGAAATATTTACTATCAGAAAGGCCTAACTGACTTGTACTGTATGGCCGGCTCGGCGAAGACCCAAAGCAACGGCAAGTCCCGCTATACCACCACCAACTACTAGAATTTTCGGCATATTCGAAGGTTATGATTGTGTTCGGTGTTAACGTAAAAGGAAAAAATTCTTATTATGCGATCTCCATGTAGGGGGTCAGGAGTGGAATAAAAATCAAGACAATTCCAATGCACATGTGAAATTATCAAGCATTTGAATGTCCAGATATCTGCCAGGGAGACTGATTTATCATTTATCTCCGAGGATGGAAGAAGTAGAGAGATAGGTTTTAAATGCACAATTCCCCAGAACTTCGCGAAATCCATGTACTACAAAAATTCAATGTTGCCACTGTTTCAATTTCAATTTTCTCGATTTTTGATAATCATTCAAGCTCTCAATCATGGCCAGATATTTTCTGATCTTTTTCCAACCTGATCTAAGTGGTAAAGATACTTTTGAGTACTTCCAGAAAGAATTGTTCGCTACATGGCCCGACCTCTCGCCTTACATTCATTTGGATGCTAGCGATAACGCCACGACTGAAACAAACACATACCGCAGTCTCAGCATCTACTTGATTGAGTTGAATGATGATGACTCTTTGGTGTGCAATCGGATCGACAAAAATCTACGACTTCAGGTATCGAACAGTCACCTGATAAACTACCACTGGCAGCTACATGCTTAAATATCCAAATTCGCAAATCGTCACTTGTATCAAAAAATGTTGTTACTGTGGGAATGAAAATATCAGATAGCCCCGATGCCAACCTGGATTTGAATCAATGGTATGATCTCAAGCATCTTCCTGGACTATCTACTGTACCAGGCTAGCTCGTGGGATTGCGCACCAAGCTTGTTCACACTTCAAATCAAGATGACCTATGCGCATCACCTTATTTTGCATTACATGAGTGGGGAGAACCAAATGAGCTAGGTGGAGAGGCTTGGAAGAAAGCGGTTGTAACGCCATGGATAGAAAGAATTTTGAAGCTTCACAAGGCACCAATTCATCGTCGAATTTGGACAGTGTGTGGCTGAAAAATAGCTCCAAACCATCTTGTTCCAAGGTTCCCGGATCCAGCCTGAGACTGTGGCAGAATATAAGAACTCGGGACCATCAACTAATAGTATTTTCTCAAATTGTCGGACCAAAAATATTAGCATGCCTAGTAGCTATTCTTTACCGGTAGTACTAGACCTTTGCAAATGGGTCTCCCGCAGCAAAATCTTTGTCCCGCCTCCCGCCTCCCGTCCCGTAAAATCCCAGGAAATCCCAGGAAATCCCGTTTGTAATGGGATGGGATTTTGCGGGACGAAGTGGGATTCCCTGGGATCTTGCGGGAGTCGCAAAGCTTTAGGTAGTACACAACAGTCACGGTGAACATGTAGCAACAATTTGAAGCAAAAGTTGCTCACTTTCTGTCAACTGGTTAATGTGCTTTCGAGTTGTGCGACCTTCACATAAGATGGATTGAATATCTAGGTACCTATGGGTAATGGACTCGGATGTCACTGGCAACTTCGAATGTTCAAGTTGCACATCAACTGGTCAACTGGTGTCGGCATACTTTGTGTCACGGTGATATAGTATATCCCGCCGACTCGGAGGTAGTACTATTAGTATCATCCAACATCAATGCAATTGACTCGGAAACTTGAATGGATGTTTCATCATTCCAAGGTTCAACTTAAATTTCAAAGGAATTTTGATAGAGGTAGGACCTCTGGACACAACATTTGAATACAGCACTTGAGCCTTGGAGACAACATTGAATTTAAATGTTCGGAGCCCTGCACATGTGGAGCGCTTTACTATGTAGTAGTAAACTTGAAGACATCTCATGATGACATCCATGTCTGGATACATCATGCACATGTGCATGATCTTGTTCAAACTTCAATCCACCATTCGACTCGGATATTTTCAAATATTCAACAAGCGGATTGCACATGTGTGATTTATTTGCCAATTTCTACCTAGTTATACTAGCTATTGATTGGGTCGGGCGGAACCTGGACTGCCCCATCTCTAAAAGCGATACTCAGATGATCTGCCAAAAGAACAATCGAGTCCCGAATATTGGTGACCTCTTCTCTTGTCGCCCCGTTCCACATCATTCCTTTCATATGGTTCCTAGCTTGCCCTTTGCAATCAATGCTGATCAACGTTGTAATTATTGCTTGGCTAGACTCCAGCTTATCCATGATCTTATCAAAAGAAAACACATGTGGATAAAGAAGCTCTGTTAGAGACTTGTCAGCAAGGAAAGTGGATTGTATCGAAATCATCAATGCTGGGAATTAGGAGGTACGAGACTAACGAGAGACCACATAAAAATAATCCGGACAGCATTTTCGAACAAAATCATCGTCTGTGTTAAGATCAGGGACATCCCGATATAGGCTCTTCAGGAATGCATCGCCTCGAGCCAGAGCCGATAAGTGGTCGTCATCGTCGCTAACACTTTCATCAGTAAATGATCGGAAGGTAATATAACGTGTCTGTTGCCGTACTGATAGCACTTATTGTCAATCAAATGAGGAGGACTTGATTGATATAGCTCGCGCACGGCATTTCCAGTCTATCAAATCATCAGCGTCAGCGCCCTTGTTCGGGAACCTAAAAGAATGACGCTGGACTCACTTTTGCAGCGCCGTGAGGACCAGCAGATTTGACCAATCCCTCTCTTATCTTACGAGTCTGCTCAACATGAATCTCACGTGCAATGTAATGTTCTAGCAAGTGCAAGTATAGTGGCCCAATCTTTTCCGGATAGTTGAAGGAACTCAACGCAACAATTGCAGTAATGTACCATTTAAAGCGTTTGTTACTTTCCCCATGTTTTGCAAGATGCTCAATAAAGTCATGGTCTAGTTTTGACGACATAATGAACTAAGGGTAATGCTAAAGATGTAGGTAGGGCACCAAGACGCACGGCAATTTTGTGCGCAAGATTCAAGAACTTGTATGACGCTCTCGATAACCAACTATTTGGTCATTAGACTTCTGAAGTGCTTCCGATGAACCAGAATTTGAATGGTTTATCTTCCGGGGGTGGGCAAAAGGCTTTCGTGTTCCTCGGAAGGGTGCGACCGAGGCTTTGCACGGCAAATCGCTCTCGGGGCCATCTTCTAGCTCGGTTGATTAATGGCGTGGTGGGCTACGTCGTGGAATCCAAGCAGATATCACCGGTTCAAACAGGCTTCTGAGAATTACACCAAGGTCCTTGATATCCATGGCTAATGTAGCAAATATGGCTACTATCGTTGTCAATCTCCACATACCGCTGGCATCCGTTGAAGATCGTGAAACGGTCAGCTCTTCCTCCTTTCAGGTTTGACCCTCGGAATAATCTCTGATCTTTGAAAAAGTACCTGTCTCTAGTCAAGGATGTGGCAAACGAGACGCGTGAAAATGAGTCCCAGTGTCTAGCCTACTGCTGGACTCGACCAATCTCATCGTTGGATACAATCCCAGGGAACTCCGTTTTCGTGCAAGGTATTGAAGTGTATGTACACGTATTGTGGTTCGAAATAAAAACTTCTGGACACTAAGCTTTTTCCGAAGACGTGCAGATACCAAAATCGAGATGCTCTTGCAGTGGTGCATCGCAGCGGTGTTTCGTATCTCAAGATGCGAGAGTTAATCACTACTACATCATTAATTACTTTCCCAAAGGGAGGCATTCCTATGTAGAAACCTGCTGGCACTGGGTTTCTCTCCAAAAAGGTTCAAGAGTGTGTTAGTGTGGAGAATATATTCGTATTCATACAGTACAGTGTGAATGGGCCCGTTGGTTTATCTCATTTCCTAGAACAGGAAAGCGTGTTGTGCACCAAAATGGAGACCGTGAGGGGCGTTCAATCATTCTGGTGCTTCATACTTGACTCAGAAAATGTGGAGATGTCTCGACCAATAACAATTCCTATTCGACTAAAAGATGGCTCGCATTACTCCACTGTCGAGGATAAGATTCTCTCGTTCGAGTAAGCTCTGCCCCATCAGGCTCCCTCGCCCCATCAAATCCGGGGCAAGGCTAATATCCACTCCTGTTTCTAGATCCAAAGTCATCGAGTCAGATAATATCTCCAGGACACGTTGGTGGAAGGGGGAAGAGTTTGGATACTTCCGGCAGCGTGTAGATTACTAGAATAGCCTGATTTATTTCGAATATTCTTAGAATGACCTCGCATTAGCTGGAATATTACCAGAATATTGCACATGTGAGAATTGGAAACACCACCCTTGTAGATACACGTACTAAAACAGTCAACGTTTGAACAATATGCACATGTAGGCAAGCCCGGTCTAAGGTAGACTTAGCATGCCAAGTAGTATGACCATGATTCCATATCCCTCAATCCTGTGCCCCGGAATGGTTCAAGTTCCGTGACAGGGTCTGTGCATAATGCTTTTGCCCAATATAAAAAAGGGCATACATTTGATCTCCTGGTCAGGTCTCCTGCCAAGGTTTGTTTGTTTCTCCAATTCAATCTCAGAGAGACTATTTACTTCAATTAAGAATCAAACCATGGCGTCCAATGCGCCCAACGCGTCCAACACAAGACCACCGCTCAACTGGGGAACATTTTTTTCTTTGTCTAGTCATCTCTTTTGGCCAGTTTGTTGGGGCTTATGAGTCCGTCATTATCGGAACAACGCTCCAGAAAACTGATTTTAAGGTACGCATGGGACTTTGGGACAAGGCTGGCAACGGGATTGCTCAATATGGATCAATAGAAGGAGCCACTGGTGGTTTATTTCCAGGTAAAAACGCCTTTCACCTGATGTCAAATCCCGGTATACTGAACCCTTTTTTCCTTATTTAGGCTGGTGCCGTCTTCGGCATCCTCACCAGCGCCTACGTGATGACAAAATGGGGTCGCAAATTTGGTCTTGTCTTTGGGTGTGTCATATCCTTGGCAGGTCTGGCAGGGATGACAGGCTCCATGAATTATGCAGAATTCTTGGTGTTTTGCTTCATCTCTGGATTCGGAACGTGGCAATGTGGTGCAGCAGGTGAGTTCAAGAATGAGAAGATCCACACAAGATGCTCACTCACTTTTAATCTTAAAATGCTGATGAATGGCAAGCCTCTGTCATACTTCCTTAACTTGCCCCTCCCTCACGTCGAGGTTTATTGGCTGGGCTGAATGGAGTCATGATCGGACTCGGTGTCGCAACAGCATCCTAAGTGGGAATTGGATTCTACTTCTGCGATAATGCAGTGGTCTTATGGCTTGCGCCTGTGGGTATTCCTCCCTTTGCCCCCATTGCTGTATTTTTTCGCAATGCCGTTCCTCCCAGAGTCCCCGCAATATCTCCTATTTAACGACAAGCCGGAAGAAGCTCGGCGTGTATTTGACAGACTCAACCCTCCATCGCCCGAAAATGACGCATACTTCAACGAAGAGTTCAACCAGATTCAGCAACAAGTTGCCTACGACCGAACTCTCGATTCATCTTGGAAAGGTCTTTTCACAACTCCAACATACCGGAGACGGATAGCACTGGGATGCTTTATCGCTGTCCTGAATCAAAGCACCGGTGTTTTCGTGATTAACAACTATAGTCAGATTTTCTATGAAACGCTTGGCTTTTCGCCCTCAGCACGTCAACTCTTACAGGGGAATCGTGATCTCAGTAAGTCATTGTCTTGATTCATATTGGCATTTTCACATTCAACGATTTGCTTTGAGAAACATCCGCTAACGTACACCTTCTCTAGTTGAATTCCTTGGCAATTTCGTGGGTTCTTTGATCGTCGATCGTGTTGGACGAAAAGCTATTATTATATTTGTCGGGGTCCGTAGGATTGTATGGATATGACACTTTGCCGGCTCCTTGTTCAAAAGAAACACATCTGAGTGGTTGTCAAACTCTACCATAAGTACAGGACTCTGAATTCGATAATAAAAAGCATCATCGTCGCCATAGCCACCAATCCAGCAGAAGTAAGTGTCATTCCAGTGTTTCTTGACTTGAGTGATTCGCGCTCGGTGAGGTCCAGATGGAAGAACATCGAGATAGAAAGATATTGTTTGCAATAGCTGATCTTGCTAAAGTTGAGGCATCTGAGTAGCTACGATTCCTTTGTATGAGATTATCCGATTATCTTGAAGGCCCCTCCGAGATGTCTCTGCCAAAAGAATCAGCATGATCACTCGCCCCATAGCGCGTGTCATATACTCACCTGATCTGCGGGATTCCACCTGTCCTCTGGCATTGCATCATCGTTTAGGCCTTTGTATACGCGAGCTTTCTCCTGTAATTCTCGGGGAAGAGATTGCATCAAGGTGAGAGGCAAACTTCCTGCAGAGTCCAAAATCCTGATTCCGGCATTAGGGCCCTCGTCAATGACCTATTTTCGTACCAGTGTACTGTGTTGATCATAACCGTTATACCCGGCTTCACAAATTTGGCTGAGCTCCCAGGAAAATCGGGCTAATCGTCATTTGCTTGCCAACTGCTACCACGTTAAGACTCAAGTGATGACCAAAAACGGAAAGGCTTCCAGGGATCAGAGGTGGATGGGGTTCCGTAAAGAGTAAATCTGGGAATACTATTAGTAATGTCAAAAAAAGAGAATGTTGAGTTCGGGCCAGTGGTCTCACTGGTAGCTATATCTGTTCATAATTGATCTTGCGTTGCATAACTCTCCCAATAATTCATTCGTCTGCATAGCACCAAGCACCCGATTGTAGCCACTTGGACTGAGACTTGTTTGGAGAAGTTCAAGAATTGCTTTTCGTTGATCCTCATTTAGATATTCCATGCGGACTCCAGTTTTGAATATGATGAATTCTGGGTTCGACCACTTTCTCCTTCTTATTGTACAATTTCAAGTATTGATCAGGACTCGAGTAATGCTTCTGAATTCCTTTCGTAGCGTTCACTGACCAATTATCCGAGTTGATTTCATGATTGAATTTATGAGCTTCGGTCGAAGGAAACAGCTGGATAATGCGATTGGCACAATCAACCTGGTTATGCGGGACAGTGCGCCAATTGGTGAGCCGCTATCCCTCAGCAAAAGATGGACCTCATTCGCAATCATTGCCAGACCAATGTCCCAATCGTGTATATAACTATCCGGCCGGTCAATGGCCAGTATTGAGCTTCCGTGTTCAGAGATGGACTGGGAGAGTTCCAAGTTCGGAGGTGAGGTTGTCGCGGGAGGTCGCCCCTCTGAGAGTGAGAGGAAGGCATCCAACGTATATGCAACTGACCACAGTCTCGATCTTAAAAGTATGTTTTCTGCGTTAAGGCCTAGTTGAGGCGGCGTTTTTTGGTGCAGCCCCAACGACTGTGTGATGCGTATAGCCATACCACAAGTTACCCAAGCGATTCCAGTTTTACCGCAGGTAAGGAAAAACACTGTGTGAAGTAACATTACTTGTGCAGATTCCATAAAAGGCACTGCCATGACCTGGTCATTAAGGGACCATATCTGTTCTTGGAGAATCTTCGCAGTCTCCCAGGTTTGAGTATTCGAATGGAGTGGTGAAGTTAGAGACCCGATGGACACCACTAAGCAAAAGCGAGAATAAATGGCGGCGGAAATTGTACCGGGGCTCTCGTAAAGCTGATGCCAACAACGGAAGAATTCGCCTTCCACTAAAGGATATAGCAAATGAACAAAATCGTAGTATGCTTTCACTCCTTGCTCTGCAAATTCTCGTTGCGGTAAAGGAGGTGCCCGAAAGGGCGTCAAAACAGATACTTCATCAACATGCTGAATACCCCGGACCAGATGGTTTAAAATTTTAGATTCCATTGATCGCCCCTGGGAGCTCGAGTGCCTGAGAGACTCGAATATAGTCGATCCGACAGAGCCCATTCCAATGAATTTGCTGTCCAACGGAGTATTCTTGATGTAGAACTCATGAGCTGATCGAGGCGGTAGAGGGTGATTGATCGGCTTTGAATGAGACTGCGGGCCATAATTTTCCAAATGACCAGCTGATCCCAGGTCCAAATGAAATGATGATGGTGAAAGCCCCGACCCGCTTAGCCGTGAGGTTGGCAGGTGGTTGTATACGACATCAGAGAGGTCACCGGCGCCGTCCAAGCTATCCAAAGAAGCTGAGATATTTGGATGTGATCCCCAAAATGTAGCTAGTACAAGACCCAGATCATGTGCGTATTGATCAAATTCGGGGCCCATTTCTATGGGATGGGCCAGTTCGGATCCCGTCGTGGGGATGCTTGAGATTTGCGGCGGCACTGCTGGGGGATGGAATATTGGAGTCGTATGTTGCTCTTCGGACGTCACGGCAGCTGGCACTTCGGGTGATCTCTCTTCTTCTTCTTCGTCCTCCCTGATTCTCCTTCCTCCTCCAAATCTTCTTTCATCTCCTTCTCCATCTGCTTGGTTTGCTGTCTTTGCTATGGTGCGCTTTCGCTTCTGACCTGCGGACGCGCCCCCCTTTGGAGCTCTCTGACCCCTTAGGATGTTCGGAAGTTGAGCAAGTTGCATTGTAAAGCTGAATTCAAACAGGGACGCTGCCCTGTGCATTTTAACTGCCGTGGGTCAGTTCAAGCCTTTCTCCACGGTTTGAATTTGGGTTCACCATACCCATTTCCTGCGACAATAATCACACGCGCGAGTGGCACGCTTGGGTGGCTGAACGGGCTCCATACCGACGACGCGAAAGGTGACGCGAATTTAATAGACCCTTTAAATGAATGTCAGAAATTCTAAAGGTCGCAAGGGATCAAGTTACGAACAAAGGGAACTCAACAACTTCGCCTTTGCCGATCCGCCCCGAGGTCAAGTGGTTAAGTTGCTCTGAACTGGGGACTCGGACCAGTACCTAAGAGGTACATTGGTCGCTGAAGCAGCGCCCCGCGTTTATACTCTATACTACTCCGTACAAATAACAGACATATTACGCATTTCCTAGCTCCCTATAGTAAAGAGAATAATAAAATATTGAAATCTATCTGGTTATCAGTTCCATATTTTTGTCCTCCAGATGTCTGTTTCCAGTAGGAACTTGTGTTGTTTCTTCCGTTCAAGTTCAAGTTGTTCTCCTAGCTGCATCTGCATGCGCGCCCTGAGCGCGCTACCTAGCCACCTGCACATGTGGATCGTTCCCCTCCTCAATCCATATATATCTTAACAAAAATCATCATTTTCAGGACTGATAATCCTAGATGTTGGATATTTTTACGAATAAAGAAGAAATATGTTACATTTTCAAACGTTCTACGGAGTATATATGGCTTCACCAGCCATCACGTTGACAGTAGTATCATATGATGATTTTAAGTTAAAGAACCTAGGAGGGAAAGATAAAATACTACTTAGTTAAGATCAGTCAAGTTTTGCTTCAGCTCCTTCTCCAATTCGCCAATATCCAAATCTTCTGAGATCGGCTTCTCATTCCAAATGCTAATCGTTCTGACAATGTCAATTAGTGCAGCAACCGATGCCACGCTGTTGCCAATGGAGAGAGCACATTTGATATGGCTTCGAGTCTGTCTGGTGGCCCCAATTGCAGCAATTGAAGCTGCGACAATCATCTCTGCCTCTTTCAGCTTGAAGATTGGACTCGACCCAACTAGGTATCCCCAGATGGTTGTGCGGCCAAAATATGCTACGGAAATTCAAAGTTAGCCATTCAAGTTAACACCATTTCTCTATCTCTTCAAGTTCTCAACATACATAGTTCAGGAAAGTACTGTTGGACCATAGTGCGTACTTCTGAGTTCCCAACACCACGGTAGAGCGCCCCAGTAGTCTCCAGTCCACGCGCTGTATAGTCGACATCAAAATCTTGGAGATTTCCTCTGTGAGTGGGCAAGTACCATGATAAGCAGTTGACTCTACCTCAATCTTGGTCATTTGTTTGCTAGGTCCTACCTTCTTGGCCCCTCAACTTCTTCGATATTTCTTTATCTCAACTCATTGATTAAGCCAAAACAAGCCGGCATGCAATTTGGCAAACCCAAGAATGGCACTCCGATGTTGATAGCCTCTCCTATTGCTGGGAAAAGTGTCTTCACTTCTTCCACGCTTTTCTCCTTTGTAATATCGTGAATCAAGCGGGCTACAACGTCCCCGCGACATTGTGCGCAAAGAATCGCGACCGAGATGGACATTAGTTGAATTATTCTAACACGGGGCTTCCTCTGGAATCAACTTACAACTAGAGCAGTGCTTGAACTCTCAGAATCGACTGCACTGGTCAGGCTTTTTTGCAGTGATATGAATAGATCGGGATCATATTGAGAGGCGCCTGGCGCAATATTGGCGTTCGTATACCGGGATTCGAATTTGGTTGCCATTGTATTTCAAAATTGTCAACTGGTTTGTCCCAAGTGAAGGATGGCACTGAAAAGAAACAAATAAACAGCTGCGAAGAGATCCGGATTGATAATCAGGAGGGAACTTGAGCAGATAGCTTCAGTAGAGATGAATGATTTTTTTTGATCGCATAAATGAACTTGAATTTCATGTGTGTTGTTCCAAACCCGAGTCACTACCGTCATAGCACCTCTGTGCAAGGGTGAGGTTGAATATATCGATTGATATCCGTGGAATGACAACATCCCGGGGGATTGAAATGATCATTCCACAACCTTGAACATTGAAGTTGTTGAGACCAGTGGTGTCCACGTGTTCTCCCTGTAGATATCACCGTACACTTGACCCCTTCTTCTTCCCCAAGCACCTACCGCTGACAGAAGTGTGCCAAGTGCTAGTGGAACTCTACTGAAACAAACATTTGAACCTTGGAACATTGAATCGGAAGCATGAAAAATTATTATTACAAGTAGATGATGAAAGGCGCCCGGCGCTTCAGGCACACGCATGTATTGGTCCAATCTTAGCTCCTATAGTAGACCTCAAACTAAAAGAATCATGACTACAATCCCCGCCCCTTCTCGGTAACATCCGTCCTGATCATCAGTGGTGGACCAACAGGCTTGACCACAGCACTTCTACTCGCCCGATATGGCCTGAAGGTCACACGAGAATGGAACGACACCATGATCGAACTGGGCAACCTAAAGCTCACGCGATCAATCCCCGGTCGCTAGAAATATTTCGGCAAATCCAGCTCGACACAACCCAGCTTCGAAACTCAGGCGTGCCACCAGAATATGGCGGTAAGGTTCGGTTCGTGGTCTCGATGGTAGGAAAGGAGCATGGGACACTTCCTTATGGGCTTCAAGGCTCAGAGACACTCGAAATCACCCCTGAGCCCCTTTTCAATATCCCTCAACCTACTCTGGAAGACTTTCTTTGGAGTGCAGTGGAACACGAGGAAAATATCGATTTCTACCGTGGACTTCAGTGGGAGGACTGTTCCCAAGTTGAAGAACATATCATCTCATCCAATATCCAGGATAGAAATACAGGTGAATTGAAGGTCATTCAAAGTGGATATATTCTTGATTGTGGTGGTGCGAACTCACGGGCACGAGAAAAGCTCGACATACCCTTCACATCATTACCTCAGTATGTCCAGAATGAAGTCCATTGTCTCTCTGTACACTTCAATGCAGATTTGACTCACTTAAATCCGGAAATGCTGTGGTGGGTCTCATCGCCAAAGGCGGACGGCACACTGGTCTGTTATGATCGCTCATGCAACTGAGTCCTTGTCACATATTACAATCCGAAAGTCACATCTACTGATAAGTTCACTGAAGAATACTGCAGAGATCTAGTGGATAATGTGAGAAACCCCAATCCTCCTTAATATTCGCGCAACTTGAAACCCTCCACCTCTTACAGAATACTCAGCTAACCAGTTTCATTATTTAGGCAATTGGTGAAAAAGTGCAGTACGATATCCTCTCAATTACCGCTTAGTCCACATGGCCACGTACCGCTGAGTTCTATCAATCCAACCGGTTTCCAAGGGGTTTCGTGGTAGGTGATTCTGCACATGCATTCCCACCGACAGGTGGCCTTGGTGTAAATACCGGGATCGCAGACGCACAGAACCTCGCCTGGAAGATCGCCGCCGTGGAAAAAAAAGTGGGCCAAGGAAGCAATTCTCTCCACTTACGGGAAGGAAAGGCGACCTATCGCGATTGCGAATGCGCACCAGAGTGTGAAAAACCAAGTTAAATTACGGGACCTGAAGGCAGCTTTGCGAGATCCTCCAGTGGATGATACCTTGATTGATTGGGATGAATGGAAGAACAAGCTTGATCAGGAGCTTCGCGCCAATACCGAACACTTCGACTCGATCGGCCTACAAATTGGGTATGTGTACGGAGAGGAGATTCCGGATGAGCCCTGTGATGTTTACTTGCCGAGTCGAAAGCCCGGGGCTAGACTACCTCACGCTTGGGTGTTGAAAAGGAGTCAGAAGATGTCCACGTTGGGACTGATATATGGAATGCGCTTTGTTCTCTTCACTTCAGCTGATGATTCTTCAACCCTGAACGCGGCAAACAGCAGTGAAAATCTACCGGCTCCCCTGATATCGTGGGACTCTCTGAGCCTGGTTCGGGGCTTCTTGTTCGACCAGATCACCACATACTGGGAATCGTGAGATACGTGAAGGATATTGAGCAGCTCCTTGCATCTATTCTATGTTCTTAACATTATTCAGTTATCGTGAGGAATGCTAGTGAGCAACAAGTCATCTGGAGAAAAGACAGAGAACTGTATCTACAGAGTTTTGAAGTCAGGGTTACTTGCTGCATTGATCTTTCTTTTTGGCTTTTCTTCACGCGGTTTTATCTGTCAATCTTGTACTATCATCAATGTTGGAAGTTCTAGCCTCGTAGTCTTCACTCGCTGCAAAGTCTTATGTATTCCACGTCCCTGGATTCAAATGGAAATCAAATGAAATATTCAAAAGGTCTCGATCAATACCGTGACCTGGATATTATTCGAGCTCTTATTATTGTTATGTCCAGGAAATAGAATCACAAAATATTGTATTCGGAGTTGACCGTCTAGCGCTGTCCCTATACTGAGCGCAGATCACCGTGAGCAGTTTTAATCGACCCGAACAAACATGAGGATCTTTCAAATATTGGTGGCGACCATTTTGATGATTAACTTATCACCAAGGCATTCAAACGTTCTCAAAATGATCTTGCGCTCCTTGCGACCACAAAAAAGGTCAAAACTCTAACCCCCGGCCACATTCCCACATCCCCGGAAACTCATTACCCATGGGTAACATCAAAAGGAGATAAAGAAACGATAGTATCACCGTAAACATCAAACGCATATCAAAATTGCAAAAGGATATACATACCACATTATGGGTTCGACCTTCGTATCACCACGCGCAGTAGGCGCGCCTGGGATCCCATATTACACCCCAATTAATAACCCAGGAGCAGCCATCGACCCTGGCCCTCACACACCAACTCTCTTCCAACCACTCAAGATTCGCAATTTTACCCTCAAAAACCGCATCATTGTTGCACCAATGTGTATGGCCTCCTCTGAGGCTGACCCAGAATCCGACGATGTCGGCACGTTAACCGATTTCCACATTGCACACCTTGGCCATTTCGCCACAAAATGTGTGGGGCTAGTGATGATCGAAGCTACAGCCGTACAGCCCAATGGCAGGATCTCATCAAATGACTCTGGCTTGTGGCAAGGTACGAATTCCAGTCAATTTAGAGCGCTGCGTCGCGTTGCGGATATTGTTCATAGCCAGGGCGCGAAACTTGGAATACAACTTGCGCATGCTGGACGAAAAGGTCGTGTCGTTACACCTTGGGTTGGTGGACGTGGTGCTGTTAAGGCGTATAAGAGCGCTTGGGGGTGGCCTGATGATGTCATTGCTCCTTCTTGTGGAGAAGAGTTCAAATGGTCACCCGGTGAGACGAGCTACTGGGCGCCGAGGGATCTGAGCGTGGCTGAGATCGCGGAGGTTGTTGCAGCATTTGCAAGGAGGGCAAGTACAGCTGTGGATGCTGGAGTAGACGTGATTGAAGTTCACGGTGCGCATGGGTATCTGCTTCGTCAGTTCCTCAGTCCGATTACGAACCGCCGGGATGACAAGTATGGGGGCAGTTTCGAGAATCGGTGTCGTATTGTACGCGGGGTTACGACTGCTGTCAGAGCGGAGATTGGGAGTGAAGTGCCACTATTTCTTCGCATTAGTGGGACGGAGTGGCTTGAAGGTAACTCTGTAGCAGCGGAGAATGGGACCTGGGACTTGTTATTGTCAATGAAGCTTGCCAGGCTCCTGCCGGAGTTTGGAGTCGATTTAGTCGATGTTAGCTCGGGTGGGAATCATCATGAACAAAGTATTCAACCTCATGGAAACTATCAAGTGGATCTTGCAGGGGAGATTCGCAAAGCGGTTCGCGCGGCGGGACAGAAGACTTTTGTGGGTGCAGTTGGGCTAATACGAGACCCTGAAGCGGCTCGTGATATAGTACAAGGTACAAATGATGAGACAAACTCAACAGGAGAACCTAATGGAGATGTCGTTTTAATCGCCCGAGAGTTCTTGCGCGAGCCAAATTGGGTCTTTTTGGCAGCAAAGAAGCTGGATGTAAAAGTATCACTAACATGGCAATTTGGTCGGGGTCTACTATAAGTGGCTACTTTAAATTCTGTTACAGTTGAGCCTGTTCAAATGTTACATTGATATTCCCATTTTGCCATATAGTTGAAGATCATTTACCTTGCTTGACTACCCCGTGATGGGCCACATGGCACATATGCCCAGATACTAGATCAAACACTTAAGAGAATTCACATATTACAGCGATTGAGATTGTTTAACGTTCCCTACCTATACTACACTAGGTTGCCTCCCATGCTACTGTGCAACATGTGTCTGGAAGGCCGGACCGGTCTGAAGCTTGGTCTTATGTGTCTCTTGATAAAAAAAGAGTTCGGAAAAAACATGCGTAGATTTGCAAGAAAAAGAAATAATTGACGAGTGCATGTGCTGATTTCTAATTGACAATGGCAAAAAAAAACGTTGAAGAGGGGGCGATCGTAGATGTTGAGGCTTTACTATGAACACTTTTTTGGCCCCCACAAGGGCCACAACTGGAATTTCCCGGCCAGGATTTGATTTTTATCACCAATGGCAGCCTTCCATAGACCAGTTGACTCAAATGGACCGTGCATATACGTGCATATGACCCGTATCAGTATGCGCAATGATGGCCAATCGGTGCCACTTGGGATTGTTTTGGCCTGAACCAGGCTGAATCCGCCCCCAATAGTGGACTCTATGACCCCTCTCCAGCTCCTAGCAGAATCCAATGATTGGATATACTGAGATAAACTTGGAACCCGAAGCCTGTCTTGTCACGGATCTGTACACCGCACTTGCATAGAAAGTACATGTAGGAATCACATATGAACAACAGTGCAATGGGGCCGATTTAAGTCAATCTGAGTCATATGTAACTAAATAGTGTTGGTTCTTGAATGAATAGCATTGAACCATGTTGGTCATGGAAGACTCGCACCATCATAGTGGAACTCAGAAGACTCCAGGGCTGGATTATGGCCCATTCAAGTGTTGATCAATTTAAAGTAGATTGCGTGGTGATTCATGTTCAATCTTGTACCAGTAAGAAATATGATTAGACAGATCATTGAAATACCCGTGTGTTCCCAACCCTGGAAGTAGAGCACCATCCCTACCCTACATACTACCTAGTGTAGTGGGGTACCCTGTCCCCTACTACACGTACCGTGCTAAGAATTACCGTTTGGTTACATCTCTGTTTTGTCATGTTTTCAGTCCCATCTTTGTACGTACAAGAATGCCCGTCGTTATAATCTAGAATACACACTCCTACACATCTCTCATCCCACCCCTACGGGGTAGTCCGGCTACAACGTACATGTTGGTTGGTGTTATCCATTCATGCTAGCTGGATCGACCCGTGTATCTAGAATACACTGCCTAACGGTTCCCCTCTTCACTAGGTAGTAGAGCCTCAGACATCTGCAACACTCTACATACTGCATCCAAAATCATACATATTAATATTATTTCACATATTTTCTCCATAGTGCGAGATTTACTAGAATATTGGAATGGTGAGCTTCTTTTAGTCTAATAAACTTCCGAGTCATCATCTGATATGAATCTTAGAAGATTATCCAACTCTTAGCTAAGTGAAACTCATTTTGACTGATGCTAGTGAGATCCCAGATGGAATGATATACACACAAGCCCCCTTGGACAGGTTTGATGGTAATCATACTGCTCAACGTTTGAAGTGTCAGCACGAAATCATCTCCCGTATTGGAACCTTGGAACCCACGTATGCCTGGCCCCATAATTTGAGGGATGCTGCTGCCAACAGGGTCGAGTATACAATAGATATTAAAGAGTACGAGTATTTGCAAGTAGCAATACTGAATTGAATATGTCAAGCAGTTCGTATTGCGGTAATGATGAGTTAAATCAATGCAAGTGACCTCCACCTACATATTTGCCAGTGGTACCTAGTAATTGGAGATGGTCTGACTTGCCCAGGTGTTCCAGGCTCAATGATCTTGAGTCCACAAACCTCTAGCACAGACCAAAAATGTATGTACCTAATCTCAATTTTGGGGGCTGATCTTCGTAGGTAATCACATCTTGCACCAGGTGGAATTCTTCATCGCGCCAGATGTCCAAGCTGACGATGGATGATGTCGTCTCTGTAAAGAGGTGATTATGTCTGAGAACTCGTGAGTCTTGAGTCCTGACAAAGAAGTTCCCCGCGTAGCTGAACAGAGAGAAAAAAAAACAAATAGATGAACGTGGGGGCCATCCTTCTACATCTCAAAATATCCACCTGCTGATTCCTGTAGGATCCGTGCCCCGCAGCGGCCCGCAGCCTTGAAGGGAGAAGACCTTGGAAATCTTGGAAATCTTGGAAATCTTGGACCCCATGGGAATGGCTGATCTATTTTCTCGAGATTATTCAACAACTGAACCCAGTAAGCATGCATTCTTTTCATCTGTCCATTTACGATGGACAGTTCGCGTGGGGCGCCTGAATAACAATGAAGAGATGTGGAAAGTATCTTGCTCACTCGTTGCCCCGCCTTATTCCGGCTCCTCCTGCATGCAATCTTTCCAGGTTCATTGTTTCTTTTAATAGTGCATAGAGAACACCCCACATGCACAAAACGAATCAGAAAAAGTTCCATGTCGCGACAAATGATGCAACTTCTTAGCCCCCACATTCTACTCATTTCCAGTTCGAACACAATGACGTTCGGACCCCCGTTCTCCTTCTTTATCATTGAAAGTCCCGCTCTTTCTTAAGGGCCATCAGCGTCTTTTACCATGTGAGTTTGTCCAGGTGCCTGTCTATTGGACAAGAAATTATCTTCACAATGTCTTCAATGTTGTCACCCGTCGATTTAATGCCTAGCGGGATCGAGCACGGAAATATCACTCTTGTGGCTATTACCTCAGTTTTCACATTTCTCTCAACGGTTGCGGTCATTTTACGATTCATCTCTCGAAGAATATCAGTGTCAGTGAAATGGGACGACTGGTTCAGCCTGATAGCCCTCCTACTCGCATACGGATGCTTAGTCGTCACAGTCCTGGACGCTACTATTGCTCACGGTGGATACAACATCGAATATTACAGCGCAGCGACATTAGAGAAGTTTCTCAAGGTAAAATATCAAGTCCATCACTCGGGCACGAAAGATGTACTGATTGAATTATCATTTGTCTAGATCACACTAGCCGAGAATGTATTATACGCCGCGAGCATCTCTTTTTCGAAAGCAGCAGTCCTTCTCCTGTACCATCGCATTTTCAACATAAAAAAGTCCTTTCGCATTGCTTCGTGGATTGTCGGCTTCCTGGTTGCTGGCTACTTCATTACCGGTGAATGCCTGTTGATCTTTGCATACAACCCAATTGAGGCACAATGGAAACCCTGGCTGCCAAACTCGGCCAACTTTAATATAATCGCAACGTGGTATGTCATGAGTAGTATCAACATGGTGGTGGATTTTCTTATTCTCTGTCTCCCACAACCGGTTGTGTGGAGACTGAAGATGAGCCGCAAAAAGAAGATACTTCTCTCTGGACTTTTTTGCTTCGGCATCCTGTGAGTCCTGAAGATGACCCTCCCAACCAGAGTGAAAATAGTAGAACTAACATTGAAAATCAGTATCTGTATTGCGGACATGATGCATATTGTTTGTGTTGTCACACAGGTTGACATCAATAACCCCACAGGTATGTCATTGTACCAACGAAACGCGTGGTTCTGTCCTTTATTGACGCCCCAACTCACATGTGCATTGCTAACTCATATTACTCTCAAAGCCACCGAAGGTACCACTGGCATCTGGGAAAATGTTGAGGTTAATTTGAGTGTCATCGTGACTTGCCTTCCAACATTCCCAAGTCTGATCAGCCACTGGCGGAAAGGCCCTCGTAGTGGGTCAGGCTCATATGATAACGAATATAAAAAGTCGCTAAATAACGGTGACTTCCCTCGCATGGGCAATTCTACAACGTTTTCATACGGCTCCGGAAGGGAACAGAACTCTATGGATAAAGTATCCTATGGCTCAAGCTACAACATGGATCACATGGGGCCAGTCCATGTGCAAACAGATGTAAGGGTGAAATGGGATGGACAATCTCATCATTCCTTGGGCTCAATGGTTTGATGAATTTAATTATGAGTCTATGAAAGCTACATTTATGTGGCTCTTGCACTACCGAGGGTGCATTTTAAGTGAGCGTTTTGTAAGATTTTTGTTTTTCAAGTTTTATAATACCATTCGGACATTAATTTCATACTTCAGACTAAGACATTTGTTTTGTACTTGTGCACAGGTACAGGTGATGTTCCTATTTAGATATTTCAAAATTTTAGGCCAGACGTCAATACTGGATGTGATATCAATAGACTTTGTACTCAGGGCCAGTAGGATCAGTGGCCGATGGGGGTGCGATAATGGAGCTCGTTAGTAGGGTTCGGATGCTGAGAAGCACTTGTAGCCTACTCCTCTTGAACTACTCCTTTGTTGAAATCCCTATCACAGGCATCTCTTGATCGCTGTATCTAGAATTGGAAAAAGCCTCATAGACAGGAAATTAAGATATTTGACTTCATTTAGTGATGTGGGTTTGCAGGAGACTAAACAAAGATTTTTACATTGATAGATAAAGGGTTCTTATACCAAACTCAAACATTGGATGAGAAAAAGAAATTGACTCCTTCTCGAAATAAATAATCTGACTATTCGTGGATTTCCGGTAGCACAAATGAACGCCAGTATTCCTCAAAGTCCAGTGTCTGTGTAGTACCAATTGTGCCTCCATAGGTTTTTCTCTTGGTGAATCCATTGCCAAGATAAGAAAACCGATTGGCTTTGAAAGTTTTCTCGATATTAAAATCTTCCCAACGAGCATTCTTGATAGCTTCCATGAACTGGAAGGTATTACCGCCATAGACAGCTACAACGGGACCATCAATTGTTCCACGCTTGTACCAACTTCGGCAGCCTTCGGTCCAGACGGTTCTCTTGAGGTAGGTATGCATATGCTCATTGTATTCTTTATTAGCATCATGACGCACTTCAAAGCTTTGAATGTCCTCAGTTTGAAGCTTCTGAAACCACTTATAGATGTAAATGGCAGTTGCCTAGATTCCAAGCACGAGTGATCCACTGCTAATGGTACTGTTTGGTCCTATAAAGGAAACGTAGTTTGGCATATCTGGTGGCATATCTGGTGATGTGAGACCAAAGTAAGCTCCAGGGAGTTTATTAGTCCACTTTATTGCCGGATTCACTCCTCTTCTTCCAATGAGGGGGTATGATGGGCAGAAAGAAGTATCAAAGCCCATGGCGCATACAATGACATCGTACTCAATCTCCTGGCCCGACCGTGTTTGGATGCCTTTCTCAGTGATTTTTTCGATATCATCCCAACGTAGTTCAACATTCTCTTGTGTGATAGATTCCAGAAATCCAGGACCAGGGGTCAAGCGCCGACAGCCAACAGGGAAGTCGTGGAGGAGCAGTTTCGCAGCCTTCTGGCCTTTCAGAGAATCTCCCAGTCGCTCGACCATGATGTTTCGGAACAATCCCTGAGCTTTCATTTGAGGATCACTTCCCGAAATTGCGCGCATAAAGTTGCTGCTTCACCGATCCATAATTGCGGCCCGGTAGTCACGCAACGTCTGGGGCTCTTTGAACATTTCAAGAGTCTTTTCGGTGAAATTCAGCTCCGAATCCATCTCTGGGTCATTTTCCGTTGGCTCATTTATACCAGGTGCGGGAGAGATCCAAGTTTGCGTCCGGATATACACGTCCATCGAGTCCACGACTTTAGCCAGTTGGGGGACAATTTGAACTCCAGATGAGCCAATCCCAATGTTTGCCACCCGTTTTCCAGTAAAGTCATACTCCTGATCCCAATTGGCGGAGTGGACAAGCTTTTCCTTGAAGTTGTGGATTCCATCGATATTTGGCCATTTCCAATTGCTATTGACTCTGTCAGCCCAAACCAATGGTGTACCTAGCATGACAACTTGAATACTGACTTTAAGATCCCACCGGCATTAATGAAAACCTCAGCCTTGTCGTGAATCAAAGTCCCATCAGGGGCCTTCACTTCGATATCCCATTTTTATTCTTCCTCATTCCAAATAGCCGATGCAACCGTATGTTGATATTTGAAATACTGGTGGCAGTCGTAACTATCGGCCACCCAATGCATATAGTCATGAATTTGCTCCGATGTGGCATAGTAGTTCGGCCATTCTGGATTTGGCGCGAAGATATAAGCGTAATTATGAGCCGGAATATCACATTTGCAGCCAGGGTATCTATGAACATTTTTAAATAACAACTAGTAAGTTATTGATCCCTCAATATATCGAGTATATTCACATTCTCCGGGCCATCCGGCATCAAACCTACCGATTCTCAAGCCAAGTTCCTCCGAGATCGCTGTTTCGTTCGTAAATGACTAGCTCCGCATTTTTATCTTTCCTCTGTTCATTGAACATGATGCCTATCATGAGTCCTGAATACCCAGCACCCAAGCAGACCAGTCGTAGTGGACGTCTGGTTCCGATCGGCTGCTCGGTAACAGTGTACGCAATACTATCTTCCCCATCGCTCTCGTCAACGGCGTGTTTTTCAGACAAATAGCTGTGACTGTTCGAAATATTGGTCTCAGAGAGTAACTTCATGTTGCTGAAGGAGGTTCAATGCTGCATTCGAGAGTAAACCCCTGGCGTAAGTGATGTTTTTCAATAGGCAGGTTGTGAAATTATCAAATTCATATATAGTAGTAGTTCGAAGGCTCTTATATTCTTTGCAAAACGAGCCAAATCATGATACTATAATCTCTATTTTTGCTGGTCCCGCGGATTCAAGTTCTATGTTCCAAGGCTGGAACCCCGGGGCAACTATTCTTACCGAGGCGCCTCTCGGCAAACTCATATGGAGTCATACCACTCAAAGATCCCCGGAATTCATCCCCATTGTTTCATATATGCACATGTGTGCATGAAACACTTGTAAGAGTAGTATTGGATTCAAATGAACTTCCCAGGTTGAAGTCAGGCCTTAGGAGATAAATTTCAAACATATCGGATGTCGAATATCGCAAACTGAATATTTGACGTGGGAGCGCTCAAGTCCAGATATCCTTGTTCAAATGTTGAGAATGTTCTTGTAGCTTCAAACAAAGCTCCAATATTCTGGCATTTCAAGTTAAAATGGAAATACTGATAATTCAGATTGATTGATATGGTATACATGGATGCATATCCCAAATTTTATTCCCCGGTACATCCAGATGCATGTCTTCAAACTTGAACTTCCAGTGTATCATTTTCAGCGATGGTGATTTCAGAGTTCACAAATTTGAGGACCAATCATCCGCACCTATGGAAGCAATTTGATATTGATAACCACTGGCATGCAGTATCTTGACTTGATTCTTCTACCTCCTGAATTTTACTATGAAATAAACAGAAAAAACTAACTGCCCGTAGAACTACGGTTGACTACTACGAATCGACTGAGATTCCTTCTCGATTTCAGGTAGCTCTCGACGTATGACTTTCCCAATACCTGTCCGGGGGATCAAGTCAAGAAATTACACACTGCCAGTAAGGCACTTATGAGATGCAAAGTGTAACTTGATCATCTCCTGAATCTCCTTTTTCGTTACAACCTTTCCCTTTCGCACTATAAATGCTCGTGGATACTCTCCTCCTCCACTTTATCCACAATAGATTATAAAGGCGGGATTAATTCTGTTCGGATAACCTATATCACTTACATCTTAGCGCCCACGACCGCAGCATCAGCCATGTCAGGGTGGGTTAAAAGGTACTGCTCTAGTTCTGCAGGCGCAACCTGGAGCCCCTTCACCTTGATCAAATCCTAATTTTTGTTTGTGATTAGCATTTGCTGAACAGCGATTGACACTTGAGGGAAATGCCTACCTTCAAACGATCCACAATGTAAATGCACCCTCGATCATCGATATATCCGATATCACCCGTTCTCAACCAACGAAGTCCACCAGCTTCAACGATAGCTTCCTCTGTCTCCTGTGGTCTCTTATAGTACCCTTTCATAATTTTCGGTCCAGCCACCCAAATCTCCCCAACAGAGCACCTTGGGGTGCAACTCCACTAAAATCTCGATCGTCAAGTTGCTCGATCCTTGCCGCGCAATTAGGATTTAACCACCCAATGGAGCGTCCGTCATCTTCAATGTCCGGAGCAAATCCGGTGATCGAACATGTTGTTTCCGTCATCCCCCACCCTTGCTTGACCGATACACCCGGTCGCAGATACAAATTTTCAATGAGACGACCAAGATCGGGACTCAATGGTGCTGATCCACTAAGTACTGTTTCAATGGTTCGCAAATTGTAAATTGAAGGGTTTTGCTGCTTCGAGGTAGTTGCCATAATGGCCGGAACTGTTGCCATGAAAGTGATATGATAGATGTCCATGTACAATAAGTATTTTTGAACAGAGAAAGATTTCATGATAAAGACCTTGGCTTGCAGAATAACAGCATTCACACAGTAGTATGCTTGGCCCTGTAAGAACGATCAGCCTAATCCAACTTCTCACGTTTTGCTATATGTGAAAAGGGTGCATGTCTCACATATACATGGTTCATTGGAAGAGGTGCCAGCCATCTCTCCCCTGAAGTAGCAAGTCTCTCCTTGCGCTCAATCCCTTTTGGGATTTCCGGGGCTACCAGAAGTTTGTAAAGAAGCTGGGTACAATTTGCGACGATGTTATAGTGCGAAATCTTAACTCCTTTGGGGAGACCAGTTGTTCTAAATAAATGTCAGTATGTCTCACCTTCACCCTACAAATCACCTTTGCTCACCCGCTTGAATAATTAAGAATCACAGTCGTTCCTTCGGCCTCTTCACGGGTGTCTATCTTCCTCCAGGACCATGATTGAACCTCTTCGGCCGGTCTCCAGATACTCGTCCAAGGTGCAATTTGGGCTAAGATCTCAGCTGGTACCTCTTCCTCGGGGTGGCAGAACAAAAACACATTCTTGTTCTTAATATGACTTTTTCTCGCCGCTTCTAAAGCCACAGGAACTTGTTTTTGGCCTACCAACAAAACCTTCGCGTCTGAATCTTGAATTTGATAATTCAGTTCTTTCATGTGAAGTGTCAGCTTATTAAATGACATGTGCAAGATTTGAATCTGGTAATAATGGTTTACCTCTTACTGAAGCACTGGGAGAAGCTGCAGTGAAGATGCACCGCACAGCCGAAACGCCCCATAGAAGAACTGGAAAGTATAATCGATTTTCTGAGAATAGCAGGACTTTGCCGTTTGGTCCAAGCCCGAGACTTTCAAGACCTTTGGCAAATTGTTTGACCCACACCTTGGCTTGGGCCATTGTAAAACACCGTGAAGGAACATCGGCATCGAAATACTGAGGTGATTCCTGAGATGATGGGGTTTGGTTGCCTGCGCTGAATACAAAGGATGTCGTATTCGTGCAAGGGATATTCACTTTGTGTTTTGATTCAATCATTTTGGTTATGCGGTGGTCACGGTCAAGGAAGAGTCGTTATAACCTCTTTAACTGGTTGAAGTTGATTAAAGGATTTCAAGCAGGACTTTCCAGTTTTCCAAATCTTTATACCAACCTTGAAACGTGACTATAAGAGAAGGGTATTTCTAACATTTCAATGTTTTGAACGTAGGTACATTTGAGATTGTAACCGAATATTGAGTCTTCAAGTTGTCCCAGGAATATAAATCAAATCATTCACACCTTGGAATGTTCCAAGGTTGAGTTGGCCAGTGGCATGGTTGTGGTCAAGGTTTCCCCCGGGGGATACATCCTATTATGGAAATAGTCATCTAAATTGAAATTCATTTCTCACAAGGTCCACTATTTCCGAAATATTTGACTTAATGGTTCGCTTGATTCCAGTTCTAACTTGAAATTTTTGTTCGGTCCCAACCAGACTCGGAAACCCCTCCATTCCACTTCCTGTTTTCTCAATAGTAGTAATCTTGGAATCTTATCAAGTTTTCTTAAATGCTCCAAGGTTTACCTCTTTTGGAGGAATATCAAGCATAAAGGAATCTCTGAAGGATCCCGGGGACCGTGTGGATTGTTGTTGATAATACTGTTGAGTGTTGGTTTGGTTCACTTGATCTCCATAGATTTCACCTTCTCCCTCACCACACAGCACTCCACACACAGTCATGGAGGTGCACTTCCATTCCCACTTCGAGTCCTCCCCCAAAGAGCCCTATTGGACCCCACACCTTTATCTTGGTACTGGAATGAAGGGAATTATGACGCATACGAAAGAAGGAGAAAATTCCAGCGTGGCCCTATAGAAACATCAGGGCTTCTAATAGTATGAATTAAGCAAGCTCTAGTTGATTACCCCAGATCTCCAAGTACTAGTTGACCCATTGGGCCTTTTGATGGTCACAACAATTCAATATCACGGCTACTCTCTTGAACTATATTGAATTTATGAATCGGATTTTGGCTCTCACTCTTGGCAGCTCACTCTTGACGAGTGAAGGAAATGATCTTCTTACCGGTTGGGAAATGTCTCAACCGGTTGAGGGGGATGTTATTCCATGGAAAAATGGCTTCCGGGGAAGAGTGACGACAGTGAATCCTCGATCCTAGAGACCGAGTGCCTAGAAACTGAGTGGATTCACCACACGGCCTGGGAAGTGAGAAATATAATTAATTTCAGGATTCATTGTTGCATATGGGAGAGAAAGGAATGAATGACATTGAGTGACTCCATTATATACCTATTTTTGAAAAAGGCACTTTTGATCTTGTGTATCCCTATTGATAATTGTTAAGCGATTAACCTTGAAGAGGCCCCGTGAAGTGTATAGTAGTTATCTGCATATTTCATGGTTAAATGTATGAAGAACACTCTTGGAACTTCAAGTTTCAAGTAAGTACGAAAACGACACGTATTTCGGCGACGTAAGCATCTTTACACAAAATCCCGAGGCGTTGACGGTCCGAAATTATAGTTCTTGGCTACTTTCATCAAATCCAACGATTCGAAAACCCGTCCTATTGATAGGCTAAGGTCCTAGATAATGGGACATGTGAGAAATGGGGCTACAAAAGTGTATTCTTATGGATCCACTGCCTAAATGATCAAATGCTACCTCAAAAATTGCCGAGCTTATCAACCTGGTTCAGATGGAGGTCTTATGTCAATGTCTCTTCAAATCTGTTCCACAAAGAATTGATGGAATCACTATAAACATTGAGCTCGTCCTTGTCAAGACTGAATTCTTGCCATACTCAAGGCTTCTATTGTCAGCAGTTGAATCATTTCATTGCATTCAATACGCAAAATGCATCTCTCTATTGCTCTCCCCTTTATTGCCCTTGGTGCATCTGTGTTCGCTCATGATGGCGAACATCACATCAGCCGTAGTGAGCTTAATCGTCGTTCTACCAAATTGGTCTCACCGATCTACACACCGACGAGACCACCTTTTTACGTGGTATGTGGCCTACTGATCGGAATGGCCTAATGGAGATGAAGACTATCTTCCCTGGTAAGCTCACTATCAATGCACGGCTTCTTCTGGCAAGATCTGACAATCAGTTTTAGGTTTCTACATTCAGCGCTCCATTCACATCCATGTTCAGGTTCACACTGATTGGATTCTGCGCGAGAATGGCACGATTACTACTGGCAACACTGTTAGCACTGGTCAATTGTACTTTGATGAGGCACTTGAGGAGAATATCATGGCACTAGAGCCATATGCCTCTCACACTCAAATCAACCGTACCACCAACGCCGAGGACAGTATCTTCCCTTACAACACTGCTGGCGGTTTCAGTCCCATCATCAATGTTGTCCCCGTTGATGGCCATGATTTCACTAAGGGTATGATTGGCTACATCACCCTTGGCGTTGACACCACTGCTATCGAGCACGGTGACAACTATGTCGGTGACTCCTAAGCTCCTTTCCCTTCGCTGAGTTTGATCTCTTGCAAGGAGCATTGAGTTGTGTGGGCGCGGAGTTGGTATGTTACCTTGGAGACTCAATGTCTGCTGATATAATCAAACTAGACTAGAGACTTGATTTCCCTCAGCTTTCTTATGTTTGGCGAGAATCATCTCGGGTGTGATACTACATGTATGACCTTCATGTCTTCCATTTTTTGTAGACAGTATAGAAATAGACCACCCATAGACTAGAACTTCAATATGTACCACACTCACTAAATTTCCTGAATGCTACAACTCCTCAACTTGAATTAAGTTGCTCCCTTGTCTTGGCCTATTGTAGCCTGTTGCCACTCCTATTGTTACGCTGCCCCAGAGCAATCATTTGGCGCGACAGCGAACCCGCTGTGATGCCTCAGCAAAGTCCAATACAGCCTTGGCTACAATCAATGCACTTTGAACCTGTATGGAGAGCCTGGAAGGGAAGGGCTATGTGAAAAACGAGAATCACAACTTCAATATTGCCAGGATTCTGCGCATCGCGTCAGTTGGAAGCATATAGGAGGGTCCCGCTGCTGTCATGGCGGAATCGGCGGTGAAAATCATCAAGGGTGGCTTGGGGAAGTATGCTCTGGTGGTCCTTGATGGATTGATCAAACATGTCTTATCGGCGTTTGAGAGTGACTGTATGTCCTGCAAAGCTCAAAACCACCTGGCAGGCCTTCTAGAAAAGTTTCAAGGTCAAAGATAAGAAGGATCTGATCTATCAGGGCTAGAACGTTTTTCAAATACTGGAGTGAGTGATCTGTGAATTTCTTCTTGTGTTTGACGCAGCGAGTGACCAAGACAAAGTCTCAATTGAAATTGCAAAACGCTATATCAAGGCAGAGAACTGTAAGAATATGGACTGGAAAGTGCACGCCGAGTGGGACAGGTAGATCAATTTCGGGGATGAATCTAATTTTGCTAAGCCTTAACATGGGGATTATTATTCCAAGATTCCAGAGTCAAGTACTCTGCTTAGCAATGATTTGATGAATAGGTAGATCAAGTGGAATTTGGAATACTAAGTCTTTGTACTATATTACACAGTCAAGCCACTTAGTATTGAACAATTTTACTCCATATCCTTTGTTTGACTCTCATATTTCATCTCTTGGTAGATAGACTTTGAGTCCTCCGGGACTGTCAATCAATAGTTATACAGATCTACAGCCTAGAGGAATAATTAGTTCAGCAAACATCTCGATTTAATTTCCCTCTTAGTTGTATCATTCTATTCTCCCTCTTTTTTATTCCCTGTTCAGAATCAACTGTACAATTCCCGTGATCTACACAAGTTCAACTTCCACAATTTTATTTGGAATCAAGTCTGATAACACATGAAGTCCGGAGGTCTGTACCTACGGAGGTACAACTAGTCCGATGCAATCCCAAGGGATAAGAAGATCTACAGTTAAAATATGAAGTAGCGGTGAAACCAGGACACAGATCCTGATATAAAACCAAAAATCCCCAGCCCAACGCCTTCATAGCCAACTAATTCAACGGAGACAAGTTCGAAGATTCATACCGTGACCTCTGAAGCTTCTCTTTCCATCATGGCACCAAGTTCCTCGCTGCTAAGACAACAAAACTCCGAAGTGCAACAAATCTACAACTACATTGATGGTCATTCATTCTCACAAGCCCTACAAAATGACACAAGCTTCATTGAACTGACCAAACACAAAGGTTCCCCTGCTTTCAAGTTTTTGAAAGGACATGACAGACTACCCCTGTCTCCGTTTATTTGGAGCGATGGTGAGGGAAAACGGGTTGTTTGCATCTGCTATTTTGGATTGGGATTAGCTGACTTCAAGAAAACTGTCCATAGGGGTGTCCTGGCCACGTTAGTTGACGAAATACTAGGCTTGGTCTGTTCGCTAGCTTTATCAAATGGGTACGGGGTGACGGGGAACTTAACAATTGATTATCGAAGTGCGCTCCCGACAAACTCGTATGTTGTTTTGAGGGCAAATGTGGTCAAAGTGGATGGTAGAAAAGTCTTTGTTGATGGGAGTGTTGAAACACTGGCTGTTATTGAGGACCAGCAGCCAAAGGCCATCGCCCATGCGAAAGGAATCTACCTGGAAGGAATTCAGACTGCGGTATGAGTAATTGAACAAGCATCTTTTTGGATTTTCACCCTGCTAACTATAGACACACTAGATATTGGAACGGCCCTTCAAAGCTCCACTCTAGGGTAAGGGGATGTCACCGTCACGAGTGTTTTAGACTTTGAGACTTTTACACGACCATTTTCGTATACGCGTCAGGGATTCGCACTAGAAAGGACCAAACCCTCTGGCTCTGAATTTTCAATTCCAACATTTGAATATCATTAATTGGTCATCAACTGGCAGTTCCAAGAAGCTTTGAAACTTGAGATCATATGATTTATGGGATAAAGACGAGATTTGGGACTTGGGATAAGTCCTGTTGGCCAACTGGTGGGTTCAGACCGCACATAGTATTAGGGGACCTTTCATCACATATTTCTTCCCTTTCGCTCCTCCTCTGCAGTTTTTGCGTCTTCTCTCGAATATGACCTTATTTCATCAAATGAGAATTTCCTGCATCATACTTTGTTACTGTCAGAAGAACACGTGCTTCCGCAAAGGTCGACTAGAAAACAGTGAATGCGCTTATGCATTATAATCTAACTCGAACGTTTTTTTATACCATGATTGAAATAATTGATTTCGGAATGTGGTCTCAGGTGGTAGATTTAAACCCTATTATTGAAAGATACATATATATGAGACATGCAGCAAATCTCACCTGGTAGCAATTTTCTTGATGTGAAATAATTCCAAAATCGATGGATCATGAACAGCTTTTTACACCGGATCATCCTCAGAGAGTTTACTCCCAAGGTTATTGTTGACTATCTGATTAAGAACAGGTCTCATGCTGTTTTTTATTGAAGGATAACTTCATTGATAATAAGAACTCGGTCGGCGGCGCCAGACTGAGTCTAATCCCTATGTTCGCATGGTGCAAATTTGAACTCGACAGATAACAAAAATATCAATTGATGACCATCTTGCTCCCTGCTATTTAACGAAGATCAGTGAAAATAGTGAAGCGACTGATTTCCCACATGACCAATGTTAAATGCGCACATGATAGTGGTGAAAGACCTTTGCTCATAGCATCACAGTAGGCCTTGACGGAAATTTTCCCATGATACGAGCGTGAATAAAAGAGGCCGGAACCAGAGGACTGACTGCATTAGATTGGATGTTTGAGAAGAAAAATCACTGTACAATTGGTGGAGGCCACTCTAGACGATTGCCCATACTTGTCTCGATTCGGCTTCAATGGTGACACTCTTGTTCAACTTCGGAAATGAAGACCCCAATAGGTGGAAATCTAGTATCTCATCTGAAGATTCTGTTAGTAATCACTGGCAGCTAGTGTAAGAGATTCACATCATTTCACTACTACTCGTCACTCCGTCTGACAAAGGCGGTCTTGTCATTCACAGAGCATAACACATGTCACAAAGCACCGGATTAGTCGGAGCTTTCTGGATTCAGAGTTGAGCCTTATACCCAGTCTGTCTGGATGACATAGGGCGACAGATTCAAAAAGCTCCACCTGGATCCCAGCTATGTATGAGCTTAATTAATATCTTGTGTCACGTAGTATATTGATGTCTAGTAGTCTGAAATTTTCCAAGGCTGTGTGACAGCCCAACCTTGGAACAGGCATCAATGTTGCTTAACTTAAGATTTCACGAGTTTGAAAGTTCAAGTTTGAAAGTCCCACTTATGAGGTAGGGCTTTTGTATAAATATTCCTGTTAACCCTACCAGACCAGCTGCACATGTGGGACTCGGATCATCATCTCGCAACTTGAATCGGATCACGCTTAAGAGACCTCCTCAACCATATTCCTAAACATCACCATTCTCCTTCAAAGCTATGATGATGAGCTTCAAAGGCCTTTTCATTGCAGCTTTTTTCATTATTGCAGTGAATGCTGACGATACCTGTTCCAACGGGCGTGGTATGGAGGTATGTGTTTGGCATGGCACAGCCCCATTTTGTGGCGAGGATGGTCGGCCTCTGGGTTACACGGATGGCACATGGACTCTGAGACAAACCACTCAATACCAAAATCGTGATGAGCTAGGCGGATACGGACTGATTACTGCAAATTGCGAAAACACATATGGTTCATCATGTGTATTTGGTTCATATAAGCGTCTTTGGTGCCGGGCAGACTGAACGAGTGAGTGAACCCACATGTGCACTTGCGACCTCATTACTGAGAGACAATTTTGAATGAAGCCCTGAGTAAGATCTTTCAGAAGATGAACTCCGGTGTATTCCTCCAGCTTATCCATTCAATCTGGCTGTCAACTCAGATATTTTTTTCATATGTCGAATTCTTGAAAGCATCATGATATCCTGACAATTGGCAATGATAGTAAAGTCAAACTTTGACTTCAAGCTTTTACTATTTAAAACAAAACAGGGGTCATCATTAGTGAGGCCACATGTGCAGGATATAATATTATATAGTATGAGAATGATTCAGACCTCGGGACCAATTCATGAATACTTTATCTTTACCTCAGGCTGCACTAATGAGCCATAGTACATTCTGATTGAATTTCCAAGGTTATGCATACATGTATATTTCTTTATCGGATCTTAGAAAAGGCAATTTAGGAAAGGGAGCAGTCGGGCTACTTCATATTATATACTAGGTAGACATTCCCCATCATGACGTGCAGTTTTCAACATTTTGGATCAAAAGCGCTACTGACAGTACTACTGATTTGGACTGATTTAGATGTCTATGTAAACCTAGCGATCTAGGAATCATGTGAGAGATATCATGCACATCATGATGTGTCATATTACCTGTTCAAATGTCACGGTTGTTCCCCTCGAACTAACTTCTTTTACTGTCCCCAACATTTGAATCAGTCTCTCCCTTGAGATTCCAGCCTTTCGCATTACGTCTCGCATAACCCCTCCTTTTAAAGAGGAGGAAAAGTCTCATTTTCATGCACAAGTACGGACGATCTCAGGTCCAAAATCTGATCGAGCATGTCAGAAGACACTGGCACTTCAATATGCGAGACCTATACCGTGCAGTTACAACATCAGCATGATCTGGATATCTTGGCTGTTGGGGCTGCCGGCCAGGTCTACAACGTTAACGACCATATTGTTCTAAAACGTGTCGAATTTTCGCGCCACCTGGTTCTGATGCATCTCGACGTGATATGTGGCATTATGCTTCGGACACATTATTTCATTTCAATTTATTGAGAAATGAACAAATGGTCTTACAACTGCTTCAAAATAGGCCACATCCCCACATTATCCAAGCTATCAATACCAATCAGCCGGAGGGAGTATATCTTCGCAGATATCAACAATTACCTGCATATGTGAAATCCACACAGGCTTACCGGATCAAATTATATTGCGATATTGCCGATGCTCTATCTCATCTTCACAGCCTTGGTAACATACACGCAGATGTAAGGGTTGATAACGTACTTTTTGATGATCTGTCTTCAGCTATTCTTTGTGACTTTAGCGCTGCCAGCCCTTGCGGAGAACTCAATCCAGTCTTTCCAGATCTCCCACTTCCATTCAACGGCCCTTCACCCATCTTGTCAGAGGCATCCGATATGTTTGCACTAGCTTTGCTCATGTTTTACTTAGAGCACGGATATACTCCCCAACTATCATTCGACAACGAGAGACTAACTTTGCCTGAACTGAGATCGGGAAACCCCTGCGTTGATGAAGTTGTACGGACGGCCAGGCTTGGCGAATACAGCCGAACGTCAGAGATTTTACATCAGCCATCTTTAATTGATGCCCAGATAAATCGCCACCGTCAAAACCCTGTGGAACCACCGGATCTGGATGATTTGAAGAATCAAGTCACGAGTTGGAGGAACTGCCGAAAACAACAATTCGGTACGGCAATTTCTTATCACCCTCTCAAAGAATATCATCCTAACTTGTTTGAAGGGTGCGTGCTTGAGGGAATTCTTTCTGAGGAGCATATAAAAGTATTCGCGGTACAATACAATATGGATCCAAATACAGATCTACGATTTGCTGATTCCCAAATACACCTGTGATTGAAACTGGAAGAGCATCTGATATATAACGGCTCAGGAGTGGATCATGACGATGTAGCTTTCCGACTTATTTTCTATTGACATGTATTTGCTCATACTCACTAGTCAATTGAAGCAGTGAAATTTCTTGCGCGGTTTGAGCCATATCACATTGAGCTTTGAGCCTGCACATTGGGACGCTGGAATTCCGAGTCTCAGATAGTGTCACGTAGAAGAAAGCCACCATACTGAGATCTCTGAAAAAGCCCTTCAGGGTCGTACTTGGCCGCCACCTCCCGCATCTGCTTGAGGTTCGCGGCTCCGTAACTGCCAAGGACGTTTTGCGATCCGGTAGCAAATCCCATAGGCTTAAATTCAAGTAGAAGCCCCTTTTCTTTTGCCAGTACCTCAACACTTTCAGCCATCGTGGCCACTGCTTTTTGTGCTACAATATCATCGCTATCACTTTCAGGCCACTCACATGTAAAAACCCACCCTATGGTTTCAGTTTAAGTCAGCTTTCAGTGCCCAGATTGATTGAACCTCGGACAAGTAAATACGAAATGCACTTACAGCACTTTGCAACACCCTGGTGACCCATTATGTTCCCTCCACGATCCTCTCCTTCCTGGGCAGCAGCCTTGCCGAACGGTTGAATTGTATAATGCAGAACACAGTCGGTTGGCAGGATCTTACAAACCTCTGCCCACGCCTTGTAAGCACATTCATAAAGGTCCTGTGATACTCTGGTGGTGACAGTAGAAATAGCCCGCCTAATAGATCTTAGTACTGAGTGTGATTTTTTCAGGATGCCAAACTTACTTCTTGGACTCTTGCGCATGACCCATAGCTTGAGCTAGCGATAAAAGAGCGCCATCTGTGGAAGGCAGGGCTGCGCTTATCAGGCTTTGCAGATGATAGAAAGGAGCAAATACGGCAGGTCGCTCGTGGGGAGTGTTGGCATAGAGTAAGCCGACGGCGGCAAACCCGTTGTTGAAATTTGTGAACAATCCAATTTTGGGGTCACTTTCCATGGCCTCTTGAACCGCCGCTGTTGCCTTGTTGATCTCCACATGATCCTCTAGCTTATACAGGTTGATTTCGTATTTTACCTTGATAAGAGGGTGGGTTTCCAAATCGAATCTTGTCACAATACCTACATAACGCATGATTAGACCCAGAGTAAGATGCTGAGAGCATGAAACCAGACGACTTACCAAAGTTAGGTCCACCTCCCTTCAGAGCGCGCAAAAGATCGGTGTTTTCTTTCGCATTGGCATTGATCAATGTGCCATCGGCCAAGAGGACCTAAACATATCTATTAGTCTTCGCCAAACTTGAAGTTCAATACTGTCGCTTTAAAAAGGAGACGACCTACCTCAAAGTTCTTGACACCATCAACACCTAGTCCATGCATATTTGGAGAAGCGCCCAGGCCACCTTTCGTCACTCATTAGCCTTCCAACTTTAATCCAAGACATTTGCAAAAGCCATGCTGGAAGCATGATAAATACCTCCAAGTAGTAAACCCCCCAGCCCAACATTGTGATCACGACCACCAATCGCCGACAAATTATGTCCTTGAAGCCAGGTATACACCTCGCCCCAAGTATTTCCAGATCCCACTCGGGCGACTCCATCTGAGCCGAGCTCCTTTGACTGAAGCTGACGGATATCCAAAACGATCGCCGTCTCATCAGCGCTGCTGAAGCCGGCATTGGGATTATGCCCAGTGGTGCGAATTGCGAACTTTGATCCCGTTTTTTGACGATTGCTAGTGCTTCAGTAAGTTCTTGAGCGTTGCTCAGGTATACTTATCCAGCGGCTGGGGTCCAGCATGTTTGCGACCAGGGAATTGCGACCGCTGCCTGGTATTCGGACTTGGTATCGGAGGTGATCACTTTGTTGGGGAAGACACTCTTGAATTCTTCAAAAGCCGCTCTTGTGTTGAAAACCATGGTAGATGGATGATAGTGTGAGAAGTGAAGTTTGGAAAATGTCAGGTTTCAACTTCCAACCTTGAGACGAAAGGATCTATGGATTATACATATGCATATTCTGTTTCCAACCCCTGCACATCCTGATGTGCACATGGGCCCCCGGGGCCCTTTGCTCAACCCTCCACTTCCAAGGTTACTTGTACACTTAAAAAATTCCTCTCTTATCTTTTCATCCAGATGTGGGGAATGGACTAATCCCTAGACATTTCAAACAGCTAGTCTTCAATGTGGAATCACCTAGCTCGCACTGCCAATATCATGATATCTCGCCCATTTCAACCGTTGCATGAAGACCCTGGAGTAAAGTACTCCCTCACGAACTCGGTCAATCATTGTCAGTACTAAATATTGGATTTTGTTGCGAATGTTCGCACTTCGCAGGCTCAGATCCTATCAGATATCATAAACCAGATCATTTTCCTTACGTCAACGTGCATCAACCGCCTCCACTTTGCAGCCTTGTGCCCCTCCTCGCCCTCTCCAGGCCTTTTGAACGTGCAGCCTTGAATGCATGGACCTTTGAGGGCCAAATGGGGCCAAATGACTAGGAGTCAAGCAATGCAAAGCAGTAATAAAATGGAAATCAATATTCCTTCTCAGGCCCATGAACTCAAGAAAATCGAAACCTAATAGGAGATCGCAGCATCATGTCAATAACTACTAGGTAGTATTTTGTTTTGTTTTTTGAAATTTTACTCAGTATCTAGGAGAGATAGGTATATTCTATTACATGACAGGAAATTCGATTTGAATTTTGAACATAACATGACTCCGGTCGAACTCGACGGTGATGAAAGGGCAAAACATTCAAATATTCGAACAGACATCCGGACGAGCAGCACTTCGCTTTGCACTTTAAAAGAACTCTCAATCGCTTGATAAATTCCAGAACTTGCCCGGATGCCAATGTTCCCGAAGTCATCGCATCAAAGCTCATTTCATCATCCAACGAACCCAAAGCCAATATCAAGCTTCAACCAAAACCAACTTGCTCAAGTGCTCAGTCTTCTCGGACTAAGACGAGCCAATGTCGAAATTTCTTTATCTTCCTCTTCAAAAGCCTCCCGATATCTTGAGTATTCATCACCCTTTGGTAGCCTGGTCATCCTTGTCGGGGAATCGCACGGTACAGACTGACTACTCTGCCAACTTTTGCCTCATGATTTCCGGATGCTGATCCCAGAAGAAGAAGGAAAAATGGAAAAATGGAAATCCTATTTACTGGTAGGACCGACTTTTGGGACTAAAGCGTACATGCGAACACAATATTATGAACTTCAAGCTAAAGTTCTTCGCCACTTCCAAGGTTACTGCGAGTAGAGCAAAGCCACCTTTGACTACATACGACTTGCCGCTTGAGAGCGATCATAAGATGGGTTGTTTCTCCTCGTTTACGTGCAAGAAAACCATGCGCATATTGTCAAATTCTTGTTGGTAATTGGCAGGTATATGGTCTGCATTGAATAGACAGAACGATCATTGAAGAATTTCCTCAACAGAGTGCTCACGAATAGAATATTATTGAATGACAATAAAATCCAGCAGATGGATACAAACATTCAACCTTTAGTACGCGACCAAGGTGGCAAACCAGTCCTTGTAAAGAGCGACTTTTTTGCTCCAAGCAATGGGAATCGGACCCCATCCATCACCAACATGCTGAACAGTCTTCTTGGTGGTGCTGACAGCAGGCCACTCAACGGTAGTATCAGCGCCATTGGGGTTACCGGTCTTGATGAAGTTGGCCCAGTAGTCGTTCATCTTCCTAGCGATCACATAGTCCTCGGCCTTCCAAGGCTTGTCGGTGGCATATAAATTGTTGAGGACGTAGTTGATTTCGGATTCGTGGTAGGCACCCTGGTCCTGGCCGGGAGGAGCGTGATCCCAAAAGTAGTTCCAGACCTTAGGACTCTTCGCGCTATACCAAAGTTGAGTCCAGAACCACGTTCCAACCTTCGAACGGTCAGTCCACATAGAGTTGTAGGCACCAGAAGCAGTTGTGGAGTCATTTGCAGGGTATAGTTCAAGGAAACGGTCCACCCAAACACCACTGTATGTCTCATTCACATCCTCATAGTATTCCTCGAGGGAGATATCAAGACCATACGTAGCGCCGTTCTCATCCTTGTTGTTTCCGGTGATAACGGGCACATCGTGGGCAAGTCCCTTCTTCAAGATATTCAAGTATGTGTCAGGCAGTGCATAATAATCAAGAACAGCCTCAAACGTAGAGCTAGTGGCGCCATCAAGAAGCTCCTCCATAGTTAACTCACGAGCCTCGGCAATGCTTGAGACATTCAGGGTATCGAGGTAGGTCACACCATTATCCAAAGCAGTATCAAGGGTAGTGTAGGCCTCCGCAAGACTAGTACAGAGAGGGTCATGTGGGTCACGGACACCGCTCTCAATGATAGCACCAACAATCAATCCCTTAGTAAGATTGCCGTACAAAATATGCTGGGTAGCAGCGGAGCCAGCAGACTGGCCTTGAACAGTGATATGCTCAGGATCACCACCGAAATCAGCAATATTCTCGTGGAGCCACTTAAGTGCACCAAACTGGTCGAGCATACCCCAATTTCCGGAGCTATTAGAACCAGTGACCTTCTCGAACTCCGCCGAGAGCTCAGAGTGAGCGAGCCAGCCGAATGGGCCGGTACGGTAGTTGTAATTGACAAACACAATTCCCTTGTCGGCCATACCACCACCATCAAAGAGAGCATCGGCCGCTGTGGATTCAGCTGGGTAGCTCCACATAACCACGGGGAGCTTGGCATCGGTGGAATTGGCAGGAGACCAAATGTTGAGGTTCAAGCAGTCTTCATCAATGGTGAAGCCATCGGCGGAGTTGGTAGCGGAAGGGCAGATGTTACCCCAGTTTCGAGCATCTAAAGTGCCACTCCAAGAGCTAACAGGCTGAGGCTCCTTCCAGCGGTTCTGGCCGCCAGTGGTAGCAGCGAAAGGAATGCCCTTCCAGACGGTGATGTCCTTCCAATGTGTCATGTTACCAGTGTTGGTACTGTTGAAGGCTGGGTAACCCTGGACAGATCCATACTTAGTATCAATCACAGTGTCATAGAGCGCAGCGGAGGCCAAGGGCACCAGGCCCAGGGCAGCAACTGGGAGCGCGTTGTGACGCATAGTCAAGAGGAATAAGCAACTGAACCGTTGCAAAAAGAGAAGAAGCAGATAGCTTGTATTGAAATTGTGGAGTGAAAATTCTCAGTCAACGAAGGCCGACATGTCGCTTTTTAAGTCTTGGAATAGGTACATCTCCTCTTTCTTCGCTTGCTCGCCTTCTGAAGAGGTCACGGTAGATCCATACCGAAATTAAGTGCCAGTGTCAACTCATTCGTAGCCAAGCTCTTCAATCCACTTAATTCGAGGCAACATCTTCCCGGCTTTTTTTCTTCCCCTGCAGATCTTGATCTGGGACAGAGAGTGGTGGATTCGTCTCGGTGAATTGTTAACGGGTGGCTTTAGCGGGCTTACGCACACTCTTCAGGACATGCAAGTTAATATTCAGGAACCCGGAGTCCGTTACTGCAGATAGAAATCAAAATCACCGAAAGCCAAGACAGGATATTTGCCGGTGGTGATATATCCCTGGACTCGGAGATGCATGTGGGGATGACTCGGACTCGGATGAGGTTGTTGAAACGCATACCAAGTTCGGTAATCATTTCCGTTCTCAAACGAGTTTCACGGTTGCCCAAGGTGGGTTTCGTACGAAATTTACGTATTTCCAATATTACAATACTCCGAGTCGGCTTTCCCGCCCGGGCGTTGAAATGCTCGTATAATACTGTAATTGCGAGCACCTGCATGTATCTTTCAACAGCGGAAATCATATCATCCCAACTCCCACATTTCCAAAATTGAAGGTCTTCATCATGCTCACATGTGCAGGTAATATGCCCTGTAATAGGCTGCTCTCTCAGGGCTTTATCTTACCCAATTCTGCATTTAAGATCATGTTCTTGCTCACAACAGGGGTAATTAAACTTCCGAATACGCGTATATCAACCTTGGAATTGATGTAATTCCAAAGGGTTCCACCCTTACATTCCCTTTAGTCACGAATTCGATGACATGGATGCATCGATTAACCCTTTCTCTCGCTTTATCTCCTACGTGCACTCCTACGTCATCAATTTTGAATACTGAAGAAACATTTGAATATCTCGTCACCCTGAGTGCGGCCTTCTTTCACTCTCCGTTCCTCAAGTCCTTGGATAGAGTGGAGGATGATGAAGCGAAAATTAAATTTCAACGGGAAGAATACATCAGGGCTCCTGCCTCCCCCCCGGGTCTTGGACATTTACGTAGCTCGGCTTAGTACATATCGGTACCCACGAACCTTGGAGGATCTATCAGATGCCCCACTGGGGATCACTTAATTTTCAAGTTCAACCTTGGGCTCCACTCATTACCTAGGTAATATTATAACATTCTTCATCTCTAGGTAAACCACTCAACTTCAACTTGAAGCTTTCATTCAATTCACTTTGTACAATTAATTCCAAGGTTCAGGGCTACTGTGAGAACTTGCTTCCTGATTTAGTTTGTGCTCATTTTAACAAGTTCGAGCTGAATGATAATCGTGTCTCGGAATAAAATTGTACCTTGACTGAAACCTCATTAGACTTAACATCCAAATGTCCTGAATTGGAACGAACATTTGAATCAAGGGCTGGGCCGCTTATATCAACATTTGGATAAAGCACTTGAGCAGCAAAGTTTGAATTTCAACACTCCAATGTCAAAAAACATTTGAAAGTACTGTAAAAGAATTCAAAAAATACATGTGTAATTGAGGAATCTTCAAGTGGAACATAGCCAATCTTAATACATATAAAAGATCAATTGATGTTGAGTTTGAAGCGAACATTTATGGGATCCAAGGCTTGACCGTATATATTCCATGACTTGTCAAAATCTATAATCTCCCGCATGACTTAACGAAATCTGAATAGACTCGGAAATTATCGCCAGGTCCTCGACCGAAGCCACTGTGTAATACCGGAATTGAAAAGAAGATAAGAAAACGAGAAGATATTATATCAAGAATACTTGCAAGCTAGCCCATACTTAGTACAAGGGGAGCTTGTAAGCATTCGAAATCATAATTGAAGGTATCAATAGAAGCCTGGTCGTACTCGCAAGTGAACTTCTTGCCATTGTTGATCCAGTACGGGCGAAGAGGCCAGGCACAGAGTTGCTCATTGTTGCCCTCGTATTCTCCCTGGAGAATAGTGGCGTTCAAAGTGTGAGGGACAATTCCCTGCTCAACCCAGAGGGACATGACCTTGAAGTTGGTCTGTGGGAAAGGTCCGTTGGGCTCGTCATCGTTCAGCGCACAGTGAGCGGCTCCTGGAACCAGGAAGAGACGATACCAGTCCTGTAAGGCCTTGGTGCTAGAGTTGTATGATTTTCCGGGATACATAGTCTCGCGAACGGAGTTGTAATAGTGCACAGAGGATCCGGTAGGGATTGATTCATCCTGCTCGCCGTGGAAGTGGATAATCTTTCCACCGTTTTCGTAGAACTCGGTCAGGTCGGGGATGGTGGTTTGGAGGGAGTCCATGTAGCGAGTCATGCCTTGCTTCATCCAGCCAACAAGAGTGTCGTAGGTCACTCCTTCCAAGGAGGACAGGTTGTCCTCATCGTAGAGCTCTAGGAAACGAGCAACCCACTCACCACCAGCACCTGCAATATCCTACGAAATTAAGAAATTAGCAGGTGGCTTATGAATTTTGTGAGGAGATGGGTGAGACATACAAGGCCCCACTCGCCAGTAGTGGAATCATAAGAGGTCTCAGCATCATCAAAAGCGGCACCCATTTGGTAAGAGATATAGGCACGGCGACCCTTGGAATCGTGAATACCATCAACAATCTTCTGGGCAACAGCAACACCCTCAGCACTAACGGTTCCATTCTGAGCGGGCTCAGTGTCAGATGCACGCTTACCGAAACCAAGGCCAAGGCTGGTCGAGGTAGATGCGGCGCAGTAATATGGCTTGCCGATGATGGAAGTCATGTTGAAGTTAAGCTGGCAGAGATCAGATCGTGCGACCACACCATCAGTGCGGCCATCAAGCGGGTCGCAGGCGGCAATGGTCTCATTGACAATCTTCTCAAGCTCGCATGGTGGGGGGTAGTAGTCGAGAGTCTTCTCCACAACGTTGGAGTACAGATGGTTAGCCTGCTGCTGACCGTAGCGAATAGCTGGGGCACCAATGATCAAGCCATCGTACTCCTCCGCGGCGCGCTGACCCTGAGACCAGCCCTCACGACCACCTTCGGAGCAACCCTGGTAGTATGAGTAGACCTTGCTGCTGTTGGAAACATCATAGAAGTTTTTCGTCAACTGCTTTCCAATGATGGTCATCTCCTTGATAGCTTCGTATCCGAACATGTATACCGATGTCCAATTGATGGTACCATTGCGCAGCAAAAATACGTCGTCGAAATCGGTATCCATGCTACCAAATCCACCATCGGTAAAGCCAGAGACAGCACCGTACATCACACCTCCAGGGGCGGACATGGAGCCAGATTGAATGGCATAAGCACCTCCTCCTGTTGCAAGGAAACGGTTCTCGAAAGCATCAGGTGCAGGCATGTAGTAGCCAACAATGACGCTCTGGTCCGAGCCGGTGTGGGTGTAAGAGAACGTCACATTACAATAGTTGATAGTAGCGTCGGGGAAGAACACCTCGCCGGAGTGAGAGGCATTATATACCGCGTTGGCTGTGACTGAATCCTTATCAAAGGTGACACCCAGAATGTATCCATCCTCGGGAAGCGATTCGCGAATACGTGAAGTGGTGCAGGCGCTGCTCAGAGAGGCAGCGAAGGCCGTGCCGGCCAACGCAAGAAGGCTCAAAACGTGAGTCATCTTTCAAGGTCTGTGTGATATCCGAGAAGGAGGGGGATGCGTTTGCCAGTGGTGTAAATCAAGATATCCAGTGGGCAGACTCGGCCCTTTTAAATGTCGACATTCCCATAGTGCCAGGCCTGGAGGTGGTGAAGTCGCCTTGGTCATCATTCGAGCATTACGACGATCCTAATTATATCACTCAATTCATTCTCAATCTATCATTTGATTCCCGATTTTTCTGGGTGACGCGTGGCAGTTTGAACATAAGTGCAGTCAACCTATACTTCCAACGCGTGTCAAGCAAGGATAAACCAAGGACTATGGATCCATATGAATGTGGAGCATTCAGGCTCCAGAGCTTCTGATTAAGCTTCGTCACACACACCCGTGCGGTGATCGACAGGGATGCCCGGGTGAATTTGGTGAGCCCACTTGAAATATTCCAACATTTGAAGGTTGATTTCCGAACGTTCGGCACATTAATGTCTCCCGAGGTCTTCGCCGAAGGTCCCTGCCCAGCCCGGTGTAGGTAGCCGAATTACTTACAAATACAGTCACCATACATGAACCACGTTCTGACCACGTTTAACCCACATGGCATGTTTCGATCCCTTTTTGGTGGAACTTGGTTTGCGGGATTTATCATCGGAAAATGACAGATTCGAGTAAGTCTAACTTGACAAATTTGTTCTTCTCACGCATTTCCCTTGTTTTTTTATGTATTATGTCCCTTGAATACATGTCTACCCCGCTTGCTCCTCCAGTCATGAGCAAAAGTTTTAACATTGATTAGTGCATCTACTAGAGTTACAAACCTGGGAAATATGTAGTGCTATTTCAGACTGAGCTTGAATGTACCCTGTTAGTCTGACTCATTACACTTGACTGGTCCTTCGTCCACCGGAATCCTTATCTGTGTATATGTAGATTTCAAATGTTATAAACGAAGTTTACCCCGCATTCATCGCAGTATAAGAATGTCCACTGACCCGACATTTGAAGAAACCGTGACAATCCATATTATTCTCACAGTGACCTCCTTATACACTCATCAATATGCCAGACCTTTCGTCCAATTATACAGCTCCAAAATGGTGGAAAGACGCAATTGTTTACCAGGTCTATCCCGCCAGTTTCAAGAGCAGCAAACCCGAGTCTCATGCGGATGGATGGGGTGATGTGCGTGGAATCACTGAGAAAGTGCCTTATTTGAAAAGTCTTGGTGTCGATGTTGTTTGGACAAGTCCTAGTGAGTACTATTAACTATTTGAAGTTTGCTCTTCCAAGATTCACATGCCTGACGACATCCATCTCAGTATACAAGTCGCCGCAAGTTGATATGGGCTATGACATATCTGATTACAAGTCAATCGAGCCTCGCTACGGGAGTTTGGCTGATGTCGACTCGCTGATCAAAGTTCTCAATGATCACGATATGAAGCTCATGATGGATCTTGTTGTCACTCATACCTCGGATCAGCATGAGTGGTTCATTGAATCTAGTCAATCCAAGGATTCTCTGAAGCATGATTGGTATATTTGGAAGCCAGCACGTGATTACAGCTCTGCTGGGAGACCTTTACCACCTAACAACTGGGCACAGATTTTAAATGACAGCCAGAGTGCTTGGACCTGGAGTGAAGATAGACAAGAGTTCTATTTGACCCTGCATACTTCAGAGCAAGTGGATTTGAATTGGGAAAATCCCGATGTTGTCGCCGCCGTTCATGATGTGAGTTCTGTTGCACCATTAGAAATTCTGAATCTTCCTTTGTGGAAGCATCACTGACAAATCTTCTAGGTTATGCATTTCTGGCTATCCAGGGGCGTCTCCGGATTTCGTATGGACGTCATCAACTTGATTTCCAAGGATCCTGCCTTCCCGGACGCGCCAGTCATGGAACCGGATTGCGAGTTTCAACCTGGAGAGCGATTTTATACGAATGGTCCGCGATTCCATGAATTTATGCATGACATCTACGATAATGTTCTATCAAAGTATGATACTATCACTGTTGGTGAAGCGCCATATGTGGATGACATAAGTGAAATCATCAAGACAGTTGGATCCACAGCCAAAGAGCTGAACATGATCTTCATCTTCGACCATATGGAAATCCAGGACGTTAAAACCAAGGGCAATTCCAAATGGAGTCTTCGTGACTGGAAATTGCCAGAGCTCAAAAAGATTTTCTCCAGCTGGCAAAAGAGGATGATCGAATGGGATGGATGGAACACAGTCTTCCTGGAGTGTCACGATCAGGCCCGGTCTGTTTCACGCTATGTAGATGACAGTGATGGCATCCGTGAGCGAGGCTCCAAGCTCCTTGCCCTTCTGCAAACGACCCTTGGTGGAACCTTGTATCTCTTTCAAGGTCAAGAGATCGGGATGCGAAACTTTTCCGCCGAGTGGGATCCAGATGTTGATTACAAAGACGTCGAAAGTATCAGCTTTTGGCAAAAGAGCAAGAGGCTATATGGCCATGACTCGGCAGAGATGCAAAAGGCGAGATACCTTCTCCAAAGAAAGGCCAGAGATCATGCTCGGACACCGATGCAGTGGGACAGTAGCCCAAATGCAGGCTTTACGACCTCTAACATCTCACCTTGGATGAGAGTAAATGATGACTACCCAACAGTCAACGTGAAGGCACAAATTAATTTCGAAGGAGAAGAGTTGTCTGTCTGGCAATACTGGCAGCTTACTCTACAGAACCGCAAGACCCATAGCGATGTCTTTGTGTACGGCGATTACCAAGATGTGGATGTGGAGAATGAACGGATTTATGCATACTTAAGGACAGGCACCCAAACAAAAGAGAAGTGGTTGGTTGCAATGAATTGGACTGGCGAGAAGTCTTCCTGGAATATCCCCCCGTCGATTAAAGTTGAGCAAATCGTTTCTTCCTCGCTTCAGCGAAAGTTATCAATTGAGGATGGTGCAATCGTCAAGCTGCAGGCCTGGGAGGGCATTTTGATGCGCTGTAAATAACTTCTGCAAGCACTTATGTGCTGGATATCAAAATCCCAATATCAAGGGTGGAAGAATGCTAATGGATAGCTTCACTAGTGGAAGCATTTACCAATGCTTTACATAATGAATAGCCGATGGAAGATTTTTTAGAAATCCGATTCAAATGTTTAGACTGGATCAATCAACTGATTCATTTGATCCCGTTTAATATTCACTCATGTTTCTAATGTCAGTTTCGAGTCCGAGTGCTGGCTAGTACCCGTCCCGTTCGAGTTCTCAACAACCTGAGTTTTGGAACCCCTTACTAGGCTCGATCTTGCGCAGAATCTTGGCCGGATTTCCTGCAGCAATATGGTATGCTGGTACATCCTAATTCCAATCTCACGCGGTCAGCTTTACTCATAGAGAATTTCTTTAAGGTCATAATTCATGAGATGAGTCTTACCTTCGTGACAACGCTTCCCGCGCCGATCGTGCATCCATCGCCAATCGTGACTCCAGGTAACAGGATAACATTTCCCGCAATCCAGCAATCCTCACCAACAATAATTGGACGGCCCATTTCCGGCCCATTGGTACCATTGCGAAGATGAGGGTCTAAAGGATGGGTACCACTAAAGAAACACACGTTGGGACCAACAAGAGTGCGAGAGCCAATTGACACAATGCATGTATCGAGAAAGGTACAGTTGAAGTTGATGAATACATTACTTCCAACCCGGATGTTCGTTCCATAATCTATGTTGATAGGTCGCTCAATCCATGGATATTCATGAAGAATTTTATCTTCCTCTTCATCTGTGGCACCTGCAGGGGGTAGGGGCCGAGAATCATTGGTGATGCTTTATATCAGGTATTATTAGTAACCCTTTCCGAGGTTCCCAATTTGGCTTAAAAGGTAAGATTGAATGGAGGAAATTGTGATATCACCGACGTACTCTTTCCAATATTCAGCCAGTTCTCGCCTGGTTAGCTCGTCAGCACGGTTCAGTCGTCTGACAATATCCCCGCATCTTTTACGTGCAGCAACCAGTTTAGGGGAGAAAGCGTAATACAGTTCTCCCCGCTCCATTCGCGCCAAATTATCCGCCTCGTCAATGTTTGACAACATATTTGCTTCGATTTTCTTGAAGAGAAGGAGGACTGCAGGGAAAGAGTTCAAAGACAATTATTTCCGATGCCAGGAAGATGCGAACCCCTTTCAAGCCATTGGTATCAACCCAGATTTCATTAATACATCAACTGTAATTTTGCTACTCTGAGGTTCCGCACTCGGGAGTATTCTACGGATGTATCGCGCTTTGAAATTGTTTGTAGATATCATTCAGAATCAAATTCCTTTCGTCTTATTTTTTCTCCCCAGCTGTTTTTTAAAGCGCTGCATTGATCGGGAACTCTGGTGCTGCCCAGATGGTGCCTGTTTGTTCTCAGCATACAGTACCAAAAGCTCCGTTTTGAGACAATACGAAAACGTATGTAATGTAATGTCCGTGTATGGGCCCCACAGCGCGGCTGTTATAAGCTCAGATTGGCATAGCGCAGAGCATAAATCCTGTGATAAAGCAGCAATCTTGGAAGACTTGATTCCCCTCTACCATCGCTGGGACACTTAGCGGATACGTGCTGTATATATGCGTAATTTATATTCAAGTTTCATGTTTCGAATTCTCGAATTCATGAGATTCAATGTTATCTTCAAGTTGGAGCCACGGGTATGATCGATCCCCTTTCAGATGCTCCTTTCATCCTTAGTCTTGATGTTTTTCATTTAGCAACTTCGAAAGCCTCCCCTTTGGCGAGATGCATCGCGTCCACGATATGCATGCAAGTCATGCTAAATTGATGTTATGCTCTTCAAGTTTTAGCACCTTGATCCGCGTTTCTCCCACAGATCCTATAGCCACGCAGACTATGCAGGCCACCTTGAACATTGATGAGACGAGAACATCTGGAGGCTTACCTCAGGTTTATGTTAATCAATTCAATACAGGTCATTCTGAACATCTTCGGTTAATGAAACTGATACTCCAAGGTTTCAAAGTCCAAATCGGATCATTTCAAAGTTGTGTGCAAGGCCGCAGTTGGGATGAATGAGCCGAAGATGAATGAGCCGAAGCTGCGCCAATACGACTTGACCGCATCCAAATGTCTCATCCTTATTCCTGAGTACAGTGAGTTTACTTCAAATTGAACTCCTTGGCATTTTGGCAAGTCTTTAACTCCGAGGCCCGAATTGTCCCACATTGAAGAACGCCACATTCCAAGATTTGCTGATCTTGCCCCCAAAATACTGGAACTCCGCGTGAAGCGCGGGTACGGGTACCTGCTGCGACGCGTAATATGGACCTTGGAATTAAGTTAACTTGTGATCGACGTGAGCAATACTCTAATTGCGAAATATCTTTGCTCGGTCTGCGCCCGGAGTATCCGGAACTTTCAAGGTTGAAACAAGCTGTTAATAATTACTAGCAGAGAGATCCACCGTGATGATGGAGAGCATATATTATGACCACCGACTCGGAGGCCTCCGAGTCATCTGCAACTTGAACATAAATCCCACAACTTCTACTAGTACCCATTGACATTCAAGTTGGAGTGCTGCCAGTGTCTCCGAGTCTTCTCGTCATAAATTTCATCATGCGTTCTTTCATTACTACCTTGGCCCTGGGCCTTCATGTTGTTACTTCCTCTGCTCTGAAGACGCGTACAGTCTATCAATTCGCTTCCAACGATACTTGGCTGGAGAATTTAGCCACGCGATCCAATGGTGTCATCCTAGCCACTGAGATTGGTCCTCCAGCTAATCTTCTGGCTTTCGATCCCCAAGAAACACCCGTTCAAAAGAAGGTGATCCAGGATTTTACCTCAATCCTGGGTCTTGATGGCATCACTGAAGGTCCTCATGACGTTTTCTACGTTGCCGGGTCCAACACCACCTCCGACAATATCAGCGACCCACCGACAAACGCGACTCACGTTTGGGAGGTCGATTTCAACACAGACTCCGGCAATCCAAAAATCAAGCTATTGTGCCGACCCATGGCACCGACCGGATTCAATGGGTTGACCACCTTTAATGAAACAATCCTACTTGCCAGTGCCTCCTACCAAGATGCTATCTTTGCCATCGATACCCAGACCGGGCGCACATGGGAGGCGATTAAGCAGGAGAGTCTTATGTCAATGATCAACGGCATTAAGGTCTCGGACGGGTTTGTTTACTGGACCGCTGGTGGTGCGCTGTACCGTGCGGAGCTGTATTCTAATGTCACTGCTGGCACAGGACAGCTGATCTACCAGGGTAGCGAGTATGATGATTTTGCCATTTCCCCTAATGGCTTCGCTCTCAACTCTACCTTTGGATCCGATTACACGTTCGCCTACCTTGCCACCGCCGGTGGAAACACCATTGATCAAGTCATCTTCACACAGAATGGAACTGCCGTCGGTGCTGAGACTATTGCTGGCTCCGAGGACTCGACCGAAATTGCCGAGCCTACTGGTGTGTTCTTCGGGAGAGGAGATGACGAATTGAACAAAATCTATATGACTACCGGGGGTGCTAGCGCAGTCAATGTTGATGTGAATGGTACTGATGTCGCTGTGGGTGCGCAGCTCCTGGAAATTCAGCTATCTTAGCTTATTCAAGTTTGAACATCTGGCGCCACACGCATGCATGTGCAGGAGTCTCAGATATTTAATCAAGTTGGGACTACATGAAATTTTGGAATGTAGCCTTATCTTAAATAGTCAACTATTAAAAGTACAACTCGAGAATAATAACGCGTGGCCCCATATCATCTCACCTGGAAGATTTTCTGCAAGATTGTCATTATACTACGTGAAGTATGATCCTGAACAAGTCATGATAGTCAAAATAACCCCGGTCTGTGTCATTTTATGATGACGGAAATAAACCAAAAGCGCTACCACAGCAGACCGTCAACTAAATGGTCAGTCTCTGCAACTTGAAATGAATCATCGATGAAGTTTCAACTTTGGAAGTTATTTCTCACGGAGTAACCTCGGGATAACCTGGTTTACATATCATCGGTCAACTGGTTCTCTTCACACCGCTTTCCACGGCATATGTCGCCACCTGGACACTTTCAAGGTTAGGCGATTTGCGCATTACAAACCCCCTTTGAATAAGCTTGAATACTAAATCAATCTCAAGTGTTCTCATTACACCTTGGTTTCCAGGATTATCATTTCGTTCAGCCCCTCTGACATTCGCATCACCCAACGAAATTGCACTTGGGCGATCACTGATTCACGCCCCACACACTTCGCCAACCAGATGGGAGACAGTTTAAAACGGCGAACTAGAACAGGCTGCTTAACATGCCGACAACGCAAAAAGAAATGTGACGAAGTACGCCCATCATGTACGGGCTGTCATCGGAACAATCTTGAATGCCAATGGGAGTCGACTGCATCACTCTCGATACCTAGGCGGCGCCAACGCCAATCACGATTACCTGAAAAACTACCAGGCCAGGCATTAACCATGTTGAATGTGTTCTCCATTCTCAGGCCGGATATGACATCTCGCTTGCTTAGCCACTTCATTTCTTCCAGTCCAAGATGGTTATCCACTAGGGTTGGATCTCGAAGAACCGAATTCCTACAGTGGCTTAAGCCTGCCATATCGGAAAGCCCCCTTGTATTTCACTGCATTCTTACAATATCGTCCGCAGATCTGCTAAAGTATGATCGGCGCGACTTAGAACTGCATCGGGCTGCTATGGAATATTACGGACAGACTGTATCTGAACTTCGAACCGCTATAGAGAGTGAAATGATAATTGATTCTTCAAATTCTTCTCTTACAGGTTTGACCACTGATCACACCTTCTTTTTTCCTGACGTAGCACTGACTTATACTCACATATCACAACCCACTGGCCGTGCTCTTGTTATGTTTGCATGAGGTGCATATCAATGAGCCCTTTCTAATTGTCTTTTGCTGGGGGTAGTCTTACTAATTTTCTTTTCGCATCTTTAGACCCAGAACTTCACTGATAAAGAGAGAATCCTTCCTCATCTCAATGCTGCCGTTTTTCTGCTACAAAATCGCCTCTCATACGCAAGCTCAAACCCATCTTTACGTGGCTTGCTACTCGAGATGTTCTGTTACTTCTTCTCATTGGCTGCATTTTCCCTTGGGCCCAAATTGTCACTCTCTCAAGCCTTCCCAATCTTCAATTCCCCGTCAGTGATATGGCTCATTCAGCATGGCCATATAATGGGAACCACTCAGCACTTTTTTATCACAATTTATCGTCTTTCCATATTGACCCAGAAGTTGGTCTCCCAAGTTGCTGAGGTGGCATCCACTGTCAGAAGTGAACTTCAGCTGTTCGATCAACACTTGGATTCTATCCAACCAATTCCAAATCCCGACCAAAATAAAGAGCCCGATCTGCTCCATGATGCAGTGACATCAGAACTATATAGAATCGCATGCCAGATCCATGTCAAGAGGCTTCTAGCCCGAGATATACCGGATGAAGACGAAACTATTCAACAGCTGGTGATTTCCTTCATTAACCTTTTGCATCAACTCCCCTCCAGTTCACCATCTCAGAACATTCTCAGCTGGCCGCTGGTGGTTGCAGGATACTCTGCACCAACCAAAGAATATCAAGATCTAATATCTGCAAAGCTGGACCAAATACAATCAGAATGGAGGTCGGATATTTTTTCTAAGGGTGCAGCCTTTCTGCGGCGCAAATGGAGAACAGATAGAGGTTCAATTTGTGCTTCTTCTGGCTCTATAACCTCCAATTCTCCACGTTCACTGGCAGCTCAAGACTATATATCTGTCTGGCATAATTGCCCTGTTGTTATGGCGTGAGCTCCAGGGCTCATAATAAAAATACCAGATTAAAGCAACGGATCTTCCACAGCCTTGCTCGTCATTCCTTAGCTCAAGGAGCTAGGTAGTATTGCATACTCCAAGTTCCATTAACCACATGTGCACTCTATAGTAGACCATGTGGCTCTGTTTCGAGATCAGGAGGACCGAAAATGCCCCTAGATTTGACTGCTATAAAGAGCGCACTCTATCGCCCCATGACTCACGCATAAGCGGATTTCGGGTTATAGGACTCCGAACTCCATGCCTTGCGGGTTTCAAAATTCGCCCCCTCCCAGTCGGCCCTTATATACGGAGTAGGACAGGTTCAATTCTGAAACTTCGTCCTTTGTTGGTTGACCTTGAACTTGTGCATATTAGTGATCACTTGGATATCACAGTTTGTCATCATTGACACATTAACAATTCGCCCCCTTCAACCCGGGGATTCAGATCCGCGTTCCGCTGAGAAATCCGGTCAACTTCATCCATTGATGAGGACCGACTCGATTGAAAATAGCCTCGAGGCTGCCATAAATGCCGGAAAGCTAAACGGTACGGTCGTCTGCGCGTCTAATACGACTGGCTCATTCGTATTCAACAAGACTTTCGGCGAACGTACTCTTTTATCAGGCGAGAAGCGACCGCAACAGTTAGAAGACGTGCTGTTTTTGGCCTCTGCCACAAAATTGCTAACCACTGTTGCTACCCTGCAATGTGTGGATGCCGTAATTTTAAAACTCGATGGAGACCTTTCGTCGGTCGCACCGGAACTCGCCTCTAAGCAAGTTCTGACAGGCTTTGCTGATGATGGAACACCTTTGCTTGAGGGTGCCAATCGACCCATCACCCTCCGAATGCTTCTTTCCCATAGCTCTGGTCTCAGTTATCATTTTATGGACCACAATATCGCCCGGTGGCGAGAAAATTTCGCTGGCTCTACAACCGAGCGTCGAAACGTCGAGGATTTGTTCTGTTATCCACTCACTTTCCAGCCTGGCGAAGGTTGGATGTACGGACCTGGACTTGATTGAGCCGGTCGTGTGGTAGAAAGAGTGACTGGCTGCACGCTAGGAGAACGTATGGAGGAATGTATGTTCAACCCACTGGGCTTCTCAGGTGGTCAATTTTATCCAGTTCTGAGGGAAGATCTGAGAGCAAGGATGGTGGATCTTAATGCAAACGACCCTGATGCTCTGGGACGAGCTGTACTTGGAGGGGGTGGTGAGATGAACAAGCGGACAATTGGGGACTTTGGTGGACATGGCTATTTCCTGCCTGGGGTCGACTTTGTCAAGGTTCTACAATCCTTACTGGTTAATGATGGCAAACTCCTTCAACCTGACACCGTCGATACCATGTTTCAGAATCATCTCAATTCGCAAGCTATTGAAAGTCACCAGGCTGCGCTGACTGGTCCTGCTGGTGCTTTCCTGCGTGTCGGCACCGAGCTTGGAGCCAAAGTCGGTTACGGACTGGGAGGACTTTTGACGCTACAAGAGGTCGATGGATGGTATGGTGATCGCACTCTCACCTGGGGTGGTGGGCTAACCTTGGCTTGGTTTATCGATCGTCAAAATGGCCTTTGCGGCCTGATTGCTCCCCAAGCTACACTTCCAGTCGATGTCGAACTCATGGGCTCGTTGAAGCAAATATTTCGCCATGATGTATATCGCAAATATCACGCATGGAAGGATCAGTCCCAGCAGTGAGCCCTGCACATGTGGGGTTTTGTGCTACTAATACATGTCATACCACCTGGGCAGAGATCTGCACACTCCTGCAAATTGAACATTTGAAGCGTCTTTCTACTAAGCTGTCCATATTGTATTCAAAGGTTGAGATACGCCCGAGTTGCAATTCTGATTTATCATAGACCAGAAAGGATAATTAAAGTTAAATGAACCTTGATCTACGCTTTGGTCAATATGACCAGTCAAGTTTCAACTTGAAGCTGACACGCCACAATTGAGTCGGAGTCACCATCTTCACTTTGAACGCCCGCGACCACCTTGCTACTCAAATTTTCAAATTCTCACTTGATAAGATTCTGAGCACGAACTTGAAAATTCAAGCCTTCAGCATTGTCCGGGTGTACGCCTCACATAATTGATGAATTCAAGTTCGAACCTAAAACATTTGAATGCAAGCTCACGTTTGATCGGCGATAATACAAATTGTTTCAACAAATGATTGTAGACCATATATTTACCATACGTACCTATTTCAAGTTCCAGAGCTTATAGTAAATTTCTGCAGAAAGCAAGATAACTTGAACTCATACAAGGTCAGCCCTTGCTTGTTCACCAGAACCTTGCAAGCCGACCTTCAAAGTGCAGCATAAGTTCTCGTTCAGCCTCTGCTGAAAATGACTCGTGCTTACCCAATAATTGATCATATCTAGGATGCTTGATCTAACGCAGGGGCAACGGCTTATTTGACTGCTGGCCAAGAACGATTTGTATTGGATAATTGTTTTCACGTCCAAGATGACTGCTCGGGACTATAAGCCGGTAAGATCAAATCTGACATACAGGTGTCATAGACCGTATAACCGCTCAAGATTGGCCTGATGATCTTTGACATTATGAGAGACCTCGGGATGAGGTCAGGCCCATCATAACATGGGAACCCTGTCCAATGGAATTGGGAAAAGAAAATCCATAGAAAGACCGAAGGCGGCTCGTTGCGCTTGGACCCAAAAGCTGCAGTCTAAGCCGAATCCATTTCTCGTTAAACAAAGCTGGCATCTCCTATTCGCAGCTAATAGAACCATGGAGCCCCAAAGTTGTATCTTCCGCACCTCATCTCATATATGACTCAGACGTGTTGAGATTTATTCCCTTGGAAGCACACTCTCCAGTTGCGCGATGGGGATCTTTTCAAGTTCTTGGCGTTGCCTCATTGAGAAGACAGAGATCGGTGGAAACATATCCGATCAGTGGCATTCGGGAGGCACTCGGTGGCGCACGGCAACCAAGACACGCAATGCCACCCGCACAGGCTGAATCATAAATCATAAAGAGCTCCAGTGGCTGTCTCATGTGCCGGCTTGGAACTCGGGTCGTACCACTATCCACTCCACGCGTTGGCCAGTGGGGGCCGGGTAACATGTCAAACTCTTTTGAATGTCAATCTTATACAGATCCGGGCAACGAATAAACGAGTCATGGGCTCCAAAAAGGTCAAATCGCCGACAGCCATCCTTTCAGACGTCGCATGCTTGGCATTGTCTGTCCTTGAATGGTCCAAGCCCCCCTTTCATGCAGTTCAAGTCAGGTGGAAAGGTCAAGAAATGCGGGATGTGCCAAGATGTCAGTGAACTCCGGAGAAACCAATCATGTAATGCGGGGATATTCATCTCAAAAAAAGGGAGTGAAAGTCGAAGCATTTCAAGTTGGGTGTACTCCGTGCTGGTAGTTCAAATGTTGGAAAGGATATCCAAGGTTACGATCAATATAATGAGGCATTATTCCCGCCAGATCATTGGAAAGTGAAAGAGAACATGAAAAATAAAGATCTAGATGTTAATAAGAATTCAAATAAATAAAAAAATAAATAAAATGTCCGGGCTAAAAGAGGATAACGTGGGATTGAATGAAACCATGTGGCGTTGGAGAGTCTCTTGAAGTTGCATGCGCTAAGAGTCATAGAGAAGATGATTGGTAGTAAGAGGTCTTAGACTGGAAAGGATGAAATGTTAATTCTTTTTAGCATTTTAGCGTTTTAGTGTTGGACCCTGTAAGGACCCTGTTTTAGTCTTTTGATCGAGGTCAAAAATGGTGGAGTTCGATGAATGTTCCGTATGTTCTGTTATTCTTCTAGGGGAAAAAGTGGGAATTCCCCGCATAATCTCTCCGCAAAAGTCAATTTTTTATTACTATTTTATTATATTTTATTACTAATTTTTTTATACTGGGGATATACAATGTAATGATACCTCGTGAACTCGTATTAATTAGTATTTATTTATTTATTTATTTAATAATTATTCCAGGTTTCCAAGGTTATTACATGTAAAACAAGGTAGCTCTAGTCATCACGCTACTCTGATGTGCATTAAAAGGAAAATTCCCACTCGTTTGCTCCTGCCCCTATATCTTCCTGGGTTATCCCCAGTTTCTTCTTTCTCTTTTTTTACTTTTCTGTTGAACTTCCTCTTTAACTCTCTGGGAATCTTTCCTTTGGCCTTTTCTTACTTCCGACTTCCATCATGGGGTACGTCGTTGGAAATATCTACATCATCACCACGGTGGCCGTCATTGGCGGTGCACTGTTTGGTTTTGATATTGCCTCCATGTCAGCTATGTAAGTCAATCAACCCTGCTTTGGAATATCCCTATTCCTATCAATCCTTTATGCTCGTTGACGACAACTAACACATAACTTGTGATATAGTCTTGGCACCCAACAGTACAAATGTTTCTTCAACCAAACCGGCATCAGCGATGGGGCGTGTGGTGGACCAACCTCATCTACTCAGGGTGGTATCTCGGCCGCCATGCCAGGTGGTTCCTTTGTCGGTGCACTGATCTCGGGTTTCATCACGGATTGGATGGGTCGTAAGATGGCTATTCAGACTGGTTCAGTCATCTGGTGCATTGGTAGTGCCATCGTCTGTTCATCCTTCAGTATTGGTCAACTTGTCGCCGGTCGTTTCATCAATGGTCTCTCGGTCGGTATTCTTAGCGCCCAAGTCCCCGTCTACGTCGCCGAGCTGGCCCAGCCAAGTAAACGTGGACAGGTGGTGGGTGCACAGCAGTGGGCTATCACCTGGGGTATTCTGATCATGTTCTACATCTCCTATGGCAGTAGCTTCCTCACTGGTAACGCTGCCTGGCGTCTCCCTTGGGGTCTTCAGATGATCCCTGCCGTCTTCCTCTTCTTCATGTTCTTCCTGCTTCCTGAGTCCCCACGTTGGCTCGCTAAGCATGACCGTTGGGAGGAAGCCCACAAAGTCCTTGCTCTGGTCCACGCCAAAGGAAACGAGAACGCGCCATTCGTCTTGACTGAGTTGCAAGAAATTCGAGAGATGGTTGAATTTGAACGACAGAATGCCGACGCCTCATACATTGAGCTTTTCAAGGGCCACATGATTTATCGCACTCATGTTGGTATGTTCACCCAGATCTGGTCTCAGCTGACCGGTATGAATGTTATGATGCTGTACATCACCTATGTCTTTGGAATGGCCGGTCTGTCAGGAAATGCCAACCTCGTCGCTTCCTCCATTCAATACGTCATTAATGTAGTCATGACCATCTTCGCGTTGCTCTTTATTGACCGATGGGGTCGTCGAACTCCACTTTTGGTGGGTTCCACCTTGATGATGATCTTCATGTTCGCCAATGGAGGTATCATGGCATCGTATGGAGTGCCTGCGCCAAAGGGTGGTGTGGATCATGTCGCTGAGGAGTCTTGGGACTTGTCTGGTTCCCCAATGGCTGCCAAGGGAGTTATTGCATGCACCTATCTATTCGTTGCCAGCTATGCACCCACTTGGGGTCCTGTCAGTTGGATTTACCCTCCTGAGCTCTTTCCTCTGCGACTACGTGGTAAGGCTGTGGCTGTCTCCACCGCATCAAACTGGATCTTCAACTTTGCTCTGTCCTACTTTGTGCCCCCTGCATTTGAGAACATCCAGTGGAAGACCTACTTGGTCTTCGGTGTCTTCTGTTTTGCGATGACTATTCACGTGTACTTCTGCTTCCCTGAGACCGCGGGTAAGACTCTCGAAGATGTGGAAGGCATGTTCACCACCCCCGGTCTTCGGCCCTGGAAGACCAGTGTCCAGACCCAACAGGTCCGGAAGTTGGAGCTGGGTGAGGTTCAATCAGAGAAGATGGCGGAGTTTCAAGTTGAGGCCGTCGGCGAGAAAGGCAATGCTCCGGGGACTCAGACTGCGTAGATGAAATTTGGCTTTGAATTTGGCTACAGCCCAGTTCCGCGAGTCAACTCCCACTTACTTGGGTTTGGTTTCTCCCCTTCGTTTTTCCACAGTTTCTGTGTCTATCATACTGGATAGATTGGCTTGGCTCTGAGAACATTTCTCAAACAACTCGCAGCATCCATGCTTCAGAACTTGCCGCTTATTTGAAGTTTCATGCAGTTGAATACCATAATGGTTCTAATCTTCATGTCCGCGTGTGCAAATATGCACATGTGTAAAGTCTTGACTCGGATGTATATCCTAATATTAAAGTTTTCCAACAAAATTTGAATTAGTAAACACTAGTTAGCACACCAAAAAGAGAACTGCAATAACCTTGGAAGTGAATAAACATTATTTGAACCTTGGAAGCTTCATCTGTTTCAGCTTTGTACGAAAATAATATCATTGGCAGCTGCTATCGCCTTCTATGGAAGCACCATGTGGAAGCCTGAGCTTTTTCAGCCTACGGACCTCTGGAGTGACCTTGGAATCTGTATTGAATTGCGGATTCTACGATTCCAACCTTGTCCAGGTGGAAGGTTGAATCCATGCATGATACCTCAGCCCTGGAGGCTATATTAGGTACGAATAAGACCAGGCATTTTCAAATGATGTACCGGCCCAAGTTCAAATCATACCCAGATGATGTTACTACCCCGCTCGATCGGCCTCAATTCATATCAACTTGAACCATCATCCTGATTCCTTACTACCTATACTCAAAGATCCCAGACCCACTTATATTTGCCGCTCTTAGCTCTCTAAAGGGAACTACATGCAATGAGCACTGCTATAATGCCGCAAACTCCCACTATCTATAAACTCTCAAACGAGATCCTCTTTATGATAGCGGATCATCTTGATGCGTTCAGTGTCATCTGGCTGCGACGTTCCTGCCAGCGCTTTCGTGGCGAAATACCGCCTCCTACTCACTTGAAGTTGATAGAGGCAGAAACTACTCAATTCGGTATAGAGAATGATCTATACGCCTGTCAGGATTGTCTTAGATTACGACCAAGAGCAAAGTTTGCGGATAAGATGGTGAAAAAAAAGGGGCAAGGAAGGAGATAGTGCGTCCCAACGGTGGTGTGTTGACTGTGGTATTAACCCACGCCCAGGCACTAATAGATACGTCCCCGGCAATATCATCACCATTTTGGGGCACAATATGTTATATGCTTGCAATGTCAAATATTCAGAGAGGGTGCTTCACTGAACGGGAAGTCTCTACGTGTATGCCAAGTCTGTTGGCGACTTAAGAGGGAAATGGAGGAGCGTGCAGAGGCTCACAGAGCACAGCGAGAAAGGGCCGGACTGCGAGCTAAACAAGCTAAACGAAGAGCCACTTCCGATAGTGATTATAGCGGTGATATGATCCTGTCGAGTCCTACAGCCTGTGAAAGGGTTATGGAGATGGTCCAGGCCGAAGCTGCTAGGTACATGAACAGCCCGGGGCCTAGTGATTGAACATGCTTGTTGTGTCCAGTTCGTATGGAAAATTCTACACAGACTGAAAATCTCAAGTCCTCTCGTCTATATTCGCGTGATATTGATACGCGTATCATGAAAAGTCTAGTATTTAACCTTGGAGATCTGTTAGACACCAAACGTAAATTTAAGTCTCATCCAAGCTTGCTTTAGAGAGGAAATAGTGTCTCAACAACCCAAACATGGAAGGCAATAAAGGTCATTACTGTACTATTCAGCAGATCTTTGCGAGCCACTGAAATCCGGATGACTTTCTTGACTCCAATTCTGAGCCATACCAGCTTGAATCCAAGACTTTAACAAGACCTGGATTGATCAAAATAAGTGTGAACACTAGCACTGGAGTATCATGCTCGGGATTTAATATCATAGTTCAACTTTGCTCTGCCCGTGCTAAAGGTTTTGAGCAGACAATGCCTCGAATAGCAATTTATAATGCTATATTTCTTATGAACATACAAAATATTCAATCTTCTGACAATTAGCTTCCTCCATCACACTCTTTTGATAACTGTCTTCTGCGAAAACGCTCGCGGTAAATGAGCAGCCTATCTCACTTCATGGGCAGCCTCCCTATGTTGTTGCATTTAATCTTCCTTTCGGGATTATTGCGCAGCATCGTTCAGCTCCTTGGCCACCTTGATGCCAACTGTCCGTCCCGAAAAGATGCAACCACCTAGGAAAGTCCCTTCGAGAGAAGCGTATCCATGAACTCCACCTCCTCCAAACCCAGATGCCTCACCTGCAGCATACAATCCTGGGAAGCATGAACCATCTGGTCGAAGGACGTTACCATCCAAATTCGTCTCCAAACCTCCTAACGTCTTTCGGGTCAGAATATTCAATCGAATTGCAACTAATGGACCATGCCAGGAGTCAGTCACTTTGTGGAGCTTGACTACTCGAAACAATCGATCTGGCCAATAGTTTCTCGCGTTGCGGATAAGCATTATCTGTGCATCCTTGGTGTATGAATTGTCCAGCTGGGTATCACGAAGGTGAATTTGATGTTGGATGTCTTCTACTTTGAGCACTGGCCCACCACGTTCCTTTGCCAATCGGTTCATACCAGCAACCAAATCAGGAAGATTTTTCTCCACAACAAAATCCGCGCCTTTGTCCATAAATGCCTGGATCGGTCCAGTGGGGTACCATGAGAATATGCGCTTCAAGGTTTGAAGGATACTTTTGCCAGTGATATCCGGGTTTTGCTCCGAGCCTGAGAGAACAAATTCATGGCTGATGATGCTGTGGTTGAGAATAAACCAAGTGTAGTCAGAACCACTGTGACATATGTGCTTGAGTGTGGCAAGAGTGTCACTTCCTGGGTAAAGCATCGGTGGTAGTCGATTTCCTGCCGCATCTAACCAGAGTGAAGATGGCCCTGGAATAATGCGAATCCCATGTTTTGGCCAGATGCTATTCCAATTGCTGAGACCTTCTGTGTAATGCCACATGCGATCACTATTGATCACATTAGCTCCCGCCTCATGAGCGATGTCAATCATATGGCCATCGACATGAGCTGGGACACCAACAACAAAATTAGATGGGATGGCACCAAGTCGGTCAACAGGCCAATTCTTCTTGACCAGATCGATATTTCCGCCTATGCCTCCACTGGTTATGATAACCTTGCTTCCACGGATCTCAAACGTATTAACGCTCTTCCGACTACTTGCAACTCCGCGCGCGGTATTTGATGGCTCAAGGACTTCGCCCCGAATACCGATAGCTGCACCGGTCAGCTCGTCGACAAGTATAGAATTGACGCGGTGGCGAAATTTGAACTCGATTATTCCTTTCTTTGCAGCCTCTCGCACGGGTTTCTCGAAGATATCGACAACTGCTGGGCCTGTGCCCCATGACGCGTGAAATCTCGGTACCTGAAGTTGTTTCCATTAGTTCCAGTCTCTGTTGATCGAAAAAGCTGTTTAACTAACCGAGTTTCCATGTCCCCCAGCAGACCCATCACCTCGTTCGGCCCAGCTCACGGTGAAGAGATTCAACCCGAGAGACTTCACATAATTCTCAAAATCACCCGACGCAAATTCGACAAACGCTTTTGCCCATTTCCTCGGCCAATAATCGCAGTCGCGATCAAATCGTGCCGTGCTGAACCAGTCCTGTAGCGCCAGCTCTTGGCTGTCCTTGATTCCTGCACGTCGCTGCAGGGCCGTATTTACCATGAAAAGACCTCCCAGTGACCAGAATGCTTGTCCCCCAAGGTTAGCTTCGTTCTCTTGGTCGACAATCACACAGTGGACTTTTTGTTTGGATAGCTCGAAGGCAGCCACCAGGCCTGCAAGTCCGCCCCCGATGATAATGACGGGATTTTTACTCGTCATTTTGTTGTTTGTTGTATGTAAGTGGAGTAAGGATTCAGTGTAAGAGACGAAGGGAAAAGCAAAGGATAGACAGGTGTTGGCTGATTATCGGGTGAACGAATGATTTGAACTGTTGATGATGTACAGATGGTCCCACCTCGGGCTGCTATTTTTACCATGTCGTGCAGATGACACCTGCACATGTCTGAAGTCTTCATAAGTTCAAGTCTCATTTAAATATTCTCGTCAGACTATAGCCGAGGTATCTAGACTAGTAAGTAATTACACATGCACTATGCAACCTGGGCATGATGATAGCTCTTAAGTATTGACGTCAGCTGTGCCCCGGATTATTCAAGCTATCTTTACCCCACTGTGGCGAGATAATGGAGAGATATTATTACAGTATCTAGAAGAATCATGACCTTAAGTATCAGATAGTGGTGGATTTATTTTTGAACAATTCACAGTTAGGAGCAGCCACTAGCATCCCAATCTTGATCTACGGAGTACAGTGAGAATTGAGAACTTAACGTGAGCTAGCAGATTCCAAGGCTCCAATTCTCTCATTTTTTCAATGTAATGAACTACTTATCACCACTTGACTGATCAAATTCGATTTTCTCCAAGCTAGATAACTTAAATTTTCTTTTCTACCATCTATGCTACATAATACTGTAGTGAACTTGAACTCATCAACTGGTGAGTATAGAGCCCCACCACTTGACCGCCTTCAGTCGCACCAAAACCCGCGAGCTTCGCGCGTAAAAAAAACTTTTCTTCCTTTACTCCCCCAGTCCTCAATCTGGGACTGAAAACTCTTGGAAATCTCATGGGAGTTTCAAACCTCAAATTACCTTGAACTTTTCCATTTGGTCCTGCAATTGTAATTCACTTATTAACTGCAGGATTCTTGCTAATCATTAGCACCATGGAGACCCTCGCTGAAACATCATGGGATGTTGTCATAGCAGGGACGGGACTGGCTCAATCTCTCCTGGCCTTGTGAGTTTCTTCTGTTCAAGGCAGTGGACTTGATCGTCACTGACGTGTCCATCTTCCCAAGATGTCTCTCTCGGTCAGGAAAGAATGTCCTTCACTTGGACCAAAACCCATATTATGGTGGAACCGAAGCTGCTTTCAGTCTGGATGAGGCTCAGGAGTGGGTGAACAGTGTCAATCAACGTGGGTTTCTGTCGGAGGGTTCCTGCATCCCCGTCTGTTACTGATCTCTTGCTGCTAGCAGATCCGGGCCAGTCTCCTTTTGAAGAACCCACGATTTTCACTTGTGAACATCCTCAAGACTCTGCGCAGTCCGCTTCCTCCGAACCCAGTTCCGATGGTGGTAACCCTCCTTCGGGCACACGTAGTAGTCACCCGAAGTTGGCAGCCAGTCGAGCCTATACCCTTTCCCTTTCCCCATATTTCCTCTACACCCGCTCGCAACTAATCTCTATTCTGATTTCCTCCAAAGTCTATCGACAACTGGATTTCATGGCCGTGGGAAGCTGGTGGATTCATTCCTCGGAGCAAATCAACACTAATAGTGACGAACGGGGTGCCACACAAGGCTTTCATCGCGTGCCAGGAAACCGTGAGGATGTCTTTGCTGACACTCACATCGGCATAAAGTCAAAGAGGGCGCTGATGCGGTTTTTGCGACACATCAGTAAACCAGCTGATGAAGACTCCGATGAAGTAGAGGAGGATTTGTCAATGCCTTTGGGAAACTACTTGTCTGCCAAATTTGATATTCCCCAAGATCTTCAAAGTCCCCTTCTCTCACTTTCGCTTTCACAGCAACCCCTTCAGGGTACACTTGCTAGTTACGCAATCCCTCGGATCAAGAGACATCTTGCATCCATCGGAGCATTGGGACCGGGATTCGGTGGCGTCATTTCCAAGTACGGCGGCGGGTCTGAGATTCTTCAGGTCGCATGTCGAGCCTCTGCTGTTGGTGGAGGTGTGTATGCCCTTGGTACTGGAATCCAGTCCCTCGCCAACAACGATTCTGATGAGTATCCTGCCGAATTACAACTCTCCAACGGTGAGGTAGTCAAGAGCAAGTGTGTGGTAGGTTCTCTATGGGATCTCCCTCCCCAGGAACCATCATCCACCTTTGGCAAGATTGCACGTTCAATCACTGTGGTATCCTCCAACTTTGTATCATTCTTTCCCGTCACTGTGGAAGGTGCTCCTACGCCTGCCAGTGCTATCCTGATGTTTCCAGGTGAAGCATTGGGCAGCCCGCAGTCGCCGCCAGTGTATTTCCAAATTCATTCGAGTGACACCGGCGACTGCCCCCGTGAACAGAGTAAGTCTTCACCTTTACACTCTCACATCCTCTTTTCCCACGTCTCTCGTATGATGATCTTTTTAAACTTATCTACATTGCCTGTAATTGCATTGATGAAATTATATCACGAACTGATCACGAGTTACACTGTTTTGATTTGATCGAACTTTTTTCTATTTCTCTTCATGAGGCTAATACTGTATATCACAGGTATCATCTATGGCAGTGTATCTATTCCTGGACAAGAAGGCCACTCTCTGTTGGAACGCGCAGTGGAGAAACTCCTTACGGCGGAAGGTCCCGATGCCATTGTGCTTTGGTCTATGCGATACAATCAGCTAGGCCGTCTAAGTAACGACGGATCATCTCCTGTCATCCAGGCTCACTCGTCTCATGTCTACAGCTTCCCGCCTCCTAGCCTAGACCTTGCGTTTGAGGATGAGACTGTAGACATGGTCAAGCAGGCGTGGTTGAAAGTCGCCGGAAGTGAAGTCGATCCTGATGATTTTATGATTTTTGACGACCGAGAAGGCACCTCTGATGAATAAGATGTAGCCTCACGACTTGTCCATTTTCGAAATGGTCGTTTGTACAAACCTGGATAGTCTTTATGATACCTAGACAGAAATGTGAATATTGTCTCTTCAAATTTTTTGGAAATTCTTTCTTTTCTTTTCTCGTTTTCCATAGATAGAGTCCTTAGATATTGAAACAGAAGGGGGAATAAAACAAATAGAGCTCTGTTTCAATAATTTGATTCCCAAGTTCTATACGCCCACCCCCGCCTCTTGAATTGTAGAAAGCTTGTTCTCAGGTCTCGTCAGTTATGCGAGGGAAATATGCAGGGACTTCCATGATCATCCCATATGTGACGTCTCTCAACAAAAACATTTGAGCTAAAATACAATGTTCTGTCCTTGGTACTTTGTACTTTGTACTCCGTATCCCGTACAGAGAAGTTCAGAGAAATGAATGCCACACCGGACATTAGAGGGGCTTCCGGGGCAGCCTGTAATCCGTGCTCAACGCCCTCCAATCTGACTTAATCTGAGAGCGCTTCCAATGTTGAGCCAACCAGAAACTAGAAAATACTGAAAGTGTGAAGAGTGTTATGATTGGATACAACATTGAATTTACTAACTTGAAGGTGAGTTAAATCCCGAAGTACGGATACGGCGTAGACAGGGATTGGGGATTGATAGCCATGTCAGTTACTCCAGATGGCCACACTACTCCATAAGACTACTCCATAAGCAGCCTTCCAAGCTTGGAGTACACCGTATTGAGTAGACCCTTCGCGATAGCGATTCAGGATGGCGATATATGGCATCATTCACTAAACTACTCAACATTTCAGAAGTAGCCTATTATATTAACATCTACGGAGTAGAGTACTCCTCACTAACTTACTCCTGAAGTTAAGAATTATGCATAACTAGTAGTACTCCGTAGTACTATTTTGTTATATTTCCAACATTTGAACCTTTGAACTTCCCTTTACTTTTCAGGGTTTCCAAGGTTGCGGCAAACACCATCAACAGGGACCGACGATCAGGGGCCTTAGGATCCACTTATGGTGACTTTTGGTTCGTTTTGATTTCAGGGTCTTGTATCCTTGTACTACGGAGGTCGGTCCGGAAAGTTCTCGCCAGAAATTATAATTTCTTTTTCTCACACTAGGCTATATACAGTAAATATTGAAATATATCGCGTAATCAAGATGTATATAAAACGGAAATATATAGTACTGAAATATAATAACAGCTTGAAACAGTAAATATTCACATATCTTCCCATATATCGCTGTCGCTGTCGCTGTCGCTGTCGCTGTCGCTGTCGCTGTCGCTGTCGCTGTCGCTGTCGTTGCCGCTGCCGCTGTTATAGGCGTTATCACCTAACCCGCTAGGGGCTACTTCACCTAATTTATCACGCCCCTCACCGTATTCGTTGCCCCCTTCTAGTCTAATGACTTGCTGTATATGCCATGGTATACGTTCAATCCAAGCTTGAATTTGCGCCTGTGGTAGATCACGCCACGCAGCCTCCCATACTTTAATCCCTTCTTTACGCGATTTAGGTGCTCCTTTTCGCGTAGTGTATCTCTTCATCCAAGGCCATGCAGGTTCAATCATATTTAGATCAGGCGAATTTCCAGGCCAGATCATTCGTTGGACCCCCATTATATCAAATATTCGCTGTTGGTAGTGATGTGAATGGGCTGGTGCTTTATCCTCTTGAACTATTGTTTTCGTTCGAATTCGAGCACATTCTTGGGCGAATGGAAGTAGTTTTGGGGCTAAAATCACGGTGTTGTATCGGTACCAATCGATTCCACCTTTCGAATTGCGTGCAAGCTTTCCATTCTTCTGAGTCCATCTCCACTGAGGTTGTCTTCCAGGCTTATTGCGTAGCCCTAATCGCTGTATACCTGAATTAAGCTCCCATTCTGCACGCATAATAGGCTCTAATTCAGTATTCCATTCGGCGATTTGGTGTTCTGCTTCACGCTTTTGGGCTGTAGTTTCAGGTACCCAACAATGACAGGGGCCCTTCTGATCATAAGAAAAAGCACCCCAAAACATGAACTCAGAGGCCCCCTTCCAACGTTCTCGAATACAGCTTCGGACGAACCGCTCACTAGAAGTACGCCATACACGATATCCACCCCGACGGTGTAATAAAACAACCGCAGTTTCATCAGTCCAAATCACATTCTTCCAGTCTTCTATAGTCCAATGGGCGTGTTTTAAACACCATTCAAGACGTTGTTTTTTCTGCTCAGCGGCAAGCCCAGGCTTACGTGTAGGCTTTGTTTTTCGTAGGCCAATTTTTCGTAGTACATGCCAAACTGTTGTTTTTGATATATTAATCCCTAATTATAGAAGAAATATTAGAGGAAATAACATATCAAGTAACATATGAGATAACATATCAAATAACACACCAAGTAACACATCAAATATTATACTAAATAACATATTAAATAACACACTAAATAAAATATCAAATCTTAGAATAACTAACCTGATTCACTGCGTAGCTCTGCAGCTAGCTGTTCACATGTTTTCTCACGCCCATAGCGGTCTACACGGATTTTCGCCCCAAGTGTGGTTTTAAGCTCATCTGTTTGCTTAGATGGACGCCCAGAACGTGCTTTATCAGCTAACATTTCATCTGATATATTGAATGGTCGCTGATTCGGCTGAAAACCTCGTTCGAGTGCACGGTTCCATATGTCTCCTATAGTACGCCGTGGAATATTCATAAATTCACTGATCTCCTTAGGGGCATGTCCTTGGGCCCTTAGGTATACAATGACAGCACGTTGCGCAATATTGGTCTTCATTGTAGCTGTATAGGTGGGACAAAAGTGTAGCTGTGTAGGTGGGATAAAAGTGTGAAGGGGTGTACGGACTGTAGGCGGGGTAAAAGATAAAGATCTACGTGTCCACGGGTGTTATAAGCAATATTTAGCCTAGTACGTAACACGGCAATACATCCAATATACAGCAGGCTATACACCTGACATACAGGGCCGGTAATATATCAAGAAAAAGAAATTATAATTTCTGGCGAGAACTTTCCGGACCGACCTCCGTAGTAATATTCAATTCGAAAATTACACACTGGGGCCCATGGGTCCCCCCCTAACCTCAGTGGCTTAGCTTTTAATTTTAAATCGAGTGGTTTTTTTCCTTTTTTTTCTTTTTATTCTTTATTCATGACAGCATTGCCAAGACGGCTGTGGTCGAGCTTAAACAGAAAATTCCAGGGGCTCCAATGTTCATGGGATTCGTCATGGGGGGAACAAGAATGCAAATGCGCGTTGATAATTGACCTTGAATCAACTTCACGCGCTAGACAATTATGGGTGCCTACCACGTACTAGTAACTGGAGTGCGGAGTACAGCCTTACTGAGGACATTTAAAGCGACCAACTTGAATGTGGAACATATAGCCCTGGAGCACTTGAATTCAACCTCGTTCAACGAAGATTGCGACTCGGACCTAGATATGCACTACATTGAAGTTGAAGCATCTGTTATAAATTATACTATAAAGTGACTATAAATCAGACAAATCAACTCGATTCAGATCAATAGCCGTGAACTTGAAACATTTAAACTAGAATCACTTAAGCAGTGACCACCCACATAATTCCGAGTCTCCACGCCACCAATGTGAAACATGTCTCTTTACAAGCTAATATATATAGAACACCAGTAGAATTCCCGTGACGCAGCTGTCTCATGTACAGCATTTGAAGAATAACCTTGGAACATCGAAGGAATCATTCAGATTACTCCGTCAATCTCATTTAAAAGTTCATGGTTCAACTGTCGATCTCGGCCCACCTACCCAGAGAACGACCACGGCTGAAGAAGCATCGCCACTCGCAGTACGAAGGACTCCGTCATATTTCACTTTTGAACCTCGCATATAAGCTTTCAGGGTCTTTCAAAGGGTTATTGATCATAAGGAGACACAGCATGGTCAATGGCGATCATGATCTTATTCAAGTTTCAGATCAAATTGATATCACCAGGGTTTTCAATCCGACTTGAAGTAATCAATACTCGTAGAATGATCTTACCGGTACGGAGTACATGCAGGCTACAATGATTCAAATGTTTCCCCAGGACAAAAGGCCAACCTTGGAAGCCAAGGGGAGTACATGCTGGTAATTGGGAACCGAGGACACGCGTCAGTGGGGGGGGCGGCTGGCCACCTGGACCCTCCGCTCATCGCTGAATGGTCAGGGCGGCTGGACACCACAGCGATCGACCTTCAGATTCATTTTCTGAGCAATTCATGGTATTCCGTGTGTATTGATCTCTTGTACCCTGTAATCAATGTGTCTAGTACAGTTATCGGTGTTTACCCAATGTTCCAAGGTTGCTATCTACTCCGTGCTCTATCATGATCTATAAAACTCGTCCCTGGGAACGGTATGGATACTAGCATGACTGCCCAGGTAATATATCTACATAATTGGGATTAAACTACTCTGTCGTATTGATCTAATTTCCTCTTTCATCTGAAATCATACCTAAACTGGTGTTTCAAATCAACTTGAACTTGAATACTGTAGTGTCTACTATGAAGGGTGACGTGATATATACTCGACTCTTATCACTGCGGCATCATGATGATGCAGTGGGATCGTAGACTCAGAATGACTGTATGAAATATTTTGACTCGAAACATTTGAATACAAAGCATATCATTTTATCACTTGGTAGTATAGAAATCATGATTAAGATATAGCAAGAGCTCAGGGTTGATACCATCAATTAAATGGTACTACTATCAAGCAGTACATAGTATAACCATGAAGTACAAACTAAGAGCACTTGGGTATACGAACTTGAATATCCCTGTCCACCGGATCTAGGATCATCTTCTGATCTTCACGGACGGTGCTCCGACGGGTTCAATGACCGTTGCAGACGATCGAATGGGGTATACCGGGGTGTCCGCATTCAACTTGAACCCGACGCAAACGTCCAGACATTCAGATGTCCAGAACCGCGGCACAGAATACCGAATCCTGTAAAATCACAATACAGATCATATCTAGCAAGATCCCATCAGAAATAAAAAGCAGATACAGAAAATTCAGCACAAAGCAGAAAGGGGGATAGGCGACCAGATTTGCCGATCACCGAGTTTCTGATACAGCGCATGAACATGATGATCTCTCCTGAGCGACCCAGCATTCTTCTTGTGATCAACAGAGGCACAGCAAGAGTAGAAAAATATGTAGAGCGAAATTACTCAGATATTACTTCGTATACGTAGAACCTTGGAAGTTATCATCGATCATACCTACACTTAAGTCAAGTGCGACGTATTCTTGTTTTGTTTCTTTTTTTAGTACGCGAAGAATATACTATAGGAAACACCTAGAATTGTAGGGTGGAACTACTACACAGCCATGGATGTCAATGATACATACATACTGCATTTGGATACTTCAAATGGAGTGTCTAATCTATATCCAGTACAGCTCTGTACTTTCTGAGCATACAATCAAGATTGATTCAATATGGAACACTCCGATATCATACCTAGGTATATCATTTGCAACCTCAATCACACCACCTACGGGAAGACCCACAAGATACTAATAGCAGAAGAGTTCAAAATCCCAGATAAAAAGTCAGTGGAGACCTGATGATCCTATACAATCTTGGGCAATCCTGAATTCATCGAACACATGTGCATCTAGGGCTTCCAACCTTCCGGAACAGTGCCCAGGTGGACTTGAGGGTATATATTACCACGTATGAGGTAATACAAATACACACATTCTCCCTCAGAAGTGCATCCCCCCCTCAACTCTCTCCTCTCTCTCCCCAATTTTAAACTAACTTGACTTCTCTTCTCCCTTTTCTTCTTCTTCCTCATTACTTCTTCACGACATTTTTCTCCCTCTCCACCGTTTCTCTGATCTCGCCCTGGACTCGTTGTCCAGCCGCGTTGGTTTTACCATTGTTTTCTTTTCCTCCTTCCGTACCCCCTTTTTTTCTACCGCGACTTTCCCCTTCGCCTCCCCAATTTGGACGGTGTCGCGGGTCCCGACGCTGCCAGCCTCTCGTTGATTTCCGGCATTTGAAATTGCCTGCCATTCCTTGAAAATTTACCCAATATTTGAAGTCTTAAACTTCTCTCCATAACCTCCCTCTTACCTCCGAGGTCCGATTTCTGTTGTCAGCTCCAGCTGTACGATCATCACGGGAAACAACATTTTCACAAGATTTCCCACCCAGGTCATCCACGCCAAAAATCAACAAGTCGACCAGAATCCGACCCGACTTAATTATCTGAGGGCGCGCTAAATTTCGCCTCCGTCCTCTCCCGCGAATCTGCCTGTACGCTGGGCTGTCCCTCACGTACATGTTCGAAAAATCATCATCTCAAACCGTCAGGATGCCCCTTTTCCGGCTGAAGACGGTTTTTCCGTTGCTCGCTCTGTTGTCGATTGGTGTTTTCTTCTGGTGCATGGAACGTTATGACCGATCGGCACTACTCCGATTCAAGCACCCGGTTGATCATGTCAACCTGGGAGGCAGTCAGTCTCAAATTGACATGTCCACCGATCACCCGCAGACCGGAAACACTTGCGAAGTCGATCCCAAACTTGCCGCCCCGCTTCCCTTCTCAGAATGGCTCCCCCGCAAGAACTATACTCGTGCCTACATCCGCCCTCGTTTGGTGAGCCCCGATACCGAGTTTCACACCTTGGAAGAAATCGAGAAGCCCGTTCTCCCGCCTATGGTCGCTATGGAGCGTGGAATGGTTGTATCTCCCGATAACGCTCAGGATGTCTTTGTCTGCCCGGAGATTATCGATGTTGATGTGGCTGCCGATGATGATGTGGAAGAAACCTCCAAGCTTCTGTTTGGCTTGGCTACTACCGTGGACCGTCTCGATCGCCTGCTCCCCTCCCTCCTCTACACCTACGGCAACACGAAGGCTGGTTTAGTTGTGCTAGTTCCTGAATCAGACGATGACCTGGAGAAACAGGAAACCTACTTCCGAAACCGTGGTCTTGACTTGACACTGGTAGCTTCTTCGCTGGATTTCACCGCTCGTTACTTTGGCATGGTCGAGGCATTCTCCGAGCACATTCGCAAGCACCGCCCCCACACCACCTGGGTTGGATTCAGTGACGACGACACGTTTTTCTTGTCTTTGCCCACCATCGCCAAGGAGCTGAAGCTGTTTGATGAGAACAAGAAGCACTACATTGGATCTCTGTCTGAGGCTAGCTGGCAAGTGGACACCTTCGGCCACATCGCATTCGGTGGAGCCGGTGTCTTCGTGTCAAAGCCTTTGCTGGATGTTCTCATGAAGTACTACGAGGAGTGTCAGTCCTGGGGTGAGCAACCCGGTGACCAGAAGCTTGGCCAGTGTATCCAGCGCTTCGGAGACACCCCGTTGACCCTCTGGCCTTCTCTCTACCAGATGGATATGACCGACCCTGTGGACGGTGTCTATGAATCTGGCCGCAAGATTGAGTCCATGCACCACTGGAACAGCTGGTACACCAAGGATGTGGTGAAGATGACCACAGTCGCAGCTGCAGCCGGTCGCAAGTCCGTGCTCCGTCGCTGGGTCTTTGACCAGGAAGAGACTGTCAACAACGCGACCGGCGAGTCCATTCGCCACTTCTGGGTTCTGACCAACGGCTACTCCCTGGTTAAGTATACCTACGACGAGAGTGTTCCGGATGATGCGATCAATTTTGATGCTGTGGAGAAGACCTGGCCTGAGGATCCCCGTGGATTCGAGGAGCGCCTGGGTCCTCTCCGTCCTGCCGAGGATGAAGGTGTGACTAAGGACCGCTGGTTGCTTCACGACGCCTACGTGGTTGGGGATAATGTACACCAGTTTTATGTGCGTGAGGAAGATGAAGGCCACAGTGTGATTGAGATTGTCTGGCTTGGCCCCAAGGGCGGCGGCGGTGGTGGTCTCAGCGATCACCAGATTCGTGGTACCTACCAGCAATAATTCAAGAGAAAAACGCTCTCTCCCCTGCCAAGTGATGTTACGAAGGCTGGCCCTTGGGTGCTTCTTTGCTGGCCGACATGTCAGCTGTTTCTTTCATTCTTCTCTTCACTGCACATGATTTTATTATTCTTTGGATCTTTCGAGATCCAAGTTTTTATCAACCTCTTATTTCCCTTTTATTCCCAAATTTCACGACGCCAAATTTATTTTTTGCATCGACCTCTCGTCTCTCTTCACCGACCTTTTTTTCTCCGTTCCGGATGAGACTCGTGGTCGTGACCTGAGCTGCGCGTCCTCCGCTTTGTGATTGTTCATTTATCCGGCGTTAGCATTGACGGAGTCGAGTTCCTTCAGGTGCAGAAACCTGGTGGTTTTATGTACACCTTATATCCCGGCCTTTTTCACTACTATGGCCACCTTTCTTTCATATTATTCTCTGGCTACCTCTATACTGGGTCAAAGACAACTGTGTTTATCCCAATGTATATGGCTTGCTCTGTCTTTCTTTTCCCCCTCTCTTCCTCTCTCTCTCTCTTTTTATTTCTATCTCTGATTTTATTATTCCGTCGCGTCTTTCTTTGTGCTCTGGATCTCCGTTGCGACTCGGAGTGAGGCTTCAATCCATGGCTCTGCATATTGTGTTTGTAAAAATAGACTTGAATCGAAGGCCATGTTTGGGTCTCCGTTGGCGATTAGCGTTGAACTGGTTGTTCATTATGCGAAGAATATGATGAGTTCTTATTCCTGGCTGTGTTTGAATTTGTTGCGGGACTCGACCCTCGGTTTAATACCAGGTAGCATAATGAACTACAGTACAAGACTACTACTACGTGTATGGAGAGCATTTGGGTCAACTGGTGTTCCATGTCAACTGCCCAGGCGTATGTGGTTCAAAATGTTCAAGCTAATTGTCAATGAGCGTACATCCATACCTGTGTTTGCTCTGGTGCCCTTGAATATCAGCTTCAACTACGGAGTATCCTACCATGATTCAGGTCTTTCACTATTTGGAATACATCACCGGATCATAGTATATGGTACCTTATTGTCGTACCCATTAGTTACATGGAGGTCGAATTAAACTCCAGTTGAATCGAGGTCCAAGTCACCTGAGTAGTACTACTATAGTATCGAGCCCATTTGTATGCATATCAACATGACAGTCTACCTCAGACACATAGTATGAAAACTACTGGAACATTCAAAATGTTCAAGTTCGGAGTCGAAATGACTGCCTCTGAGTCTTTGGAAAGGAATTCTATTCCCCCTTAATATCTCAATATCTCGGTATGTTTTGCAGGAATCCGTGGGCCGAGACAGGCCCATTACATGCCGGGGCACGGGGAAAGGACACCGCAGATTATTGTACCACCGTGACTCTCAGAAGCATTTGAAGATTAGGGGGGTAGTAAAGTGTCCCAGATGGAATATGATCACCGGGAATATTTGATAATTCAAATTTCTTTTTTTTTTTTCTATATTCTTATTCAAAATGTTAATCTATTTTTATTTGTTTGGGATACAAAAAAGGGTGCCCACTTAGGCAACTTGACGCCAAATTCTCACCTCCGTTCTCAGTGTGGAATGCAGGGAGAGGTCAAGTTCTATAAATTTTACAAAATTAGAATTGCATTCCAATAAATCCATGGAGATGAGTCCTAGTAAAATAAAGAAATGAAGAAATAAATAAGTTAATAGTAGAATAGAATATGTTCATAGTGTGGAAGATAAGAATTAAAGTGAGTTCCAGACCAGAGAAGAGTTTAAACGCTTGACTCGAAACGGATGTAAGCGGAGACAAAGTGGATAAGATGAATTGGCCCCCTTCTATTTTAACCAATCATATTACTACATAATACTACTGACTCAAAGAGGGGGAGGCAAATACCACCTGAAAACGGACTTGATACAGGTGCATTTCAATAATACATACCTTCAGGGAGGGTTAGTATGAGAGTGGAATGAGAAAGAGAGACTCGATAATAATTAATATCATATCCAAGTGTACATGGTTGAATCAGATGAAACCATAATCATTCTCACTGCCCAGGATACCTGAACATCATCAATATGGATAATTCACTTCTATATTATTCACTATTATTGGAATCTCTCATATTCAATCACCAAGGCTGGACAGGGTAGGCTCCACTATGTAATAATACCGTATCACCCAGTCCCACACGTGACTGACCGCCTGCCACATCGCACCTCGCACTTTGCCTTCTTCGCTCTCTTCCCCCTTCCTTCCTCTCCCAACCCTGCGATCCCAAAACGCGTTACTCGATTAGGTATCTTTGATTCCCTTCCCCTTTTGGCCAGCTTCCACCTTATTTTTTTTTTCCCGGATTCTCCAACTTGATTTCTCTTTACTTGATTCTATGATGGCCGATATGTCTGCTGTCGGTGAGGAGAAACTCTCCCCAAACCACGATGACCTGCAACAGACCGGCAACGGCGCTGATACCCGTGGTACCAAACGCGGCCGCATGAGTGCCGAGGACGACGACGATGATGATGATAAGCCTGGCCGTGAGCGCCGTAAGATTGAAATCAAGTTTATTCAGGATAAGTCGCGTCGCCACATCACCTTTTCCAAGCGAAAGGCTGGTATCATGAAGAAGGTACGTCGCGACTCTATATATATCCCAACTCTCTCTCTCCACCCCTCTATGAACCCTCCACCATTTGAAGGTCCCACCCTTTCACTACCTTGCAACAACTTAAATTATTCAACAATTATTGCTTTTCCTCTCAATGCGATCGCCAAGAATACGCGAAAGAACCAAAACATAACTAATCGCGCTCATTTCTTCAGGCTTATGAACTGTCCGTTCTTACCGGTACTCAAGTGCTTCTCTTGGTTGTCTCCGAGACCGGCCTCGTCTATACTTTCACCACCCCCAAGCTTCAGCCACTTGTTACCAAGGCTGAGGGCAAGAACTTGATTCAGGTGAGTTGCCACCCGACCGAAGCTCTCAAGTCAAAAAAGTCACCCCCGCAATATTAACCCACCCCGTCTATAGGCATGCCTGAACGCCCCCGACCCCACCACCAACGAGAATGGTGTGGATGCGCCCGATGTTCCTCCTGAGGCTCCTGAGGATGTTGCCCACAACAATGTCAATGCGCCGCAGTCCAACATGGCCCGTCCTGGTATGCATCCAGGCTACATGACCAATGAACAACAGCAACAGATGGCCTACTACCAGAACCTCCAGCAGCAACAGCAGGCTGGTGCTCAGTATCCTGGTATGCCCGTGGGTGGCCGTATGCCCCCGCAGCACCAACCCACCGCGTAAAAAAACCACTCCTTTTTTACGTCGCTGTGGACGGGGTCCCAGATACTGCGTCTTCCCTTCTGTTTTCCATCTCTCGCGTTCATTTGATACCCGTCCAGCTCTGCTGATCTATCCTCTCCCTTCCATCTTCCTCTCTGTCTCTCCCCTCTCTCTATGGGACCTTTTGACTATATTGCTCTCCGTGGCGTTCGGTCTACTCCCACTCTTGTGAAGTGTATATTGTCACACACTATGATCCCCCCCTTTGATTAGGTGTTCTTGAACACCGCACGTGATATGCTCAGGTCTTGCTTGAAAGAAAAAAAACTCGAGTTCTTGGTGAACCTCGCGTTGCCCTTCCCCATTCTTTGCTCTAGCCATGGCCTTGTGAGGACTTGAAAACAAAAACATTTTACACAAAACCTTCAAAAAAACACAAAGAGAACAAAAGAGCGCAAGCACGCCAGTCAGGACTTGAACGTCATACTTAGCTTTTATGTGATTTCCTTCTTGCCCCCTCTTCCTAGACCAAATGGCGGAGGTCGGTGGTGTTCGTGGTGCATTGATTTGTCGGCGAAGTGGTTCTCTCTTCCTGTCTTCTAAGTTTTGTTTATCTCATACGACCATTATTGATCCTGTTTCCATGTTCAACTTTTTTTTGATTCAGTGTCGTCTAATCTCAAACTGTCTCCTTTTCGTTATCCATTGAGATTTCTTCATCCCGATTTCCCATCTCGCAGTACTCGCGTACTTGTTTCGTGGTATGCGTGCGGTGGGATTCCTGAGAAGCCTTGTATCTTCAATATTATATGGAAAACCGAATGGCTTCGATCTCATTTTTCCCCTTGTAGTTTTCTGACCTATTTAAACATACACGAACATGTGCGGTTAAACCTCAAGTGCTGCACATGTGCATAGTACATAATCATACCTTGGGAAATTGACACGAGACGGTGAGTACCAACCTCAATCATTACAAGGTCCAATGCTTTGTATTTATGTAAAGCTTGGGAATCAATATAGACTTCCATCAATTCCAGTAATTGATCCGATGGTTCGCCAACGTCCAAGGCTGGATGTTCCTTGAAGATCAATTACATGCATCATGATGTGAAAGCATTCAAATGATGCCATACGCTGGATGTTGACGAAGGAAAGAAAATATTAATGAAAATTGAAGTTCTATCCTTGCATTCGGCCGTGGATTGAGATACATGCATACATGCAGACTCGAGTTTGTCGAAGATTGCATATAGAAAAGAGCGTGCAATGGTAAAACCACATAGCTTGTCAACAAGAAGTCGTCTGTCCTAATCACTCAGATTCTTCTTGACATATAAACGTGCACATTGAACAATTCACAAGAAACAGCCCTTCTGACTCAGCCAGTCGGCCACACCCATGGATAGTTGAAACAGTTGAAACAAGTAGCAACAGTGTTACCAAACTCACCTGGGACTCACCTGGGTAGCCACAATCAATATAAGTGTATATACCATGCTGAGCACCTTCAACGAAAGCGATAGCAGTGTTATTGCTGCTTGATGCGGCAGGTTGAATCTTCTAAGCATTCAGATACTCGGAGTGACCAGTCATACACATGTTCAAAAGGTGAACACCGACGCCCTTGATAGAGGAGACGCGGCCCACCTGAGTGGAGTCGAAATCGATACCAGCGAGACTGTCGACCTCAATTTCAAAGGTATCATTGGCACGAATGGCTAGTGTAGAAAGGTACCGGCGAACGGTCGTCTTGAGAGCGGCTTTCTCCCATGATTTAGACACATCCGTCCAGCCCGAAGGCACACGAACTGAGTTGACAGTTTGCTTTGTGCACTGCTGTGGCTGAGAATAACAACTTTATCAATAAAGATTTGTTTTCGGAGCCGGTCCCGGGGTCAATCCAGTGTTCGCCTGGATCATCAAAATCTTTGAAGATTGGAACCGGCTGAGAGGTGAAAACATCATGGGCGAGGGAAGGGTGACCAGAGCGGCCAAAGTTGAGGACTGAGAAATTCATTTTCGGTTTTCAAATTAGGTAGTTTCAATGAATGAAGCAATGGAGCAACTGAAAGAATCTTAGAATTGTTGATATAGATGCAAGGTTATGAGGTGAAGGAGAGATGCTTTTTCGATTCACCAGATGATCAACTTGAGGCATAGTGATGCAGCGATATGACAATTCAATATAGTATTCCAAGGTTGAGACCAGGTGTACCGGATCACCTCAGGCTGATCCATTATCCGGGAGAGACATCACCTTCTGCCTCACTCCTATACACACTACTCCGTACACAGTAGCATGTTCCGTCCTCCATCCTTCTATCATATACGCATCTTCGAAGGGCCGCGGGTGTCTTCGGACAGTCAAAGCAACGAGAACCTTTAAGTTGGATTATGTTGCTTTTCGCATGTTAATTCCACGGGAAAAACACTGGCAGTAGTAGAAGGACTGGTGAAGCTCTGGACTGCGCCGGTGGGTCACTGTATTCTTCAAAGGCAACGCGCTAATGTATGTTCGAAGGCTCCACATGATATTCTCAACAGTTTCACGATGCAAATTTCTTGGAAACTTTAGCCCAGCTTGAAGGATTATTCTTCATAGTCAATGATATGCACGCTTAATCAGTTGGTCAACGGTTCCGATTTGGGAAAATGGAGAGAATGACTCGGAGTGTTCAGGTGTGGGGGGTGGCGTGAACGCCTTCCCGCTTTAAATCCACAACATACTCCGATTATCCGATATGCCAACTCAATTTGAGTGTACCTGAATGTTGACATCGGAATAATGGGTCTGCTCTTTTTAATGAGGACTATATATACCTCAATTTCAAGTTCTCAATGTCTGAAAATGTCACCTACAGTGAATTTCTGCAGGCTGCAGATGGTCGTTCTGCCGCTCGGATCCATACTGCAAAGACAGAGAAAGTTCTATTCCCCTTTTGTCAGTCGCTTAAAATCGAATCCACGAAACCCCTGTCGATCTTATTGAATCACCTGAAGCAGCCAGTGTGTTTGAAGGCACAGAAACTAGAGGGCTAATACCAGTTGACCAATACCGAACTCCTACTATAATGACAGGGCTCAAACCAATCCCCCGTTCATACGTTCAAATATTGCTCCACTTGAGGGATGCTGCATAAATTCAGAATTCTTTACTCTTTTACGGATCAACTTGAAAAAATGCTATACAGTTGAGTGGGGTAGGCCCCTGGTATTGGAAATGACCTTCATGTCAGCGTGCATCAAATGGGCTACGAGACTTGCTTTAAAGACACGCGTCCCAGGATGAGGATGTCTGTCAATGGACTTGGCACCTAACTATTCAGCTATTTACGTATCAAAATGACCTCCAGACAGAGTTAGGTATGGGACGGTATTTGACCATTTCTTTCCGACGCCCTGTCTATGGGGTTTCCCAGCTAATAGCATTCAAATGTTGGAGCATGCTTGATAGCCCTGGTCGCTCTACATCCAGCTTACAATTCTTCAGGACTTGGACTGCTATTCAATATGTTTCTCTGTGAATTTCCCACCCGATGGTTTCATATACATTGGCCCCGGGATCCTCGACCCACCCCCTCCCCTGGGCAGTTCGGCAAAGGAAAGAATTTGACGTCCGAGCCCCACCGGCACATGTGTATGAAGTACCCCTATACAAGAGTCGAAAGAATGTATATAAGAAGAGGATTTCAGAAATCATCTTTGAACTTGACGAAGTGCTATATTTCATCACTTGAATGCTGTTTTCAAACTAGCATTCTACTGGAACGAATATCAACATGCTCACCAATCACTTGACATTCGGGCTGGCTTCAATTGCCGCAATACTTGCACCATTCGCAAGTGCCGAGCTTTCTGGCACCGTCGGACCTTTGACTACCGCTACTGAAAAAGCTGCAGTCAAGACTTGCAATGTTCTGGACTATGGGGCTGTCGCCGATAACTCCACGGATGTTGGCCAGCCGATAATCGATGCCTTTGCAGACTGCGGCTCCGGTGGTTTGATCTATGTTCCTGAAGGTAACTATTCCTTGCAAACTTGGGTGTCTTTGTCCGATGGCAATGCCTGGGCCCTTCAAATAGACGGCGTTCTGTGGCGTGGAGCCTCACCGGCTGGTCAATCATACATGTTGGAGATCTCTGGAGGGAGTGACTTCGAGTTATTTAGCTCCAACTCTGCAGGTGCCATTCAAGCTAGTGGATACCTTTATCACATCAATGATACATACATTGGTCCGAGAGTGTTGCATATCGACGGAGTCTCTGACTGGTCTGTTCACGACTTCGTTCTTGTCGACTCGCCAATGTTCCACTTTGTCATTGAGGGCGATTCTTCCAACGGCGAGGTCTACAATATGGCTATCCGAGGAGGTGATTCAGGTGGCTTGGATGGTATCGATGTCTCTGCCATCAATGTTTGGATTCATGATGTATTTTTTTGCTTCCATTCTCCTTCCAGTTATCCTCATCCTGCCATTCTCTTTTGTTTTCACTCTGACCAAGCGGGAGCTCAATATTAACGTTGACTTGATAGGTCATGGTCACTAATAAAGATGAATGTGTGATTACTAAGGTACTGTCCCTCCAAAACAACATGACCTCAGATACACTGGCATGGACTAACTAGTTATACTTCAACAGATTGGCTCAAAGAACATTTTGATTGAAAGCATATACTGCAACATTAGCGGTGGTTGTGCAATGGGCTCCCTGGGATCTGGAGCAAATGTCAGCGACATTACATATCGCAACATCTATACTCTATCATGAAACCAGGTGTTTATGTTCAAGAGTAATGGAGGTTCGGGAGAGGTAAAGAATGTTGTTCTTGAGAATTTCATCGGTCAGAAATCCCTTTCTACCTAGTATCAGTCCGGCATAGACTAATGATCGTGATAGGCCCTGATAACGCCTACTCCCTGGATCTGGATAGCTTCTGGAGCAGTATGAGTGCTGTGGATGGGGATGGTGTCAGCTACAGCAATATCACTTTCAGTAATTGGAAGGGTGATGAGTAAGATGGCGAGAGCCGGCCGCCGATTCGAGTGATTTGTCCCCCTGAAGTGCCATGCACTGATATCACGGTTCAGAATGCGGATATTGCCGCTCAGGTCGGAGGGTATATTCAATATGTCTGTGAGAACGCATATGGATCTGGTTACTGTGTCTCAAATAGTACCGATACTACTGCCACTTACACTACCACCTTATATGCCAGCCCGTCGCCCTCTGGATACTCGGCTCCTACAATGGCTGCGGATCTCACTGCAGGATTTGATGTCACTCTTTCTATCCCCATCCCAACAATCCCCACATCCTTTTACCCTGGAGCGACTCCATACAGCGCACTTGCGGGCTCTTCATAGAATGGCGGAAATCCCAACTAAGTCCAAGGTGGACCCTCCTGGGCAAATAAACAGTATGTGATATGGCATGGAGTGTGTCCGAAAACTATATAAGAAACTGGAAATGAATATAATGTTCTAAGAGTGCCATTATTACTACTACATACAGAAAAGAATAGGATTATGAGCATGTAAATCCCTAGTATACATGGCGGAAGGAAAGCAAGACCAAAGTGGCTGTTATGAAAATCTCAAAGAGATGATGACGGCCCCTTGAGACCTGGCCCGGGCCCATTCTCCTCGCTTGGATCTTGATCATCACCCGTCCAAGGAAGATGAGCCTCAGAACTAGGTAAAAGGGGAGAAGAGGCACCGCCTCGCTCGTGTGGGTCGGACCGATCACCCGCCTGCGGGCTCGTCCATCGGGGCAAATATCGTCGGCCACGCTGCCAGGTGGCTAGCAGCATTCTTCTCGAACCTGCGAGAAGGCTGGTCTTAGGAGCTTGATCTTGAACATGTGGAGCTTCATTGCGTTCTAGGCCACGGTTCTCAGCTTCTTGGATTGTTCCATACCCATCGGCTCCCCAGGCATTCCATCGCTTATGCTGAGAATCCACGAGTCCACCCCAAGGCATAGAGGATCTTCGCCACGGGTTCTCGTGATTTGGTGCGCGACCGCGATGAGAGCCACGTACACGTTGGTACGACAGAGGTCCTATTGTTGAACGGCAGCCATGGCTGCCTATTGGTCCTCGGAGTGCCACGCTGCTACTAGAACTGCGACGTCGTTCAGTCAAGGGCGATTGTGTGGTGGCAAAATCATAGTCTGATTCATCAAGCTCTGCCCAGATAGAAGCTGTGTTAAGATCTGCAGATTCGTGTTGGTCGAGTGTTTGAACAAGAGGAAGACTCGGAGCTCGGGCTCGAGGGTGGAAGGGAGGCTGTCGGGACCTAGTGCCTTGAAGCAGTGGTTCCCGTTCTCCAAGACGCGATTCCTCGTCGACCAGGCTGTCCAGCAGCGCTGAAGATGACGAGGAGCGTTCCTCGGTAACTCCCATACCCGGACCAAGGCCGGTCTGTGTAGGTCCCACAACAGTGACACCTGAATGAGCGTCAATGTCTTCCAGTCGCCATGATAGACACAGAACACCACAAAGAAGAACAATAGTCCCCAATGCAATAAGACCGGCATGGAATCCTGTTAGTTGAGAAGCCTGACGGAAGTAAATTAGACCGTCCAGGATAGCAATGATGTTGTAAATGCAGAACACAAATGGATATAACACACTGGTGCTGCACAATTTCAGCCCCCGGTGTAAGTAAAAGAGCTGAGTTAACGCCAGCGTGATCATGCCAATGAGAATAACCCAGGACTGCCAACGATTAAACTGATTCTCACCATCGACCACGGTGCGTACCAGTAGCTCCACTGCTGACTTGGCAAGTAGTAAAGAGTGGGCCGATAAGATTCCGCTCACTGCTCCATAACACATGCCCCGGAACAACTTCACTCTGCTTTGAAGACGCAGTAGATGCGGTGTAAAGAGACCTGCGGCAACAGGTTTCCCTCGGGATCCCGGCAGTAGGTATCTTAAAAGCTTCGAGCCGACCAGAATGATCAGCACAACTATCAAGGTACAACCCAACCATATGAGAAACGGTCGGCCTTTGAGTAGGATCAAAAGCTGGTTCAATGAATGCGCCGGCTCTCCGACGGCGCCAAAAGTCGCGATTAAAACAGCGCCGATACAGACGAGGACGGTGCCGGCAAACGAATATCGTGTGAACGCTTCACCGAGGATGAGGGTCGCAAAGATCGTATTAAAAACAAGTCCCGACTATTTCCATAGAGCACTATGTTAGTTTATATGCTTTTGAGGGGAGACTGTGGGAATAGAGGAGAACAACTAACTGCTTGGAGTGTAGAAAGGACTGGCAATGGTAATGTAGTGATCTGAATAGTACTGCCGACAATATTCGAGATCACAAACATGGCCATGCCCACCTGCCATCGGCGGCGCTTATAAGGTGGTCGACGCACATCGTATGGGTGTTTCTCATCCTCGAGTAGATGGGACTTGCGTTGGAGAGTAAGTCCGATAGCCTGCAAGCTGGTTGAGACGAGTCCAACTAGAATCCCGACCTAGAGAAGTTACGTTGCATATTAGCGACTGAATGATTATGCACAGATGCATTATGACTTACCGCGACACTACCCTGTGGTGATAGGTCACCTAGATTGCCCATCTTTCGAATTTCTCGTACATCGGGGTGAAGCGTAGAAGTGAGCTGACTATCGAATGCAGACAGAAGCCATGATTTCCCGTAGGAGCTCCTTTCCTCTCTCTATCGTTTTCGTTTATATCTTTTTGATCCCTTCTTTTTTTTCTATTCACTTGAAAATAGGGAATAAGAAACAAGGATTAACAAGGGTTCAGTAGTAACAAGTATGAAAGTATGAAGTAACAGGGGAGAACGAGGGAGAAGTTGCGGGACATTGGATGCGGACCGCCAAGGCAGATTGGAGCTTAGTTGGACACTTGACCTCCCTTCTCTCCCCTCAACTCCCTCTTTAACCCCCCCCAACGTCATTTTATCCTCCAAGAACTCCACATAATTGATTCATCATGTCGCAAGGTCATGCCCTTTCAGATGATCAGGTGAGTTACTCCAATTTGATACTGGTATTCCTCCCCAATCTCCCGAGCTGCAGGCTAATGCCCGGATTCTTCCTAGGTCGCGGGTGAGCTCCGCAAGATGACCGCGTTCATCCGACAGGAAGCTCTGGAGAAGGCTCGGGAGATTCAGTTGAAGGCAGACGAGGAGTTCGCCATCGAGAAGTCCAAGTTGGTGCGCCAGGAAACTGCCGCCATTGACGTGCTCTACGAGAAGAAGTTCAAGCAGGCCGCCATGTCGCAGCAGATCACCCGTTCCACTCTCGCCAACCGAACTCGTCTACGTGTACTCGGCGGTCGTCAGGAGCTCTTGGATGAGCTCTTTGAGAAGGCCCGCTCCAAGGTGGCTACCGTATCTTCCGACGACAAGAAGTACCAGTCCACACTCCAGGGATTGATTCTCGAGGGCCTGTACTATCTGAATGAGGATAAGGTCTCTCTTCGTGCGCGCAAGAAGGACTACGAGGTTGTGAAGAAGGCTAGTGAGGAGGCGGCCAAGGAATTCAAAGACAGTGTAGGCTCGGAGGTTACCGTGAGCTTGGACGAGTCGGAACCGCTGCCGGAAGGCTCGTACGTATCTCCTGAATCCATGACCGATATAATTCCAGTCATTGATGCTAATGTTCATTTTACCTATACAGAGCGGGCGGCGTTTTCATTATCGGCGGACAGGGCAAGATCGAGATTAACAACACCTTCGAGGAGCGTCTGCGACTTTTGGAGATTGATGCTCTCCCAAGTGTACGGAACACACTGTTTGGAAAGAACGTGAATCGACGATTCTACGACTAAGAGACACTTCGGCTGTCTTTATAGGTCATATTGCTAGATTGTTCTCTTTCATGTTGCATAGTTCTCGGGCTCCTTCTGGTCCCTGGTCTTGGACATCTCTATAGCTCTAGAGAGGAGGGGGCTTGTATTTCTCTTCCCTTGTTTCGTTCTTCTTGATCTCACATATATCGGGCCTGAAATATGGTCAATATCCCCTTGAGCGTTTGTCTGGTTCATCTATAGTTGCAGAAAATCTCGGTAACAAATGAATGCAAATAAGATTATGTCTAGTTTTATCAGTAACATTTGAATCATCATAGTCATCATAAATCAATAATCATAAGTAGGCTCCAAAGGTTTCATCAAGCCAGATTCAATCCCGCTCTCAGTCAAATCACAGTTCGCCGTTCATGGTCTCGTTTCCTCGAGTCCACAGGTGTGAATAGCAATCCGTGGCTTGAAAAGTTCCCCAATATTACCATCTCTTCGTGGAGTGTCAGATGCAAATAGCATTCTTTTGCTCGGAGGTGGCTTCGACCGCACAGAATATAACATGCGGTAGTGCACCCTCTCTAAAGCTTCTTTTGCCAGCATTCGTTTGAGATGGGATGCACCGGCATCTTCAATCGCACTAAAGACTCCCTTGATCTGAGCGGCGATCTTGTCAATCGCCGCATTGTAGTCTTTCTCTGCACTGTGGTCTTTCTTCGCATTGTGGTCTTTCTCCGAGTCTTTCTTCGTATGAAAATTCAGGTCATAAATAGTACTGTTGATTACTATGTCTAGTAGCGTAGACACAGCGATCAACTGGCCATAATCATGGCCGGACTTTTTGTATGATTTCACTTTGAGACGCTTATCGCTGATCAAGAAGAGCGTCAGGCGTTTCAAATTCAAAACCTCCTCCACTGGTTCTGTCAATGGGCCGGGTTTCTGAAGTAGAAATGCCATGGCGAGACGGTATCGTAGCAAGGCGGTCCGTTTAGAGGTTGGCAGGATGTGCTGTAGTATCTGGCTTTGAAATTGCACATCCTGGATGCTCTCGTAAACGGTTTTGCAAATTCGATGCATCTAAGTCCTCAAGTTAGTGATCGCCAAAAATACATCGGATTGATTCCTGACCATCATCCCCTCCGAGTCATCATCACTGCCTGGCACAACTTCTAGGAGAGCAGTGAGACAACTCTGCAGCTCCGAGCGAACCATACCATCGGCCGTCAACGAAGTGTCCAAGGCCATGCGCAACAATATTTGGATTGCATGTTCCAAAGAATCTTCCGAAAACCTGCATATTTGTCAGCTGCAGATTTAAGCATAATATGCGAGTTAGAAACGATACAATTGAATGGCATCCCGAAGCAACTCGAAAATTGATAGCATAATTGCTCGGTCCTTCAATGCCGATTTCCGGTAGTTTTCTATAAGCAATCTGTGAGTATATATCCGCGAAAAGAAACGACTTCAATGACTTACGATCGTGAGGATCTTTGTCAACTGGTTGGGAGAAATCCAATGCACGGGGTTTCGCGCCCAAGCAGAGGAAAAGGTCGTCAATGTCATTGGGTTTAATGAGAGATCTGAATTGCCCGGCTGGGCATTGCTTTTTGGTTTCTCGAATTCAGTTATCAACATGGAAAATTTTGGGGTGACTTGGACCAACCGTAACCACACGACAATATGCTTGTCTCAATTCTGCCTTCGGCTCATAGGGTACTATACATCAGTGTCAATCAACAGAACCAAAACCGTAATATGAAGCTTTTTGTACCATGACAGAACAGCCATCGAATCAACTCATCTGGTAGAAGGTTCCGCGAGGCGGCAAATTCCAATATGCCAGACTTAAGCATCCGCTCTCGTGACGGGGTATCTTTTTTATACAATTAGCTTAGTTGATGGGGGTATATTTAATAGTATAGTGAGACAAACCGCGCAGGGCTGCTAGACTTGACCCTGGGTGGAATAAATCACGGGGAAACTCAAACGCAGCCGGTATAATTTGCGCCTGGTTCAAAAACCGCCAAGTCATGTCCTCGTCCAGGGCTTCAGTTCTCCGAACGGCTTCAATGACACGCTGCGCACCCATGCCACCATCATCATCATCCTTGTCTTCCAAAGCGGAAGTCAAGATTTTTTCATGGAGTCCAGCTTTCTCCTGTGTGTTATTACGCTGCGTATTAAAACCAGCCTTCGCCTGGGCCACCTTTCTTTCCGTCTCAACATCGTTGCGCGCATCTTGTAACAGAGAATCAATTGTATTGTTGTATTTTCCCGGAACAGGAAGAGTAGGCCGTAACACAGGAATGACAACTGTAGGACGGCTAACAGTTGACTTGGGCATCAAGGACAAGAGCGGGTCTTCATCCAATGAGTCGTCGGATTCTTCTCCATCAGAACTAATGACCACCTCTTGGCCTCCTCTGGTCACCCGAAGAGACCCTTGGAAGCTGTCATTCAACGAGGGTTGTGAGGCCTCGGCCGCACATGGCAAGTGTTGGGAACTTTTCGCTGGTGTAGGCGTCGGGGTTTGATCCTCCGCTAACTGTGTCGGCGATTCGTCCGATTGTATCAGTGATTCTTCTGATTGTATCGGTGATTCCTCATGTTGAGTATTCGGTCCAGCCGTTGAGTTCTCGTCCTCCGCAAATTGTATCGGCGATTCCTCATGCTGAGGATCTGGTGTATCGGCAGGTGGTGTTTTGGTGGTATATTCGTCGGTAAGATCGATAATCGAACTCGATTTCGACGAGTCTGTGAGCCATGTCGGCGATGACGGTTCGCTTTTACGGACGTGTCTTCGCTCGGGGCTGCTGAGACTTGCGAATGAAGGTCTATTGAAGATACTTCTTCGAGGCTGCATCTTGGTTATGTTCGAAACCGATAGAGAAATCACTCTCTTAAAGAATTGTGAGCTGAAGAGTTGATCCCCGCGTCGCGCAAGACCGGCGCGAAGTCACATGATATCATGATACCGAATTAGGCAATTTCTTTGTTCTTTTTTTGGTTAATGTTCAAAATGTTCAAGGTTGAGAGTAAGTATTTTTTATTTAAAGCTAATAGTAATTTAGATTATTCAAGCATAAGTTGTTTGCCCGCTTAATGAAATATTACTAGTACTAGTAGTAGTAGGAGTGATCTGTTGGATTCGTCAAGGTGACTCTACTGCTATATATTATTTCCAAAGTTCCACTGCAAGACTCAAGTTAACCTCAGCTACTATTACTACTAGTACATCCAAAACCTCGAAGTGCGTCCACGGGTACAACTCCAGGGCTTCAAATGTTGAACTTCAACATTTGATGTTATTACCATCTTATTCTCCTTTGAATATTCCGTACTCCGAACACTCAGCACTTGAGCCATCTCAGGGGCGCCGATCCGATGTATAGATTTTGCCGAATCTGCTGTCGGGAACGATGGCACTGACTCCAGGCTCCACCAGATGCCCACAATACTTGCAGTTCGCGGTCGATCTCGCTGACGACGCCCTGTCATGCTTTGATTGGGCTCTGCGTGGCTCGTCCTCCTGTAATTTCGCTCGCAAGCTTAGCCCCGCCTATGGAGTCGAGACTTCTGGTATGGGTACTGAGTACAGTGCAAATATGCAAATATTGAATGCGGTGCATCTGTGAAGATGTTTATTCTTGACAGCGCTTATGCAGCAAGCAATTCTTCCGAAGGCAACTCGAGCGGGAATTTTCCACTGGGCCACTAAGAAGCCCAGGTGAAAGATATAAGCGAGGAGGTCATTGGCAATTTACTTGGTGATCATGGCCAAGGGTGTGGCGCCGCCCAGGAGAACCACAGGTCACATAGTGCGCTCAATCCCCAAACGACTCCATTATGGACCGTGAGCTTCCGGCCTTGCAAGAAAAAAAAGGGGGGCGGCTCCATTGTTTTGAAAAAAAAAAATCATCCATAATTCGTACTCTGCACAGTCATGGTGGAACAAGTTTGTGGATTTTTTTTTATTTAGTATCTCGGGAGCCTACACTAACGAATCTATGTCCAAGTCTAGAGTACGATCATTATGCGCGTCGTATGCCCAGGTGTACAATCGACATTTGAACATTTTGAATTGGATTTCCAAGGTGATATGCACAGATTACTCAGGGCTGTGTACTTCGAAGTGGAGCAGATTATGTTGGACGTGCCGCCCTCATACATTCAGGTGTCAGGTTCAGTTTCAGGTTCAATGCTACGACGCCATCATCCTAAGCTATATGAATTATGCAAATGTTCAAGTTGTTCCGTACTCCGAGTTCTCGGTACAAGGAGAAGAAAAGAAAAATCTTAACGGGTAAAACGGAACAGTTGATGAATTCTCTCGGGTGGCTTCGGTCCGCTCAAGTAACCACCGTGGCCAAAATTGAAGTAATCTGGCCTTTGAATATTAATGTAAGCAGATTATTGAAATCGAATCAATAATACTAGTACGAGGTGGAAAAATGACGGCACGTTCATCGTGATGGGGCTAGAGGGGCCAAAGTGATGATAACCAATGATAGAATGGAGTTAGGCCTGGGGGTGTCCCTGAAAGCTTGGAGACATGCAGAATTCTCCATATGTACTCCGTATATACGCTACTAAATACTACTAAACACTACTAAATAGTGCGATGAGCGCATAAAATTCGCCCCGGCCCCCTCGGAGCCCATAAATAACAAAAGTAATGCAACGGCCTCCAATGGGCCTTAAGTGGGCTGTGCTTTTTAACCTTGATTGAATATTTCTGTGTTTTGAAATTACATACTGATCTTAATTTGTTCTTTTTCATCATAGAATTATCTACCAAATTTCAACTTCATTGCCACCGTCAAAATCTGAGATATTGAACCAAATAATCAGCTTGAGCTCGGAACACGGATATGTATACGAAATAATACAATACGGATTACTCAGATCGGGAGTGTCGGAGAGTCGGGGACTCGGAGAGCCGGAGCCGTACTACGGTAACTATAGCTTCAATTTGAACTACATAGTGATGCTATAGAATATTAATAAATACAAATAGCATGATGCATGATTAGAGAAGAAGTACAGGATAGCTGAGACAATATAAAACGTCAATGTTTTATATAATCCATGTTTCAAATTGTATCTTTTCCATCTATAGATTCATATCAGGCATCAAGGCATCAAGTCCCTTGCCCAGACTTATGCCAAGACCACGCTTACCAATGGTTATTATACAGTAATTGGTAATTATACCGTAATTATTCCAGACTCATCGTAAAGTAACGCGAGTCCCCATGGGACTTTCACTCCATCATCTCCCTTTCTTCCTACGATCTTGCATCCTTTTTTTTTTTCGTGGGAGATCTCCCCTCTGTCTCGTCCATATCTTGCATGGCCCCTCGTGGGTGAATTCCCTTCCTCCGCCTTCTTCCCTCTTTTTCTTAGTTTCCAATCGATCTTCCACCAGATCCAAATATACCACTTTATCCCTTACCCGTCGAGACCAGTCCCGCCCGATCCCGCCGTTCAATCCGCGCATCGGTCATTATCCTGCGCCAAAACCTACCATTCAATTCCACCCCTAAATGCTATTCATAGTATTCGTTCCGTGATTGTCTATTTTCTCCCTTGGTGGCGCGAGCTTGAACTCCCCAAAGCGACGCCACGTACGCCGTTGGAATCCCCGGCAAAAGGCATCGGATTCATTCTTCCTTTACCATTCCAAGGATCCCACTTAAGTTGTATGCCCTGCCAGGGCGCATCTGTGGCCTAGATGGCTTCCGTACATTTCCCGGGAGAGGAGAACATCGAGGCTGCGAGTAATATTCAAGAGGTCCCCAGCAACATCTCCAAACCGACCCAACGACAGAGATGGGCCACTACGCGACATGCCGGCACCGGTGGTGTACGGAAACGTGTCTCGATCATGGACCGTTTTCACAAGCGCCATGAGCTGAGAGATGAAAAGCGCAGATCCCATCAGAGCACTGCTACCGAGAACTCAACAAACAATGCCTCACCGAATGGCGAAGTGTCCGGCGAGAACCGAACGATCTACTTCAACATCCCGATCCCCGAGTCTGAACGTGACGAAGAAGGTCACTTGAACTTCGCCTATCCTCGAAACAAGATCCGAACCGCCAAGTATACCGCTTTGACGTTTGTTCCCAAGAATATTTGGTTGCAATTCCACAACATTGCCAACATTTATTTCTTGTTCGTTATTATTCTCAATGTAAGCATCCTTCCTACAATGTCTATTTAATATGGGGAAATGATCCCAGAACATCCAATCTCACCCATGTGAGAATGTCTGATGGAAGCTGACCTATAAAAAAAATAATATAGTTCTTTTCCATCTTCGGTGCCAACAACCCCGGATTGAACGCTGTTCCCCTGATTGTGATTATCGTTGTGACGGCCATCAAGGATGCAATTGAGGATTGGGGCCGAACCGTGTCGGATAACCAAGTCAATAACTCCCCGGTATACCGTCTGATCGAATGGAACAATGTGAACTCCACCGAAGATAACATTTCAACATGGCGTCGTTTCAAAAAGGCCTGCACACGGGGAATCATCAAATCTTACCAATCAATGATCGGGCTATTTAAGAAAACGGAGGAGCCAGAAGATGCCGAGGGCGGACAACGACGTGACTCGTTTATGACCACGGCCACTCAACGGGCTTCCGTTTACTCTCACCGCGACTCCCTGGCTGCCGATGTTGCCATTCCGATGACAGATGTTCCCTCACCTCAGCCGGAAGCTCGCGAGGATTGGCCAACATCACCTAACGCTGACAACAAATTCCTTTCACCTGATAGTGCCCTTCGTGACAGCCATGCTGCCCCGTCTTCAGACCGAAAGAATGGAAGTGTGTTGGACCACTCCAAGCAAACTCCTGGCAAGGCCCGTTTCAAGAGAGACTACTGGAAAAATATTCAAGTCGGTGACTTTGTTCGATTGTACAACGAAGACCCTATCCCCGCCGATATTGTTATTTTGTCTACCTCGGACCCCGATGGAGCTTGCTATGTTGAAACCAAAGGTCTGGATGGCGAGACAAACTTGAAGGTCCGTCAAGCATTGCACTGTGGTCGCCAAGTCCGACATGCCCGAGATTGCGAAAAAGCCGAATTCACCATCGAAAGTGAGCCGCCTCACCCAAACCTTTATTCCTACAATGGTGCCATCCGGTGGGATCAGCGAGACCCCAACTACCCGGAAGCGCCTCGTAAGGAAATGGTGGAGCCGGTGAGCATCAACAATATGCTCCTGCGTGGATGCTCTCTGCGGAGTACCGAATGGATTCTCGGTGTTGTCGTTTTCACCGGTGGAGAAAGCAAAATCATGCTGAACTCAGGTGCCACTCCTGCTAAGCGTGCTCGCCTGGCCAGAGCTTTGAACTGGAACGTCATTTACAATTTCATTATCCTGTTTTTGATGTGTCTTGTTGCTGGTATCGTCAATGGTCTGGCGTGGGGTTCCAATGATGAATCTTTGAACTTCTTCGACTATAGCTCCTACGGAGGCACACCTCCTGTGACCGGTATTGTCACCTTCTGGACAGCCGTGATTCTCTTCCAGAATTTGGTTCCCATTTCCCTTTACATTTCGCTCGAAATTGTGCGAACGATTCAGGCGGTCTTCATCCACAGTGATGTGTACATGTACTACGAGAAACTGGGGCTCTACTGTGTGCCCAAGTCTTGGAATATCTCTGATGATGTGGGCCAAGTGGAGTATATCTTCTCCGATAAGACTGGAACCTTGACACAAAACGTCATGGAATTCAAGAAAGCCACAATCAACGGTCGCTCCTACGGTGAAGCCTACACGGAGGCCCAGATTGGCATGAGGCGACGTGAAGGTGCCAATGCTGACGAGGAGGCCGCACAAGCTCGCGCACAGATTGCGCTTGATGGTCAGAAAATGCTTGCGGAGCTCCGTCGCCTCCATGACAACCCGTACCTGCGTGACGAAAATTTGACTTTCATTGCGCCCAACTTCGTTACCGACTTCGAGGGCCAATCTGGTGCAGCGCAGAAGGCTGCCGTCGAGCACTTTATGCTCTCATTAGCTGTTTGTCACACCGTCATCACTGAACACACTCCCGGCGATCCTCCTCAGATTGAGTTCAAGGCTCAGTCTCCTGACGAGGCCGCCCTTGTCAGCACTGCTCGAGACTGTGGTTTCACAGTACTCGGTCGTTCCGGTGACGATTTACTTCTGAACATCATGGGTGAAGAGCGTACCTATACTGTCTTGAACACTCTGGAATTCAACTCGTCCCGTAAGCGAATGAGTGCTATTATTCGCATGCCCGATGGTACGATTCGTCTTTTCTGTAAGGGAGCTGACAGTGTCATCTATTCTCGACTCGCTCGTGGCAAACAACAAGACCTTCGACGCCAGACAGCTGAGCATCTGGAAGAGTATGCAAAGGAAGGTTTACGTACTTTGTGTGTTGCTGATCGACTTCTGAGCGAGGAAGAGTACCAGGCCTGGAACAAGGAGCATGATATCGCAGCCGCCGCCATCGTCGACCGTGAGGACAAACTGGAAAAGGTCTCAAGCGAGATTGAGCAAGAACTGATGCTTATTGGTGGAACTGCCATCGAGGATCGACTCCAGGATGGTGTCCCAGACACCATTCAACTCCTCGCTGACGCTGGTATCAAGCTGTGGGTCCTCACTGGTGATAAGGTGGAGACCGCTATTAACATCGGCTTCTCATGCAACCTTTTGAACAACGACATGGAACTCATTGTACTCAACATCGGCGAACATCAGATGGAGCAAGGTCACCAGGAGCTCGACAAGCACCTGCAGAGCTTCGGCATGACTGGCTCAGACGAGGAGCTGGTTGCCGCGCGCGCGGATCACAGCCCACCGGAGCCTACTCATGCCGTGATAGTTGATGGTGAGACTCTCAAATTGATGCTTTCCGATGAACTGAAGCAGAAATTCCTCTTGCTTTGCAAACAATGCAAGGCTGTTCTTTGCTGCCGTGTCAGTCCTTCTCAGAAAGCTGCTGTCGTCAACATGGTTCGTCACGGTCTCGACATCATGGCCCTGTCCATTGGTGACGGTGCCAACGATGTCGCAATGATTCAAGAAGCCGATGTCGGTGTAGGTATCGCTGGTGAAGAAGGCCGACAGGCTGTCATGTCCTCCGATTATGCCATTGGTCAATTCCGATACCTTCAACGTCTGCTCCTTGTTCACGGAAGATGGTCCTACCGTCGCCTGGGAGAGTGCACAGCCAACTTCTTTTACAAGAACTTGGTATGGACGTTTGCACTTTTCTGGTACTGCATCTACAACCAGTTTGATTGCTCTTATCTTTTCGACTACACCTACATCGTTTTGGTCAACCTGGCGTTTACTTCTCTTCCGGTCATTTTCATGGGTATCTTCGACCAAGATGTTGATGACAGGGTCTCCCTGGCTGTGCCCCAGCTCTACATGCGAGGTATTGAGCGAAAGGAGTGGTCCCAACTCAAGTTCTGGTAAGTTTCCCCCCAATATTACTACTCATATTACAGTTGCACAAATAGATTCTAACTAGACTACAGGTTGTACATGGCTGACGGTCTTTACCAATCGGTGATTTGTTTCTTCATGCCGTACATGCTTTACCAAGCCGCGAACTTCGCAACTGCAGATGGTCGCGACGTCAGCGATCGAGAGCGTATGGGTATCCTTGTCGCAACCTGTGCCGTTCTTTCCAGTAACACCTACATCATGATGAATACCTACCGATGGGATTGGTTCACATGCTTGATCAACGCGATCAGCTCATTGTTGATCTTTTTCTGGACTGGTATCTATTCATCATTTACTTCCTCCGATCAGTTCTACAAGTCAGCCGCTGAGGTGTACGGTGCTCTGAGCTTCTGGGTTGTTTTACTTATGACAATCATGATCGCTCTGCTCCCTCGCTTCGCACACAACGCCATTCAGAAGGTGTTCTTCCCTCTGGATGTGGATATCATCCGTGAACAAGTTACCATGGGAAAATTTAAGTACCTGGAACAGTTTGAAGACTATGTGCCCCCAAAAGCAGCAGAACCAGTTCCCACCGCCACGAGTACCGATTCAGCGGCATCATCGGATCTGGCCAAGCCGATTCAACCCATGATGAAGCAGGATCCAGGTATCCCGGATGATGAGCGACCCTTCTACCCACCGACAGTCGGAGTTACTCATCACCCGAATGGTCACAATCCTCGCAGTCAGAACGGAAGCAATGGCACCAACTACACTGCCAGTCTCGATCAGTACCCGCATCCTCAGTCAGTGGACTATGTACGACGGTCCCATGACCGAACTCGACATTCGTTTGAACGGGCACGGCAAAGCTTTGAGCAGAGCAATGACTTCACCTCTGCTGCTATGCTGCAACGTGTGGAATCGAGTCATACTGAAGTTGCTCAAGATCCCTTCAAAACCCCTGATGAGCTTCCTGCACATAGTAATCTAATTTAAAAAAGGTGCTGTGAACTTTGTATAGACTTTTGTTTTTTACTGATGACCTACTTTTAATGATCACTGTTCTATCAGCTTGCTTTGTTCTTCCCTTTTTCATATGGCTCTTGACTACCCCCTAACTCTTCATCAATCACTTTTTTATAGGCTTAGTTCCTGCTTGATCCATCATTATGTACTACATATTTTGTCCGTACTTTTTTTTTCCTAACTTCACCTCGGTTTCTCCCATTCTCCTTTTGTTTTCTCCTTTTCCTTCCTGTTATCACCTCTGCACAGTCACATGTATTGTCACATACCTGCGACTCTTTCTCATAGATACCAACTCATCTATTGGATTACATTATCTCTCTACTATATGGCTTCGCTTCAAGTTTTAGAATGATCAATTTAATTAGACGCAATCTTGGTATCTTAATGTTTCGTTCGACAACTGCTCAAGTGCTTTTGTAAACTAATGTACTAGTAGCATAGTAAACATTCAAAGCATAGACTAGCAACAACTCAGATCATACTGCACATGGCAAATCAAAGGCTATGTACATGATGTTAGTAGTATTGCGTTTGAACATTTGAATAGCAACTTTTGAAGTAAACATGATGGACCTGAAGCCCATGTTCTCGCAAGGACTTGCTAGTAACTAAACTTCAGATTCCAAAATTCAAGGCCTTAGCAGTAGGACGAAGCACATAGAACTCTACGCAAAACAGAACGTGAAATTGAGATATCATATTGTTTTTTGCGTAAGTTTAAGTAAGTGACAATGAAGATCGCTAGGCTGAATCCCGGAAATCAGAGCGGGATAATGGTAATCGTTGAACTCTTATGGTCGACGCGGCTGTTGCTGCTGTCTTGGTCTTGGTCGAATGAAGGGATCAGCCTCCTTCTTCTTACGGACCATTGGGCGTGGTTTGGGAGGACCGGCATCATTGGTCTAAAAAAAATTGTCAGGGATGATCTGATGATCCAAGTTTCAAGATTAAATTGAATGGAACTTACCGTCACCGCCTTGGGTCCCGTTGGGGCTCCCTGTGGGGTTTGTGTTGTATTAGAATATGCGGGACCATCTCGAGACGGTTTGATGAGACCCTGGGACTTGTCAGTATTGAAACGAAGGATGATTTTGTTGGTTAACCGTACAGGAGGTGGAGGAGGTCCTCTAGGGTCTTTAGTCGGATTCTTTGGTGGATTCTCTTTATTCTCGGTTCGAGGGCGTGTTGCCTTCGGGGCTTCTGGCGCCGAAGTGTCTGTACGCTTGCGCTTGGCTCCAGAATTTCCATCAGACGTAGGTTGCTCGGTGGTGGTGGCTTGAACTTTCGGAACCTTGCGGTCGTGCTGCCCCATTTGAGTCATTCGGCGACGATCCGAATTCTGCTGTTGCATCGCCTTGAACCTGGCTTCTTCCTCTTTGATACGATTCTTCTCATGCTTCGAGATGGATCTAGGATTCTGGCACTTGAAGAAAGTATGACCAAACTGGCCGCACTCGCTACAGCGATCAGCTGTGCAATGCAATTTGCTGTGGCCACTTCGTCCACATCGGAAGCATGTTCCACGAGCAGCGTCCTTGGCTCCATCATTGTCACAACTGTGTGTGAAATGTTGAGCGCTGCCACAGATACCGCACATCTTGGATTCATCCAAGCCCGTTGCGCCACCAGATGGTCCATCAGGCGGGGGGATGGGAGGTGTACCCCGCTGCGAGGCAGAGACCGATACAGATCGAGAATCAAGACCGATAGAAGCTGAGGATGGGCGAGGGATAGAGGGAGCAGCCGATGAGACAGATTCGGCAGGAGTAGCGGGGGCTTCAGATGCAATAGGTTCAGGGTCGAGCTCGATGATTCTTTCTTCTTCTTTGATCCCGGTGAATTGGGGCGATTCAAGGATTCGGAGAATGTTTCCTGACGTGTAAACATTCCGAGCACGCGCATCCTGAATCAACTTGTTCCAAAATTGACCTTGTTCAAGAGACTGGGAGTTACCCAAGACCCACAAGGAGGTTTTGGCACGAGTCAAACCGACGTTCATACGACGGATATCGGCCAAGAAACCAATACCCTTAGGCGAGGAACGAACACAAGAGAAGATGATGACTTCGCTCTCACGACCCTGGAACGCATCGGTAGTATTAAATTCAACCTTTTTCAGGATATCTTCGCCGTAGCGCGAAGCGAATTTGAGTTTCATTTCTCTGAGTTGACCCTTGTAAGGTGTGATGATACCTATCTTGCCCGTGAAATCGTAGTTCGTGACATCTTTGGTCAGTCTTTCATACAGCTGCATGGCGACAGAAAGCTCAGCGTAGTTGATGAGAGAGTGACCTTTAGCTGCACTCGAATGCATGCCTTGGACATCGAAAAATCGGTATGGGGTAAGCAGTTCACTGTGATGCCAGGGACGTGCGTTGAGTTCCGCCATGTTGGGACCATCCTCAAGTTTACCATCGTAAAAGGTAAGACTTGGGAAGCGACTGATGTCTGGATGCATACGGTATTGAACATCCAAGAGGTGCACGTCTTTGGAATGGTTCTTCTGCATACGAACGAAAAGACTTTGCTCGTACTGGAATTTGGAGGCCATCTTGGAGAGAACTGTAGGCGGCAGCTGTTTCGGATCACCGACAAGTACACATTTCGCGCAACCATACTTGAGAGGGATCAAAGCACTTAGCTCAATACACTGAGCGGCTTCATCAATAATGACGGTTTCAAACTCAACGCTCATAGACTGGAAGATCTCGTGGCCAGATCCACTGAGAGTAGTGCATATGACGTGAGCTTGGTCAATGATCTCTTGTTGAACGCGTCGTTTGTGAAGGTCGGCGTTACGGGCCTGTGTATGTGTTTGATCACGACCCTTGTCAATATCTGCACTAAGCTTAGCTCGCTGCTTCTTGAGAAGTTCGAAGAGGCGCTCAAGCTCTTCCGGTGCTGGAAGACCCTTGGCTCGGCATTCATCGAGACGTGACCGGGCATCCTTGAAATTGATGTCGGCATTCTTGTGCTCTTCATACAGCTTCTTCATGTCGACCTTGGTGCCAGTGGGAGGATCCTGGTTTAGTCTCGCAGCAACCAAATGATCGAGGCTGACATCGAGAACGTTGGAATTCATAGCCTCGCCTCTTCCGAGACGAACAACAGAGATATGCTCCTCGCGACCATGGATGGTTTTAACTCCCGACTTCAAACGCATAACAAGTTCGTCCACGGCTGCGTTACTGGGAGCACAAACAAGAATCTTACGCGCCGCTGGAGGGCGCGCAGCACTGTAGCCCGTGCCAATTGAGACTCCGGCTTTTTCGAGGACATTGCTGAGGAGACTGCCCACGAGGGCAGTGATGGTCTTGGTTTTACCGGATCCAGGGGGACCCTGGATGAGAGTGAAGCCATCGTTGTCAATGGCAGACTTGATGGCTTTGCTTTGAGCAAGGTTGATTGAGTAGTTGTTCATGATGGGTTGCATCGTCGACTCTGCATAGGTGAGAATGGGAGACGGTTTGGCCAGAACAATCTCCTCGCATAGATCATAGTATTGCAAGGCACTCAAAGCTCCAAATTCGCGCTCCACGGGAATTAAAGATGTGACTTTAGCTCCCCAGAGTGTCATGCCTGTTGCTACAGTATTGGCAAATCTGTTGGATGGACTTGCTGGGTTCACACGGTAGGTAACTTCATTTTTGCCACCTTTACGGTTAACATTTTGCGCACGGGCAAGGACGTGTCCTGCCTTCTCATCCGCAGTGGGATTGGAAGAGACTGAAAACAAAAGGAGGTCGCCTTCACCGATGGTGAAATCCTTATTGGGTACACCGACGGGCTGGGTGCTGAATTCGACCCAGGAATCAATATTTAAACGGGACATAACTTTCACTTCGAACGGACGGGGTGGGCCTTCCTCCTTGGCCTGCTGAAATCCTTGCCAGGCTTCGAGGATCAACAGGGGCTGGAACGTGGCCTGGTAGTCATCGGGGGACCGGAATGTGTTAGAGACCAGGGTGTAATCGGTACGACCTGTGTTAGGAGGTTGGTCGCCAGCATCGAAATAATCCCAGCCTAGGATACTGTGATGCAAAGACGAAAGATCCGGGGCCAAGCGGGCACGCATATCCTTGGCAGAACGATGGCGTCGAACCTTTTTCACGGGCATCTGCTGTAGGGATTGTTTCTTGCTTCGTTCATACGCAGCGACGGCTTCGGGCTTCTTCTTTGCGCCGAATAATTCTTTATCAAGTTCATCTTCACTCGAAGAATCTGTGTCAGAACCGCTCGAAACCATCATACTATCCACAGGAATTGCATGGTCTTTACCCTTAATACCAATACCTTTTAGGCCTGAGCCTTGCTCCGCAGTTTGTCCACCAACGCCATGAGAAGGCAAATGACCCTTGAGACGCGCCAATTCGGCTTGATCACGTCGCTTTTTGGCCTCTTTTTCACGCTCGCGTTTCTCACGGAAGGATAGAACATGCTTCGCATCATTGGGAGTGGCACGGGCTGAGGGTGGTGGTACGCCACGCTTCAAGGGACCGAGGGCCGCGTGTGGAGCGGAAGCCACCATCGCGGACGAGGAGGAGGATACACGTTTTGTTTTTGCTTGAGCTAATGCTTGAGCAGCACGACGATCTTTGTTCAATTCAACAGAACGAGAAAGTTCAAGAAGAGTAGAATCAGGAATGTCATCAAAATCGTCATCACTTGGAGGATGAGAGGTTGGGCTTGAGACATCAGACCGTTTAGCAAACGCAGTAATAGAAGATTGTTTTTTCAGTGAAGCAGTGGACGCAGTGACAACAGGCCTCTTGTAGTATGCTTCAAGGGAGCGAACCAATTCAGCTTTGTCACGCGGCGTGAGGATTGTTTTGATGGTTCCATTCACTGCGACGCCCTCCACCACATTCACTGCATCTTGCTTCACTTGAACATCCAACCCTCCCAACCTCCTTAGAACTTTCGACACCAGACCAACTAAAGTTGTGGCCAAATACTCGTCTTTAAGTCTAAGCCATTTCACCATAGTACTCATAGTATCCGTAGGAGACTTAAGAAATGCCCGTGAAGATGACTTCTCGGCAAATTCGGTCTCCCCGACTGCTCCCAAAAACACACCATATTGATCGAAGAGATAATCTGCGAACTGAATAGTATCTCGGCAGAATTCTAGCATAGTAGACTTATCAATTCCTCGAATATGCCACGCTTCAGTCTCATTGAATATGGTCGTCAAGGCGGACCACAGAAATTCCCATAGCCTAAGCAGTGAGAGGACCTCTCGACGATCAACATGAGTGCGTGTTCGAAGAATACCGGTCTGGCTATTACAAAGAATCTCTACGAGGTCGGTACCAGTATGAAGCATACGTGGAGCAGGTGCAAATGTCTTCATGTTGGAGATTCGGCGGAATGACCAACTGAGGCCGTACATCGTCGGCAGGAAGAATTTTTGAAGGAGATGAGAGATAGCATCTTGACGAGCTGACTGACCGCTGAAATTCTTGATCAGGTCAACAGAGGCTTGGTAGGTGTTGAGGTCCGCAGCAAAGAGCGTGGAAATCAATGCGCTCGCGGTGTCTTGGTACTGGAACAAATCGTTCAAATGTTCCGGGGGGAAATCAGCCAGTCGTTCAATGATCTGACATGAAAGACGGGTCAGGTGGCTGTAGATGTTGTTGAAGTGAGTCTTCTCCTGATTATCTTCACCTCTGCTAGGGAACTTTTCCAGTCCCACAAGGGGGAGAATTCCCAGAAGAGCAGACTTCGACAGCGCAACATTATCGGGACGGAGATGTTCAATCACCGCATCCCAGATGGGTGCAGAGTATGTGGAAACTCCATGTGAAAGAGTTCCCTGGTTGAGGATGACCTCGTAGTCACTCTTCAATGACTGACATTCAAGAGCCAGCGTATTGCGAACAACATCCATGCACAGCGAAGAAATGTCCTTCTGCAAATCATCGGCGATCTCGAATTTCGGGGGCGTGAGAATGATACGAATGGTATCCTCCAAGATCCCCATGGTCTCCTTAAGAACGACTCGTGCAACTGAACCACGAGAAGCTTCATCATCTGTGAAGAATCGTAGAGTTTGCAAGAGGCTTTGTAGTCCGAAGCGGAAACAATGATACCGAGCCAAGTTGGGGAGTTCTGGATTCTGGAACCGCTTCAACAAGGGCAAAGCCAAGGCTCTACAGGCCGATGGTTGATGAGCACCTTTCAGCGACGTCAAGAATGGACTGATCCACGAGAGGATTTCTTTGAGTACGGACTTTTCCCAAGGCTCACCCTGTTGAACTGACATCAAGAAGGCACTGAACTGAGGGTTATGGAAGATGTGTTCAATCAAGGCCTGAGGCGAAATTGTCTGCATCGCATCCCAGAAATCCACGGGCGCTTTCTCCAAAAAGATCTGCAGGGTGGTCAGAAGAAAACGTAACCCAGGAGTTGGAAAGGCCAAGTGATCAACACACAGCCGGCATGGATCGATCTCCAGGGCACGGAGTTGATATGTGATCTGTTCTTTCTTCAACTTCTTCAAGATCAACTGCATGCCACGCCATAGCCGTTGAATCACCGCCAGCTGTGGAGGTTGTTGAGAGGCAGCCCGTAAAGCGCTGAGAAGCCCATCCCGCACGGCCCATTCAAATTCCAAGGTATTCGGTGGCCGATCGTAACGAGTCCATGATGAGATAGCCCAGAAGCTTCGTGATGAAGTCGAATCGAAGAGAAAGTGAGTGACCGCGGGGACATAGTCAGAAATCTTCAGGGTCCGTTTCGACTGGATGAGCTTGAATGGTACGTCGAAGTGCTCTTGAAGAAGGCTGTCATTACGAAGTATAGCCTCACAGCTCAAGGTTTCGAAAATCGAAAGCAACGCCGGGCGGTCCAAAATATCCAGTGCAATCTTGTCCGGTGGGACTGCCTGGAGTTGGGCGGTTGCAGTTGCCAAATTTCGTGTGATTCGTTTAATATCCCATTCGTCGACTTGCTGGAAAAAGGCGTCGATATCCTCCTCTTGATAATTTTCTTCTTTTAAGAGCTCCATGAGCCAGACCTTGCCAGTGTAATACTCTTTGATACAGAGCTCACAGTTCTCCAGCGACTGATCCAGGCGGCTCAAAACCCAGTTTTGTAATTGTTGCTCTTCCGTCCCATCCGCATTATAGGCCAGGATTCGCAAGGAGGAGAGGAATTTCTGTTTTCTGGATGTGGCCTCAGAGACCATATCCTCCACCTTCCTTCCATCTTTGATCTGGGTCAAATCTTCATACCGATCGAAGTCTGTTCCGCCCTGTCGTGGGCATAAGAGGTGGATGCCTTCCGGAAGAGCCTTAAGCTCTCTACCATCACCTGTTAGTTCCAAAATCAGTAGAATGTCTAGAGTATCTGACTTACCCAATGGCATCCACTAACTCCATGGCTACACCTTTTGGAGTTGATGGGCGTTTGATTTGGCACCTCACGCCTTTCACCAGATGAGGGAAACCTTTTGAATGAAGCTGTATGATTGGAAGAGAGTCCAAGGCGGTGAGATAAGTCGCGACGCGTCGTGTGTGAAGAGGTCACGTGTTCAATTTCACCCTATGAGGCTTAGCGTGAATGGAGTTAGTTGACAAATGTTGCAGTTGAGTTGGTTCGTTAACACTGGCAATTGAAAAAGAAGGAGAAGTGTAGGAAGGAGGATTGGAAAGTAGAGGGTGATGTACAAGTTAAACTTGATTCTGCGAAAGAGATGGGTGGGTGGAAGAAGAAGAGTAACTCTCACTTGACGGTTTACATTTATAGTGATAATATGCCTGGGTGCCTGCTTGTATATACAAGGGGCAGTCACAACATTTGAATATTTCAGTATATACACTGGCACTTGCCTAATTTCCAAGGTCAACTGGTTGAATATTCAATATGTAGCCTAAAGTCAACCTGCTGGCCACCTGGCAGCTTGAATACTCAAGTGCTATACTAGTAGATAGTGTTATTACCTACCTAGTAGATACCCATGGACACCAGTTGACTGCCAATGTGGCACTATATGTAAGATATTATACCACTACCTACTACCTAGACGTCGTACCTACTTGAGTAGGTACACAGGTGGATGCATGTGTCATATACTCAAGTGCTAATTTAGTATAAACCCAACAGTTCCAAGGTTAAATTCTTGAACTTGAATTTTCAAGTTTATAAGCAGAAACCTTGACCACCTAGTTGACTGCTCAGGTAGTATCACTTCAACCTTGAAAGTTGGAAGTTCAAACATCCCGCTATCTGAGGTTGCAGCCTCGTACTTTATGAGTAATGTTGATAAGCACTGGCACAATTTTATAAAATAGTATGATATCAGCCCCTCAGCCCCTCAATTAACACGGCAATTCGGGACGAAGGAAAGAAGAAAAAAAAAGCCACCTCCAGATAGATCCAAACCAAGATTCGTGTTCGGATGCGTGGATGCGTGGATGTGTGGATTTGACAGCAGAGTGGACCTCGGGAGTTCTACTAGGATTGACACATCGTTTTTGTGTCTTGCAGGAAATGAACTTGCCCCTCATTCTATATGATGATTGCTTTAATCAGACTTTATGTCATCCCAATGTCTCAGGCTATCATGTTTGTTTTTTGAATCCTTATTGTAGTGGCGTTGCTGAAATGCCAGTGGTTGCTTTTGATTATTATACTAGCACATGGGCTGCATGTCCACTTTTCTTACCGAAAACCCATACTAGTAATTATGTACCATTGTGCAAAGAAAAAAAACGGTACAAACGTTCGTGCAGCTCGGGAAGATAAAAACCCATAAATAAAGGGGAGTTGTTTTAGATCGCTATGAAGTAGGTGGATCAGAAAAGGAAAAAAAGGCTGCAAGGGTGATAGATCTGAAGTAAACGGGAGTACTCCCGTATCTAGGTAATGGTAAATTCGTGTGTGTAATTATACCTAATGACGATCCAAGGACCCGGTTCTTTCTCCCCCTCCAAAACTCTCTTTGAGTCTTGAGTCAAGGATCCGCTCCGATTGAACTGGTTCCATGAAAAGAAAACTCACTGAAATGAGCCCGGTTGGGTATTCAATCTTGCGATCCACTGTCTCTACCCGTCCCGGGGATCCCTGGACATGATCTGCGGATGGCGAACACCCGCTCCGGCAAAGATGGAAAGCTGCCAGTGATAGCTCACATCTCGATGGGGGTTATACTTTTTTCACTCTCAATGGTAGAGAAAGAGAAGGGACTCGGCCCAAAATACCGGGTCATTCGCCCCTTGCTTGTGCATATCTGGTGAGGCACAACTTGATGAGAGGGGGGAGGGCCAGATGGAAATCTCAAGTACCCAACCTGTTCAAGTTCAAAGCGCGTGGCCATGCGATTATGGTAGCACAACAATGGGAAACAGAGGGATTATGGGATTATGCGGTGTCGTTATTCGATTGCAGATCCAATCAGAATCCACTTCTTGGTGACAGGACTAGGCGAAGTCGGAATAGTTTGCCAATCTCACTACCTGCTGTGTCATATTGTTGTGCGGAGTCGTTCGATCCACCCATATGGCCGCCTCTGGTTGCACCAGATACATCATGCGAAAGGTGGATATCATGGTTCCCCTTTCGAGGGATACTTGACACGCCTGCTTTCTTGTACTAATGATTTTAGCTTCGGCTGGATGTGCCCTTTGCACAGGCTATCTGCTTTCCGAGAGCGGGTCCGAACTAGTCCTGCATCATGATCGCCGATTCCAGGATTAGGAATACATACATACTGGGGCCCCCTCTCTCCTCAAGGGGAGGAGACAGCTCACCTTTTCAAAAGCCTGTGATTTAAGAACCCCCCCGGCTCGTCCCATCCGGTTGCCTCGTCTCAGCTGGCTTTCTTTCCAGTACTCTTCGTTCGTTTCGACCAATTTCAGTCACCCTGATCCCCTTCCCATCATCAATTGTATATACAGAGGGTCCATGGGTGACTTTTGTACATACAATCTGTCGTTCTCCATTATTCTCGCCTAAATATCTTCCACCGGCCACTGCGGTCATTTCAAGTTGTTCAAATAACGCCGCCAGTTACTTGGTGTCGTGAATGCTATAGGTGAGCTTCCATCTTCCTTAAGATGAGGACAACTGGCAGAACATAGATCTCCAGGACTAATACTAGACAAGGCTCTGCCCCCTTTTTATAGCTTGTTTCTCAATACACCATCCCTCATGAGCCTCGCAGCCGGTCAGATTGCGAAGCCGATCAGTTGATGCCCGCATGCATCATTGGGACATAGCACCGAGTCCTATCGTTCCCACTTATCGGCGCGATCCTCCAGGCAAACGCAGATATACAAGCATGCCATCTTCTAGTATTACCAGCTCTCCAGATTCTGCTCGCACCCGTGGAAGTGGTCCACGACCCCAGGCTCGGTCAGCTGGGATGGCAGAGAGACCATCCCGAAACGAGAGCTTGTCAGACCTTGTTCGCTTCTTTCAAACCCAAAACATGCCCCTGCCAGCGGCTTCATCCGAATCACCAAAAATTGGTTCCCCAGACTCCACAACAGCATTGCCAACCGTTGTGTCCCCAGAGCCTAAGGAACCGATGAACGATTTGGCTATCATCCCCTTGAAGGAGCAATCTAAGCCTTTACATCGACGCCTCCTGCAGTTCACACAACGTCAGAAAAAGGAGTCATCCTTACCTCGTTCGAAGTCTGACGAAAATAAGAAGCAGATAGAGGCACTACAGCGAGAAGGATATCTGCTGTCTTCCGCGAAACCCAAGAGTGGTCTTGACCGACCGAAGAACAGCATGGACCGATCGAAGACCAGCTTCGATTGGCCAAAGAATAGTTTGGAGCGAAAATTCTCGAAATCCAAGAAGCAGGATGTCGAAGCAATTGGTCGGCCATGGCTGAGCAGGAGCGATAGCAATCGCAGCTCAAATGATCCAAAGCGTCGCTTGGCGTCACTGGACTTGGACGACTTTGGTTCCATGCTCGATGTTGCAGTTTCACTATCCGAATTCGATGATACATCGCCACCTCCTTATCAGCCCTCAACTCCCAATGCACTCGTCTCTCGCGGCTCTCCGATCCCTTCATCGCTTTCCACGTCTGCATTGTCCATGCCGCGACCATCATCGGAGGCTTGTTCACGAGACAATGATAGATCAATGTCATCGTCGGCTTCTGTCGCTGGTACTCAAGCAAGTGGACTCAAAGATGATGAGCTCTCACGGCCTTCAAGCTCGATCAAATCGAGCACAAGAATCGTCGATCAAGACAGTCAAGCTTCTTCTCGGCCATCAAGTATTCCATCCATCAGTGCGACAACCACAACAGAGCAGTCTCTTGGAAGTGAACCGGATACAGCCCAAACTGCTCAACAACCCAAAGCACCAAGCCACTCACCTCCCAACCCACCTGGGAACACTCCCTCGCCACCCTCCTTGAAACTTTTTCCAGATGTGGCACCTCCTCGTATCTCCAGTAAGAATGCTTGGAGACTGTCAGGCACACCCCGATATCAAACCACCACCAAGACTGCTCCACCAGCGAAGTCTGATGTCAGTGCAGAGTCGCCGAAGCCCAGAGCATCTTTGGAGATGCGACGGCCGCAGACCGAGACAGCCTCGCTTGCTTCCACGAAGAATGAAGAGGAGCCAACATGTTCAGGTGCTATGGGCATTGCAATTAGCACCGACTCGCCTTCCACTGAGGTCAAAAGGCCACAAACTGTCCCAGAGCCTGTTCAAGGACAAAGAAAGTCGCGTCCGCCTTCGCTGGCTATGGGTACCTTGAAGGCATTTCCTCTGCCAGCACCAACCAGACCATTGCCATCTATCCCCAAACCCAACACCCTTGCTCCTCCTGTAGACTCGAGAATACCTTCTACAGTACGAGCAATCCGGTCTGCATCCAAAATCTGCGATATCCAGAATTCGCAGCCATCCCCCATTGCTGAGGAACCACCTCGCGATCCTGATACACGTCCTGCTACAGTACTTGGTCAAACCAGCATCGGTCGGTCGTCAGACGATGACGACGAAAAATCGTCGCCTCAAACAACGCTAGAACGACCCAAGTCAGCTTCGCCAGAACAGTGCACACCAAGACGACGTTCCTCAAGCATTGGTGTATCTCGAATCCAGGAGTTTCCCGAGAGCCCAGACCGCAGCGACGATCAAGTTGCCAATGGCCAACCCTTGGCCGACTCTCCCGTGCTAGGGAAGTTACCCGAGAAGCCCCATGGGAAGCGAGCGACGCGCAAGGGACTACACATCAACCCCCGCGCTGATCGCAAACATCTTCCCTTCGGTCTTCCATCTCCTCCTCCCACTGCATCTCTTCCCGCAGAGCCAACTTTACAGCAATCCACAGAGCGCATGGTCCATCGCAATTACACAGCACCTATCAGCAGTAGCGCCAACCACTCGAAGAACATGGACATGAGTTATGGTCCTCATAGTCATCGAGCCTCGATGATCTCCCGCAGCAACAGCTCTCGAAGCAGTCTGCGCCATGAGAGTATCCCCGAGTCATCATTTGAGCATTCTTCTGCTAAAGCTGAATCTCCACTTGCTTCCTCCGATGACGAAGCATTTGGTCCCAGTGGAGGGAAACAAAGGCCACTTCTCATCGACGAAAATCAGACACAGAAGCCACGAGCCCAAACAGTGCGGCGTGGCTATGAAACTGCGGATGGGCGCAGTCGCCCCGGCCGACTACGCTATCCAGGCCCAATTAGACCCTCGACGCCGCAAGGCCGAAAGAATAATGGTGCCGACAAGTCTTTATCTCCACAGTCCGCCTATTCTCAGTCTACCATGCGCTCGCGTGACTCTCACAGTAGTCACCGCGTGCCAACTTCCAGCCAGACCGCGAATCAGATCCTTGAGGATCGAATCGCTAAGCTTGAACACCAAAACCAGGTTCTTCAGGCAGCTCTCATGGCAGCTCTGAATGCGGGTATCAAGCCCAACATTGATCTCCATGAATCTGCCGCTCCTCTTAATTTCAATGCCGCAGGAGCCAGCAACTCCTACCAAGGACGATTCGCACCGCGACCAGACAGTTGGATGAGTTCTTCTCGAGGTAGTGAACTCAGCGGGTTCGACACACCGGGATCCGTTCGTGATGCTCGAGCAAATACTCGTCAACTGGAAAACATGTTTGAGGATGGTGAAGCCGGCTGGCTATCTGACAAGTCAAGTATCGGCGGAGTCCACTCTATGAGTCGACACCGCTGATACAGTTCGAAATCTTTCGTTCAAAACTTTTTGTCCCGTTCGCTTTCCCCATTTTTCCTTTCTCAATTTTTGATTTCATCTTTATTTCTCTCTTCCATCTATGATGCTTTGATTTGACTTCTCCCTGTCACTACGACCCGATATGATCTCTGTTGCAAGATTTGGAGCCTTGATGATTGGCTTTATTATTGATTTATACTCATTGCGAAAACGCACTCACTCATGTCATCCTGATTACATTTACATTCGAAGATACCACTTTTTGCTTCATCTTGCTTCAGATCGAATTTTGGAACCTCATTGAGGATTTACCTATATACCATTTTTATACCATTTTTATCTCATTCGCACGAATACTTCTTTTCAGCTATTTCAACAATGCTATTTGAGCCTATTAATCTTATCTTCCAATCATCCTCATAGTATTTATAAAGATCTTCATCGAAAATCCGAGTCCATCATAGCAGATAAAATATAATTTCTTTTGTATAGTTAGCGCATCTACCTAGTGAAGAGGGGAACCGTTAGGCAGTGTATTCTAGATACACGGGTCGATCCAGCTAGCATGAATGGATAACACCAACCAACATGTACGGTGTGGCCGGACTACCCCGTAGGGGTGGGATGAGAGATGTGTAGGAGTGTGTATTCTAGACTATAACGACGGGCATTCTTGTACGTACAAAGACGGGACTGAAAACATGACAAAACAGAGATGTAACCAAACGGTAATTCTTAGCACGGTACGTGTAGTAGGGGACAGGGTACCCCACTACACTAGGTAAGCCCTGTGATATGCTTAGTCATTTATTTTGGGCGCAGCTCGGAGCTATTTCACGATAACAACACTCCAAAGATCTAAGAGTTAACCCTTGAAAGCCTACTCAAATTTATAAATTGTGTCCTTGTTGAGTACAGATAGCAGGGCAATTTTGATAACTCCGACCGAGCCATGAGATCCACTGTGTTCTAATCCATCCCCACTGTCTTCATCTCCTTTTCATCTCTCTCATTCCTTCCCCGCAGAAATCAAGATGGCCAACCCACCAGTAAGCCCTTATCGTCCTAAGACCTTGAATTTATGGAACGGACAAGACTAACCGAGATTCAACAGCGATCACAACAGGTGCCACAACATGTCACCGCACTGCTCTCCCATTTGACTTCCCGACCGGGCGTACAATCCACCCTGATTCTCTCCCGCAAAGACGGCTCCATCATTCAAAGTACCGGTCAACTTGCCATCCAGGAGGGTAGTCAATCTCGCCCTGCTCCTATCACTGTCCCTCCCACCGAACCCGTCGCATCATCTCAACCCTCCGACTCCACTCCTCCTTCTCCCGGTGCACCGGCTCCATCTACATACCAACCTTCGCAGACAGAGGCACTCGCCGCTCACATCTTTGCCTTTGTTTCAAGCGCCTCTGCGCTGGGCGTTTCCCTCTCGCGACCTGTATCTCAGACTCAGCAATCAAGCGAGAATCATACATCGACCACTACAGGTCTGGACGGGGAATACGGATCTTATGGCACAAACGGAACCAGTACACCACGGGAGGAGGACCGAGACGGCGACAGTCTTAGTCGGGAAGAGGACGAAGAGGTGAAACTGCTGCGGATGCGTACTCGGAAACACGAGATTGTCGTTGTGCCGGATCGCAAGTATCTGCTCTGTGTTGTGCACGATGCCTCGCATGCGAGCAGTGGTCCTGGCACTGGGGTTGGTCGGTCTCGGTAATTTAGAACTCGATCGTTTGATGAACATTTCGGTGTTTAGTGACTGTCGCTGGTTTGGAGATTCTCTGTGATTATTCATTTATTTCTTTATGATTGTATATGGGCTTGGCTTTGGATTTTACATATACCCGATCGAAGCAAGATTTGCATTCATGCATTTATTTCATATACTGTAGTTTCAATGTTTTCTCTACTCCGATAATATAAGTGGGTTGACGTCTTGAATGGAGAACTTACATGGGATATCATCAACCTTCCAAGGTTGGAATGTTGGTTCAATAGTACTACCACCTGGCAGGTATATCCAGACATACTTAGTAACCTCATGTTTGACTGTAGATGTATGGTATCAGGCCACCATGATCTTATTGCAGTACAGAACTCGCTACAATTAATCCAAGGTAATACTAGTACAACCTTGGAAACAAGTGGTCTTCAAGTCGGAGCAAATCCGTTTATCTACCACGTAACTCCACCAGCGTGCTACCCCTCTTCCGACAGTCGTATCTCCAATCCTCATTTCAATCTCAAGTTTCATTTCTATACGCAAACCAACGTTACGCTAGTCCAATTATCATACACCATGGCAAGCGAAACCTTTGATGTGAAGACTGCCCGGGGTTACTTCCCGGCTTTGCAGCAGAAGCAGATCTATATGGACAATGCTGGTAAATGGATCTCAAACTGAGAGCCCTGGAGGTGAGATAAGACCGATTTGAAAGATTTACATATGATTTTTCTCTAGCAGGAAGTCAAGTACTTGGTACAGTAGCCGAGTCGTAAGTATTTTGATATAGATCACAACAACATGGTATGTACTGACACTCTCCAGCATTCAATCTTACTTGCTGAACTCGAACGTTCAACTTGGAGCTACATATCCAGTCTCTCGAGTTTCTACCACTGCTCAGGAAGATGGATACAAGGCTGCGGCAATTTTCATCAATGCGCAACCAGAAGAGGTAACATTTGAATGAAACCAACAGAGCTTAGAGATATCAAAGATCCAGACCAATATGCTAATACCAGGCTAGATCAGTATCGGAGTATCGACCACTCAGCTTCTTCACAACCTCTCAAGCGCCCTGAAGTTCCAAGCTGGCGATGAGCTAATTTTATCCAAGCTCAACCATGAGGCCAATACAGCTCCCTGGGTGCGATTTGCAGCTCGCCTCGGACTAACTTAGTGGAGTTCATCGGATCCCAAGAACCCCATCTGCGATATCAGCGAGTTAAAGAGCCTGCTTTCGGACAAGACTAGATTGGCAACTTGTCCTCATGCTTCGAATATCACGGGCACTATCAGTCCAGTCCGTGAGATTGCCGATGCAGTACACGCTTATCCTCGAGTTCGTGAAGACGCTAATCTACTCTGTTCCTTTCGATATGCTGATATGAATCTAAATAGGCACTTCTCTGTGTAGATGGGGTTGCTCTCGCACCGCATCGACAATTTGATGTGAAAGCCCTCGGAGTGGATTTCTACGTGAGTTATACTCTACCAAAAGAGGCTCATCTCCCCACTAACGCAGAGCCTCATAATGAATTAGGCATTCTCCTGGTACAAGGTGTACGGACCCCACCTCGCACAATTATACGCCTCATCCCTCATCCACGATGAAATTGAGACTCTAGGCCACTTTTTCAAGGCAACGGACACCTTGGACCTGAAGTTGAATCTTGCCTCGGCAAACTACGAACTGACACAAAGTATCCCTCGCGTCGTTGAATTTTTCGGGCGGGATGCTAGCGCGACGTGGGCGGCGATGAGTGCTCACGAGGAACGACTTCAACAGATCCTCCTTGCGTATTTAGCGGGGGATGAGCGAATCACGATCATTGGGGAACCCAGTTCGGCGCAGAGGCTCCGTGTGCCGGTGATCAGTTTTCTTGTCCGGGGAATGGGTAGCCAGCAAGTAGTGGAGGCGGTGGAGGCGCGATCCTCGTATGGATTCCGAAGTGGGCACATGTACAGCCATCGGTTGCTGAAGGAGGTATGTGGGGTGAAGGATGTGGATGATGGGGTCGTGCGAGTAAGCTTGTTGCATTATAATACGGGTGAGTTGATTTCTACCTAGAGTTTATGTGATGCTTCTTGCCAAGGTAGAGGCTAACTAGGCAACAGAGGCAGAAGTTGAAGGACTGGTGAAGGTGTTACAGGAAGTTCTTGCTTAGTGTGTTCCAAGTTCCAAGTTCCAAGGTGGGAGGTTATGAGTCAAAGAGGTCATGTGCCCGGTGTGCTCAGGTGCCAGGTGGTGTGCTCTCCAGGCCCCGGGGGCTATTTATCTACTCCATACTATTATCTCCTCATATTATCTCCCCATATCGTATCATGATTTGAACCTTGGAATGATAAATCAGTACCTGTGTGACTATCATTTCTATTATCAGGATCCATGGTTCTGATTAGGATAGCCGACGATATCTACCCAACATTACCCGATGCATGGATATACGGTGAGTAGTACATACTCAGTGCTACACCTGGTTACCTAGAGAGTAAGTCTATTCTGTATGTATGCCTGAAAAAAGAACCTGAAGCCTAGAATGGAAATGATGAACTAATATTCTTTCAGATTCGACATCATTTTGGATCTTCTTCCAAAATGGGAAAGGGGCTATGAGCCCAAGTGGATCCAAGCGTATGAACAAGTGGCTAAGTGAGTACTACTAGTAGTTAGTTCGGTGACTATATTAGAATCATGTCGTAATTAGTTTTAAACTTGAAGTGCGGAGTAGTCCGTAGATATCTAGAAGATCCGAATCTATTAGAATTATACTACACTGGTACATAGCCCTGTGCCCTGTGCCCGGTGGACATTTGGATGATATGCATCTGAATAAGCGCCCGGTTATGGCCACCGATGGCAGTGCATGACCTGCATTTCCAAGAATAGATCAAATTTATTGAATTTATAATACATTTTATGTAGGTTTATGTGTAAGGTAATATCGTAATATCGTAATAAAAAAAAACGAGTTCGGCCTGACTTGAATTTTAAGCTGATTGGATTAAAGGGGAGAACAGCGTGGCAACGTTGTTGAACCGGAATGAGTCAAGCCGAATATCGGGGACATTATACATAGTAGTATATAGGATTATATGATTATAGGATTATATTATAGGATATGTGATTATGTGATTATTCTATTCGAATATTCGAATATTCTGATGAGTCTTAATATTCTGATTATTATCTGATTTATTAACCTATAGGATACATTGTATAAGAGATTAGTGTTGTATCTTACATCTTACTATACCACATATCAGTAGTATGTACGGAGTACTACTACTACTACTCCGTACATAGTAGAGATATCACTCATATCATGAAGTCTCATGATCTTTGATATTTTACATTTTTCTATTTGATCTAGAATATAATTTGAATAATAATACGAATAAAATAAATCATATCTATACAACTTGACTTACTGTTATGTGACTCACACAAGTTTCTCTGTTCCTCCCCGCCACCCTCGCCACACTCTCTCCACCTTCCTTAGTCAACTTCTCCCCCCGATCTCTTCCCTTTTCTTCTCTACCCGACTTAGGAGTCATCGGGTTTTCTTTGCCTAAATATCCTCTGACTCTTCTTGACTCTTTTATCTATTTCGCCTCCCATCTCCTCTCCTCCATTTCCTCCACTTTCCTCTTTATACTACCGAAAAGAAAAAACCCTTCCTTCTCCGCCCCCATCTTGCCTGCCTAGACACTCCACTACTGCCTTGCACAAGCACTACTTCATCCGGTGTGCTTGTTCATGGTCTGTTGGGTGCCTTAAGCCTCTTCCTTTTTGTCCCGTCTTGATTCAAAATGTATACTGTCTCTTTCGTCCCGATCGCCCGTGTTGCCGCTATCGATTCCTACCTCGCCGCTGGTTCCGTTTTCGTCTAGATATTTACTCATCTCGTCGAGTCATCCCCAGCACGCCACACCGTTTCGGTCTCTTCGGGGGTATAATATAATCTGATAGCCGCAACACTGGTGTGATCGGACGACTATTACTGTGATTCATATAGTGTTATTGTTTCCTTCACCTGCTTTTTTCTTTTATATCTTTTTGAAACCTCATCGCCTCTACGCCTCCCCTTTACCTTTACACCTTACACCTTTTCTTCTTCTCATTCCCTCCGCCGGTACTACTCTCCGGCACCCTCATAATCACTTTCAGAAAACGCCTCAACCCTGGCGCTTCTCTCTATTTAGGCTTTGCCGTCGCCTTCCTATCAAGAAAGACGGCTTCTGTCCCCTCGGCCTTCGTTCCCGGTTCCCTGTTTAACGGTTAAATCATACTTGAAAAAAAATCGGATCATCCTTCTTCCCCGGTCGCGTTGTGAAAGTCGTCGTCGGTTTTGCCTTCCATGAATCCTATCGCGTCGGATATGTCGGGGATGGACGTCTTGGGTTTGCACTTGTCAAACCCAGGCTTATCAAAGACCTCTCAAACCCACCCTTATGGCTCCTCGATCTCCTCCTCCGCCTCCTCCTCTTCCTCTTCTGTTTTCTCAGATGCTCAGAGTTCCATCTCTTCCACAGCCACTAATCCAGTTGATGTGATTTGGGAAAATGATGCGGAAGGTCGGTTGGCGGGGAGAACTGCGGGTTGCCCTCGCGCATTTGCAAAGACCATTCCGGCCAAAGATACTGCGGTGCCGCCTGAGATGCGGATGCATCCTCGGCGCACCAACTGTATTGCGACTAGTGGTCCTGGCGCGCGTCCACCACCCTGCTTGCTTCGTCAATCAGAGCGTAAGGTGAATTTCGTGGATAATCTTGTTGGTAAGTTATTTTGTGTCGGATGTTCAACATCCAACCTTTCTTTTCTTTCAGTTCCTTTGGCTAAGCTTCTATTTTTCTCATTTCAAAGACACTGCTGCCCAGATTGTGGAAATCATCTGGCCGCTGTCTGCCGCCGCGTCCCGCAGTGATGCTGCGACCGGTGCTAAGGGGGGTCCTCCCTCTCCGAACGTTTATCCAGGAAACGCTCCGTCGCTCACGTACTAGTTATAGTACTTTGCAGGTGGCTTTATATTATCTTATTAAGATCAAGGAACATGTGCCCGCTCATGACTTCACCAAGGAACAACCTCGGGATATTTCAACAACGCGGGCCATGCAGTGTGGTCGTCGAATGTTTTTAGCAGCACTGATTCTAGCTTCCAAATATCTGCAAGATCGCAACTACTCCGCCCGGGCCTGGAGCAAGATCTCTGGTCTGAATACGCTGGAAATCAATCAAAATGAGTTGATGTTTCTCCAGGCGGTTGGTTGGCGTTTGCATATCTCTGAGGCTACCTTCCAGCGCTGGACTGACCTTGTTCTCAAGCTGACCCCCGGTGCTGGCGGTCCTCCTCTCGGGGAGGCCCACTGCTGGCGTTCCGTCCTGCCTCGTTTGACCCCCGAGCTGGATACGATCGAGCCGGAACAGCCCACGACCCCGGTCTCCGCCATGGGTGGTATGGATTTGGGAATGTCGGAATCGCCCTCGCCGCGTAGTGTCGCCAGTAGCGAATACCTCCTTGCGACCTCGTGCCCTCGGAATTTGCCCCGGCCTCTGGAACCAACTCCACGAATGGAGTACGCGACCAGCCTACCCACGCCCATGATTCCGCGTCCCTCCATGCTGGCAACTCCCCAGATGACCCCTCAAGCCCATGTGGCTAATGCTCCTGCTGTGAGTATGGCAACATGCGGTGCTGCTCCCCGCCGTCCTTCCATCTGTACCGCAATGTCTCAGGCACAGAACTTGGGTTTGGCGCGCTCGACTCTTGATCAGCGCCCGCCTCTCTCGTTCTACCCTCGAACACATTCGTACGATGGATACCCGGCTGCAGTTCGTCGGTCCTCTCTGGCTCGTTCCAGCTCGTCTGTTTCATCCGCCTCGTCCCCGGACTCTATGGTGTCTGACACATCGACTATGTCGTCTCGTTCTTCGCGATCGTCATCTGTCTCGTCAAATGCCTCTGGAGCGGGTGCCCCCGCTCCAGCTCGACTGGCAGTCAAGGCTACCCTGCGCTGTTCCAACATGTTGAAGGAATGCCGCAAGACCTTGGCTATTGCTTCCCCGATCGATGAGAGCTCTCTGTCGGATCTGCACAGCTCCCCTGAATCTTATTTGGGTGGTGTGACCAGTTCTGTTCCAGATCTCTCGGGTTACTCGTTGGACTCCAGTCTGAGTGAAGCTGCTCAAAGTCTTTGCGAATTGTCCGGTGCTACTCCCGAAAGACGTCATTGTCGCAAACGCGGTCGCACTGGATCTGACGATATGCTATTGCAGAACCATGTCCGTCATTTGATTGATATGGGTGCCTCTGGTGCCTCATCGGTGCTGCCTGATGGTAACCTAGCCAGCTCGTTTATCGTTGGAGATGGATCTTCCCTCTCTGGCCCGGCTGGCATGAAACGGGCTTGCTGTGGCAGCGAAGCGCATAAGATCGCTTTAAATCCGAGCATACGCGCGGACTTTTTGAACTGATCGGTCCTTTTTTTCCTTTGTCGTGAGGGTCTAGAAAAAGCCTGTCTTTTCTTCCATTTCGTCCGACTGATTCCCCCTCCACAAGATGATCGAATTCCCGGGTTGCGTGCTTTCTGCCTTTTATTATCACCCGCTTCTTATATTTTATATTGTAAATACCCTATGGCCCTCTTTACTTCCTGGGTTCTCGATCATCCTCTGTGTGAAACAAGTTTAGCTTTTTTTTTTTTCACCGAATCTTTTTTTCGCGAAGTGTACGATGGACGTGGGTTTCTTTCCCGTCATCTCTATCTTTCTTTTTTATATTTTCTTCTTGTTTTTATTGCGCATGGAGTGGGGGGGTTATGGGAAGGTTTTCTCTTTTATTCAACTTACATAACTCCTATGCTGGGAGGATTGGAGGTCTTAACTCTTCCTCAATGATGGGCGCCATGGATATCGGGATTCAAGGCGTCCGGGGGAATCGCATCTACGGATAGCCAATCGTACTGTTCTGATGACACTATTTCTATGTTTTAGTATGCAGTAGACAGTAATGACTCTTGTAACATGTTGAACTTCCAGTGCTTGCTACTTAAGACGCTCTCTTCACGGTCACTTTTCAATCCGAGGGTTGGGCCAGTCGACGCATGCCAGTGCCAACTTGAAGCATTCACCTGTTTCGCCATTTCTAGGATCTTGACCGTGTGGTGAGTGCTCATTCCATAACACTATCCGGGTCTTCAATTTCATGACACCATTTCAAGATAGCCTCTAGATCAATCTCTGGGCGTGGATTTTCTTTTATCGGGTCATCTCCATCACTGAAAATGTCCTCTATCCATGGATGCAACTGAATACGGCGTACATCATCTATGCTCACATTTCTATCTTCAAGCCAAAGACCATGATCGCGATATCTGTGCCAGTTAAACAGTCGAGACGTTGCATCGAATGACTGGTCGTCTGCAGTCTCCATGTTCACCCATTGAGGCCTAAAGCATTATTAGTATATGGATTGTAAAAAGAAATCTTTCACTCACTCTTGACAAGGTGTCTTGGTGTCAACCTGATCAAAAGTGCAAGAATTAAGATTCACTTCATGTTGTGGGCTTGCCGGTGTTTTCTCGCCTGACACTAAAATCCAGTCGATTCTCCAAGACCGGGGTCTGTGATCATGCTCAAAGATGTTCTTTAACCTCAAGACTAAGGTTTTTTTTGATCATTGTCAAGCCAAAGGGAGGAGAGGGTGACCAAGGCACCGAAATATCAGGTCGGCAAAAATAAGAGATCTGAAATTCTTTTGCACGAGGAATATTTGAGCTGTCTGAAGTATTCGACTGATCCACAAACTGAAGGAATGACTGGGTAGTATTTGTCCAAAATGCGGCAGGTAAACAGATCGGTGGTAGTATATTAAGGGCACGATTAATGAACGACTGTGCTTGCCTTGTGCAGATGACAGAAATCCATAGCGGGGTCAAATGAGGCGCCTGGTTGATCATTGAAGATGATAATCTCCGAAAATCAATCTCATCTGAAGAGCAGTCTGGTCTCAATGGACAGAAAGCTCCCTTTACACCCGAGGAATGAGCCCCAAGTAAGTTGCAAGCAACAGAAGGATCGAAGAAAGCACTGTATAGAAGTGAATCAAAAGCATGCATGGTGGAACTGAGAAACATGGATTTATCAAGAGTTTCCAACATCCTGTGAAAGACAGGGTCCCCTTTGGAAGTGGGGTTCGGACAATGTGAGATGAGGGTTGGCGGAGCAAGTTGTGGTGGAGGTATACCATCCTGAGATATGCTCATCAAGACAGAAGCAAACCCTGTTATGAATTCAAGCACTAGGTTTTTGGATATGCAAAAGTCCAAGAGTATATTGAATGCTATTGTTGAATTGAGGGAACCTTCAGTCCAATTCGCACTGCCATTTGTCAGCGCTAACGCTGGAATTCTATCAGTACTGAAGTATGACATACCATTTGATATGTTCCTTTGATCGCTCAGACATCATCCAAGGTGAGTAAAATGTTTTCTCCTTAGCATGCTTGGAAACCCAATGACACTTAGTAACCCAATGACCTTGAATAATCATGTTCCAAAAGGAGTCAGTTGTCTGCGCGTCGTGAGAATGTAGCATCGAACTGTTCCAGCCAGCTCGCTTCAGTATCTCGACCCAGCGAGCAGAGATGATATACGACCAGGCCAGAATAATGCTACTCAAATAACCAAAGTTGAGGTTAAATGATGGAAGTCTTTCACATGGCAAAGCCTCTGTGGTAATTTTGTAAATCGTGGGTGAGTGAGCAGCAAGAACCTGAAAGTAGTCAAAAGCCTTCGAGCGTTCAAGGCAGTCCGTTTCCAAATCGTCCACTGTTTGGAGCTGAAAAGATGAACGTAGAGCCAGCGGACCTTTGCGTCCACTGAGTATCCGGATATCCTTTGGGGGTTCATGGAAGAATGAAGGAACATTATCCAATAAATCCAGGAAAGGTTTGATGTGAATATAAGCAGAATTGGAAGCGCCAGGACGTGGCATCGCTGCATTTCTCCAAATTTTGTAGCTGTTGTTGAAATAGGAGTTGAACTGTGATACTGATGGACATACTCCCGTCACTTGGAGACCACTCGCCAATGTCACCTTCCTCGCTTTCGCTGTCATCGCTATGTCGTTCGAAGGTGGGACTCATGTTAGGTATTGAAGCATGATTTGTTTGATTATCGGGAGGGTTCAAGGTGGAGCAATCCATTTGATCTGTGAGCGAAGTTGTCGCGTATTCGAAATGATTGTTGTTGCAGAATTGTCGCGACTAGCGAGCTCTGCAGGGATGTATCATCTCCGATGCACGTGCCAAGCCGAGTCCCTTCCATATACAGTACGTATTTTCGTTATATTTTTGCAGCAATTACGGTATATAAATTTATCTGGAAGACTTAAAAAATTCAGGAAAGAACAACATTTGAATGTTGAAGAGTAGGACCGATTTTCTGTTTCTTTGAGACCATAAGGTTACACGTGACTGTCGTAACAGGATAAATTGAAATTCTGAAGAATAACCAATAATTGAGCATAATATACGAAGTAGAAGGTTTAGTATATCGTATCTATAAAAAAGAAAAGTGAAGACAACAGAGTCAACTGAAACTAAGATCAGCCGACCAAGTGGGGTGATCAGATAAGATCAGGCGATGCGGACTCCGCGTTCTCCGCATCATGATTCTCTCTTAATCTTCTTTAACACTTTACACCTTTGCACCTCTACACTTTTACCTTGAAATTCTCACAGCTTCAAGGGAAATATCTCGATCACTTTGGACATCATGGTTCCCCAGGTTTTTGGGCTCCTCGCTTTGTGCGCGTTGCCCCTCACGCACGTCTCAGCTATCCCTCTCGACCTACAGGCTGTCCTGGGATACAAAGAAGTGTCTCCCAATACTCCCACAGGATTTGAACTACCCGAGGATATAGAAACCCTGACTCGTCCTTCATGGTTTGAGTCAACCCTTATGGCCCGTCGACTCCTCGCCAAGTCCTCCTCGGGAGTGATTTCCACCGTCTTCCCAAATCCACTCCCACCATCAGCCCGTTCTCCTGCCTCGATTGCCGGTCTCCCCATCGGTCTAAGAGAATATATCGCCGACTGTGATGGAGCTCTTCCCTCGGAACTTACTCATTCCGATAATGGTGACCCAACTATTCTCGCCCTTCGCGTCGCAACCACATTCAAGAATATTGGCACCGCCTCTAACTTCAGTCTTGAGCTTGACTGGTGGGATCACATTGACCAAGCTGGACCTGTTTACCCTGGATTACCTCTGAGCCCTGCTGCGCTGCCTCGAGTAACTTTATTCGGATACCTCGATCCTCTTCCTGGACTTTCAAACTATAACACCGCCGAACTGGAACAGTGTTTCCTCAAATCTCATCCCGATGCGAAGGTCTGGCTACCCGGTGCATCTGGTTCACCACATTCGAGCTTCTGGGCTCGGATGGTAGTTACTCAAGCATACTGGATTGGTGGATTCGGCGACGTGCAGCATATTGGCTGGATTGATATTAACGAGTGGAAGGGTATCCGACGATATAAGAGTGAGAATGGGGTTGGTGATGGACGTGGATGGGAAGATGTGCGACTTCCCGGGGAAGATAAGGAGTGAACTATATCATTAATTTACATATATGATCGGAGGACTCCGCAGTGGTAATATGAGCCGATATGCATATAAGATTGTCCTTTTAGTATGCATGTCAAAGCGCATGTTAAATTTGATTGGTAGTGTCGCTTATCTGCAAGGATGCCTTATCATTCTTATCAACGTCGTCATTCAGATAGCGAGGAGGTTATCATGCGAGTTACTACTTAATAACTTATATATCCTCCGATCTTTGCGGGGAAATATCAGGGTCTTTTAATCTGATTCTAGATTGATCTATTACTTTCTTCCTTGAATCATACTACAGAGCTAAGCTCCCATATCAGTATAGAAATGCGCCTCTCCCGGCCGCAACTCCGGGTATCACAGGCCCAGTCAGCCTTCGCAGCAGGCAATGCGCGATGGACGAACCGAGATCTTGATCCTATTCCTTTGATTGCACGTAAATGGGGTGTGGCCAGTTTGATAGGTAGGCAGTTGGGTCTCAATGTCCATTGGTGAAGACTAGTTCAAGTTATAGCTAACCACCCCTAGCTTACTGGATCTCCGATGCATTCAACGCAGCAACATGGGAATTCGCTAGCAGTATCATCTCTGTAGGACTCACCTATAAAGAGGCGATTGCGATTGTTGCCATTTCATTCTTTATCATGTCCTTCGTGATCGCTGGAAACGGAACTGTCGGTGCAATCTACCACGTTCCATTCCCCGTCATCGCGCGTGCCAGTTGGGGATTCTGGGGCTCCTATGTCCCTATTATCTCACGTGTGATTCTTGCAGTCTTCTGGTTTGCCATCCAGAATATCAATGGTGGAAATGCCGTTCGCGTCATGATTGGAGCTATCTGGCCCAGTTATCTTAATCTTCATAATGCGATTCCCGAAGACCAGGGTATCACGACCAATGGAATGGTCGCATTATTTCTCTTCTGGCTGGCGCAAATCCCTTTTCTTTGTCTGCACCCAAACAAACTGCGCTGGTTGTTCGCTGTGAAATCAATTCTTGTCCCTATCACCTGGTTGGCGATCTTGATCTGGGCTTTTGTTGCTGAGAAGGGAGGTGGCAATATCTTCAAGGAGCAATCAGCTTCTGTTTCAGGATCGAAGTATAGCTGGTTGTTTTTGGTGAATATGACCTCTGTTCTTGGGAATTATGCCACTCTGAGTGTGAATCAGGTACGTCTGACAAACCATGCAAATCATACCCAGGCCTCTCCCACTCCTATACTACTTAGAATAAAACAGACAAACTAACAATTGGTTCATCTAATAGTCCGATTTCTCTCGTTATTCTCGAGTCAGTCCCCGGTGGCAACTCCTCTACATCCCCATGCTCCCTATAATCTTCACCTTCATCTCCTTCATTGGTATCGCCGCCTCTTCTGCCGGGCAGGCGCACTACAACCTTAGTTCAATTCCATGGGATCCAACAGTACTGATGAGCTACTGGCCCAACCGTGCATGTCGATTCTTCGGCGGGTTTTCCTTCGCACTAGCCTCGTTAGGTGTGAACATTTCCGCAAATTCGCTCTCAGCCGCAAACGATTTCACAGCACTAGCTCCTCAATTCCTGAATATCCGACGTGGGCAACTCCTCTGCGCACTTCTATCTTGGGCTCTTGTTCCATGGAAGATCCTTGAATCGGCAGATAACTTCCTAAATTTCATGTCTGCCTACGCTATCTTCCTAGGACCTATCGCTTCAATCATGTTGTTCGATTACTGGATTATCAATCGTCAAAGATATGATTCACTAGCCTTATACCAACCGTGGAACCCGACCTATCGCTATGAATGCACTATACCTGGGTTTCCCGATCACATTGTCTCTGGTGTCAACTGGCGCGCGATTGTAGCCTTCCTGGTTGGTGTTGTACCAAGTTTACCAGGATTGATCAATGCAGTGAATCCGTCAATCAGTGTCGGTGTGGGTGTGCATCCGTATCAGTTCGGATGGCTACTCGGGTTCTTCTCGACAGCGGGTGTATACATATGGTTATCATTGTGGTTCCCAGCCAAAGAAACTCAGATTGAGCGAGCCATTCTGCCAGATGAGGTTTATGAGGAGAATAGCGGTGCGCCTGTGGTTGAGGGAGTGGAAACACCCTATAGTGCTGATAAAGAAAGTACTATAGATAGCAAGGCTGCTGGGGGATTTCAGTCTTCTGAGAAAGTTGTCTAGGGTCATGCATAGTACACCTGGGCATGTACTCAAGTGCTATTATGGATGTATATGGATATGATATCTTGGAATCAATACATATGCATGGGCACAGAGGTACCTAGGTACCTATACTATTACTAGGTATATATATGGCCTAATCCGAGTCCCATTTCAGACCATCGGCACCACCAATTGACAACTTGATCTTGAACTTGAATTGAATTTAGATTGATGCAGTGATCATCTAGTAGTAGGTACCTAATTCATAGGTTTCATTTCCCCATCTCCAGCACTTGAGATGTCTGTAGCTACTACCTATGTAGTAGGATCTGTGGAGGAAAGCTTAGCTGATAGACATTAATAGACTGGCGGTTGTGTGGCGCCACCAAATTGCTTCAGTGAAAGACCAATGAAGGTATCTGTAGACTGTGAGTCCCTGGAGCCGTTCCCACTGCATTTGCCGAGCCTCCAAGGCTGTTCTGATCCATGGACTTTTTGCCCCGATAGCAGCGAGAGGCCGGAGAGACCCTGAGACCCTGAGACCCTTGGATTTAATAATCCCAAGTGGGCCCTTCCTGATCCCTGTAAACTCCGTCTCTGTAAGAGAGCTGAAAGCAACATTTGAAGATACATGGGTTTCAAACAGCTTGGCTTTTGCTTTTTGGCATAGTTATCACTGTAGCCGCTACTTCAACGGAAGACAGTCCTGCTCTTCTCAACTTTCGCCCATTTCATGTGACCCTGAGCACTCTTTATTATTGGGTCGGATCGTGAGTCGATTTTCTCAAACCACTCTATGCAAGAAATACACTCATCCAACACAAACAGTTATTTTAATGGCACAGCTCATTTTGAATTCTTTCCCTATGCTGGACTAGCAGCTTCAAGTTCGGAACCCAGACTTCCAGGCTGTCCAGCTCTTCGGAACAAAACGATTACGAAAGACTACAAGACACTGCTAGCGCTCACAGAGCCTAGTGTATATAATACAGCCAATGACCCAGTCAATGCCTTTCTCACGCTCTGGCCTCTTGGCTTCGATTTTGGTACAATCCCTGACGATTTGACATTCGAGTTATCGGACTCACTAGACTATGCAGTCTATTCGTCTGAGTAAGTTTCAATAATATATTGAACATTGAATTTAGCATCATGAGTTATCTGACTAGCTTATCCAGCCCAAAGCTTGTCGACGATATCACGATCGTTCCAAATAACTTCAACTGGACGCTAGAGAAAACGCAGGCACCTCCATATAATCTCAATAGCGTCCCAGCAAATTATCAGGGCGTTCTATCTGAGCAAAATGGAGCTGATAACTCCTTACAAGTGAACAGCACAATAGCCAATTGCAGCGGGATCGAGGTTTCAAGTTGGCAGTTTACATCACTATCCTACAACACCACTTCAAATTACAACGCAACCAATTTCACGAACCCAGTTATCAATCTCCAATTTGATGGTCAGACTGCAAACTTGTCCATGAAGGGATACGCTAGTGTGATGCCTGAGTATAAGACAGGGCCGGTGTACCAGGAAGGGTGTGTGGCTTTTGCGGGTGAATTTACCATCACCTTTTCAGGAGTTATCGACCTCTACCATTCAGATGCACTAAGGAACGATACGGCCACTCCCACATGATTACGCACTGTTGGATATCAGAATAACTCGCTGAATGTTGGCTATACTAGTACATCTGGGTCAGCAGGCAGTCAGCTGGTTGGATCTTGGTCACTGGCTATGGTCATGGTTCTGTCGCAGATATTGTTATTTTTCTGTTGATTAGCGAGTCTGAATCCACCCAATGTCAAAGTGCAGAGAAGGTTAACAAGGGATATTCAGTGTTATCTCATCTTTATATCGATGCCCAATTTTGCTGGGTGTCAAGACCCCAGGGGTGAAGACCTCGGGAGACGGTGTATGTAGGAAATACATGTATATTTGTGACTCAGAGTAGACATACCTTTTAAATGTTTATGCTTACTGCTCGCTTGACAGTACATATGCACTGGTGTCTACTAGAGCCGCACATGTGCACGGTCTTCACGATAGCTTACATACTAGAGCATACTGAAAGCCTTTACTTTTCTCTGCAGGGATAGTGATCGAGGGCCCTCCAACAACAAGTCTCTCACTCTTCCCATAGTCCAAAGATTTTAGACTCTTTATTTCAGTGACAAAGCTGTCTCTGATTTCCTTTGATGTGTCAACCCTGTAATTGAAAAGAACCATTCTTCATTAGTTGACTTCTGTGAAGAAAGGTGAACAAATTCACCGGTATGAACGATACCAAGGTTGTCATTTTTCAAAGTTTGATTCAAACAATAAAGTGCAGGTTACAGGATTGAATTTTCTGACCAAAAAAATTTTCAAGTAACTGAATAGTACTATCTAGGTAGGGACTCGGGACTCCTATTAAGATACTACTAGTAGACTGACGGTCGGTACTACTACTAAGTAGGCAATGCCATGATCAACCTTGGAATTGATGCACATGTGTCACGGATATGTCCCGCAGTGGCCGAGGATATCTGACAGTCTAGTATGATCCTGAGTATTGCATCCAATTACACTCTGCAAAATAGGAGAAAGGTTCAACGCTCTCACTGTTCAAATTTTCGTGCAAGGAACTTGAAGAATTATTTTGAAAATAGTAAGTCAAGTGTGCAAATGAAAACCTCCTTGTAATACATGGTGTTTGTCGGAGTCCGTCGGACGGTCCTTATGTAGTAGCACATCCATCACCCATATCCTCCTCCATACCAGTTCGTGAAGGGATTGCTGCTCCACAATCAGGCTTCGGTGCGGCTCTTGGCGCCGGGGACTATTATATCTTGAGAGACGCATCTACCTCGGAAGATGATTGCACCGGAACTATTGCCCAGGTATTCCAAGGTTAATTGAATCAGTGGTAACCAGTGGTGGATACTAGTACCTAGTCAGACATGTTTATCTTACTTTACTATTGGCCAAGTACTAGCTCATGATTCTACTCACACGCCAACTGAAGCAAATGATCAATACTGGAAGTTTTTAATGTTTGAGCTGCTGGGCGGGGTCCGGGATTCGATTCTTATATAGGTGAAATACTCGCTACGTAATAGGTACAGTTGTACTCGATGTCGCCACGATTCCTTGTTTCTTTGAGACCCATGCCCAGCCCTGGAGGTGATACAGGGGTGCCGTTGAAGAAGACAACATAGCCCTCTACCGATCTCATTCTTTCATCATTTGCGTGTGAGGCGTCCACATATCCTATCAGACCAGTCATGTTGGGTAGGGTTGGTTTCCTCAGAAATTTCAGGCCTTGTGACGGTGTTCCTGGGAGGTAACGAAGGATTCTCTTTGCCAGGTCTAGGGTTTTGTACAAAGTCTTGCTGCCGCACATTGTAATATTCCAGTTGTAAAGCCAACATTTGAATGTCAGAGCGTGTTTTGAATGTTGTGAGCATGAAATACTATATGATCATGATTCTATATACAAGGAGGTTTTAAAGCGCTGGTGAAATATTCATGAGGTGAAAAATTGGGTTCTAGTTCGATCCTAATTCATGGACCAGACCCGTCATGCTCCCCATCCATCCAGATAGGGCGAAAAGGGCGAATTCTAAGATTAACAGACACACTCTTCAGAAGTATCTGAACAATGTGGTTGGGTATATGAGACTCTCTGGTCGAGGCGTTGGACAGAATTTTGCGCAATCCAGAATGATTTCCGATGACTTGCGCTGTGACAACTCTTCAAACGACGGTTCACAGTTTAATATGGCATTTGACCACAGAAACAACAATCAGACGAGGATTTAAGGTCCAGGTCCATAAGATAAAGCGCCCTTGAGAACCTTGGTGACACTAGACGCAGCTCGACCCAATTCGCCGCCCTCTTCGCGGGCACTCTTCAGGCCGCGATCAACAGCGGGTAAAAAGCGAGTAGCAAAGACTCTATATCTATCCTCACGAGTCTCATACATTTCTCCCTCCTCATCACGAGGTTGACCAAAAAGGTTCAAGTAAGCGTACGGCGCAGCCGAAGCAGAAATCATATGATGATCTGTTTGGCACAAAGGAAAAGGACAAGCCGATGAGGCAGAGGCATCATTTCCATTCTGATCACCATTAACACCTGCAGTTGCACCAGGTTCTCCAACACCGGCGTCCAAGAATCCCGCCAGGGCGCCCAAGACCTTCACCATTGGTTTACCCTTACTTCCGGATTTCCCAAAAGAAGCCCGAGTAGAGGACCACTTCGCAGATTCGTCTGTATGCCATCCTAACACGGAGAGGAAGCAATTTAATGTCTTAATCCATCCGCCCGCACATGAAACTACCTGCTCCCCCGCTGACTCAACCAACCAGGATAAAATCTCCACGGCTGAGACTCGGATATCAGGTGCAAGGTGGGTCATACCAGCGCGGACGTAGGGCAAGAGTTGTAAGACGTGATCCTCGACGTCTGAATGGGGAAGTGTGCGCAGGAGTTTAATAAGCTGAGTGCGCACATTGTTGCTAGCGTCGAGAAGAAGTGGGAGGAGAGAAGGCAGCATTACACTGACTGGTTGAGGGAGATGCGAGTTGACAGGACGAGAAGCGATGGAGGAAGTTAAGTACGCGAGCGAGTCGCGGCGCTGGGAGTCGGATTTGGAGGAGAGGAGAGAGAGATGATGGGTGAATTGGCTGTTGGAGGAGGGGGCGTTAAGCTGGAGAGATTGTTGATTGAGGACGATCGCTAGAGGAGGGTCAGTTTCCTACTAGTGTACATGCAGGGCGACAGCGCATACCTTTGGATTTGAAGCTGGTATCGGTGTAGTTCTCTGGTTTGGCCTTAGCCTTGCCAACCCTGAGTTTGGGTTTCTGGGAGTGTCAATGGGCCGCAAATGTAAATTTGAATGTGAATCTGCCTTACCTGGAAGTCCTGCTTCTTCTCCTTCTTTCTCTTAGTGCTGGCACCCATGATTGCGGTAATTCTAGTGACTTGTGATTTCTCCAAAATTCGCGATTTTTTTTTAGTATCGGGGGGACCCACGTGATACTGATAACGGCCTCAGGCAGAACAATACTGAAAGGGGAAAGCCGAGGTACATCAGCTATAAAATATCGATCAACATTTGAATTGATTAATATTTAGCAAGAGAATGAAATTGAGATTGGACAAGAGGATCAAGATTATGGGTAATGATATCATTTAATGGATAATTCATAGATTCAGGGTTGATCGTTGATTCAATATCCTAGGTGCCATATCCCCATACGTGCATATGTGAGAAGTCTAGGTTTCAAGTTTCGATGAACTAAATCACCATATCTGCAATGATTCCCTATTTAATCTTGAAACTTATCACCAAGTACAACCTGAGAATTGAGTCTTTGTTATATAAAATTACTATTCTAGTTTATCAATGGGAGTCCTGATAAAGACGATAATGATCGGCGATCTTAGCGCTGTTAGTGGACTCGAGGTGAAAGAACATCCCCATAGAATCAACAATCATCATACCTCCCTCCCAGTTACCTTTACGAACCCGATTCAACTCCAAATCAAGCTCTCTTTGTTTTCAAATGCTTATTGTATAGATTATTGAACATCAATGCACCCAAAAATCCAAGTCCGACTACTCACCCTGAAGGAAGTACCTTCCTGGTTCGACGCCAACCCATTCATCCTAACAGGGTACCGACCAGAGAGTCAATCATGGAGACAATCAATAGCGAGCTGGCTCTATTTACACAATGAAACCGGAAATATCTACTCACACTTTTTACCCGGAGCATTCCTTTTCATCATCTTGCTCTCCGCGATAACCGGAAGTTGGAACAAACTCGACTTGTATAGCCTTGACGATTTCATGATCGCGTTGCCTTTAGCAGCTGCGACGACCTGTCTATTAGTCTCAACATTATACCATACCAGTCTCAATCACTCAGAACATGTTGCACATTGCTGGCTTCAATGTGATTATGGAGGGATCTTGGTATTGATTCTGGGGAATTTCGTTAGCGGATTGCACTTCGGATTTTATTGTACGCCTGCTTTGAGAACACTTTATTGGTCTTTGGTATATCGTCCCTTGAACATTCTCCTGAGATCACAGGTTCATCGTTGATTGATCAAACAGGATCCTGTCTAACGTTCTCTTGATAGATCACTGCAAGTACAGCTGGCACGGGCGTCTTCCTCCTCTCTCCATGGTTCCGCGAACCAGAATGGCGGCCTTTTCGTTTATTTAGTTGCATCGCAACAGGACTCTTTGCATTGGCGCCGATAACCCATGCGGGTTATCTGTGGGGAGTGGAGTACCTGATCCAGATTGGGGTACCTTATTACCTTCTTGAAGGTGTTTTCCTGCTGGCCGGTTGTTATATATTCCAGGTAAGTGGACTTCCTTCGCCTTTCTGCACACTCATCAACTGATTCTATTTCTAGACCCGATTCCCTGAGTCCTCGTATCCCGGGCAGTTCGATATTTGGGGTCATTCACATATGTTGTGGCATATCCTCGTGGCCCTGTCGATATTTGCACACATGGGAGGTTTGTTGAGTGCTCGTGATAACAGATATAGAGATGCACTGTGTTCAGTTGGGTTATAGATGGATTACAGATTCGTTTCCGGCTCAAAGATTTGGTGTTTGAAGTGGCCAAGCCAGTATAATCCAGATGTCACAATAGATTTTATTCAAGCTCTCTCGAGCTTATTCAATTGTATTATCGATTATCAATTCTAGAATTAATTTGCACCTAGAGTCGACCACCATATTAGTACATGCACTCCAATCCAACGTCAACTTCAAGTTGATCTTTACCTTGAGATCCACCTCCTAAAGCCTTAGCCACGATCTCATGAACCGAACCTAGAACAGACCTCGGTTCTTCACCCGGCTCTTCAATTCCTTCATTCAATTCATAGGTTCGGAATTCATTAATGGAGGTTGGGATATCGGACAAGCGACGACTGGTAGCTTTGGTATCACCTGCAAGAATCTAATTAATATCAATTCCATTCATCATATCAAATTGTATGTGGAGATGAATCCCGGGTTGAGTATACCTGGCTCAAAGTGGCGAGCTATTTTCTCTCTCGCGCTACTCGCAGATTGGTTTGCGGCAGCGGCGTATGTGTCCGGACGACTGATACTAGTATCAAGGGGCTCAGTGGCCTCTAGAAGAAAGAAAGGAATTAGAGGCATTGGACGGTGTCAGTTTTGGTGATGGGGATTACCGTCTGTGTTGGCGAATTCACTCTAGTAAGAGCTAGGTGATTAGCATCATGTTCTCTCCAAGGTTACTGTCAAGGCGAGATGTCTTACTGCAGCTGACATGTTAAAGTTGGTTTATCTCCAGGGCTCGTAGGCGCTCAAACTCTAGGTCGTATGTAATAGTTTGAGTCAAGAGGTGCAAGATCCTATAAACTGCCGGTAGCAAAGGATTTGCCGTCGACATGACGTGGTGCGAGTTGCCCCTACATCGGGGTAATCCATGGATAGCCTTGCAGGAATAAACAGCAGTGATTAAGAGAATGATATCACTATTTATCCAGTGATGTCAGATAATTATGTGAACTTCAGGGCTAGGATGAGCAGGGAGCAAAGAAAAGCCGTATCAATCGTAGTCAAATTTGGTCTATGAAATAAAATCCCATCATATGAGGGCCTGCTCAGCAGTGCGAAGGAATTCAGAAGATAATAACGTGGTAATCAGAAAAGAAAAAAAGACAAAAAACCAGAGAGATGCGCACTTCTGCCCGGTCCGGAGTTGCACATAATAACAACACAAGAAAAAACAACCCAGGATCCGGACAGACGCGATTGTATCAATCAAATCACACGATCATGAAGCACAGACGTTAAAAATCAAATAGAGACAATAGGAAAATAAAAAACGAAAAATGGACCATCAAAAACATCGAAACGTAAAAACAAAGCCACAATGAACCACCAGCAAGGAAATTAGTCGGGTCGTTGTATAGACGAGATTAAAGGAGTGGTGGTGAGCCCTGTCATACCGAAACAACGACCCAAAAATAAGTTATAAAGAGAGTTCGTATACCATAAAAAAGAGTCCTACAGACTCATTGTAAGCCACTCCCATTCCTGGCTTGCACCACCCTGTCCACCAGCGATACTGTGGTTGGCCGGGTTGGCAGCAGCCGGAGGCATGGCTGGAGCCAATGGCACCACCTTAGACCTCCCCAGAGGCGTAGGCGCCTTAGGGCTATCATCTGTATCTGGCTCAGATCCAGTGGGTGCCTTTTCAAGGCGACGCTGGCGTCGAGGCGCGACCTGCACACCAGCACGAGCCTGAGCAACGCCAGCTGGGGGACCAGCCTTGGGAGGCGCGGCTGCAATAGCTATAACTCCGGGCTTTCCAGCGCCCATGCTACCAGTGATAGCCGGTGGTGACTCGGAGGCAGTATTACTGGTTGCACGAGATACCATAAGGCTTGTTGGTGCCTGTGCAATAGAATTCTTGCGCGAGGATTTCTTAGAGGAACGAGAAGTGCCCACCACGAGACTGTTGGCACTGCTGCGGTTTCTCTTCTTAATCACGTCGGTTTTCAATGATAAAGGACGAACCACACCGTGCAGCTTAAGGAACAGACCACAGGCGTTGCACAGCGGTTGACCCTCAGGGTTACGACGCCACAGAGGAGTCGTCTGAGTGAAACAGTTGGTGCAAGTAGTTGGGCCGGCATTAGGGTCACCGTTTTTGGATCCACCAGGACTGGCGGGTCGAGAGGGGACAGCGCTGCTAAGTCCAGACTCGGGCGGGGTATTGGGAGATGGGTGGTTCGTGGGCGGACCACTGGCATTGCCGTTCATGCTCTGGCGCAGCAGACCAGGAGCGTTAGGCGTTGAGGCCGTGCGGGCAATTTTCTGACGGCGAGGATCTTGTTCGCGATTGCGAACCTCGCTGACTGAGGCAGCTGAGCCATGTGTACGACCGAGACTTCCATGATGCCAGTCGGGCGGACCGTCCATCATGTCAGTAGACCCAATTGTAACATGCTTGCGATGTCCATTGAAGCCAGGTAGCGACTGAACAGAGCCTGGGAATCCGGTATCCCATCCCATTCCAGAGTTCATGTCACAAGTCTCATCCATAGAGGAAAAGTCATGGGGCATTGCAATGCCTCCTCGTTCAAAAGTATGACCATCGTCATCCTCATTGTCCGAATCCCCACCAAATGTAAACATGCTGTTAGTGGGTGCGGTGGAGGAATACTCGCCAGGCCCTCCGAGAACATGTGTGGGATCAACATGCTGCTGCGGGACTGAGAATCCCATCGTTGAAGGCGCTCCAGTAACCGGTGACTGATAATCTCCGTTGGTGGAGTTGTACACCTGGCGCGGCTGGAGCGAGGCAGACAGGTTAGAAGACCGCTGCTGCAGATACGCAGGGATGCGGCGTTGGTTGTGGGGTTCAGTGGGGGTCGTATCCGTGAAGAACATTGACTGCTCGCCCTCATAAATCGGCTGGGGTGTCGAGACTGCCGACTGATATCCCGATGGAGGCGGAGAGAAGAACTCGGTAGAATTGAGCGATGAGGCCAGTGGAGTTTGCGCATACAGGTTAGAGAAAGGGTTGCCGGCGGTCATGGGGGAATCGGAAGGTGAGAAGGTGAAATGCTGCTGGTAGGGGCCTGCGGAATTGAGTGCACTCTCATCATTCACGCCAAAGGTATCCAGACTAAATGGCATGCCAGTGGACGCGGTGTGATGATGGCGCCGAGGACCCATACCATTTGCGGGCATGGCGAAACCTGGTGTAGTTTGGTCAAGAGAGTAATCTGGTAATCCTGCCGACAATTCGGAATGTTGCGCCAACATGGCATTGGACACAGGGGGGCACCTGCGGTGACGCATCCGCTGGTCGCTTGCGTGTGGGCACAGCTAGTCCTGCAAAGAACTGGCGTTCATCCACACTCGTTTTGCGAACCCGACGGGCCACGTATCCAAACTCGCTGTTTTTGCGCTGATCTTGAGGCGGATGGGGGAATGACGCGGCAGCGGCGGTATCGAGCATAGGCTGGTCTTTGCGCGACTTAATCGGAATGGAAGCGGTCGGTGTTGCCGTGAACTGACGATCCACAGCAGGATGGGAGGAATAATCGGCGGGGGAGTCAAAGGGAACGATAAAATCATCCAAATTCATGGCATCGGGTGTATCATCGAGTTTCATATGATTCGAGTTCGTTGTCGACGCCTGGTCGGACAAATGCAACTGCGCAATCCCGCTCTGGGTAGGGCTAATAGTATGATGATCGGGTTGAGAAGACCTGCATAGCCAAGAAAAAAAGAAAATAAAAAGTGAGCTATCGGTTCTCTGATATCCAAAATAGGTCGGAAAAATGCAGCAGGTCTATATGATCTATCAAGGAGGAGATAGACAGGGAGAAACACCGGAAGCGGGAGAGAGAAAGAGGAAACCTACCGAGCCAGTTGTTCCCGTTCTTTTCGTTTTAAGCTCATAGCCATCATCCGCCATGTCAAGTTCTCCATTCGTTCTTGATTGGGCAAGTTCGCTTTTGTCTTGGTGTAAAGTCTCCAGATCTGAGCAGCCAAGGGGTCTTGCCGCTGCATCTCATCTGGATTATCGCCACCGCGCGGGGCACCACTTTTCCATTCTGGAAAGATCGAATCATTGAGCATACCATCCTGAGCGGTAGAACTCGTTGAACTAAATGGGGAACCAAAGGAGAAATCATCAGACATCATATGGGAGTCAATATCCGGAAAGGCCGAGGATTGAAGTGGTCGACCTCCACCGTGAGTTCGCTGTATTCCCTCCATGACTCTTCCTCTTTTTTTTTAAAAAATCCGGAGGGAACCTGGAGGGGGAATTTTGACGGGGTAATTTCAAAGTACAAAATCAGATCCCAGATGGAATTGAAATTTGGCCCCGGGTTTGCACACACAAGAGGGACCCTTGCTCCGGGGTGGTGGAAGTGGAAGATCGCGATCGAGTGCGATTGGGTTGTCTCAGTCAGCGACTCGACCACACACGACGTCACTTAGTAACTTCTTCTTTTTTAACCCCGAAAGTAAAGATTCAAATTTTGAGGATCACTTTGATCTTCAGCAATTTGGGTTCAAAAAAATAATTTTTCTTTCTTGATCTGATCTAGATATATAGAACCTCGAGTCGTGGAGGGGGGGGCTAGACCCTCCAGACGCTCATGCCCCGGAAAATAGTGGGATTGAAAGGAGAGAGGCTACAACAGCCGAAGAGATTGAGAGGATGCGGAGGGAGAGGGGAAAAGAAGGGAAATTATAAAGATTGAAGACCAAAGTTGAATAAGATCAAGGGAATAAGAATAAGAAGAAAAAAAAGGAAGAAAAAGGAAATTGGAGAGGAAAGTGGGAATATGATATGTGAAGCTGGGGGAAGAGGAGACCCATGTAATTATGGTAATAGTAATACATGATACGAGTGCAGGTGGACTAGTCCCGGTATACGCTACTTCCACATAAGAACTATACCTACTAGGTAGTAGTATATTAAGATTGAGATTAATGAATTGGAGTAGAAAAAGGTATCCATTTCTTCATACCTAATTCATTCTACTAAAATGATCCTCATGAGATTAAAAAAAAAGTACTATCAATATTTTTTTGAATCCTTTCCCCCATTCTTGTTTCCCTAAACTCCCCGGCATTACTGTTTCTCATGTACCGATTTACGGCGCTTCCCTCGACTACTGAATGGTACTTGCTTCATGCGCCTGGAACGCCACTCCCGTTGAGGATGGGCTGACTATGGTGGAAGATCTAGAAAATTGCCCCTTGTCTAGAACCCATCCCGGTCCCCAGTCCCTTTGCATATGGTAATTTTACACAATTCCCATGAATAGCCGGTCTCATCTCACAAAAAAAAATTCATGTATTTTGTCCCACGAGTTGGGGATCTAACGTCTCCGCACGGCCCCCGATTCTTTTTTTTTTTGCTTCTATAAAACCCTGCATTATAAGCTCTTATACTTCGTACTTATTATAATGGTAATTTACATAATTCTAATTTAATTTTTTTTTTTCCACTTGGTCTGTTCATCGCCCCGCCGAATAGGAACGACGGGACTGATGCCCTGGAGTTGTCTCGAATGTATCGGGCCGAATCCGACCCAGTTGATGGAGAGATGGAGACATGGGGGAACAAATAAGACCTCAATCATTGGAATTAAACATGCAGGTACTTGATTTTGGGGGGGCACGGCCTTCCCAAAGACTAGAACAACTCCTCACCCGTGGATTAGTGACTCTTGTTTGTAGAAATCACCGGAAACGAGTCCAGATGTAGTTCTAAAGTGGGTACGGGAACTGTTGCCAGTGGAGTCCACGTCTCTTAGCGGAGCAAATACAAATGAGACCTGCAAGATGAACGGAAATGAGAAAAAAAAATGATAGCAATGGAAATTGGTCACTGATAGATTAAAAGAAATATTCCCCATGAATCAAAAACCAATTGATATGGATCTGATAAAAAGTTTCATGTTTCAACTTGAGCCCTTTGGTCCCAACCTTAGAAAGGTCATAAATTGCAAACAAAGAATCTGGATGAACTTCGGAGATAGTATTCCCAAAAGAAGATAAGTCCAAACGTTCTACGGGGCTTCGAAGCTGTCGGAATGGCTCCGCTCACTCGAGGCTCTATATACTCCGTAACCCGACCGCGCAAAACGGGAACAATCACCACTCACCGGAGTCCATTCATCCCTATATTACCCGAGTCCGGTATTATATTCGTAATACCATTCATCTGGTATGATTGTGTTTCCTCCTTTTCAATTTCCTCTCTCTCTCGTCTGGCGATGGATGCATAAGAGAATCCTCCCCGAGTCATTGACCATTCTCTGGCCCCCTCTGGCGCGGGGGCACGCGGTTTATCTGCTTCCCGGCTAATATGTCTTGTTAGTCTTGATTGGAGATTGGAGATTGGTGCGTTGCATCGCCACATCGGCTCTTAACTCCCGACCTCTTGGAATCTCTCATTCAATCGTCGATCAATACGGAGACGGGGGAGACATGTTAGCTCTTTTCTTTTCTTTTCTTTTTTTTCTTGGCTTGACATCAGAGGCAATTGAAAATTGAATTCCAAACCAAAAAAAAAACAAGCTGACCATTATCCCCATTGGAGGGGGAGGAATAGGGTTGTTTTCCAATGTGGGGATGGTCAACGTAGGCCAAACAAAAATAAAATCGAAATAAAATCGAAATAAAAAACCCATGAAAATAAAAAACCACCATCACAGCTAAGAGTCAGATCATTGCTTGGATCATTACGGATGGAGTCCGCAACCGGATCGAGTAAACAGGCACAAGGAACATCGGACCGTCAAAAAGTATCCTGTCGGAGGGACAATATCTCGAATCGTATGGGTTCTCCTCTTCTTGGCCCCACGGAGGCCCACCGGAAGTCGGGGCACCCAAGATATGACAAGATAAGCTGCTGATAAGACGCTGAGTTTGTAGAGTAATTAGACGTGGTCATGCTGATAGGCGCGGTGCTGATCACCGTGATTGACCAGTCTTATGTCTCCACGGTGGAGAACCCCATGACGATGTGGTTCGACCTTATCAGAGGGTCTTCAGCTTGAAAAAAAAAAAATAGAACATAAACAAGGAAAAGAATAAAAATAGTAAAACAATAAGAAAAGAAAGAGAAGCAAGGAACAAAAGAAAATATGTATACAATACCCATATGGTATACATCATATCAGCCGTTGTCGCGTGGCGTTGACATCAATGATTGTGCCCTAAGCTTCAAATGTTCAAGTTGGGGTAATTAAAACCAGGCCCCCCGAGTCAACCCGAACATCTGGACAGGTATAATGCAGGACAATCATTGCCTTCATCAGATACAATGCACCTGCAGCCGAGTTACTGTAAGATATTAGAAACATTTGAAAAAAAAGAGACATGATAGAGAGTGGCGGTACTTTGGGACTTTTGGCCAATGCGTCCCCCCACTCTCTTCGGGGCCAAGGGACCTCCCCCTTGTCAGTGCGTCCAGACCTTTTTTTTTCTTTTCTTTTTGGGGCGGCTTCTGCGGTTATGCTGAAATCCCATCTTGAAATTTGCCTGCGGCGAGGTCATGATCATGCTCATATGAGACACCAGTCACCCAGCGGTAATGTTTGGAGCGTGGAGAAAAGAAACCTGATAAACTGCACATATGTAATATACAGTGCTCGACAGGTATTCCAAGGTTTCTTGTCTCTCTTTACATTGAAATATTGAAACTTGCCACAAGCCAGCTCTGGACTCTTGAAGTTTGGATTTTTCCCAAGAAATTTTGCCAAAAGAATTCACCCCCAAGTGTACTTTGTACATGGAAGGAAAAGAAATTTCCTCCCTGATAAAAAAAAAGTGAGAGAGAAATAACTTGAATTTTGAGGTCTCCCAAGTGCACATGTGTCTTAAGGAATCTCAAAATTCCTATGAATAACTCCACAGGAAGACAGGCCCCTTTATATATACAATATTGAAATTCCGAGCGCCAAAGGGGGAGGTATCACCCAACAGCATCTCGATAAGGCGTGACGCTACCCAAGACTCCATTGTTCAGGAAGTTTCCGAATCCCTGATACGTAGATAAGTCTGCATATCTTGGGCACTGGGGAAGGACCTTGACTCGAGAAAGATAAGGCACACTACCCCTGAGGCGCAAATTCGGGGGCAGATCATGCAGCTCCATACCCCAAAGAATGCCCAGATAAAAGTATCCCCGTTATCAGGGAACTCCATTGGATACAATGGGTCCTCTCCACTACACTCTCTTACAAAATCTCTTCACACAGACCGCTTCTTTCCATCATCATGCCTATCTCCAGGTTTGACCCCAGATATCTCTCTCACTCCGACGGGTCCTCCGGGAGATCCTCAAATTGTGGCGTCGAATGTACGACTGACAACAGATCATTCCTTATCTGCAGTAGGATTATTCCCCCTGGAACACACGGACCACGGAGTACATATCACAGATAACTATTTGTCTCTGGGATGAGAGATATGGTTCCCGTATCTCGGACAACACTCATCACAAATTGGCGCGTCTGATGCATTCCTGGATACACGGGGGCCATAGGATTGGTCCTGGGGAACACTGACGCCATAAACTAGGTCCTTAGATCCCTGATCAATCTCGTCGAAACTATTCTATCTCCTCGGAGGCCGTTCACAGACGCGCACAGATGCACCTAAATCCGTTTCATACCCCGGTCGCCTTCGGACTCCTATCATGGTGTCGCATTTTCTATTTCCTAATCAGCCCCCTTGCCGAATGAGCATTGCCTCACGATGTTATTTCATCCAATTCAATCTATCACCTTCGACGCTATTACGTTCTCAAATTGATAGCAATATGTCAACTTTACAAATGGAGGGATTTGATTGATGGATGTTATCGAAACTTCGGGGACACGGTCCATATTCAACCGAGTTGCCCCGATCACCGGGGTACTTCACGGAGTAGATGTATGCAGCAGAGCAGATCCTTTCTCACTCGGTACTTGAGCAAATTCAATGTTGCGAGTGCTCACGGCGTAGAGTAGAGAGCACAATGGCAGTACGCAGGACTAAGCAAGTGTTAATCAGACTGCCTAGATCTCACTTTCAATCGCAAATGAATGAGAAGCCAACTGTCTAAAACAAATGTCACCCAAATCAAACAGAGTTTCTTAGTTGAAAAAGATGATTGAAGACGATCCTTCAAATCTTGGGCCAGCGCCCCCATATCATGTACATGCACACTCAAAATGCCTTATCCATGTGTCGTCATCAGCCCCCTGATATCTGCATCAAGTAATCATTAAAAAGCAATTATCTTCAGAGCTGAGTCTATCTTGAAGAATCTAAGATGATCTATCTAATCACTGGCATGTTTATCTGAATCCGACTAATTGATTGCACTATCGGGTGGTTACTTGCATATCTGCAGTATTAAGTGCTGTTTGTTTACAGCCCCAAGCCTCACTTTCATGTCTGCCTCCTAGTTGCCTTGAGACATCACAAACTGTGAATAAGGGTCCTATCTTTGCACCTGAGACTGGCCGTAGAGCATTATCCCATCTAGGACAGTTACGTCGTCTTTTCTATAAATATCCTATCCTCATATCTAGGCAGTATCTAGCCAATCAAAATTCTTTAGGAAACCATGTCTATAGCTGTCACTGCTATTGATAACTGGCACTATACTAGCAAAACCCTGCCAATAACACAATAGAATGATTCATACTCTTTGATAATATTGATTATCTGGTGGACTTGCAAGGTTGCGATAGTGATTTATGCGCCTTGCTATGCGCCTTGCTTTTTCAAGCACAATCTCAGGCTTGAGTCGCCTTATCATCAGTACATACTATCAACTATCATAAACATAGTATCTTGGTTAGTTTCAAGTTGTCATCAGAAGATTAAGGATGATCAATCTAATGAGGTCAGATTAGCTCAGATGATATTGATTGAGCACTTGAGCAATCTATCAACAGCCCTGGAGGTCAAGATGAGATACGGATGATATCTCAATTGATAACAGCTATCTTCTAGATGCACATGCATGGTGTCAATGAGTGATAACCACTGCCAAAACAGCTTTTACCTCGCAGTTTGACACATTCAGTGATATTTCAGATCTCTTATTTTATCTGATCTCAAGTGATTACCTATATCACACTTGCATATGTGCTGATAGGGCCGCTCAGGTAAGAGAAATTAGCTCGGTGAGATAAAGAGTGAGTGAGACGAATGCAAGAGAGTCATTGAGCTCGGTGCTCTGTACTTTGTACAAAAATCGTCATCGAGATCAGCAGTCGGGCGTTTCCGGCACGCTATCCATAGTACACCGGGGAAACAAATTGAGTCGGGCATCAAATATACTAGTATGCCGCGTCACACTGAATCTCCTTTGCTCGAGCAATTTTCTTTCCTGTCCTCCAGATGTCTTTATCCACATGAATCTTCCATGACTGAGCTTGAAGACCTGATCTTGCATTCAATAAATAATCGACTCCTGGATCCGTCTGAAATTTTACCTCCATTGCTTTCATATACCGCACACCAACACAGCGACAAGAATCGAGAGGAGGAGTCATCGAAGGTCAAACAACCATCATTTATCGGCTCACAGACAGGTATCTCGGAAGGAGTCATCTAGAACTGGCTGTTTGAATCCCTCAGGCTGTAGATCATGGATTCGGGCCGGGCCTGCGGCGGTGGAAAGTCATTGAAATTTCAAAAGCAATATCATCAAACCGCAGAGAAAGTACCGAAGCTTAAATCGACCACTGCCCAGGTGGAATGATTAGTTCAAGCTTCATTCCGGTAGAGCCCGAGTGTGTAACTTATATATCGACAACACAGTTTGCTGCCTCAGTCACAGGCATGTTTGGTCTGGAGAGCGCTTCGGGAAGTGAGAGTCTAGATCATGGAGGCTGAACGTTGAAAAGGAATGACCGGGCTCTAGAATGACAGGCATCAGTTTAATAAGAGACAGCAGGATTAGAAATAGCAATAAAGAATTTGGAGGAGCACTTAGAAGCGAGCAGATATTCCAAGTTAATCTGTCCAAGTTTGAGAAGAGACGATGTGCATAATTATGGAGATTCGCTTCGACTTTGTAGCGAATTTAAATTTCAAACAGGATATCGAGATACGCGAGGATCGTACTTATGACAAGCAGTGACGTGACAGAATTGATACAGTCGCATATTGCAAGTTCGATGAGCTAATTGCCCACAAAGTTCGAGATTAGTGATGAGACTAAACGCGGGGGTAGGCGGGGTAAATTGAGAGTGGGGAATACGGGGGAGGCTCAACAGATCTTGCTGACACATGCATGATAATCCTGCCCAGTGCCCAGGTGGTTGAATTCATCTGAGAGACTAGATTTAAGACGATACGGACTGGTATTACATATATGGGATCATACCTAGGTAGGTAGTATCTGTTGGGAACTGATCCGGCAACAGATATCGCCTCGCACCTCGCATCGACCACTTCTTGCCTCCACACCTCTCAGCCTGCCTTTGATGCGCCTCAAGATTTTTTCAGTATCCAAGTACTTTGAACTTGACTTATTCCAACACGTCGTCCTCCTTAGCGCACTCCACGGACCAATATTCAAACGCAACTCCGTCACGAAGGTACTGAGAGCTTGGCAAGCTTGAACGCCTGATACACAAGTGGAATAGCTCTTCAATCGCTCGTGGCAGACTGACAAGTACTCTCACTCAATTAATCGACCCTGACTCAATACTGGGTCAATTTCAGAAGGCTATAAACCAAGGCTTACAGGAGGACAAGTGAATACAGGAACAGGTATTGGGCGCAACTCGGGAAGTGCAAGGAGATTTCTAGAAGCTTGGGAAGACAATCTCTGGCTCATGAACTCTTTCTCTCGCGAATATCTAGGCTTTTAAGAGTTGAATTTTCCTCTTTGTTTTTCTTCTATAGATCTGTTGTTCCATGTGGATAATATCCACATCCTCCTCTTCTTCTATCATTTCGAGCGTGACTGTGAAAATACTTACATAATTATTTCCTCGCTTCCAATAATACTCAGATAAATTCTCTACTAATACCTAAATAGAAGATCAGCTGCTGAACCGATGGATCTCTGTCGGCCCTGGAGATGGCCGGGCCCAAGTTTCAAATGTAAACATTTGAAACTTTTATTAACCTGAAGCTTAAGACTTCTACCCTTACGCTATTAAAGGGAGCCAGAGGTGAAAGCCACACTCCAATATTTCCAATTAATTATTAGAAGTACTAATATAGATGACTACTTATCGGGACGAAATGAACTGAGTCCCCTGAATTAGACTAACAACCAAATCGATACTATACGGTTTGAGAGAGATAGCCCTCTCACACACCAGTTGACATGTGCATATTGTAGGAGGGCGTTAATATCCAAGCAAAATTGAACTTGAACCCAGATTCCATATCTTGAAATTATTCATAGAAATACTTGCCAGTGAAAGATTACGTGTAGGTAGAAAATGATTTATGAGAACATTTGGATGTAACATTGGACCAATGCCAGAGAAGGTATAGTATATACAGTATATGCAATCCTCATAAACCGGGCTAATGATCTCTCAGTTCAAGTTAGAGGTAAATGCAACGACAAGACACAGTCTTCAAGCGATGTATCGCCAGACCCAAGTTCTATGTCCCAATCACCCACATGCACCGAGACCAATCCCCGCTCGCGCCCCAGGTATCCCAAAATGACGAACAGATGCAAAGTATGAGACAAAAGGTATATCCACCAAGAAACGAAAGGTTGGAAGAGAAAAGAAAAGATGTGTGAAAAATGAAAAGAGAATGAAAAGAAAAGAAAGTCTATATGCCCGAAAAGAAGCCTCCCAATGCAAGTTAAGTTCTCCAGTTCATAGAAGAATAACTGCAACGGATCTTACCCGAAGGAGGATGATGAAAGAAATTCCTCTCCCGGAAGATCAGAGAAAAGATAGAGAAAGAAATGAAAATAAAAAAAAGGTTGGGCCATGCCATGATCGAATCAAACGGTAAAATGCCAGCCGAAAACCCTTGCGCCCGCTAATGACTAGCTGCGAAGCAGACCCGCCACGGTGTATGAGGATGAGGCAAAAAGATGAAATGAGAAAATGAAAAAGAAATGAAATGAGAAAAAAAAGCTGGAAAGCCCATAATTGTATAAATCCCCCGGGGTATTAGAAATGAAACAAGGCCGTCTAGGAATGTGGTATGTAAAACGTGAAGTCGTCCGGGTCTGAAGAGAAGAGAACTGCAAATTGCCCGGAAAGAGAAAGAAGAGGATCCAATCCATGATAAAAGAAAATGAACATCAAGGACCCGAGTGGCCTGATGCTCCAGGATGTCCCATTGGAGGTTGATTGGTGGTAAAAGGTTGTTGAACTGCATCGCCCGCATACATGGGATATTGAACCACGCCCATACCAGGCGGCATGACGTTCATCGGCCACTGTGTGAAGCCCATTCCAGCTTGAGTTGGGTAGGGTATAGAGCCGGGTGGGGTTTGCATGTCAGGAGCAGATGCAGGAGAGGTGTGTACTCCGACATTAGGAGCAGACAGAGACTGGGCAGGAGTGGTCATTCTTCTCTTCAAGTCCGGGGGCATTTGTTGGAATTGAGGTTGTGAGTAATTAGAGCTCATATCCTGTCCAGGGTAACTCATGGCTCTGGATGGCTGTGGTGGTGGTGCGACTTGCCAGACGCTTCCATCGGGTTGTATGGTGTAAGAGGGAGTGTTCATAGGCTGTGTTTGGCCAGACATCTGCGAGGCTCCAGACATGGGTGAACTAGGTGATAATCCTGAGGGTACAGATCCGGGAGTCCAGACATTTGGCGGGTAGTTCATCATCTGGCCCTTATTAGCAGCCATGGAAGCTAACATTTGGGGATCCGATATGGTTGTATATTCATCCCATGGGACCCCTGTTTCCATTGTGGGGTTTGGTGAGAATTCTCCAGGGCCCATTGGTCGATCTAAAATAGAAACTTTTGTTAGTAAATTCCAACGACTTTATTCCAATTCCAATTGATTTTCCTCGTTTCCGCTTATTTGCGCAACGTCAAACCACCAACTGGGCAGAAATTGACCTACCCGGTGCAAAGCCTGACATGGGCTGACCAGCAAAAGCCACAGGAGTAAAACCTGACATATCCTGCGCAGAGGATGCATTCAACGGAATTTGCGGGTATGGATAAAAGGCATCGACGGAGTCTTGGTTCATATTCGTCGGGGACGAGGAAATTGGAGGCGTCGCATGGTCCGTCGGTTGTGTTTCCAAACGCGAATTCGGCCGGGATTTCTTCTCAATTGGTGGTTGTTGATCGACTGGGAAAAATTGACACTCCTTTCGTAACCTAATACAATTCTCGCATCGTCCTTGCGCATCGTCGGGGGCTACCAAGCATCGAATCTTGCGACGTCGGCAATGCACTATAAGAAAAAAAAGAGGTATGAGCTGAAATGTCCTATAGTAATGTGCGCAATACTTTCGCAAAGGAATGCGCTTTTCTATAGGGGTCATAAAATCGTATGCGCTTGGTACATCGTTGCGGCGCATAGCAATGCCAATTGCGACAAATGCGACAAATGCGCTCAAAACAACACCAGATAGGGAAAAAATAAAGGCGCATTCGAGGAATGGAAAATTGAAGGTACTAACCACATGCGACAGATGTCCGATGATATCCTAGCTTATTGCGCTTCTTATCCGCATTGCTTGCGCTATCCATAGCGCTTTGTGAAGTCGGAGTAGTCATAGTCTCGACTGCCACGGGCATAGCTTCCCCACAAGAAAATGAACAGAAACAAAAAATCTATGTCACCGCACCGATCCGAGGCGCATCAATAACGCGTACACGGAAGCGAGCAGAGAGACGCCGATCCTAGGCGTAATTTGGGGTGAAGAGCGGGATGAAGAGATATTGGGCCATACAGGCACCACCGCAAGGAATAAAAAATGAATCGGAAACGAGTCGAGAGAGATCGGATAGTGAAGCTGTATTGAAGATGACCCTTCCTTTGGTGTAATTCTGGCCTTTTCTGATCCACCGACGCCACACTGATCTGGGATATTGCGCGTGTTTCAGCTCGGCAAAGTCGTAAGGTAACAAAGTAAACCAAGTAGCAGGGGGGGTGAAGGTCCCGCAGTCGTATTCGTGTGATTGTGTTTTAGAAAGACTCCAGCACTTTTGAGGTTGGCGAGAAGATGGTGGTCGAGGATAGATTGGATTTCGTGGTCTCAAGCCCTCTTTGCGTTTTCCTCCCAGGCGAATTAATCAAAAGAATTATAGTATAATTATGGGTAGTTTTCGAATCATGAGATTTCGGCAATCAGATTGAATCAGCCGATAGATTTTTGAACAAAGAAATCGATGAGATTTAATGTCTTGAAGGATTTCTCAATATTCGGATAAGAAGTCCTGGTTTCAAGTTTCAAGACGATAATCACTCAGAGATTAGTAAGGTGTGTGATGATGATGAGAGTAAAAGGGTAAAAAAAAAGATATAAAAAAAGATATAAAAATGAGCTTTAAAAAAAAAGAAAAATGATATTAAAAAAGAGGAATCAAAGGAGTGAACGAAGCAAAACAAAGATGAGGAAGATCGAAGGGGAAGAAGATCGTATAGAGACTCGAGAAGAGGAAGCTAATCGCGGGGTGAAACGCCTTTTGGGCAGGTTTTCAGTTAAGGAATCTGTTTGGTTTTTTTTTATTATTTATTTTAATATTTTATCCAGAAAAATAAAATAAAAAACAAAATCATAAAATAATAATAAAAATAATAAAATAAGATAAAAAACCGAGGCAAAAAAAAAAAGGAAAATTCATAACTGTAATCCCACCATACGTGGAACAAGGTGGCTCTGCATCAAACCGACACTAAGACTAAGATGGATGTTATCGACTTAACCCAAAATCGACTAAATCACCTAAATCAACTAATCCAACAAATCAACCCTGCAGGTCATTGCTCTTTGCCCATACTAGTATAGTAAAGTAGAGTATAGAAACGTGATGATCTCAGGGGCTCTACCCTTACCCAAGGAACTTGAACTATTAACTATAGACTTTAGAATTGGACTATAGATTCAATACTAGTTCTTCACGTTCAGCTCCTCTTTCAACTGATTTATTTTTTTTTAAGATTTTTATTTTTTTGATTTTATTTTTTTGATTATTTTAATGATTTTTCTGTGATTGAAAAAAAAGAGAGAAAAATTCTCCCCCCACATACCGGTAGTTGTCATCACTGGTGGCCGCATAATGTGAATTAACCCCTGATTGCGTACACGATAGGACCCCCCCTTCAAGAGTTGGTTCATGGCAAATGAGGCATAGAGAACCATGGTCTGGGAGCCCTGACACAGTGGGGTCAAATTGTGGATGTGGATTGTATTGTGTAAAGGAACATTTCTTTTAGGCTTAGACTCAGGAGGAGCTGTCAATCCTTGATGAACTGGGGAATTTCTTCCTCTTAAAGCAAGTTCTAGAGGCGTGATTGGCGACAGGAAGCTTGGGTCGGCAGCTATAACCAATAACAAGGATATTCCTAGGATCCATTTACTCCTAAAGAATCATGACCTTCTTTCTATGGGTATTTTAAAGATGATCACTGTGGAAGAAACCTTGTGGGCTTCTCGAAGGGGTGCCTCGCAGCTCGGATTCGGATCATCGCCTCTTGAGTGCATAATGCGTATATGGTTTACTAGTAAGAGTTCACATAACATCCGATATCATGTTTTAGGATTTTAGGATATCGGAATACGCCGTTAGATCAATTTCCACCGATTCACATCAAGTCACATCAAGTCACATCGCTAGAAAAGACTTAAGACTTGGAACGAACCACAGATTGATACAGGTTTGATTCTAAAAACAGAAATTCAGGGTCCACGTATCAGCTTTCTATACCAAGGATAGAGAGCATCTGGGCATGCAATGCGGCTTTTCTCTTATTTTTCTTTCTTCCCTCCCCCTTTTTAGATAGAATTGTAGTCAATCTACTACCTAGATTGTATTTTCTTCTCCGTATCACTTCAAAAATAATTCATTGCTTTTTCTCTAATTTTTCCTCTCTATATTTTCTTTTGAATAAATTCTCGTACTAGTAAGCCCCTTTTCAGTGATGTTGCCTTGTTTCGGCCCCAACTGTATCTGGGGCGTAGCTTAATTGTCTTAGTGGACTGTCAATGACATCTTTTACATCGTTTCACCTTTAAACAGTTCCTGTATGAAATAAACGAGTTTCAGATTCATTTTCTCCTTTTTTTTAGTTTTTTTAGTTTTTTTCTTTTTTTCACAATTTTTTTTCTCCGGCAAAATCTATTGAATTAACCATGGTCGGTTCACCAATAAGAGACTCCAAATGATTCTTAGTCAATGATACCCGCACTGTACCATAAAGGAGAATCCAGTACCTTGGATGAGCACTTGAGAGAGATCAATAGTAACTTGAAATCAGGTCAATCTTAATCATAGGCGAGCCGATCAATATACGAGATTGAGGCGAAGTAAAACATGGAATTTACAGATGAATACAGAAGTACAAGAAAAAAGCCACTTAGGCAACCCTTCAGGGAGTCTATATCAAAAAGAAAAAGCCAATGACATAATACGCATCTAGCTATACCTAACTTAGATTATTGTCCGAAGCCTTGAAGAAGGCATTGACCTAAACAAGCTTGAGCCTTTTTTTTTCTTTTTTTCTTTTCTTCTACAGGATACTGGATACTGCGAGATGGGGGGGCAAAAAAAAGAGACCAATGCAGAAGCGATCTTAGGTCTTCTTCTCCAACGATTTTGATTCTGTAACAAGGACCCGCAAGCGTAATGTGGGGCATTCACACACGGTCAAGGTTTAATTAAGGATCGTCGCGACGCAGTAGCGTGTTAGAGAATGAACTTGGCACCCGTCGGAAACGAGGAATGGATCCTAGATCAACATTCTTTTTGTTCTTCGAAGCCTCAAGCGAGCTTCCATGAGCGATTCCTAATGGAGAAATGGAGCAGAAAGGAAGTTTCTACGAACCCTTCGGACAGGGTGTCGAGAAGGAGGCTTTTTTTAGACGATCAACGTGGGTCATACTCAGTGCTTCAACTTTGAAGTTAGGGATAAAATTCACAAGTTACTATGGAGTATGAAGTATGAATGAAATACGGACTTTGTAGATATTTCATGAAAGTGGGTTCATATGTTATGGATTAATCGTGGGAATCTGTACTCCGTACTCCGTAAGTTATCGTCATCACAGCTTCGAAAAGGGGCACTGGTGGCACCTGAAGGATAAACGAATCCATTTTTGATTCCCACTGGTTACCTCGAAACGTGTCATGTCCAGCGTGGCTGTTTTTTGATTCAAGGTGGACACACGGTCTTCTTGAATCGTGTGGTGTGTTGAGGCCTTTTAATGCCCCATAAGAGAAGTTGACTTGGAACCAATCATCATCTCAAATCATACGATTCCTCTGCATCTCAACAGCAGATTCCAACAGATTGAAAAAGAAATAAATTGAATGATTGTTGTACTGTACTTCGTACTGCGTGCTCGACCGCTTCTTTGTGAGAGCCAGCTCAGCCCTGGCCCCGCATAACCCTCTATCTTTCTTAACGCCGTATCAGGTTGAAGATCGTCACGACCGGGCCTCTCTCACGAGCCAGGTGAGATATGATTGGATCTGGTAAAAGGCCTGGTACGAAGTTGGGGGTGCATTTACAGCGAGGATGTACATGGTGTTGACGCGGCGAGAAGTAGTGTCAAGCACGCGATTAGATCTGGCAGTATTCAGTGGAACAAGTGCTCCACATATTAATTTGTTTTTTTTTTCATTCAAGTTTTTCTTTCTTCTTAATCTGGTATAGAAGTGGGCTACACCATTATACAAGAAAAGCATGCTTCTCCGATGACATCTCCGGTTTTAATGCATAAATCTCGGCTTGGATTGGGCAATTGGGTAAAGCTGCGCCCCAACGTCTACGATCGGCTGACTTTCTATGAAACAAGGGTCCAGGGCTGACTCAGATCCCCTTTTTTTCTCTCTGAATCGAGGGAGGTTTTGATCTGAAATTTAAAAATAAGATTAAAATGAAACATGTTCAGATGTCCGGAGTAACGGTCGGAATAAACTATGGACATGGGTCAACAATGTATGAGACAGCTATAATTATCATTGTCACGGTGTAAGTTACTCCGCAAATTGGAAGTCTACAAATAAGAAGTAATTGGATCGGTTGAATTATTTTTACTCCATACTCTACCCAGTAGTAATTCCCCGAATGGATTATTCGAATAACCGGTCTGACGTGGGATGAAAAGACCTTACGTAGACATTGGTTAAAACCCAACTGCCAAACCCAACTGCCGACAGGGCTTCTGCACACGGACTTTGTCCACAAATTAGAATTTCATAAAATGAGTATTAGAAGCCAAAGTGCACTAAAGCCACAGGGCTTATGAAACTTAGACTGGAAACGCAGATATGCTCCGGATCTTAGCCTGTTTGGGTTTGGTGGAGTGAGTAGGCTGTGTTTTACCATGACCCTGTGCTTCTAACATTCAAGTTGATGGACGGACATTTGTATGTAGCTGAAATGATCATCGGAATAGACTTAACACGGTACTCCGTAGGAGATGGAAATTAGTCTACGTAGTGTATACTGTTAATCGGATATCCCTCATCGGATTCGGAACAGGTCGGTAAAGCCGATAATGCGGCATTTATACGCCCAGCCTGGGAGGTACATATGGGCATTCGTATGTTTTACGGATACGCAAAGTTACTGCACATATTACGAGTAGTCTGGATTCGAATACGGAGTACTAATCTATCATCTATCATCTTTAATCTATACATTCAATTCAACTTCGACAGCATTCAAATATTATGATCAATGATCCATCAGGTTAACTCGGTATCCAGATCTAACACACCGGTTAGAACCCCGATCAATTCATGTGGATACTTAATGCAGGGACCTCACTGGTTCCAAACCAATCCATCAACAAGGACCCGGCTGTTTCACCATCGTCGGGCCCTTAACCTATCTGGGGGATGCTCGGCTCCTCATGGGTCTCCCTATTTAACTCCAACTTGCCTTACGCGTCCACTATAAGGTACATAGTAACATTAACATCGTGAGAATATGAACATTTAAATGTTTGATCATTGTGAAACTTCAAGAACAGATTAAAGTAAATAGATTAAAATCAACTGACTAATTTTCATCTTATTATAATATGTATAAACATGTAACTTGATATTAATGTTGTCAAGTACTCCGGAGAGTGTACTCCAGTACGGAGTATCCAAGTCATCCGAGTCCCTATGATAGAAAGGAAGGTGGTATCTAACCTCATTTCCGACCGTGGCTGTGCCCTTCTTCAAGTTTTTTTTTCATTTTTTTAATCTAATTTCTTTTCTTCCCAAACCTTTCCCAACACTTGGGTAAAACCCGCAAATTCTTTGAAAAAGGGGTTGGTCCCGCTGAGGGTCACAGGCCAACAGACCATGGACTCCGAGGGGAGCCGAGACTGCACTCAAGTGCTCTGTTACTATGAGAACATGCTCCGAGTCCTGGATATCTCAATTCATCACGGAAGACAAGCATTTGAAGTATATCCAAATTCAATGAAGGGATGCATATTCCATATTCGGATTTTGAATCTTCTAGTGCTCATTTCATGGGGAACTGAACTCAAACCACGATCTACATCCCAGTGGCAATAGTAATAGCCACTTACTAAACTACCTAGGTACCAGTTCCAAGGTTGACCAGGCCACATTCAAATGCCCAGGTTTTCATTATCATGAAACTTGAATGAATATCATAATATTCCCAGCTATTATATTAGCATAGGGCTAGGTATTACTCTCCCACTCTTACCACAACCTGAACATCAATCGCACGCGCTTCCCTCACACAACACGCGATGCAAGATCTCCCAACACGACCAATAAGCGCATGACTACCAACAGAGGCGCACCAAGCCCGAACAAACGTTTCTCTAACTCGTGATCCACGCGCATCAATCACTAAAACCTGTGGAACTCCATCCGCTGATAACGGCGTAGCCTGAGGTGCTGGATGGTGTATGAGTGTCTCAAGTGAGACATTTTTATATGCGAAAGATCGGTGTAGAGGATGACCTGGTAAACGCTTGAACTCGCCCTGGTCAGATGTCTTTGTCTCGGTACTATCGTGATGATGTGATAGAAACCCCTTTGGTGGACGGCATTCATGAGCGGATACGAAGCGAACATTGTATCTCAAAGGCAGAGATATTATCTTCGGATCGGATTCTAAACCCAATTGAAAGGATAGAGAAGCCTCTTCGGTGACTATGATATTCCGTCTCCTGAGCGTATTCACAGGCAAGGTCATGGAGTTCAGCGTCACGGTTGTAGAACTCATAACAGGCTGATCTATCGGCAAAGTAAAAGCATCAGCGGTGATATCACCTTTACCGATCGGGGTAGATTCCAGCGCGAGTTTTCCTCCTTGTTTGATTCTCGCATGGAATGCAGAAGCAGGCATCTTTTGAACATGGACTTCAAACCAGCCCGGATCTAAAGGAGTCGATGTGTTCGCATCACAGGGAACAATATCACAACCGACCCATCCCATACAGGTCTGAGCACCATCCATACTAGATAGTACGCGACCAACAATAGAAGCCTTGCTCCACCAGCTACGATTCTTGTAAATGAATCCGCCGTAGAGATTAGCAGTAGGTCCTAGTTGCTTGATCGCATCGACGTCATTTTCCAACAACGTTCCAATGAGAAGATGGCTAATACCCTCCCCAGGTACCACAAAGCCTGAGAGCCAAGATCTGGAAATCCAACCAAGCTTCTCCGCGGCGTGGGGGTCGTCATCCTCCCTGCAGGAACTGCGGAGTCTAATGCACCGTCGCGACTGGCTTCGGGTATACATATCACCTTTCACCAATCGCGCTGTCGATTTCCCGGGAGTATTTTCCGGTGATGAGTGATGCTCCCCAGTAGTTATATTTACTGGGGGCATAGTCAAAGTCTCCCCATCGCGGAGAATTTGATCAAAAGTCCTCTTGAGTGCATCGAGTTTAGGCCAACCGATATTTTCCGCAAAAACATAGAGACCCTCGAGTTGTTGTCGCACATGCAGAGAGGTGATTTGGCATTGCCATGCTGATTTCACATCACTTTCAGTAGTAGAAGTAAGTCGGCGATTAATCGAATCGAGTAAGGAAAAGCGATGTGATTTTGCAGGGACTTGGTCAATTGGTGATTGAGATTGTGTTGGGGTGCCAACTGGTGAAGCCTTGGAAGATGGAGCAGGTGAACCACACGAAATCTCCAAGTTATCAAGGAAGCGGCGAACAACAACAAGATCCCAGTTCACTTTTCCTTCTCTCATCTTATCGAAATGTTGAAGTTCCTGGATAGACATCAAGCCGCCGTGTGGATCATGTAGCATGCCCTTGCGAACGAAAGCATCAAGGCGAATGATGAGCTCTGCAGCGAGCAAAAGCTGAATGAGAAGCCACTTTCGCTCCATTCCAGAGTTAACCCACTGCTTCTGTGGGACTTTGTGATCACATTCACCCATACAGTCACCATCAGCATGCGGCAGTGCTTCCCATAGGATTTGGCCCGCTCGAAAGCGCCATTCTGGGAGGCTGAAGTCAATCCATGCGCCAGGTGTAGCTAGCACGGTCGCGAGAGTTTTTATCTGCGATTTCAGGCTGTCTGGGTGTCCCGGCATCACATCTGCGGGTGGTGGATGTGGATGCAGGAAATGTGTATGTAGAGTATTGTGTAGTTCATGTGGGGTCTCCAGATCGACGATGGTCATCAGCGAGCCATCGAGTAGAATTTTCAGTCGCAGTTGTCGTAAATGAGTGAGACGTTGCACCAAGGTTCGAAGATTGATATCTCGCACTCCGATGCGTTTCCAAGCAGCCGGGCCGTCGTGCAGTAGTTGGAGTCGATCGAATACCGCACCACTCAGACACTGCGAGTAAGGTTTATTATAGCTATCCATTAGTTCGAAAGCTTCTGTGGCTGGCAGCTCCGTGACTCGCTGTAGATTCGGTGCCTGTCTAGGCTTCTCAGGTCCGGTATACTGAATCATATCGGCAATATCAAATTCCAGAAAATGCCGGTATCCAACAGTACCCGGTTCTCGCCCGTTGTTGGCTAGCATATTCGGTACCTCGAACACACCGACATCAAAGGAGGCTCGCTTAAAACCTCCGGTTCGATGCCAACTCTGTGGATGAATTGGAACACCGCCCTTGACAGCCCAGTCATCCGGTACTGGTAGATGTGCATGGAGAGTACATAAAGTGAAAGAAGGGTGAGATAAGGGCTTGCGGTCCAGCATGCGCAGAATGGACGGGTTATGCTCATCCCAAGGAAATATGACTTGTGGGTACCAACGACCATGTTTTCCGATTTCCAGCAAGAAATGAGGAGCGCCAGATAGGATTGCCTTGACATCCTTTTTTGTCAGAGCTGAACCATCAGGACACAATGCATCAAACTTGATAGCTTTATCAAGGCGACATTCCAAGTAATCTTGAATATTGCCAGGCTGTTTGGGCTCGGCATGAGCAGCAGCAGATGGCTCTGAAGTTGATGACTTGGGTGTAGATGCACCAGAGCGAGAATTAGAGTGAGCACGAGTACGACTACTCTCACGACTGCTTTCACGGCTACTAGTAGCCGATCGAGTAGTTTGCGCGGGACGTGTTCCGCGACTCTGCGTCCTCAATCAGTTACACTTCTTTGCCTTCAGTATACTCAAATGACCTCACCGTAGATCGATTTGATGAACCTGACGAATGCGATGCTAGCGAGCTATCGCTCTTTCTTCGAAATAGGCCATGAAAGAGACCAGGATCCCTTGACACATCCTGATCCTTATCCGAACGGGGGCCCGAAGACCGATGACGCGAGACTAGCTGTCTCGGTGGATCCTGAGTACTATGAGCTGTGGATGCATCTGTTTGAGAGCGACGACGGCCGAAGAGAAACGCCATTGCTATGTTCGTTCTAGACAATGTACATGTTAAAATTCCAGCGAGCAAATGGGGTGAATTTATCTCTCGTAGATGGAAAAGGAGTCAGATATTGGAGAATGTAGTGCAAGATAACCTGGAAGCGGTGATTCGGGTGACTCGGCTTGTGGCGGATCCTGGAAACGGTTGACGGCATTGAAGCGGGGATCCGAATTAAGCCCGACGGTTCTGACGGATCAGATTTAAAGTATGGATTTAATTCACCTATTATATTTTCCAATTCAAATGTTGCACATCAGAACAGATTCGGAGAAGAGTTGGAGAGGGGATTGGTGGTTAAGTGGTTGATTGTACTTTGTACCACTGTAACCATACACCAGTTGACGCTACTAAAGATCAACTTGAAGCTTCAGATCCTCAAGTGCTCATTTCGCAATAATATTGGAATGAAGAATACAGAAATCAGTTGAACAAATGTGCGTTGAACAGCCTATATACACAATTCTGTTTGATTTTGCCTTGTTAGACACAGCCTGAATCCACCTGAACATGATAGGAGCTATGACGCACCTGAGTACTAAGCAAATGCGCTATAACAGATCCATTCCAGATAAATCCATATATAGTATGCGCGCGAAGATTTGTTCAGTAGCATGCCAAAGGATTGATTCCGACTCGAACATTGGAATAGAAGGTCTACGCTCTACAGGCGATGTTTGACGGGGGATCTAATTCATTTTATCAACTACCCCAATAACTCGATAATGGACATATTTCTTACGCGTGCTGACCGAAGAATTGGAGCACAGTCTTGTAACCACGCTCGTACTCCGCCTTCACCCGATCATCCTCCAAGTTGGAACGAGCACCCATCCATCCGTGGATCTGGTCAGAGAAAGTCTCAACGTGGTTGGGGACCTGAAGGTTCGCCTTGAAGGCCTCGACATCGGCAGCGGGCTCATCCTTTGAGGCGAGGACCGCGAAGGGGACCTTGATGGTCTTGGCGTCGTTGGGGTCAACCATAGCAGGGTGAACCTGAGCAGCAGCCTTGAAGATCTGGTTGTCGCCAGCGACAGTCAGAGCGGTAATCTTTCCACCCCAGCAGAGACCAAGCATGGCCCAGTCGAACTTGCCAGCGGGGGCAAGCTTGTTAGCCTCCTCGACGATCTTGGGGATCTTAGGGAGGTTGGCGGGAGGAGCGGCCTTGGTGGAGAAGAACTCGCCGAGGAGCTTCTTGTGCTCGTCGGTGGTAGGAGGGTACCAGGAGATATCGGCAGGGCTACCCTCAAAGAAGTCGGGGATGAAGACACGGTACTTCTGCTCGGCAGAAGTAGCCAAGATGTCGGCGCCCTGGATGGTCTGGTCGAAGAAGCCGAAGATGTCTACCCAGTGAGAAATTAGCTTACATCCCCTTTCTCAATTAATCGGCTGATGAACTTACCGTACACCACCAGGATAGCCTTGGTAGCAGTCTCAGGACCGGTCACGTCTGGATTTGGTCAGCATGGTCCTTCAATCGGTCAACTGGTGCCTCTCGGGTATTTTGCGCGTTCATACATGTCTTGATGCCATTGATGGTCTGATAAGCGCCCTTGGGCTGGTATCCCTTGGAAATCACAGGGGGGATACTGCAGATGAGAGGTCAGTAAGGCTTTCGCGCAGATTGTGGATGAGGGACGAACGAGCAGCAAGCCTTGCTAATTCCAGACATGATTGAGTTGGTCGTGGGATTGGAGAGGAAGAAAGCTAATTTGGTTTCCAAGTTTAGTAAATGGTCCGATTTTGGAGGTTCATGAAGCAACTTACTTAATTCTGAAGCTTTTCAAGTCTTGTCAAGTTGTTTTGGAGGGGAAAAAGGAAATGAGTGTGAACCCCGCCGAGGTCGACGTCATCGGATGAAATCGGCAACTTTGAGTCCCCGAACTCGGTGCAACATCATAGACATCTGGAGTATTCAAATTCAAGTTGAATCTATATATTTAACGTGACGCTTGAAAGTTATTCTGAGTCTGTGGTTCGAACTGGGATTCCCTTGGTCATGCGTTAGATCATGCGTTAGATGAGATGAAACCCCCGATTACTCACATGTGCAGGATCTCGGAATCGGAGTATATATCTCGATCGATCGAGACCACATGAGCATTAGTAGCATAACACTGTACCGATTACATAGTATAATTCATACAGATCATCAAAGCAGAAGCATTGAACTTAGAGATGCAGAGTAGAAATGTTGTACAACGTTGTACAGCATCTGAATACTCTCTACCCCACGATGCCTCATCTGATACACAGCAGATGGGAAAGCATATAGCCGACTTATTGTTCCACTATTAACACAAGGTGCAACTTGAGGTTCATAGTATTTGACGCGGGAGAGTCCAGTGAGACCTCTGGATTTCTAATAAACATCAGAATATATGGAGTACTCGTCTGATCTGATTCTAGGAGGAAACATGCACATGTGGGAACAGTTGAATTGAAACTACGACCAAAGTTACCAGGTGATCACACTAGTATGTTCCACCTGCACCCCATGCTAGTGCAGATGCAGTCGAGCATTGTCTAAACACATGGAGATATGATAGGCAACGCGGCTCAAGTGGTCAGTGTTAGCATAGCCACTCCAATTGAAGTTGCCACTTGCCACTTGCCACTAACATGATCTAGTGCGTGATAGATCACTTCCAGTTATTATTCCCGACCTCGGAGCACAGTCCACGTAATCCTCGATTGAAAGTGAAACGAATTTCAATATCAAATCCAAAGATTAGAAACTAATGCGAAACAGACCAGCAGTCACAACTAGTGCAGCAAATGGGAATATTAAGAAGAGTTTCTCCGTACTCGGCATTGGTTCAAGCTCAACAGATCGGCAACATACCAACCAAAAAGGGAGAAAGCGAGAGCGAGTGAAAAAAAAAGAAATGAAAAAAAAAGAATGAAAAAGAACATCCCCCCCCCCTCCCCCCCCCACAGAAGTACCTGCAAGAGTCATGAACGCCGGCACAGGACATTCCAATCCACTCCTGCAGAACCAACCGAGCCAACCACCAAGCGCAATGCAGATCTCCCGGGGGATCTTTCACATCGACTTACGATTACCTTTCAGCAGAGCCTTCACTTCCCTGATTTCTGAATTTAGGGGAGTCCACGATCAACGCCAACCGTGAGCCCCTCCGCCGCCACAACCGGCAGGAACCGACGCAGGCGACGATCGCATGGCTCGAGCCCGGAGAAGGGTTGGTGGATCCACTTGCGCTGTCACATTTCAACTGGAGCCGCCTTGCATGAGAGCTGGAGTGTGTTCAGTGCAGGGCAAATCGGGGACTGCAGTAAGAATCCGGGAGAATTGAAGGTTGGTCAAAGACTAAAGGACGGAAGATGCGTCCATACTAAAAGGTTCTTAGTATCTACATTAGCACCTGGGCAAGAAGGATTCAGTTTTTTAGTCATTTGATTCTTTTTCTTTTGTTTCTTGTCTCAGACTAAGCACTAGCCTGATCCTGAGTCTAGCATGAATAAGATTCCTATTCTGGAGTTCTCCGAACTGAGTATATGGGTCCACTCTTAGGACGTGGGTCGAATGGTCAATTCTCGCAATCCTCCGAACAAAGGTAATGCTTAAGAATGTGACCAAGAGAAAAAAGGAACTCAACCTTGGAAAGCATGTCTGACAAGTTGAACCTCGGAAGTAAAGAATAATCGGAGGGAATTACAGACGAGGACTAGTTAAAATGTTATGTACTCTACTGAATTCGATCTACGGAATACGGGGAAGTTCAAGACACCTGGACAGTGGAAGCGAGGTGATATTAAACCCCCCCATTTAATTTTATAATTTTTATCTTTTATAATTTTATGTATGAGCACGGGTCACCTCGGTTGTTTTCTCTTGAACTTTTACTAGTACTTGAATAGTCTAGACCCTTACCAATGTTCTTCCAAGGTTCATCAAGTTTCCCCTCGCGTACATGCATTAAGTCTATACGAAGCATATCATTCATTCTTTGAACCAGGGATCGACAGGGCATTTGATTTCAACAGTCTTCAAGTCCAATCATAGGATGTGATTGGGTGATAAGCCTCATTGAAGTGTGGAGTGCTTTATCACGGTGCCATTTCCGAGCGCCACCCCGATCACACGCTTAGTATGAGAAAGGTGGAATATAATAAGACAAATGATAAATTATAAGAAAAGAAAAAAAATAAAAAATAAAAATAAAATAGACCCGGGGGAATGGATGCGGGCAAAGTTTGGACCAATTCTGGCAAAATCCCGTGGACTTAACTGTAGACCTAAGGGTAAGCGAAGGGAAAGAAAAATTGAGAAAGAAAAGAGAGAAAAAAAAGAGGAAAAAAAATAGAGGGAAAAGGGTCAAGTTCGATGAAGATAGACCAATTAGAGTAAGATATTAGATGAAAGAAGGGAAGAGAAAAAATGGAGAAAAAAGAAGAGAGGGTAAAAGAGAGGGTAAAAGAAGACCGGCGAACCCGGAGCAAGCCTAAACCAATAATACTAATGCCGAGTCCCCTCTTTAGCTTGTTAGCCGCTAAATCTTGGGAATTGAAGGGAATTTCTAAGGGGACAAAGTATTGTTTGGGGGCGAAAAGGGGGGAAATTCTTGCAGGTGACCAGAAAAAAGAGTGAGAAAAAAGGGAAAACCAAAAAAAATTAATAAAAATCCTAATTTGTACTAGACAGTACTGAAAGTGATTTAGAATAAAATATAAAATAAAATCAAAACAAAATCAAAAAAAAATAAAAATAAAAAAGAAATATTAGTCTAAACTACATTGGATCAAGAACCTCTCCAATGCTTTTGAGTGCTGCAGGGAAACCAATCATAGTAACCCCAGCTCGCTTGCCTCTACCCGGGGACACACTGGAGACTCTATGGAGACTCTAGACTCTCTCGTATTTGGCCATTCCCGAGCACTTGAGTGTCCGTGCGAGTTCTGACATGTTCAATGTTGGGGATGAGAATAGGCGATATAACGGAGTATACGGAGTAGAGCTATTATTCTAATATTCTAATATGTTATTTTGTATTTTTTTTATCTCCTATTTCTTAATTTATAATTTCTATTTCTATTTTCTCATTTTTATGTACTATTATTTTTTTTACTATTATGGTCAGATGCAAGGAGTCACATTTCTACATATACTCAGAGTAGTAAACCAGGGAGAAAGATAGCATAGATAATATAGCTCCCTAGGCTAATTTCCTTCAGTGCTCAAGTGCCCAAGTGTGGCGATCGATAAGCGATCTCGATTTCGCCTCGGAACGGCCAACCGGGGACACTGGGGCTGTCAACCACGTTGCGACTTAGTTCCTCTCTTACTCAGTTAAAAAACGTATTTTTTATTTTATTTTAACTTAGAAGCGTACTTTATTTTAATTTACTAGTACCTACTTAAGTACTAGAATATCTATTTATTTAATTATATCTAATTTAATTCTACTAATATAATAAACCCTTCATTTTTCGCTAGAATTTGCCTTCTCACCTCCCATATCTATTTTATCTTTTTATTTCTATTATTTCTATTATTATTCTTAAACTATTCACTTTTTCCCGTTTTCTCCATTTTTTTCACTCCCCACGGCCCAGACCCAACTCGCCCGTGGTTCCATTTATTTATTCACCTTTCATTTCTATATAATTCCCTTTAACCTCCCCCCGCGCACGCCCCAACGCCACGGATCTTTTCTTCAGATTCTCATCATGCCCTTCCCGCGCTTACGACCGTGACTTAACTTGTTCTACTTTAACTTGAACTTGAACTAGTCAAAAAAAAAGACTCGAACGATTCTCCCCTTAATCCTCCTCTCTCTCTCTATTTCTCTCCCTCTCCTCTCTCTTTCTCTCCTCCCCCTCCCCTCCCACGAGATCGAAAAATTTCCCTTGCTCCACTCCCTTTTCCCCCTCCGATCGCAACACCCAGCGATCGACATTCGCCCCTCCTGGATTCTTCGAGCCCTTCGGGGGCCCTTCCTGGTGGTCGAGACTGGACGATCAATCCAGGACATACGTTTTCTGCACTTCAAGTTCCCGTGAACCTGCAGCCCTCTTTATCCGATTCCGATCTCTACGCGGCTCCCCCGCGAGACCCAACCGTCAACCTGGCGACCCTCGCGGTCCCAACTGCCCCTATGGGGTCGTTGGAGACTCTCTCCGCACAACCTTTAGTCCATCGACGCCCTGCCGCTCCAACCCTTCCAAGTTTTGAGCTTCCTCCGCCGCAGTTTGGTCTACACGGGAGTAGTGTCACTCCGAATAAATACTCCACACACGCGCATCCACCATCTTCGCAACCACCTGCCAACGTGAGTGTGGGAAATCTCCTCACCCCGCCCGCGACAAATCAATCGGGAGAAAGCGCACTTTCTCATCATCACCATCATCAAACATTGGCATCACACGGAACCACCGATCTACCGCCTACATATTGGTCGGGAACGAGCGCGTATGCACCAGGATCAGGATCGGCAGGGACACCAACGTGGGTCTCCAGTGTGAATTCCGCGTATCAAGCACGTCCAGCATTATTTTCTCCAGGCGCCGTGGGTCGGTCCGCCGTGACATCTCCGCCTACTACCGATGGTCTTCCCCAACCCTTTGAGGCGCCTTCACTGGCTTCCTTTCAGCAAGGGTTACCCGCACCCGCTAGTCTCCCACCGAACGTTTCGCATCCCGCGACCATGGCCTTGTATCATCCCTCGGGACACGCCACATCCCCCGCGCCACTACCATCCAACGATCCCTATGCTCCTAAACACCCATCACTCTATGGCGCTCCTCCGCCACACCTAGCTAGTCCGCATCAAGGCAGTTACTCCCCTATTTACGGCGCGCATACGATGGGAGCTGCTGGGTTGGGAATCAACCCTTCTACGCGAATGTCCGCGCAAAGTCCAGGGGGTCAACCACCATTGGGATTTGCGCGACAACCATGGCCTTCATACTCTCTTCCCGCGATGAATGGACCTGTAATGACCAACATTCATAATCCGAACGCTCCAATGGCCATGATGGGAGGAATGCAAGCGGGAATTTTACCTGGATTTAACAGCGGTCATGTGGCCAGTACTCAGCATCTTTACGGAGGTCATATCCCACCTCATGGCATCTCCGCACCTGCACCAGATCGCCCATTCAAATGCGATCAGTGTCCGCAAAGTTTCAACCGTAATCACGATCTGAAACGACACAAGCGAATTCATTTAGCCGTGAAACCATTTCCCTGTGCTCATTGCGATAAGAGTTTTTCCCGCAAAGATGCACTAAAGGTATTCAACCCTCCATTCATCATTTTACAAGTTCTATACTAACTATCTCAGCGACACATCCTAGTCAAGGGCTGTGGCAAGGACGGCGATTCCGACGGAACCAGTACACAAGCGGATATCAAAGGCGAACGAAGCGAAGACGGGAGTCCGCTGTTAAACGGACGAGTCTAAATCTAATCCTACCATTACCATGTTTTCTGCATCCCCTGTTCATTACATCAGATTCCGCCTCGACCACATACTCTCCTCACTGTATTTATTCTAGGAGGGTCGACGAAACAATGTCTACAGCGGTTTTGGGAGTCGAGGGCGTGGCATTTTGATTTCATTTTTCAATTTTTTCTAACTCATTTCATTTCTGATTTACCTTGTTCATGTTTGTTTTTTTTTTCGCGAGGCGATGGTGTGGGCATATCGGGGTCTTCATTCTCTGTTTGATTATTGTGTTTCTGAGCCTGACGTGTGACGTGTGTACTGATCTTTTTTGATTTACCAGCGAGTCCGGATGGACATTTCTAGCCGGGAGTTGGACTCGGTGTTTGGTATATAATTGATAACTGCATGAATCATTCCAATGGAGCATCACTTCGTACCAGCAGATGCCTTCATTATCTGAATCAACCTTGAAGTATTGCAAATTAGACATCTGGAAGTAGAACCCGATGGATGAGGACGGGATCTTGAACAAAGAGAACCCTGTACACCCCTGTCCCCCAAGCCATTGATACGAGTACATTTCTTTGTTCTCTCATCTCAATATTTGTAAATATCACTGCCTATTGAACCCTGAAGTGGAGAATTCCATAACGCCTCACCCGAATAGGCTGATCGTCAGTCCGGAGCCATGTTCATGATCCGAGTCAAAAGGAGACGCCATGGCTGATAAACCAAGCCAAGTGGAGTACCTTGCCGGAATTCTTTGAGTCGCGTCTCAGACAATAGGTTAGAAAATAGGAGGGGAATTAAGAGGGGCCAAAAGCCTAAGCCATGGCGCTTTACTGAAGTATTTATTTGTCCCTTCGTCGGTACTTTTGACCTGTATAAGATTACCCTGAATTTCGTATATACAGGATATCCCCACGTCAACTGGTACTTTGAATCATGAAGATGATTATGGATATACTACCCCTAAGTAGAATGATTCTACTTGGGATGATACTCGCAACTCTCATCCATCAAACATCTGCTATCGCACCAGCATCGTTCCCAAATCTCTTCAACCCAGCCAAAACCAAAACCCATACTGGCAGTGACAAGCTCAGACAACGTACTTCCAGTGATACTACAGGAATAAAGAATCACTGGAAATACGAATTCCCAAGTCCCCTCGAAAATGGCAGCGCTCAAATCCACAAATCCATTCAAACGCCTAACAAATCCCTATCCACACAAACCCTCCTTCGACTCGACCGACCACAGTCAAGCAAGATAACCCCTAGCTCATTTGACTGGTGGTACTACGATGCCGTCTCAAGTAGCGATGCAACGGAATCGTTGACAGTGACGCTATTCACCTCATGCGCGAACGCATTTCCATGGCTTGATTCCAGTGAATCTTCTGTGCTTATCGCATATATCTGGATCTCATTTGCGAATGGATCTAGTTTCGAGGGATATGTACCTGCGACACTAGCGACCGTTTCTGGTGGAGGATTGATTGGGGTTGCTAGTATGGGTGAATGGGAAGGAACAGGATTTAGCTGGGTTTATATTGGGGATGATTTTTCGGATTATGAGGTTATTATTGAATCGGAAGAGATGGATATCTATCGGACTTTGAAATTGACATCGGTAAGTAACAGTATACTACCTACAATTAATTAGGGTTGAGAGTTTCAATGTCGATGCTGATAATTCTATAGAATCTCGCACCCCATCTACCACGTGGGATCTCTTCAGACACCACTACACTGGAAATTGAGAATGACTTCGGCTGGGCGAATCTGATTCCCGATGCGAATGCAACTGTCGATATGAATGTGAAGGGTACGAGTCTACAATTTCAAGGACGAGCATATCATGATAAACTGAGTTTACCTTCCCTACCTACCATTATGTCCTTCCATTCGAATATATGTTAACGGGTATACAGAACTGGTCCAATAAACCATTCATATCAAGCATCGACAGCTGGTACTGGGGACATGGTGAAATAGGCGGCTACTCCCTCGTCTGGTTCAGCGGGATCTCATCTAGTAACGCAACCCTCGGCAGTACCTATGTCTCCAAAGATGGAACCGTCCTCGTATCTACATGCGATACTACGAAGACAATCGTTCGACCAACAGGTAACGCTACCGCTGCACATTATCCACCTGTAGCGGGCGATACTCCGGATGGGTTTACTGTTGAGATTGAACTTGCGGAGGACGAATGGTTACGGGTTAATGTGAGTATTGCGAACGAGGTTGTTGGGGATGGAGAGTATCATATTCGATGGACGGGAAATTTGGTGGGTTCTGTTGAGGATAAGGATGGTGTGAGGGCTCTTGAGGGAGGAGGAGTTGCTTTCTTTGAGCAGTTTGCGTTGGTAGAGTAGATTTCCTGTGGTGGTCGATTAATGTGTTAATAGACCTTGGGAGTGATGGGTGTATTACTGGTGTATAGTGTGGTCAGTTGGTTCAAGGGGTATAGTTGATGGAGATGTGTGTGCCTGTGTGTACTTGTTTTTTAGTTTATAGATGAACGTTGGCTTGATCTCGAGAATAATGTCATTTTTAGTCTTGTGTCTCATGTTGAAGAGTAATTTGGATTCGAAAGACATATCATAACATGGTACAGGGTATCTCGCGGAATGCGCGAAGAGCAGCAACGAAACAAATACAAAAGGAATACAAAACAAAAGCTAGAATAAGTTATTCATCAATATCAGGTCGACTTCGCCTTCCACTCATCCACTAATCCCTTGTAATCCTCAGCACCATAAGGCTGGAACGCCCGTGCCAGAAAACCACTCTTCCGCTCGGGGGATAATCCCAGGTCACGCAGCATAAGGTCGACATAAGGAATAGCATCAAAGACAAAATCAGGGTTTCGCTTGCCAAAGCCCGCCGGATACCGGTATTTGCCAAACTCAGAGTGTAGGGTCGTTTCCCACGCGAGATCAAGGTCATTATCATCTTCCTTCTTTGAGTCCGAGGCGGCCCGAACGGCAGGAGGACAACGCTCCGTCGATGTAGGTGTGAGATCACCTCCGAAGTAAGCAGAGATCCACAGAGCCTGAGCCTGTGCGATGAGGGTCGTGTTGATGGTCATGGGAATGCCCATAAATGCCAAGGAGCGATCTTTCAGTGTCGACAATGGAATCATGAACCGAGCGAGACGGAATGGGTGTGGTACAGCAGCCTCGGATTCATCATTTAGTGGATGGAACTTAGGGTTAAGCTGTGGCTGGTCGGTCAGACGGGGAAAGCGGCGGAGAATCTCTGCGTCGGCTGCTTGCACCATCTTATCATCCAAGGGGTCTGTGCTCCAGGGAAATCCGAGTTCACGATCGATGCCTTCGGGTAAGAACTTGAGATTGGGCGTGCAGCGCCAGCCAGTGGAGCAGATAAGTGCACTCGTGGGTAGATATTCACCCGTTGATAGATGAACGCTGTGGTCGGCAAGATGTTCCAGCTCGGCAACGTGGACCTTGATCGTACCATCTTTCACCAAGTCGAAGAAATCCGTTGGGTAGTTCAGGATACTCAGGGAAGAGGCAATCCAGAATGGGCTTACCCAGGGCTTGAGCTTCTTCATTTCGGGATGCTTATCATATCCATTAAGTTGCACCACGTCGTCAGCAAGTACAGACCAGAACGCATCGACAATCTTGCGTCCAAGCCAGGTACCGTGGAGAAAGCTTCGCACGCCAGTGTATCCATCAGCGTCACCCCAGATACAAGGACTGAACCAGGTTAAAAGGCGGGTGGTGACTAGCTTCTCCAGCCACTTCTTCAACGGGGTCACATATGGTGGAGCCATCCAGCAGGGACCATGTCCAGACTCACGAATGACCCAATCCACCTTCATACCCGCGGTCGCGCATGCATAAGCAGCATCCCAAGCGGACTTGGTACCACCGAAGACGGTCACGCGCTCTCCAGACTTGAACACCTCGTCCTCATACTTGAGCATATCGCGACAATGGAGCAATGGGGCGCCAAAGCTCTCTTGGCCCTTAAAGGTAGGCAAATACGCTTGCGATGTGATACCAGTTGCGACAATCAACTTCTTCGTCTCAATGACCAGTGATTCCTCCTCATGAGCCACAGTCAATTTCCAGGAACCATCGAGATTGTGTTCAGCGCTTTCAACACGGTGACCCAAACGAATGCGATCCAGGAATTTGAAATGTTCCGCATACGCGACAAGGTACTTTTGCACAATTTCACCTGGAATATGCTGTCCTTGCTTCACGCCGAAGGTCTCCTCATCCATCGGGAAGTCACTGTATTCATATGTCCCCAGCATGTTGTTTGACTTGAGACCCCTGTACAGGCGGTCTTGAGCCCATACTCCACCCACCGAGCTTGCTGATTCCAGTAATAGAACATTGCTCTCGGGGTTCACCTCTCGGTATGTCTTGACGGCAGCGAGCCCACTCCAGCCTAAATATCGAAGTTAGAGAAAGTGTCGGAAGGAATTGAATTCCGAGAAGCTGTATTGAGCAGGAATTGACATACCTGCACCAACCACTACCAAGTCTACACTCTCCATTGTTTAGAGAAAGGGATTTGAATCTGGCTTGAGAGAACGAATGACGCGGTGAGGATGAAGCTAATGCATGTAGGAGGAAAAAAGAAAAAAAAGAAAAAGCGGAGATCAGAATCAGAGATCAGAAGATCAAACAGCGGAATGTGAATCAAAGGAGATTGATTCCGTGAAAGGTGAGAAGTTTCGAAAATGGTTAGGTGGGGAGATTCCAAGGTTGATGCAGATGGTCAAAATGACAATTCCCGGGGATTTTCCCTCCACTTTACTTTCACTGTTTTACTCTACCTCACTTCTTCTCTTCTCCTTTTTCCAATTTTTCATTATCATTCTACTAAATTCTTGATCTAGTCTACTTTCATCTGGTTGGTTGTCTACTTATTAAGTGGGCCCACATATGCAACAGAACAAAGAACACTCTACACTACTTCTAGTGTACGGACTCTACGGAGCACTCTGGATGGAGTATGGACTCACCCATAGTGAGTATAGTACATTTATTGCAGCAAGGACCAACCATCGGATTGGATGCTTAATGGCACTTATGCAGCTGTTCATTTCCGGGACTAATTTGGTTTATTTAGTGTTCAAACCAAGTGGACTCTAAGCTCCATTTCTTCCTTACGGACTGCTCCATTTGGCGTCTCTGATCCCGTCGCCTCGTTCCTGGATCCACTCGACTTTCTCCCCGTTTGAACTGCGAGATGTCAAAGCGCGGACTCGACGATCGCTAACCTTTCTGATCCTCTTTTTTCCCCCTGGAAGCGAGAAGCGAGGAGCACGAGAGTCTCCACCGGAATTCCTAGGATTATTCCAGTGCATAAGGAGGTGGCTTCAACAGAGTTTTGGATATGGAGCGTTGCATGGAGTTACTCCCCGCGGTTGTTGTTTACATGCAGCTCTCCACTAATTGACACTATATCAGAAACTATTGCTGACTATCACAGTCCATTCAAACAAAGAAGAAAAAGCAATAACAACAAGAACTCAAATCGATTCAATCAACGGCGCGGGTAATACATCGTTCCACGACCCACCGACCCACCAGAAAACGTTCAGGAACGGGAAATTTCGTCAAGAGAAGTTCTGAAACATCGATCCCGAAGTGTCAGAATGTGCCGGTGACATGACATCGGTACTGAGTACTGAGTACTACAACCCTTGACCGCCCAAAATTGCACTCAAAATTGGATCTATTGGTGACGTGAGATTCATATCCTTGCACTCCCCGAAAATCAATCTCCAAAACAAAGTTAAAAAAAAGCAATCATGGCCGATTCTACAGAGTAGATGCGATTCCTGATGATTCAAGGGCTCAGACCTACTTAGTAGCATCGGGGCCAATCTCCGACCAGACAGATCAACATGCACGATAGTCAAAAGTCCCAAAAGTATCTGTCGCGGCACAGCCCCATGACTGGATCGGCTAATCGCATGATTTTAACTGCACTGTACTTGTGCAACTCCTGAAAGACAAAGAAAAAATCCAACCAGACTTGGATCTCGCAAATTCGCTGTGGAGGTACCTGTGCGTCTCCTTTTTGGTGTAACCGATCGTGCTCATAACAGGGGAAATGATTCGAGAGTCGGACAAAGAATTTGAATCATTAGAACAGACCTAAGTCTAGGTTTGTCTAGTCCTGACAGCGCGTCTACGACGATCTCACCCAATCAGGCAGGTCTGTTATCCACACCAAGTCCACATGAAAGAACAAGAACTTCTGCCTACCGAGTGTACTCCATAAGAACCAGAACTGAGAAGAAAATAGTGGATTCCTTCACGGATCGCGGGTCTCAAAAGTTTCCAGTAACCCGCAAACCGGGAATGTTATAAATTGATCCCCGATAGGCGTTTGGTCTGGACCATAATGATCTACCGAGATGATGAGAATCCAGAAATGAGAGTGACATCTGTGCCTCCGGAAGATCTAACCCGTGCATGCAATGATGCACATATCAAAAAAGGAGAAATTAGAATAAAAGTAAAAAAAAAAAAAAAAAAAATAAGAAAAATAAAAATAAATGGAAAATGATTCAAGCGTCGGAACAAGCTATCAACATGTAAGTATCCACCAATCTCCATCTATGATGGTTCACCGTTAAACTAGACGAACCCATGGCGTAGTCTTGAAGGGCCGTGTGGGCTATCCATTTTTCTTCTCATTTATAAACCGACTAGGATTGCGGGCTCACTTCTTTGTCTGGACTGGTTCCAATGAGAAGAAGAGGACCGAGAGAGAAGAGAGGGGGAAAAATATTCAAGATATTCTTTTTTTTTCCTTTTCTTTTCTTCTATTTGAAACCCCCTGGGCTAAGGACTTAAATCTTTATCTGGGTGTAACCCCCCGAATATTGACTAAGGGTCAACCTTCATTTCCAAAGGTTCTTCTGAAAGAATAGAGAACATTGCTTCCAAGATTCAAGTTCTCCACCTTCAAGATGAGTGAGTTTGCGACAGAGGCATTCACTCTTTTAGGAGTGGCCATTGTGATTATTGGTCTTAGAACCACAGCTCGATGGGTCATGGTCGGACCTAAGAACTTCCAAGCAGATGATTATTTTATGCTAGTGGCTTGTGTGAGCTCAGATCAAATTTACTCAATGCTTTCAAGTTTATGCTAATAAGATCAGGTGGTGTATGGACTCGAAACAGCAGCCGCATATATGGTTGGTGCGTGGTTTGAGGGTCTCGCGAACAATGCCATGACAGACAAAGAAAGAGAAACGCTCTCACCAGATTCAAAAGAATATCATTTGCGGGTTGGTGGATCCAAGACCCAAGTGACTGGTTGGTCCCTTTATACGCTTTTGTTATGGCTATTGAAGACATGCATGGCCATTTTCTATTCTCGATTGACGTGAGTACAAAGAAAAATGCAAGCCATCGCATTTACTAATCCAGAATAGAGCTGGTCTGATCAATATGCGACTTCGAATTCACATTGCCTACGTCTTGATCGCCGTGAGCTATGTTGCAACTATCTGCTCGATTCTCTTTGGCTGTCGCCCATTGAGCAAGAACTGGCAGATTAACCCAGATCCGGGTAGTAAGTGTTATAACCTCTGTATCCTACAACCCCATACTAATTGTTTATCAATTAGACCACTGTCAGCCTGCTGTGTCGAAAATTGACATTTACGTGACTGTTGTTCTCAATGTGGCGACTGATATTTACCTGATCAGCATTCCTGCGCCCGTAAGCTCCTCCTGAAACTAGATTGTGGCAAAAGGACTGTTACTGACATCTGATAGATGCTTTTCAAAGCCCGTCTTCATTGGCGCGAGAAACTCGAACTCCTTATCCTCTTCAGTGGTGGTCTCTTCGTCATGATGTGTGGTATTCTGCGCTGCGTTCTAATTCTAACAGTAAGATCAAATATTCGCAACCCCAAAAATTCATTCTAACAGATATCTTCCTTAGGCCGGAGCAAATGGCGCCGAACAAGCAGGCAGCTGGGCCTGTCGCGAAACCTTCGTCGCTGTCGTAATCGGCAACGTCCCAATGATCTACCCTCTCCTCCGTCGTCTCGCCCGTCGCGCGGGATTATACCTTACCACAAAATCCGGTTCACAAAGCTATCCCGCCTACCAATTATCCGAAGGAGACGCAAGCGGCTATGTGAAGCGCAAGAAGTTCCGACACCCACTTTCAATCCCGGCTACAACACAGTGGAATACTGTTAGTGACGAGCAGATGATTTTACCGACTTCGAGACAACAGCCTCCTACATGTACGGCTGGTGAAGGGGACTGGGATGCAATAAGCCAAGGGAGCCATAATGGAGGGATTAAAGTGGTTCACGAGACGATTGTACACAGCGCGGAAAAAGATTCGGGATTATAGATTGGAATGGATACGAATATATGAGCGTTTACAGGATTTGTCTTCGGTTATTTGGCGCGTTGTGATTTTGAATCTCATACCCTTATAATACAGTTTGAGATCATATGAGTTCCCCCTCCGTAGAAGCCCATGGTTCGAGTATTTCCCGTAGTATAGCCTCTCAATGTAGGGTTCTCAGGTCCTGCCGCCTCCTTCCCTCTCTTTTTCTTCCGAGCCTGCGCTTCTTCCTCCTGGTTTTTGCCGACTTTCTCACCAGTCCATGTCCGGATCGCGCGCTTCCGGCTTGAGGGTATCCTCTGAGGGACTCGAGTAGTACTATAGACAATCCACATGGCGCGGAGATGAGGACCAGACTTCAAATGCAATTAAAATCCACCGGAATAATTCTATAAAGGGTTAAGACAAGGGTGATCATGATATTCTCCCCACCGGAGAAAAGACGAGTTCAAGATGTCTCGCGGATCAAAATCCGGGGAGAAGTTCGATCAACGCGGGGCTGCAGAACGCCTCCTGGGCTGATTTTCTTCAGGCGGGTAAACTTCGCTCAACTTACAAGTAACCCGGAGCTCCGCACTCCCCACACTTCTCAACTTGTGGGGGAGAGACAGTCACGAATCACCGGAAAATGGAAATCAAATATGCCCAGTTCAGGAGGGGGAAACGGAGCTCCGGTGTTTCTGGATGGGGATAAAAGGAGACGTTATTCTCGCCATCATGATCGGCCTTGTCACGCGAAATCATTCCCATTGAACTACCTTTCAAGATGTTCACCACGGGGCTTTTATCATTAATCGCGGTCGCATCGCTGGCACAGGCAGATGATATTACTGCTACAGTGAATCTTGCCGTGTCAAGAGGCGCGCCTTATCACTGGGCTTCTGGATTTATCTATGGTATCCCTGATACACTTGACCAAGTCCCCGACCATTGGTACGAGGATATGGGATTTCGCTATGGTCGAGCCGGTGGAGCACAACTCGAGGCTCCGGATCGAGGCTGGATCTGGGGATTGAATGAGTACTATGGTCGTCTCAACTCAACCCTGTCCAACTATGAAACTTCCCGGAAGTACGGCGCTGATTTCATCCTCCTCCCGCACGATATTTGGGGCACTGATCATGCGAACTCGTCGACTGTTTGGCCTGGTGACGATGGTGACTGGACAAACTACGACCTCTTCGTGAAAACCTTGATGAGCGACCTCAAATCGAACAATGCGCTCGAGGGCCTTGTTTGGGATACCTGGAATGAGCCGGACGGGAGCTCGTTTTGGGCACGAAGCCAGCAACAATGGATTGATCTATACATTCGGACAAACAATATTCTCAGGTAATTAATTTGACCTCCGATATAAATGGAACATAGACTAAATATGTCATGTACAGGGAGGACTCGGACTTTGACAAAGTCTTGATCTCGGGACCAACGCTAGCTAACATGCCCGAGGCTACAAATACCTGGTGGACAAATTGGCTCTCTCAGATTGCTGGAAATGACACCATTCCAGACCAATATGCCTACCATTTGGAAGGGTCACCAGATGACTTCTACGATGATCTCCAGAATACAAACGTCTCATTGGCAGCTCTTCTGAAGACCTATGGTCTTCCAGAGCGACAGATCAACATCAACGAATATGCCACATTCGACGAGCAAATCCCAGCTGGCGCAGCTTGGTGGATCTCTCGACTGGAAAGATACGATGCATACGGTCTTCGTGGAAACTGGCAGTCTCTCTGCGTTCTGCATGACCTGTTCGCCAACCTTCTCACCAAGGTCTCAGACCCAACTACCTGTACCGACACCGACTACGTTGCAGCTCCGGAGTACCAAGTATACAAATACTACAACCTCAACATGACCGGCGAACGACTGAATACTACTGGTACCGGCGATCGCTTGATGGATGTATACGCCACTGTTGATTCCGACAAGGTCCGCATTCTTTGTGGAGTCCGGATCACAGAGGGTACTTGGCAGATTACTGTGGACAACATGGATGCTGTTGGACTTCCATCTTCGGGAACAATTGACATTCAGACTTGGGGATTTGCTGGTACATCAGTATGGGAAGAAGTGGACTCCCCGAGCGACCGTGGAATTGTCTCGCATACCTACTCTGGTAACTCGTTGACATTCCCCATATACCAGACTGATACTAGTACAGCCTGGGCCTTTGAATTTTCTCGCTAGGGTTTATTCGAGAAGGACTTTTTCGAGTGAAGAAAATGAAATATCGCGTATCTTCAAGTTATTCTCTCATTCTTTTCGTATTCTTGGCTCCACCGTTCGAAGATTCCGATAATTCCGTTGGACCCACATAGCTCCAATGGCTCTCCACATGAATTCCGCGTAGCCGTTCACCTCGGTATCTTTGTCAAATATGCGAAGATCAGAGACAATTAATATGATGCCGGAGAGTGCCGATGAGGACGGAGGCTCATCTCCTCCGAGTAAGCGAGCAAAACGGGCGAAATATGTTTCAAAAGCATGGTATGCAAAGGTTGCACCTAACATGGATGATATCCGGGACTGACTGGCATTCGAAAGCGACCAATGTAAAAAGCGAAAAATCAAAGTAGGTTTCCGGGAAATCCCTTTTTGGTACATCTTGAACTAATTGAATGTACCACCTGGGAATAAGTGTGATGGCGATTCACCATGTCGAACCTGCATTGCCAAAGGAGTCGAATGTCGGAGTAGTGGAACTGACATGCGTGGGAGATGGAGATCTCTAGCAGATCGCAACGAGAGCACGCGCACTGGCAGGGATCTTGCTTCTCGATTGAGTAGGATTGAGCAGCGACTAAGTCATATGAAAACTCCAGAAGTTCGTTCTCCAGATGTCGTGCAGCAAGATTCCCACCGAGATATCCCGGATCCCGAGGAAAGACGAGCATTCGGCCCGGGAGCCATGCAAGTTGGTGTATCTGAAAAGGTTCCAACATTTTCTGGAGAGACATCGATCACACATAATATGTCTGTTGTCGAGAACCGGCTAGAGCAGATGGGTGTACAGTATCCGAGACTGAGATCTGCGTCACCAAGCTACCCGTTTAGGTCATGTCTAACACCATCACCGGAAATTCGACGTGGCCATCGACATGAGTCACAAACAAGCTTGTTCCGACGAGTTCTCGATGAAAGTGGATTGGTGCCGGATAAAGAGCAGTGGAATGAACTTCTGCAGACCTTTTGCGACGAGGTACATATCTTAGTGCCATTTCTTCACTTGCCCAGTCTGTGGAAGTTGTATGAAGATGTGTGGGAGACTTCCCTTGGTGAAAATATTGATAGTGGAGAGAAAAGCGGTATCAAAAGAGTCCAGCTTGCGCATATTCTATTATGTCTTGCCAATGGAAGATGTGTCGAATCATCCCGTGTTGAACATGAAGAGAGTCGATATTCTGCAGGCTGGAGCTTGTACAATGCGGCGCGAGATATTTTCGGGGATCTGTTGGATGGGTTTCGTCAGTGTACAGATCAAATATTTGTACTTCAGACGTATCTCCTCATGGTAAGACTGCACAATTGAGTCGGTTTTTGCGGATTCATCACTGACCATCCCAATCCCTAGGTTGTGTATCTTTTCCGACTGGATGCTCATGGCTCCGCTGAAAAGGTAATTGCCCTTTCTATATCTCACGCACACCATATTGGCCTCCAGAGGGACCGAGTGGTTGCGTCCATGAATCCTTTCCAGGCCGAATTATCTCGTCGTTTATGGTGGTGTCTCTATCTTATGGATAGAAGACTTGCCATCGAAACCGGTCGTCCATTCCTTATTCAGGATGTCAACGTGGATGTTGGCCTGCCTCAAAACGTAAGTGATGAATGGCTCACTAGATCCCAGAGTGTTTCGGATACGGCAAGTCTGGGAAACATGGAGTTGCCTGGACCCGAGATAACTTCGGTTCATTACTTAGTTGCCATGGCAAGCTATTCTAGGGTGGTTGGGAAGGTCTGGGAGGCCCTCTATGGCGCGGCAACATCAGAGTCGACACCCAGTCCTCTTTTGAATGAGTACCTGGAGCATCTTATTACCCAGTCACAGAGAGGCATTCGGAACGAATTTGCATATGATCCTTGTAATCCATCAGAAAAAAAAGCTGGACATTTGTCCTGGTGGCAAGTCAAACAACGATCTATCATGCGTATAGTACGTCCTGTCTCCAACCTGGCCTCCTATATTCATCTGGACTTACTTGCTGACAACTTGAATTTGGTAGAGATGGTCCTCCCTGTACTTGTTAGTCCGGAAACCCATGCTCCAAAAGGTCTGGAGTCCCGATCAACCCGCCCCAGAAGCTATCAAAAATGAAGTCATATGCATGCGATTGGCGCAAAGCATATTCAGTGATTTCAACAGCATGCCGGAGCAACATCCCAAACACACTTTTCCCTTTCTACATTATATCACCAATGCGACGATCATCGCTTTGGGGTTGATAATTAGACAGCCATCATTCAAATCGGAGTATGGTGAACTCACCCTACGTGCTGCCCGATCACTGTGGGAACACTGTCGCAAAACATGGGTCTCAGGCAAAATGGTAAGAACTGTATGGAAGCTCAATCAAATGGCAGATGTGACCATAAATTTGTCTGGAGATCGGTTCAGAGACAATATGAGCAGCCAAAATCCAAATTTGGAAGGATTTGTTACTCGACAACCACTCCCATTATCCACCTTGATTACATCGGGGTCTGGCTCCATTTCAGCGACTGTGGCATCCGTTGAGAACCAAAGCGACCGTGAGGCTCTATCAAGAATTGACACAAGCAGAGGTGACTGTCAACCAGCTCACTCGATGAATGGCATAGCAAGTCAAAGAAGACCGCTGTCGTCTGCAATTCCCGATCCCACATATTCTGCGTATCGCTTTGAGCCACACGCGCATGTTCAAAACGCAACAAACAATTCAGCTGTTGACAGAGGACCTGATCTCAACGGAAGTGGACGCGAGAATGTGTCATTCGGCTCCAGTCGGCAAATGGAAGCAGTTGCTCCTGACATGGTACGACCTCATGGCGCCTCATCTGACACTCATAAAGCAGACAATGAACCAGTGGAGCTTGAAGACCTGGATATGTCATTCACGGGAGAGATGATCAATGGGGGAATGGAATGGCTGCAGTCGCTTTTTGTGAATGGCCTTGACGCCCCCTTGCCTCCGGTGTGGGACTGACCTCGGGATGGTTACACGTATGAATTCGAAAACTAGAAAGAATGAAAAGTCAGCATAGATTTTACCTACGTCAAATTCTACAAAGATGTTTCCATTATATTGATCTCAAGCTCAATCCCATCCAAATTAAATTTGCATCTATTAGTAGTACTCCCTTCCAGTAACTGTAAATCCATTGGCATGTTTGAGCTGCCATCTCTATCTAGCGGATCCCTTTCATAATCATGGGACTGCGCATTCTAATCTTGTGACCATATTTATAAAAGATAAAAGGGATAGGAATCAAAACCACCTCAATCAGAGCCAGCATTGTTCCAGCCCACTCCGGACCCAGCGTATCATACATTTTATTCCCAGCAAGAGGGAGGACACCCGCAAGACCATACCGAATAATCGAGTTCCCAGAAAGGGATGAGGCTGCGTAGACAGTATAACTCCCAGCCAGATAGTTCGTCGCATAGATGAATACTAAACCATTTCCGAATCCAAAAGGAAGACCCGCAAGGATTGGGCAGATCCAGTGAACTGGTGGTCGCGCAGTCCACGCAAACCAGAATTCTGCAATGGGAATCATGAGACTACCAACACAAACAGCAAAGACAGCAGCCTCTGGAGGTGGACGACCAGTGACGGGATCTTTTGGATGTCTTTGAATTATCCGTCTGATCAATGGTTCGATGGACACTGCAACTGCGGTCCCTGTTCCAATGCCACAATAAGCGAGCCCAGCGATACCGGGAGTCCAGCCTCTAAGCTGTTCGAATACGATCGGATATGCGACAAAGCATAGGAATAGTACCGCATAAACAACACCGACGTAGAGATTCCAGAATATACTGTTGATGAAAGGTTAGCTTGTGGACTGACTCGAGAAGAAAGAGACATTTTACCAAATTGGCTCAGATACGGTCATTCGTAATGGTCTGATCAAGTTTGTTTTCAGAATTTGAAGACCGGTCTCTTCATGATCAAAACGACACCACCATCTTTGATCACCAGTTTCCTGTTGCCGTTTTCGCGCTCGTTGTCGAAGAAGCGCTGGCGCATAAGTTTCTTTGACAAAGAACATGAGGACAAATGAGACTCCAGAGCATATCAAGACAACCCAGTTTATCCATCGCCAACCAAGATACTGGTAGACGAAACCACCAATTATGGGACCTGCAGTCGACTCGTCAGATACTGAATTGAATTTCATAGTGAACGAAAGCATACCGAGCACTGGACCATTCATTGTTCCAAGACTCCAACAGCTCAAGGCGAGAGCACGATATTCATCATCCGTTACATCAGTAACACTTCCTGGGGCACTTGCAATCCAGGCACCTCCAAAAAAACCAGCAAAGAATCTGCATATCAGGACTGCCTCAATATTCTTTGCTAAAGCCACGGGCAAAATCATAAGGGCGAATAAGGTCACCGAGACTAGGTAGACAAGTCGCCGTCCATATACCTCGGACAGTGAAGAAAGAATGACAGAACCTATTGCGAGACCAAAGAGATTTGTAGTGAGACCCAAAAGCACAACTATATCAGATGAAATGTTGAAATCTTTCTGGATGCCTTCGGTACCCGATGTATACATTGTGGTGTAGATCACACTAGAACTTGTCAATGATTTCCTGGAAAATTTAACCACTCGGAGAATAGTCAAAATTCTCCGAAAAAAAGCAAAAAAGAGAACATTCAAATGAAAGAAACCTTGGAAACATACACAATAGTCGTCGAAAACGACATGGCGAACACAATAAAGCTTCTATACCAAACTGACCAATTTCGGGGATTCTCAGGGTCGCCATCCTCCCATGTAATCTCAAATTCTGGATTGCGGGATATAACCGCGTCGCCCGACACTGAACAAGATTTTGAATCTTCCATCGTCTCCGAATGATGTTCGATACGACTTCAATGAATTGTTTCATCTTAAGGGAAACTGGACTACTATAAGAGCCAGGATTCTGCGGGGTAAAAAAATACGGAATCTTCAAATGTTAAGATTCCGCAACACTCTAACGTGATCGGGCTAGATAATACTAGCAGGGTGTCGTATATTTATGGGGCGACAAGAATTAGAATCCGTCTGAAGCTGCAGATTGGCTTATCAAGGGACGATCTTATGACACGACTCGGATACGGCACGATGACCTTGCCAGGGTTTTCCTGATGATCGAGTGGTTTGACCAAAGCGCTGGCTATGTTGAGATGAATGGACAAGGGACTGAACATTTGAATAAAAACTATGTTGTATCTAACCTTGGAAGTGAATCGATGATATCGCAGGATGAGGTGAAATATTTTCATGTATCTTTATACGTATATACACAGGATGCCTTCAGGCTTTTGATGTTTTGGTCATTAGTCTGATCCACCTCCAGAAAAGGATCAGAGATAAACGGACACGGGTTGAATGTTTGGCTCACGTAAAATTCGAACCCGGAGATGCTGCAGATTCATCCAGCTCCGATGATCTTCTCACAGAACATATCTGAAGAACGGGTTTTGCTTGTCCGTAAGATCGTCGAAAGCAATCTTGTCTCGCAGCACCTCGTCAAGCTCCATTTCATCACGGCGACGGTTTTCTCTCCACAGAATGGTATACAACGCAACCGCCGCTGCAATAGTAATGCAATAGCTAATTTGTGTTAGATTTAGGCAAGGTGAAATGTTTCAATTTAAGAAGGCGACTTACCAAATAATCATACCTTTCCACAACTCAGGATAATGCTGGGCCTTCGTGCTGCTCTTGATCAGCTGAGGCCCAATAATGTTTCCAACGGTGTACGCCACAAAGGTGGTCGCAGCCATGATGGTTTTCTTGGTAGCTCCAGCAACGTTACTGGCACCGATTGTAATAATAAGACTGACGACCGGGCCAAAGAAACCAGCGAGAGCATAACCAGCGACCGGAGTAGCTGGGTGGTATCCCCATTGGGATTTCCAGATCATAGTACAACCAGCAATGACGGGAAGACAGCACGCAATAAGCATGATGATACGTGTGTTGGGTATGATGGTGGGAATGTATCCACACAAAGGAATGAAGATGAGACACACTCCACCCACAGGGAACTGGAAAAGGATCGAGTCAAGGGTATCATAGCCAAAGGTGGCTACAATGAGCGGCCCGAATCCAGAAACGGCTCCGTTGATAGTGTACCTGTAGATGTTAGCTTGCAGAACGAAAAATTTGAGAAATCTTAAGAGGACTCACGCTGCCCCCATCATGATAGCGACCAGATAGACCTTAGCATCCGTGAATGCCTCTTTGACTTGATCCATCTTGATCTGTTGGCATCGAACACCCGTCTGACCCCTTCGAAGGCGCTCTACAGCAACCACCCGTTCCTCGGGAGTGAGGAACCATGCGGTAACAGGAGAGTTTGGCATGGTGCAACACCAAATACCAAACAAGAAGGTAAGTGCACCGGCGAAGATGTAGATGTACTGCCAGCTGGTGAGAGCACCAGATGTGATTTGACCAAATCCGTAGTTCAAAGCACCACCGATGATGGTGAACCATCCAGTTCCGGAGAACCACCAAGCCTGTCTGAGAGTTTGCTCTTCTTGAGTGTAATAACCACTGACAATAGTCATGAAGCCAGTTGGAATGACACTCTCGATGACACCTTTGAAAAGTCAGATAAAGATGTTCTTAACTCTTCAGTCAGCAGGGAAGGAAAATCACATACCGAGGAAGAATCGCTGCACATACAATCCCTTCCAGGATGTCACACCGGCTGTTGAAGCGCAAGTAATGGCCCAGAGTAAAACAACAGGGCCAAATACATAGCGTAGGTTGAACCTTTGCAATACCAAAGTCATAGGGTACAGACCAGCAAGCATTCCAAAGTAGAAGATGGAGGTTGCCCAACTAAGGCGGGACGTATCAGTTGTCGCCGGGGTTGTTGAATAGTCCACAACCGACAATCCTAAGTCGGTGGTCATACCAAAAAGAGATGCACTGCCCAGAATAGCCTGAGAAATCATTAGTATTCATCGCTGCAGGAAGAGTTTTGATTGAAACTCATACTTTATCCCAGTAAACAATACCATAGCCTAGAATTACCAGTCAGTTGGGTTATATGGAACATCTTAGAGTAGAATGAACATACCGATCAACATTGCAGGCATAAAGTAAAGATCAATTTTCCGTAGCACTATTTTGGCAACGATTGGATCAATCTCATGCGCAAAGTCGCCTACCACAGCTAAAGCTGCATCTTTTTCGGCATCATGCATAGGTTCGTTGGCATTGCCAACGCTTTGAACCTCAATCATTCTCCGTCGCTCCAAAATCCCAACAGCAAAGGATTAGTTTCCAGCTAGAAATCTGATCAGCTCCTTTGCCTTCGATATAATGCAGTAATCGAGATTTGAAATGAGATTTTTACCTTTTAATCCCAACAATTTTGACTTTTCAGTTCTTAATTTCAAGATTCCCAATTAGGACATTGCGGGTAAGTGTATACCTCACCGCCCGGGAAATATGGCAGAATCGGCATGGTGTGGTCCGTGGGGCTTAGTCATATTTTGATGCCATAATCATAAGGCTGCACATTGAAATGGGCCTTGGAAGTTGAACAGCGATCTCGATCTCAACGGACTCCAGCTCCAGTCAATCAATGCTCATGATTTATTGAAACCTGTCAATTCTTTGCCGAATTGATCAAAGAATGAAACTTGAATCGCTGACAACTCTTTCTTATTCCCCCCTCAGTTTGCCAAATCAAGGCCCATTCGTGTTACTGTATTTCCTGTTATATCATCCGCGCGAGTAATCCGCGATGCTGCGACGCTAAGCAGTTCTGCAGAGACACGGGTGACGTCGCTAGATTACTACACCGACTTGATACAGGGAACTTCAAGTTGGACATTTGGTCAACCACAACTTCTTTCATCTTCTATAAAAAATGATAGATGTTATTCATTCCCCTTTTCATTAGCTGTTTCTACTTCCCCTTCATTTGAAGTCAACTCCAAGGGAATCCAGTATGACGGTATCACCAGATCTTCCCTGAAATCAAAACACTCCTCAAACCTACGATGTTTCACAAATTCGCGAAATTGATCAGCGACCCGTATCCAAAACAATGGTTGGAAGAGTGGAGTTATAATTTGGGGGCCATATCCCAAACTGTACAATGCTGCCTTGAAAATTATTGGTGCGATCGCGCATACTTCAAGTTGATGATAATCATATGCAGATGTCCTTTACTCAAAAATAGATGCAGGAGCAATTATGCGTGAGTTTCCATAGATCATAGCACTATTTGTGCTCAAAAAACTTTGACTAGGTATTTCAAAAACAACTCGAGTCCAAAATCCAGGATATCGAAGGTAGACAATGTGCGTGCACAATAAACAAAATATGGCGTGTGGGTAACAACATTAACAACAACACTGGTCTCCACATCTATGACGCCAGATCAAGGGACAAGCTCCGATATTAGGTTTAAGCCTCTGCGCGGGCTTTCAAATCCCGATTGAAGACTTCATAGTCCGCTCGCAACTTCTTTCCAAGTATCGAGGGACTAAGAAGGAAAGACATCAATCCCTTCGATGTCTCTGACTGAGTGAATATAGTGCCTGTACCGTCTTCCGTAGGCTCAATATGAAATGTATGCAACCCAGCGATCGTGAATACTGGGGGGACCCTGCCATGAGAATAGATTCTCTGTGTTTTCCTGCAGATTCAGCGGGCATTAGTAACGTCTTTTTTTCGACATTGGTATTGAGCCTACCAGGATGTCTGCAACAAAGTTACACCCTTCGATGTTGACCTGCAACTTGTCTCCTGTAGTAAGAGATGCGCTGGTTTTTTCCTTCTCTTGAATCTCAATTCCCTTTATCCATTCCGTGTGCCATTCGGCGTAAGCTGAGAAATCTAACAGCTAGAAATGGTTAGTATGTACGTTCGACCTTGCTTGGAGGGGTTGTACTCACAATTTCTCGCACCCTGGCAGGCGGCGCAGCGATCTCGATCTTGGTCTCGTTGAAAGGCATGGTTTCTTGACACTGAGAAGGTAAGAATGAGTGAGAAATAAAGGAAGAAAGGGGTGACGCAGAGAAGTTATGATCAAGGGAGGCCATGTGGTGCGTGCGAGTAAGCCACTGGTAGTGCATATCATGTCCCCACCCCGATGATCGCTCGAAAAACATTAATCAATCCGATAATTTCGCAGACAAGGCTAAAGACCCACTGGGGTTTCCTTTCTCTATTGCAAAAATGGAATAAATGTGTTTTCGGAGCCTTGGAATATGCAGATATTGATTTACTAGAAGTGCAAGAGACTACCAGTACACCCAAGCGCTCGTCATGTCAGACTGAACCTACTCTTTTAATTCTACATCGATTAATGCGGTCAAAAAATATCACCTTTGATGTGTTTGGCTTGATTGATCTACAAGTCTTCACGCCGCGCTTCGCGCGGCACTGCCAGTGAAGCAGCGAGCATTTGAAATTTGGAGAGGTATCCTCAGCACGCGAGTGCTTGGCTAGATGTGTCCACATCCTCTCAGACAGGGACATCAGGATGTTTTACCTCAAGTGCTGGAGGGGATGGCTACCTGTTAAATAGTTAGATATAGGCAACTGGAAACCCTAGTACAGATATCTAAAGTGAAAGATATCTAAAGTAGAAGTAAGAGATAGCTAAATAAAGCGGGATATATTCACATGTGCATGTTTAGATCTAATAAATAAGAGAAAAATATAGTCTATGGAAAAAACCACTGTAACCCAACCTTGGAAGTAGAAAACGAGGTCTATCTATCCCAAAATCGACGAAAACTCTCGAGGGTATTGATCGGCTAGGTAGAGTCATACAGCATCAAGCCCCATACAAACAATCCTAGGTAGCCATTCCGCGTTTCCAGTCCAAATAGCAACCCCAGAACACCCAACCTTTATCAACTCACATTCTTTTCTCGGTTCAAATAATATTCTTCAATAAAGTTCGCGTTTGCGCAATCACAATCAAAATCGGAACAATCTGAGCATGAATCTGCATTGACCAAAGTTTCATCCCCGATAAATTCAAGTACATCAACAAGTGTTTCCTCATCTCTACACTTGAGTTCCTCCTCTGTAGTCACATCCAAGTCTGTTGGTATAGGCTGCTGAAGATCACGCCTCGTCACATTTACCGAAGAGCATCGGTACGGGATATGTGTATCTAATTCACTGTGTAAGTCCGTTAGCCTGTGATTCAGATTTTCCGCCTTAAGTTGTGAAGGGGTTTGACTGTGAGACGAAACGGGCTGCTTTGAACTTGAGGAAATGTTCAACAATGACACAGCCTCTACAATATCAGTGGAATCACCTGCCTGAGTGTATTCATAGTTTCTGCCGGGTCGGCAATGTCTGCTGGGCTTCCCCCGATGGATATGTCTGTCGCTAACCCTTGTGCAGGCCGTTCGTGCCTTCTTCAACCCATATGCATAAGTACTGGCGGTACTGATAAGGGACGTAGCTTCTTCCTCAGAGAAGCGGTTAATAGATTCTTCAATAAATGCCATCAATCGGCGTGGCCGATGGTTTTTACGAACATGGGTGCGACTGATTAAGGTGGCACGCAGGTTGCAGAGCGTGTCTTTGCTGGATACCACGCGGGATAGCATACATCCTGCACATTGGTCAATTTGATATGGCCACAGACCTGGCATAACAGGGAGGTCTACCACAGGCCTAATCCACATCCCCGGATTGCTCGAAGGCGGTCCAGAACTGCTGTATCTGCGAGGAAGACTTGATTTGGGTAATCATCAAATGGTCGAAGACAGGTTGTCACTTCTCGCTGGATAAGATACAGGGTGTGTTCCAGGAGTTCTGCATTCATGGGCCGGTGTAGATCGCAGATACAGATGGCTTTGAGTCCCAAGGTTGCCAGAGATATCCGTTTGGCGCGAAGTCTTTTTGGAAGGTCTTGAATGAATCCTTGGGCTTGAGCAATGGTACGGCGTGAACTTTCACCCATTTGGGTGTGCAGAGCCTCTGTCAGGCGGACCATTTCACCTCGTGTCAGTTCAGTTACTGAATGAGGGTATCCTTTCGCCTCGGGCCGAACTGCATCCACCACAAATCTCTTGGAGAAACTAGCATTTGGCATTTTCGAGGCATTGGTTGATAATGATTCTGAGGAGGTGGAACTCATTACTTTTCTTTTGTCAACTTGAATCAATCATGCACATGTGTGGACCAAGAAGATGAACTGGAGAATATCTCGTGTTTATACTGTAGGCGTAAAAATTTTCTTAGAATTCACTAAAAACAAGGTAATCTAAATAATGGTATACTACCTATTGTGTATGGTCTTTCTCTCTTTGTCTCTTTGTTCTATCATGTCTCTGAATCTCTTTGTTAAGGATATGAATCAGATCTTTATGGTTGCTTATTTTGCGTAGGTGTGTGTGTCTTTGTTTCAAATGTGTATGCATGTCTCCTTCAATGTTTCTTAGCCAATGGAATAATAATCAACATCAATACAAGTTTCTTTCACTTATTTGAAAGAAAATGCCGCTGCCTTGGCAAAGTGCACATGTGCTAGTACTTGAGTATTATTATGACTGCTCGGAACAGGGATGAGCAAATACAGATCTGCAGGATTGCCTTGAACTATTTCCACGTATTACTCTCTTTGTATAACCTGATACTCATAGATCCAATTAAGATGCTACTCCATGTTATACGAATGCAGATTATGTAGTCGAATACTAAGAACGGACTACATAGATGACCTCGGGAGTCAAGAACCAATAGTAGATGGGATTAAAAGGACAAGAAATCCTGTCAATATCCTCTAAGTGAATGCACTATTTGCATCACCAAAATCTATTCATAGCTCTATGCGGCTATTGCGACAGAATGTCAGACTTATCTCTGGAATGGCTAGGCTCTATTATCTATGCAAAGGCAAAAGCTCTGTCTAGACTTGCAGCGAAAAATGGCGATCCTCCAATTCTCGACGGAACGATCAGGTCCAATTCATCATCTGCTAGTATTGTGACAACTCGGAATGAGCTCATTCAAGCAACAAACGAGCTTTTACAGCTGGTAATGATGCCTTCAGAGTATCTTCTTAGCTTGGCATTATCGGTAAGCAGTTCAATACCTTCTGATTGATCTACAACTAATGATTCTGATAGGGAGCAAATACAGCAAATATTGAACTCTTAATTCGTTTCGAGATACCTCAAAATGTCCCGCTTGACTCGTCAATTGAGATATCTGCGCTTTCTACCAAGGTGAATCTGCCCGAAGATGATCTCAGACGCACTCTCCGATTCGCCATTTCCAATGGAATCTTCCAAGAGCCCACACCGAATACCATTTCACATTCTGCTTTATCAACTGCTTTAGATACAGACACTCATTTGCGCAATGTGCTTTGTTTCAGTGCTGAGTGGACTGGGGGCGTATTAACTAAAACACCCAAATACTTGGCTTTACGGGCAGAAGGGAAGAATGTTCCCAAAACTAGCTTCGGCTTCTCATTCAATACCGAGGAAGACTTCTTCGACTATATGACCCATTCCAAAGAGCTCAATGCGAAATACCATAACTTCCTTATGGGTCGGGCGCATACGCCGATGTGGTCGATGGACCGTCTACGTGCAGCTTGGGATTGGGCGAGTCTTGGATCCAAGACCCTCGTTGATGTATGTATAGTATTTTTCTTCTATTCTGATACTTGAAACGAACTGAGTACTGATTTACTTCAAGGTCGGTGGATCTTCTGGTCATACTGTCATGGCCATTGCTCCCTTGGCACCGTATGCACAGTTTATTGTTCAGGACAACGACTCGAGCGCATTGGAATTGGGCAAAACCCAATCACAGAAGCTTCTAGACGATGAAACACGATCGCGCATAGCCTTCCAAAAACACAATTTCTTCGAAGGTCAGCCAGTGCGGGCAGAGTGCTATATTTTGCGTCACGTTCTCCACGATTGGAATGATCAAGACTCCATCGCCATCTTGAAAGCTCTTCTTGTTGCGCTTGAACCCGGGGCCAGGGTTTTTATAAGCGAAGGACTACTGCCAGATCCACCGGCACAACGACTCAATACCCTGGCAAGTAAGATGATACTGTATGAGCTTCTTTTCGAGAGTTCCAGGATCCAGTGTGTCTAACCTGAGGACAGAATTGAAGATCAATTTATTATGACTGCTCACAACGCCCACGAGCGCACGCTGAATGACTACGTCCAGCTTGTCAAACAGGTCAGTCAAAGATTTAACCTGGTAGGTGTTACTTCAGGGGCTAAAGATGGAGCTTTCCAATCGCTACTTGAATTTCAATTCGACTGAGGTTATTTAGGAATAGTTTATTTAAGGTCAGGATGGTTCAAATTAATTGCTTTTGTTCATTCATTATTCAGTAGCAATTTGTGTCCTCGAATATGGTAGTGCCAACCATAGAAGTCAAAGGTTTTATATACAATAAATCGTTTACCGCACGCAGTAACCGCCATCAATGATGAGGTCGTTACCGGTCATATAAGTGCTAGCGTCGCTAACCAAGTAAACGTAGGCACCCTTCAGCTCCTTAGCCTGTCCATTGCGACCCATAGGGATCATAGAGTTCCAGAGGTCCTGAGTCTTCTGCTCAACAAAATCAGAAAGACCAGTGTCGATGTATCCAGGTGAAATGCTGTTCACACGAGCGAAGTCGCGCCATTCATTTGCAAGAGAGCGAGCCATGTGGATACACCCAGCCTTAGCAACGTTGTATGAGGTTTGTTCCTGAGGGAAGTTGGCGATGTGACCGGACATAGAGGAGGTAATGACGAAGCTGCCAGTGCCGCGCTGCTTGAAGTGTGCGCCGACGGCCTTGGCGCAGTGGAAAGTACCATTCAGATCGGTCTGGATGACTTCGTTCCAGTCCTGCACGGAGCCATCAAGAATACCGCTGTTAGCAGTGCGGCCGGCGTTGGCGATAAAGGCGTCGATCTTTCCGAATTCCTTAATGGTCTCGTTGACGAGGCTCTGCACGCTTTCCCAGTTGCCAACGTCGCACTTGTAGGCCTTAACCTTCACTCCGTAGGTCTCCGCAAGTTCCTTGGCGTTCTTTTCGCCGCCCTCTGGACGAGAGGAGTAGGTGATGGCGAGGTCGGCGCCCATCTCGGCACAGCCGCGAGCAGCCTCAATACCCATACCGCGGGATCCAGAGGCACCAGTAATGACGACCACCTTGCCCTTCAGGCTAAGGAGGTCCTTGAGGCTATCTGATTTGGGAACGGGAATAGGCATGGTAAATGTCGTTTGGTTTTGTTCGAAAGAAGAGTTGTAGGACGTAAGACGAGATTGTCAGGAGAGTATGTGAGGGGTAACAGTAGGAGAGGGGTAAGAAGTAGGCTTTTAAGCTAGTCCTGAGTTGTGAGATCAAGTAAGGTGTAAGAAAGTATCTTGATTAAGTTCATGCTTACTACGTCGTACTCTTCTTTCTTACTTGTTAGAACCATGACCTCATAATGGGGTATCCCGGTTGCCCGTGAGCATACTCTGATACGCCACCACTGAACCTACCACTAAAGAGCTTGGTCCAAGTTTGCTGCCCAGGTGCTCTAATCATTCTTGTTCATCCGAATAAGGGTACTTCGGTCAACATCATCGGGCAATCAACCGGAAATACTAGAGGCTAGAGCGGGTGGAGGCGGACCGAAATGATGTCATGACTTAACACCACGCGACCTAGCACAGACACTATATGATATGCTTAGCTAAAGACATTGCATGATCTACTCCTTTTTTAACATTTGAATTATCTATACAATGATTATTATTCATAATAGAATCACACTTAGAATTCCCCTGAAGATGTGCAATTACAGATTGGTGATCTCATCGTACTGCAGAACCCTATACGTGGAATGTGGACCGATCGCCCCACATAGTATAACTTGAGTATAACAGGCTTGATATGCAGTGACTTGATTTCTTAGTTGGAATCATATCATTATTAGACTATTATTCAATGTTGGTGGTTGCCTAGATGGGATTATTTCTTTCAATGATTGACTCATTCCAATTTCAAAGAAAGTTACAAGTTTCTGATTAGCCGACTAAAAGAGCAAGTTCAAAGGCATTCAAGTTGGTCCAAGCATATGAAGACCCTTTTCATGATCAAAGTAATCACAATGGCATGCTAAACATGTGCAACTTCAAAATGAGGTGACAATGACCCTTGGATCTATACAAAGTCTTTGATCAGGTATTCTATTTATATTCTCTTTGCTATCATTGTTCTTGAATACTAATGGAGCCAACATTTGAATAACCTCGACCCAAAATAATAACAATGAATTTATCTTTACTATCCAAAATTCCTGGAGCCGCCAAAAATCATTGCATATAAAGCTTCCGTTCCCGCTCACCTATTCGAAGACTTTTTCAATCCATCACCGAGTCTCCAAGGATTCCAGACTACAGCATTAAAGCATTTTGACTTGTAAGTACGCCAGTCTCCAGTTCTTACAACCTTGAAGAGTTAGGACCTCTTGAGTCCCAACCACCAGCACCTACTTGAGATTTGTTGATATTTTTACCATGTCTGATCTAGAAGATGATCCGCTCGAACTCCCAATGTCTCTAGAGGATGAGGAACTTGAAGAGCTTCGACACATTCACAGTTTTATGGAAGCTTTTGGTGAAGAAATTCAGCGAGCCCGGCGTAATCTCGAGGAACATCGTGAGTTGACCGGATTAAATGAAGTGTTGCAACGGGAAGTCCCCGATATTGAACAGTTCCAGCGTGATGTGAACACTTTTACTTACTCACTACAACGCGACATCCGTCGTCTGGAAAACCTACAGCTAACTGCATCACGGCTAACAATTAGTACGCAGCAAAGCTCGGGCCAAGGTGGTGATCAAGATACTTATTACTCTCGGGTGTCTATGATTTATGATCTGCCTGCGAAGGAAGTTGATCAACAAATGATTGACTCTGCAATGGAGTGCCCTATTTGCCTCAACCCCCTGGAACTGAATGAGATAGTCGCTGTTCTTCATTGTGAACACATGTTCCATACTGGATGTATTGCTCAATGGCTCCGACGATCGAACTCCTGCCCACTTTGCCGAGGGACTATTAGAACTCGAGTGGAGATTCCCGGCTCGAATAATGGATTTGATCAGTCAGATAGTGATGATTCGGGCCTGCAGCCTGAGCGACATGTACGTTGGGCATCTAACCTAGAAGCTTGGGTGCATGAGAGATACCATGGGTAAACTGGGATGGAGCCTCACAACCTAGTAGCTAGTATGAACTTTGCCAGGCGATTAGACCGATTAGGCATCCACATAGTAATTTTTAGTTACAACATCAAATTCATTCTTCGATTTGGACCTAATAAGATGACTATTAATCCAGTATAAGAAACACATTCTATAGATGCCCAAATGTAAATAGCCTTCCTAATTAGGAAGTGACAGGCCCACATCTGCTCATTTAAACCAATCACAATCTGCAGAATCCATGGAAGCCTCTCACGTGGTTGAGCTGTCAGGTGATTTTTCTAGTAGTTTCTGGAAGGCGGTGGAAGTTGGTAGTGGCGTCATGAAGGTGGCAGGACCATCTAATCAAGTGGGCAGCCCAAGTATATTAAACTTGCATCATAGACCTTGTTGTGTTGTTTTTTTCTTCCACCTGACTACACTCACTTGACTGATCCTATTTTTCAGCTCAATATCCCACTTTACGCGCCTTTACGACTTACTTCCTAACTGATCGTACAAATACATTCCCGTTCACAATGAACGGCGCCCAATTCACAGACCGGGCTAACAAGGCCTTGCTGGATTCCAGCGCGTTGGCCGAACAATACGCCCACTCCCAACTCCTCCCGATTCACCTCGCAGTTGCCCTGCTTAACCCTTCCCAAGACGACAATGGAGACCAGCAACCAGTCGGCCATTCCTCACACGATTCTGCTTCGATCCCACTATTTCGCCAGGTGGTGGAGAAAGCACATGGTGACCCGCAACTGTTGGATCGGTCCCTCATGAAACTACTGGTCCGCCTGCCCAGCCAAGATCCTCCTCCAGAGTCTGTCAGCGTCTCTCCAGCGCTCGCCAAGGTGATCCGATCGGCTACCGATTTATCCAAAACACAGAAGGATAGTTTCGTAGCTATTGATCACTTGATTCAAGCTGCCTGTCAAGACTCACAGGTCCAACGCGCTTTGGCCGATGCCAATATCCCCAATGTCAAATTGATCGATACCGCTGTTCAACAAATTCGTGGTACCAAGCGTGTGGACTCCAAGACTGCGGACTCAGAGAGTGAAAATGAGAACCTGAAGAAGTTTACCATTGATATGACTTCACTGGCGCGCGAGGGAAAGATCGACCCCGTTATTGGTCGTGAAGAGGAAATCCGCCGTGTTATTCGTATTCTGAGTCGACGAACCAAGAACAACCCAGTCCTCATTGGTGAACCCGGTGTGGGTAAGACTACCATCGTTGAGGGACTAGCTCGCCGCATTGTCAACGCGGATATTCCAGCCAACCTCGCCCAGTGCCGACTCCTTTCTCTCGATGTCGGCTCTTTGGTGGCTGGTAGCAAGTTCCGTGGCGAGTTTGAAGAACGAATGAAGGGCGTCCTCAAAGAGATCGAAGACTCCAAGGACACAGTTGTTCTTTTCGTTGACGAAATTCATCTTCTCATGGGTGCTGGATCCAGTGGTGAGGGTGGTATGGATGCAGCAAACCTTCTCAAGCCAATGTTGGCTCGTGGACAGCTGCACTGTATCGGTGCGACTACCCTGAGTGAATACCGCAAGTACATTGAGAAGGACCAGGCCTTCGAGCGTCGATTCCAGCAAGTCCTCGTCAAGGAACCCTCTGTGCCGGAGACGATCTCAATTCTGCGTGGTTTGAAGGAGAAGTACGAGGTTCACCACGGTGTCAATATTCTTGATGGTGCCATTGTCACCGCCGCCACTCTGGCATCCCGATATTTGACTGCGCGTCGCCTTCCTGATTCCGCTGTTGATCTAATTGATGAAGCTGCTGCTGCCGTTCGTGTGACCCGAGAATCCGAGCCCGAGGCCCTAGACACCCTCGAGCGCAAGTTGCGCCAGCTTCAGATCGAAATCCATGCACTGGAGCGTGAAAAGGATGACGCCTCTAAGAGCCGACTGGAAGCTGCCAAACAAGAAGCTGCCAATGTTGCCGAAGAGCTACGTCCCATGCGAGAGAAGTACGAAAGCGAGAAGCAGCGCAGCAAGGAGGTTCAAGATGCCAAGATCAAGTTGGACTCCCTCAAGGTCAAGCGTGATGAAGCAGAGCGCTCTGGTGACACCGTGACTGCTGCCGATCTCGAATACTACGCCATTCCTGAGACCAAGGCTCTTATTGAACGTCTTGAGATTGATCGTGCCAGAGCAGATGCTGAACGTCGCGCCAATCATGGAGAGGCTGGTGAAGCTCTGCTTGCTGATGCCGTCGGTCCTGACCAGATTAACGAGATCGTTGCTCGCTGGACTGGTATCCCGGTTACTCGACTCAAGACTACCGAAAAGGACAAGTTGCTCAACATGGAAAAGTACCTGGGCAAGCTTGTGGTTGGACAAAAGGAAGCTGTTGTCTCGGTCTCCAACGCGATCCGACTTCAGCGCTCTGGCCTAAGCAATCCGAACGCCCCTCCCAGCTTCTTATTCTGCGGTCCATCGGGTACCGGAAAGACACTTCTCACTAAAGCCCTTGCCGAGTTCCTTTTCGACGACCCCAAGTCGATGATTCGCTTTGACATGTCTGAATACCAGGAGCGCCACTCGCTAAGCCGAATGATTGGTGCACCTCCCGGCTATGTTGGTCACGATGCTGGTGGTCAACTTACAGAGAGCCTGCGTCGTCGCCCATTCTCCATTCTTCTCTTTGATGAAGTCGAAAAGGCCGCCAAGGAAGTTCTTACTGTTCTCCTCCAGCTTATGGATGATGGACGTATCACTGATGGTCAAGGTCGCATTGTTGATGCCAAGAACTGCATTGTCGTTATGACCTCCAACCTGGGTGCCGAGTTCCTGGCTCGACCCACAACTAAGGACGGTCGCATTGACCCTCAAACCCGGGAGCTGGTGATGGGCGCTCTGCGCAACTACTTCCTTCCGGAGTTCCTGAACCGTATCTCCAGCACTGTCATTTTCAACCGCCTTACTCGACGCGAAATCCGCAAGATCGTTGACCTCCGTCTCGACGAGATCCAAAAGCGACTCGAACACAATGATCGCAACGTTCTTATCAAATGCACTGAAGAAGTCAAAGACTATCTTGGTGCTTCCGGCTACTCGCCCGCCTATGGTGCCCGTCCTCTCGGTCGGATCATTGAGAAGGAGGTGCTTAATCGTCTTGCTGTTCTCATTCTGCGCGGCAGCATCCAGGATGGTGAGGTGGCTCGAGTTGTCCTCATCGATGGTCGCATTGATGTGCTCCCCAACCACGAACTGGATGACACTGATTCAGATGGCGATGAGGACATGATGGACTCTGATGATGCTCTTGCAGAGATGGAGGATGGCAGCGGCGACATGGATCTCTACGATGAGTAAGACCATCGCTGTACATCTAAAATTCCTTGAATAAAGCATTCAAATTTACGCGCCTAACGATACACGATTTTTTATGAAAGCTTTTTGCTTTCTGCATATTGTTTTAGTGTTTTAATGTGGCATGGCGTTGGTGTCTTGATTCTTGTACCTTTTACTTGCTTCTAGATGAACTATGAAATCTCTAGAGGCAGATCCAATTGTCTTAATACATGAAAGAATAGCATAGCAGCAATGAACGGTTCAATCGAATAATCTCTTTTCTTGTAGAATATCGACTCAGTAGTCCGTAGCGAGTTCAAATTTCTTTGTGAGAATACTGTAGAACACCTGGGTAGCCTTATCTTATCGATAGCTTCTCCGCACCTTCATGACTTCACAACTCCGAGGGAAACTCAATCGCCCAGATTTCCAGATTTCCAGTCAATGCATACTATGCCTACTACTCATTGCGGTTGAAACAATCTAATTCTTGAAATATCCGCAATCCTTGATCCTCAGCCCACAATGAGACTCGCCCACCTCCACCTCCCTCACACTACGCCCTTTGCGCGCGTCTCCGAACTCCAACAAGCTCTTACGAGCCGATTCCTCACGCATAAAAAGCTCTCAGGCTCAATATCTTCTCAAACAGAGCCTATAATCCCTGGGAATGCACCACCACCAGACCCTACTATTATCACCTTTAGCCCCAATCCAGTCTACACCACCGGTCGCCGCGACCTCCCACCCTCCAATACCTGCTCCCTTTCTGCATCCAACCTCTCCCTGCCTCCACCGCTAGAACCGATTCGCGGTTTACTTACACCCTCTGGTTCAAGCAATGTTCCAAAAGCTGAATACCACCCAACTCTCCGTGGTGGCCAAACGACATACCATGGCCCTGGGCAGATGGTCGCATACACAATTCTTGATCTCCGACGCCTAGGCCTAACACCTCGGTGCCATATTCGCGTTCTTGAGAACAGTGTTATCGATGTATTGAAGCAATACGGTGTCAAAGGTTTCACCACTGCAGACCCAGGAGTCTGGGTCCAGGATGGACCAGCCGCAAAGAAGATCACAGCTGTTGGAGTTCACTTGCGACGCAATATTAGTAGCTTTGGAGTTGGGCTTAATGTCACCAATGAACCAATGTGGTTCTTAAAACAAATTGTTGCCTGTGGACTGGAGGGCAAGGAAGCGACTAGCTTGGAGGGAGTTGGGGTTCCAGGTCTCACTGTTGATGAAGTCGCTAATAGCTTTGTGGAGCGATTCGTGGAACGGTTGAATCGTGATTTTGCGCCGGAGAAGATTAAGGAGGTTTATCCTGTGCAAGAGGAAGATCTTTTGCGTGGATAGTGATATAGTCCCAACGTATTATATTGACGTGCTCATCGCCCTATCCATGTGTTTTTCTTGTGTTTTTCTTGTACTAATTTACATATTGCGCAGAAATTCATTTGGCAGGGCGTCTGAAATTGTTAGCCGAGCAGAATCTACCTAAAATTTTCGAGTTTCCAGTTGGGATCTTCATCTTTGGCCTCTTTGACCTTCTCTGAATCCATGTCTCCACTATGTTCAGGCTCACGGATGTCAAGCGTCCGGAAAAACTCCAGGCAGCAGTGGGGCAAAGCGCAGTGGAACACAGACCTCTATGGCTCCAGGCTTGAGGCTTAAGTGGGCGCCTGAAGTACATGAAGGCAACATTTAAACTCCAAATGTTTAAGTTGAGCATCATTTTCTGTGGCATGATCCAAATTCTGTTTATTAGATCAGGTTCCCAGATGAGATTGCTAGGCTCTGTACCATGGATCCTTGTGTGTCATCGTAAACATAAACATTTTTGAGTAGTATAGCTCCTGAGTCATAACGAGCTTTTTGATAACTTTCTAAGCGAGGCTATGACAGAGTCATATTTTAACTCCTTTTAGCTCTTTTGAATGGATATGCGTTTGCCTATGTGCTAAAGTCGGGTGACTCCACCCCGATATCCATAGTCTATATATGCCTGGAATTACTACTGGAATTATCCGGGTAACGTTGACATCTTGAAGAGTATAAAGCTTTGTTACTAACACCTTCTCAACCTCTTCTCTTCATCATTCTACTTCTATCTTCATCAAAATTCTATCTTAGTTATCGTTTCAATCAAAATATTCTCAATTCCCAAGTTACCAACCATCATGCAGGCAGTTCAATGTGGCTGTTGTGTGTTCGTTGACAATATCCGGAGATACTTGCCCCAGGTCTCTCTCCAAGCCCATGCTACTATCCTCTCCTCTGCAGCTCGAACTACGTTGACGCAAACTTATGTTAATTCTTTCGGCTTCATCCTTGAAGAGGCTTCCTACAATTTTCCCCTATACGATGGCGTCAGTGTCGTTGGCTTCAAGTGCCGTGTTGGCACTCGCCTACTTCATGGTACTGTGAAGTCTAAGGAGCAAGCTAACACTGACTACACACAAGCTTTTGAGAGAAATGAGTCGGCTGCCGTCATGGATCATACCTCTGAAGATGTCTTCTCTATTCGCCTTGGCAATGTCCCTGCCAACGAGAAGGTGACCGTGGAGATCACTTATGTTGGTGACCTCAAACAGGATGCCCAACTAGATGGTGTTCGTTATACACTGCCAAATTCAGTCGCCCCTCGTTACGGATCTCCCTCTCCATTTTCACCCGATTTCTCTTCTGATATCTCGGCTCAGCTAGACGGCATCTCTATCACCGCTGACATTCTTTTGGAAAAGGGCGCTGCCATTAGAGAGATTCAGTCCCCCAGTCATTCCCCCAAAGTCTCCCTCGGTAGGATCTCCTCCACGCAACCTGATTCTCGTGCCTTCGAGCCCTCCCAAGCTTCTGCGACTTTGCGATTGGACAAGAACAACCAGCCCTTGCTGAAGAAAGACTTTGTTCTTGTCGTCAAGGCTGATGGTCTTGATAATCCTCGGGCCTTACTGGAATCACACCCAACTATCTCAGGTCAGAGAGCAATCATGGCTACGCTGGTTCCCAAGTTCCAGCTGCCTGTCAACAAGCCAGAGATCATCTTCGTGATTGACAGAAGCGGAAGCATGAATGACAAAATCCCCACTCTGCGGGCGGCTCTGAGGGTGTTCCTTAAGTCGTTACCTGTTGGAGTCTGTTTCAACATTTGCTCCTTTGGATCCAATCATTCCTTTCTATGGTCGAACAGTATCGTGTATGACCGTGCTAGTCTGAAGCAGGCCCTTTCTTTTGTTGATACCATTGATGCTGGAATGGGAGGCACGGAAATCAATCTCGCAGTTGAAGCAGCTTTCCAAAGCCGCCTCCCAGATAAAAATCTAGAAGTTCTTCTTCTTACCGATGGAGAGATATATAATCAACAGCAATTATTTCAGCTTGTTCGAAATTCAACCGCAGCCCATACTGCTCGTCTCTTCGGTCTTGGCATTGGAGACGAAGTATCCCACTCATTGATCGAAGGTGTCGCCAGAGCAGGCCAAGGCTTTGCGCAGTCAGTACTCAAAGACGAGGAACTCGATCGCTGCGTGGTAAGAATGCTCAAGGGAGCTCTCACTCCCCACATCTACGACTACAAGGTGGAGGTCGACTATGAACATGCAGTCGAGCAAGACTTTGAAGTTTTAGACAGCCCCAAACTTGACATGTCCGATACAGAGATTGAGAGCAGCTCTTCAACAGCCATGACACCTTCAGCCTCCGCTGAGCCAATCTCACTCTTTACGGAAGGTCATATCGACGAGGAGACTATTGAAGGAAGCCACGCAGCTCAGAAAGATGCAGCACTTCCCAATATCTCTCCACCCAAGGTTATTCAAGCACCCCACAACATTCCCCCTCTTTATCCCTTCATCAGATCCACAGTATATCTACTGTTGGACCCTGAGTCATCTGACAAGATTCCACGATCACTCACGTTCAGCGCTACATCCAAACAAGGTCCTCTGTGCTTGCGTATTCCCATTACCGACTTGGGCCAGGGAGAAACCATTCACCAACTTGCCTCACGCAAAGCAGTGATTGAACTCGAAGAACTACATGGGTGGTTGGGTGAGTCCAAGGATGAAAACGGCAATCCATTTGATCAGCTTCACTATGACACAAAAGAGCGAATCGCAGCACGTGAATGTCAGAGCTTGGGAATCAAGTACCAAGTCACTGGCAAATACTGCTCTTTTGTTGCGCTGGAAAATGGTACTGAAGTACCATCCCAGGTAAAGGAGGAATATGTCTCTAGTCCAGGTCAATTTATTTCTCATCAAATGGGGTCTGAGCATATCGACGCTTTAATGCAACCATGTAAGTCTCCTCCAGCAAATACCAATTGTCACTTACTAACCATCGTGCCAGCTTCACATCATCATTCCCATGGCTTTAGAGGTGGTCGCGGTGGTCGTGGTGGTGGAGCACTTTTTGGTAGTTCTACCTACATTCCCCCGCGAAGCGTGGTGTAACTGCTGCTCCGGTGTCTCTATTTCGATCAGCGGATGGTCCTCCACCACCACCACCAGCGGCCAGAAGAGGAGCACAACCACCGTCGCCGTCTTTCGGAGCTGCGTCCTCAGGCGGGTTATTCGGATTGTCGACGAATTATAAACCCCGTTTGGCCCCTGCACTAGAGTCTGCAATAAGAGCGCGAAACCAGAAGTTGAATGATTCTGGCAATTCATCTGAGCATGCCCAATATGCTTCAATGTCATGCACACAATCAGCATCGGCTCCACCACCGCCACCATGTGCATCAGGATCAGCTCTATCACCGCCACCGCCACCAGCATCAAGATTAGCTCCTCCTCCTCAACCGCGATTACCAGCAGCTCCACCCCCACCTTCCCCCTCTTCGGGTGCCTTATTTGGATCTGTGAATGCCTCAACAGCAAGGTATACCAGGTACATTGGTACTCCTATGAGTGCTCCTATGGCTATGGCATGTTTTTCTTCTATGAAAGTTGCACCTGAAGTTCCGAAATCAAAGGTTCATTCCTTGGTCGAGCTTCAAACCTTTGAAGGAAATTGGACTTGGGAACAAGAGCTTTTCAATATCCTTGGCTCTGATATGGAGGCTATGCATACCAAGATTTCCAACATGTTTCAGAATGATGGTAAGGTTTACTTGCTGAGCGATCGGGAGAATGATATGATCGCTACTCTTCTTGCTATGGGCTGGTTGACCCGTGACCAAAATGATTCCAAGGATGTTTGGGAACTTGTCTTTGAAAAGGCTGATTCGTGGGTGAAGAATGAACTTGGAGAGATGAAGAGTGAGTTGTTTAATGACTACGGTACTGATGTTTGGATGTCTTTGCAATGAGACTGTTCATTTCTTAGTTGCGAACACGGAGTCTGAAAATAAAAGAAGACTGAAGAAAACCACATTCGCAAAGTCGAAAAAAGAAAAAGAAAGAAAGAACGAAATTGATAATTGTGATGGCAGTTTTGAATTTTCTCGTTGATCAATTCAAATTCTTTTATTCATACTCTTGCTAGCATTATCGTAGTTTCAAATTGAAATTGTTGTTCAGGAAATTATTTCTTATGATCCTCCTCGTAGAAATGTAATTATTTTACTATTATTAATTATTTAAATATAAAAGTAAAGATGGTAAAATCTCAAGGCGCAGCGCAGCGTATATATTTCAAGTTGTTCGAGTCTGGTTTGTTTTAAGCATCAAATATCAAAAGATATCTAAATAAAAAAAGAGATATCTAAGCTATAACTGAGAGATAAATAGGGGACAAGTGAGGTCCTCGAGGACCCCTCAGCTATGCGCTAGGTGTAGGGCACAGTAGTGGCAATAAATCATTCATCGTAGACAGGCCAAACATTTGAATAAATACACATGTAATAAGTAGTTCCATCAAGTCAATAAATAATCACCAGCTTCAAATCTAGTAAAAAGCCGTTTGCTGCCTGCTACGCTAGTTTTAGTTCCATCAAATATTCTTCTATTTAATTCAGCTATCTTCTTCTTCTTCTTCTTTTTCTTCTCCTCTTCTCTCCCCTTCATCATCTCCACCTCTCTTGATCAAAGAAAGAGAAGAAAAGAGAATTACATAGCCACGATCGGTATGTGCTGATATTTTATTTATCTGTGGAGCTATATGTCAAGCTAATAATCCCTCAGCTTCATCAGCAACTACCAGAAAGATGAACTTTGATACCGATGATCCTGAAATAGAAATGCCGGAGGAGCTTTTCTTAGATCTGACAATCAACGACGTCCTCGATAATGCAGCTGACATGGGACTTGTCGAGCCCTGGGCCAGCATGTACGTCAGTGCCATACGCGAGAAGAGATATGGTGATGCTATATGGGCGAGATACCATATTCTGGGAGACGTACAGGAAGGTGAAGATGGGTACATCGAGGGCACTGAGATGACTGTGCATGATAGGATTGAAATGGATGCGGCGCAGAAGAGAGTTGACGATCCAGACATGTATGCGGAGTGTTTGGAGTTTTATGAAGATACTAGCGAGGCAGATGGACATCCTGAAATTGCTGAACTCATTACACTCATTGGCGAGGTACCTCTTGAACAGGTGGAGGATTGGCTTGAGGAGCAGATTAGTTAGTCTGCGTGTCTCATGGAGCTGAATTTATCATGAGGTTGAATTTCTATTTTACCATCTCCCTGAAGATGTAACATTTGAATGAAATGTTGCTCAAGAAACTGATCCATCATATTCTTTATACATAAGAGCGTAATCAATCATTCATTGTAGACAAGCAACTTGGATGAAAGAATAATAGTTCTATCATGATGTGGACCCCACAGTTTATCTAGTAAAAATACCGGCTGCTGCCTATGTTAGTTGCCTATGTTAGTCTCTTTAGTGCTATTCCTGTACTTACTAGTAGTTTAGCTTTCCTCTCCTCTTTCCATTTCTTCTTCTCCATCGCCAGCCCTAGCAAATAACCAAAAGAACCACCTTGAAAGCGACCGGTATGTTCTAATATTTATTTTGTTGAGTTTCATATCAAGCTAATAACCTATTTAGTTCATCAGTGCAAACAAAAGTATGGCGATCAAGGATCTAGAAACCACAATGGTGGAGCAATTTTTCTTAGATCTGACAATCAACGACGTCCTCGATAATGCAGCTGACATGGGACTTGTCGAGCCCTGGGCCAGTATGTACGTCAGTGCCATACGTGAGAAAAGATATGGTGATGCTATATGGGCGAGATACCATATTTGGGGACAGGTGCAGTTGAATGGGATCATCAAAGGCACGGACAAGACTGTGCTCGATATGATAGAAGAGGACGCGATTGAGGCTAGAGTTGGCGAGCCAGAAATGTATGAGGACTGTTTGGCGTTTTATGCAAAGACTAGCGCGGCAGATGGACATCCTGAGACTATTGGAGTTTTGAGACGCATTCGTGATGCTGATTATGATTTTTTGAAGATGGGACTTGAAGAGCACAGGAGAGCTACGGAGTCGTCTCCTTAAGCTTGAAGCTCGTGTGAAGAGAGGAGATTTTGAAGGTCAGGGGGGTTCTCTGTGCATAAGTTAATCTGCATGTCTCCCAATCTGAACTTCTAGTGAACTTGAAAGCTGGAGTCTCTTTTTATCATCTCTCTGAAGTGTATGTAGCGATGGTACATGGCTGCTCAGTACCTAACCGATAGCTGTGGATCCCAGTGGCGATGTTAACCATATCGAGCAGGTCATCCAGCAGTCTCCACAAGAACCTTCCCAAGTTCAACACTTATTGGCTGTCAGAGGGACCGAGCACCAAATGGTCACTTTCTCCACGTTTTAAAATGCTATCACTTTCCTGCGGGGAATAAATCCAGTCTTCTACAGCTTACCAGAAACCCAGTGCATGCTGGAATTTCGAACGGCCATTACCTCCTAAATCTACCCCAAGAATAGCCCATTTTTTTACTTCAACCTCATGCTTTATACTCCATCCAACATTTTATTCCTAGAATGAGTACTCAAACTCAAACGGAGACTCTTGTTCTCCAAGCCCGGGGCTCCTTAAATGAAGTGGAACCAGAGCCTGGCATCCTCCAGGAACCCGAACCATCTCAGCAAGCGAAATGGATCTTACCGAAAATTCTCAGTGCTGGTGTCTCATTCTTTGTAGCCGGTGTCAATGATGGAAGTTTAGGATCACTAATTCCCTATGTGATCCGTTCCTATGGTATCGGAACAAGCATGGTCGCAGTATTGTATGTCAACAATTCAACTAATAGCCAATTTGTCCCTGAGAGACTCATTACAATTATAGGTACGGCGTGACATTTTGCGGATGGCTCTTCGCAGCTTTATCCAACAGTCTCATATGTCGACATCTAGATCTAGGTGCTATGCTCGCACTCGGAGCTACATTCCAGATTCTAGCCCATGTTCTACGTTGTTGGCTCCCACAATTTCCACTCTACGCTGCGACCTTCCTTCTCGCTAGTCTGGGTCAAGCATTTAATGATACACACGCCAATACATTCGTCTCATCTCAAAAAGGCGCACACCGTTGGTTAGGATTCATTCATGCGATGTATATGGCTGGATGTCTTGTTGGACCCTTTGTCGCTACAGCGGTCGCTTCTGCGAATACGGACTCTCAGTGGAATCTCTTCTATATCTTCCCATTGGGACTTGGTGTTATTAACCTTGCCTTTGTCGGTCTTTCGTTTCATGATCGGATGGCTCTTTGTTTGAAGAAAAAAGAGAGAGAATCAGCACCCGGATCGACGTCTACATCAACAGGGAAAACCGCACTGAGGGAAATCAAGGCTACCTTGAGCATGCCGGGTGTTTGGTTACTTAGTTTATTCTTCTTCTTTTTCCTTGGGGCATCAATTACCGCTGGTGGTGAGTATGCCATATTGAAGAAGTTCTCTTGATGGAGATGCTAACTAGACTAGGATGGATGACCGAATATCTCATCAAGGTTCGAAATGGAAATGTCAAGGATATGGGATACGTGCCAGCTGGTTTCTATGGAGGTGGTTTTCTCGGAAGGCTTCTTCTTGCAGAACCGACGCATCGTCTCGGTGAGCGTAGGATGATATTCATCTACGCAGTCCTATGTGTTGGACTACAGTTGGTCTTTTGGCTGTATGTTCAGTCTTCTCTAAGATTCTCCATGGGAAATCTTACTAACTTTGAAATATCCTAGTGTGCCAAACATTATCACTGAAGCTGTAGCTGTCAGCTTGTTGGGTTTCTTTTCTGGTCCATTCTTTGCTACGGTTAGTCAATCGATCCAAGTTATGTTCCTACCTGTATTTTCTTTATACTTATTTCTTGATCATATAGGGAATTTCCGTCGGATCAAAAATCTTCTCTCCAGAAATCGTCTCTTCGGCTATTGCCTTTGTCTTTGTCTTGGGTCAAATTGGTGGATCGATCTTCCCAGCCATCACAGGTATCATCGCTGCACAGGTCGATGTCAAAGTATTGCAGCCAATGTTAGTTGGTTTGCTGAGTGCTGCTGGTATCAGTTGGCTATTCTTGCCCAAGGATATAGGACTGCATCGAGACTAGATTCAACATTGAGCTAGTAGTCTGATCAGAATGGAAGGTAGAACGACACAAAATTTCAATTGAATCCACCGACATACATCATCATCGTCGTTATCAAAACATTGGAGTAGTGCAACAGTAAAAATAAACATGAAAAATACCAACTCCAGGGTATTTCTTTAAGTCATCATCTCATCACATCACCAACTGGTGACAAACAATCATTCAAAAACCTTCGTCAATTCCTCATACATGCTTGAACGCTTAACATGATTCCGGGTCCTCACTTAAAAGATATCATCAGGCCAAGAAAACGCTTCACCCGTGGTAGGTGTCTGACTAAGAAAATCTAGAGTCTGCTTGGAGAGAACTGCGGGGGCAGAGTCTCTCGCCGGGTTGTGTTTCTTGACTAATGGTTTCGTTACCTTCGCCGCATCCCCGAGGAGCTCTTTTGGAAGAGGGGGCACGGGTGGAATATCTGCATCCGTATGGTAACTGTGTCGGCGTCTGTGAGAAGGACGACGTGGCTTGATGGGCGAACTGCGAATACGTTGGTCAGGGTCGAGTTGTCGGTGAGATTGCATGTAAAACGATCGATGGGCGGCACTAGATGGCGGGGGTGGAGAAGAAAAATCAAAAGTAGGATTGGATTTGAGGAGAAGAGGATGGTTTGGTGAAGTAGAGCGAGTCGATCGTTTCGAAGGTGTGGGTATTATGTTCTTTGAGTTTGGTGAGCGATGAACGCTTGAAGATCTTCGGGGTACATTGATAGACCTTTTGTGCATTGAACCTCCGTCTAGAATTGCCAATGAAGTACCAGGATCCTTGCGCTTGCGCTCTACGGACCCTGGACTTTCGTCGGCTTCGAATTTCTGCCACTTTGACTGGCGTGGTGCCGGGCTGAGTAGACCGGCGTCGATTAAATGCTCGTGTTCGGATGTGGATGTGCGATTATCGGCGATGTGGTTCGTCGAGATGGGCTGAATAGGTTTCCGACTAGCGATAGGTTCAGGAACTGTTGACTTCCTTTTGCGGGAAGAGCTTTCCTTACCCATTGAAGATGGTCGTGGCTCTTTAGTGAGCAGTTTGGGTGACTTGGTCATAGAATGAGATGACTGAGATGAAATACTTCTTTGATCCATAGATGGCAATGCGGTAATCTGAGCGCCATAGGGCTCAGGGGATCCCGAAATCGCGGCGTGTTGATCGAGCAATCGCTCAGACGGCAATGTTGGGAGTGCACCAGGGACAAACTTGCGAGGGTAACTTCCAGGATCCATTTCAACACTCATGGGCCGAGTAGTCTCTTGGACCGGAGCTGGCAGTCGCTCTTCATTACCACTGAGCTGGTGAAGTTCTCGGCGCGCGCGTGCCAGTTTGTCTTCAAGGTTGCTGACTTTCTTGATCAACTTGGTTTCGCGTGAGAGTTCCTTGCGAGACTTTTGTCTGCGAACTCCGATATTCTCAGAATCATCAGATGGATGGTCCAGGCATGCAGATGACTCAGTGGGGGAGGTCGCTGTATTTCATGAATGGAATTCCAAATGACTTGGCCTTGCGTAATTCATGGAAAGACGAGCGCTTAGATGACTTAGATGTAGAGCGAAAGAGGGCTAACGGCGATTGCAAGGGTGATGTTGGCTCGGTTTGATAAGTGACATTCTGGTGAGATGTGTTGGCCACGGGGCTACCATAGCCCATCTTTTCTTGGATTGCGTTCCAGGTTTGATCGGCGAGGGCAGGGTCAATGCGCTGCTGGCTTTGCATGTAAGAACCCTTGTTGGTACCCTTGTATCCTGCGCGCTTGAGCTCCGCATATGCCTCCTCGGCCTGTGTGAGCGCATCTTTCTGGGGCGATTTTGTGATTTCATGCGAGGGCTTGCCCCAACCACCAAATGGATTGAAAGCAGATGCAATCGCTTTTCCAAATCGAAAAATCCCAGATCCACGATGTCCCGCGCTGGTGTGGTTCTTTTGGTCTCGGAACAAAACGCTAGGTGGCTTTTCACTGACACTATCACACATGGTTGCTTCAACGAATCGCGACCGGCGACCGAGGCGATGTCGCGGGCTGTCGGATGATACTTTGTGTCTGTTTCGCAGAGATGAAGCTGAGCCGCGGGGAGATGTACGAGGAGACGCTTTGTAGTTGGGACCCAATGAGCCATTTGTATTGCGAACATTCCGACCGCCATTGTTGCCATAATCTGCAGCTTCTTCCGGCAGCGGCCAGTCATTGGACCGACGTCGCTTTACCGACTTTGCCGGGGATTTGTAGTCGTCCATGTCTGGTTCATCGGCATCATCAAACTGACCAGATACATCAGAACTCCATTCCAAGTCACCATCATCGTCGCTGGTGCGCAGATGCTTCCTCGAAGAGCGTTGCTGGGCGGGATTGGTATCGATATCCATATCGTCCGGACTGTCGGGTCGCTGAACCTGCGGCGTTCAAAAAAAGTCAGCAATGACGGTCGCTTTAATGCAGATGTTTCCCGACTGGATCAAGGTCCAGAATGTTCAAGGGCGCTCACAGTCACGCTGGGTACTTGATACATCATCCCTACTCTAGGGACAGAGCCCTTGAAGGATTTCACTGAGCAAGGTTAAATTCTGGCCATAAAATGTTCTAGTGAATTAAATGTGAGTAGGATTCAGTAGTCTCAGTAGTTTTTTTGAGATTGAAAAGTGGGAAGTATGAAAAGGACTTTGTTGGATATTTGTTTACATTTGTTTACAACTCCACAAAGGGAGAAGCATTGTTTGTTGTGGTATCGGGTACTTCCGTTATCGCGTGGTCTTACTACTATTTACTATGTATTAAGTACTATTCTCCCCGTTGCTACCCCTCGAACTTTCCCCGCTACTGCATCATCATGCAGGTAAAGTACACATTGCATATAAGATAACATTTGGATATTTGGACACATCTAGGAATTTTCCTGGATATCTAGGTGCTTTTTCTCCCTCTCCAAGGAGCCATAATATTACATTTGGAAACCTGGGTTCTTTTTGGAGTGGATCCTGAAATTGCATGTTTCAAGGGAACATTTGAACATGTGTCCATTAAGAATGCAGTATAATGCCTGTAATGGGTCATAGCGGATTTTCATTTCCAAAGAATGTTATCTGGCCTCATGTGAAATGATTGGACTCTACGGAGTAAGTTCATAAGAACAGTTGGTGTATTTCTAAAGCGGCGTGAACATTGCCCGGGTGCCGATTGATTTATCGAGTCCCCCGGATAATATGGATCTATGTATGGCTTGGGGTAATAGAAGTTGAAATTAAAATAAAAAAAAATAAAAATTATAAAAAAAAAAAATTGGTATTCAGATATTGATCATTTGTCTAAATTGATTGTACTAGTATCTGCTTCGCATCTCCATAGCTTTACACAAAATAAAGGTGCTTGTATAGACTTTGTGTGTCCAAGTTGGCTTGAACGGAGTCAATAGTAACATTGGAAGAGCCCTCATCCACTTAGTAGGCTAGCATGCCTATTGTAAATGAATTCCCTTCTCGATCTCTCTTCTGTCTTGCTTTTTCAATCAAGACAGACAGTGTCAAAATCACCTTGATTCTCCATTCTTCTCCGTAATCATCGTTCAATTTCAAAACTCCACCTTACGTGTACCAGGCGCAGCCCCGACATAGACTGCATGAATATCCGAAGATTTAGTATCGCATAGGCCCAATTGTAACTTGCCTGAGCCAGGAGAAGCTAGTGTATCTGATTCTATTTCTTTCCATAGAAAGTGGCGCATATGCTCTTCTTTTCCTTGGTCGCCAGAGATGCTTGTCCAAGGCATAGACCAATAGTGACCTTTTTCTTGCGATAAGATCATTTTCAATTTTGAGCGGCCACGAGGGAGGATTTGGATCTGAGATTTCAGAAATTTGTTGAAATTGCAGTTCCCCAAGGCAGGCTTTTCTTTATCAGGGGCAGGGTATAATGCCAGATCAGTGTGGTCACTGAAGGTGCCACTGATATCAACATAGTAGAGAGGTATCTCCTGGTTGCGTTTGCCGTAGATCTTCATATTGATGCGAAGAAGTCCGGTCCGCGTGAAGATGAGCTCATGGTCAACTTCAAGTCGATCATTTTGGAAATTTGGTTCAATGTCCATGGAGCGGTTCCAAGATGAAGCTGCCACCTAGTAGATTCGCTTGCCCAGTGGTATTTAGTTGATCCAGTCCCAAGTGAGGTCCTAGTAGCACTGTATTGCCAGTGCCAGTGCTTCCAATCAAGCTTCTAGTTGTTACTAGAAAGATGGCAACAGACTCGACTCAGATGTAGTATGGATGCTCGAATGAAAAGACTCGAATTCTTCAAGTTGGAGGTTCCAAGGTTGAACTTGCACCCGTGGACGTGGCCACTGGCAGTAGTAGCGATACTAGTATGATGTACTATATTTATCTGATGGCCGGGTTAGTACGTAGTAGTATTAGCACTAGAACCTTCAAGTTGCAATTGAATGCTGCACCTAATAAATGAGGCTGAGTCTGAGCTTCCAAGGTTGCCAAGATAGATGAGCCATCTTGTCCGTATAGTACTGCCTTTGTTTCCCTGACACTCAGTAGATGATCTTTGAACCAAGAGTGGCTTTGATTGCATGTGTGCGGGCCAATGCTCAACCGGTAAGGAGGAGAAAAGCGGGGACATGCGTGGCAGTCTAAAGACATATCACATTGCCCACCTTTCAAATGTTATGAATCTTGAATTATATTACTGCAAGCTTGAGAGAGATAAACAAACATTTGAAAACCACAAAGCCGATTTAGAGCCATTCTCATCAACATATCCGAATTGAACTGTGGATGACAGTCGCGTGAGTATCTATGCTGTCGATGTCATGTGACTCAAATCGATTACGATAAGGTCAGGTGATATATACTGAGTCAGCGAATTCCACCAATCAGCGACTGTCCTCTGTCCTTTCAGAATGGAGTAATGTCAATACATCCAAGAGGTCGAGGTGCTTCAATTGTTCAAGACTAGCTCATCGAGATTCCCTAAGGTACCAAGGGCACTCGGATTGATCAACTGGTCCAGGTATGTCTAGCATAAAATTTGCTTCAAACCCTTTGTATCCTCCCATCTGAACACGCAATTGAATTCATCCGAACAACCATACAGCTTGCGCGTTCTAGCCGGACTTTAGCTAACATCCATTTCTCCAACCCTTCAGACTACAATCTTACCACACACTCTTGCTTCAGGTCTGGCGACTTGTATGGTCGTCAATTGCCTGGCGAGATGCCCGCAAAGTCGCGATTCACGAGGCTAGACGCCTTCGCCAAAACCGTCGAAGATGCGCGTATTCGCACCAACTCCGGTGGTATCATCACAATCGCCTCATTGCTTGTGGTCTTGTGGCTGGTCTGGGGAGAATGGGCGGATTACCGTCGAGTTGTGGTTGAGCCGGAGCTGATTGTTGACAAGTCGAGAGGTACGATCTATACCGGATTACTAGCTCTCGAATCTCTTTGAGACATTACTAACATTGGATGTTGCGAATAGGTGAGCGAATGGAAATTCATTTGAATATGACATTCCCCCGATTGCCCTGTCAGCTTTTGACACTGGATGTTATGGATGTGTCCGGTGAGCAACAGGTCGGTGTTGCGCATGGTGTGAACAAGGTTCGTCTGGCATCTGCCGCGGAGGGTGGAAATGTCATTGACGTCCAATCCTTGGATCTGTAAGTTTTAAACCGTTTAACCAGTGGGTTCAAGTCGCTAATGACTCAATTCATAGTCACTCCCCCGCCGACGCTGCCGCTCACTTGGACCCAAACTACTGTGGTGAATGTTATGGAGCCATCGCACCAACCAATGCGATCAAGGAGGGCTGCTGTAACACTTGCGACGAAGTGCGCGAGGCCTATGCTCAGAAGTCATGGGCTTTTGGTATTGGCGAGAACGTGGAACAGTGTACCCGGGAAGGCTATGGCGAGAAACTGCAGGCACAGCGCCGTGAGGGATGCCGAATTGAAGGTGTTCTGCGAGTCAACAAGGTGGTTGGTAACTTCCACATTGCTCCTGGTCGCAGTTTCACAAACATGAACATGCATGCTCACGATCTCGAGAACTACTTCCTCGACAGTGCTTCATCCCCCGAGAACATGCATACCATGACCCATGAGATCCATGAACTCCGATTCGGTCCCCAGCTACCAGTTGAGCTCTCGGAGCGCTGGCAGTGGACTGATGACCACCACATCAACCCGCTCGACGGCACCTCCCAGAAGACTGATGTGCCCGACTATAACTTCATGTACTTCTTGAAGATTGTTTCGACTTCCTATCTGCCCCTCGGCTGGGACCCGAGCTTCTCTTCTGCTATCCACAGTGCCTATGATAAGGCACCTCTGGGCTCCCACGGTCTTGCTTATGGCTCCCAGGGTAGCATTGAGGCTCATGAATACTCCGTCACCTCGCACAAGCGTTCTCTTAAGGGCGGTAACGATGCTGCCGAGGGCCACGAGGAGCGTACTCATGCTGCCGGTGGTATTCCTGGTGTTTTCTTCAACTACGATATTTCCCCAATGAAGGTTATCAACCGAGAGACTCGTCCCAAGACCTTTACCGGATTTTTGACTGGTGTTTGTGCTATTATTGGTGGTACTCTGACCGTCGCTGCGGCTTTGGACCGTGGTTTGTATGAGGGTGGTATGCGTATTAAGAAGATTCACTCGAACTAGAGGAATTTCACTCTAGCCTTTGTCAGAAAACAAAAGAGAGTCGAGAATATTGTATTCTCGCTCTGTTCGTTTGATCATTCGGCATTTTCAGTGTCTGCAAGCATGTGGAGAGCGGCGGCTTGAAGTTGGCACTTGTGGCGTTTTTGGGATACCTCTATACATTGATTTTATTTGCGTCTTTTTTTTTTACTGTGGTTATGTATGTATCCCTTCATCAAATATAACAATGGTTCCTCAGTCGGAATATTATTGGAAGTGGTGTAAAGCAGCAGGATGTCGAGCCTGTGCTTCGTAGTATTATAGTATATGCAGTATTAAGAGTACATAGTGTCGTAAGTGTCTTGCCCTGAGGTTCACCACCGTAAGAATCATAAACAGAAGTGGCGTCGTGGTGTCACATATAAGGAAAGATATTAAATCAAGTAATGATGGGAAATCACAAAGAAGAAGGTAAAAAAGCCGGGTGCTTGAAGGTCGGAGACACTAGTCCAGATCCCATGGATCCAGCTTCTTGGTCATTTGTGCATCCTCGTATTCATCAGAGGATTCCGGCTGAAGAGGGAAGCTGAAGTCGTCTTCGGTAGGAGGGGATCTGACAGAGGACTGCGGCTTGGACCGAGCAGCAGTGATAGTGGGCCTGGCGGCAGGGCTGATGACAATTCGCGCAGCGATGTGAAGCAGAACAATGAAAAGATGAATCGGTGGAACCAAAACCAGAGCTAAAGCCTTTGAAATGAGGGCAGCAGCTTCCTCGCCTGGGGTAGGCTGATAGATGGCAGAAGCAGGTGGCATTGGAGAGACATCGCGCGATCTAGTTGCCTGTGCTCGGCGACGGAATTCGGTACTCATGTGATTGCGATCCGTGGGAGAAGTGCTTAACGAAGGCTTTGGTAGATCCTCCCGGGCCATTTGATGCTTGGACAATGAATATTTGTTCGTTGTCGAGGGCCTATCGGATGTATTGTTGTAAATTGATGATGAGGCACTGCTGACCACGTCGGATGATGAAACCGAGCTTGCTCGTGGAGACAGCAAGGTATTCTTGTCATAGACTGCCGCGTATTTCTCGACATTGCCAGTGGCATCCATAGAGGCTGTGTGGATCGGGCCTGAAGGAACCGAAGAGTTGAGATTTGCAGAATGGAAGGATTCCGGTGTGGAAGATGAAGAGTCACCAGGGCTGACGTCAGGCTTTGATTGAGCTCGTTGCTCAGTGACTTGGGTGAATTCCCCCTCAACTAAGTGCCAAGCATCGGAATAGACCGTGTTTGGATTGACCTCAGTCGATGCGTCTTGACTTTTGAAGGAGTCAATGAGCTCAAGTGGCTCGTCTTTGGATTTCGAAACCGAAATATTGGATCCAGCAACGGCTAGTGCAGGTTTAAGATGCTCCACTTCTGTTATCTGATCATATGGAATCATTCCTGGTAGGATATTGGTCTGTATGTTTGGATGCTCATTGGCTTCAGCAACGTCTGTAATTTCGCGGCTCATGCTAGCAGGACCACGATTTTTCTGGTCCGGCCTAGGTTCATGAAATCCACCATTGGCCTTGGGAAGAGTATCTTGTTCATTGACGGCCATAGCAGTTTCAACCTGGTCTTGCGGGGCCACTGTGGGCTTTCTTTCTTGAGTCCCACTTGTAGATGCATGATCTTCTGGAACAGCCTCGACGTGCTTGGATTGTTGGCAAGGAACCTCAACAGTGTCTTGTTTAGTGATGATCTCGTCAGATTCATCTCCGGCAGTTGTGTCATGTGCTTTAACCATGGTAGGTTTGTCTTGGTTTGTGATAATCACAGTAGGCTTATTGTCATTCGCCTTGGTAGTTTTGGCATTGATAATGACCTCTGTGGGTTCATCGTTTTTGGTTTTGGTAGTTTTGGCGCTGGTAATGACCTCTGTTGTCGGTGCATCATCCTTGGCCTTGTTTGTTTCGGCACTGGCAATGACCTCTGTTGTGGGTTCATCGTCCTTGGCCTTGGTAGTTTTGTCTTGGTCTGTGATAATCACAGCGGGCTCATTTTCATTCGCCTCGATAGATTGTATTTGTTTGGTAACGATCGCAGTCGTCTCATTTTCAATAACCTTGGTAGGCTCGTTTTGTTTGATGATAACATCACTGGAATCGCTGTATTTCGGCACAGTGTCAGCTGGCGTAGTTATCATGATTGGAAATTCAGATCCAGGCGCAGACTCCGTGGCAGATTGTTCTTCAGGAACTGGAGCAATATCAAACTTTGCGCGAATGCTCGTAAAGGTCTGCGGTGTTTCAGTAACTGAACGTCTGATTGGCATCAGATGAGAGAAAGATTCTGATGTATTGGGCGAGGGTGGTAGATCATTGACTGGCAAGTTTTCCAAGGGAGCCTTATCGGATCGTTCAGGGGTTACAGCACTATCATCAGTGGCCGCTCCATCAGTCTCATCACCAGTACTGACAGAATCGGGCCAATCCGATTTTGGCTCAAGTAAACTCTGATCGCCCCGTGCAGATGCAGCTACGCCCTCTTTTCGGCCCTTTGGTCGCCAGGCCTTCTTGCGCCGAGGCGCCGTAGCTTCCTCAGGGAGCTCGACGGTGAACGCTCGCTTGAAAGGACATGGCGTGACTTCATATCGAAGAACCGTAGGCAGCGCGGATTTTAGATCCTCCACGAGCTCTTTATTCTCCTCGGGTTCATTGGGTATTTCGATGCGATAATAGGTAAGAGGGCGGATGCGCAGGACAAATTTCGAAACCCCATCCACACACCAGCACTGGGAGTTTTTCAAAATCGCCTGGACCACATTTCCACATTTCAGGAATACTGTCAACCCATGGACCCGTTCAAGTCTCAGTGGCGCAGTTGCGACGGTTCGCTCCGTGGCAGAGCGCCAAGGGAGGGTTTCGATGGTATCGACAGGATAGTCAAAATCAGACGGCGCGGAGCTCGATGGAATCGGTGCTAGAGCCCTAGGAGCAAAATGGACTATTTTCGCGGACGGATGATAGAAAATGACGTTGTCTGCATGGCTTGGATTTGGCGCGCCCGAACCGCGTGTCGACTGCGAGATTAACTTCGTGGGGAGAGTAACCGAACGACGGATGGCTTGAATCTGACCCAAGGAATCAGAAGAATCGGTCATTGTCATGGATGGACAAAGCGACGCCACCGTGAGGCGATCACATTTGGTGGTTAGAACTCGAGGGGGGAGGTTTCACTTATCGTAACTTGCGATCTTTCTGCGCGGGGAGGAATAATAGTCCTGCCTGAGGCACCGCACACCCATGTGACTTGCATGACGCAGCTGCACCTTTAATAAAACGGTGCCTGGAACAAATTATGATCTTTCCTTCTCCTTTTATTTTCATTTTCAATCTTTACAACATTCACTCGCACCAGAATCGGTTATTACTGCACACAGCCCAATTTGGCCGGACATGCCGAGCTTCGAGCCTAATGCCGTGATTCGCGGCTTCCAGCTCACCGTAGTAGGAAGTATGTCACATGTGTCCCTCAATCCGCAATGTCCGCATGCAACGATCAACAGTTGCAATTAAGAAGAACTACCATTTCACTGCTTCAACTGTCTCCTCGGGACCTCCGGTTGCAGAGTGTCTCCCTGTGGGGCTTTAAATGGAGATGGTCGTGGGCCTTGACCAGTACATATGGAGTACCTACAACTGGTGCCTGGTTCAAGGCCCACAAGAGCAGTTACTAATTTGGACTGCAAATTTGACCAGGCCCCTTTAATTGATCTCCGAGACTGACGAGTATTGTAACTATAGCTGTTCGAGCTCTGAAAAATCCGGACCTTTTCAAGCATGAACATTTCCGTCAAGCAGCTCTGGCTGTTGCAGTTGGAATTGTCATCCAGCTGATTGTTCAAATCCCAGTATGTCCCGAAATTGCAGCTTATACTACTGGCTCACATGGATAGTTGAGATTCTAACTATCATGTATTAGATTATTGGCCTCAAATTTATCTTGTACCTTCTCTCGTGGATCATTGATCTAGAAAGTGCAACATGGGACAACGATCTTCTAAGTGGACTAGAGTTCTTGTCCAAATCTGTTCTGCAGGTCCCATTCGTACTGATGGCTTTAATGGGCCACCTCACTCCGACACTTGATGAGATGTGAGTTTTCCAAAAGGGAAAAGAAGTCAACCTATTAGAAGCTCTGCTAACCCAACGTAGCTTTATGCAATCTATCCACTGGGTGGACAGTACATACATTCAGAAGCACAAGTCTGAGGACCCCAACACCTTGCGTGCGATGTACTACCCCAATCTGCAGCTCTTTCCAACCAAGGGCGGTCCTCGTCAATCACGCCCTAAGATGGAGATCTTGTTGGCCTTTGCCAATCGCTATGGCAAGAAACTTGCGCTCGGACTAGGAGTCTACTTCCTATCCATGGTTCCTATCATTGGACGATTCGTGATGCCAGCGGCCAGTTTCTATACCTTCAAATCCAATGTTGGCACCGGTCCGGCTGCAGCTATCTTCGGTGCTGGTCTGGTTTTGCCTAAGTCATACATTATTCAATTCCTGCACACCTACTATGCATCCCGAAGTCTGATGCGTGAGCTTGTGAGTTTGACCTAATTACCTTGACAACCATTATTGGTCTAACACTATATCAAGCTCGACCCCTATTTCCGTCGTATCAAGTTTACCCCGGAGCAAAAGATCCGCTGGTTCCGTGACCGTGAGGGCGTTCTATTCGGCTTTGCCTTTGCCTTCACTGTTGTGCTGAAGACTCCTTTCATCGGTGTCCTTATGTATGGAATTGCCGAAGCATCTACAGCATACCTTGTTACCAAGATCACCGACCCACCACCATTCCCTGCAGAGAGCGAGGACTTTGCTGAGAGCCAAGTCACCTGGAAGAACAAACACGACTTCCTGCGTCTGTCGCTTGACAACCTGGACAAGCTGAATGTGGCTATTGAGGAGAAGACACCTTCTACTGATGGAAAGAAGTTTTCTTGATCAACCCAAATGTTTCCTCGGAGAATGTAGACCTGGCACCTGGGCAGTTCTGGAAAATTTTAGACTCAAGAGGTCCTTGAAGAGTATTGAATAAAACCTTGAAGAATGCATAGCGCTCAATTTGTTACCATCGAATAGCATGATACTAGTGTACTAATACACGGTTTAGAATGATTTTCTTTTTCCAAAAGCTAAAATTTTTTATCATATCTATGAATGGTGTCACAGAATTTATCATCTGGAGAGAATACAATAAAATAATAATGATAGGAATAAATAGTTGTGTCTATACTATGTTCCCACTAACTATAAGTTGTACTTTAGTACATAGTCGATTCGCTATGTAGCGGGGCCGCCGATCAATGACGCGCCAAGCCCCGACAACTTTTTAATCCGCTTCAACTACTTGATCTACAAGACTCATTAGCTGCCACCATGGCCTCCAATCCTGCCAAGAGGAAGCCCTTTGGCAACTCGGGACCGCAAGCGTCTACGGGCGCATCTCGAAAGCGCGCAAAAACATTTGATGCTCGCACCCTCGCTGTGCAATCAACCGACGCTGCCCTCTCGGTGACAGGCGAGTTAGATGTGGACGCCTATGCCTCTGCCCGTGCATTCGAAATACAGGCCCTCGAAAAGGGGATTCAACGTTCGAAGGATGCCAATACAAGCAGAGCTTTTCAGAAAGTGCCGCGTTCTCTGCGGAGGCGGACAGCGAGTCATAATGTGAAACGGGTTCCGACGAGGCTGAGGGCGAGAGCGAAGCGTGAGGTACGATTTTACTCCACAGAGGAAGAGACCCAGACCATGTCTAACGTAAAGCCTTTTTTAGATGGCCGAAGATAAAACGCCGACCGTTACTGCGCGTAGACGAAAGCCCACGCAAATAATGCGCATCCGCCTCGAGACTGCTAGACGTGCGCAGAACCTCAATGCCAAGTCGAAAGCACGACGTGCAGCGAAAAAGGGCGAATCAGACAAAGAGACTAGCAAGAAGCTAAATGCTGAGGGTAGTCATTCTTTCAACACTGCGCCGAGAATACCCAAAATCAAAAAGAATAAGCTTTCAAGGCCACCTCCACCTGAAGCTAAGTACCGCAAGCGTCAGCAATCCAAGACTTGGCTGCCGACACACATGTACCATGCGAAGCGCGCACATATGGCGACGACCAAAAATCCGATTTGGCGATTTGCAATTCCCGTCTCGCCCACTGAGAAAAGTTATAGGCCGACCCATAGAGCGCGTGGGTCTCGAGGTGCAGTCGCATGGGATATGAGCTATATGTCTACCATTCAGCTTGAGGGAGTGGAGCAGTGCATTGAAACTGTTTTGCGAACTATCGGTGTTGTTGGAGATGAGGCATGGGCTACTAAAGGGAAGAAATGGAGGGCTGGCACTCGGTCACTCTCTGCGTGGACATACGAGAGCAATGATTCTGCAAGACCGATCGCACCTGTGACTATGGTCTGGCGTGTACAGGAAACCCCGGAAGATGTTGAGATGGCCAACAACGATCAAGATAAACCAAAACAGCCACGACGGAAGCTTTGGATTCGTGTTCACCCGTCTGCATTCCTGCAACTGTGGACTGAGATACTTGAGATATCCAAGCTTCAGAACCCCAGTGTCATGGTGGAAGACTTGAGATTTGATATTGGAAGTATTGAAATTACAGGCCCGGGATCCGTCGAAGCATTGCTCAGTGCATTGAGACCAGTTCTCACTTCGGATGGCAAATCTCCAGAGCCTGAGAGTCCAGAGACTGTCTGGTCTTCTTTGCTGGGCGTATCAAATTCATCATCACTCCCGCAGAATGCCCTTCTATCCTTCTCCATCTCAGACCCCCGCATCCAATTCCCACCGCAAATTCTCCGGGTTCCTGACACTGAGTCCCACATGAATGATCTGGCTATGTTACTGGCCAATTGGTCTCCAGATCGAACGCAAGGACCTCCTGCTATTTTCGAACGGTCAAGTCGTCTAGCAGCTGCACGCCAGCTACCTAGCCAGAAAGCCATCAACCGCCGCCGCACAATTGCTGGCCCAGGCATTCATCCCGCTCCCCAGTCCAATGACCCGCAAATTCCAGTTATGGTACTTGCAAATCGGCCACAGGCTTCCTCCAAGGGAACGAGCGCACCGGGGTCATGGACTGTGCTATTACCTTGGAAGTGTGTTGTTCCAGTTTGGTATTCGATCATGTACTGCCCGCTCTCTAGCGGAGGAAACCCACGTTTTGGTGGCCTGAAGGAACAACAACAGCTCGCCTTTGAAGCAGGTGAAGCATGGTTTCCGGGTGACTTCCCTGGCACCCGTGCTGGTTGGGAATGGGGCCAGAAGGAAGCAGAAAAGGCTCAAAAGGACTGGGAAAGAAGACCTAAGGGTCGTCGAGTGGAGTTTGACAGTCTAAATTTGGGCGATAGTCACCCTAAGGGAGAAATCGGAGATGGATGGGCATGTGACTGGAAGAGACTTGCCCAGGGTTCATCGCATGACGCAGCGGAAAAGACTACGTCGACCCAGGACACAGAGTCGGACGAATTGCCCTGTCCACCTCTCAATCTCCAAAATATCCGATACCCTCCTAACAAGACGGACCGCACCCTCAGCCATCTCTCTAAATCACCTCCTGGCTCTGGCGCGCTTGCCTCCGTACACATCACACTCTCCAGTCGTGGAACACCCACTCCATGTGCCCGCATTTATCGTCTCCCTGCAGACTCTTTGCAGCGCCAAAAATGGCTTGCTTCGTCCTCATCTAAAGATAAGAAAAATGGACGCCAAGGCTCTACATCATCCGATGATGAAGTAAGACGCCAACTCGCACAATCACTTATATCGACTTTTACGTCAGAGAATGATGCATCAAATCATTTGGAAGTTCCCAAAGAGGATGATCTCATAGGATTCGTCACTTCTGGAAACTACAACCTTACAGAGGGCAAGGGAACTGCCATTGGGTCGATTTTATTGTCAAAGGTTCTGACACATGATGTCGCCAAGCCGCACGAGAGGAAAATGTGTATCGTCCGTACTGCCGGAGAGAAGATTGGACGATTAGGATTGTGGGAGCTGGTTTAAATGTTGAAATCCTGTGCCAGCTAGATACATAGAGCATATTCTTGAATGATCATGAATGGATACGAATCATCCCAGACCCAAGCTCTTTAGCACTAAGAATAAACTGTAGACCCGCGAATCGGTAGTTGCTACTGGGTAATCTGGAAGTCCTCTAGGCTCCCTGCTACTACTGATCCAAAAACCACATTCCACATAGCAGTAGATGATCATTCGAAACCAATTCCATTCCATGCATTTTTCATGGCGAACAAAAAGCACAATCTATACATACAGTACAGCAGCCCCGAGTAGTAAATAAACCAAAACAAGTAATATGGGATCTTTATGCAGGCCACAATTCCAAAGCTGCGGTATCATCGTATGGGGAGGTAAGAGAGATAATGAGACCCAGTCAACAAAGACCTCCTCTAACCCACAATACGATCCACAAAGGCGGCCTCCATCCTGGCAACCTCCTTCTTAAAAGCGTCAACCTCCTTCCAGCAGTCCAATGGTCGACGATCATTCAGTCGCAGACAACCAACAACATCGGCCTTGGCCTTCTCAACACCCTCATCCAAATCAAGCAGCTTGCGTCGTCCATCCAGCTGGGCGCGCAGCTTCTCGACATCGCTCATAACAGACTTTGACGAAACATCACGCTTGAGTCCTTCTTGTGGCTGCTCCTGCTGCTCAACGGGTGCAGTGAAAGTAGGAGCATCGTGTTCGCGACCAGCGAAGGGAATTCGGGGCGCATCAAGGTTCAGCGATCCGACGGTGTAGCCGTTTTTGCGTGCGACTGGGGCTGTAGCGGCGGTAATGGGGAGGGAGCCTGTGTCCTTTGACTCGGAAAGACGCCTCTCGATCTCAGCGAGGGTTTGCTGTTCGCGTTCGTGGAGGCGCTTCAGCTCTGCGGCGACGCGGTTTTGGATTTCGAGTTCGACGGCCTTAGCGCGGGATGCGTCGGTCTTTATAGTATTTTGTGAGTTTTTGTAGTTCTCAGAATGAGATTTTGAATTGAATTGATATGATCTTGAGAGTGGCTTGAATTGGGAAGCATAGATGGGGTAATTGATGTGTTGTATGGTGGGTATCAACTAACGTACCTCGCCGTTGGACTGGAGGGCATCGACTAGGTTGGAGGAGAACTGGATGGGAGAGTTGCTATATCTGCATTAGCATGGATTTCTGTTCGTATCCCATCATGCTATCGGTAAATCGAGGCAACCAGAAGCCGAGTACCATGGCAATTGATAATCCCCGGGTGATGCTTAGCCACCGGAGGCGGTTGTTTCGTATCCCGATAGGACTTCGGAGATCTTGTGAGTTATAGGGAGCCATACCTGGAGAAGACATGCTTGGAGTCACCCGCAGCCTCGGGCTTAGAACTACCAGCACCCATGATTGTAAATGATCGTGATATCAAATCGGATCTAGAGAAGGGCGTGAGAGATGCGGTTCACCCGAAGCTCCGATACTTCGGGTCACGTGTGATTAGTCAACTATTTACCAGTTGGGAGCTCTAACCTTGGAACTCGTCAACTGGTCAAACTCACATTTGAAGGTTCACATACTCAACTGCATAGGCGAATGTTTACCCCAGGCTACTTTGAGAGACCTAACGAGGTAGGCTCATGGAAATAAGAAAGAAAAATAGAATTCTTGATGAATCAGATAGATGTAATCCAACTGAACAAATGCTAGATCATACCCGAGTAGTTGAAGAGCCTATGCTACAGATTCCCACTTGTTCACTTGGCCCCATTAACAGGTTGAATTGTTCTTTTGCAGATTCTAGACTTCTGCATTCAAATACCAACCATGCATTCTACATGTATGGTACTCCATATGCGATGTCTGTATGACGTGCATGGCACTCGGTACTTCGGGAACCTTAAAAACAAGGCTCTTTGTTCTCCATGTGTCCGAGCTTCACACTGTTTCTGTTTCTGTTCTACAGAACCATCTAATACAGAAAGAGATGTCTCAGTGACGTGGATCTTCAGATTGTCACATTGTAATTAAAGGGATTTTCATCTCTTACTACCTGTGAAGCCAAGCATTTCCATTCCTACGTTGAAGAACTGAAATCTCGTCCTCGGTTTCGTCATTGGTCCTAGCTAGATTAGGATCATCCACCCGTTCTTCTGTAGAAGACAATTCTATTCCCCGACCTTTAACGCGCGAATCCACTCATTTAATAATGAGAACTAAGCGTTAGTTCTCGGGATTCCGCCCACTCGGGCTGCGCAATCCACCCGATTTCTTGTCCGGGAGCCGAATGTGTGATGCCGACCATGCCGACAATCCCCCGAATCACCAGCTTTATGAATGGCGGGATGGTTTCTAACTTCCAGGTATAGACCTATAGCACAGGGATCTTTATGTCAGATCGGACAAGGACCGGGCAACTTAGCCCGTGCACCTGCATGCGACGCTGCACAGCAGGGTCATCCTTCCCCATGATTCCTCAACTCTTCCGTGCCCTGTACGAATTCCCCCGACCTCCCGCTTCCCTTTAACCACTGTCGCTCACCGGTGAAGTCGGGGAAATACGTGCCATGGAGAGACATTGGACCAGTGCCAGCCATTCCCCACATCTTCTCCGTGGTTTCAAGAGAAGAAATTGATGCCGTCATGCGACAAGAAAAAAAAATACAAAGATAGTCAAACAAATATGACTGAGAACGTCTGATGTACATTTATTATAGTACAAAAGTGAGTGATGTATGACATTGATCAACCCTGCCGTGGAATGTGAGCAATATGCACCTGCATTCGGAACAATGACCTTCTATTCTAGACAACATTGAAAGAAAAAAGAGCCGATCAATAGAACCTTATAATAATAATAATAAGTAAATAATACACAATTACTGCTAATTACCGAAATAAGACCTTAGATCATACCTAGAACCAAGACCCCTCCGGCGAACCCGGTGTTTCTGAAGAGGGAAATACGTAGTTGATTCCCAAAACCCGCAATCGACCGCCAAGGTAAAACCTGTCATGGTGAAAGCCCCTCCCACTTTTTTTCTCTTGATATATCTCTTTCAAAATTCTATCCCTCATCTTCTTATTTCTCCCGGCCTTACTATTCTTTCTACCCTCCGTGCCGGTTTTCTCTCTCTTCCATACCCCCACCATGTCCTCCCCGCTATTGTCAGAAGCCACGCGCATTGCGCGTGAGTTCGATTACCCCGCCGCCGAGGTGCAGCGCGGCGTCGCCGAGTATATTCGCCAGTCAAATGAGGGTTTGGCTAAGGAGAATACTACTCTGAGCCAGATTCCAACCTTCGTTACTGCAGTTCCCAATGGCACAGAAAAGGTATTACAGAAATATCTCACTTCCGCCACTGGCAGCTGGCACCAGTTCAGCGCAACTCTTACTCTCCAATGAATCCCATACTGATAACATGTCTTAGGGTCTGTACCTGGCTGTTGATTTGGGTGGCACAAACTTCCGTGTTTGCTCCGTTCAGCTACATGGCGATACTACCTTCTCCCTCACCCAGTCCAAGATTATGATCCCGCGGGAATTGATGGCCTCGGGCACTTCCAAGGATCTCTTCACTTTCCTAGCACGCCAAATCGAGGCTTTCTTGCGCATTCATCACAACGAGCATTTCGAGGCCCACCAGCGCCGACGACGAGAGGGTAATGAGGAGGAGGATTTGTTTGATCTCGGATTCACTTTCAGTTTCCCTGTCCGTCAACACGGAATCAACTCTGGTACCCTGATCCGATGGACCAAGGGTTTCAATATTCCTGACGCGGTTGGTCACGATGTCTGTGCGCTGCTTCAATCTGCTATTGACGACCTTGATCTGCCCGTCCGTGTGGCTGCTCTGGTCAACGACACTGTGGGTACGCTGATGGCCCGCTCATACACCTCCCCCGGCGAGACTGGAACTCTTCTGGGTGCTATCTTTGGCACTGGAACCAACGGCGCATATGTTGAGAAGCTCGAGAATATTAGCAAGCTCCAACACATGAAGCATTCTCACTACGACACCCACACCGGAGAGATGATTATCAACGCAGAGTGGGGTAGCTTTGACAACCAACTTGGTGTCCTGCCTTGCACTGTGTACGACCGCGACCTGGATGCTGATAGCAACAACCCTGGTATCCAGATGTTTGAGAAGCGTGTCTCGGGTATGTTTTTGGGTGAGATTTTGCGCCTTGCTTTGCTCGACCTGCACAACAACGCCTCAGTGGGACTTTTCAAGGCCAGCACCACATCCAAGGCCTCAGTGCCCTCCGACTCTCTGTTCTACCGTCAATGGGGTCTGGATACCAGCTTGCTGAGCATTGTCGAAGCCGATACCACCAAGGACATGAAGGACATCAAGGTTGCACTGAAGGACCACCTGAACATCGAGAATGCCAGTGATGAGGACTGCCAGGCCGTCAAGATCCTGACTCACGCCATTGGAAAGCGTGCTGCCCGTCTCAGCGCTGTCCCTCTTGCAGCCATTCTGATTCACACCGGCAAGCTCGACACCGATGACATTGTTGATGTTGGTGTTGACGGCAGTGTGGTTGAGTACTACCCTAACTTCGAGGGCCACCTGCGCGATGCTCTGCGCGAGGTCCCTGAGGTCGGTCTTGTTGGTGAAAAGAAGGTCCGCATTGGAATCTCCAAGGATGGCAGTGGTGTTGGTGCTGCTTTGATTGCCTTGGTTGCTAGCAAGGACGAGACCATGCACGCCCCTACTAAGAAATGAATGGGACCTGCATAGTTGAATTCCGTTCCGCTGTATCGAGTCTACCATACCATACCTTCATGATTTATTCCATCGGGTGATTATCTCTACTGGCTGGGCCAGTCTTGAGTTGAAGTTGAGATCATCTGGATGAAATCGCATGAGCCTACTTTCGCTCTATGCGACTCCAGATTCATACCCCCTACCTCATACGCCACTTCTATCCCCTTCAACTACCCTTTCTGCACAAATTCCTCAACCAAAGTTCCTGCTTCTAGCACTGCAAAAGTGCCAAGGAATGAGCAGTGTCCCTTGGAATCAACAATTTACGCGCCATGCCCCTTTCTTTCGTCTTTCCGTTGATTCTGCTATTGCCTCGCTCTAGTAGCAGAATGTACCATTAGCTTTGATTTGATCTTCAAGGAGTTGCGCCTTGGCGCGGGAGGGCATCGTATCTCAGTACATTTTTTGCATCTGGCTCATTTACGATTGAATACACGGAAATTTAAACCACCGATTTCTCTCCAAGTAGTGTAGTAAATAAAGTAAACCGACTTGCTACTACTAGTTTGGACCAGGGACACTGGTAGATTCTGTATCAGTCCGAGTCTGAAGACAATACTATCCATCCATCTGATAATTTGACAGCTATTTCCCGAGGTCAATTTCATTCCATTAAAGGTAAAACCGCACTGGATTCTAGATGCCTCTATATCGCTCAGATCATACAAGATTCGCTGAAATCAACAAATAGGAAAAGACTAAACAACTGCATAAAGACTAAGATAAATGCCCCAGATCACACCACAGGCACTTCCAAAAACGACTCGACGATCCACTGGTATAACAGTGTACATCAGAGTAGAGACAATAGGGCGGTACTTCAACCTGGCAATCATGATAGGTCGGAAATCCTGAAATAAAATCAGTATCTGCATAGAGGAATAGCAAAGGGCAAGAGTAAAACATAAAACATACCAGCAAAACCAACTCCCATAAGCGTTGGAGGCTCTCTCCCTTGAGAAAATTAATCAAAACAACAAACAACACAATATTCATAACACCCGCAAGTGTCTGATCAAAGATAAATTTCATGACGAAACTATGCAGCCCAGACTTCCTGGCTCGAGGGGCCCATTGTTCTTTATCTTTCTCCCTGTGTGACGGGAGTGTATCATCCGAAGACGAAGAAGAGAATAAGGAACGAATAAACGAAAAAGAAAATAAAGATTTCAAAGAACATGATCGTGATGAGCACCGAAATACATTGGCTATTTCGGCGCGAGATGGGAATCCAGGATATCGCGCCTCCAGGGCGCGTTGCCAAAAGAAATTGATCGGCACGATTAAAATGCCATATGTAACGAACTGGACCAGCGCCAACGAATTCAATGTGAATGAGTTCTATCGCTTGTTAGAGAATTATTCCGTCTGAACTTGGGATAAATAATATCCGAGGTCGTAATTGTGATGTGTGAGACTCACCGGACTGTTACGCTGGTCAATTAGTTGTGCAAGGATGTTGGATAAGGCATTGAGGAAGGTCGATTGAACGAACGTCACGGTCAGTGGTGACAGCATAATCGTAGAAGCATCGGACCAGCCATGTAAAAAGGCTTTGAAGCTTCGAGGCCTGGTTTTTGTTTTCAACCTTGGTAAATAGCTGGCCGTTTCTGAGATGCTGGGGGCCAAGTCGCGCAAACGTGTCCTGACTAAGCGGGTGAGATAAAGGGGCGGTGGATCCTCAAGGTACGATCTACATTTAACGAACACCTTTGTTTTAATCAAGAATTTAAGATTTGCATTTCTATTCAAGCGATAACCGTTTAACTAAATCACTGGACTAGTAGATCTTTTTTGAAATTCCACGTTGGGCCCATTCTTCGCACTGGTGAAATGGTCCACCAGTGCCAAATGTCCCCCGGCATCTTCACCCTCACGATCTGCCAACGTCATATCGAATAGAAACACCAATCGCGCTAATGTGAGCCGCATCTCCATAAATGCCATACTCTTCCCAATACATCCCCGAGGCCCAATACTAAACGGGCAGAATGCATGACGCGCTGTTTCCATCTCTTCCTTGGTCGTCTTCCACTTGGCCTCTGATGTCGAGTATGTAGCACCTTCGATCCAGCGTTCAGGTATGAACTTGTCGGCACTCCGATAATACTGTTCTTGACGATGAATCGAGTACACGGGTGTTCCGCAGTTTGTTCCAGCTGGAAGAAATACACCATCAACCATCGCACCACCCTCCATGACCTCGCGTGGAATTGCGCCTGGGACGGCGGGTGCCAGACGGAGTGCTTCATCAATACATGCTTTCAAGTAGACTAGCTCGTTCAATTGCGTGCCGCTGATGATCTCTTCCACTTGGTTAAATGCATCACGCACTTCGGCGACTAGTTTAGCTAGCGCTGATGGCGATCGAACGAGGTAGAATAATGTGGCAGCGAGCGTCGTCGAGGTCGTGTCGCTTCCAGCGATCATGAGTACGTTCGCTTCGCCCCAGAGTTCGGGAGTACTGAGTCCCTTGCCTGTTTCGGGATCTTTGGCGTTGAGAAGGTAGTAGAAGAAGTCTTTCTTCGCTTCACGACCAGCTTGGGCTCGTTCTTGTGCGCGCTTGTTCGCTTCGACTCGGGAATTCATAATGAAATTCCAGCGGTCTTGGGTCAGTTGTCGGATGAAGATTTGATCGAGATGCCATCGGTCTAAAGGCATCCAGAGACCGCACTGTAATTCGAAGATTAAATTAGAATTGAGTCGCGTTTCAATGACTGCTTTCAACTTGAGCATACCACATAGTGCCGATTCGCAGCACGATCCACCAATTTGACCATATGTCTTCGTCCATCTGCAACAAGCATATCGAAGCTCTTCCCAAAACATAACTCCCCCATCACGTCATACGAAAGATAACTGAACCAATTTCCCATGTTCCGCACCACACCCTTAGACTCGGATGTTTCTTTCTCACTAACACTGTACCCAGCAAGAGAAGCACAAAGCTGCCGCACATGAAGAAGCATCACATCTTCCATACCCTTCAGCGCAGCCTCTGAGAACGCCTGACTGAGCACACGTCGCTTGCGCCCATGCGTTGTCTTATCAATAGCATTGTGTGTATTGTAGACGCCCTTGATAGCCGGGAACGCATTATAGAAATCCGCTTTCTGGAGCCGCTTACCATGGCCGTAAATATCATGGAGACCACGGTCGCTATTCACTGAGATGAAATTCGGTGCAACCCGTACATGGGTTCCGTATTCTTTGTGTAGCTCGTGTAGCCAGAGATGTCGGTCTCCTTTTAGACCGTGGTACAACTGTACCCAGGGTGTCAGTGATGCGAGGAATGGACCTGGGATACGACGGAGTGGATGGACGAAGCGGTTATAGAGAATGTAGGCGATTGTCTGTATATTTAGAATTACGTTAGTTAAATGAGGCTTGATTAGACTCGGTTTGTATGCATGATCGACGCATGCGGGCGCTCAATATCGAATCTTATTAATTCAAGTTCAAATTGATCACTTACCAAAACGCCCACCACCGCAGCCAAATCCACTCCTATTCTGTGAAGAGTTAAAGAATTTAATACCGGTTCAACGATCATCGTGGTTGATGTCTGTTCTCAACGTCATTTGATGTTAGTTGTAATGCTTATCTTTGATTGGAATGAGACTTTATACTAATTCTCTTTGTTCCGCCGAGGTTACCCGCCCCCAGCCGTAACTCGGTATCAATGACGAGGGGTTCCGCGTGCCCCCAAGTTTTATACCTTGGAATGTTGGATTTTATGGGGAACTTGAATGAGGGGAGATGTATCTGACTGCCTGTGGCGGATAATCGCGGCTGTTTATGTTTCACTCCTGTGCGATTTGCAATTCGTGGGAGATATGCACGTTGACAGTTGTACAAGTTATGTCTCAAGTCATAATTTCTCCATTCAACCTTAGAAGTTCAAGTTGAAGTAGTCGGATTACATAGGTTCTTATAATACTACCTAGGTATTTCTGGGGCCGACCTACCTACTAGAAAATCCCAGGATCCCATTAGTTGGTCTTGGGAGTTTTCAAATGTTGTTGCCCTGATATTATGTACAGCCTGAGGTGTGTTTAGGTAGCGAAGTTAGTGATTCGGAGAGCCTCCAAGCTTGGAGCTACAACCGAAATTATTTTTACGCTACTGAAGCACTTGAGTTGGTCCTACCCCGAGACACTCAGAATTTCATTCATTGGACTCTGAATGAACTCAATTTTGACCAGGCAACTTGAAACATTGAATAAGCTATGATATTTTGAACATCAATTGATGGAAGATCGGCGAAGATTGGAATAGGTCCCTTGGTATTATTACTACTATCTCGCATAGGTATGTGTCATAACTGAAAATTTCAAAAGTAATCCCAAAAGGATAGGTACATATGTGACTGGATGGACATCTGGATGAAGTAGCCTTACCATAAATATGTAGAATCCATGGATGGAATCTACTAGTAGAACATCACATCCTTCAAGTTGGAATTGATTTGAACCATCATGGACGCGCCCTGGCGTAGAAGTCATATTTCGCGCCCGCGGATATTGCCCCGTACCTTCTGAGTAAGATACATATTGTGCAATTGGAGGTATCTGTTCTGCTCGGACGCATACTGTGGCATACTGAGAGTGGCGTAATCCCTGCCCAGTTCTTCAAATTGACATCTGCTCCATGGCCCAAGAGAATCCCAATTATAGAATATAAAGCTTGTGCGATTGCCGTGGTGAGTATTGTTTCTCCCTCATTATAACGGGAATTAGGATCTGCGCCACTTGTAAGAAGTCAATCAAAAACACTATCAATTCGATCATAATTAAAGCGCAGAGTGCGAAGAGCGTAAAACATGAGTGGTTCACCGCGACCAGTCTTCAAGTTGGGATCTGCCCCATTTTGAAGTAGCAGCCTCAAATACATGAGATCAGTCGAAGTATCCTTAATCGCGTAATGGGTTGCAGAAAATCCTTTCTTGTTCTTCAAGTTAGTCTGCTCCTTTGCTCAAAAGAAAAGTCGTCATAGGGAGGAACTGTCCGCGGACTGCAAGAAAGAGCACAGTGTCTCCGACTTCATCCTGCGCATCAACACATGCTTCGTTCTGGAGGAGAAGCTGAGCTATTTCATTGTTGATCATTTTGACTGCATCAAAGAGTGGTGTCTCTCCCTTCTCATTCTTCACATTTGGATGTGCTTCATGTTCGAGCAGCATGGAAGCCATAGATTTGCTCTGTTTTTGGACTGCAGATCGGAGCATAGTTCTTTTATCATTTGTCTGCAAGTTTGGATCTGCCCTTCTCTCAAGTAATAGCTTGGCTATCTCGGTATTATCATGACACACTGCCTCCCACAGTGCTGATTCTCCCAGGCCATTTTTGGATTCAGCATCAGCTCCAGCCTCAAGAAGAATGTGGACAAGAGCAGGACTATTTCTCTTAGCGGCATATAACAGAGGCTGCATCTGGTTCTCAAATTGTTTGTTGAAATCTGCTCCGTTTTCCACAAGTAGCTTCACCGTCTCGGACGTGCCTCGTGTTATTGTGTTATTGCAAGGAGCAAAGCGGTTTCTTGCTGCTTGTCTATTGCATTGATAGTTGCCTTTGCCCCATACTCAAGCAGCGCTTTAACTATTCCCAGCTGCTTTGAGCCTTTCACATCAGCATCAAGCTTATCTGCCAGTGCTAAGTACAAGTATGTTCGTAGCTCCTTATCTTTTATATCCACTGATGCCCCTTTACTCAATAGCAAAGCGACTATGGAATCTCTTTGATGAGTGATAGCGTAGGACAGGGCAGTTTTTCCTTCGGATGTTGACCCGTCAATTCGTGCACCTTTCTCCAGAAGGTATCTGACGATATTTTCAAACCCATGCGCTGAAACCGTTAACAATGCCTCGCTTTCACCATTGCCATGTAGAGTCTCCAAACTTGCACCTTTTTTCAGTAAGACTTGCACAGCACTTAATTGACCAGATGATGCCGCCATGTAAAGAGGACTTGCTGGGCGACTTGAAGAATTTTCAAGTTCCGGGCACCATTCAGTCATTCCACCTTCTTCCAGAATGAGTTCAATTATTCTTACATGTCCTTTTGCTGCAGCTCTGCATAGAGCTGCATTACAGTCAAGCCGCGTCCCAATAGATGCCCTCCGAGCTGCACCGTGTGCAACAAGGGCCTCAACTATTCTTTCGTGCCCATTATCTGCTGCCTTGATCGATACCGAATCTCCGTCCGGATTTTGGTAATCAACATCGACATTCATGTCTAGGCCGCGCATGACCAAGGGCAGGTCCCCATCTGCAGCAGCCTGAATAAATTTATTCCTGCTGGTTGCCAGCCTGTAAACGATCCTAGACAATCCATTGGGTCTTTTAGCAGGTTTGGATGTAACAGGGGTTGGTCTTTCACGGTTCCTCTCAGTTTTGATTGGCATTGGCAGTGGCGGCTGATTTACCCTGGATTTGGGGATCATGGCGGGAGCCAGCGTTAGAGCAGCTGTAGACTCAGAATCTATTGACGCATTCAACGATCTTTTTGATTGAGAGCCAGGCTCAATAGCTGCTACGAAATCACCCTCAAAGATGGATTGTTCCAGAATCTGGAGGATGAATGCTCGATTTTTGTCAAAGGCTCTAGGGGTTAAACCAACGCTTTGGAGCTTTTTGCGAATTTGCTCCCAAGATTCCTTGTCGGTCAAAGACAGAGAGCCAGATGATAAACTGGAAAGGGCTGAACTCCCGTCCTCGTCACTCTGTTCCTCCAAACCCCTTCTGAGAAGGCGTTCAACATTCACCTGGGAGCAGCTAGGCAAACGGCATTAGTTGATAATCACCTCTGCTATAAAGTCTCTTGATTCCGGACTTACGCAATCATATTGGTGGTCAGCATCGTGACAGTCTGCCTTGACGATGAAATTCTCGCTCGTAGCTCTGTTAGGCCATTGACATTCATTTCAGTGCGTCCCCAGTTAAATTTGGATTTTGATGGTAGGTCATCATAGTGTTGCTTGAGCTTTTTCAGATCCAGCAAGGTCCGATGGCAGCTTTTTAGTTCTTTTTCAAGTGCGGGAAACTCTTCATCGTCGAGGAAATCGATGTATCTAGTATGTGCTATGCCAATAGCTGAAATGAGTCCTGTGAGCTCGTTTTGAACATATTGAAGATTTCTGGCGAGTCAAAAAATGAGGCATTGATCTCATCAGCTAGCGGTAGAATCTGGGTGATATGATCTGAGTGTTCATGGTGGTCAGCGCCTTCGGAGTACATGCCCTGTAACCTGCGATTGCATACTTATGTTGATATCACGATTGGCGGTAATATTTTGAAATACTGCGCCGCCTTGTGTATGGAAAATGGAGGCTCCTTCTTCAGTCAAAGACATGGTCAATGTTGAAGCTGTCTCAGCTACAGTATCGGATTACACTTTGACCATGCAATCAGGCCAACTTGGGGTGCTTGTATGAGCCAGGAAGAATCAAGCTCGATTTTGGAACCCTTACAGAGCCGAACGTCACTTCTGATCCCGAGGGATGGAATTATGACGGATAGGATGCGCATTTCACAGCCCTCAAGTCTGATCAGCTCAGCTCAGCCCCTCTGGCGCGTATATGGCGGTAAACCACGTCGCAGGGCTACAAGTCCTCACGCCGCGCTTCGCGCGGCACTGCCAGTGAAGCAGGGAGCATTCGAAATTGGGGGAGGTATGTCCTCAGAACGCGAGTGCTTGACTGGATGTGTCCACAGCCTCTCAGATAGGTATATTCGCATACTTAAGTACAGGACTTAGTCCGAGTCAGTAGCATCTACAGGTGACTAATGAGTAATGACCGACACCTCTTTGTATACAAGTACCCACAGGGTTACCTACATGGTTACCTACTGGGCTACCTACTGGGCTACATGGAGGGGATGGCTACCTATTAAATAGTTAGATATAGGTAGGCAACTGGAAGATACTATCTAAAGTGAGAGATATCTAAAGTAGAAGTAAGAGATAGCTTAATAAAGCAGGATATATTCACATGCATGTTTAGATGTAATAAACAAAACAAAAATATACATTCATGTAGTCTATTGATAAATATATGGTCTCTGAGTCATGGTATTCTGCCAGATGGTGAGGAAACTCGGAAAACCACTGTAACCCAAGTAGAAAAATCTGGCGCGTATATGCGGTAAACCACATCGCAGGGCTATCAACCTATTACCATTCATGATCGGCTTTTCCCCTCTTTTGACCGTTCATCCTCGTCTGGGAAGAAATTCAGAAATATTTCCAAATCGTACTTGGGGACTCATCATATTCATGAACATCTTTCTTGATGGAGGAGGAAATTTCATATTCCACTACAGGCAACTATGGGCTTCAAGCCCTTGCCGACCCGAAAGACGCATGTGCAGAGTATGAGACCTACTTACCTGACCCAGCCCCAAGCTAATCAAAACAAATCTATCAGTGTTATCTTTGTTCATGGCCTTACGGGCAACCGGGAAACAACATGGACTCATAAAACCACCGGAAAATTCTGGCCACAAGACTTTTTGCCTCATGATCTCCCGGATGTACGAATCCTCACATTCGGGTACGATGCAGACATCATCGGCACATCCCATACTGCAAGCTCCAATACACTAAGAGATCATGGTAAATCACTTGCTGAGAAACTAGCAATGTGGCGAAGAAAGTCAAGAACTGTCAGTTATGTCCACTGAAATCATCCGTCATACACTCCGGGGTCAGTTTACTCCAAACAAATCGAGCATGATCTAACTCCGATATTTGAGCTTAGAACCTTTGGCCTTTAATATTCGTTGCTCATGGCTTAGGAGGTCTTGTAGTAGAGCAAGCCCTCCTCATCTCCCGCGGTTCATCAGAGCTACATGTGAAAGACCTCTTAGAATCCACAACCGCAATGGCATTCATGGGTACACCACATGCTGGATCGGACAAGGCTAGTCTGGTAGTACCGCTGACCCATTTGTCCAAGATCATTCTTGGAGCATCAAACACCGAGATTTTGCAACTACTCAGACCAGGTTCGGAGATGCTAGCGAATCTCCAGCAAGAATTCCATACCATGCTCAAAGATCGCAGCCAAAACCAGAAGAAGTCAATCGAAATATGTTGTTTCTATGAGGAGCTACCTGTTAGGAGGATTCGTGACAAGGTAAGATAATTTTAGAGCTTCGACAATTAATAATATTGTAACAGGCTCGGTAGAGAATAGTGGATCTCACTTATGATTCTTAGGTCGTACCCAGTCATTCTGCGATTCTCAACCCCTACCCCAGTCTTCCTATTCATGGAAACCAGATGCAGATGAAGAAATTCGGTAATAATAGGGATCCAGGATATACGGATGTCAGGGGCCGGTTGTGGCTGTGGATAGATAACCTCAAACTTGAAGCTCAACCTGCGGCTGGACCAGAGGCCATACAGGCCCGGGATAGCAAACCGGAAAGATATCTTATGTTTTCAGGTGGTGGACCTGTCTTTCAAGGTGACCAAATTGCTGGAAGGGATATTAATGTCAACACTTGGCGGTCCGCACCATGATATGGATTATTGATATTAACTTGAATAAAGCGGATCTAGTAAAGTTACAAGGGTTATCGTTCACTGGCAGTTTACCCTAATTCAGAGCCTAGTAATTGTCTATGCGACTTGCATTTCGTGAGAAGGATGCTGATCTTAGGAACAGATTAATTCTAGTGCATAAAATGTCTCTATTATAGCGGGAGAGTAAAAAATAATCCAAGTTTGGATCTGACAGCATGATTCACATGTGCCGTGAGATGCCGATACCTCCGTAGAACTTGAAATTATGTTTAGGCATCCCATCAGTGTAAACTATGTACTGTGTCCATGTAAGCCCCCGTCCAAGATCCACTGCTCATTATCATCCTTGTCATCCTGTACACGCCGCCACGTCTGTTTCGGCTCAGTCTTCTCAGCCTTCTCGGGTATAGTGCCGTCTGGAGCACGCCAAACAGGCCGCATCAATCCACCTGCAGCAAGGAGTGGATTATTGCTAAATGCATGACCACTAGATGACCCTGGGACAGCACCTTCTTCGATAGAATCTGGTTCCGTTGGCTCGGGAGTGGACTCTACAGCTGCAGAGGTATATACCCGGCGGACTTTACCGCCCGTAATATCAAGACTCATTACAGTCTTCTTCTTTTCCCACTCTGGACGAGCCTTCTCTTCCATTTCTCGCTGAATTCGCTGTTGCTTTTTCAGTGCGAGGGCACGTTGTGCTGGACTCATCCATAAGGTTGATGCAACATTAGGGGGTTTCAAAGTCCGCGGCTTCATCAACAACTTTTGTCCGTTGGGCATTTTGAGCCTGGAATCCAAGTAACCTATCTCGATGGGCTCGCGCAGCGTCAAGTTTACTTGAAGATGCCGATCCAGAAACAGATACTGGTCTTGGTCCACTATCGTGATGGACACCTTCATTATGCGCTCGCATCTTCTCCTGTCCGCGCTCAGCTCGAAGTTCTCTGATCATGCCTTGCACTTCCTCTGCAGATAATAGCGGAGTACCGCAGAAAGAGCAGGGTTGTAGACCCTCTAAAGCGCAGATAATTTTTCCACAATTGAGACAATTTGGAGCTGGGTCGAAGAGCGGGTGCAGTAGCGCAGAGCAATTACATTTCCTTCTCTCAGCACCAATGGTTGGGTTGGTTGATACCTCCAAAGCAGCGATTGCGGCTGTTAAGTCGGAAATATTATTGGTAGTAAGGGACTTGCCACCCTTGGATGGACTCGCATTTCTGGTTTGTTTCTGCTTGCTTGTTTTTGATCGCACGTTTGGGAGCATATCTGAGAGTACGGGCCCGGCGGCGGAGGGTGGAGGTTTTGAGGATGTGGGCACTGGCATTGGTGATTGGGTACGCGATGATGTGGACGAAGTCGGCGCTGATTTCGCTGAAGTTGGGACTGATAGTGATGATCTACTGGCAGAAATGTAGTCCTCCTCTTGATCTGCTTTCTTGTAGCCTCCTCCCACATTGCCATAATTATCAGGACGGCGGGGCGGGCCCGGATTGTGCAGTGGTTTCTTTTCCTTTTTATTCCTCCCCCTCGTGCGGTCATTTGTATTCGGTCGTTCATCACCCTGAGAAGAAGTGGCGGCTGGAGGGGTATCACGACGAGCGTTGAACGAGGCGATGAACTCAAGGGCTGCGGGAGAGTCACCAAGGAGATTTTTGAGGTGATCGGCGCATCCTTCCTTGGGTAGACTGGCTGAGTAGTCGATGACTTGTTTGAGAGATTCTTCATCGAGGGGTAGAAGCTGGCCGAGTCGAGGCACGGCCCAAGCTGATAAATTTGCCATGGTCGAATTTTGAGAGAAGTGAAGAGATCAAGTGTTGGCTTGAGCTTGAATGTCGAACTTGAGAAAGATGATTGCGGGGATGACGGAGCCGGAGTTGTGGGACCGACATCTACTATATCAGACTCGATCAGTGGTTTATATTCCATATTCCGCCTTTTGATGAAATATTACAAAAAAGTTATTCATTATCACCAGAGAAAAATAGCTGACTATTTTCATTTGAGTGGTTAATGCTTATGTGCTTGTCCAAATGTGGCTTTTAGAGGATATTTGTGCTCTACTCGACTTCCAGGGTTGCATGCTAACCTTGGAACACTCCATACCGTAGTATTATTTTGATCCCGCACTTGAGAATACGGTATACACATACATGGAATAACCCGGAATACTTGAAATATTAAGCAAGACTTGAACTGAATGCCCCAAGGCTGCGCTGCGCTGTATGAAGAGGACCCGATCTAATAGCTTCAAGCTCAAGGTACTCTGAGTCACTACGTTAATATTTCAAGTTCGAGTCATTCAATATCAATTTCGAGTCACAACGATTATTGCGATTGTGAAGTATCAAGTAATGTACAATCCTATCCCACCAGATCATCATCGTCATCTATGCAAATTCTTGAACCCGAACCCAAGGACGCCATGGCAGCAAATAAACCGAAAACAAAGAACATGACGCCTACACCCAGATGACGCGAAAGAAAAAAAAACACTAGTAGCCTGTTCATGCGTCCGCATTCTCACTTTTGATTTCGTCTTCGTGGTCCTCCACTGTGAAGGAGTTCTTGAGCTTGCTGGGTCCAGGCTTGTTGGCAGATGCCTTCTTCGTCTGGTTGAGCTTCTTCTTCTTCGTAGGGCTGGGACTGCCTTCATCGTCATCGTGAGGGCGCTTGGGAGCGGATGAAGTAGGGCTGCTAGCACCACTAGCGCCACTGTCGGTCGGGGTCTTGTTGCGGGTGCTTCCACGGCCAGAGATGTTCATGCAGCGATCCAAATGCTGAGCCACACGATTCATGACAAAGTATCGAGGGCAAATAGGACACTTGCTAGTGGGAACCTCCGGAGTGACACCGTCTCGGTCTGTCTTGCGCTTCTTGGGGTTTGGCATAATGGCAAACAGTTTGCCGTGGACGTCATGGCCTGGCAATGTGATCAATGGTCCGTTCTGACAGTATTCGCGATCGGGGTCGGGAGGTTGGAAACCGGCGCCGGCGGGTGGATAGGCGAGACGCGGCAGTCGACATTCGGTGCATATGATTTCTTTAACCGTCTGCAATGGATTGCCCTTGAGGAGTACCCGGCCGCGGTCGAAGATTGCCGCATTCGTCTCGAGGTGCGTGTTGGCCAATTTTGTCGGATCGATGATCATCTCCCGAGGCTTGCCATCTGCCACAGACTTACTGGGTGACTCATCAGGTACTTGTGCTCCGTCTTCGGCCTTCTGTCTTGCGACTACAACGGCAGAGCGCATCCGCGCCACCTTCTCTTCCCGGTGGACTTTGGCGACGAGGTCATGGATGATGTTATGAAAGGTTTCGTTGAGAATATCAGTTGACTGGAGAGAAGATCAGATGATTTCCTTCAGGATAGATCAGTATATCATCAAACATCTCAACATACCACTTTGGCGACAGTGCCGGCAGGGTAGATTGGCGTATGGCTTGCAGCGCTGGAGCCGGCCATTTTCGGAGTTGTCGGTGGAAATCACCCCAGTCAGTGGACTTCCTTCCTGTATGGCCAACAGCTGTGTCGAGCCCGCGACACAGTTGAACCCTGTAGTTTCGCGCCAGTACAAGGTTCTAGTCCTCCATGTGCTGTAAATCTATGCAGGGAGTGGTAAATGGTGAAACGAAGTCGGAGTCAGACCGAGAGGACGAAGAGTGAGGAACATAGGAAATCTAGAAGGATCGCCAGAAGAGAAGCTTTTGTACTATGAAACCCAATGTCAGTCGAGTTGAGTGAATGTGAATGGCGTAGTGAATGGAGGTTCGGTAAGTGACTTCGGGGACCGGGTGAATGAGGCGATCCACTTTGCTTTCAATAAGGGGAACCTCATTCAAGCTGAAGTATGAGAACAATCCTAATTTTGGAAAACTCCAGATCAATTCAATAAAATTCATTAACTTACCGATTGAAATGTAAAGCTGGATGTCCCGAGTCCAGCTTCTTTTTTTCTCTCGTTAAGATACAAAGAGAAAGAGAACGAGGCTGGAAGCAAGTTGTTCATCCCGTTATCTCTTATCGCATCTCCGCATTCACTTCTTGAAGAGCGACTCATCCTACTCTTAACCCTCGAATCCCTCGAGTAAAAGGGGATCAGACGAGACCAAAAAAACACAAAATGGCATATCAGTTCTTTTCAAAACCAAAGTCACGATCTTCATCAGCTTCTCCTTCCCCATATCGTCCATCCCGTTCTAATAATCCTCCTATTCATCTACCTCCTCTTCAACCACCCGTCGGCGCAAAGCCGGGATCATGCAATGTCAGCGAAGACACTTTCCCACCATTCCCCCACGAGATACCTGCGGGTTACGCGACTGCGCACCCTAATATCACCGTAGAGACAGTGAAGACAGCGCATATTCCTTCTCTGTCGCGCATCACTGGTCTACTGCTCCCAATACGCTACCCAACGTCCTTTTACACAGCTACCATTACCGACCCGGTCATCGCGTCACTTTCACGCGTCGCTGTATACCATGACCACCCGGTCGCTGAGGTACCCGATCGTGGGTCCTTGCCGGGTACTGATAAAGTGATTGGAGGCATTCGATGTCGCTTAGAGAAGCAGGATAATGGACAGGTGGTGAACGGACGAGAAGCCACGACTCTATACATCCAAACTCTGTATCTCTTGTCACCATATCGTGGAAGTGGTGTTGCTACTTCGCTGTTGAACTCATTACTGTTCGAATCTGTCGACAACAAATCCACCGGGAAGGTATCTGAATTAGTAAAACACTACAACATTCGTGAAGTTACCGCTCATGTTCACGAGGCGAACGAAGATGGGTTGAACTGGTATACTGCAAGGGGGTTCAAGCTTGATGCTACCATTGTGGACGGATATTACCGTCGTCTCAAGCCGTCGGGGGCAAGGATTGTTCGCCTAAAGGTCCAGCGGCAGGATGAAGAGACCGAAGGTGAACAAGAATCCGAAGACCCCGCACATGCTCCAGTGGAACGAAATGAGGCACCAGATCAACATGCGTCGCCTAGTGATGCAGACGATGAGGACTGGGAGAAGGTGGAAGCAGAAGATGATGGTGATCTCGGTGTGCAAACATTAGGCGAATCACCGATCCTGGAAAGGGACGAGAAGGAGGAGACAGCGTCTAGGAAACGAAAAGCCGAGGATGAGAGCGGAAATCATGCACAGCGTCGGCTATGAGAGATACCTCATCTTTTTGCTCGATTGAAGATGATCATGATCCAAGTTATTTATAGGATACCCCTTTATTATTTTTAGTTTTGTATGGGTAGATATGATCCTAGCTATATCACTGGCAGCAGCAATATACTCCAGATGTCTGTTATATCTGATCTTGAGATGAACCTGAAGGACCACATGTGCATGTAGACTAGGCGATGCGCAGGTGGTCGAGGAACTTGGAATTCAGAAATATTAATCCATATTCATATAACAAGGTAACACCGAAAGTAGTGCTCAGGATGGACAGCTGTACATGTATCAACTTGAATGTCACGGGTATCAAATCAACAAAGGGGACATTTGAAACAATCGAGTAAACGAGCAAGCCCTTCCGGTTAATGATTATAGTTCTCCGCATGTAAGAAGATCTCATCTTTAGAAGAATCGGTCATCACCTTCATCTGCAGCCTAGCCACAGTCCTGGCAACTTCAACACGTAGACTCGGAGGACCACAGACAAAGATACAAGCACGCCGACCAAAGCTATGAGAGAATTCAGTCAGCATCTTTGAGACATTTGGTCGGAAGTAATCCGTCTTCCAAGTCTCCCTGCGATATGCAGGATTATAAGACGCATAGCGCGGTGTTAATTGTTTCTGTGACACAGGTGTCAAGTTTCCAAACCCGAAGTCGAATCCAGCATTGTAACTTGACTTTTTGGGACTCGGGATTCGGAGATTTGGGATATAGTGCCGACTGCTAGCGATGTGAGGAGAATTGTAAACACCTGGCAACGCAGCTAGTCCGTCCTCGTTTTCCCGGCGAAGCTCCTTCTCTCGTTCCGTGTCGCCTTCAGCTTCCTCCCGAATATAAGTTGAGTTTCGTTTATCGATGCCCTGCAGCATGCTGTAAATCTTTTCTTGAATCAGGTCGCGGCCTGCTTGATCTGCTTCTTCCATGCCGGTTAGGAAGAAGTGACAGTAGACGAGGTTCGCTGGGGCACTATCACGGCAGATACGCAGTTCCTCTGAGAACCACTCCATGGTCTCTGGAGATCGTAGCGCCCAGATCACTTTGATTGATTTTGTCACAGCTTTTCCATCCCGGATTCGCTTGATAAGATCTAGCAGTTGGCTTGCAATCGCGGTAATTCCACTTCCACCAGCGAAGAAGACCACATCATCGAATGCTGCCATATCACGTTGCATGCCACCATAAGGTCCCTCGAGATATGCGGTGTATGTCTTGAATGGACCTCTTTCTATGGACTTGTGCACCACTTTACGAGTGAACCCTTTGAATGGTCGAAACACCAGTGTCATGTCGCGATAGTCCTCGCCATAAGCGGAGGGGAAATCATCGCTGCAAAGGGAAGCAATGGTGAAAGGATGGCTCTCAAAAAAGCCAATGCTAGGCAACCGAAGGTAAACGTACTGCCCAGGCTTCCAGCGCATCTTAGTGGGAATCGTCACCTTGACAGCGTTTTGAGGCAGCAGGGTCACAGCGCACTCTTCTCCAATCATGAATGAGGATGTCCGAAAAGGGTTGGACCAGTTCTGGTAGACTAGTCGAATGAGATAGGTGCAAACCCAGATTGCCAGCGTCGTCCATAGATAAGCCCATGATTTAAGGTAATTCTTGCTATGCCAGAACATCATTGCCACGAAGATCCAGGACACAGGCAGGTGAACCATCACGAAGAACTCATACATCCGGTGTCGTAGAAAGGGAAGGGAATGAATGCAAAGAACAAGCAGAGGTGCCAATGCGGCCCACCCATTTCCGTAATAATAAATCCCCTTAGGCACCCAGTTCCGATAATTGATCAGAGCATCACCCGTCCAAATTGGCGTGACATAGAACGGGATCATGTGGACCAGACAAAGGAAAAGACAGATATAAGCTAGCCAGCGATGTAGTCCATTGAGTCGCTCATGGCCTAGCCCCGTTACCATATTTATAAAGTTGGCTTTGGTAGCGAGCGCGACAATCCATGGTATCATGGCAACAGCAAGCATACCTGCCCGGATCGCAAGTGGTGGTGAGCCCAGAGCAATGTCGTAGTAGTATAATGGCTGCGGGACGAAGCAATACAGCGTCACAAAGGCAAATGCAATAAGCACAATGCTCACCACTGCTAGAGAGGGGAAGACGAAGTGCATACCCCCAATGTACAAAGTGGGAATAGGCCTGTAGAAGATCCATCTGAAGAATGCAATCACTTTGTTTAACCGGATAAATCTTTGAACGAGAGATTCGCGTCGTTGTGTTGTTGGCGATGCCGTTGGAAATGGGAAGAAATGCGCACTCGAGGAATCCGTGCCTGCACTAGGAAGTTCATATTCGTCCGGTGTCGAGGATCCATGGAAGGTCTGTGGATTGCTCTCTTTATACAAGATTATCCGAACCTTGTCACTGTAGTTATGGTAGAGTCGAATGAGTGTTGTGATGACCAGCAACACAACGGCAAAGTAAACAAATCCATAACCGTATTTGCCAGCCTTACGGAATGAATCTCGATCCATCTCATTCTGCTCTTTCTGAGTCGTCGCTGCTGTGACCGCAACGTAGACTCGCTTGGCGAGGGAATGCAGTGTATCCAACATTTTGAATCAATGTAATAGACAGTGTACTTGGCTGAGATTCTGGCTTGTATGTGAAGTAAGCATCTGTATTAAAGTCTGTAGTTGTCTCACTTGTGTGAAGTACCTTTATTCTGAGCTCGCTCACAACACTAGAGTAGGAACAAGCTCATGGCCAAGAAGCGTACGATCATAAAGTCAGCAAGTCAGGGCCAAATTGACAACCCAGCACGGGCGAGCTCCCATCTACATGTATTCTGACTCCCTATTACTAGAAGAGCACCGAGCGTAGGTTTCACCGCTTGTACTCCATACTGCGCACTTCGGAGTCGCACCGTGATGGGATAGCCACGTTATGGTTTGACCGATTGTCAGCCACACCAAGCCAATCGAGCGCCATGAGCCATCAGTGGTCAATTCATATTCCCGAAATAGCTGTCACGTTAGAACCAAAGACCCTTCGCTTCTGGCCGAGAAAAATTCCCAGTAAAATGTGATGATTTAGCGCCTTGCAGACCACCTGGGCACCAATCAGCATGGTTCCTTGTTATAGAAAAGGTGATTGGGGTGATCGGGCGGCATTAGTGCCAATTGGTGGAGACTGCAGAAACTATATTAACTCCCCGCGATTCATTCCTGCGCCAAAAATAAACTTGAGATAAGGCATTCGGAGTGAGAAATGGGTGTGCTGTTCCTAGATTTGCAGTACTAGTTCCTCGGTTAAAAGCACTCATCCTTGCTGCATCCGAGATCGACCAGGTTTCCATGAACAGACCCCGAAGGGGGTATAAGTCTGTCAGTAATACCCCGAGAGATTTATGCAGGGAATATCTAGCTGCATAGATGAAGTTATTCAACTTCCACGTGTGGAAAATAGTGGAGCGATCAATATCCAGAATAGCCTTTTAATCCCTGACTAGTTCGAGTTTCCCTGTCGAGAGTCTTTGTATTAGCAGAGATGTTTGTGACCTCGAGCACGCCCACCTCCGAGATTCATACCCTGAGCCGGGGTACTATTTTGGGCATCAAATCTTAGAGTAGGTTCCTTGTCAAATTCAAATGTGCATCTGCCAGAAGCACAGACCAGAAGAGTGCCATGAGATATGCAGTCAGCACAGGTAGTGACAGGTTTTTTTAGATCCAGATATCACATCTTCACATACGCACTGGCACATCAAGTGGGATGGTCGTAATCTCCAAATCTGACTGGATCAGGCAAAGGTTGAATGGATCATGCGCCAGAGTAATCCCATACAAGCGAAATGTCATATCAAAAAACGAGTGATGCTTAAGAGAGGAGTAAATATTGTTTCTAAATTGGGGACTCGGTTGATGCCTGTTGATGCCTTATCATATACTGATGCCTGAAGGGTAGGGTGTCTAATTCACCCCACCTAGACCCACCATAACACACCGCCTTCAGGCGGTAGCATTCTGCCATATCCATCCATCCACTTTTTCTGAGATCAAGTCGAAGTCAAGCTTGGGTGCCTTTTCCGCTTATTCTCTCTCAATTTACGCTCACTTTCAGAGTACCACCGCAGAAATGGATTCTCCAGTCCAAGATTTCAACCCCAAGCTACAGCTTACTCCTACACAATTTGCCGCTATCGAGCCAAACGCTTATATCCTTTCCCAATTATCTCAACGACCGTCCAGTAATGGAATCCCAACTCGAGCCAATGCCCGCGAGCAATTCGAATTCCGAGACATGACTGTCACAGTTGGAGGATTCACGCACGCAAATGGCAGCTCCACTGTACGCATCGGTGACACATCAGTGGTGTGTGGCATTGTTGCTGAGCAGATTTACACTTCGGAAGTTCCTTCGTGGGACGTCTCGCAGGCTTCAGTTTCCGCCAATAAACGCCGTCGTCTGGCCAGCTCTGGCAAGACTCTTCTCGATAATGATGAAGATGAGGACCTAGCTTATGACAATGAGGACTGCCGCCACATCGAGGACCGCTGCTTGCTTGTGCCCAACGTGACCATGAACACCGGATGCACCCCGGGCTACGTCCCAGGTGCCCCTCCCTCTGAGGATGAACAATCAATCTCAAACAACCTTCTGGGACTTCTTCGCTCCACTCGCATGATTCAAGCTGAGGACTTGCGCATCTGGTACCAGCCACCAAACCTCGGCGCCGAAGAGTCAGACAGCTCGAATGAGACTCAGCTTCCAGAGCTCAAGGCTTTCTGGGTACTCCACATTGATATTATGGTCATGTCTTACGGCGGTAACATCTTCGACGCAGCATGGACTGCGCTCGTTGCTGCTTTACGCCATGTCACCATTCCTTACGCCTGGTGGGATGTGGATAAGGAGATGATTCTTTGCTCAGATGATTCTAGCAAGGCCCACAAGTTGTCTTTGCGCGGAATGCCTACATCTTGCTCATTTTCCATCTTTCAACCTCAGCCCCGCCCGTCTTCTCAAGACGATGCTGCTGAGAATGGCAAGGATTGGTGGATTTTTGCCGACCCAGACGGCTACGAAGAGAGCGTCTGCGAGGAGTATGCTTGGTGTGTCGTGAGCAAGGATAAGAACGGCAAAACCCGTGTCTACCGAGCCCAGAACGTCGGAGGTTCTACCGTGGATTCCAAGATTATGTACAACTTGGTGCAGATTTCTGCCAAGAAATGGGAAGATGTCAAGAGCATTATTGACGAGGTTGTGGCTACTGGTAGCCCTCGAGCTGTGTCCTGGAAGGGCAAGGCATACAGCGCATGAAATGGCAACTGGATTACCGACGATGGGGTTGTCTTCACAGATGATCCACATTGTACCTGAAAGGTCGTCACTCATCCACCGCATCTCGGCGCAACGGTTAAAGGGGGGGAAATCTTTTGTACAATAATGATACCACTTTTGTTTTGACGTTCGACGTCACGGAAAATGGAATGAAAAAAAACTTCAAAAAAAAGTAAACTATTTTGCTATTTTTAAAAAGTCAAAGTATGCTAATACAAAGATTGGGAATGAAAGTTTTGCCAGCATCACAATGTCACGGTTGGCTTTCTGGGGGTTCCACGTCGCTTTTTCAATGGGCGCTCATCATCTTCATCCACAGGCCCAGGAATCATAACCGGCTTGTCATCGTCGGTGGATTTTGGTGTGATCTGGTTCTTTCGGCGCAAGGAGATGGAGAACGAAACAAGATCCAAGTCTTCGGACTTCTTGTCTTCGGTTTTGCTAACCTTCTTAGTTTCCTTCGACTTGACTTGAACCACCTTCTGTGCCTTCTGTTTATCATCAGCACTTGAGCCGAAGAGGCTGGCCTCACCAGAAAAAATCCGCATAAAGAGACTCTTTGTCTCGGTACCAGCAGCTTCTTTCTTGTCATCAGTGTCCTTGGGTTCGATAGTATCCTGGTCATCCTCCTCGTCGTCCTCATCGGCATCAGAAAATCCCCACATAGACTTGATTTCACCGCGGACGAATGCCGTACCCCATAGAGAGGTCAAGACACCTGGGACCAGGTATAACAGAGCGGGTTGGGCATGGTTTGTGTACTGCATAGCCAGAAGAGTGGTGATCATTCCGACGACGTATCCAAAAATGCTGGCCTTGAAGTATACCTTCGGGAAAGATCTCGCATCGTGGTAGGGAGGCTGAATCTCTGTCTCTTCTGGAATCGTGGCAGGTGCCCAGAATCGTTCTCCCCAGGAACCAGTTGCTCGCTGGTACAATGGTTTGCTAGCACCTTCTTTCAGACCTTCGGCTTGAGCCTTCTTGATTCCCTTGTTTCGGTAGTAGAGGAAAAGATCATAACGCAATGCAAGGCCGACCATCATTCCAGGAATAACGATATCTCCGAGACCTAGCATGGCGAGGGCTTCGATACCAGGTTTATCACCAGGGCTCGGGGGTCGAGGAAACAAGAGCTTGATGGGGACATCCAATTTTGTCGCAACAGTAACCATCAAGGGTGTGAAAAAGACGAAGTAGATATCATAGAAGAACAGGGAGCCTAGAATCAAAGATCCAGTCCAGAAGGTCGATGGAGACATGAACTGTAAGGTACCGTAGGAGAAGCTGAATCCAAGGAAATTGGTCAACCACCATGGCTTTACCACGAATGTAAAGTACCCCACGGCGATCAGAGCGGCCATTCCACTCAGCAGGTCAAGAAGGCCTACAAGTGGTTTGATCTCGAACAGGCCACGGATATGTGCACGCAATCTCAAGCGCCGATAGGAAATACCGCGGCAGGTCCAAAGGAAATTCCGAACGAATCTTGGTAATGGGATTGCGCTAAAGATTCCAGGCAAAGGAGAGTGTCTCAATTCATTCGTCAATTCGGCTTTAAACACACGCTCAGACTGCTTTGCATGGTACAGTTTCTCTCCATAGCGATAGTGTCGTGGGAAGAAAATTGACCGCACAATCAACAGGGTATCCTTGAGAAAAGCAACGGCAAAAAACAGACCCATTTGCGAAAAATAGAAGCCCAGGATTTTGTTGAGGATAGCGGGGTCCTCAAGCCATTTGATGACCAGGTACAGACCTCCAAGTGTCAGACCTGCGGTCAAAGGAAACATTAACGCATCTGATGGCTCTAATCCCTCCATTCTTTGAACTGGCCCTTGGTCGTCCTCATTATCCTCATCGTCCTCGTCGTCATCCTGGTCCTCATCTAACTTTTTGGGAGGCTTGGCAGCCGAAGAGGGCCTTGATAGAGATGCATGTGCACCAATCCAAATTGGAAATAGAGCAGATACTAATAGGTGTCCGTATGTGGGAAGGAGGGGTCTCATGCGATCGAAATGATAGAAAGCATGCCCAAGTAGCTCCGCGAGGGGGCTAATTTCAGCCTCCGCCATGATGCTCCAGCTTGAAGAAATGAAGATTTGGCGGTTCAATGAGAGGATTATCAAAGATAAACTTTGGAAATGTGTAAAAGGTCCAATGTTAATCCATGGCCTTTGTTAGAGAATGTGGTAGGTGGCAGGATGTATGCAAACTGTCTAAACGGAGTATCTGTAAACTGCCGCGCCAGCTCCGCCTTTGCTCCGACTCTGATCCTCTGCGCTTTAGAACTTTATCTCTGCAGACTGTTCAGCAATCACCTTCACAATGGCGACCGAAATAGCATTTGATACCTCCATGGTAATATCTAGTCCAACGGATTTGCTCACCAGTTTTACTGACATTTTCTAGGGCTCCTTTACTGTCGAGCTTTATGAGACACATGCACCCAAGGTGAGCATGCCCCACGGCCTGTCTCTATAGCGCAACACGCAGCTGACTCTGAGTTATCTAGACATGCAAGAACTTTGCAACCCTCGCGCAACGAGGCTACTACAACGACGTGATCTTCCACCGCATTATCCCCAACTTCATGGTCCAGACCGGCGATCCCACTGGCACCGGCCGCGGCGGTAGCTCCATCTACGGCGAGAAATTCGAAGACGAGATTCGTGGGGATCTGAAGCACACAGGAGCTGGTATTTTGAGCATGGCGAATAGCGGACCCAATACAAATGGTAGTCAGTTCTTCGTTACCCTTGCGCCGACACCGTGGTTGGATGGCAAGCATACGATCTTCGGTCGGGTGAAGAGTGGAATGCGGATTATCCAGCGTATGGGTCTGGTGAAGACCAAGGGCGAGGACCGTCCAGTGGACGAGGTGAAGATTATTCGGGCAAGAGTGGTGGAACAAGGATCGGAGGAGTGAAGCTCTTACAGCTTCAGCACGACATAATTTTTATACTAAGACGCACCGGGCGAGTACTCGGAACATGGAGCGTCGACGCATTGGCCTTTGACACAGTACAGCGCGCATCATTCTTGCACCAATGAGGATACTTGATGGTCGTTAAAGCTCTGCATGTCAATGTCGAGTCATTGAGCATTCAAACATGAAGGACACAGGCCGATAATCCAACATTCCGCAGCCGTCAAGCTCTAGGTAGTGACCTAGTATCAGGCTGGTCATTTTGGACAATGACTAGATCGCGATCATCGTATATGCAAACTACAAGAGACTACGAACAAAATTCTAGCTAGGGAAATGAATGTGTCACTACAAAACGAACCGCTTCCATCAGATGTTTACATCCGGAGCAGCAGATACAGAGTGAAGTCTCTCTACCACTCCCGCAACAAAATCCAGTGAAGGCTTTCGTCATAAAACCCGAGATTGTCATCAATGGCAGTCGGGCTGTGCAAGCACTGGGAGTGGCATAGAGAAGAAAAAATTTTGGTTGACAAATTCTGCTTTTTAAGTGGCTTGGATGAGTAAGCAGATCACGTGTAATCTATACACAGAACACATGTGCAAGTCCAACTTGAAGTTCAAGTGGTCTTTTTATCCATTTCTTATTCTAGAATGGATCTGAACGGTATTTCAAACTGCGCACTCATATTTTATTCGCAGTTTCCTGGGTGTTTATTCCATCATCGAGAGGCCCTTCAGGGCTGGCCAGTTTATTCAAGTTCGCAACATATTCAACCCTCCGGTTCCAACTTGAAGTTGGAATGTTCATACTACCGCCGGCGTTCCGAGTCCAAGTCTATTATTTCTCTTCAACTGATTCAAGTTTAGTACTATGACTGCTTTTCACTGGCATGTCCAATTTGGTTTCAACCAGCGTCCATTAGGACTAGTATATTTTATTTTCGCCGATTTGGGCCCTCAGCCTGAGTCTACCCATGGATTCATAACTTGGCTTCAAACACTACGGCCACCAGAAAGGGGATCGGGGTATCAGTATTTAAGCACTAGCAGAGACCATTTGAATAACATTTGAACTTCACCTTTCTTCAAATTCTTCAAGTCCTCCAGCTCTTCAAACATTTGAAAACACACTGCTACTAATCCATACGTATTGTCCACTCCAGGACTGTTATTACTGACCAAGCTATGTCTGAATCAGACTATGAAGACCCACCTCCACTTTATATCAAGGTCCAAAATACATCCATGCCAGTGCATGAAACATTGGTACCTCCTAGCCATTCAGAGGCAGAGAGCTTGAACGTACTTGAGAATGCCACAAGAAAGTTCCCGCTCACCACCATGAAGGGCTACTTCAAACGGAACAATAAAGACACTCAGGCTCCCAGTGCTTTTGAACTAGGCACAACCGAAAATAACTCGAGGCTCTTTGCTGTATCCACTTCTTCCAACGAATTCACCAACAGCCTATCAGTGACACTGCATGACGGTGCTACTCATGAAGCCTCCATCTTGGCAACACTCACAGCAAATGAATGGGGACTCAGAGGAACCAAGCCATGTCTTTTCCATCTCCCTGTTCGTCCGGGCAGCTTGTACAAAAGGGAAATTGTGAAGCGTATGATACCTCGTTCAAAAAAGTTCACAGCTCGGAAGCCAATCTGGAACTTTTCCGCTCTTATAACTTCAAAAGATGGGACTCAAGATGTGGAGGAAATTTTTGAGTGGCGCAGTAGCGGTGGAAAGGAAGTCGAGGAAATTGCTACGGGTTACAGGTATGGTTGGAAGTTGGTTCGAGTATCAGGGCCAAACAGTGGATCTGGTGGCCCCAGAAAAAAGCGAGACTTTGGATTCACCAGTGACGGACTGGACATAGTAGCTGTGGCTACTCATAATCCTTCAAGGTGCATGGACAAAGCATTGCGGTTTTCCTTTATGAGGACTGGGCTTACCGGAGAGCTTGGAGAGGGTTGGGAGATCATGGCTGTTGTTTCAGCTCTGCAGCTATGGTATTGGCGTGCTCAGGAAATTGCCGCCCGGAGAGCTGCTGCTCAAAGAGCTGCTAGAAAGGATGACTGGGTTGATGATCTATTGCTTATGAGTATGCTAACTTCTGCCAGCCTGACTTATTGGTAGATTTCGACGTTGGAAATATTTGGAATCAATTGAGTTATGCTGGTGGTATTGATGTACAAGTCTTGGGGAGCCCTAAAGGCTGCTTACTGAAATTTATTCAAAGATATTATTATTCAGTTCATCATGCGTATGTTCTATTCTACCTCTCTACCGAGTGAAACCATGATGCCATGGTAATGTGTCTAGTCACAAATAGTGCTGAGTGTGATTACAGGGAAGCAAGGACAGCATCAGCTCCAGAGTTCTGTAGATGAGAATAATTAGCAATCTTCTTATTGGAAATGCACAAATGGGGATCTTATATGATGCTCCTACCTCGACAACACCCTTCTTGGTCTCAATCTTGGCATAGCTGATCTTGCCGTGGTCGATGACAATGGCATATCGGCCAGTACGGCCCGAGGCACTATCAGCCCAACCAATGGTCTGAGAGAACTTGGCATCGGGATCGGAAAGGAACAGCTGTTTGACACCATGAGTAAACAATCCAAGTAAAAATAAACCAGCAGGCTATACTAACAATCTTGTCTTCGACTCCGTTCACTTTGCCCCAAGCGCTCATGACAAATGCATCGTTAAAGGCAAGGACAGCGACAATATCGACACCCTTCTCACGGAGCTTAGGAAGGTTCTGGATGTAGCCGGGGACGTGGTTGACGGAGCAGGTGGGGGTAAAGGCGCCTGGTGACGAGGTCAATTACTGATATCTTGATCAGGCAGCTGTTGAGACATGGAAACATACCAGGAACAGAGAAGAGGACAACCTTCTTGTCTGCCCACTCCTTGGAGGCATTGTAGTTGGTAGGAATACCACATGAGGCGAAGTCACTGCTCTCCTTTGTCCAAGGGATGTGCCTTATCCATGATATTAGCAATGCGATTGATTCAATTCAGATATTGAGATCTCACTGGAAGATCACATCCTCAGGGAAGGCGTCACCGGGCTTGAGAGTAGTCATTGTGGGCTGTTTGAGATTTTAGTACTTCAAGCTTAGATGAGAGAGCAAAGAAGAAGAGAATCTTGGATTAATGGAATGCGGGGCATTGATAACGGTGGGGACTTGCCGCGGACCTTGGAGGTGCTGATTAATGGGGCCGGAGCCCGCCGAAGTTACAACTTATACCAGTTGACCTACTCCACTGGCAGTTGAGCTTCTAGATTTTTGCAAACAATGGATGCTATTGATCCTAAATAGTCTACTATGAGTACTGGAGTTCATTGGAATTAATATTAATCAACATGGGAGGACTCTTCGACTTCGTTTCCAACTTGAGTGACGGACCTCGGCAAAGATGAGGTATTAGAACAATTGGCCATAAAAATGCATATGCAGCTCTCCAAGTTTCTTACTAGTAAGAAGTTGGGTGGTAAAATTGAGAGTTTAGGTAGCTACTTGAGCCCAAACTTGAACTTGAGCAAGCTTCATGTAATTGGTCATTTTAGGGTGTCTTGATGTACTACCTACATGTAGCATGATGGCATAATCGGTTGCTAAGAGCACGCAAAGCGAACAACTTGAACGTGACGCTAAATCCATATAAGAATATTTTGCAAAGCTAGAGAGGTGTCTCACAGTATATACACGAAAAAGGATGGGCAAAACACTGGCGTGGATGAATTGGTACATTCAAGCATGATACTACATAGTAACAGGGTAGGGCATCTTGAAACACACTACTCATATCGGGGGATCAAGTGAGGTAGAATTCTGCAAAGAGTGAGAAGACTGCTTTCCACGTGCAGATTAGAGCATAAACATGGCAAAGTATCATATTGGATAATTTCACTATTGCTTCTAGTGCCCACTTATAGGACTCGGAATAGTGTGACTGAAAGCTATAGGTTTAGGATAACTAACTGATACCTAGGTGCCTATGATATCAATGGGAAGAAAAAGAATACCCGGGAGACACTGGATGCTGGATAAAGATTCAAGTCCCTCATCTTCTTACACACATTTCCCAGGCATTTTGAATTCATGATCTCAATGATTAACTCATAAGGGGGAACCCCGGCTACTTAAAAAATGCACCGGAGTGTGGGGGTGGAGACACCGGAACACCCTGACGGGTATTCTCTCATCCAGTTTCCTTTTAATATTGCGTCAGAACGACCGTTTTCTATTTTGAAACCTTTCAAATCCTCAAAAATCGCCAAAATGCCTACTTCTCAATGGCCTCCAGCACAACAAAATGATTTTGGCATTGCGACATTGTCTCTCGGCAACTGGCGACATCACACGCTCACTCCACGACTTGAAGCAGCCGCCAAAGCCGGCTACCAATGGATTGATCTATTCGATGAGTGTTGGGCTGCTTACCTAGTTGAAAATGGTATTTCTGGGGATCAACTTTGGGAACCTACTCCGGATAACCTACGTGTGGCTCGTCAGTTGGGTGAACTTGTGAAGTCCCTTGGAATGCGTATTGCATGCACACAGCCTCTCCGCACTATCGAAGGTATTAAGGACCCCGTGGAGCGACAAGCAACGTTGGATCTAGTTGCCAAGCGCTTCCCTTTCATGCGCGCCTTTGATACCGACCTCGTTTTCATGTGTGCCAATATTCGTACGGACAGTGGTGTTACTTCGGACCTCAAGGTTGTCGCGAAAGACCTGGCTGAACTGGGTGACATGGCTGCTGCTTTCGCGCGTGCAGATGGAGGTCCGATGCTTAAGATTGGATATGAAGGGCTTTCGTGGGCTACAAGGAATACATGGTCGTCTTCGTGGGAGGTCGTACGATTCGCAAATCGTTCAAATGTTGGGTTGATTGTGGATGCGTTTAATGTCCTTGCTGTTGAATTTGCGGATCCATATAATCCTGAAGGACATGGTCGCATCTATCCAACTCTGGAGGAGTCTCTTGAAATCTTGACAGACTCCATGGCATCATTGGCAAACTCTGTACCAGGTGACCGGATTTTCTTCTTCCAATGCGGCGATGCGGAACTTATGAGCCCATCAACTTTTCTGCCTCCAGATGATCCCAGTGTTCCGGCTCTTCTCCCTTGGTCAAGAAGTCATCGACTTTATCCCCTTGAACAATCTCGTGGCGCTTATATGCCTGCGGAGCTTGTTACTGCCGCTGTACTGGCCACAGGGTACAAAGGTCCCATCTCATTGGAAGTGTTCAACGCATCTTTGAATGTGCCAGGAGATGACATCGCAACAACACATGCTTTTCGAGGGATGGAAGGATTGAAGAAGCTCTTTAACGCATCAACGAGACTTGCTCCATTCTGGAAAGACCCTGAATCCGTTCGGAAAGCCATTTCTCAGGTTACTCAACGACTGAAGACAACCAGCCCGCAATTATAAAGCTAGGCAGAAGTTTGTATTAATTGTGCACCTTGAACTGTGGTATTTTCAATGGTAAATCTTACTTCTCACGTTTTCAAAAGACATTTCCGAATCCCGGTCCAAATATTTCTCGGAATAAATCTGCAAATCCTTCTTCTGTAATATCAGGCAAATTGACATCACCCAAGAAGGGATCATAATCAGAAAGAAGTGGCTCAATTGAGCGATTTCCTTCATCCACCGAATTAACCTGATGGCCGCTGCCATAAGTTTGAGTAAAAGAGGACTCTATTTCGAGCTCCTGTCTTAATCCCGAAGACTTCGCTCTTAAAATCATCATAATATGTTGTCCAAGTAGAGCAGCGATCCCATAGCGATGGGACGGTGTTTTCCCAGCGCGCTCAAGATTTAATGCAACCCGACTCAACAGAGCAAATAGTTCAATTTGACTACTAGCGGAAGGTCCATATATTGCTGGAAACAACTTCAAGGCTAGAACAGCAGCGTAGGATATCATGGCCCAGGTTGGAGCAAGCATGCAATAGAGTGGTTCTCCAATCTCTTCCAAATCCCTGACTGCTACTTCACATGCATTGACCGCTGCTTCAAAACAGTCATTGCGAAGACCGAAGTCACTACTGTTCCGTTCCCTTGAGTTGTAGAGTGCAATAGAGAGAGTCCAAAGTCTTCCATGTAAATAGACGTATCTGAGGAAGATATTTGAGAGCTGTTCAGCTGAGCATAATGCGTCAGTGTTTGACTGCTCTAACCAAGTATCGCACCAAGGCTGAAGCGTAGCGTCCACAAAATCACGAACCCAATGAAGATTCGAGCCTGTTGTTTCGGCTCTTTCACGAAGGTCATTGTTTAATATCGCTAATATCCTCCGCAATGCGATGAAAGCGCTTGTATGTCTATCCGTAAAGTCAGCTAGTGGGTGCATCCACCATTGTTCGATGTTTTTAGTTAACGCAGTTTCGGGGAAGCTATGAATGCGACCGTAAGCAGCACTATTGGCTCGTTCCCATAGCAGAATCCTAAACCACGTTCTTTCTCGATTTCGTATGAGTCGCTGCTCATATGATGAATCTCGTTGGTTTAATGTTTCGCCTGAACGGGACCCAGTGGCTGGTAGGCTCTGATGTCCCTGATTTGACGGGAACAGAGAATCATGAGCCTGGTTGCTTTCAAAGTACTGATCTAGACCAAGCTCTGCAGCCACCCCAAATGCATACATCGTGTAAAGCCAGGAACGCTCTTCTGCCAATGTCTCCGCAGGGGTGGCAGAGAGTAATGAGATATAGTATCCCTGAACAATCTCGACTGACTTAAAGCCACATGTATGCACATGTCTAGATAGCTTCTCACCATGCAGCCTCAGCCTTTTAGCAATCGATGCGCATCCGTGGTCGAACTGTGCCGTCAAGGCCAGAACCCAGGTGAATAGCAATGCCGACCGAGAACGCACAAATTCCGGTGTGTGCAGAATGGGGTCCAGAATGCCGTTTATTGGGTGGAGTCGAGTAAAGTATCTATAGAGATGGCAAAGTCAGAGCGGGATCCATCGGATTACTTGGGATAGCAAGACTCACATTGGAAATAAGTGCTGGGCCTCCTCTACCGTGATCAATCCTAGATCGATAGGATCAACGTCGGGTCCAACATCTAAAATCAGTCCCTGATTTGGACGCTTGAAGTAATTTGAATATCGATCCGTGTTTTGTGTCGGTATCAACAGATTATCCAATGAGCTTTCAAGACTTTCTCTGCTCAGCTGCAGTCCCAGTGAAACATAACCAGGTCGACGGAGTAAGCGACCGAGACCGCCAACATGGTTTTCACTTCCAGCCGAGGCTTCCCCATTATGGTCTGCTATTGTGTTCACGGATGTTGAGTGAGGCTCTAAGGCACGAGCGGCGTCCGACGCGTCGGCTAGTAATGCAAGGGGGTTGCTGATCGGTTCCGAATTCGGATGATACAAAGATGCGTTTATCGAAGCTTGAGGAATATCCTGTCGCGATGTATCCTCTGAGATAGACGCGTTGCCAAATTTCGGTGCATGAGCAGTATAAATATGAGATGAGGATATAGTATATGCTGCTTGTTCATCAGATGGAGACCCATTTGGGCGTGATCGCTCACTAGGCTCGGAGGGAATGTGAACCATCTCCTCCAGTCTCTCTGCTTCTGGTTCCATTTTCGCTTTCCTCAACTCTGATCTCAATTTGCGCACTGCTTTGTCAAACCCTTGGTAACGCCCTCTTGCGCCTTTCTTCCTCCCCAGAGGGCGTGGCTCAGGGATCCTACACGCCCGGTTCGTTCGGGTACACCGTTCACATGGTGCAGGGATGCGGCCCCTAGGGGTATCGGTTTCTGTTCGGATACATCTCATCTATGTCTCATATTAACGCAACTCGTCCAATGAAATTCATATTCAACGTTGCAGGCATACCTTCATCTTTCGACATGCTTCGCAAGCCGCGGGCGCAGTCGGACGACTGGATGTTCGCGTTGTCCGCGCTGTCCCAGAAGACACATCGGCCAATTCCATTTTTTCAGCTGATGGCAGGTGATCAGTCTATCAAATATAGACGTTTCGACTTATGTTGTCTGTGTCACTGAGAGGAGCATGATACGAGGCCAGATTGTCAAGTTGTGGCGGCAAATCTCGGTTATGAAGAACTTTGATTGGATCAGCGGCTATCAGGTTTACATTGAGCGCAGTATATCACTCTGGATTTCAACAGCTCTAATGAAACTGTCTAGGTATCAAGAATACCAGGATTATGATCAAATCAGCACTCATGGGACAGCAATGTCCAGTTGTCGCGTGGATCACCGAGGGATTTCTGGATGATCCACACCCGGTCTATTAATTAATAGACCGAGTCCGAGGCATCTTTCCTTACATCATTGGTTATAAAAGCCCAAAAATAGCATTTTGTTTGCTCTTCAGAAATACCTTTGCGAAATTGTGTGCAATATCCATATTATCATAATTTAGAGTCATGGAGGTGATTGAGGTCGATACATTGGTCTGTGGTGGAGGTATGTCCGGCATGGCATGCGCTGCGTTTGCAGCTAGCGCAGGAGCCAAAACACTTGTAGTAGAGAAACAGGAAGAGATCGGTGGATCGTCTGCTCTCTCTGCTGGGATGTTGTACGTACATATTCAAATCTTCATTCCCGGAACATCTTTCACTAACACTTTTCCACGCAGCTGGGCGCCACATACATATGACAAATTACGCGCCTGGGTACCTGAGGGAGATCCAGTTCTTCAACAAGCCTGGTTGGATGAGTATCTTCCAGCAGTGCAATGGATGCGAGACAATGGAATTCCGACCGCACAGCGATTCGATGGAATTATGACCATAGGTAAGTACTAAGCCTACATCGAGACATTTTTGAACACGATAATAATTGTGTTATTGCACATATCCAGGCATCGGATTCCCTATCAAGATTCCTCAACTTCATGCCCTTCACCGAAGTCAAATCGAGGCGAGTCAGAATGGCTCCGCGGTTTGGACCAATACCTCTGTGGTCAAGCTCACTCAGGAGCAGCCAGGAATACCCGGATCACGAGTAACAGGTGCTATTATCCACCGAAAGGTTCCTGGTTCACCAGCAAAATATTACGAGGTCAAAGCGAAGGTGGTGGTCATGGCTACAGGAGGGTTCCAGGGATCTCCTCAAATGACTGCCACGTATCTCGGACAGGGTGGTGACAATATCTTTGTGCGATCTAACCCAGGCTCTGTGGGTGATGGACTTGGTCTAGCCTCAAGAGTAGGAGCTGGAACGAGTCGGGGTATGAATACATACTATGGCCATCTTTTGGCAGCACCCGTAAGGGCGCAAGATGTAGATCCGAAGGACTACCTGCCACTGGCACAATACCGTGAGAGCCTGAAGAGTGCCTGATTATATTCAATTTGAAAGCTGACCTCCGATTTAGAGAGCAAGTACTGTTTGTTGATTAACGAGGGAGGTCGACGCTTTGCTGATGAGACAAACGGCGATGAGATTGTGAACCAATATCTGGCGAAGCAAGAAAAGCGTCGAGGATTCTTGCTTTTCAGTGAAAAGACTCGCCTTCAGCACTGCGTCGGTGCACCATTCCCCAATGCTGGATCTATCGATCGCTTGAAGAAAGCCCGCGACTATGGCTGCAATGTTGGCTCTGCGACTACCATCAGCGGATTGATTGAAGTTCTCCGCCAATGGGGTGTAGATTCCGCACACGCCTCAAAGACTATCCAAGAATATGGTCACGTTGTGCGTCTCACAAAGTCAGGAATTGCACTTGATGCTCCCGTGGGCCGTGGTGGCCCACCTCCTGCATCTCTTGTTGAAGGCGAAGGGCCATTTTATGCCATGGAGGTTCAACCATCGTATGTCTCTTCCCACAAACCGGCTGGAAATTTTAACTCTGACATAATTTTCAGCATCACATTCACTTATGGGGGAATTTCGATTGACAAGCAGGGGCACGCATTGACACCCGATAAGACTGCAATTCCAGGTTTATTGGTTGCTGGTGTCGATGCTGGTGGTTTCAGCAACCTTGGATATGCCGGTGGCCTGGCTCTTGCATTTGTAACAGGTCTATGGGCTGCTCGGGGAGTTGCACGAGAGCTAGGATTACCGGAGCCTCGTCTGCCGGCTGCAGATGCAAAGGATGCGGCACCCATGAAAGGTCGTCTATAGCTCAAGATGATACCGTGCTCATGTATTTGGAATATGTGTATCTACTCCTTGAAATACCAGTGACTTGAGAAACCTCAATGTACGCTGGTAAAGGATGCCTATATTCGTGGGATGTACTATTATGTATTGTGCAATTTTTGTTGATCATAATCTCAATGAAAGTAGGTAAAGTCTAAGGTTCAACTTCTTCGTATGTCGGTGCAAAATTTTGAACAGTTTATACAAGTACCCATCGCGTCAACCAACCCTGGAATTCCAGTTTCTGAAAATGCTGGAACGAAGAGGATTTAATTTTCTGCGACAAGAACTCCCCGATATCGCATCTTGCCTTCTTCAAGCGTCTTCATGCCCTCCCTCACGCCTTCCAGAGTGAAAGGGAAAGTCATTTTAACAGGCTTGATATCATGCATGGCTGCGAACTCCAGCATATCTCTGTGCACTTGTCTTGAGGATACAATGCCACCCTGGATCCGCAGCCCCGTCAACAAGATAGGCATATACGGGATTTTCAAATCCCCCGAGTCGGCTGAGAGAGGGGAGATGATGCCATTCGGTGCCATAACCTTGAGATACATCTGCCAATCTGGCTGACGACTAGTCGTTACAATCAAATTGTCGATGGGCTTCTCAAGTTCCAACTCCTTCAGTCCTTTTGTCGCATGGAACTCAGTGGCGCCCAGCTCAAAGGCTTCTGTCTTTTTACTATCCGTACCAGAAAAAACGACCACTTGACACCCCATCTTGGAAGCGAACTGGATAGCCAAGTGACCCAATCCTCCAATTCCCACAATACCAACGCGTGCATATGGTCGGACTTGGGCGACATGTAGAGCATTGAAGACAGTGGATCCACCGCACATCAACGGAGCAGCATCTTCGCTCTTGATCGCATCAGGAATCTTGAAAAGGAACCCCTCCCTCCACACCGCGTGTGTGGCGAAAGATCCTTGGTCGAAATCTGCCTCTCCATACAGCTTGCGTTTCCGACACAGGGTCTCCCATCCAGTCAGACATGGCCGACAGTGGCCACAACAGTCGTGCTCGAATCCCCATCCCACGCGATCGCCTTTCTTCAAGATGTTCGCATCGGGTCCAGTTGCTTCAACCACACCAGCGCCTTCGTGGCCAAGAACCATATCCTTGGCCTTATAATGAAGATCGGTGCCACATACTCCAGAGTGTGTGACTCGAACGAGCACATAATCTCTTTCGAGGTCTTCTTTGCGGGTCACATCCTCTTTGATTCCTTCTTCGGACCCTTTGTATACTGTAAATTCGATCGGCATTGTGCAAGGAGCGGTGAGTTGTTGAGATTTCAAATTGGGATTATTTATACGAAGATTCCCTTTCACTTTTATGCCGTGATAAACTCAGGTCACTCAAAGTATGTGATTTGAAGCAAGATGCAAGAATTTGACGAAGTTGGATGCATCGAGTTTTCGTATATTTTAGGTAGATCGTGTGCCCAGTGATATCATCACCTAGATTTGAGTTTCATTCCTTGCTTCAAAGCCCCAGAATTTGGTGGAACTACTAACACTAACGAGACCATTTGGGACATATCTTTGCACATCTCTTCGATCGGGGAGATTTAATCCCTTCAATTGGTCTGTTTCTTATCTTTTCTGTGCGCCTAGGAGGGCTCATCTGAATCAGGAGATCTCAAGGGTCCACATTTAGGATATCCACTGGCATCTTCCAGTTCAATCTGGAGGTCATTTGGTTACACATTTCAATGATGCTATTGACCCACTTTCTCGTCAACTCAAGATCTCAACTGGTAGCTGGCAACTGGCAAGTCGAAAAGTCAAATCAAGCCAACTGGCGTGTATGCTACATCCGATGAATTCTCTCATCCGATCTTTAAGCGCGGGAATGATGATATCGGATGTGGGTATCGGACCGACACTTCCCCACATGATGAAATGGATATGATGAACCATCATCTTCACAATTCCAACTTCAATTCTACATCACATACATCTACGCAGAAACTTGAAGTCAAACTTGAACTTTTTCCAATATCACGATGTCTTATGAAATCAAATGCGATATTGCCCTAGCCCCACCACGCGGGGCTGACATCGTCGACTTTATGAACAACTTCTACAGAATCAGTGATACTGAGGAACTACATGAGAAATATGTCGAGAGCTTCACGGAAGATGCCACTTTGATTATGGGACCCAAGGAAGCAAAGGGTACCGATGGTATGTCTTTCCGATTGACCCGACCGATGAATCCAACATCAGACACTAAGTAGATTTCCAGGCATCCGGACACTACGACATGGTCTTTGGACTCATGTCGCATCCCGAAAGCACACACCAACTCGTATTTTCTTCAGCGGAGAGAACGAGATTATGCTCTACGGTGGTGTCAACTATCGCCTCAAGGCCAACCCAGAGAATGATGTGTATGTCCCCTGGGCTGGTAGAGTTGTCTTTGATCTCGGAGAGACATATGAGGGTGATGTCAAGATGCAATTTTATCAGGTCTACTTGGTGAGTTTTTATCAAACTAAACAAGTGGTTAATCAATTTTTACTAATGGATGTAGGACCCATCCGCGCAATCTGGCAAGAAATAAGTGACAAACTGAGTCAATAGAACATCACTGGCACCATTCAATATCCAAATGAACCCAGTATACTGGTACTGCTTATTGATTTAAAATTGACGCTGTAGATGTGTTTTTATCGAGTGATAAGGCACAGACACCAAGTAGACAAGGTAAAGTGCACTGAAAGGTCAGAAATGGCTTCTATAGAATGGTTGAGGGTATACTTACGCAAACTTTGGGCCCTGTGGGGTTGAGAAGTGTTGGACATGCGAAACTAGAAGGGCAACAGCCAAGACGTGATCCTGAAGTGATGCACGTAGTATTAGATGTACACTAGAGATTACAATTTTAGTTAAAGAAGTATTTGGTACCTAGGCAGCCTCAACTTACACATGTGCTTGTGACGTTGCAGAATGTTTGACCAGACGGACAAGTCCCGCAGGTACCGTTGATGCAGTTCTGAGTAGATGTGCACTGCAATTACGACTCCATATCAGTATTGGGTAGATAAAATTAGAACAGATGCATCTGTTACAATGAAGCGCTCACCTTGGTTCCGCATGATCCACAATTATTGGCATCCGCTGTTGTATTAGTACATGCACCTCCGCAGCAGTTTGGTGTTGTTCTATTGCACTAAAAAATTATCTGATTGGAATTCGCCAGCTAGATGATCTGGTCAATATCACTTACCGGCTTAGCGCAAGCCCCACAGTTTGATGAGTTCGTATTCAGGTTAACGCAAGTTCCAGAGCAGCAAGTCGGTGCTGTAGAAGGGCACTAAATGGAAAGTTAGCTCGCTGGGGTTTGCTCGTGTCTGAAAGTCATGAGAGGAGAGATCATGTTACCGTGTTTCCACAAGTCCCACAGTTTTTAGGGTCAGTTTGTGTGCTGGTACAATTTCCATTGCAGCAGTTCGGGGATGTTGTATTGCACTATAAGAAAGAGTGATGAGAATGTATGATCAACCAAGATACCACAGCTAGAACTCTTGCATAGAGATGTAAGGACGAACCGTGTTGTTGCAGGTTCCGCATGTAAGAGGGTTGCTACTTAGATTCATACAAACCCCAAAACAGCAGTTTGGTGTTGATGCCGGACACTATAGCGTAAATCACACATCAATAAAATGTACCCCCAGCTTGAGACGGGACTAAGAAAAAAAAGATTCCAATATTACCGTAATGTTGCAAGCACCACAATTCTTCGGGTCACTTGTCAAATTCGTACAGTTCCCATTGCAGCATATCGGCGATGTAAGAGGACACTGATCGGGTAAGCTGTCATCAAAAGTAATATGTGAACTATTATCTGGTACTCAACACTCACTGTATTGTTGCAAGACCCACATGTCAACGGACTAGAATTGAAATTGGTACAAATACCAGAGCAACAGTTGGGTAGGATGGAAGGACACTAGGCGATAGATAAGTCATGATATCATGTCGCTGGGGACTATATTAGACTTACCGTGAGGCCGCAAGTAAAGCAGTTATTTGGATCCGTATTCGTATTCGTACATTTGCCTGAGCAGCATGTGGGTGCTGTTGCATTGCACTAGATGCATATCAGCACTTCGGTTTTCTCAACTTCTAGGTCAAATAGAGACCAATATGTTCCTACCGTGTTATTGCAGGAGCCGCAGGTCAAGGCGCTTGTGTTCAAATTGGTGCAGGCACCGGAGCAGCAGGTTGGTGTAATCGCAGGGCACTTTGAATGATTTAGTTTTTGTTCCTTCGATCAGAAATAATTTGAAATGGAGTAAAAGAATACGCACAGATAGACCACATGTTCCGCAATTAGAGCCAGTGATATTCAAATTTGTGCATATTCCTAAGCAACATGAAGGTGTGGCAATCGGACACTAAATTTCATTAGATATGAATCTTCTTGGAGTATCTGAGGGAAATGCAGAAATATAACCAACAGTTGTATTGCAATTTCCACAATGTGATGAATTTGAATTCAAGTTGGCGCATGTGCCAGAGCAACAGGTTGATGAAGAGGCACACTATAAGTCATTATTAGAATGATAACATTTTCAGTGATTGGCTGCGCATGATCATGAGCCCAGAGATAATATTTACCGTGTTTCCACATGAGCCACACGATGAACTGTTGCTTAATAAATTGGTGCAAGATCCGGAACAGCAGTTAGGTGAGCTGGAAGGACACTAATCATGGATTAATCAATACTCAAAACATGCAAAGTCAACTGAGTCAACTGGACAAGAGATACCGTGATACCACAAGCTCCACAGCTTGATGAAGATGAATTGAAATTGGTACATGTTCCTGAACAACAATTCGGCAACGGTGACGAGCACTATGAAGTACAGAAGTTAGCTTTGATTCTGGATATTTGCGAGCAAATGTTTGACCTACCGTCGTATTACAACTTCCACAATGGGACGAGTTGCTGTTCAGATCAGAGCAGACACCTGAGCAGCATGCCGGTGTTACCCCTGTACATGGCGCTGCTGTGCAAGAGCCGCACCGGTTGACGTTGCTATTCAGGTTAGTGCAAGTACCATTGCAGCAAGAAGCTTGAGCCACGGGGCACTAGATAATTATTATTAATCTCAAGTTAAATTGTTCGGGAATTGCATTGGATGACTTGAAGGAGAAATACTTACCGTGATACCGCAAGCTCCACAGTTCGATGAAGATGAGTTGACATTTGTACATGTTCCAGAGCAGCAAGTTGGTGAAACTGATGTACACTATAAAGTAGGAATATCAGATTTATGTCTGAATAGCGTAGCCTCAAGCGAACAAACCGTTGTATTACAACTCCCACAATGAGAGGAGTTGCTATTCAAGTCATAGCAAATACCAGAGCAACATCCCGGTGTGACTCCTGTACATGGCGCGGCTGTACAAGAGCCGCAGTGGTTAACGTTGCTACTTAGGTCAGTGCAAGTAGCATTGCAACAAGAAGGCTGAGCTGTAGAGCACTTTTCTCAATGATGATTAATCTCATGTCAAATTCCAGATCGAATGGAGAATGGAAACTCACCACGTTCGTACAGGATCCACAAAACGCGCTGTTGGCACTGAGATCAACGCAGGTACCAGAGCAGCATCCTGGAAGCGTGCCATTGCATGGAGTTGATGTGCAAGAGCCACAATGGCTAGGGTCATTATTAAGGTTTCTACATGATCCTGAGCAGCAGGTCGGAACTGAAGTGTTGCACTAGACAAAGGTTATTTCCTATAATCAACCATATGAGTTCTAAAAGGTGCAGGACTCTTACAGCCTGACTACATGCTCCACAGTTGGAAGAGTTGCTAGAAAGATCTGTGCATGATCCTGTACAGCAAGCTGGCTGTATACCAGTGCAGGCATTGCTGCAGTTTCCACAGTTCGTGATACTTGTGCTAAGATTCGTGCAGTTTCCAGAGCAGCAATTTGGTTGAGCTGCGTTACACTGTACACGGTTAGTCTAATCTTCCAATGTTTCCATGGTTGGAATCTCAAAAGCGCGTCGAAACTACTCATGTCATCCTGCGAATATTGACTTACTATTTTATTACAGGCACCACAGTTGGTAGAGTTGCTAGATAGATCTGCGCATGATCCAGTACAGCATGCCGGTAGTACTCCAGTGCATGTATTGCTACATTTTCCACAATTAGCGAGACTTGTGGCGATATTAGTGCAGCTCCCGGTGCAGCAATTTGGTTGCGTTCCATTGCACTGGGAGCGGTTAGTATAATCCTCAAAAAAGGTTCAAGGGTGTTTATATCAGTCTCGCAATATTGGCTTACTATTTTACCACAGGTCCCACAGTTGGAAGAGCTGCTCGACAAATCTGTGCATAATCCCGTACAGCATCCCGGCTGTACACCGGCACAGTTATTGCCGCATTGTCCGCAGTTATTGACACTCGAGCTTAGATTAGTACAGTTTCCTGTGCAGCAAGTGGGCTGCGTTGCGTTGCACTGGAGAGCATTAGTCTTCTTCATAGTGCCCAGGTGGCTATACCAGTATGCTCAGCTCGGTATGCACGAATTGACTTACGGTTGTATTGCAGGCACCACAGTTGCTGGTATCAACGCCCAAATCATGACATCTCCCAGCGCAGCAGCCAGGGATTGTTCCATTGCACTAACCTTGTCAGCAAAGACTTGACCTCGGAGGTCTGAGAGTATAGTAAATGGAATCTGTATTACCGGTAGAGCCTCACAAGACGCGCAATGAGTAGCATTGTTATAAAGGTTTGTGCATGATCCCGAGCAGCAGTAATTATATTGACCCGTACACTAATCCAACGATTTCAATCAGAGATGAACAGAGTCGTTTCGGCCCGGATGTCAGATCACCTTACCGTATTATTGCAGGTCCCACAATTAGATTTGTTCACCCAAAGATCGACACATTGCCCGGAACAACACGCTGGTACAGCCGCTGGGCATATATGGCGTGCACAGGATACTGAGCAAGTCCCACAGAAGCCGAGATTGCTATTTAAATCCACGCAGCTCCCGAGACAACAGCCGGGTTTGATTCCCGTTGTGCACTAGAATATTCAGCGAATGAAAAGATCAGATCAAATAGTATGACACTTGGATGAGTGTATTCTCACAGGCGTGGAGCAGGCTTGTATATCAGATACGGCTGATGGCTCGGAGAATATGTTCGAACACCCACTGGCGGACTGGTATGATAAGTTAGGCGATCTTATTTAATGCACCACAAGGTATCAAGTTCGAGTAAAATGCTTGGCCAACAGACTGAATTACCTACATCATGCCAGGAGAAAGAGGACGCACAGTGATCCGAGTCTTGACCACGAGTATTCAGATAGGGTTTAGTTGAGACAACAGGGTTTGCGATCGTTCCAACATCATGCAGTGCAAAGAAGATGGCTGTAAGAACATTCAAAGATCAGACTGCCTCGTTCGTGTTTTGCGAATAAAACTTTCAACGTTTCAATCTCACCACATATCAAAAGTGACGGCGTCAATAGTTTGACGGTGTCAAGTATCGTCATGGTGAGTCTAAATGATGCGATTGATTATGTTCAAGGGTTCATTCTGGTTTAAGTTAGAGTCAGGATAATAGGATGAGATCTCTCCCCCGGACTTATGGAGGAAAGCCTACATGCGACGAGAGCTTTCAACCAGCCTTGAAGGTAAAACACTGAATATACTGACATTGACAGTAATGCACTTCAGTGTCACAGGTTGAGAGGCGAAATGTAACGGTGTGTTGAACTGGATCGGTCTTCTAATTTCGCATGTTACATTTACCTGGACGTGCTACCAACTACTACAATTAATAGAGGGAGCGGAATTTAAAGCGCATCAAATTTCACATTTGTGGGACATGAAATAAAGCTCATGAACCTGTTCATTCTGGCAACTATGAAGCCCAGTCTGACTAGAGAGATCATTCTGCGGCTAATATCTTCACAGGTATCCTGGTATCCAAATTGAACCTCTCGTTGGCCATGGTGAGTGATAATTCCACCTTTAGCCAATTCATATACCGAATATTATACACATCAAGACTCGGTGTTATTGGCAATACTTTTTGAAGCCGCATCCCTCTCATACTGAGCCCATCTGAGTGGAGAATCAATTGGAGCATACTTCCCAGATCAATAGGATCATCACTAACAATCAGTTCCAAAGGGAATATATTAGCATCCTGGATGGCTTTCTCCAGATGGAGATCCTGAGCGACGGAACTGGTCCCGACAAACTTGGCAGGGAATGAAGTGGCAGAGTTGGTGGGTTGACTGAATCCAGCTTCCAGAGAAGCTCCATGATTCTTCACAATTGTAAACGTATCAAGAGAAAGCTTGATTGAATTGATCCAGGCTTTTCTTCCAACATTCCTAATCTCGTTACTTGTACGTTTCTTCTGGAGAACGATCAAGTTCATAGGGAGAAAAGATGGGTTATCAAGTTGTATAGTGTTCGGCAAGAAAACCTCGACCTGAAAATGAACCTCGGGTACTTTGGATGAGCCAAATATTTGCTGTGCCTTTTGCTTCATAGTTAAGGCGGAGGGTCGATATTCTGGAAGCAAGTGGTGACTTCGAACTTTGCGCTCGATTATTTGCTGTGCGATTCCGAACTCATGAAATTCGTGTAGAGGCCGATGCCTCAATGTAATGGGCTCAAGAGCGGTAGTTATTTTCTCACCAGATTGACCCTCTTCACAATATCGTAGTTCAGCCTCAAGGAAATATTCAATCAACGCTACCGAGCCGGAACTCCCGGGAAGGGTCGAGCCTGGCAGATAACCGTAGAAGATATCGATATTCCCATATATTGTTCTTGGAGGATCGGGAGTAATCTCTGTTGTAAATGACCAAGAAACTGGATCTCCACCATCTGGGATATGCAAAGGCCCTTCAAACACAGGATATCGTTTTGAAAGTAGAATTTGCTCAGACGCAACATTTTGAGCGTAGGCAGTATGCTTCGTATCAGCCGCGTACCGATTTCCATTACTCAGGTTGGTCCTGGTTGTCTGTATCCGGCCTCTAAGATACACCTTGAGGTCTGCATTGGAGGTGACAATCGAAGAACAGCGAACCACATCCCCGATCACCGTGTCACCTGGCGCGAAGGTCCAGCCTTCAGGTGCAGCCAAATCGATCCGAAGAGCAGCGTTTCCTTTTTTGATGGCAGGCATGATTTATGATCACCTCTGAGTCTCTGATCGGGGATTCTTTCGGCTTAATAACGCTGAGAATCCATCAATAGTGGCTGAGTGAGACCCTGCATGATTTGCCCAGGCTAAGTGGGGACAATCCCGGGTACCCGACTCAGGACTCGGAGTCAGCCTCCAGCTCGCACCTTGACAAGATGCTGATTTGGTGCATGGACCCCCGGGGCGACTATAAAGAGAATCATGACGGTTGATCTTCAAGTTCAAGTTGGTGAACAGACACCTGGACACTCCCACTGGCAGGTGCCAGATGCCACATGTGCAGTGACCTCCGGCGCTGCGCCCAGAAATGTTTGTTTATGGTTCCCAAAAGGCTTGGAACTTCGAACAGGAAGCGAACTAGGGACTAAGCTCGTTCAAGTTTTAGGACAAACTCGTTTCCCCCAACAATCTTGGAATAGTATATCACAATGCAACACTGGCAGCACGAATAAAATGCAAATATGTTCTCATGTGATTATTGTACATTGAAATCTCCAAGCCGAGAAAAGCGGCTAGTTTACTATTAAAAAATAACATATCCCTTCCACCAGACTCCCCAAATCAAAGGCCCCAGAGATCCCAGAACCGCTGCACCAAAGGACATTTCAAGAATGCACCAGATCCATACCGTACCAAAAGCCGGTGCCTTTTTCATAACAGCATAATAGGGATCCTCATTTGTAATAGTAATCAAATGAGCTCCCAGCATTATAGCAACAGGCAGGTATACAACTGTTCGCAAGGTCGGTGGGAATATAAGGCGTCCTAGGAATGACAAGCTGAACTTGTCCCGCGTGAGCGGAACAATGGAGACAGGCTGCGGGTTCAGAAATTTCCAGCGCACAGGGAGTCGGATGGAGAATATATGACCGTGGAAGAGATGGACGAGGAATGTCAAAAGTGGCAAGGTGCCAATCAAGGCATCTTTGATGAGGCGAGGAACGTTGGTGGATTCGGCGTATTGGTGTGCGGCCAGGTAGGCGAGGGTGAGGTGAAGGGTTGTTAGAGGAATCGATAATAGGATGGTATCGAGTAGAGGAGGGAGAGGCTTGTCGACATCTGATTCCACATCCTCTTCTTTTTTGGATTCCTCCTTCTGTCCGCCGATGCTCTGCGCTATCTCGTCGTCGATCGCAGCGTCGGTCTCCACGAGATCTCCTGACGCGTCGACCGTCACGAATCGCGTGCCCGTAGACTTCATAGATTGTGGTATTTCGGATCCTGACACGGGGATGCCTGTCTGCCGCTGGAGGAGTTCATTTTGACGCTCAGCGATAATATCAACAAGCTTTTTCGGTGCTTTCCCTGTTGATGGTGCATCGTTGCGTGGAGGGTGGGCAAGAGGAAAATCGGATTCGCTAGGGGACGACTCGGTCACTGCGGCAGCACGGCGCTGCTTTCGATTCCGTGGAGGGTTCATTGTGTGGGAATTGAGCGACCGGAGACGTGGTAAATGTTTAGGTGGAGATGTGCGTGAGCTGGCGGAGAGACATGGTGTGGGGCGATCAGCCGGGTGTTTAGGACCCTGAATTATACACTGAATAACTTGAAGTTCGAGATCTTTCTCCAATTCATATGTGAAGTTCAAATTGGGCTTTTGAAATATTGATAGGTTACCTGTTAAAGGAACTGTTACGCAGGGCAATGGCCTTTATAGCCATTACTATTTTCAGACATTCTGACTAGTCACATCAACTAATACCTAGGTACTGGCTACCAAGTGCTCTATACTACCTAGTCAGCTTATATATACTTAGAAGCCTTTAAGGTTATTAAACATTTGAACCTTGGAATGAATACCTCAGGCTCAAGTCTAAGGTCTGGTTATCAGTAGGTTCATCTCTTAAGCCCCAGCAAAAGAAAATACAGATATACAGTTGGTAGGAAGTAGGAGTACTAGTGGGGGAAAATAAATATAACTAACTATGTGACATGGTGGTGGGTGCCTGTAAATCCTGGCTTTGATATGGTTTCTCAGTTATAGGGGTAAATTTGGGAGTCCAGATAACCATCCGCATCGTAGTAGCTCAGCGGGCTATCGTGTCTGTCCCGATGTGATTTGACACTATGATACCATAAGACTAGAATGCTGGGACTGAGGGTTGTCAAGTAGCATCAGCGAGCGTGAGACTTGCCTAAGTGGAACACCACCGTGAGAAAGCATGCAGCGGACTATGTGAAAGACTTCTGCGGAGCCTTTTTCTTTTTACTCTTTCTTTTGATATTACCTTTATATTTTTATCTATTTTATTAGATTTGTTATGATTTTTTGAAAGTTGAAGCTGTCATCGTGTTGCTCATTTTGATGCCTCACTTGGCACAAGCATCGCGAAACGTGAAAGTCCCTGGTTCAACCCTTGCTCTCTCCATTTCTTTTTTCTTTCTTTTTCTGCCTATAATAAATATCAATCAGGACATCTGGACAGAACTAATAGGGTGTTCATTCAACAACATAAGAAGACCTAGTATGCCTTCCAGTACTGAAGGTTTGAGAGTAATTCTTATTATGGTATATTATAGCCTCATACTAATGGAATCTGGACTTTAGGCACTAAAGATCTATCAATTAGACCTTCAGGCTCTAAAACTAGTGCAACTTAAACTTTTAAGGCTGTATACGAGGTACGGAGTATAGTAAGATAGTAAGACTCATTAACGAGAGTATAAAAACCCCCAGTACCCCGCTACCCGTCGATCTCCCCCACAAACCTCAAGTGCTGCACCCACTATACTTCAAGCTCATCATGTTCCCTCCACCACCTGCTCCTCTCGACTGGAAGGACATTGGCTTCAAAGTCCGCGATGGTAAGTCATCTCTTTCTCGTCCATTCACATCACACATCGCTAATATTCACAGTCAATGGCCACGTCGAATGCCACTTCTCCCAATCCGCCGGTGGAAAATGGTCTGCCCCACAATTCGTTGCCTCTCCATTCCTCCAAGTCCACGGCATGGCCCCCGGGTTGAACTACGGACAACAAGTATACGAGGGTCTCAAAGCATTTCGGCATGAGGGGGATACCAAGATCACGATCTTCCGCCCAGAACGCAATGCGAAGCGCATGCAGAATTCCGCAGAGGTGGTTTCTATCCCGCCAGTGCCCGAGGATCTATTCCTCCAGGCAGTGCATCTAGCCGTAGCGGCTAATGCGGAGTTCGTTCCACCTCATGAATCTGGTGCGGCAATGTACATCAGACCTCTACTCTTTGGATCCTCTGCGCAATTGGGTCTTAGTCCACCAGATGGATACACGCTCGCTGTATTCGCTATGCCAACTGGAGTGTACCACGGTGCTAGTGCCGTTGATGCACTGATACTCGAGGACTTTGATCGATCAGCTCCGCATGGAACTGGTGCAGCGAAGGTAGGTGGGAACTACGCGCCGGTTCTACGACACAGCGATCGAGCGCAAAACGAAGGATTCGGAATCACGCTTCACTTGGATAGTGCGACGCGAAGTGAGATTGATGAGTTCTCTACATCGGCTTTCATCGGTGTTAAGGGAAGTGGTGATAATATCACCATTGTGCATCCGGATAGTCCCAATGCGATTGACTCGGTCACAGCCGCATCGGTTGGGGATATTGCGCGAAAGCTGGGCTTCAAAGTAGAGAAGCGTCGTGTACTCTACGATGAGCTTGGAGAGTTTGATGAAGTCATCGCAGCTGGGACCGCAGCCGCGTTGGTACCCGTACGAAGCATCAGAATGCGTTCTCGCGGGGGCGAATTCAAGTACCGTGCTGGAAAACAGAACGAAGGAGGAGAGGTCTGCGTGACCCTCTTAAAGAATCTACGCGGTATTCAGGCTGGCCAGGTCCCTGATACATTTGGCTGGAATTTCGAGGTGCAAGCACCTCCCAAGGGATGGATTCAGGATGGTAATACCGTTGAAAAAACAGAGACGAGTGGAACGAATGTGCCCTGAAAAGTTACGTTTAGACTTGTCCCTTAATTCTGTCTGAAAAGCTAGAAGGCTGTTGCTCATGGATGGGGAATGGATTGTTCTCGAGGTTCTCCCTTCCGGAAAGGGATAGATGTGACAACATCGGAATGCGGTTGTTGTATCGCATTCGTTTGCGGTCGCGGTCCACAGTTCCCGTTGATACCTAGATTATTTTCGAATCTATTGGTTTAAAGTGGTGAAATCGGTCTTGTTGGGTATCCAAACGGTGTCAGGTCTTTTATCCATCATGCCGTGTTTGCTAGGATCCTCCCGCATTCCACATCGATCCCCATTGTAGACTACAACCATGGAAGCCACGATACAATGACAGCTCGCGGGTTACACTTCATGGATTCTATACTCAATCCGGACAGATTGCCCATTCGTTGTTCTAGTAGATCCTCATGCGGATGAGGCTTGGATGGTCTTGCCCACTCTTGTGAGCCAGGGCGTAACGCTGATTCGAGGGATACACGCCTTGTTACCATGCCAGCATCCCCATTGTTATTGGAATGTGATACCCAATCCACAGACCCTGAGGCAGATGCTACGTATGTCTCTTTCACCTCTGAGAAACCTCCACCCTGCCTTGGATCAAGTTCGCTACGAAGTTCGCCTTGGACTTGACAACGATCTCGCCTCGTGAAACTGCCGTTTGACAATCTTATATTCCAAATCTATGAAATCATAAAGACAAACGAAGGCATAGCGGGTCTCATGCCATCGCGGTAATCTACAATTTATTCCAACGACAAGCACGATGCGCTGGTTCGGCAGTTCCCAACCCTCATGGGGGAGGATAGTAACAGTGGCTCTAGCAGGAGCATCTACTGTGCGAGCTGTTCAATTAGATATTGAAGATGAGGGTGAGTGAATTGAGATCCAGGCCATGTTTTTAACGGTCACTGATACAAGGACTTGAACGCAGACTCCATTAAGAACGCTGCCAAACAGGTAGCTAAGAATATGATGACTTATTATACCGGTAACCGACCCGGCGACAATCCCGGAAATCTTCCAGATCCATACTACTGGTGGGAAGCAGGCGCAATGTTCAACTCATTAATCGACTATTGGTATTATACGGGCGATGACACATGGAACGATATCACGATGCAGGGTATGCTTTGGCAAGCAGGCGACACCGGAGCCTTCATGCCAAACAACCAGAGTAAAACAGAAGGCAATGACGACCAGGCCTTTTGGGGATTCGCAGCCATGTCTGCTGCAGAGAGGAATTTCCCAAACCCTTCATCTGATAAGATGGGCTGGCTGGCGATGGCCCAAGCTACCTTCAATACGCAAGCGCCGCGCTGGGATGACTCCACTTGTGGTGGTGGACTGCGATGGCAGATTTTCACATGGAACAACGGATATACCTATAAGAACACCATTTCTACCGGCGGTTTCTTCAACCTGGCTGCCCGTTTAGCGAAATATACTGGCAATTCGACATACCAAGACTGGGCAGAGAGGGCCTGGGACTGGACTGAAGGTGTTGGATTCATGAACTCCGACTACCACTTCTGGGACGGAGCGAGCGATTTGACGAATTGCACTGACATCAACGAGATTGAGTGGACATACAACAACGGCGTCTACCTACTCGGCGCAGCGAACATGTGGAATATTGTAGGTTTATACCATTGAAGGCATCCACTTGGGATTCACTCAACACAGCTAACATTGATTATCAGACTTCGGATCCGAAGTGGAAAGAGCGTGTTGAAAAAATCATCGAATCATCATCGATATTCTTTTCCGACAACCCAAAAAACGTGATGTTCGAACGAGCATGCGAAACCGTCAATACGTGTATGGTCGATCAACGATCCTTCAAAGGCTATCTCGCACGCTGGATGGCAGCCACAACGCAGATGGCCCCATTCACATTTGATCTGATCATGCCTAAGCTCAAAGCTTCTGCGTCAGCGGCTGCCAAAGCTTGTAATGGGGGTACAGACGGCGCGACCTGTGGTCTTAAATGGACCGAAGAGAAATGGGATGACACCAAGGATTTTGGTCAGCAAATGGCAGCGCTTGAGGTGATTCAGTCAAATCTCATTACCAAAGTCGCGGCCCCGGTAACTAGCGAGGATGGTGGTACTAGTAAGGGAGACCCCAGTGCGGGTGGAAAACCGCCAGAGCCCAAGCCTAGTGCGTTATCTTACACCATCACCACTGCTGATCGGGCCGGGGCGGGTATCTTAACAGCGATGATGATGGTGACTCTGGGAGGATCTGCCGGGTGGCTTATTTGGGATTGATTGAATCCTGTCAGCATGATGATTTCTTACCTTCTCAATTCTCACTAAATTTTTATCATTTCTTTCAATTTTCATGGAGCCTTCAAATGTTTATGGCGCCGTCTTTTGCGTGTCGGCGTCTTGTGAATAATGATCTCAAATGTACTCAACTTGGCAACAAATATTGATTTCAATTAAAAAATTTTATCAACTCGAAGGCTGAGTTCTCTGTCTATGTGCTTTTTTTACAATAAAGAGTGCAAGGCTAGGACCAAGCACCAGAAATGGCAAATAAACATATAAACATGAAACGAACAAACCAAGCCCTCGGTAAATCTCGGAAATTATGCTTACAGTGCATATTGCCCTCAGGTTCCCACCAGGGCCGCCATCAGTCTGGCCGTAACGTAGGCCAAGACTAAAACATCAAGGATGACGAAAAGCGGGGTAGAAACAGTCAACGCACAGATACTTGTCATTGAAGATTAGATCCGTGAAAAATTCTGTAGTAAGAGACTGATGATCTGATTCGATGTTTTTTTTTCAGCTGCCTACCATAGTGTCGGGTCCTCAGATGGAACCCAAGTATCGAATTGAGGGGGGGTATCGTGATTCATATCAACTATCTCGGGAGAAAAGGGGGGACCGTGACGCTAGTAATGAGAAGGAATGAGATCGTCATCATCATAATGGAATACCCAACAAGCGCGGGAATAAGGGTCCCCGATGCGCTCGAACTGGAGGATTGCTGCGACACGGGATGAAATAATTTCGACCTGAACAAGGGCGACCGTTACATGGCATTCTGCATGATTTATTTGCTCCTGAACCAGGGACATGATGTCACATTGTGATTCATATCGATGTTGGTGGTTGGTGTGGTTTTTGGCCCCCGGGCTGCGAATGGATCGGCAGTTTGTCGCTTCATAATTCTGGATTGAGTGGAACTTGTATTTCTCGCCCTCGAATATTCAAGGGCCAGAACTCTGTTCATCGCACTCTATTCCAAAAGAGGTAATTTCAAGTTGTACAATTTGAGCTCGATTATCAACATAACGGCTGGAAAGATGCGAGTATCAGCCTCAATATTTTCCATTTGGGACGAGTGTCGGAATTTCCGAGTACTTCATGATCATAAGCGCCTGAGGCATTCAAGAGCTTCAAAACAAGCACTTGAGGTTGGTGTAGCATTCTTGAATCATTGATAGGTCAGTTCGAAGTGTTTGAACTTCAAGTTGAATCAATTCATCACCTAGACATGGATGCTGCCGGCGGTTGGTGGTATGAAAGATGGGGGTTGGCCCCGGAAAGAATTCAGACCCGAGGCCAGCATCGGCGGGATCATGCATTCATGTTCAAGTTAACAATCAATCACTTTGCGTCTCAAGTTTGAAAGGTTCAGAACCGCCAGGTGATTCAAGTAGTATTCCGTATTGGGGCCTGGAGTACGGTGGATACCAAGATTTATTAGTAGAATGTCCGAGTCCGTCGCCGCTCAGAAATCCACTTCACCCGGAGGGGGGGGGGTCTGTCATGGATATGTATCCGACTCGATATTCATCCGAAACCCGCAAATGATCAAACATTTGCCAGTGAACATTGAAAAAATTAGATCAAACATTTTAGAGATGAAACGAGTTGGATTTTCCGAGATACGGCGTCTGGAAATAGACGTCTGTTTCATGACTCGGATGCTTGCCACGCTGGATAGTTTCCACGCGGCTCAGGATGCATAAGGTTGCATATCGTAATTCGTATAGAACAAGAATAACTACAATCGAACCAACCCCTGATTCTAGGGTAAAGATCGCGTGGGACCCCGTTTGCCACATGTTCTGGCCCCGTTAGACTCGAATTTTCTATGTGTCCACTTGTCAACGTTTTCCTTGTTAGCTCTGAAGATCGGGTCTGGCACTCTATTATTGTCACTATTCCGGAGTGAAGGATTCAATAATGGAGGCATCCCGTATAGTGCGAGACTGCGAGATAAATGGTATCAGTATTATCTCGCTGTGTATGTATTATTCCGTAGTAGATTATTCTCACGAGTCAAATCGGGTTCAATGGATATCTCATATGCATGTTCCGAGCCACAGTCATCACTCAAATCGAGGATAGATTAAGCCGCATAATGCATTAGAGTATAAAACCCTGGAGAATGCTCCCTGCTGATTTGACAGCAGCATGAGAAACTGAAACTCCAGCTGGCGAGGATTTACCCTTCTAAGCAACGTTTCTCAGCCACTGGTGGAGCTGGACTCCCCAAATTGATCGGATTCCTGTCACCGATCGTAGATCATTAAAATCGAAAACATGGATCCAGACATCCAGGATACCCAACTAGGAAAGGAGACCAAGCTGAATTGAAACAATCAACGTGGGTCTGGGGCATTTCAACACCCTAGAAGGATGGAGGTAAGATCTCTTCAGGGTATGGTCCTGACCAAGAAAATGCCTAACTAGGAAATTGTATTTTGTATGGTCTGGGCCCACTTCCCGGTGTCTCCCCACAGCAGTTGAGGTCAGTGGTGGATTCCATGAAAGCACTTGAGCTGTTCTGGGATTCATGAAGGAAAATAAGCGATTTTCATTCCTCGTTCGTGGCAAACACGTTACCTGTGAGGGGCCAAGGGGCTATATCAGTTCTCCCCACCTGATTAAATCATGGTCAATGCAGCGGAAATCGGGAGCCAGGATTCAAAATGTTGGAATTATTAAATAAATAATAATTGTATAAGGTATGGATAAACGAGAATGTGGAATAATCCAAGACTGCAAGGACCACCCGCACATGGCCTGGGGCCTTGTGGCGTATTAGCTCCCCCTTGTGAATGGTAATGTTTTAATTGAATCTCTCGTATTAAAAGAACATTTTGAAATCAATTATCACGTATTAATGTAATATTTACGTGTTCATTAACGGCCGATCTTTAACCGTAGAGAGTATGCAGAATTGCCGATCAAGAGACCAGTTGACATTTGAACTATGAAGAACACCGACTATAAGTGATACCATATCATTATACAGAGTCTCCAAGATCTATCAGGATAATAACCTCTTCAAATTCTATACCATACTATCTTATAGAATATCTTTTTAATCACCTTAAAAAAATAATAATAATAATACCAATGGGAAAGGGGGAAGTAATTCGGCCCCCAACCGTATTTCGCCTGGCGTAATGCATTTCGGCTTGAATGGTGCCACAGTAAACTGCCTAGGTAATTGTACATTGGAAAAAACAGACCCACTGATGTACTCAGGCTTATTTGACTTATTTGAGTGATATCAGCCCCGGCTGCATGACTGCATTACTCGCCCCCATCTTTGCCAGACAAAACTGCTTTTGACATCCTCTTTGTCTAATCCGAAAAACTTCACCTCCTAAACCTCTTTGTTTCACCATCCCCAGAGGTATCATCAACAGGGAATTTCCCTACACGAACCAGGAACCCCGGAAAACAACCCCGGAAAGACATCTGTTGCTCCCCGATCGCCGCTAAAAGGTGGGTGAAGAAATTCATTATTCGAGACCTTGGGAGACTGGGAGAAAGGAGAGATAATTCAGAAAAAAAAGATGGGAAAAAATAAAATCGAAATTATATGGAGGCTAACTCAATATCAAAAATAATAGATTGGCGAAGAATGCTCCAAGAGTATCTTCATCTCGAACTCGACTTGTAAGATGGTCTCGCCAGCTACACCCTATGTACGACCACCATCGAGTTCAAGTGCGCTATCAAAGAAACAAGCGCAGGGGCCTCGTCGCCCGCCACCACTCAACCTCAATCCCGCAAAGAAAGTCTTTAATTCGCAATCCACAATCAAAGCCGTTCGTGGTAGCGTGTGTTGGTCCGACGAGGGCACTGAAGTTCCCCTGATAATGGAACGGGGAGTCGGTTCTAATAGGTCCACACCAGGCCATTCCAGTGCTAAAGCCTCAGGAATCCTGGGTGCGAGACCCCATGAGTTGACCGACATGGTACTCACCAGGAATCTCAGTGTGGGGGAAGAGGATGATTTCGACCGTCGCCCTGTATCCCCTCAAAGATCTCTTCGCACTATTATTGATCTGGACTCGCCACTGGGGTCCGATGAAGAATCCGACATCTCTCCCATCTCTGAAGATCGACCTCTCGCCAACTCAAGTAAAGTGCTGGCCCGCTTTTTCCCTGAGTTAACAGGTAACTTTGCTGTGATGCCGCCCGATGGAGTCGAACCGAAGCCCAAGTTTAGGAAAGGTCGTCTACGTATTGAAGATGAAATTGGGGAACGAGTTCAGTCTCTTTACCAGAACTCCACGCACAATACCAGTCAACGAGCACTACGGGTCGATCATCACGCTGGAACTGAGACAGAAACAACCATTTCATCCGATCATGAGCGACAAAGTTCAACAACCAGCCTTGAAGACGGGAGGAAAGACAACTGGAAAATGGACAGCCTGTCTAAAGGGTCTCCCCCAACAGGCTTTGATGATGAGGCCTCGGTACATTCGGTTGGAATCGCTACACAAGTTCAAGTTCCCACGAACCGAATGTCCGCCAAACCCACGCCAACTCGTTATGACTCCAATTCTTCCAAGATCTCCAAGGCTTCAATACAAGATTTGCGATACAAACCATTACCACGTGCGCCCGTGATGGAGCCCGATATGCCTGAATCGTATTTAAAACCGATCTCATCGCGCGGACATTCCGCTTCCAACTGTGCTGACTGCATGGCTCACCGTCCCCACGTACCCCACTCTGTCTACGCGACGACCCGCCATAACCAGTCATCACGGTGTCAATCTTGCGGGAGACATGGTCAGTCTCCGAATCATCGCGAACGTGCTAACCGATCCGATCACAAACATCAACATCACGTTGAAAGAAATGGTTCAACATGGAAACACGCTACGGATGAGTTGGAGATTACATATATTAATGATGGAAAGTCAGGTAGACGAGTTTTGGTACTGGATGGTCCCCTCCAAATCAGTCGCAATAACCATGGTGACTTGGTCGCGGCGCGGCCCGCCCCCCTGCCTCCTACCACGAAACCTTACTCTGAATCACCAGCATCCTTGGAATTGCTAAGGAAAGAGGCTCGTCGGATGGGAAGTAGTACTTCTCTGCGAGAAAGTGTGACCAAGAAGAAGGGTCACAAGTATACCCGATCGAAGGACTCAAATGAGTCTATACGGGACGGTAAACCATCCAAGTCCAAGGATGAATCAAAGGGCGGTCGATGGAGCGGAGGAAATTCCAAATCCAACGATAGCTCGAAGGGTAGCGATCTGCAAAAGCTGAAAAAGTCATTTTCCATCGCCAGGCCCACATTCCACCGAAGTAAACCCAACACGCGGACGGATCAGCGCCGCTTCAGCAGGTTGAGTACGTTGAGCTCACGGTCGGATACGGCAGTGGACCCACAGGCGGATCAGACTAATTCTGACGAGGAGACGCGACGTTTGTCACGACATTTGTCCTTGTCGCATCCCAACCTTGAGGTGGTTCCGATCGAGGACGATGATTCGGGTTCTAACAAGCGCGAGGATCTCCTGCTTCAATTGCCTCGTCTGCAAACCGACAACTTAAGCTTCAAACATCTGCTCGAGCAGTTTGCGCCCGGTTACCAATCTTCTCCCCTGACCAACCCGACGAGTATTTCTAAACCAAACCAAGAAGACACGAGAGATGCGAAGGAAGTCTTTATCACCAAATTGTCTACGCCTCAAGCCCAAATACAACCGAACGATGACAAAATAGTTGTTGAAACTCCGTTGATGTACCCGCCTCAGACTATGCGACCATCGCAAAAAATGCGCCAGTCGACAGCATTCGTCTCTACCTCCAAGGCCAGTAGTGTCTACCTTCGAAACGAATTAGTCTACGAACTTGCCGCAGGACCACCCCTCCCCAGCTGTGCAAATGCCTCCACCGCTACCGATGTCACACGCCAATGGCAAAAATAACCAAAATTTCCGAATCAATTTCCCAATCGATGAGATTCGGGATTCTTTCGTGGAATTGCTACTGGAGCGCATGCCTTCCCTCGACGACCTGTTCAACCTAGCCCTCGCGAACCGACGATTCTACCGCCTTTTCAAGCAGCGAGAGTTGTTTCTGATTAAGAATGCTCTGTTCAAGATGTCACGGTCGGCATGGGAGCTGCGTGAAATGAGCCCTCCCTGGACTACCGAGTGGCAGCTTGTCCTGGATCCAGACTCCCAGGTGCCTGAATACACTGGCAAGCTCTACTTGGACCGGTATGCCCAGGATATCTTCATCTTGGCACAACTGAAATCCATGGTACTGATGCGCTGTGCTCCTTTCTTGCGACCGGACACTGTGCGTGGCCTGGCTGGATTGGATGATGACCGTGCAGAGGAGGTTGACAATGCCTTCTGGAGAGTCTGGACCTTCTGCCGTATTTTCGGTAGTGGGAAAGGTCGTGAAAATGACATCGAGGGCCAGATGGACTGGCTGAGGGGTGGAAAGAAGGCTCGAACATTCCATGGCGCATCTTCCGCCATGATGACTGAGCCTTACGGAATGAACAATGTCCTGTTCGAGCCACCAGTGGGATTCGCACGTGGAAATTGCGGTGGACTCACTGCTACGGAGCTCTACGACATGACTGAAATCTGGAACTGTTTGAATGTCCTGGTGCAGCCTCTTCATGGCAAGTGCATTGAGGCTCGCAGGGCTGGTATCTTCGATGGAAAGCATGTGCCGGAGAACGACCCAGTTCGCGAGGAAACTGTTCTCGGTAAGTTAAGAATATACCTAATCCAGCTCAACAATGACTTACTAACTTTGAAATACAGAGGAATGGACATCTTGGGTTCTCACTCTTGGATTGTCTGCCGTCATAGCCCTTAGCTCTCTTACTCCCAGCGAGACTCCGGCCATGATTTTCCAGAGGGCCAAGGACCTTGGTCTTACCAAGTGGGATCTTCCTGAGACTCGCGTGACCCGTCAATCCTTCATGAAGGAAGCGGTTTCTCGTGTTTACGAAGACCAGGAACGGTTCATGATACTTCCTTCCGGTTCCGCCGACAGCCCATGTGAATTGCCATCGGACGAGATTCCCACACGCGGAGAAGATAACGAGCGTCGTCAAGCCCTTTCACTCGAGATTCGAATGCAGCGTACCCGAGGCGCGGAGCTCCCCGACTTCGTTAATACTTTCGCAACAGAGCGACCCATGTCCACATTCAGCACGATCCTCGGCAACCTGGTCGGAACAGGCAAAGCTTCAGCACCGCCAGTTCCTCCCGTACCTGGTCTAGCATCCGACCGATCATCAACCTCAACCGACGGCAGCAGTCCTGCTATTCCCGGTACCCCGAGTAATGGTCTGGACCATCTCGCACCTACCCCAGCCCAACACCCACACTACAAACTAAGCGCACACAATCTCAACATCACATCCGACCCATTCACTTCCCGTCCGCGCAGCCCCCCAATGTCACACTACCTCTCCCCACCTCTACCACCACAAGTTCAAGACCCAGTTGACCGAGCCATCTGCCGAATGGTGAATGACCTCGGCTTCAACGAAGAGGATGTGAAATGGGCACTCAAGATCACCGACACAGGTGAAGGGATCAACGTGGAAGCTGCAGAGCAGCTACTCCACCAACAAAAGAAGAAATCCGAGCGCAACCCATTCGTGACTCGAGGAAAGAACAGCAATGGAAAGAATTCCCTGCTTATGTCTGTTATCAAGCAACAGGGTGCCCAGGAGTCAGGTTGGCGATGGGCCTAAATTCCAATCCTTTATATCTGGATCAATCCATGATCCTGAGACAAAAAGTCTCTCACTGAAATGACCCCCATGTTACTCTGCACCTGTTTTATTTCTCCTGTTTTTAGCGACTTTTTGCAGTCTTCTCTTTTGTTCAACATTCAGAACATCTACAATATATGACCCCGGACAACTTTCTTGACTTACTATGTTCTCTCTCTTTCTATGTAAATGTATTCAATATGTAATTCTTTCAATCACAGCCAAAATTTCCTACATGTTATTCCAATCTTATAATTTCAGCCCATGGATGGAATCAATCACTGTATAACGTAACCCATAGAAACAAAATCACATGATCTGCACACATGGTTCCTATGACGCCCCGTAAATTATTTGCGAATCGATAATCCAACATTGAACTTGAACTCACAGACTCAAATAAAGACCAGTCCAACCAGACCAAATCTCCAAAACCTCTCTCAAATACACCTCCAAGTCCCACTACCTTACCCAATCATCCACAAATCAAATTGACAAAACCACAATGTCAACCCAACAACCAACTCCGCAACAGATGGAGGAAGCAAGCATACAAGCACGCCGAAGCGCAGACTTCGAAAAAGCCAAAACCTACATTGCATACGGCTTCCTAGTCCTCTCACCAGTCCTAATCGCCCTGCCACCGCGAAAACTCGACCACTTAACAGTGGCGCACGCCGCCGCCTTCGCATTCTCCGCAAACTACATCACGGAACAACGAACAGGACGCAGCATAGTCGACCGCGTACACTCTCGAATCGCCCGGCCCTCAATTCTAAGCGATTTGCCTTCTGACCGAGCCCAAGAAGTGCAGAAGCGGTTACGCGCTGCTCGAGAGGCGCAGTTACGGGAGGGTGGAATGCCTGAAGATGAGATTGAGAAGTGGAAGGCTTTGCAACGGAAACAACAGCAGGGTGTTGCGGAGAGAGTTTGGTTAGGTGGAGAGTCTGAAGGATGGATGGAGAAGAGGTTAAGGGAGGAGCAGAAGGCGTTGGAAGAAGGGAAGGGATATGGAGATTTGATTTATGAGTATATTTGGGATGTGTGGAGCTGGGGAAAGAAGGATGAGGAGGATGATGATGAATAGATTATTCTACCTCGTCTTTCAAGTTTTGGTTCACTGCGTGTACTCTTGGGTTGGCGTTGATGGGGAGAATGCTTCGAGTATGCTGCGGGTGCTGTCGAGTACCTGGTCCACAGGACTTAAGGATAACGTAGCCAGCTTCTGAGATTCTCCTATTCTTGTACTATAGTCTATGTATATTATTTGAAAATGGGCTGCGGTCCTCTGTATTCAGTAACGGCGTTTCTGATATCTCTACTTCAAGAATTTCTGATACTTTTCTAGCATAACAGCACTGAGGTGGTGGTAGTTCCGCGGTAGATCTTAGATGAGAAGTATCAAAGCAGCCCTGGAGACTGCAGAATGTGTCATGATATCTAAAGGTGTAGAGACCACCATGCTGAAATGATAATTGACAATGAAATAGAACCATGCCACCTCGGAAAATTCCCAGAATTCAATTCTCCTTAAAATCAGTGCCACAATTCAGCGTAGGGCCTTTGGAATAAGATGAACGACCGTTCCCTGGGTATATGTAGGTCGGAGAGTGATTCGGGAGAGATTCTCACTGGCTTGTCGCGGCAGAAGGAACCTGAGGTCGATGCTGAGGTAGTTAGCTCTAGATCCTGATAGAACACCGAGGCAGGGGAAATTGAAGCGGGTTTCATAATGGGGTTATACTTGCTTCCAAAAAGATCGAGGTATAGGATTGTAGGAGCACTGTTGCCCATGCCTGTATTCCTGCATCTTCACCCATTCACCATTTGATCGTGCACCACCGAGTTTGAAATACCCATCTGTCGGTAAGAGCCTCTCAGTACAGCTTTGATTCATCATCGAGGCTCGACCTTGTTATCACTTTTTCTGTCTCCTGCTAAGAGGAGATTTGGCTACTTTGGAGATGCTCAGCTTCGGCTGCATGCATGGCATTGGATCACATTGTCTCTCAGGGTCGCCTGGCCAATGAAGAAAACACAACCTGCTAATGTTTGGCTTCACTTAGTATCTCGCATGCATAGAACAATATGATCAGATAGTCTCTCAGGGTCCAACTTGAACACCAGTTTCATCATTGAGACATAGATTTCCAACGTTTGCCCACAGATTGCCCACAGATTTGCCCACAAATTTGAACTGAGAGAAGAGAAGTAGAGGAGGATAAGAAGGGATAGAAGAAGAGGAAGGAGAAGGAGGAGAGGATAAGAGGAGAAGAGAAGAGTAAGGAAGAGGTAGTGAGGAGAAGAGAGGAGGATAGAGGATAGGGGAGTAGGGGATAGATGATAGATGATAGAGGAGGGGGAGGTAGAGAGTAAGAGAATAAGAGAGAATATAAGAGGGGGAGAAGAGAGTAGGAGAGGGGAGTAGAGAGATAGGGAATAAGGAGAGTAGAGGAGAGGAGGTGAGAAAGTGAATAATGTGAGAGGAGAAGGATAAGAAAGAGTAGGAAAGGAGGGAAGAAAGAAGAAGAAGAGGAGGAAAGAGGATTATAAAGAGGAGAGGGGGAAGGGGAGAAAATGTAGAGGAGGAGAGAAGAGTAGAAGAAGAGAAATGAGAAGAGGGGGAGAAGAGGGAGAGAAGAGGGGAGAAGAGAAGAGGAGGATGAGAGAATGAGAGAGGAGTAGAGAGAAAGAGGAGAAGAGATATAGAGTAAGAGGGGAGAGCAGAGAGATAAAGATATGAGGAGAGGAGAGGGGATAGTAAGATGGAGATGGAGATGAAGAGGATGGTGATGAGGAGGATGGTGATGAGGAGGATGAGAAGATGGAGATGGAGATGGAGATAGAGATGGAAGAATATAAATAAGAGGAAGATGGTGATGAAATGGAGATGAGGAGGATGGAGAGAATATAAACAAGAGGAGGAGGAGGAGTGAAGGAATTAAAGAGTAGTGAATGTTCTCTCACTTTCGCGTAGTAAAATTTCTTTTTTCTCCCCTTAACTCTTATGCTACCTAGGTAGTTAATTTGAGAATTTTCAAATTATCTAAAGTATTGGACTAGACTCCATTCAATTCAAATTTTGATGAATTTTCAAATTGGCCCTGATATCAAATTTGGACCCGGACATCTGTAACCTGACTCGGTCGCCCTATGGAGCCTAGAGTTGAGTAATTACTTGTACTATCCAGGATGGAGAGCATTTGACCCGGAGTGACCAAAAGGTGTTGAATCGGGTTTACACATAGTTTTGTGAGCAGGGAGCACGCCGGTTTGGACGTATCGGCGTATGTTGTCAGCTGTACACGTAGATCTGGCTGAATAACTACAGTGCTGTGAGACAGAGATGTGCATATTAGCATGTTTCAAGCATGGTCGACAGACGAGACGTGCACATACGCCCACGGAATCTTGTTCAAGGACAACGGAACCTGAAAACTTGGCAGCTGAATTATGGGCACTAAATGGAATTGATAAGTCATTCTGCTTGGTGGCCTGTACATAGGACTGGCGAACGTACATGATCACCGGCGTGGCTGGATCCAAAGTGTTTCCAATCCAAAGTATAGGATGAACTGGATTGCCAGCAATGGGCCCTGACTAGAGTCAAAGTGTGATCAAGAGAGGGAATCGATGGTAATATCTTCATATCTCCATTTCGGTCTAGTTTTCCACCCCAAGCAGGACATGGTGAAAGCAGCCCATATGTCAGTCATCCATTTACTCTGTTCTTTCAAAACTTCATAATAGTCGAAAAAGTTGTCTTTCCCCAGAGTAGAACGGTCCTCCCCATCTGTGCAGGCAATAGATGCCAAGACTTCCAGGATGATTTCCTCGTGGGGGGGCACCGGATGTCAAGTTGTTGCGACCATCATCAATCGGATGTATTGATATCTTTTCTGCATTCTTGATATCCGCGAGAAAGCTTCCATCTCCAAGGGAGAGACTGGTGAAGACATCTGCCAATGCTGGGAAGTACTCCAGGGGCTCATATACCGACTTTTAATGTATCGCAGAATATTGCTGTAGGTGATGATATCAGGGCCCCGGGTCTCCGAACCCGGCACGACTAGAGGAGTTCTGTTAAGTGATTTAAGAGTCCTGTCTAGAGTAGCTTCCAGATCCTTGGGACTGCTATCATCTGAGAATGAGCATTTGGATGGCCCAGCCTGCTGACAAGACTCAAAAAACCTCATCATGATCTTGTCAGTACCTAAGATATTAGTTTTCCAATACCCAGAATACATAATTTGTGCATCGCAGATACCATCAAGGACTAGACGCTTGACACGATGAGGTTGCATCGCTGCGAATGTTGCACCCACAACTGTACCGTAAGAAAGCCCCAAAACTGTAGAAGCTCTTCACCTTTCCGCCGTCGATTTGCATCTCGAATTGTTTGTTTCTCAGATTCAGACATCATCGGCTGACCAGCCAAGATTTCCTCACTTTCTTGTTGTCGCCATTCTCCAAGACGCTCGATTATCTCAACGACATCCGCAACGTTTGGCGTAGTATTCATGAACTGACCTATCCTTGGACCTCCATCACGTGTACAGGTGGCCGCCAACGCCATGGCTCTCGCCCATGCTTTCTCTGTTGCTATGTCTGAGCTGCCCAGTTAATCAAACAAGTTGTTGTCCAGAGACCAGCGCCGGCGGGAGTACGGCTCTGAAAAGCCCTCGTACCGAGGGGTAGAATTATTGACACCACGAGGGTCGTATCCTATGATGTCGTAGTATAGTCCATCTGATGGAGAAGGAGCCTGCATAAGGACTGTCAGCACTGAGGTAAAACGGGTGCTTGCGAAACAAACTGGTCTGACCTTGGCTAGATTGGGGATGATTTGTGTGTCCACTGTCATTTGAAAGCGTCGACCTTGTGCCAAAATAGTGGCTATCCCAGATCCTCCAGGACCCCCTAGAGAAATATTAACTCCGGTTGCCAGGAAGATTGCTGGAGTTGTAGTACCTAGGTTGACTAAAATAGCTCCTCCATATCTGGGATCAGTGATGGGTACCCGCACGGGTATGTTGATGATTGCAAGTGCGACCTTTTCTTGCTCGTTATTGGTGCTGTTCGAATCTATGGGGACTTCGAGGCGGGCGCATTGATAATCTTCGAAGCATGGGATATATGAAAGCCGTTCTGATGGGGTGATCTGGTTCGGTGATAATATGTGGTCAGCGAGATTATCTCCTTTTAAAACAAAGAAAACATACCGATGGCCAGGGTGACTTCCATAATCCATCACCTGTCAGATTCTCCGGCTGGTTCCTCAACTCCGAGGGAGTATAGAATCGTTCAGGCGGATCACTTGGTTGGTGGAACCACAGGTGCCTGACATTGGGTAGACTGAGAAGCAAGCATCCCGATAGGAAGATTATAGACCATCCTATCTGTCTGAGAAGCCCATTGGGGTATGGTCGTGTCGGAACATTGCCGATGGGGGTTTGAGCACCCATGATTGTGATGGATGTGCAGTTGAAAGAGTAAGAAGAGCTCCGATGCTCAGCTAATTGTCCAAGTCATACATCCTTGCAATTAATACAAGGCTGCTATTAAGCGGTGTAGATGATAGTACTGAGTAGCAGAAGACAGGTAAAATCGCATTCAGTATTTTCTATCAGATTCATTAGCATCTTGAGTGATATTTCGTTTTCGCTTTCATTCGAAGCTGGGATGAGTGCTTGACTGCCCAGTGTTGACCGTCTGCTAATCAGACTGAGCAATCTTTAACTGAACTAGTTTCAGACAACGGGATCAAAACTTTGCGAAATAATATGAGTTGTTGGCATTTTGGCATGATAAACACAGGGAGATACAACAGTTTCATAGTACTAGGAACCAGCATGTCGTTTACTTAGGCGGGCTGGCATGCAGTAAGAGACCGGAAACCCTAGAGAGCTTAACCACCCAGCTGGTACACGGAAGAAAAGAGAATCTCTACGGGATACAGATCATAAGGACTTCAATTTGGACCATTGTAAACAGATGAATTATTAATTGAATTAAATTACTATATTAAATTGAAGAAGGCGGTATGTGACGCCCTCTCCCCATCTAACACCCTAGAACTTGAAAGTTCTAGCATAGAGAGTGTCTAGGAAAGAGAAACGACTTCACTCTCCAGGGCCGGGAACGGAAGGAAACCCATTAAAGACGGAAGGCCTAGGTAACCCTCAGCAAGCCACAATGTGGAGCCCCAGTGTATTTACATCGTAATGTAAACTGTAGATGGAGAGAAAAGAAGAAAAGAGGAAAGTTGCTCATCGCGCGGAAGCTTTTATTTGAGATTTTCGCGCTAGAGCTAATGGGGACCTCGGGGATAGGTTATTCCGGGTCTCCACCTATACAACACAGAGGAGTGGGCGGACGGCAAAGGGACCATGCACAAAGACCACGATTGAAGACCACGATTGTGCGTGGTCTTTAGAGGGAAAACTATGGTCTGTTTACCTACTACTCACGCTGGACCATCCAATACCAAACTAGCCAATCGAGGCTTAACACCATTACGCGACCATCATTGCCCAGGTGTCCTCAGCGCGTACTTTATAGAGCAAAAGCTATAAAGGTCTAACTCCTTTTGTTTGGATCTTATCCCTGGATCTATAACTTAGATCTTCGGGATCGTCTCAATTTCTGGCAACATAAAATACCGGATAAAAGTGAAAATACGAAACAGTTGGGATGTTTTCTTGTTGCCCTCAACCATAACCACCTCCCATGCATCAATCGAAATGCCCCGTCCAGTCAGGTGAAATTGACGCGTAGTCTCCAGTGATCCAATCATGCTAGCCCCCAGCGGGGGCCAAGAAGCACCAAAATTCCAGCTTCAAACACCCTCTCAAGACGATCCAGCCGCTGATTGTGAGAATCACTTCACAAGCGTCGTCCCTATATTCTGTATGAGTACTGCTTGAGTGTCCCTCAACGATGGTAAATTCAAGTGCCCCCGACTCGAAGAAGGATGCGGGGCATTTGAGTAAGTTCTGGCGGCGGTTTCATTCAAAAAAAATCGCGCAGGATCAGACGGACCGCATATCCCACCTGGCACGAGTAAACAGTCATCCATTGTAAGCCACGGTACTCTGCCAGAATCTCTTGTTCTGTCCCCTTCGGCATCCTCCATCGCGGTGCCCTCGAAGAATTCCACTGTCAAGAACACGACCAACGCACCTCGGGTAGACCTCGATGGGCTCTGGGAGGAGGCATATAAGGAGCTTTCTGATAATCCAAAAAATTCTAAACTCGTCACGGCCTATGAGAAATGTCTGGCCCAACCAGGAAATACCGAGAACGATATCTCAGAAATTGACATTATTCCATGCTTGAGGTCGGTAATTGAAAATCGCCTCGATGAGATAGAACGCTGCCGGATCAAGGTCACCTTGGCAGGGAAGGAGATCATCGGCAAGGATCAAATACGGAGGGCAGCGGACAAGATTTTATCTGTGAAGGATGCTGTCACGATAGCAGTGAGCGCCGAGCCACACGCTGCTTTGGCATGGGCCGGAGCTTTGGTACTCTTGAACTCTTTCACCAATGCTTTGAAACAAGATGCAAAAGCCATGGACGGATTCAAGTATATCGCAATAGTTCTCGCTCGCTATGGTGTCGTCCAACGTGACTGGAGCAGCTTGTATTCCGCAGCAAGGCAATCCAAGGCATCAGATGACGGCCGTGCGCAGTAAAAGCTGGGAGTTTCAGTGAGGGAGCAGATGGTGAAGATGTACAAGGTTATAATTCAGTACCAGATTAGTCTTGCGCGCCACTACGAAGATCTTGGACTTTCGCGGTTTCTGGAAGATTTTGCCACCCCTAAGGACTGGGAAGGGATGCTGAATGCCATCAAGGATATTGAGAAGTCGATCACTCAGGATCTCAGTATAATGAATGCGTCGACATTGGTACAGATTGACCAAACCTTGAAGAAGCTCGATGGGGATATGGAGAGGTCATATCAGATGATGAATGAGGTCGACATAATACAGAGATAACGTGACCTATTGACTCTACGACCTGCGGGTTGAATCTTTGACTAACATGTCAGGAAGAGTACCAAATAGCTACAATTCGTCAACATTCTCGAGCCCAAAGTTGCACAGCAAGCCAGATTGCAATCTTTTGAAAGTCAGTACAAGACAGAATGCTTCGAGGGCACACAGGTCAATGTGCTCGAACAAATCCATGCATGGATTGTATCGCCTGGGCCAGAGCATATGTATTGGCTTCGCGGAATGGCCGGTACAGGTAAATCTACGATCTCACGAACCATCGCGACTCAATGTCTCAATCGGAAATCCCTCCCCGAGACAACTTGTCTTGGAGGAACCTTTTTCTTTGACCAGAATCAAGGCGAGCTAAGCGCTGCTCCATACTTATTCCCTACACTTTGCACGGCAACTGCGGATTGTCTTCCCGAGATCAGACCGGAGATCTGCGAAGTCAATAAAGACCATTCAAACATATTGTACGAGTCACTCAGCAATCAATGGAAGCACTTGATTCTTGAGCCCTTTTTGAGATTGGAGTCGCGAAATTCGCACAATCGACTCCCAAAATTGACTCTAGTTGTGGTCGTAGATGGACTTGATGAGTGCAGCTCCGGGAGTGATGGAGATACCGTTGGCACCATCCTGGACCTCATCACCGAGGCTTCTCAATTAAACTCTTTCCGATTGAAATTTCTTCTGGCTAGCCGGCCAGAAAGTCACATATTTACAAGCTTTGATGCTATTTCTCGATCTTCAACTTGCCTCCGAACAAGCGAACTCCAAAAGATCGAACCGTCTATAGGGTTTGAAGTCCCAGATGATGACATTACAAAGTTCCTGCGGACCAAGACCCGAGAGACCACTGAAAGACACTCTAATCTGAAAACCGACTGGCCTGGTGAGAAGGCGCTTGATGGGCTTAAACGCAAAGCTGATGGATTGTGGATCTATGCAGCAACAGCCTGTCTGTTCATCGGCGATAAGAATCTAAAACATGCGAATACGGTTGAAAAGCGGTTGAATCACCTTCTTCGAGAAAATGGCGACGTGACAACCCCCGAAGGCACACTGGACGCGATGTACCTTAGAATCTTGAAGAGCTCAGTGATGCAGTCTGCTGTTCCAGAAGAAATGGATGACATTCGCTCCCTATTTCAAAATATTGCCGGGACAATCGTCGTCCTCTGCCATCCTCTTTCCACTAGTGCACTCGGAGCCCTTTTAACTAGTCCAAGTTGTAACGAGATTGAAACTCTTCTGAGCGAACTTGGTTCAGTCATATCGATGGGAAATGGTCAGGACTCACCTATCCGCCTTGCTCAATTGTCATTCAAAGACTTCCTTGTGAACAATAAGAGGTGCATTGATAAGAACCACCAGGTCTCAAAAGAAGAGAGGCATTCATATTTGCTAAAGAAATGCCTCACTACGCTTGAGGAAACATTGAACCAGGATATCTGCGGGTTTGCTGATTACGGAATTCTTCAAGAAGATGTTCCCCTGAACAAATCACGAAGTATTTGCCAGAGCATGTCAAATATTCTTGTTTGTACTGGGTTGAGCATCTGACGTTTGCGAATGATCCTCTCGTGGAAATGGACGAGTTCATCGATTCTTGAAAGAGCACATCTTACACTGGCTTGAGACCTTGAGCATTCTGGGGCGGATGTACGAGGGCACCAATGCTGTGATTATGCTTTCAGATCATGTAATGAGCTTACAGGTAAGCCACATCAAACTACAATTCCTACATCTGGCGTGTAGACGACTGATTTTTGCTTCCAGGCCGATGAGTCATCTGCGATCAAAGAGTTTTTTTTCGACCTGAGGCGTTTTGTGCTCAATTGTAGATCAACCCTAGAGTGCGCGCCTTTGCAGATCTATCGGTCTGCTCTGATTTGCTGCCCAGAGCAAAGTCTTGTGAGAAGGCAGTACCGGAGTTTAATTGATCAATGGCTCATTGGTCCGCCAATATCAGGACTATCCTGGAGTCCTATACTGCTGACCCTTGAAGATGTTCTCGATGCTCCCTACGGTGGAGCTGTCGCGCTGTCGCCTGATGGTAATATGGTTGCGTCTGGCTCAGCTCTCTGGGATACAGCCACGGGAGTTTTGCTGAAGGTTCTAGAGCAAATTGGACGGGGATCAAAGGTCGCGTTTTCTTTGGATGGGATGTCTGTGATGTGTTTATCTTTGAAGGGTCACGTACGAATTTGGGATGCCTTTTCGGGGCGGCTGATCAGGGAAGTGAGAAGTTCTGTTGAGGATCACCGGGGCCAGTGTCTCAGTCTCTTTTCACCCGACAAGGCTTACACCGTTTCGTATACAACAACACTTGAGATTCTTGACATTGAAAAGGGAACGCTTGTGAAGGCATTCGAAACACACGCCGGTAGGGTTTCGTATATAGTCTTCTCGCCCAACAGTGAGCTTCTAGCAACTACTTGCGAAGGAGACATACGAGTTTGGGAGGTTGCCACTGGTAATATGCGGCATGACCTGAGAATTGATGATGGATCGCAAACAACTTTCGAGTGCACGGAATTCTGCCAGAGGACTGAAGTGATCGGAGCTGTATCTCGTGAGAATATCTTCATTTGGAGCGTGGCTACCGGAGAACTACTCAAACGGTTTTCTGGAGGCCTGGATAGCATGATGTGTATTACATTTTCGCCAATCAGCAATTGGTTGGTTATCACTGGGGTTCTTGATACTAACTCTATCGTCCAAATTTGGAATTCGCGTTCTAGTGAAGTCCTCAGAACAATTCATACGGACGACTGTAATCTCGTTAGGTTTTCCCCAGATGGCAGGCTGTTCACATTTGTTCCCAAGCCCTTGGGACCTATCAGCAGACTTTTTTCAAATAAGCCAGTCAAAGTGTGGAATGCCACAACTGGACAAGTGGTCGCGACTTTCAGCAATTATAGCTCTCACCTATGAGAAGTGCTGTTTTCGCTGAAAACAAACCATGGTTGGCTTTTAGGCAGGAAGTTGTCCGTTTGTGGGATCTTACACGTCAGACTGAGCATGATCGACACGAACAATCTGACGGCAGGGCCATCGAATGCATATACTTGTCACCGGATCACAGAACGGTTGTTACCTTTGGGGGGAAAGCTTTGTTTCTGGGATCTCAAAACAGCTACTCTGAGACATAAGGCAACTTACGAGCATTTACGCCGTGTTTTCTTTTCACCTGATAGCAAAACATTTGTCAACTCTACTGACGGCCAAGACGCTGTGCAAGACCTGTCTAGTGGATGGGTCATTTTCGAAGTTGGGGATTCTTTTGGCAGTGGTTATGAATTCAGCAAGAATGGCAAAATGCTGGCTCGAACAGTTGCCGGAGCTGGATCCCTGGTAAACATTTGGGGAATAGATTCACAGAAGTTATTGCACACTCTAGAGGTTCATGTGGATGACCCAATGTGCTTGGAAACCGTAACTCGCTTATCATTCTCGCCAAGCGGACGATTCCTGGCGGCTGCTATTCGCAAAATCCGGCGTATCGTGGTTGGATCAGAAGAGGTGCCACCCGAATCTGATGAATGTGTAACAGAATCATCTAATCTGCATATCTCGATCTGGGAAGTGGAAACAGGAGAGCTTCACATGACCTTGTCTGTATTGGACTGGAATTTGGAAAGTACATATATGGAAAAAAGAAACGAAAAGACCGTGTGGAGGACGCATTGAAGGATGGACAATACAGAAGCAAATGGAAGCGATGGCCAAGTGTGAAAATCTTACTTGGTCACCAGATGAAACTATTTTGGCAGCTCTATACAACCACCACCAGGAAATTTTGACGTGGGATACTGCTGAAGGGAGACTGCTTTATTCGATTGAACGTCTGGCATTAGGCTCTGGCGCGCTCGCTTTTTCTCCCGATGGCGCTTTTTTGGCCTCTGATACTCGGCGTTTGGAACTATGGGAATCACGAACAGGCAACTTGATTGGTGAGCGCGCAATTTATGCAGGACGGCACAGCTTGCGTTTCTCTTCAGATGGCACAATGATTAGCAGACACAGGTCGATTCGATGTGAGGTCTTTCTTCCCTGAGTAGGAACTTTCATCTCACCGAAATATCCTCGTCAATGATTGGATCGTTCTAAGGACACGAAAAATGCTATATCTGCCACATGATTATCGATCTGAACATGTCGTTGTAACATATGACATGGTGGTGATGGGACACAAGTAAGGCCGCGTGAGCTTCCTCCGACTAGATGCTATGTAGCTCAAGCCGTCACATCTGGAACAACACATTGATGGGGGTTCAGGTGATTGAGCATACATGTAGAAATTAGAGTAGTCGTATAATCAAATATCACTTGAAGAAAGCCGGGAATCTCGATAGCCTTGGAACTAGAGGACAGCCAGAAGATAAATCACAGATAAAAGGCTGTAACTAATACATAGAAACTCGGGATAGTTCACACCCATGAACCGATCCATGTGGGTAATGTTCTCGGAACTTGACTCGGTTCAAGTGCACGCATACTCTCTTCAACAGCAAAGATCAAATCATTCGCGAAGGCTTGACGTGCAGCGTCACCAGAGGATCCCGACCGGGCCCGATATGCTTTTGATAAGACACGACTGACCTCCCATTTCCCATCTTCTTTCTTTTCTGGGGAATCAACGATCTCTTCATTTTGCAGTGTCCAGCCTGTCTGACTAGCGAGCTGAGTGATAGTCTGTGGGGACATAATGGTCTGGATGTTGTCATTCCGGTCTAGAGCATCATCCCTCGAGTTGAACTCAGCTTGTGAGATAGCAGCTAGCATATGCGGCAATGCAGCCATGTCTCCACGGATATTAAGGGAGTATTCTGCGATGAGAAGATGCTTTGTTCTTCCCTGAAGAGCTGCTAGCATTTCTTGAAGCACCCCTGCAGATGGTAAATACCAAATGGAGTGCGCAAACACTGCATAGTCATAAAGTGACTCGGAGGCACTGGATGCTAGGAACGCTTCGAGGTTCGATTGATGGAAGGTGATTCTATCCCCAATATGACATTGCTTGAGTCTATCTTGTGCCTCTCCTAAAGTCATTGGCGCGCCTACTTAACCCATTAGCCGTCATTCTTCTAGCAGGAATCTATACGGGGTAACGAACCGTAGTCCAAGGGCGCTGGATCGATTGCTGTGACATGACCCTGGTCTCCAACCACATAGGCTATCACAAGGGTACAATCTCCTTGCCCGCATCCAATTTCGAGTACTTTTGATCCCTCTGGAATACCCCACTTCCTACACACATCCAGTCTGCCTTGGATTTGAGGTTCAGACGAACCACCATCAGAAAGCTTGGCAATATTGGCAACGTCAATAGACATAGTGTCCGACATTTCTTTTTCGTATTTCTGTGAAAATGGAAAGATGAGATGATCTATAAGGAAACTTCCTCGTATTAATACTTTTCTCTATGTCTAGTGTCGTTCCGCTACTGAGAAGGATTTTAGATGACTCAGAATGAATCACTAACAGTCACTCACGGATACTCCAATTGACAGGAAGCGAGAAGTGTTAATCAATTTTACGCCCCTTTCTTACGTGAGAAATTTATGTCTCAGTCTGTACTGAAGGTAAAAAAAAGCCAACAAAAAAGCTCTTCCATATCAATTACCACCGATTGATTCGAAGTGAAACATTTTAAACTAATTCACCAATTTGAGGATAGTTAAAAAGAAAAAAAATAGATATAGTAGGACGAAGCGACAAGGAAATCCTGGAAGAAGAAAGACAGACACGGTAAGACCAAGGTGAACACACTCAGGTTCAATCATTCATATCGTCATGATACTCAAGATGCGGGATTACAGCACCTCTACTCTGCGGGGGTAGAGCCTTCGGCTGTTTAGGTACATCCGCTTCAGATAATGCGGGTCTAGTGGGCGGAGCAGTTGTCCCTGGTGGCATAGGAATTCCTCTGCTGCCCCCACCTCCAACATTTCTGCGTGGCGCCCCTCTCACATGAGGATTAGGTACCGGTAAATGATCCATCAACTCCTTCTGTGTGTCTGCGATAAACAAATCCAAATTTCCATCAGGAACATTGGCATAATACATCATGTACCTCAACCAGGGACCATCCATTCGTGCATTCACACCAGGCTGATGGTCTCCATCCATAAGAGAAGCTTGGATTCTAGTCCACGGAGCCAATCGTTCGCCTCTACCATCTAGGATAGTCACTTCAAGTTGAACAATCTCTTGTGTTTTCGGTCCGTTAGCGGTATAGAATACCGTACTCCATGCCACGCGGAGTGGAGGATCATTTGGTGGGCCAAATGGACCCATGATGGTTCGAATATCACCTCTGTATAGTGCCAGCATGGTAGCACCAGTATCATGCATGAATTGGAGCTCAGACCACCATTTATATCCTGGAATTCGGACTGCCATTTTATACTAAATCGAAAATTGAGAATGAATCAGTATTTCTCGTATCTAGTAACAGTAAGATATCAAGTCATGTTTCGTGAGATTCATACATAGTTTAATGTGTGGACCCTGTTCCATGGTGGAATAATCAAAAAAGCCATTTGAGTCATAGGACCTGGCTGTGAGATCTGAGTCAAAAACAATATTGTGTTAGTTCAACTCGTTCTGAAGGTAATCCGCGAGAGAATCATAATTCGAATATGAAAACATACCCCTTCAGTCCAGAAGCTATTGTTCCCATCAAATTTATCATAGACTGCTTCAAATTCATCCCAGTCAAACAGTCTAGGTTGACAAAGCTGCTTTCCTTTCGACCAATATGTTACATATCCTTCCATCCATTGCAATTGACCTGAGAGATAAGCTTGCAAAACAGCTTTGATATTTTCCTGCTGTCTTGCTTTACGTTCTCTTGCAGCAATCGAGTCCGTCGATTCCAGCATATTGGAAGATCCATTGACCTGAACTCCATTATGACTCGGAATCTCGTTAAGCTCGTTATAGATTGTTCTGAGACTTAGAATTCGTTCGATAACCGCGGGTGTGAGATCAGGATATAAGTTCTGGTTGTATCTGATTGTAAAATAGCTTTTCTTTAGCATCTGTCAACAATAAGAATTTGAGGAGGACTCACACTTGCATGTCCTTTACGGACTGGTATTCTTTGAGTCGTTGCTCAAATACCATGGGCATGATATTTGCTTGCAGTCTCTCATGGCATCGAGCAATCTGCCCATCAATATCCCTGGTAATAAACTTTCAGTGGATTCAGATGTTGTTAGCATGTCCATAAAAACAGATATCACTCACATAGTATCCAGGTCAGGTTCATCCGCCGTCCATCCTTCTGGAAGCTGTTCAGGATCGATGAGAGGCTGCGGACCTTTATGCTCCCACTTGGGATTTTTCTTCGCCTTTTTGTGGGGAGGAACTTCCTCAACCACCTCCTCATCATCATCGTGCATTAACGTATCATTGAGGTTCAGTGAATTGATATCAACTGGATAACGCTTGCACTCATCCCATGGTGATTTCCTCTTGTTTGAGTCCTCCTCATGATTATTTACTCCATTAGGTATGTCCCCATTAGGCATGTCCCCTCCATTAACTTTGCTCGTCTTGTCACCTTTCTTCAAGTTCTGCTTCTTTTTCTTCTTATGTTCCTTCTTTTCCTTCTTCCCCTTTTCCGACTTCTTCTTGCCGTCTGGCAAGTCGGATGCACCTCTTTTTGCCATTCTGGGTAAATGTGTTAGAGACAATGACTTGACGGTTGAGGTATAGAGCAGTGACTAGTGGGTTGTATAAAGATTCGTAACTCAATGAAGATCCTTAACTCAATGAAGATCCTCATCCCTTTTGAATGTTTTGCCCTAGTAAATGAAATTAGGAAGGCCACCAAATTTGGGATTGAAACCTGATGTTTGCAATTTCGCAACAAAGATCTCACAGGAGTGCCCCAAAGTCGGTTGCTGAAAAGTCGGTTGCTGAAATAAAAGGGAACATGAATTCCAAAGACAATCAAAGAAACTCGAATCATCTAATTTGGGCATTTCTTTATAGAACTAATTAGTTAACCAAAGTTCCTCGAGATAGGCTGTCGGTGTTATACCGTACACCTGTTCAAGTTGGATATAATCACCTCAATAACAACGTTGAAAGCTGCTAGTTTCTGGGGATATGTCATTGCAGGCGATCAATCTCATGTTCAAAAATGAGCGAAGCTTGGAAGATGCCCCATCTCAATGGACGTGGCGGGGATGCCACATAGTTTCTTTTGATGTTGTTGCAAAGACCTTGAGACCAGCAGATCAAATTTGAAGGTGCGGCTTATAGTTGAAAGGGGCATTGTCTCAAAGAAAGTGAAAGCGATGTGGCCATTTTCAGTATTCAAGTCCAGAGGTAACCCTTGAATAGAGAGAGCTGTTTGATTCGGCTTTCATCTCAAAGAAGTCTTCCTGGTCAAATTTTCCCCTTTATCTTGAGACGCAGTTTGAATCTGACAGGACATATCATTGGCAACTCGAAAGGACAACTGTAACACCCAAAAAACGACGAGAGAAAGGGGTCGAGCTTTAGCACTTTTGAAAGCAGTTGTTGGAATTCTATGATGCAAAGACATTCCACAACAGTTGAAGAACTGTAGTTTTTCGCTCTGGGCTAATGTGCATTTCAATAGGCATCTGGAGTCTATAGCACACAAGTCTCACGCCGCGCTGCTTCGCGCGACACTCTAGCCGCGGAATTGGCGAACGTATGTTCTCAACACTCAAGTGCTTGGGCAGGAAGCTCGGTCAAATGTACTTTATCATCCCAGTTAGATTCCAAAGTTAACTTCAAGTTCCTGCACATGCCAAAGTGTGTTCACATCCTCTCGGAGAGTCACATTTGGTCACGTACTACTTGAGTACTTAGTCAGGATCATATAGTACACGGGTATCTAGTAGTAAATTGGTGACCTACCTCTCTTTTCATGTAAGTATTTACGGAATTCTAACATTTAAAGGGTACCTATATACTATAATGATGGCCTGGGTCCACTTAGATGAAAATAATACTAGTAGCTGCTGTGCAGTTGGATATAGGAAACTAGTAGGCCTACTGAGATAAGCTGTAGGCTGATTCTGCCCCTCTTAGCTCGAGCACATGTGCAGTAGTGAAGAGGCCTATATATAGGAGCCTGGATAACTTAAATCTCCAAATTGGAAGCATTCTTTGTATGTCTTGGGTTCTAAAAATCGAATCAATTATTGAATGGGTTGAATTTTATGGTGCCTATTGATCCCATTGATATGAACGTAACACTTTGAAAGATCATGGGTTGAGTACATATTGAGATCACATAAATTTGAAAGCGCTAGTCCTCTAGGTTTGAATGCGGACTTTCCTGTGAAAATATGGAGAGAATGATATTTCTTCAAAAGAATATTTTAATTGAAAATAAGCAAGATGAAATATTATTTTACATTGACAAAGAAAACCCATGTTGAATTGACCAGATGAGTGACTCGGAGGCGAGATCCACATTAATTTTGCGGCTGTTCAGGAAAATCGGATTGAGACAGCAGCGAACCCTCAATGATCTTGCCAATGTGGGTCTTGGAAATCTCCTTTGAATCTTTGCGAATTTGAGACATCAAAATTCTCAGGAACTTTAACGGGCTCTGCGAGAAAGAGCTCCTGCTGGCCTCATTCCCACTCACGATAAAACCATCCGCCGCAACGAGAAGATCTGGGGTTGTCGCGACTGATGAAACCCCGAGGAACTTGCAAACTTGACGATATTCCTCATAACTTGTCAGATAGAGGTGGCCAGAGAACAGGTCCAATTGAATGCGCAGGCTCTCGGGTATCCGCACCTTCGCGCGCTGCGGGACGGTGTACAGCCTCAGGTCATCCAATGGAGCGAATGCTCTGTTTTGGCGGGGTCCATAAACCTCAAGCGTGACATGCATTGAGTCCCGGATTTCATCGATGAGTTCATTGGCTTCATATGGGCTGATAATAATCAAACGGCCATCCCTTCTGCATTCTTCCTCATGGAACATTCGGAATGTTAAAACCCAGCGCACGGGCCTTTGAAAGCAATCCAAGTTGCATGATGATCTTGAAGGGGCCTGAACAGTTTTGCAAAAGTCTGCAGTCGCGAGGAGTCCTGTGGGAAATTCATCTATGTCCAAGTGTGTGGCCGCAGATGTTGAGCTTAACGCTTTGAAGGCGGGCTGCCAAGCTGAAGAGGGTTCTCTCAGTTGACCCTTACGGATCAAATGCAGGAGATCTGGATGGATCTGGTGCTGCATGGCTGGAATTGGTTGAGGTCTTTCCACTTCTCTCTCACATTCAATCTCTGGCGCAAGTTCGCGTTCCTGCTCTTCCTGGAGAGCCGCAGAATCATGCTCAAGACTCCCAAACTCCTGACACCGCTGATCAATCAAGCCCAATCTTTCATTGGCCTCCCCTACAGAATCAGGGAGGGATGTGTTGTCCTGAAGAGGTGAGTAACGATCTTCAATCGTTTTGTACTCCTCCTCCAGAAATTCCTCAGCTTGCTCTGGTGAAATGCTGGAGCTTTCACTCTTGAAGATTCCATCCCAAAGGGAACGCTGGCGTTCATAGCGTGAACCCTGCAGTGCCCAAAGTGAAATATTATGCTTCATGTCACCCCAGGTCTCAACGACAGCCCATTGAAGAACCTCTGAAACTTCGATTTTCGACGTCTGATCTGGCCCACGCAAAGCAAAAATGCGGTTCTGAACCTCCGTTGGAATGCAGAAGACCACCGATTGGCCGTGGCCCAATTTCCTCATTCTCATGCATGCTTGATTCTTATTAGCCTTGTTTCTCTCATGAAATGATGGAAGCAAACCTACCTTGCACCAATTTATCCTTAGTTGTCTTCGGACCCAGAGTTACCGCTGCGCGATAGCTCTTAGGAAGCTTCAGGTCAATTCCTCTTGTATGAACTTCATCAAGGAAAATAAAGCATGCCTCCATTTGCCTCGCAAAGGGAGAGATTTGTAGTGGCTCCACCAGTCCGCTGTGGTCAATCACACATATCTGGTCCTTGTCGTTCACAAAGACCACGGCTTGAACCGAGTTTTGCATTGCCGCCTGTGATGAACGTGGAGTTGAATGGGGCGCTGCATCAAGTAGTGAAAACTGCCTGAGCAAATATTGTGCCATTGCCTCATTATTGAGTTCGAGGAACTGCGCTCCGACATCAAGGATGACCCGAACTGATGGTTTCAGTTGCAAGATTTGATCGATCAAAGCCTTAGTGTCAGTCTTATCAGGGTCTTCCGACCGCGAGGTGTAGGCTACCGAATTTTCCTCTCGCAAAATGTTTCCAATGACCAGAGCATTTGTGTGAGTTTGCTCAGGTATGTCGAGCTGGCAGACATCAAGTGGTAGAACCTTCCGTGAATCATTGGTTCCACTGAACCCGACAGTTGGGTGCGTTTTGATTTCACCGACATCCCATCCCGACGCCGAAAGCTTATCCGGAAAGGCCTTCAATTCTTTGGGAAAGACGATTTGATTCAGGAAAAAGTCCACCGCGGCTTTCGAAAGGCGGAGGAATGGAAATATGTTCTTTATGCAGTGATGGCGATCCTCCAAATTCACGCCAACCAGCTGGTGATAGGCCGGTGGAAGCATTGGTGCGTCACTAACCCAAGCTTGATACTCAATATCGGCCTGGTCAGTTTTGGAAAGGGCCTGGAAAGCCAGGAACAAATCTTCATCGTCGAGTCCTGCGTAGTAATAGTGCAGACAGGTCAACAAAATCACCACGTCAGGGTGACTGAACTCAGAACGAAGAGAAGGGCTGTCTTTGGCTCGGTATGGAACACACAGCTTTGTAGAAGGATTTCTGTTCGAAGCAGGGCCAAAGTTCACGCGCCACCGTTTTTGCTGTAAGCAGAAGGCGAGAACACCCTCAGCAAGCAAGCCTCGTACCAGAAGTAAAGCGTTTCTCGTGTCTTGACCCCAAAATCCATTATCTCCATGCACTGATGCAATATCGTCAAGAGATGGATCGCGCTCCATGATGTAAGCCCGCACTGCATCTCTCACAGATTGGGGTTGTCGTGAAACAGGTAGACAGCTCATGCCATTCTCACAGATATGTCGCCCTATGTGATCAAAGAGACTCTCTCTTGCATTGTCATCAAGCAACCGAACCCGTGGAAAGCCATAATTTTGATTTTCGCAGATCTCAATGGCATCAGGGAATTCGGAGCTCACAACCTTAGAGTACTGTTCCACCAGGCCCAACAACTCCTGAATTATCTGCCATCTGTGAGGACCAAACTCCAAATTGCACTGAGCACCCATAGTGTAGATCAATTCAAACTTCACGTTGAAGTTTTCATCACTTTCGTCGACAATATCGTATGAGTTCTCTTTGAGGAATTTCAGAATCTGAAGCACTGAATTGGCGACACCCAACTTGCCAGCGATGAAGAATTCAAGGCACATCAGCTTCAGTGAGAGAATATGCTCTGGCTGAATCAACAAAACACCGCACTGCGACATGCACTCCCGGCACATCTGTAGAATTGCTATGGCTTGTGCGTTGTTGAGGTTTAAAGAGCGTGAGATAGGCATGTAATAAATACGCCTACCAAGGAGGCCGCCTAGCTTTGCAATGAGAATATCCATCATCTGGCGTGACTGCGGTTTGGCCACAGTAACACGAACCAAATGGGAACCATCCGCCAGACTCGCAGCAACAATAGGTACAATGACGGTTGACTTTCCTTCCCCCATGTTAAGCTGTAAGACATAGTTCCCTCCGGGAGCACTTTCACGCATGACCCTTGCAATCTCCTCCTGGTTCTCACGAATGAGAAGCTGGTTCTCAACTTCGAGAAGAAGAGTCTCTGGAAATTCAAGAATATCCCAGTTGGTGTGTCCAGGGTTTTGGATTTCCTTGATCAGCTCATCTGGACTGTTCGCAAGTTTGCAAAGTCTCTCAGCTCGTTGAACAGCTGCAATAGCACATCCGTACTGGGTAAACTTTTCCTTTGACTCTGCGTCTAGATGCTGCCATCTTTGACGAGATAATTGTTCTAAGAGTAGACTTGTGCTCAATCTTGGATATTGTCCAGTGTCAAAAGCCAAAGAATTCACCGCAGCTAAAAAGGAGAGCCGATAGTCATCCGAAGTTGTGGAATCCGTGGAATATGTTGAGTCAGTCGAGTCCGTGGCATCTCCGGCATCTCCGAATCGAAGAAGTCCATCAATAATCTCATCATGAGTCTGGGTAAGATGCTTTTGACACGCATGAAGATGCTCAACAGTCAATTGTTGCAAATTCTGCAACTCGTCATGAAGGTGTCTGTTTTTCATAACACCGTTCAACGAAAGCACGCTTTGTTCCAGCTGCTCAACATACCACTCTTCGTATTGAGACGTGGCTCGACAACGAAGGGAGTCAATCAAGGCTGATATCTTCTGACTTGGCTTTGTTGGTTCGGAGGTGATTTCGAAGTGGCTGCCCAGCTCTGGTTCCTTCCAATGGTTTGTATCAGACCAGCTATGAATCTGAAGACAGTCATTGAAGGTTACAAAGCCCCGCTTTGATCCCTTGTTCGACGGTCCTTGTTGATACGATTCGGGGCTGTACGGAGCCAAGTGAACGGGTTGTTGTCTTTGATTCTGATATGCAGTCACAACTTCCGTGAGATACTCTCTTAACTCCCAGTTATCCATCCAGTCATTGAATGATTGAGTAATGCCGTCCATGAGCTGAGTTGTGTTCAAATAGCTTGTAGCGATGGGCTGTACATTTGTGTCAAGAGGTTCAAGTGATCTGGATGGCCACTGTGTGCTGAAGTGATTCACGGCTCTGTCAAATACATTATCTCTATTTTGATCAATGACCCTCTGGACACGGGAATCAAAATGGTGTTGTGTCTCATTTTGGTTTTGTGAGAGCTGGGGACGTGGTGTATTGGAGAGCTGTGCCGCTATGATGTGCGCATCCAAGACAGAACTATTGAGCGAGAATCCCTTATGAAGCTGAAAATTGTTTCGATCCGGTGGGAAATTGATTGAGGTGTCTCGAGACTGGAAGAGATAGGTCATGATCTCAACAACACTCATCTCAATCTGACCAGAAAACGCAATGGCCGCTAGCCAGGTCATTATCCTAAATTTATTCAAGTTCTGCCCTTCCGAGACTGCAAGCTGGTGGATTGGAAGCCAATTCTCTGTAAGGAACTCTTCTGGGTTGAGCATCCATTCACCATCATACTTTAGTCTTTGAACTTGAATCTCACGTGTCCGGCCCCGAACTGCATATCGCGTGGAGAGCAATTTCCAGAGGGTGTTGACCATTTCTTTTGCCACAATGGGCCGGGTGCGTGAGATGTCTTTACAAATCATTTCTGAAATGGTGAAGCTCCTGAGAGCGGCATCTGCATTCGGCGCACTCTTCAAGTCTCTGTAGAATTGATCATGTGTACACGTATGCTGTTCAGCACCAAACCCAGAGACTCTAAAACATGAGGTGCGAATTTGATCTCTCTGTGAAAGCACTTTATCAATGTGTGGGACTGATGGGTCCCAGTGTCTCACATCTGGATACAGGAATTGTGTCCGTTTATTCTGATCACGAATAGACTCCACCGCATCCAGAAAGCCTGGGTGCTGGGACATCACTGGTAGGTTTCTCTTCCAGATCACCTGTTGCATGACACGCAGATTCACGGGATAGTATTGCCTTAGCGGGGTAAGCGATGCTAGATTTTCCAAAAGCCTGCTTTCTGCCTCACCCAGGTAAGTAAAAGATCTCAAAGATGCCGACCGAAGAATTGACAGCGCTTGCTCAGTGCCTGTTTTCCTCGTTAGAGGGTCAGGTAGACAAGAAGATGTGACAGCGTGCAAGCATGAAAGGAAAAGCTTGCTTCGAAGACTCCCATTGTCCGCCAGGTAGCCTATCTGAGTATCAATTGCATAAGCTTGAAGCTGGGTCTCATTTTCCCAGAGTACATCCACTTTCACATGACCCTCATCCTTGCTGATAGAAAGGTCCCCTTCAGGTATTAACACTAGCCGCTCGCGTGAGCCTGGTCTCCCAAGAAGGAGCTTGCTTGATAACCCAATCAATGAGTCCAGTGACTGATCCTTGTCAATCACCATATCGGGATATTGTCGTGATGAAATGTATGTGGACCTGTTCTTGAGAGTGAATTCTAGACGCAGTCGTGGTAGTATGATATGCACCGTGGCAGATAGGTCATGCAAAACACAATGCACTCTTGATGCCTTCTCAATTGGCTTCAGAATTTCAGATATGAAACACGAAGTTGAGCTTCCCATGGCCACCACCTTCTGTCCTTCTTTTTTCAATTCCCATCCCGGTTGCCATCCCGAATCAAACTTGCATAGTTGCCAGTCATCACGGCGCAATGACCAGGGATCGTTAATCGGGCGGAACTCCACATGCCCATGCTCAACGCTGTACCAATGCACATAGTTGTTGATGAAGCTGTCGGGGAGGATCCCCTCAAAGACTGTAGGCGAGACAAATTGCCAGGTACGGCGACCCTTCACCGCAGTAACATGCAAGGCAGATCCCATCGAGTTGGTAGGTTGAGTCTTTGAGAGATGCACATTGTAATCGCGATATTTGGATCGGCAAGAGAACTGCATACCCGGTAAATCACTCGGCATGACTTCAAGTTGAGATTTTCCAAAAAGGACGGCATAGGTATGATGGGACTCATAATCCGCAGGCAGACGTGCAAGTGGAAGGCCGTTAACTCGAAGGTCTCCGGTCAGAAGGTCGAAGTGAACTTCAATTTCTGAGTCCTTTTGACGTGTCACAAGCCAATGATGATGATTGAAGCCATCCAGTCTTGACCATCCTTCACCTGCCTCATATGCGACCCAAGCCTGCGCAATTGCCAAGTCTATTCCGCGGTCGGATTGAGCAACAATGCGACTAACTAAAAACCTGTAGTTGCGATAGCATTGAACCTGCCACCGGTGAGCGAGAATGGAAGACAGAGATCCTGCCTGCATCGAGAGACAGTTTTGACCATCACAAATCACCATACTGCATTGCAAAAAGAGCGAAATTTCAGCAGATGAAAGAAAGACCAGGGGAGGGTCTTGCAGATTGAAGGTTTCACTGCAAACAAGCGCAATATGGGCAGCCTTTCCAATCAGCATTGATTTGTCGTCGGCGTCCACAGTTTCATTTGCCTTCCCCTTGACTATGCCAACCCACCCAAATGCAATCTCACGGAGTGATTTGAGTGTTTCAAGACACCTCTCTTTGATGAGTGTAAATGGAGAAAGTAAGAAGACTTTCTGAGTGATGAGTACCAAATTGCTCAATCCATTGATCATTTCCCAGTTCGCTTTTATGGAATCTTTCACCTCGTTGATGCGTGATAGCAGCTGGAATGTGAAAGCATCGTCCTCCAAAATGGCATGACCTTGTCTCAGATTCTCGCTCTCCCCATCCAATGGGCCGACTTGATTGGCAATCTGCAAAATGAACATTGCGGTTTCAACCTTTTTCATGTCCAAAGTCCCTGAACACAGTTCTAATAGGATATTCTGCCATTGAATCTTCAATCCTAGTGGTAGAGCCGCCAATGACCTGTATTCCTCCAAAGAGAAGGTTTTCGGAGCTGAAGACTGTGTTGAAATCACACTGTTTGGTGAAGGGCCATTTGGATCTTTCGCTGGTCGTGAAAGAAACTTTTGCAGTGCTGAGCTAGCTGGTGGGAGCTGGTACGTGCAGGACTCTTCTACTTGATTTTCCCTCTCAAAGTCAGTTATGAAACAGTCTTTTTGAGAATCAAAGTAGCGTAACTTGAGCCCGTTGTTAACACAGATGTCATTGGGTGTCACGTCAGCCATATCTCTATCTCCTCGGTGCGTTTTGTCATGTGGTTTGATTTCCGAAAGGAGGGAGATTCTTTGGCAGTGCAAGCGGTTTGCACGATAAGCGTACAGGCCAGAGTAGTGATGGAGCGGGTATTGGTATCGTGGAAGCCTTTTTGCAGAATAGTCACAATAAAGACAATCCAGAAGAAAGAAAATGGTGGTATCACGCCATTTTGAAAATGTCTCGGGGGGCATCAGCTCAAACACTACCGATTTGGCTTCTTGTGTATTCAGAGGCAAGGGCCACTCATGAACAGTGATACTGATACTATCAGCTTGACTCTTGTGTCCACACTTGATGCAAGAGTTCTTGTGTCTGTTTACCGTGTGGGTGCGCAGACCACGACGGTGATAGTACACAGTAACCTCCTCATATTCGCATTCCAGCTGTGAGTATAGCTGCATCAGACTTCTGTATCTTTCCTGTTTTTGACGAAGCTCAGCCAGCTTTTCACTCCGGTCTTCCCTTGCCCGTTTCTCAATTCTGGCAAGAAGCTGCTGATGCTGCGGCGAGCTGTTGAAGTACCGGACGGAGAAGGATGAAGAAGTACCAAAGTGATTGAAGATAGTTTGGCCGCCATATTTTACCTGACATTGACGATGGCTCAGATAGTCTTCTGCCTTAGCCATTCTGTTCATCTGGGATGGGAAGGGCAACAAAAGAGATTGAAAGCACTCTGCAGGAATACAGGGGTCATAATCAGCGAGCATGCCGTGCACACTGATTGCAGTTTTGTCACAGGCTATCCATAGCTCGAGGAGGGTAAGAAGCATAATTGATGTAGCCTTGGGGTTCCCAGAGTACCACATCTTCGCCGCACTGTGGTATGCCTGTATCAAATTGGCCAAAGCACCACATGTGGACTCCTCATTCTGGTGGACAGTGATCCATCTATCCAGATGTTTTTCAACCCATTCTTCCACAGTTGCAAGGTGAAAGACTCCATAGCCAGGGTCCCTGTGGCTGGAGAGGTCTGGAAGGTCATGATCTTGATAGACATTGATGCTAAATGCAGGTGAGAAGGATGACTGAGATTCTGAGTTTTGACCTCTTGTGGAGATCTCTTGCAGGTATTTCTCGAGCGCAGGAATGTCGCACTGGGTATCCCGCTGGGTGTCCAATAATGCTAGCCGTCCCAAATCCAAGGACCTGCGATCACTCATCATAGTCTGTAGCCATTGATTCTTTGTTTTTCTGCTTGTAAACTTCAAGTTCCGTTCCAAAATGGAGAAACAATCAGGATCCAGAGGTGCATCAAGTTTCAACAATCGACGTGTGACTTTGGCATTCATGAGAAACAACTGTTCGTTTGAGATAGCAGAGGACGCCTTTCTGGCAAGATCACTCATGAAAAAAACCATGAACTCCTTGTAAGCCTGTCGTCCAGATACTTGATTCAATGACCTAACTAGGACTGCCTGAAGGGTCACTCGCACGAAGATCCACAAAGCTGATCTTCTCCATGGCTTTCGGCTGTCATTCCACATCACTTCTTCACGGATGCGCTTCTCAATTTGCACGTCCTCCATGTTGTTTGATAAGGGACGCAGAATTGACATCAGAAATTGCGTAATCATCATCGGATCGGTGGTGTCTCTGTCCTCATTGTGCAGCTGTTGCGCCTTCTTAACCTTCGGCTTTGTTCGTGCAACTTTCTGATGGCTCAAACAGGCGATTGTCTGTCCAACTGCTTCAAGGAATTCCGGATTGTTGAAATGGACCTGGTCCACAGCAAGGCCAGGTCCCGGGAAGGTGCGCACAAGGCGACCAACGGTTTCAATGACGGCTTCGTTACGTGCTGACAATTCAAAGAATTCAATGTTGACTTTGTCGCCCTTCCGGCTCATCAAAATACCCGCATTCTGCTCTCGAACAAGGATTGGAAGGATGCCACCTGTGACATGTCAGTATTTGAAGTGAGAGTGAAAGGGGTCATCAAAATACCTTCAGCTTGCAATGTCGCCATCATAACGGTCAACTTATTCTCTGATACTTCACCTCCTGCGCCGAGGATTTTAATCAGACGCTTCATTGTCACAATCAGAAACTCAAAAGCACTCTGAGTGTTATGATTTTGCAATTTCATTTTTTCATCAACGAAGCTGCGAAGGGAATCTACAAGCCTCTTCAGAAGCAAAGCCTCGAAAATAGAGTTGTAGTCATCCCCATCAGGAAGTTTCGGAGGGAGGAAAACATGGTGAAAAATGTATTCAAAGAAGCCCCGAGAAATCTCAGGCCGGGCCCGGATTGACAGGGTTGTTTGGGGAGCTGGGGAACTCATGGTAGAGAACGGCGGCCTGAGAACGATGTTTTCTGTTTTTTGGTTTTCTTCGGTCTGTTTTGGGGTTTGAAAAGGTGAGAGTTGAACGGTCTAAGGATTTGAGGTTACTCATTAGTCTGACTGATGGGGAACCTCAGATCGATATCATAAGACATACCTGTGAAGCCGTCCAGGGTGAAGTGGTTGAGTGTTAAGGGGTCGAGCTGCAGATCTTGTAAAGGTGATAGATAAGCTTCACAAGGAGTTGGGAAATTTTGAGGAGTAAAGAGGGTGAGGGAAGAGGTAGAAGAAGGAGAAGAGGTTTGGGGAGAAAAGAAGGAAAGAATATTCCAAGAGGTGGGAAATTAATATACACCACCTAGGCGAAATGTCGTCGTCGACGCGACTTCCACGCAACTTCGACGCAATTTCGACGCAGCAAACTTCCAGGTGTCCCCCAGGCGTTTGCACAGACACCTTATCCTACGGGATTCATTGCTTGTGGGATTATCTATATCCCGACTATATCTCTATGGATCTAGTAGCTGTATCTTGATAGATTGACCCCAAATAACAAATCATACTACTGGCTACAGTGTAAGATTGTTCTATCTATATTTATTTGATCTCCTCTGTCACCAGGAGCTTTTGCGTTCCTACTAGTAGCACGCCGGACTTCCATTGTTTCAAATCTGCGGATGTGCAGTGAGCATTCAAGTTTGAGACACGGAGCTCGGCACGCAACATACATATATGGATCTGAATTTAAATCAATGTGTTTGCTACATGTGCAGGCTTTGATGCTGGACATAGAGAGACCTATACTCACAGTCCACCCGGGCGTTGGCAAATAATTATTCCCTTCGCAAGCCTGAGGCCTGGAGCTCTTTATCAATAACTGCAAATACATTGTATAGGTAGCACTTGAGCTAGCACAATGATTTGACTCTGTGCATACTATAAGGGGGCGTAATATTACCCATATCTATAAATTTTTGTGCAGACATCATCTGGATTAACATTGAATGTCAGCCCTGGAGTGTGGTGATGGTATTCAGTACCTCCTACTTTACTCTTCCTGCTAGGTATAGGAATCTCTCTGATACATATTCAATGTTTACAGTAACCACTAGGTAACTTAAATGAGAAATATGCACATTATGTAAGCTTAGGGACTATAAAAACATTTGAAAACTTTTAAGGCTCTATTAGACCGTGACAGGGTACTTAAAAGGATCGGCTCGAAACTAATCTACTTCGAGTTTCCACCAGAAGCTGACTCCATGCCCAAAAATGGATTGAAATTGGCTTTTACTGTTTATTGACCCATGGCTATCATGTATCTGCAAGAGCGTATTATACGGAGGTAATTATGTATGGAAAGCCAGGGCTTCATCATGATATCGGTTGCAGAAGAACTATTTCTAAGGTTTCCTTCCCGAGGTTGACGACTACCAGGGTTACTTCAAATGTTGTGCCTAGTTAGAGGGGTGGCCCTGATTAAGTAGGCACATGGGTATCATGAACCCTGGAAAAGGTTCCTATATTGTCAATGGCGCTGTTTTCTAGAGATTTCAAGTTTGTGGGCTAAAATTGCTTCATGTGGAATGGGTTAAATTTAGGGGCATCTATAGGGGCGCTATAACAGCCACATAGCTAAAGCCCACTTTCCCATGATGAATTTTGATCATCAGTTTACCACTAGTTGCCCAGCCCTGGAAAACTTTCTTAACAGGATATAAAAAGTTTGATATTCTATCTAAGGCTAAAGTAAGAGATATATAAAGTAAGAGATAACTAAAGTAAGAGATACTACTAGTAGTACCTAAAGTGAGAGGAAAATAAAGTAAGAGAAAAGTAAAGTAAGAGATAGGTATCTACTAGTAGCTGAATAAAAGGTATTTTTATTTTTAGTTTTACTAATTTCTTTTTCTACTTTTTTCTTTCTACGGGCCATAGGAGGATTTAGGCTACACGACTGTTATAGGCACCACCTACATGGCAAATCTATATTAAAACTAATTCATGATGCAGTGATACCATCTGTGGAACTTGGCACTAATATAGTAGTAGCCTTAAAGTAATGTAAAGGAGATCAACTTGGTCTATGACACTACTAGTAGTACACTCTGTGCCAGTTGTCCGCTGTGCAAGTGCTCGGGCCGCTTAACCCTACTCCAAAATAATACTAGTATCCATGGATATCGACAGGTCATCATTTTTTTTCTGTCAATCAGCTTGAGAGTCCATGAAGGAATGTACCTGAAGATCCTAAAAACTAAATGCTAAATTCTAGAGTATAAGAGAATTCTTAAATTTAGAAATGTAGAATTGACTTCTTTTTTTTGTCTGTTCCCTGCTTCCGATAGTCCAGATCCCTATCGAACATCTAATAGCCAATCACTCCCGCAATCAACTCCACTGGTGCCGTCATTGTCTCGAAGCTGTCAGGTAGCTATGCGGAGTAACAAGCTGCCCCTCCCTGATTCCAAGGTTTCTTCCCCGACCTTTTTTTTCTTTCCTTCCAAGGTTCTTCAGGCCCTTTACCAGACCTATTTATCTCTCTTTCCCGTCATATTGATTTCCTTTTCAGGTATCATATTCCAATCCCAATCCTGAAAGCCGATCCCTTAGGGATTTCGGAGTCGGGTCCACTATGGTGCTGATCGACAAGCATGAGTATCTCACCGAGGAGGAGAAGCGTTTAAAGGAAGATCGTGAACGCACTCATTACTGGAAACGATGGGGTCCCTATGTTGCTGAACGACAATGGGCAACCGGTAAGTCCGATCGGAGACAAAGCCTGGACATTGAGAGAGGGAGTGCAATGCTAATGAGCTTATCGTGGTTGTGTCACAGTCCGAGAGGATTATTCGTAAGTCACATTCTTTCTATCTTGATAGGCAGAATCAGAGCTAACAGTTCTCAGCGATAATGGTGATGCATGGAGTTGTAAGTCAACCCAGTTGAGAAACCCCTCGCATGGACTCCAGACTAATTAGAAAAGACTTCTCCCATGATCATGCCCGGTCGCGAACTTTCCGCTGGGGAGAGGATGGCATTGCCGGTGTCTCCGATACCCACGGAATTCAGAACATTGCATTTTCCTTCTGGAATGAGAAAGAGTAAGCCGATCATCTGGTTGACCCCGCAATAAAGGGGGAAGTTACTCACAGGTATTTAGTGAATTTCTCAAAGAGCGCCTGTTCGGTCTGTCAAACCCAGAAGGAAATCATGGCGAAAGTATTAAGGAGGCCCATTTCCACGTTGATAATACTCCCACTGTAGGTGACTCCTTGAAAATTGCTGACTAGGAAGGGAGAGCCGTTCTAACATGTCCATTTTTTAACAGCATTCATACATGAAATTTCTCTACAAATACCCCCAATGCAAATTTCCATACGAGGAACTAGTCGAAGAAAATGCTAAGCGATCGCGCTTGGAGCGAGAATACCAGATTCTTGACACTGACGCTTTCAAAGACAACCGCTACTGGGATATCTTCATTGAAACTGCCAAGGAAGGGGATGACGAAGAAGAGCTGCTATTCCGAGTTATCGCATACAACCGAGGTCCCGACCCTGCTCCCCTACACATCGTTCCTCAAGTCTGGTTCCGAAACACATGGGCCTGGGGTTATGAGAAGGAAGGCACCCCTAAGCCGAGCATCAAGGAGGAAGGCCCCCGAATTGCCAAGTCTAAACACCACAAGTTGGGAGACCGCTTTGCTTGCTTTGCACCATCCCCTCCTGTGGGCTCCAGCGATGAGGATATCCAACCTGAGTTGATGTTCACTGAGAACGAGACTAACAACGAAAAGCTCTGGAAGACCAAGAATGATCAGCCATATGTGAAGGATGCTTTCCACCGATACATTGTCGACGACGAGAAAGATGCCGTCAATCCTGCCAAGGAGGGAACAAAGCTCGCAGCCTGGTACGCCTTTGACAACGGCGACGAGGTTCCACCAGGAGAGTGTGCGGTTGTTCGATTCCGCTTCTCCCGGAAGAAGATCGAGTTCGTGGACGAGGAGCAACTCGACGACGTGATCGAAGCGCGTCGTGCCGAGGCCGATGACTTCTACAGTCGCATTAGCCCTCTGCCCATGAGTGAGGATCTCCGAAACATTCAGCGACAGGCCTTTTCTGGAATGATGTGGTGCAAACAGTACTACAATTTCATCTGGGACCAATGGAGCAATGGTGATCCAAATGAGATTCCTCCTCCTCCAGGCCGAAAGGGTATTCGCAATGAGCAGTGGCGCCACCTATACATTGATGATATTTTGTCCATGCCAGACTCGTGGGAATACCCATTTTTCGCTGCCTGGGATACAGCCTTCCACTGTATCCCGCTAGCGATGATCGATCCTGACTTCGCAAAGAAGCAGCTCGATCTCATGACCCGCGAGTGGTACATGCATCCTAATGGGCAACTGCCTGCTTATGAGTGGAACTTTGGTGATGTCAACCCACCTGTGCACGCATGGGCTGTGTTCCGTACATTCAAGATTGAACGCAAGATGTATGGACGACAGGACCTGGATTTCCTCGAGCGTGTCTTCCAGAAGCTGTTGTTGAACTTCACCTGGTGGGTCAACCGCAAGGACTCTGAAGGGAAGAACGTTTTTGAGGGTGGTTTCTTAGGCCTGGACAATATCGGTCTCTTCAACCGATCTGAGCCTCTGCCCACAGGTGGTGTATTAGAGCAGGCAGACAGCACAGGATGGATGGCATTCTACTGTCTGTGTATGCTGAACATTGCTCTGGAGCTTGCCAAGCATCGCCGCACTTACGAAGATAGTAAGTCTTACGATATTGATCGCGCCTTTGAAACATTTACTAACGTCGCCCTCTAGTTGCTTCGAAGTTCTTCGAGCATTTCATCCTTATTAGCGATGCAATGACATTCCGATCCGGCGAAGACAAGATCCAATCGCTATGGAATGAGGAAGACAAGTGAGTAATTCCATTGAAAATCTCTGAAATCCTCGATTTCTAGACACTGACTCGGAAACAGCTTCTACTATGATGCCATTTCCTACGGCGGCCCATGGACCCAGCAACTCCCCATCCGTTCCCTTGTCGGCTTGATCCCACTCTACGGTGTTCTCACCCTTGAGCCAGAACTCATCAACAAGTTCCCCTCATTCAAACGACGACTGGAGTGGTTCGTCGAGAACAAGGCCGACGTAGCCGAGCGAAACATCGCCAGTATCAAGCGCCGTGGTAAGGACGACCGTCTGCTTCTGGCGCTGGTAAGCAAAGATCGCCTAGAGAAGATCTTGAAGCGAATGCTCGATGAGACCGAGTTCCTAGCCAAGCATGGTATCCGATCCATGTCCAAGTTCCACGAAGAGAATCCCTACTCTATGGACGTGAACGGACAAACCTTCGGCGTGAAATACGTCCCCGGTGACTCCGATAGCGCGCTCTTCGGCGGTAACAGCAACTGGCGTGGACCGATCTGGCTTTGCGTCAACTTCCTCCTCGTGGAGTCTCTTCTCCGCTTCTACATGTTCTATGGCGATTCATTCCAGATCGAGTGTCCCACTGGATCGGGCGATTACATGCATCTAGGACATGTAGCGGAAGAGCTTCAACATCGTATGCAGCATCTCTTTGCTCGTAACGATGAGGGACGTCGTGCCTGTAACGGCTCCAACGATCTTCTCGACTTCGATGAGCACTGGAAGGATTACATGTGGTTCAATGAATTCTTCGACGGAGATACAGGTCGGGGATTGGGTACATCGCATCAATGTGGATGGACAGGTTTGATTGCAAAGATCATCCACGATACTGGGTAAGTCCAATCATCTCACCAAGTCATTTTTCTTCATTTCACTAACAATCCCAGAATCAACTGCCGTCTCCCCCAAACTCCACGATCCCCCTTCGCCGCCGCATCCCACTACTTCGATGATATCTTCTCTCGCTCCAGCCGAGGCCGTGGCGCCGGGTCAAGAAGACCATCCGTGCGTCGATCCTCTACAACGCGATCCATCGGAAACCGAAGCGACTTCAACTCCACAATCGCCGGCGATGTCACACCCGCCGCATCGACATTCCTAGATGATGACGAAATCGGTAGTGGCCCGATAAGTCGAAATGACAGCACCGCCGCGCTATCCACGAATGGTGATGGTGATGAGCATGTACACAATTACGTTGAAAGCCAGCTCCAGCGTGTTCGCAGCTCTGCGTCAATTGCGGCTTATGAAGATGAGCTTGAGACCCAGGCTGAGAAGGAGAATGGGCACTAAATCTACTATGAGTAGACTGCATTTGCATGATAGCCTTTGGCTAGATGATCCGAGTCCGAGTCATGAACCGAATTTCCTTTATTTATTTTTTTTATTTGCGACGCTGATACAAACTACATTTAATAGATGTGATTTTCCTTGTCAGATACTTATGACTTTTTGAGAGAATATACAGAGATTGCATTATTTACAAGTCTTGATTTTAACTTGAAGTTCAATTTTAGCTAGTCATAGTAGTAGGTAGACCTGAGTTTGCTTCAATGTTCTTCCTGCTGCCTACTAGTGTCCATCATATCTTAGCTTCTGATATGCCCTTCTAGCATGTCCCAGCTGGCTGGGAATAATACCTCATATGTAATAGGGACGAATCTTACTGGCCTACAATGTTTCTGAATTACAAAAAGGAATATTTTTGATTTGTCAATAGTATTTTTTTCAAGATTTTAACTTTTCGTTATTGACGGCCAATGTTGGCAGATGTCCAAGAGGGACATTGAAGTGGTGTGATAACAAAGCAATATCATTTCCCTGAGCCATGCAGCATGAGAGTGATCGCGATGCAGAGTTAAAAATTCATGAGCGGGTGTGCACCAGTGACACCGGATAAAGACCATTTTCCTATTCATTTTCTCGATGCCTTTTGATTTTGTATCGTGGGTTGCGGTTTTCCGCTTTTTTTTCTTTTTGTTTTGTTTTCTGTGGGAAGGAAAGTACTGAGTACTGAGCGGAGTTGGTATTGTAGATTGGTGTAATTGATTAATGGAAATCAAGATGCACAAGGTGTCAAATGTGCTTAGAGTTCGGCTGCAGCACGGAAAGCATCGGCAGGGAGAGCACCCTGGGCCTAAGAAATGAAGTTAGTATGAAGAGTTGGGGAATATGGAGAAGACAATTTGCCTAAGGCACAGGTTGGACCTACCTTCAAGTTTTCAAAGTTGGTCCAGGCAGCCTGGAGATCCCATCCGTTGCTCGAAAGTGCCATCTCGGTGTACTGCAAGGTCATGTTTGACTTCGCACTCAGCTGGGCAATGAGCTGCTCTTTCTGGAGTTCAGCATCAGTCTTGCCAGGAGCGGGAGCGCCGTAACCGACTGGCAGACCAGACGGGGCAGCCGGGATAATAGGTGCAGAAGGAGTAACAGTAGGAGCGGCAGTAATAGCAGGAGGAACAATAGCCTGAGTGATTGCCTGTGGAGTCTCCGGGACCCAGGCATCGGAGCCACCATAGGCGCGAAGGCAGAGGGCATCGTTGATAACTCGGATACTGCCATCGACCGCGGGGCCGAGAACGAAGGTTCGATCAAAGCTGCGGCTCTCAACCTTTCCTCCGACACTTTCCTCAAACTTGCCATGAACCATAACGAGGAGACCTCCGACGCCAGTTGGGCTCTGGCCAGTTGGATCGGCAAGTCCAGGGATCGGGTTGCATTCTACCAAGTATTGGTTGGCATTGACGGCACTATCAGGGTGACGGGTTGGCGGGAGGGAGTTCCAAATCTCGCAAATCTTATCCTTGCCAGTGTGGCTACGGGACATTTGGGCGGGCAGGTGGTTGATCTTCAGAAGATTGCGGCTCTTCTTGATGTAAGGGTCCCAGGCGGGAGTCTCAGCCTCGGGAGCCTTGGGTGCTGCGACGTTGATGTTGAAAGAGAAAATGGAGCGGTCGTCGTAGAGGCGGTTGACAAGTTCAGTGCGGTTATTATCAAAGCCGCTGAAGAATGGGCCAATGAAGTTGGCGACGATGTCAGCCTCGTCTTGGAAGAAAGGTACTTGAACAGGGATGGGGGTCTTCTTCAGAGCTGCAATTTCCTCTGCAGTGCGGACCTGCACGTTATTCAGGGTCTGCAAAGTGGGGTACCACTTCATCAGTGTGTTCTTGAAGCCCTCATCAGAGCACCAAGGATTACCAGTCAGATCCAAGAACTCAAGATTGCGGAATTTCCAGCGCCAAGAGTTGAATGAACTGGAATCTTTGATTTTGTTGTTGGACATATCCAGGTTCTTCAGACCGGGGATTGTTGCGGCCAAGGAAGTCACAACTGTGAGGTTTTCGAGTTGATTGCCGGCCAAGCTGACGCTCACAACTGCTTCGCGTCGAGCAGTAGGATCTTCGAATCCCTGTGACCACACCTTCATCAAAGCGGGGAAGAACTTGGACTGTGTAGTAATGCTGTTGAAAATGCCCATGGCCAGAAGGTCAGGGTCAGCGGCGAGGCTCGAAAGATTGAGCAGTTTGGTATCGGAGTAGTAACGTTTGGAGAGGATGGCAGACAATTTAGTCTTTGTGTCTTCAGTTGCGGCAGATAGTTCGCCGGTCACTCCAAGCTCACGGGTCAGGGCTACGTTCGAGGAAGAATCGTAGGGTTCCACAGTTATGATAGTTCCAGCAAACTGGGCTCCATTGAGATTAGTCACATAGCTCGCCCACTCCGGTCGTACTGATACAACAAGGGTATCTCCTTCAACCCGTGACTAGTCGAATGTTAGTAGGGCGCAAAGATGACGCTGGGGGAAAGTCGGAATGCCATCCAACGACAAGGGAGGACGCTGGGTAACCCGGCAATGGTAGACGGATAAAGAGGGAAAGAGGGAACAAAAAGAGGAGAGAGCGCGGTAGTCGTTCTGCCCAATTAAACGACTTTCACAAATGCGCGAATGTTGGACCCGGTGGCGTCAAGTTTCGTATAGTGGTGGCTGCTATCTCCGGAAGTTGAACATACCTTGGTGACTTTAGGGCGGGTCCCAGATCTGGCGTTCGCGATCATCTTTCGTTCGATAAATGAGACAAGGTTGGAAACACCGCCGTCGCGATTCTTTGCAGCTGTGCTTTCCTTCCAACCGCTAATACTGATTTCTTCCAGTGGGTTGGCAGTGTTCTTTCCGGTTCGGAGGTTGACTTGAGATTCCTTCATGCTGATGGCCCGCTCAATCATGGCGAGGTCGCGAATCTGCGGTCGGCCTCCTGTAGGAGCGCGAGGAGGAGCGCGACCTCCACGTCCACGGGATCGTGCGTTGGTGCCTCGGTTTTGCTTGCCACCGCGTGCGCCAGTTTGGTCCATATCCATGTCGCCATCTCGGTCTCGGTCTCGGTCGGTGCGAGTAGGGCCCCGCTTGCGAATGCCGCCGCCGCCTCCACGTGCCATGGTGTTGGTTGTTGTACGGAAAGTTGGGGGGGGTAGACGGTCGAGGATGAGAATGGAGGTAGGAAGAGGAGAAAAGCGTGAGAATCGCAAAGATTAGGCCGATTATTAAGAAGGTCGACGGCCTAAGGCCGTTGGTGGATTGCGGCGCGTTGCGCCTTCTTCAAATCGAAAATATCTGTCGCATGCAGTTTAAAATTGTGTTGGATGAATTTTAGAGTGTCAAGGATGTAGAATATTATGAGGAGGAAAGGTAGAAAAGGGGTGGAGAGAGAAGAAGATTGAAAAAAGTTGGCAGCGCAACTGCCATAGATATCAAGAAGAAGTTGTATCATTCACTGAAAAAAAGTGAGGCTAAGGAAGGCGGTCAGAGATGACTTCATCATGTGATACCGGTGAATGACAGTGAATGAACATCGATGTTAGACCAGTCTCACATTTTCCCTTTGCCAAATACTAATGACTAGCTTATTGGGCTCAAGAATCTGAATTCTTTGTTACTATCATGATCCTGAATCTGGAATTTTTATAATAGATTTTTCAAAGAAAAATTGGGGGGTTTTTTTTCCCTGAAGGGCCATACAATACCCTGGACACCATGTGAAAGCGGCTCTGCAGCCACAAGGTATATTTTGGCGCGTGACTCACCGTTTTGGCAGTAACCCTGTTTCATCGTCTTTGGTGATTCACTCTAGGGCTACTTAGGACATTCACCTGTCAACTCCAGGGCTTGAAGCACATAACCCTAAACTTTAACTTGAAGTTTGAGATCCGAGTCAAAGTTTCAAAAGAAAGGATACTAATAATTAGAGGTCTCCTCTTAGAACTGCGGACTCTATATACTAGACGCGCATGAATAGTGATGGTCGGAGACTCGGAGCGATATTGATAACACTGCTAGCTGAAACGCTTTATTGTCAAGTTCAACATGTTTAACATTTTTAATATCGTTCTCTTACCAGCCGGGAAGAAATCCATCAGAGCACATATAAACGATTACAGGTCATCGATATATCAAAAGTGAAGGCAAAGTAACACAACTAATGCACTTGGTCTGGATCCATCGCTTCCTAGTAATGCATACCAAACCATAATCTTGGAAGACTGGACTGTTCAGGGTAGAGAATTCGTAGAAACCTATTTTATCTGCTCTAATTAGTTTATATCACTGTTTAGAAAACTTTGAGGCACTTGAGATGATTATAAGCGCTCCAGACTCCGTCAAACGCCGCATTTGATCTCACGATCGAACTTGACATAACCATACAAACCTCAACGTAAGTTCCAAACCATGACCATACCAACATCACGGATATACTTTATTGAGAAAATAAAAGATCAAAAGGAATACCTTAATTAATACGTCACAGTTCTACTCATAAGACCCCGGTGCCGAAATTCAGCGATGCCCCTAGCCGAGGGAACTAGTGCCTCCTGCAGGTCCCCGCCCATGTCAACACCCACCTGCATACACCCATGTATGCACTATACTCGGACGGAGCAAGCGGCATACGGAATCTCTGCGAGACAAAACTCGTGACTTCAATTGGCTAGGTCCAGCCCCGCAAGAGTGCCTCGAGACGAGTCCCTCGGCAAGCTAATGATGACCTAGTTTGTGGGGACAGCCGTATGGCGTCCGAACTTGAAGTGTGGAGGTGGATCCTATCAACCCCAGTTTGGTACCGGATCAGGGAAGCCGTGTGCATGGAATCATTCGATGAAGAGCATGGGGCATGGCTGCCGTCATCGTTAAACAGCGAAATACGGAAGTATGGTCGGCCGCCGTACGATGGTTCAGACATAAATATTCTAATTTAAGAAGTTCAATAGTCCCTTGCAGAAGCGGTTGTCTTCACCAATTTCTTTTCATCTTCTATCTCTGCAAAATACCAAGGTTGACTATGGATGCATCTGATTTCGACGACTCGTGTCAGAAGGATGTTAGCTCTAAAGAAATCGAGCATGCTACCATCGACATGACCTTCTCCCCCAAAGAAGAGAAGGCGCTCGTGAGGAAGATTGATCTGATGCTGTTGCCAGTGATATGGATCATGTATCTTTTATCTTATATGGATCGTACCAAGTGAGTTGAGCGTCCTAACCTAGGTCCATTCTCTCATGATACTAACATGGGAGCGTAGCATTGCCAACGCGAAGGTATCTGGAATGGATACAGACCTCAACCTCACCTCGAACCAGTACTCAGTGGCCCTGGTGGTTTACTTCGTAGGATACGTGGTCTTCGAAGTGCCCAGCAAGTATGTTTACATTCAAGTCCCTTGAGCCTCTGGCCAGTGTCATTAATCGTATGTCCTCCACAGCCTCGTCCTAGGCCGAACCCGGCCATCGATTTTCCTCCCTTCCATCATGATACTCTGGGGTGTGCTCACCTGTCTCATGTCCGTGATCAAAAGCTACACCCATCTCGTCGTTCTAAGAATCCTTGTCGGAAGTGTAGAAGCCGGCTTCGCTCCGGGTGTACTACTCGTTCTTTCATCGTGGTATAAGCGCACAGAGCAATCAAAACGCTTCGGTGTATACATCTCCGCCGCTGTGCTATCGGGCGCGTTCGGTAGTCTGATTGCAGCTGGAATCATGGACGCCCTTGAAGGCGCCCATGGAATCCAAGGATGGCGCTGGCTTTTTATTGTGGAGGGTGCTGCTACTATTGGCTTCGCTCTTATTGCTCTTTTCATTCTCCCTGACTTTCCAGCCACCTCAAAAGGGCTATCCGAGTGCGAGAGACAAATTGCTGTCGCCCGTTTGGCTTCCGAGAATGTGACTGCTGTCACTGAAGATAGTGCCCCGTTGAGCAATTGGGGCGCTGTCAAGGTTGCCGCCCGTGACTGGCGTACATGGGCATTCGTTGTTGGATATATGGTGAGACCTACATTCCCTTTATTCCTTCCATTTAGTCCGATGAACTAACTGTGTGTTTTCTTGACAGGTCATCGTCGGATCCAGCACATTGACCTACTTCTACCCAACCCTCGTGAAAGGACTATTCGGAACAGCCACAACCGAGAAAATCAACCTTCTCACCGTCCCAGTTTACGGCGCAGCATTTGTTGCTACCGGAATTACCTCGTACTTCGGGGATAAAGTCCCTCACTGGCGAGGATTCATTATTGCCTGCTTGCTCGCATTCGCCCTTATCTGCTCGATCATCGTATGTGTGGTGTACGATCACACAGCGCGATATGTCCTGATGATATTAATGGCATGTGGCCTATGGGCTACGAATGGAGGCACGCTAGCCTATGCATCCTCAGCATTTGCTGGTATGCACCCACAGGCAAGAGGTGTGGCCCTTGCTTTGGTGAATGCCATGGGAAACCTGGCTCAGATCTATGGATCTTACCTTTTCCCCGAATCCGATAGTCCAAAGTACATCATGGGATTTTCTGTTATCTCCGCAATGCTGGCATTGGGAGTTGTGGTCTTTGCTGGATTGCATGTTTGGTTCCGTAGTCGGGCAAAGTTATTCGTGGAGGAGTGAGTGTCGATTCTGTATAGACTGTCTGGTCTCTACGACCTGAAGCTTTTTCTGTAATTCATACGAATTTTATGAATGTGTAAAATTGAAAAGTGATATGCATTCCGATCTTGATTTCAATTCGGGAGTTTCGTCTAAATAACTCTTGTTGGTGTTTCTATTGGAATTGTCCATCTGAGTCACCCAGGTCTGTCTGGAAGTGATGAAAACAGAGCCTCTGGCGCAGCTTGGAATAGATTAGGCCTTAATTTGAACAGTAGTTAAGGATTCAATCTCTACATAGGACGTAATCCTATTTCCCACTTCATTCAAGGGCGATTCGGGTGTGGGAATGCCGTCTTTCACCTATTCCCGATATCCGGAGCCACGAGGAAGATCCACAGCCTCAAGGGTAGTGATTACTCCGAGAGCTAGGAACTGATCACACACTACTTTCCCCATTCCGAGGGCGGCAGGCTATCTGATGGCCAAATCGAGACTGGTGTGCGACGAAAGACGGTGAAAGATTGGGATAAGATCGATGAAAGCATCAGAGACTTTCCGCAAATTTGAAAGGTCTTCAAGACCCATTTGTATTGAATGGTGATCACCTTAGCAAATCATGAAACGAGTCTTTCCCGTATTCCAACTCGAGTTCCTTTGTCAAAGAATTCAAAGGCCAGCGTACTCTGCGCTGACAAGTTTCGAGAATATCCAAAAGCGCCAAACGTTCATGTGGAGTCGAAACGCACATACCAGCTAGGGAATATTAGACAAAGATGCGTAGGTAAGAACGGATAAAACATACCTCCAAATATAGTATGTAGAGAAACAATATTCGCCGCTTGATCATTCTCATCTACAGATCGCGCAATGCCACAGATCGTGTTCACGGACAGTGTCAACAATTTCTGCGCTGCACGGAAATCCTCAACGCCACCTGACGAGGGCCGATGAAGTGTAACAAGAATCCGAGCAAGACTGTGAACCTGCAATGCAGCCGCATAGGATGGGGGATGAACCCAGATAGGAGGGAATATCTCCGTGCTTGACACAACAGGGAGAGGGTTATATTCAAGTGGTAGATGAGCATGCCATTCCTGAAGCATAAAGAGGAGTTCGCTTCCGCGATCCAAGCGACGTTCAAGGTCTGAAGCCCCTTGTTCCTCCTTCGAGGCGTAGTTGACACATTGTGCAAGTAGGTATGTCGCCCGAGTTGCGAGTTCAGAAGCAGATAACTCTGATACTAGTTTCTTGGGGTTCCAGAAACTGAAGACACGACGTCGTTCGCGCATAGCTACCCACACATCCTGTCGGATCCAGGCCCACCATACAGCCGATCGGAGACCTCCGGATTCGCCGTCGTTATCTTGGAATCGTTGGATCCAAAATACCCCCTTCAGATGTCTCTCCCAGTCTTGATTGGAGCCATCGATCATTTCGTAAGTGCTGATAAGAATGGCAGTGGCGATCAATTCTCGACTGCGTGCGTAGGAAGAGTGCTGCATAGCTTTGTTCAAGTAGTGGAGGGATTCGAAGTAATATTGCACGGCCAGATTACGGTCAATTGTGTTCTCTCCATGAGATGAAGTGTTCCCCGCCCGCGCTGGAACTCCTCCGGGATATGCGGGCTCCCCTTCACTTAAAGAGTGATGTCGTGCAGCCAATGCTAGGAGAGCCCTCATTAAGCCCACGTTGCGAAGAGACAGCTGAGGAACCGAAGAGGCGAAATGCTTCTCTGGGTCGTAGAAATCCAACCACTTGCTTGAGATGCGCACAAAGTATTGAAACAGATAGTGTTCGAGCGGTGAAAGATCAATCAAATATTTCGAGCTCCACGAGGATGGTACACTAGATATGGCAGACGACAACTCGGGGGTTTGTGACGCAAATCGCTGCGCTATTTCAGGATCCTGTGGAAACGCCGCCGCATTGAAGCTTTGACTTTCACGCAATGTTCTTGGTCGGAGATTGGAGCTGTTTCGTGGGTCTTCTCCAGTATCAACCTGGTTATGTGTGTGGGCGTGAGTTCGCGGGAACTGCTGAGGTGAGGATAAGAGGAATCTGTCATCGGCATTTGCAGCGTCGGTAGCAAGTAATTCAAACCAGCTTAAAGGCGCAGCTCTAGACGACCAGGAACTTTCTGTTCCTGGTGATGGGGCATATGTATATGGGGATCTTGCGGTCGGCACAACGGCACCCGCAGACGCAGGGTTATCGGGCACGATAGTGTCGGTCGCATGCTGCGATTCTGAATGCGGACTGGTATACTGAATAGGTTGTTCTTGGTCGCAAGCATCGACCAGGATCTGCAAAGGTTCGTGCAAAGAGCTCCGGTCGTTTGTTATATCTATAGTTGGCAAATCTGTGGGGGACCGGGAGGCATTCCCCTCTGCCGGCGAGGGGCGGTCGTATGGGGAGTCGCGGGGTGCATACATGCAGGGTCGCTGGCCTTTTGCACAGGGACCACATTGAGGGTGTACCTGATAATTTATCCAATTAGATTGATAATTTTATTTAAGGTTGTCAATGGCTTCATTGTCGCGCATGACCTACCTCATCACATTTGACGTGTCGCCTCTTGCAGATTAGACTAGTGCGACTATTAGCGACGAAACCCCGAAATCTGGGGGAGAACACTAACCAACCAGTAGTCGCGCGAAGTCCGCGTCCTCGGGACTTGCGCTTGTGCCGCATAGCGCCCTGCGGCTTTGCCATGACGCAGAGAAGGAGCGCATCAAGAAAATATGATCGAGTCGAGGTCAGGGCGGGGGGAAATCGGGTGTGGGGAAGAGAATGCCGGCAAACCGTGGAAGTGGAGCTCGCGGCAAATTGGCCCATGATGATTACGAGGTGAGTCTGGGGAAGTTCCAACACAATTGAAAGTGTAGGTTTCAAGGCAGTCTATCCATGGTATTTTTCTAATGTTCGTGATACTGAATATAAGAGAGAATTACAAAAAAATGAATATGTTTTAGCACTATGAGTTAAGCTGCCACTGACAGTGGTCTACATGCTGATGCCTCATCAGCCACGAGCTATTTTTCATGGCCATGCACTATACCTCACAACATATTGAGAATAGAGATATCAAACAGATGATTTCCTCTTCCTTATGCTCTCGGTCTAGAGTAAAGTAAGACACTGCACAGATGAATCCACCATATCTCGGTCAAAGTCCTTGATGCACCGTGCCGAGGACCTCGAGACGAGGTGCGGGGAGCAGAGTAGCCTATCACGATCTTACCTGGGCATATAACCATGGGAATGATCTCAGGAGAAAAGCCATTTACCTTGGAATTCCCAACATCCGCCTCAAACCATTGATTTCTTGGAATCATGGTAATTTCTTAAATAGATGTGCCAAGCAGGAGGTTTCAATGATCATAGGTACATGTCAAGAGCTTGATTGCTTCTCGCACTTCTGAGTCTTAACCCTAACGATCATTTTGGAATCCATATCAATGAACAACCTTAGAGCACAGCCTGAGTTTATTCTAATTTCCTGATGTTCAAGCAAGACATATTTCATCAGGATGCTGGGGATCCAAGACTTATACAAATGAACCACAAGTTTTTACCAAGTTTTTCAAGGTCATTTATGAGTATCCGGTAACCTGGACATGAGGGATTACCTGTTTTTATCGTTGAGATGAAAGAGTTCAATGGAGGCAAATTTGGGACCAAAAAGTGAACTCTTATAAGCTTCAGCGTCCACTGTAGATAGACCTCTTTTACTACTTGCGTTTCTGCCCTTTCAAATGTTTGCTTGCCGCCTGTCATAACCTGAGCACTGGCACTTGAACCTACAGCTTATTCCTCTACTGGGGCTGCCAGTTGCCTATATCCAACTTGACTATGTAGCAGCTAGCCTCGAATCCCGTAGGTTCTTCCATAAAAAGTGATGTAGGTCATCAGCCACCTCAGGGCTGTAAATGCTACTGCCCAGGATAAGTATTTAAGTATATGTGAACATCATGATCCATCAAGGTTCGAGAGGATGTGAACACACCCGTGGACCTACGTAGACAAGCACCTGAGTGTTGGGGACATAAATTTCCCAATTTCGCTACTATAGTCCCGCACAAAGCGCGGCGTGAGGACTTGTTGGCCAATACTCAGTCTACCGCATGAGCTAAACATGGGGGACCATTCAAATGTTGAGGCTCTATGGATAAATCAATTCGATGGATGTTCGAATACAGGTTATAATACTTGATTGGTGGATATCCTTGTCATCCTAGTGGAACTTATAACGTTTGCACTCAGCAAATCATATCAAACTTCAAATTATCGCAAACAAAATTGATTCGTAATACATGCTGATCATAGAATCATAGCTCAAAATCGTATAAATTCCACCTTTGTCCTTCCACCTTTGTCCCTGCTCCAACGTTTCAAGTATTCTCTCTAAATACGTGTTTCCTGGTGCGTCACAATCCTCCATTCACCATCAGACGCTTGGCTCCAAGTCGTATGTGAGGTGACTCGATACTTCTTATTATCCCTCAGGGCATGAACCTTGCAAGTGACTGTACCCGCCATGAGATCGATGATAATAAGTCGGACATCTAGCATCTCATAGCTATCGAATCGATGGAAAGGAGGTCTCAGAGCCTTGCGAAATCTGCGCTCGTCTTGCAGGGTGAGGACTTCCTTTTTCGGGAATAGGAAGTTGGCTTCGGGGTTGCTTAGTTTTATTATGGGAGGTGCTGGTTCAGCGGAAGTGAGAGCAGTCCATAACTCAATCTCTTTGTTCATTAAATCCTGGCGGATACGATCATGAATGTCAGGCATGATGGATGGCTTGGGAGGGTTCTATAATAAGTCGGACGTGGTTAGAATGATCGACCTTTGGAAAGTTCATCAAATCTCCATAATTTAGCAATAGAACACATACGATGAGATCTGGGAGGAGGTAGCAAGGAGTGAGTATTCAGATATAGAGCGCTTTCTGTGGTTTTATTCATCTGATTGTTTGACCTGATTGTCATACACTTCAAATAGATTAAATGACGTCAGTGGTCAGTGGGATGATATGACGAGGCCCTGTTAATTTATTCTGGGCGATCAGCCATTGACTGGGTCACATTGGTCCTGTCAAGGGCTCTTCAAGGTATGTACATCATACTCCGACGTCAGCTTGAGGATGGTATCACGGTGGCTTGTTCCGCACGTCATCGTCCTACCAAGTGCTGTTGAGACTGGTGTTGACAGTCCTGCTTATCGACGATGGGAGATATTATCAACTATAATAGATGCCCATATATAAAGCTCTATTTGAGATGTCATGGATATTATCATATATCCCCCAAATAGCAGAAGTAATTGGTCATGGCACTCAAGTGCTTGAACATTTGAACATGATGGTCAGTATGTAGATGCCTGATTCTCCAGGCAGAATATTTCAGGCCTGAGGTGTCAATGTTTGAATTTTGATACACGAGCGACTGATGACCTGCAGAACTTGAAGATGCTGCTCATTAATGTATCGATATTAATAGCGACTCGGAGCTTGTAGACCCGAATCTCTCCTCCACGTTTGATTTTGGTCTCTTAGTTAGTAGATCTGGTGGGCACCTCACCTCTATTGCTTGTTTATGGTGGGGCCTCAACAAGGCAACATTTTGGAAGCTGCCCAGGTGTTGAGTGGAGAGCTTGATTTCTTCAACTCAATTGATAGCTCAACATGAATCCACAGTTTCAGATCTTATTGCAATAGCAGTGATTTCCGAGAACAAAAGATTCTTGCTACCCTTTGGTTTCCCTGTATGCAAAGACATCAGGCGAATGTGGGAGTTGAGTTGGCGGAAATGTCTTCCACTCCTGACTGAACTCCTTTTTCACATACGTAATGTGATATTGGAGAACATTGAACATTTGAACTCGTAATCGATTCTCTTGACGAAGTTCAAAGAGACAGTCACACCTTGAGTGAACATTTTTGAGAGGCACCTGCATTATCTCTGAGAGACACGGGCATATTCCGAGTCCATACCAAGAAATTTGAACTTTTTTTTTGCTTCTTCGCATTGCTGATCATGCATGTGCAACTCATTTATTGGATTCAAGTTTCAGCTGTTCAAATAGCACTTCGAGTTCGTACTCCGTATTCGGTCTTTCCAGGGGCAATAGGTGCCCCATACTCCGTTCTATTCTCTTACTAGGATCTAAGACTAATAACTCAATAGATTCCAGCCCCTCCATAGCTAAGCGGCTATTTCTTCTGAACTTCCATTGACCCGATTCAGCACAGACCATTACCCCTGATGGTAATCTAATGTCGATCATTGGCCGGTGAAGTTTTGTGGATCCCGTAGTCCAATTCCATGACGCAAAGAGGGCTCGCTCAACGAATGCGGCCTCGAATTCCAAGCACACAACAAACCTCGTTCCTGAATACTGAATAAGAAAAAATAAGAAGCATGGACCAACCTCGGTTATAGACGGGCCGATATCGTTTAAATTGAGTTTTGAAGATCAGAATACTCCGAATCTCCGAGGGAAAAAAAACAGTAAACAAGGTCTAGAAAGTCTAGAAAGTAGCGAGGGCATATCGTATGTTGGGGCCAACGGAGCCGGACTCAACCTTTTCCCTATATTCCCCGTTCCTTGGGCAATGAATAATTCCGTAATGATTCCATATGAAATTGCTAGTTAAGGTTGCCCGTAAGCTCCAATAATATGAATCCGTCCGCGGTTCTACTTTCCCCACATGATTGTCGTAACCGTCAAGCCGGTGAATCTTCCCCTCTTTGAATCATCCTCTCTAAAACTCTCCTAGCTCTCCAATCTCCCTTCTTCCATATCTCATAATGTCTCTCAAATTGCAGAGGTCCCTTCAACGGACCGCTCTGCGGTCTTACGGTACCGTTCAAGCGCCGCCCAGTGCTACTTCACTCGCCAGTCGCATTCCCAATGTTCTCGTCGAGGCAACTGCTGCTACTGCACCCCGCATCAATTGGACGCGTGAGGAAATCAGTCAAATCTACAACACTCCTTTGAACCAGCTCACATATGCATCTGTAAGTATTAAACATGCCAGGGCTTGGTCCAATCAATCAATATCCAAGACAATTCTCCGAGCCAATGGCATCTGGGGATAACCTCGGGTAGAGAGTTCCAAAGATGCAAAGCTAATGCCATCATAGCAAGCGGTGCACCGTAAATTCCATGACCCATCGGCAATTCAAATGTGCACATTGATGAATATCAAGACTGGTGGTTGCAGTGAAGACTGCTCATACTGTGCCCAGTCATCGAAACACCAAACTGGTCTCAAGGCCACTAAAATGAGTCCTGTCGACGATGTTCTCGAGAAAGCCCGTATGGCCAAGGCCAACGGCAGCACACGATTCTGCATGGGTGCCGCCTGGCGTGACATGCGTGGTCGGAAAACCAGTCTGAAGAACGTCAAGCAGATGGTTTCCGGAATTCGAGACATGGGCATGGAAGTTTGCGTGACACTGGGTATGATCGATCAGAACCAGGCTAAGGAGCTGAAAGAAGCTGGTTTGACTGCATACAACCACAACCTCGATACCTCTCGCGAATTCTACCCCACCATTATCACCACTCGCTCTTACGACGAGCGTCTCCGCACATTGGACCATGTGCGCGATGCTGGCATTAATGTTTGCTCTGGTGGTATTCTTGGACTTGGAGAGACAGATGAGGACCGTGTGGGTTTGCTGCACACTGTTTCCAGCCTGCCTTCTCACCCCGAATCTTTCCCTGTTAATGCTCTCGTCCCCATCCCGGGAACTCCTCTTGGTGACCGGAAGATGATTCCCTTTGACCGTATCCTCCGTACTGTTGCGACCGCCCGTGTTGTCATGCCTGGTACTATTATTCGTCTTGCGGCTGGTCGCATTGCGTTGACTGAGGAACAACAGGTTGCCTGCTTCCAAGCTGGTGCCAATGCTGTGTTCACCGGTGAGAAGATGTTGACTACCGATTGCAATGGATGGGATGAGGACCGTGTCATGTTTGACCGATGGGGCTACTACCCCATGAAGAGCTTCGAGAAGCCGAAGGTCCCGGGTGCTCAGACCACTGTGACTCCACCCGCTGAATCGGAGACTGCTGCGCCGGTCGCAGCTAGCGTATAGAGGGCTTCAGTGGGATCTTTTCTTTTTACTTTGCCCCCGTTATGATTATAAGGGATTGCTGTCCAAGTGGACCCGTGGAAACTAGCCAATATACAATTCCAATGATCCGGATTTAAGCTCCATCATATGCAATATTTCAACACTATTTCCAAAATTTGAATGTAAATGTACAAGCTCCACAGTCAGTCCAATCACCTATCTATACATGGCTGGAGTATCACCGAATTCCAGGGATACCAACAGGCGTCACCTGTCGGTACTGAATATACTCAGCGCCGAAGAACCGAACCAAGAAGGCCTCCTCGCCTAAAGGACGCGCGAGTCAGTAGTCAAAAATCGCAAGAAATATCATCACAGGAAAATGAAAGAGAGAGAGGGAAGGTCAGACTCACGTTTAATCCTCGTATTAAAGAACTTCCACAGCACGAAGGAATACCCAACGAAGCAAACCACATTTCCAAGCACCAACTGCGTCCCAAGTCCCCACCAAAAGAACCCAAAGTAACTTGGATGTCTCAGGATACGATATAATCCATGCGTAACAAGGACATGACCCTGTCTATGCTCCGACTGCACATGGTGATTAAAGTTGCTGGCGGCCTGGGCCATCGCAAAAGACCTGACGATCTGACCCAAGACCGTAAGGACAAATCCCAGGATTAAGAGCAGGGACACAGAGACCTGATTCCCAAAAACAGGAATCGAGATCGAGAGCCAATAACCTAGCACTGAGCCACCAGGCCAAAAGTAACTCGAAACGAGACATTCCACCATCGCAGCCCCATGGGCAACGTTATACGCCCACCCATTACTCGATAACAGGAAAGCCTTCACATCCGCCGAAGGGGTATTATACGAGGCCGTGATATAGAATTCGAGGAAATGGAAGAGGCTCAGAGCAGCGATGAAGAACGGGACGCGCCAAAAAGGAGTTGGGGAGAGGATGCCGAGACATATCGTCACGGTGCTTGCGACTCCGAGGGATGTACCGAGACAGAATGCTCGAAGTGAGATACCTGCGAGGGATTTACTGCCATCGGGGAAATTTGAAGGATCGGTGTCGCGGGTTGCGGAGTCGGAGGAGGTGGATGAGGTATTGCTGGGGCGGCGACCGGGACTTAGGGAGGAAGGGTGCCATTCTGAAGGAATGTGGGATGCTCGCTCAGTTGGCCAGGAGATATTGGGGTTTCCGGCTATAGCCTCGGAGCCAGAGGCTATGGCGTCGATGTTGGCTGACATTGTTCAGGATGGCTGGTAGCTGTCTAGGTGGTAGCTAGTAGTTGGTGTTTTGGAGGCAATGAGTGTGGATGGATTGTCGAGAGTTGTACGGGCCAAGCTCTTCAGATAAGTTTAACTCTTTTTCAGGGCCGTGATGTCGGCTTTATGAGGGCATGATTGCGATGGTCGTGGTTGTGGCGGAGAACAATGTCAATCTGGAGAGATTGTTGTTTTGTTCTTTGATCCACTTAGCGCTGTGGTCCTGTGGATCGAGGGAGCTCTTTCACCCTGGTCCTGACCCGTTAGGTGTCGAATCTCTCCCGTTAATCTAATGACTTTATGAAAGGAGAGTTCTCGAGAACTTATTATTTTGTTATATTCCGATGGTTCTCATTATTCCAGAGCACTGGCAATTATGGGATGGTTTAATTGTCTAGTCGGAACCAGAACCAGACGACCAATATGACCCCCAAGGTGTTTGGATGATGACTGGGAAATATTCAGATATATTGAAGGTTAAATCTAAGCACATTTTGATTTATAAAAGGTCAGACCCGCTGTCCTAAGGCCTATAACTGCACATTTTGAAGTTTGAAAGAAGATACTCCTTGCAACACCAGAATTAAGCCGCCTGAACTCCTTGCTCCGGCTTTGTACGGCCCAATCCTTCCTTCGCATAAAAGTCCATGGGGTATACACCATTGTTATCCGTGTCCCAGTTCTCACGAACGCCAAGTGCGATCAACGCCTCATATGGAGTGAGCAGAGGACGGGTGAAGGCATAGCCCCAATCAATACTCAGTCGAGGGCAAGCGATTTGTACCCAACACTCGACATCTGACATAGAAGCTAGCTTGCCCGGGAAGATTTCACTCAGCAATAAATTCACAACGGGTATACCACGCTCAGCCAGATGGCGCTCAATCATGGCCATGGTATTGGGATTTCCTTGACGACCAAGAGAGCCCAGAATAATTCCCCACTTCTTAGCGGATTTAGCGGTAGCAATTGCATCGCGTCGAATTGTGTGCATCTCATCATGGTCGTAGTTCTCGCGAGTCAAAGTGCGTGAGTAGGGGTCATAGCGGTAGGCGGGTATAGAAGGATTATGGATCATGGCAGATTCAAGATGGAAACGACCGTCCCCAAGGTAAAGAAGGACATCGATCTCGGAATCTGAAAGCTGAGGGGATGTGCAGCCAAGAATCTCGCCCTTTGAGAGGGGCGTGATTTGAGGGACGACGACATTGAAGCCTGCACGTTCAAGGACAGGCTTTAGACCATGCAGAGTCGCGTTGAATTGGATAGTGCCAACTGTAGCGATGGTCTGACCAGGTTTGAAGTTGCGTTCAAGGGTCGCAATCAAGTGGCTGGTATCAATAGTGATATCAACAAAGATATACAGTGTCTTAATTTTGGTCACATCAACAGGAATCAAGCAACTGTGGGCATAGTGGACCAGGAGGTCGCACCCCAGAGCCCGGGCAGTGTAATCATCAATACAGCAGGCTCCATATGTGACATCTCCCATAATTAGGGTCTCTATCCCGGGGCAGAACTGTTGAAGAATATCGGAAATAGTTGTCGCGAAAATGAGTAGTCCCTCAGGAAACTGCAAAGCCACTCGCTTGGCTCCCGATGAACGAACTCGGTGGATGGTCTTCGGAATCTCGAAGGAGTAGTTCTTTGGGAGCAATTCGATGGCTGCTTGGATTTCCGGATCATTTAAAATCTCCGGTGGGACTTGGTTTAATGTGCGTGGAGTACGGCGAGGGGCAGCTAGATTAACAAAGGAACATTAGCAAATGCATTGTTTGAGGTTATATATAGTGGTGCCACCGTCAGGCGGTGCTTCACACTGGTAGTACCTTTTTCAACTGCAGTAGACTCAAGATCTCCATTTGCAGGGGCAGTTTGAGCCTGTGCTTCAGCTGCACGCCTGCCAACAAAACGCTTTTTGGGTTGACGCAAAGTAGAATCCATTTTTGCGACACAATAACCACTTGGAGGGGAACTGATAAGAGACTTTTTCCCCGCGATAATGGGTTTTTCTGCAAAGGCGGTGGGATATTGCAGGCGGTGAAAGGTGGGACACTCATGCACACGCTAATCCATATCTAGTTAAGCGTTCTCCGCACTTCATGAGCCCATTGCTTCCTCTCTTACTCCTCTCTTCCTTCAAGTTCAGAGCACAGTCTTCCTCAATTTGAAATTTCCTCTCATATTGTCTGCATCAAAAGCGTTCAACAATGCTTCCTCAAGCCCGTTTACGTTTCTTCACAGCTCTGCGTGCGCCAGTATGTAGGCGACAGTTTGCGACAGAGTCGCGGTTAGCCTCGGACCACGTTCGCATCGTTGAAGTCGGCCCTCGAGATGGATTACAGAACGAAAAGAAATCTATCTCAAAGGACACCAAACTGGAATTGATTAAGAAGCTAGCCGGGACTGGCGTTACTACTATCGAGGCAGGATCCTTTGTACCTGCGAAATGGGTACCACAGGTGCGAATCTCCGGCAGACCTCGGCTTTCTAGGAGCTCAAAAATACTGATATTTCTTGACCTTTCTTAGATGGCTAGCACATCTGAAATTTGCGAACAGCTCCTTACCGCACCACCTCCATCCCAACATACAATTGCGTACAACTACCTCGTTCCAAATATCAAGGGGCTTGAGAGTCTCGTGAATATCATGGATGCCACAGGCGTACCGGCGGATGCAACAGGGATAGATTCAAAAGCTGCAACAACAACAGAAATCTCACTGTTTGCCGCAGCCACTGAGGCATTTTCAAAAGCCAACACCAATTGCACAATTGCCGAGTCACTTGAAAGAATCAAGCCTATTGTTGCACTGGCCAAGACTAAGAATATCCGTGTCCGAGGTTATGTTTCGGTAGCTTTGGGATGCCCCTATGAGGGTCCGGATGTAAGTCCTGCCAAGGTGGCAGATATTACTGCGACACTTCTGGAGATGGGAGCCGACGAGGTTTCAGTAGCTGACACCACCGGCATGGGTACGGCGCCACGAACAATGGAACTTCTTCAAGCCCTCAAAGCGGCCGGCATTGCGAATACCGACCTTGCACTACATTTCCATGATACATACGGACAGGCTTTGGTGAATACAATCGTGGGTCTTGAGCACGGAATTCGAATCTTTGACAGCAGTGTTGGTGGATTGGGCGGCTGCCCATACTCCAAGGGCGCGACTGGAAATGTCTCCACAGAAGACCTCATCCATACGGTCCATAGTCTGGGTATGCACACTGGTGTTAGCCTCGAGGAAATGTCGCGGATTGGATCGTGGATCAGCGAAGAGTTGGGCCGAGTGAACGACAGCCGAGCAGGAAAGGCGACCCTTTCTAGGCTCGCCGAATAAAACGAAGATGTATCAATTAGTCATCTATGATTTACATTGACTGGATTTGAATATTATGAGGTTCAAAAATACTTCCAGGGACTCCCGGTCTGCTTAATTTGGTCGCTTTCAGACGTCTTATTTTGGGACAGGAGAGACTAAAGAGCTTATAAAAAGACAGTCTACAATTCGTTTCTGCGTTCAAAGACCAATTGTTGAGTTATTCTGGATATGTTTAAGCTTATTCTTTTAGTAGGTTCTATTTGGGTCCAGGGGTTGAGGCTGAGCCAATGAACACTTTTCTATAAATGTCCCATGAGGCTGACGGGTATGATGAATGGCCTTGTGTGCATACAATCTATCAAAGGCTGATTGAATACAACGCGCATTGTTCAATAGAAGAGCTATTAAAAGTCAATCTCTCTCCTTCGAGTATTTCAACTATAAAATGGCACTCGAGTCCGTCTTCACCCAGCACCAGAAACAGCAAAAAACCTCACGAGCCTTGGAGATCGTCAAGCAGAGTCCAACCCGATTTCAAATCCGAACAAAACTTTCTCAAAATGGATCTTTCGCATTTCCCGGGAACTTTGGGCCAGCTTCCTCTTGAGTTGGTATGGTCAATCCTCGATCAACTTTTCTCTGGAACCCCTAAAGTTACATATAGTTCCCTTCGTGTTATCCGCAATCTCGCCCTCACTAGCACCAGTGCGGCTGCACACATCGAGTCATACATGGCCAATCAGTCCACACTTCAGCTCCTACGGAATGCTGTTGATGATGCTAAATGGCATCCTTACGGCCGCGATGAGACTATTGAGCATGAGGGAGATAGGTCCTTTACATACCTTGCTGACGCTAAATCCGATGATTGCGATGTCATTACAGGTGCCATTATTGATGATTGTACGACCTGCTTCAAGTGGCTTCGAAATGCCGTTCCCGTTTTAGATGGCACGGGAGTTAATAAGAATGGATGGACCTTCGTTGCCATTGCCGGTAATTTTCAATCTTTGAATATGTTCAAGTACTTTGACACTCTTCAGTCCCCCAATCGATCTTGGATTCAAATTCTCACTCAGCCAGCTAATATTTATCAAGATATTGCAACCGCTCTGGTGGTCATGTCTCGCCAGCATAATGTGAAGTTCCTTCGAGCAGTATTCACTATCCTTGCCCCTCGACTCCGTGAGCTGGATCACCCCAGTGCTCTTGATGGTAGGCCAACCAAAGAGGAACAATACCTCCTCTGTACGTTCCTTACCCCGGAGCTGGCTTTAGAATTTGAGAAGGTCGATATGCCTCTTGACAATGTAGATGGTGCCTGGCCGGCACGCGGCAATGCTTACCATGCCGGAGCTACTAACGGTCCAGAATTCCTCGAATATCTCCATGGTAAATCATCTCTTGAAAAGAATGCGCGTGACAGTGCCTTTGAAACCCCACTCCACTACGCGGTTCGTGCTAATAGACTGGATAGCGTTATTTGGCTAAACGAACACGGTGCTCATGAGGATTATAGTGAGTCAACGGAGAGCTCAGCAGCTCAAATCGCGGCCCTTTCAACTACCGAAGAAAGCCTAGCAATCCTGAAGGAGGTTCTTCCTCGACCTGGTCTGAATGCGACTGGGTTCCTTAGTCCTGGCTCCATGCTTGTGGCCTTGGTTGAGGGCTTTAAGAATGCCACGGACGTCGAGGTTCCACGAGATATCACTCAGCTGAAGCGGCTACACGAAAGAATTGTCATCAAGAAGCTGGAGATCCTAGTGGAGGCTTCAATAAATTGTCCTGATATTATGTGCTCCACCGAACCAGATCATGGTATTCCAACTTACAAAATGGCTCTCACTCTTGCTAGAAAGGACGGGGTTGATAAAGTGGCTACCCTCATTGAGGAGGCGTCTAGAAAACGAGGAATTGTGCCTGTTATAGCTAGTATGAATAGCTAAAACCCTTAGAACTACCCAGCTATTTAGAGGTCAAGTATTTGAATTTTCTTGCTTTCGGTTCTTTGGAGTTAATGCTGCGCCCGCAGACTGATAACGCACAGTATCAATTCAAGTTCGTATTTCAAGTGTGGAGATATTTATTAGGCGAATAGAGATTTGAATTAAATGGAAATTACCTTTACACAAAATACTAGTAGTGCATTTGCGCTTCGAAAGAAGAGAATATCAGTTGACTACGTATAATCCAACCTAGTAGATTCTGGTCCATACCTAGCAAGTACCATCATTAATTGATCATCACAACCTTTGAATGATGGATTTCCACCTGGGCAGTCCAACATTTAAAGTTTAAGCCTTCAAGGTTGAAAGAGAATGTCAGTAAACCATCCAGGCTGTAGCATTCAAGTTGAAGCCTCCCGAGTCAGAAGTCCACAAATCCTCATGCCGCGCTTCGCGCGGCACTGTATGTAGTAGTGAAATACTAGTAGGTCAAGAGTCAAGGTATCTACTCAGGACCCAGCATTTGAAGTGCTTGGCTAGGAATCTCGGTCAAGTAGACACCATGACACTACTAGGTACAGCCGTGTTCACATAGTTAAGTACTCAGTCTGTAGAATGTACAGGTAACTGGTGACATACCCCTCTTTGCATGTAAGTACCTACACGGTTACCTACGGGGCTACCTGAATAATGACCTGGAAGGGAGGGCTATCCAATATATAGTTGGATATAGGCAACTGACCTATGTAGGGAGAAGCTATATGTTCAAAACTAGTAATTCTGCCCCTCTGTTCTGCCGGGGAGGAAAGTCGAAAACCACTGGAACCCAAGTAGAAAAAGAGGTCTATTATAGGTATAAGACCACCTGAAACTGAGCTTGCCCTGATTCCGATCCATCATTGGATGTGAATCCATGTGGTGTCCGTGTTCCCAAGGTCACCGTATCTCAGGTTTGACTAGTAGGCTTGAATGTTCAAATGTTGAAAGATAAACTCAAGAGACGATAATAATGATGGTGAGGTTTTTTTCAGCAGAGTGTGAGCTGAAGCTTGAAGCTTGGAATATGTGATTGGAGATTCGATGTTATTTTTGAAAGAAATAAGAGCAATATGAGCTCCCTAGCTCAGCGGGACTCGGATGAATGGACCCTTCTAAAGTCGAGTTTCATTCAGTAGTACAAATAGAGAAAACATTTATAGCTGGACAGAATCTTAAATTAGGCTCAAACTTACATGTAATAGATCAAAGAAAGTTCTTTCGTCTATGAATAGGGTCACGATACGTAAACACCTGTTTCAAGTCTATTATCAGCGATGAATGATCATTGTTCCCTTTATCCTCGATATTATTGGATTTTAAAGACACAAAGATGTCTTTGTTTGATTTCATAAGGCTCATTCATGCTATTATCATCAAAAGGGGCATTCTATCTTATTAAGCTCACAAAGGAAATCCAACAATGGCAGTGTTATAAAGACCGCAGGGGCCTGGTGTAAATATCACAGCATGAGGAAGATAAATACTGCCGATTCCTCTTGAGGAATTGAGTAAATAATTATCGAGTTCATCGACACTGTGGGCAGATGTCTGGATTCCTGGTACCTCTCAATCTGCGATCACACCCTCGTACCACTTCTCCCAATACAACAGATCAACCTGAGTCGAATTCCCCAAAACAGACGATGCTGAGTGGATTCCTGGGCCTTTTTGGCAGGCAGACTGTAATTTCTGATCAGGTCAAGCAATGGCCCGACGCAAGAAGAGTTCTGTTCCACTTGATTCAGTCATGGAGCAAAGCTCTGAAAGACCCAGAAGAAATTCCGGTTGCCGATGTTGCGGACCTGATCCGTCAGTTTTCCGAAGAATTTGAAACAATCCGAAAGCTAGGATGTGAAGAAGGTGCAAAGCAAGGTAAATGCTGGCCCATGAAGTGTGATGCAATCAACAATGTACTCGAAGATGTAAGACTGCGACTTGAAGAAGACCCATCGCAACGCTTTCTAATGAGCCAATATCTAGATATGGTAGCCCGTCATTTTGGGCGACTGACACTCCAGGCGTATGAGAACACTGATGTTTTTGCCATTAGGATGGATATGATGGTAGACATGGAGGAGGAGCGCTTTCGTGATGAACGTCTTAAGGATGACCCGGAGGAGGCTGGGCGCGAGTGGCGACAGCTACGCGCTGTTTCGAAGCGGCTCTGCGTGGCTATAAAATGTTGTTATTGCTTGCAGTGTGGTAAAAGGCTCGTACTGAATAAGGAGCTGTACCAGTGATCAGTGACTATGCGCTAAGGTTGAAGTAGGCATAACTGATCCTCATCCATGCCTCCTAGGTTGACATATTGAAGTTCGGATGAATGAATTTCAAACACTCATAGTATCATAATCGAATAGGAAAATTTTAGTTATCTTCTCTCGCATTAATTGGACTCATAATTCAAATATCTAGAACAACGCGTGCTGATAGTCTTCGTAATTCAGAAGGTGGTATCTGATCGGTCTCTTTTGGAGGAGTGTCACTCACCTGGGTAGAGATCAGACTGTTATATAATAAGAGACAGAGAGATGACGTAGTAAATGTGGTTAGTGACTGCCAGTGTCAAGAGGTAGTTGAAGCTGCCCGCCCACCACGGGCAGGTGCTTTCAAATGTTGGCGGGCTATCTAAATCAGCATGGTTGATCCATTACCTTGGCGACAGCGCAACGGCCTTAGCCCTTTCCAAGGTTGAGGATATGGGTCTATAAGCTAAACCTAAACCAGCGAAGAGTTTCCAACCCTGGAGGGTATTAGGCAATTATAAGTCTGCGGGTATCCAACTTTGGACCATTTGAAAGAATAGAGCTCCGACATTACGGTAAAAAGGCACGCATCTAGAATGCATGGCCTATTTTCACCTAGTCAGTTAAACCTCAGATGGGCCGAAGCTAGTTTGAGCAAAGACTCCCGCTATAATGAATGGGTTACAAAAACTTGCAGTCTCTTTTCTCCCATCCTCATCCATCCAAATCCTCTACTCCAAATCCACTACATCCCATTTCGACTCTAATAACAATTTCAAATCTGTTTTCAACAATGCAGAAAATCTACAGCACTCTTCTCGAGAAACGAAACTCTTCCATCGCAGATGGAGAGCTCTCTGATCTCGGGATCGATCTACACCCTTTTGACATCAGCACCGGTGCAACCTCACCATCCGTGACAAGCTACTTCCTTCCGCGAACCGATTTTCCCGATGTGGTAGACAGCCCAGATCTTGTCAATACTGAAGTTTTCAGAGCTGTTCCTCGTCTGAACGACCAGGACACGGTCCCCCGCCGCTGGACGGGTTGCGGCTGGGTACTATGATATTTCCGTATTCTATGCTCATTGATTACACTTCCTTTGCTTTTAGGGAGAAAAAAGTTTCACGGAACGAAATTCTAATCAAGTGAGCCTGCATATGAGATGCCTACCATTCATTTAAGACGTGTATGCTAATACTAGATAAGGAACCCCTACCGTGGATGAACAGTTGATTCGTAAGTCAGGCCTAAGACGCTTCCAATCCACATATCATACCTAGTATACTAATTCAAGCTCTACTTTCAGACTGTACGATGATTCTGCATGGCCTCGGCTTATGAACTCATTTACCCGGACCTATGACGATTCTGAGTCTAGAATGTCTATCAAAATGGATTCTCCCCCAGAGAAAATGTCCTGTCACCCTCACAAAGGGCATCGCTATTCAATTGTTCAATTCAGAAATCAGGCGAAATGCGGTTCTGAGGATAGTTTTTTTCCATGGAGATGTTTATTGTTGCTGCAATAACGCAAAATGAAATGCAGGAGGTTAACGCCCAGGCATTTATAAGAGCGCTTTACGGTCGTGAGAAAAAACAGCTAAATGAGTGCTACTTCACTTTTCCCGTGAATCATAAACGCTTCAAAGTATAGAGCAGGTGGCCTTAAGCTGACATTGGTATCTTTAGCAACTGGTCCTTCTCCTGGATAGATTTGGCAGTTTGCGCATTATTCAATCCTATTTCGATGGGAAGTTTCACATTTCATTCTCGGAAATTTTGGATCTGGGGCATATGATTGCTGTGCCCGACCCGGGAAAAAATATGTTCATATGATCGACAAGGAGGACTATTTGAAGAAGTTGATTTTGATTTTGGAATGCGCGTGGCCTATTGCGCAGGGGAATACTGTGAGCAATGATTTGCTACACATCAGTGGTCCAAGTCATTTTTTCTGCCCAGGTGAAAACCCGAGTCTGTCCACGGGTCACGATGAGTTCGCTCATCAAGTGCAAGATTGCAATCAGAAACCTCCAAGTTGAGACCTGGGACTTTATTCAGAATGACTAACTTTGAACGCTTTTGATTGTTTATGCAAATCGCTTATCCTTATGTACTTTAATTCAAGTTACTTGCTAATGAATTGACTGGAATAAGTTCAAGTTAAAGGCTGACCCAGAGGTGATTGAAACATATGCACAACTGGCAATTTAGAAATATTTAAGCACTAGCACTGAAGGAAATATGGAGATAATAATTTGGAACTTGAAAAAAAAACGAATTTGTCGTTGTCAATATATGAACATTGGCAGAAGGATGACATAGTCGATAATACTAGGGCGGGTCTCCGATTATCGGATTCGCCCCTTTTGTCCGAGTACCCAGCAATGAGAAGATCTTTGCGTGAACATTCAAGCATTAGAAATCGAAACTTTCCGCATTTGCCCAACGCGTGTTTTACGAAGGATATAGGCTCGGATTGTCTACTACCAGCAAACGCGTCTTGCTGATCTGGGGAGACCATGCTCTCTCTACACCTGAATCCTACCCAATTTTGCCCGTGGGTGACCACGCCGGCCGGATCCACTTCATAAGTTGTGGGGGAAAGGGTCATGATTCCCCGCGTTTTCAGATCGAGCACACATGGTCGAATTCTGGGCACCAATTGCAAAAGGGGAATCCTTGAAGGAGGATTGAGATTTAACAAATTTAGAAAGCATGGCGTCTGGGGTTGCATAATTGCAAGAGTGGAATTCCCCGGGATTTTTCTCAAGTCCCACCAGATCGTTCAGGCGGCACTCGTGTTGATCAACGGCGGACGCCGATGCCCGCACAAAATCACCAGCTTCGGTTACGTATGGATCCTATGTGCCTAGGTTAAGCTCTCATGGATCCAAATTCCCCATATAGGGGGCCCGCAATCCGGATTCTGTTCGACCTCATCTTCTTTAGCGGATTTCTATCTTATGTTTCATTTTTGTTGTGCTTGACATCGTTCTGATTTGAGCCAAAGAAATATGGGTCTCAAACCGTATATGGGCCTTCGTGGCAATGCTCTGCTTCGGGCTGCTGTCATGCTGGTCGTGTGTCCGACATTCACTTGCTATGGATACAACATGAGTGTTGCAGGAGGACTGTTGACATTGGACACTTTCAATAGTCAATTTCCTAGAATGGACACGCTGCATGGTGACGCAGCTACCAAGCATGAAAATTCGACAATTCAAGGTTAGTGAGGCTCAAATAAGACTGGGTGGGCTAAGCGCTGACTCGGATGTGTCACTCTAGGCACAGTGATCGCCCTCTATACGGCTGGAGGTATTTTCGGTGCTTTGTCTTGCATCTACCTCGGTGATCTTCTCGGTCGAAAGAAGGTCATTTTCTTCACAAATCTCATTGCTGTTATTGGTGCCACTCTCATGGCCACATCCTTTCAATTTGCACAATTCATTGTTGCCAGGTTGATCCTGGGCTTGGGAATTGGTGGTTACCTTGCGACAGTTCCTGTCTGGCAGTCAGAGATCTCTCCATCACACAAGCGGGGGTCAAATGTCGTCACAGATGGTATCTTCGTAGGCATTGGTGTGACTAGTGCACTATGGATCGATCTTGGCTTCTACTTCATCAAAGGCAGCTCGGTGTCCTGGAGATTCCCTCTTGCTTTTCAGATCGTGCTCTCCCTCATTGCAATGGTCTTCATAAACCTCATGCCTGAATCACCTCGCTGGCTGATCAAGAAAGGCCGACGTGAAGAGGCTCGAGAGGTTCTTGAAGCTCTTCTCGATGTCGAGCACAATTCAGAGATCGTGACCAACAACATCTACGAGATCGAAGCATCCCTGGCTAAAGCCGGATCTGGATCCTGGCGTGATATGTTCACCATGGGTGAACAACGACTATTCCACCGTGCCTATCTCGCTGCCACTGGCCAGATGTTTCAGCAGATGTGTGGTGTGAATCTCATTACCTACTATGCAACCACGATCTTCCAGCAGTATCTTGGTATGAATGCCGTCAACTCCCGTATCCTGGCTGCTGCAATGGGTCTTACCCAGCCGCTGGGCGGTAGTTTGGCCTATTTCACCATCGACCGTCTTGGTCGACGCCCACTCATGTTATGGAGTGCTGGTGCCATGTCAGTATGTATGGCGATTCTTGCCGGTACAACTGGGCAAGAAGGTAATACAGCTGCGCTGGTTGTTGCTGTGGTCTTCCTTTATGCTTTCCAATTCATTTTCACCGTCGGCTACTCAGGCCTCACATTCCTCTACGCGGCTGAGATGGCCCCTCTTCAAGTCCGCGCTGCTGTGAACGCAGTATCGACCGCCACTGTATGGACCTTCAACTTTCTATTAGCTGAAATCACACCGGTCGGGTTCGATACAATCTCAAATCGATACTATATCATCTTCGCGGTGACAAACGCAGCTATCGTGCCCTGCGTTTACTTCTTCTTCCCAGAAACCAAGGGACGCACTCTCGAAGAGATTGATGAAATCTTCGCTCAATCGAAGTCCATCTTTGACCCACCCCGTGTCGCACGTCGCATGCTACAGGTCCAGGTTGGTCAGGCTCAATCTGACAGTGGCGATAACAATACCTCTGGTGATGAAGCTGTAAAGATGAAGGTATAATACTATTATCCTTCCATAAATCATGTACTGGTCGAGACGCCTAAAGGAATCTTGGTGATTATACGCAGCGCCCAGCTGGCCGGCCTAGCTTCAACGTGTCCGCTCGGATCTCCCATATTGAGTGACAGCCGTTGAAATACCCATATCAAGATGTTGCCATAACTAATATCGGGCATTTGCCCTGAATGAATTTCCATTTCACTTCTCAAATATTTAGTTTTCGTAGCTGGCATTGATTATTCGTACCCGTAGACTAGTAATGAGTAGCATCAGTGCCATATGTATGAGAGCACGGACCAGCTCGAATGTCATTTCAGAATCCTGGGATTCTGAAATGACACTGGTCCGTGCACCCACTGCTTACTGTAGCGGGAATTGAGCCTCGCACTCCCGATATACTGTAATTCTTGTCACCCAGAACAAGTCCTCACGTCGCGCTTCTCGCGGCACTGCCAGTGGAGCAGCGAGCATTTGAAATTGGGAGAGGTAGGTATGTCCTCAGCACGCGAATGCTTGGCCAGATGTGTCTTCATCCTCCACATACTTAGTAAGTACAGGGCTCAGTCCGAGTCAGTAGCATCTATAAATGACTAATGCCTGACGCCTCTTTGTAGATAAGCACCTACATCATGATGGTTATCTACAGGGTTACCTATATGAATACCTGGAGGGGAAGGCTAGCTACTACATAGATAGATATAGGCAACTGGTAACCCCACAGATATCCAAAGTAGAATTAAGAGATAGCCAAATAAACCTTGGAAGGGGTATTGTGAAGGGCTCAGGTCAAGTCTTAAATTCAGAACGAGCTAGGCCAACATGCTGTCTATAATCAAGCTTAGAGAAGAAGAAAACAGAGTGTGCGCAGGTATGTGAATATATCAGGGGCAGGCGGTGTAGCAGAGCGGGATGTGGCAGAATCTGAAAAGATGCACTCAGGGCTATGGCCGCAGGCTATAGATCATGCAACGGGTGTAACCCGTTACAGGTATTGATATATTCATGTTTAGATGTAATAAATAAAAGAAAAATATAGTCTATTGGTAGATCTGTGGTCTCTGAGTATTCTGCCAGACAGTGAGGAAACTCGAAAAACCACTGTAACCCAAGTGGGAAAAGAAGTCGAAGTCTAAGTCTACATCCCGAGGTCAATTGCGGTCTATTGACAGTATTGGAGGTCATATAAAAACACGGATGTCCAAAGCTCAAAATACTATTAAATATGGCAATTAAGTCTACGCAACAAATCTCTCGGGGCTATTTCTGGTCGCCGACCTCGGTCCCAGCGGCTCCTCCCCGCAATCCTCTTCCCCAAATACATTTTGCCGATCTGCTCGTCTCCATTACCAATGAAATGCTCCGCTTTTTGTTCGTTATCTCGGTCATTATCTATCCTTGATAGGAGATGGAATGAGCGGAATGATGTCCGTCAAGATGATAAAAGCCAGTAAATCCTCCTAATGCGATGTGAGATAAGCTGGCCGGAGACGCAGAAAGCCCAAATAACCTTTGTGTTCATCAATTGCACTTCATATTCTCCTTCTCAATATTTATTGAAAAATGGAGACCTCTCGCCGTCCGCACCTGAAAGATCTCGCCTATCGTGGCGTAATCCAGGGTGTCACAATCTCCACGGGCAGCGGAGCTCAGAGCAGTGAACTTTGTCACTACTTCGGAGGTGTCCGATACGCCCTGCCCCCGCTACAACGATGGCGCCGGGCTCGTCAATTGCCCGCCAACTACACATATGGTGACCGACAGCATCCAGGTCAATGTGATGGCGGTGCGGGCCTATGTCCGCAGCCTGGATTCATGGAACTCTCCCCTTCAAACGAGGCTGCGTGGACCGAAGATTGCTTCCAATGTAACGTTTGGGTTCCGACAGAAGAACCTCCGAAAGGCGGATGGCCAGTTTTTGTTTTCATTCGTAAGTCACTGATCATATCCCTTCATTGCAGAATTGAAATGTGAACTGACATAAATCCAACAGACGGTGGTTGGCTACAGTTCGGCTCACCAAACGGCTTCAATGCGGCTGCCTTACTCGGTGAAACGGACTTCAAGGCTGTTGTGGTTATGCCCGCGTATCGTGTGAACCTCTTCGGTTTCCTATACTCTTCCGAACTCGCTGAGGATGCGGCCGCCGTTGGTGAGACTGTAGGAAACCACGGATTTTGGGACCAGAGAATGGCATTGGAGTGGATCAAGGGAAATATCCATCTGTTTGGTGGAAATTCTAATAACATCACTATCTCGGGATACTCTGCTGGTAGGATTAATCGCCGACAATGCTCGCCGGTACACACTAGCTAATCACCAATCTACACAGGTGCAAACTCGGTCTTCCATCAGCTAGCCTACGATCTACGCCAACCCGAATCCGAATCCATCGTTCGTCAAGCATGCATGTTCTCCAATTCACCAGCCGTCCAACCAAAGAGCCCAGCCGAGACACAAGCTCAATTCAACCAGCTACTCACTGCAGTTGGCATTCCTCTCACACTATCAGCAAATCAGAAGATCGCCCGTCTCCGCGCCCTGCCCCCACGCACTCTCCTCGATGCAGGAAAATCAATTGACATCCACCAATTCCGACCAACAACCGATTCGGGTTTCATTCTTCCAACTCTCTTCCAATCCCTCGATAACGGTGACTTCGCACGGAATATGCTGAGACGTAATGTACGGCTGATGCTTGGCGAGTGCAGCGACGAAAGATATCTATACGCGGTGTGGTTTCCACCAAAGGCGAACACACTATCCGCCTTGCGTACTCGATTGATTGCCGATTACCCAGAGAAGATCGTGGATGCCGTTCTCCCGCTTCATTATCCTGATGGCAAGCTACCAGCAGATTGTAAGGACTGGGTATCCGATGCCTGGGGCAAGATCTATGCCGATATGCAAGTATACCATATGCAGCGGGGATTGATCCATGCTCTCACATCCAATACCGGGAACGTCGATGCTTCTCGACTCATCCACCGATATCGCATTGAATACCGTGCAAAGTGCATGGATAAGGCTTTCCCGATCGAGTGGGGTGTTACTCACTCCTCTGATTACCCATTATGGTTCTGGGGCAACGGCGATGTCCTGACTCCAGCTGAGAAGAAGAGTACTCATGAAGCGTTCATTGGCCCATTGGGCCGTTTCATCCAGGGACCTAGTGCCGCTGGTCCAGAAGGATTTGGCTGGGGAACAAGTGGACGTGAAGGCGTACGAACATTGAAGTCAGATAGAACTGTGGTAATTCAAAAGGACGCATTGTGGGAGGAGGGCGTGAATATCTGGAACACACTTAGAGGTGTGGATCAGGCGAAGCCAAAACTCTGAATAACATGATGTCAATAATTGCAACTTTCACCAACTAGCAGGTCTTGTAGTCTAATGGTCATGACGTCAGATTCTGATTCTGAAAGCCCCGGTTCGATTCCGGGCAGGACCTCTTTTTTTCATCATTTCAAGTGGATAGAGAATTTCTTTTTTTGGTGATTTTTGGAGGCCGAAGCGAAGGGCTTGACGGGACCCACGCGAACCGAACAATGTGGTGGAGTGGAGTGGATATTTGGGTGAACGATGCAAGTAAAGAATCAATTCAAGAACTTGAAAATAGTAAACAGTCATATTCTATATGAAGAACCTGTATATGAAATAGAGAAATAGGGACTGGTAGATCTAGTAGATAATAATTCGCAGTATATGAATCTTCAATCACAGCTTCCACTCGTGAGCATTCGTGAGCCCCGTAGTTCCCGACTGATCATCCTGATCCAAATAGCCGCATACTCTTCCTTTAGGATCCCACTTACGACGAATTTCCATCAATCGCTTTGCGTTATCATCTGCCCAGAATTTCGTCTTGCGTGCCTGGAAATCAGAGTCCCCAAGGTATGCGCCGACGGAATGACGCTCAACTCTTTTCATAACATTTTTCACCCAAGCCTGGCACCTCACATCATCTGATTCATCTTCCCACACGGTGTAGAGAGCAAAGTAATGATCAGATTGTAAGCTGAGAGCCATATCTGGTAGCTTTCGTCGGCTGCATGGATTCATGGGGTACCACAAGGCAAATGCTTTCCGATGTGGGAGAGTTGTGAACGCCTCTTCCAGCACAGCCGGAACGTCAGCATCATTCTTAATATAAGCATTCTCGGCGCAGTAGCGGTGCTTCTCTGGGTTTGCCCGCTCTTGATTATCATATTGTTCATCCAGACTGTCTTCCTTGCAGAACCATTCTTCAACAGCTCCATCTGGGCGAGTTTCTTGAGCTAGGCGGAGTGCTTCCTCTGCCTCCTCGGGGGGTGTTCTTCATCACGACGAACAAGATGAAGAAACTCATTTCATCTGAACCTTCAGCATATTGCGAAATAACTGCGATCTCGGTGTCGTTGTCAAAGCTGGGCGTTATGGATAGGATCCAGTCAAAAGCCTTTCGGTACATGCTCATGGGGTATATATATCCCGATGATCGGAAGCCTTTCTTGGGGTATGGAAGCAAGCTAAGATGAAATCGTGTGACAACAGCAGGGAATCCTGTTCAAACATGCAAAGTCAACACCGTCAAGGTGACCATAGAAAGCGGGAACTGGAAGATAGCGCTGAATGAAACCTTCAAGGAACTTACCAGGACCAGCACCTCGAGCCGCCCAATACAAATCTCGGTTTTGAGTTGAATTGCAGTGGATCAATTCCCCCTCCGCTGTCACCACATCCAAACCAACTACTCTCTCGCAAGCCCATCCCCAATTCTAAATTATCAAGTCAGTAAATCTATTCCCACAAATTATGGTTTCTTCAGTTGCTCCATACCCGACAATTCCAGCCCATACCACCCTGAAGCAAGAATCCACCCAGCCCCACGTCCGGGCAGTGTCCACCAGGAAACATCAAGCCATGCTCTTTGATAAGGACCGAATTGAGCTCGCGGCCAGTCATACTGGGTGTAGCCTTGGCTGTCATATTCTCCGCATCGACTTCCAGCTGCTTATAGTTGCCGAGATCAATGAGGATAGAATTGTCGCGTACGCTCCACGCAGCCCAGGAATGGCCACCCGATCGAACCGCGACGCGACATTTCTGTTCGACGGCCAACTTAACAGTTTGCACAATGTCGGCCTCACTGGCTGCCTTTACAACGGCTAGAGGGAAACGCGAAGGTCGACGATGATTGAAGACACGACCGACGCGTGCTTCTTCGTAGACTGTGTTCTGTGCGGTGGCTTTCCAGATAACTTCCATGATTGTTGATGAAGAGCTCTTTTGTCTAGGTATACTGTTTGGAGTGTCTAAATTTGTGCTCGATACCAGGTGAAAGTATTTTGAGTTTCAAATTGATGGGGTCGAAAGCCTTCTTATGAATATTTCGGATGATTGGACTCCCAGACATCACAAAGTGCCAAAGCTCACATTAAATGTAGCTTGCCGATCGGATAGACGCTGCACTTGAGTGTATCAAATGGATCGAATGATGTGGACTACAATTCCCCGTGGGGTACTGTGGACCGCGAGTGTCCACATCCCGAGGTCGAGTTAAGGTTGTGTATCCCGATTCCCGAGGATTACTTATGCTACGAGGACATGAGTTTCCTGAGTAAACATTATTTTTTCACATTGAAACATCAAAATTTCCAAAATCATATTCTGCCTCGTTGGTCACACGTTCCTTTCGTCGGATCTTGAATTCGTACGGTATATCGTTGAGGGCTTGAACGAATCCTAGGATGAGAGAAATCAAGGTCAGTGCAAGTTCATATAGACATGGACGCTAGGTAGGAGACATACATGAAACCAGATCATTTTGATGACCACCAACGACTTTCCAGTAGAGTCTTGGAAGAACTTCAAGTTCAATGAAGACGGTTGTGTATATTTACCTACCACCCTGGAACGTGTGCTCAATCAACCACTCAAGCTTGAAGCATGAGCCATCGCGGGGGATTCTATCCTCTGGAACGTTCAATTTGAGGAGCCGTCGCATTGTCGGAATGAAGCGATCCCAATCCGCCGGAGACTGATAAAATGCCAAAGCATAGTGATCGCAATCATAACCAGAGTATCCCTCATTATGATTATTAGGCTCATTGAAATGCTGGTACAGATCCTGAGGTGTTCTGTATAAGCTCCGACAGGCTGGACACACATATGAGCAGTCCTTCTTGTTTGCTCCAACGACACCATAGAGCCATTGATTCCCATGCCCCAAAAATGCTTCAACATCGACATTCTTTTGCAAGACATTGGCAGGCTTTATCACTATGAATGTCAAGGCAGGGCCCAGCATCACTGGCTTGTTGACCCAAATACCCTTCTCAGGACTCATGATGATATTCGAGAACACAGGGCCCTGACTTGGAATAAGTAAAGGCAGATAGAATGATTGAGTCAAGTTTTCTGGGCTGAGTGATGGCCTCCTGGTTTCGATGATAGAATAACTGCCAGGCTAGCATAGAATATTTGTCAACAACTCTCTGCTAGCTGAGAAAGAGATATGGGTCACATAACCCTTGAGATACCTGCGGACAAAGCTTGAGGGCAGCCTCATTTACTTCTTCACTGACTGAGTTCTTCACCACGGAGTCGTGCTCATTTCCTCCACTTGGAACACTGTCATTCAGCCGTGATATCGTGTTCCAAATCCAAGTCGGCACTGCTTGGTGCTCTGGAAAACTATACACTTTCAAATGGTCCGGTGATTGCATCATCTTGACAGGTCGCTAGCTTCCAACAGAATAAGGAAGCTCTGTGATGATTGAGCTTCTGAAAATTTGGGACACAAGGAACATCAGCTTTATATAAAGTGAGGTAAAGTCAGTAGGTCATCCATTTTTCACAACAGGAAGGATTTTACAGTAACAAGTCATTGAGGCGTACATCACTCATGGACCAGGCAAGCCTGGTCTGTGTAAAGCACCAGTCAGAGGAGACTCGTACTTCTCCAATGAGGTTCCTTTCCATCATAGTCAACATTTCATTTCGTTTCCGCCAATTCTCATCTAGATTCCGACAGAAGTCTCGATAATTCACAAAATGACAAGAGTACCGGAGAGGATGTCCGTGTCATAACTCTGCAGAAGAAAAATCAACAGGGCAGGGATTCAACCGCCCCAACAGGGACAGGATTATTTTAGCACTGATCATTTTGGCAGTTGGACACCATGCAGCAAACAAACAACGGTGTTGAAAGAGACTTTACCCCTCTGGGTTAATACAACGACTTGAAATCGAAAAAGAAATAAAACGGCATTGCCTCTCCGAGACTATTGGTTGTTGGATCTACGCAAGCGAGACTATTTTCACTTTCAGATGTGCAGAAGCTTTACCTAATTAGTCATAATAGTGCTGCTTTACTCCTGGTTCACTGCGCGAATGATATCCAATGACACACCGCTAGAGACGCCTCTCGGGCGCTCAAATTTCCATCTACTCCACGTAGCTTGGAAATGAAAAAGAGATGAGATCTGCGGCGGGTGGAGACATTAACATTGAATAGTTCGGAAGGCGATGGATATTAAGATGATAACACGCAATACAACACTGGAACGACCATTCTCGAGCTCACTTTCCGGATGAGATTCCATGTTTCGGACTGTACTACTCCGTAGAGCTATGACCATCCTACTGCCTTAACTGCGCGCAACGGGCGGACTGACCCTTTAATGTTGAAGAAAATATAATCACAGCTTGAGTGCTTTTAGATCTAAGTGGTTCCGCTAATAGCAGAAATTTTGAAGTGCTCCCGAGGTCAGCCCTGGAGCCCTGACTATGTACGCAGTAGGTTACAGGACCAGAGGGTATACTCAAGTGCTACTAGTAGTAGCAGTCAAAGACAGCTCCGAGTCAGATTGAACCTGTTCAATTCCGGCCTCTGAGTCACCATTGAAAGCTTTCAATGTTCCGCTTTAAAATAATCCCAGTAAAATCCGTACTATAAATACCCATGTGCATATCGCAATGGTGTAGTGATAAATACTACTGGTGGACTGATTCGTGCGGACCGAGTCATGCTCGGATGCCTACTGACAGATCCTACTATACGAATACCGCGACCCTACCACCCCTGCAGTACTAATGGATTCCGAGTGATGGACATAATTGATTTATATACCTGTCAAATTCAGAAATAGTGACTAGGTAGTAACTATAAATTGCAGCTCAAGGGTGTCAAATGATATCGGCCCTGGAGTATCACATATGGTGGAGGATCATTGGCTCATTCGAAAAAAAGGACGGAAAACCCTGAGGTCATGGTCACCGCTCGAGCTCGAGTTGTCCCAGGGGCTAGTCGGTACATGTACTAGGTAGCAGCGCCTTGTGTGGATGCCTAAGTGAGTCGCGAGGCATGTTGTGCATTAACTCCGTATGTCCTCATTTCCAGATGTCGGATATTTATTTCAGCCGGGCAGGCTTCAAGTTCTCAGCAGTTGAGAGTCAAACATCATAGATCTACTCACTGGCAGGTGGATGGCACTGACGCTCACCTGCTTCCTGGGCAGTGGTAATGCAATTTCCGTTTCGGAGTACCTAAGTAGTAAGTACCAGTGGTATTATCGGCAATACTAGTACTACTCCGTAGACTTTCTCCCCATCCGTCCCATGGGCTACAACATTTGAATAAGAAGCGTCCAAAAATAATTCAAGTATTCAATCTAGCCCCCAAGGCCGAGTCAAAGTCCGTGGACGTATAGACTGCACATGTGGAATCTGGATAGTATCCACCCGTGGACGGCACTGGCACTTGAAGTTCATACATATGATATATCCACCCGTGGACCAGGCTCCACACCTGCATGATTCAAGCACTTGAGCTGATGTAGATACTAGATGATAGAGTGCCTCTCTTACTACTTGGGTTCCTGCACTTTTACTTCCAAGGTTATCGCCTGTCATAACTTGAATCCTCAAGGAAAGAGGCAGAACTTGAATCAGCCTACGCATGTGCAGCTTATCTCTAGTGCAGCCAGTTGCCTATATCCAACTATGTACATGTAGCAGCTAACCCTCCTTCCCCTTCAGGTAACCCCGTAGGTACTTACATAAAAAGAGATGTAGGTCATCAGTCACCTCTAGATGCTTCTGACTGAGCCCTGTACTTAAGTATGTGAACATACCTAGCCAAGTACTGAGTGCTTGTCCCGGGACATGTGTGGGAGTGTGGAGAGGTGAAGGAATGTGTGGGCCGGGCTAAGGATCTGTGAAGGGCAGAAGCGGATTTGATTCAATCTACTCGGACCACGAACTGTGTACAAAAAGAAGCTTAAGGAGAAGAAGTAGACTTCGGGCACGATTCGTCAAGGAAGAGGAGGAATGTTATGGGTCACGTGGATGGTTGAGCTTTATACAGGCAAGGCCTGTACTCTTTCAGGGATTCAGCCTGTGACAGGATCTAAGCCCTTCTCGGACCTACGGAGTACAGTCCGATAACATGCCTTTCAAAGTTCCCAATTTCGCTGTTACAGGGTAATTAGCTTACGACTTTTTGCTCCACCAATGGATGATTAACTACTAGCACCCAGGGCTGAGCGGTGTTTCAATTTGATTTATCTTTGTTAGATTTTACGATCTATCGATTCCACCTGTGACACTAGTACTATCTGGGGGCCGCAATTACGTGGTCTCCATAGGATTTTTGATCGTAGTAGCGGCTATCCAATGACCTACGGCCGGATCTACCCCTGAGTCCTAATTTTGGAGCTCTAGGGGCGCCTCCTTTGGCCAGATGAACTTTAGCGCATACAATACACTAGCCAGCCGAAAGTGGGCATATTGGCTACCATATCAGCGAATTGAACAATGTGAAATACGCAATAGGGAGCCTCGGATTGGCTTTGTCTAGTATGTTAGATGATGAGTCTATGACCGGGATTGTAGCTGATGCATCCGGAACTGGGATCCAGCTCATTCGTCGAGGTGGCTTCAACCTTGTACATAAGTTTATGATGGACTTGCATTAGTCAAAGTCGCAGCTATAGGCTTAGGATAAAAGTACTTACTGTACTAGGTATGGAAAAGCAAGTGATATTTGCATATACGTATAAATAAATTACAAGATAAATCTAATTTTTCGAAAAGGAGAAGAAAAAACCAACCCTGGAAGTGTTGGTTATGTTGGACGGAAATCCCTCACGCTATCTCTTTCTCTATCTCTTTGATACACTTAGGCCTCTGCTGATATTTAAACGAGGTAGTGTGAAAGTCCTGAAGCTATTCATGCTGGTGCCTTCATCTGGAATTTACACTGGCGTTTTATCAGAGGAAGGTATAGACTGATGATGGTCATCGACCTCGGAGTCGACGTCGACATTAGCTCTCACTTCCATATCTTCTTTCCTCCCACCACAACCCCTCTGAACCTCGATACCTTTTCTCTTCTCCGTTGAACTCCCCCTTCACGGCTTGAGGTTCTTTCAGTATTTTTCTTTTGACTCAGTTCCTGATTGCCTATCACGATGGAGCTGCCACCCGTGTTCGAGGGTGGTAGAACCCGCTCCCAAGCAGCTACGCTTCACACACACGAATGGGACCTGGTGACGCGTCGCGAGGACTCAGATACACTGCCAGCTTTTACTGAGCTAGATGGTAATTTTGAGTCAACAACGAAGCTTGCCGACGAATATCTGGAACTCTTGAACAAGAAGAGAAGCTTTGTTCTCCAGAACCCCAAGTTTCAGACCGGGGGTACCATGATCAACGCAACGATTACCAACCTAGTAAAGCAACTGAGAGGTGAAGACGGCATCGACAACGGTAGCCCAGCAGTGATCGAGCATGCCGAGGGCAGCGGCGGGAGCCCACTTGACTGGATAAAAGTGATCTTAGGCTTCAAAGCTCAGATCTTTTCGCGTACCCAAGGCACAGACACGAATGACTTCTGGCGCGCTCGGCTGGGTGGCTACCTGATAGTTATCAGTGAGGCAGAATGGGTTATCCTCGCCAATACATCAAACACACATTCCCAGCGGTGTGGACTGGGAAATGGAGCTGGAGACTAGGCAGGCCAGAAAACTTGAGGTTGAGCAGCACATGGGCAAATTAGCCAAAAGTGAGTCCGTTTCTCTAGCCAAAATACTCCTTCATGACTTCAAAGCTTACCATCCCTAGGTTTTGCGCATATGAAGCTTGTGCTAGAAGGGCTAGAGGAGAGCTGTCAGTCAATTGAAGGTATGCGACGAGGAGCCGAAATCTCTCTTTTTCAGGGCTATTCAGCTCCAACTCAACCCTTCGATTCGACTGGTGAGCTTCTCATTATTGACCACGATAGTGATGAGTCTACACGCAAAACTATACACCAATCGCCTATGACGCAAAGCGGTCCTCCTCTAGAAGCCGACGATCTTCAGCCCGAATTCATCTCACATCTCATGGTTCACTCGCAGGCCCCTGAGAGTCCCAGAAACTGGGACTAACACCACCGAATCAATCCACCTACCTAGGCAGAGCCTGGCTGGCCCAAGTCAAACAAGTCCATCCATACCAGCTACATATGGTAGCGAATCGCCGTCAATCAACATCTCGCCACTAGCTCAGACCTTCGATTCGTCGACACGTATGGTTTCCACAGCCAAGGCCCCCATAAGACGGACTGACGATGAGGTGGCTCGAGCCTATGCCTTCGTAAACCAGCTGCTCGATGAAGGAAAGAGCTGGAACCAGATCTGTCGGCTTTACACAGCAGAGTTTAACGCCGAGCGCACTTTAGGTGCCATAAAATGGTTTCAAAGTGTTTGCAAAAATCATCCAGAAAAGATAGGAGTCAGAGGACAGCCAGGACACGTGGTACTTAGGATCTCTCCATCACGATTACGTGAAATATCATGATTGTTTCCACTCACAATCCATGTCACAGGCACTTCGCGAAAGAGAGCAAGCAATGGAACTTTCCTTCCCCACAACGACACAACCCATTCCCAATCAGATAATTCCGCCCAAAGTGTGGGGGACGCTACTAGTCAAACGAATCCAGTCGCTTTTTAGGCAGCTACCATTGATACCCGTTGGACCCCTCGGATCGAAAATTTTTAGGCAGTTAACCCCCTGCAGTGGTTGACTTGAGGCTTCTGAGAAAGAAAATAATATGGAGTTGCTGTTCTCTGGCCCTATTCCGGTGTCTCCAGGACTCCTGGGTATCATAATGGAGGGGGAATACATTCAATTATGGCAAAGACAATTAGCCGTGGATTGAATATCATGAAAATGAATACCAAATTCGCACGTTAATCACCCGAGTACAGAATATCCTCGGCTGGATTGTTAGTGGAGTAGCTAGAAGGTATAAAGAGGGATACCTAAGGGGATACCTAAGGTGGTAGCTAAGGGGGTACTTAGGGGGGGTACCTGATGGAGGTACCTGAAGGGACAGGCTAACTGCTATGTAACCCTGCCCAGGTGGTAGTAGATATTTATATGGATAAGGAAGAACAATAGAAGTAAGTATAGGCTAGTTACTAGTAGCTGTATACCTATAAGGCTATAGCCTATAACCTATTACCTGACTCGGAGTAGGTCAACTGGAATAATGCTGGGCGATCAAAGACCTCCAGGGCTCCCGAGGTCCAGTACCGGAGTGCGTAAACATTTGAAGACAAGAGGTCTACTATCTATTCTCATATATCCTAATTGATATACCACCTTGGAAGTAGCCCCTGGAGGCACCAATTCCTTTCTCGATGGCTAGTTTAGATAGGCGGTATGTGAATTACGATGTGTTTATAGGAGTCACTATGTAGTAGGTAGCCTAGGTAGTAGGTATACGGTATACCAATTTTGACCAATTTTGAACACTTTGTGTACTTTGTGTACTTGTTAGCTTTGACCCAGCACTTGAGGCTAAAACCTATATCAAATTATCATTAACCTTGGAAGACTTTCTTTGTTCAACTTAGAAATTAGCTTCCCCTGTTCATGTTAAGGTGTTCCCTACCATTGGATTTAGCCAAATCTTCCACATCAGCTTGAGGAACACCAATGCGACCGTGGAAGTGGGCCACTATTATTCCTGTGTAAATTTGTTTAATATAGAAGCTGAAAAGAGAGAGGTGAAGGCGTCTCTATCAGTTATAAAGGTCGGAAAGGTCTACGGGCGGAATTTGGTGTACCCAAGCGGCTTTACGGTCGCCAGCTCCACCGAAAAAGAAGTCCAGTATTAGTTCAATCCATGTGTAGGGAATCCCGAATACATCAGGGGGTAATGATCTGGGAATACACATGTAGGCTCCTTTGACCCATAGGACGAATTGCTTTCCCATTTCCTAAGATCTTGAAGGCTAGGATGGTGCATCTTTGCAAGAGAATTGATCCGTGGTTGTTTTGAACCGATTTCAGTTCAAATGTCTCAAGTTAGGGATTACATAGGGAAGCAACTTGAAAGAGATTGATCGTCTCCGTGCCAAAATACTAAGTATTCATGGGAAGAACTTGAACCTTAGTGGTAGATCTTGAATTTCCAGGTAGTAGCCCTGGAGATTCTGCATATTTTCCAAGATTTGAAGAACAACATTGAAGATGAATTAAATCGCATCAATTCTACTAGTATATTTTATCCGTCCCGAGAAATTTATACCCAACCTGCTTCAAGGACTCATCTCATCATGACTATGATAACACCATACCATTTCAAATGTTGGTGTTTACTTTTGTTGCAAAACCTCTTCAGTAGTGCGAACAATTATATCAAAAGCATTGCGAACATATTTCTCTTCCGCCATTGGGTTCGCACTGACCACTCGAATGACATAGACGCCATCCACAACAGTGGAAGTAATGAAGATCTCACCCCGGGAGTTGATCAACTCGTAAACCTTTTTCGTGATCCCATCCGCAACCTCGTCTTTGGCGCAGACTGCACCACTATCGCTATTGGATGCTTGTGGGTTCTTGACGCGGAAGACAGTTAGAGCGAAACCGGGCTTAGTGGCAATTTCGAATAAATCAGAGCGACCACGAATGAGATCAGCAAAGATATTACCAAGACCAATGGTCTTGCGAATGTGTGCCTTCATGCCATTCAAGCCATAACTGCGCATCACAAACCAAATCTTCAGCGCTCGGAAACGGCGACCAAGAGAGATAGACCAGTTGCGGTAATCAATCACAGTACCCATATCTGAGTATGGGTTGCGGAGGTATGTAGGGGTGATGTCGAGGGCATTAGTGAGATCAAGTCGATTGCGGACAAAGAGAACGCTACGGTCGCTTGTTAATTTCGAGATAATCGAAGTGTAGAAAGGGGTTGAAACTTACCTCGCATCGAAGTTGACTAGCAACCACTTGTGCATGTTCATGTTGAAACTATCAACACCCTCAGCGAATTCCTTAGCAATGTACTGCCACTCATCGGCCACGAGAGAGGCGCCCGCGTAGGCAGCATCGACATGGACCCAGATGCGTTGCCATGCAGGTTTCTCCTGCAGCACAGCCATGATTTCAGCAAAGCGATCGATGCTGCAAGTATTGGTTGTGCCGAACGTCATGGTCAAATGGTAAGGAACCAATCCATCTTTGTCACACTTCTCTAAAACCTCACGCAGACGAGGTCCTGTCATCTCCATATTATCTTCCAATCGGGTAGATACGCTACGGAAACGTGTTCCAGCAATCAATGCACCCTTAGCTGCACTGCTATGTGTTTGATCACTCGCGATAGCCACGAGCCGGGGTTGGCGATCCATCTTACGCTCCTCGTATTCTGTAGTACCTTCCTCAAGACCTTCAGCCAACACCAACTCACGGACTCGTCGCTCACGCGCCGCGACCATCATGGTGGCGATAGCATCACTAGCACTATTTTGAATTACACCACCACCAAGGTTCTCAGAGGTGCTCAGGAAGCACGCGGGAAGTCCAAGTGCCTTAGCAACCCAGTCCATAACGATAGTTTCCATCTCCGTGCAAGCCGGCGAGCATAGCCAATTGAATGCTGGCGCTGTGAATGCCGCGGAGTACATCTCACCAAGGATACTGGGGTATGTTACGCTCGCGGGGTAATAGGCCATGAAGTTCGGCGACTGCCAATGGGTCAAGCCTGGCTTAATCTTTGTGTCGACATCCTGTTGGATCTGCTCCCAGGTCTCCGGTTCTGCAGGCGGGTTCTCGGGGATCAGAGGCCGAAGGTATCCGGGTTCAAGTGCGGGGAGAACTCTTCGATCGGGCACGCTGTCGAAATAGCCCAAGACTGAAAGAGATTGTTGTTAGCGATCCTGATGCCAGTCAATTGGCCTTTTTTCGGTGTCGAAATCTCACTGTCGTCAATTGCGGCATGCGCCGCCGTTCGGAATTCGTCGCGGTCCATTCTTGGCGCTATCGTTGACGATACGGAATGAGAGAGTATACACTGGGCTAGGAGGTTCAGGAGTTGAAAAGTAGCAATGCCAATCAAGCGATTAAGGCTTCGATTGAGAGACTAGTTCGAGTTGGAAGGACAGGCCAAAGATCTGCAGACTCGGAGTTGTCAAGCGCAGGGCGCGTCGGAATAGTTCCGCAGTACCGAGGGGCGCACAACTCACCATAATGAGATAAGCGAAGTTGATGATTTGAACTCCGGTGAGAACTTGACTTTTCTGACTAGATGCTTCTAGTAACAGTGAAATATTCTGGACTTCCAAAGCATCAGATTCTTGAATGATACTCTATCAACTTGTGCTCAATTGAACGTGCTTCACATTCGAAGCACTTGATTTCCCCGCGACAATTTCTGTTATCGCTCCATGTCCCTCCACAAGCCCCGCTGATAACCCCACGCCAGTTGACGCACTATGATCTATACATCCTTCGTAACATCCGATCTGATGATGTTTTCTCTACAAGTCTTCTTCCCCATCTCTATGTCTTAAGATCATTTGTCCTCAACATTAGGCCCCGGTAAAGAAGTTCTCAGTTTCAATGCTCTTCATAGCGGGAAAATAAGCAAGTTAGAACCCGATATTCCCGTCATACCAGATTCAACCCTCTGGCACCGAATGCAAATATAGGGGCCTTGAATGGAGAGATTAAAATAGACCTCTCTCCAGGGGTATCCCGAGAAGATATTCGAAAATATTCGAGGTAGAAGCGAGTAGGAATTGCTCCGGAGGCTCCGGGTACACCTATGATAGTCACACAGATACCTATCGAATCCTGGACGTGAACACGACAGGCTCAAGGAACGAGAATAATTCTGATGAGCTCCTCTTGAATATTTCAAATTTCTAACATCGATGGCTAAGAGTTATCTGAGAGCTCAACATTAACTTTACGAACCATGTAGTTGTTTGGCTAGTAGGTGGACGCACGGCACTAAATTGGCACTAAAAATAGTTAACTCGCTGAGGCATACCAGAGCGATGTCTTAAAATGAATCATTGGTCATACGAGTCGCAGATCCCAGTCGAGTCTCGTGCTCGAGTGGCATACTATGTAGGTAAAAATCTGATCTAGGTATCGTTCTACCTTGTACCTGAGTATTCTGCATGTGGCAATATCTGGGGAACCTTACAAGAGAAAAATGCCCAATTTATAGTGACATGAAACTAGCCGTAGCTTTTGTGATGCATTGCCTCAGCTTCTAACATCAAATCCTGTCCAATCCAGTCCTTTAATGTCAACTTATCATTCCCAGCATCCGAATGCTTCAGCGGGGGTTAGCTATGAATCATTTTCTGAAGACACTGACTCCGGAAGGCTGATCATATCAAGGCCCCACTTGACCAACGAAAAGCCATTGCTTCAATCATTGCCTCGACAAGTGGCTTTAGTTTGAATTGATGGATTCGGTTCTGGCCACGCATGTGGGCTCGGGCTCATGCCCAGGCGTTACGCAAGGTAACAAAATTTAAGACATGATCGAGGCTTAGTACTACTTTTCATATACATGTTTTGTGCTCGATAATGCTTTGGATGACGGAAATTCAGGATGACAGGCCTGGCGGGGAATAAAAATTTCAAGTCCGTTCATGTACTGCAGCTCTACCCAGGTTCCCTATGAGCTAGATGTTACGTGATAGTAGGACGGAAGAATGTGAACAGGGAACGCCAATCGATCTTATTTAGGCTGAACTTATGTGTCCTGAGTAGTTTCGAATCTACAGGATATTCTAAGAGTAGCACTGAATCCGAATTAGGGATTTGAAGCAGGGATTCAATCCCGGACATGCATGCATGGTTAACATAAAATTTCTAACCCTTACCAGTGGGCCACGATTGATTTTTAGAATCGCTCATCAAGTTGGTGAATACGTACCGCATGAGAATTCAACAGCACTAGAATCACACATCACTGGCTGGCTGTAAAGAAAGACTTGTAGTAGGAAATCTGGATGTCATCAATGCTCATGTGAAGAATCTGTCAGAGGAGGGGGTGTGCTACGCGGTCCGAATTTTCTATAAATTCAGCCTTCATGTGGCTCTTTATCTGAAATCCTGAAGTTTATCGGCTATCACTTACTTGAGACTAACAGATTTTACCAAAACAACATTTGAACCAACTCAACTCTTCATAATGAAGTCTACTGTAGCATCTTTGTTCCTGGCTTTGGCGGCCACTACAGCTGGTATGTCTTGCATCGGCGAAACAATCGCACTCTCGACTGACTTTTGAGTAAGGTCTGCAAATCACCTCTCCTGGCCAGGGCGAATGTGTTGATTTGAGTCAGGGCTTCCCTGTCAGGTGGACCTCTGTGGAGTATTTCCTCATATTTCAACCCAGGTATTACTGAAGGAGTCCTCTAATCAGATCACCTAGTACCGATCCCTCAACTCTCACTTTCCGCCTCACAAATTACAACGGGGCAAGCCCGCCTATTGATGAACCCTACCCACCTAACCGGGCTGTTCTAGTCTCTACATCCGAGGGAACACACTCCTTCCCAGGCGTGTCTAATGATGTCGCCCACGGATTGGCCACTATCAATGACGGGTAAGCTCTACTAGAAACCCATATTTGTTCGTCGAGAGTTCAAGTTCTGATTAAAAGAATTTCACAGCATGGGATTTGAGATTTGGATTGTATCCCCCGTTCATGGTGGAGCCTTAGCTCAATCTCAACAATTCAGACTCATTCCGCCGGGAGGTTCTTGCACGTCTACTTCAGCATAGGCCCGATCTGGACCATGTGGGAGGAATAAGCGGATATTGAGATCCAGACTGTATCTGACGTTCATTCTAGCTAATGGACCACTGCAATATTCCAATCCGAGGCCTACCACACTTTGATTGCTGGTCATTACTAGTACTGCACATGTGGGAAATATTAGATAGTGATATCTAGCTCCCCAGTCAATTGAAATATTCAAGTTTTGCCATTTCCAATGTTTTGCGCCTCGCATTTTATCTTGTTAGCATGGTTGCCAGGTGATTTATCATTTCTCATTCCTGCATATAATATTCATGGATGTAGCTTTGAACCTTCCAACTTGAACGTTGGAATCTTTTTGAATAATAAAATGACCGTAGGAGAAAAGATACTGACCAATGAAGTCGAATGCACATGGGGAATTTGGGGATTATCCTAGTATCTCAGTGCGCAGAGAAATAACCAAAGAAGGCAATCCTCATGTTCAAATGTTCTTAGGTATAGAGAATACACATGAACCTTCACCTGAGCATTTTTTTGCTTCCGAATGATATGATGCACATATGTCAAATGGTATACGTCAAATAAGAAGCCTCCCAAATGATAGTGCTGGGCATTGAGGAAGCTTTTCAACTTGAAATTACTTAACTCAAAATGCTCAAGGATTGCCAGAAATGGCAGGCAATATGAATTGCGATTCCACCCCAGGCTGGGTAATATTTCAATCCAGAAGCACTCCCGACAAGGAAATGCCCTGTACTAGGAATATCAAGAACTCTGGGCCAGCCCTCAGAAAGAATGATCAGAGAAACTTTCCCATCAGCCATCGACTCCAATTTAGTCTGGAGTGCCTCAAATTGGCATATCCATATTATGTAACAATGTCCCATCCAGCCAACTGAAACAACATTCGAGTTGATGAGATACCTTTCCCTTTTGATCTTGAAAATGCACTTCAAATTTTAGCATCGAGTTCAAATGTCATTTGATTTATAAAAGCCGGTAAATCGAATTGTAAATTGACACTCCGGTTTCTAACAGGAAGTAAGTGACCCTCGACTTCCAAGATTGACCTCGAGATGTATACATGTGTCACCGATCGTGTGAACTATCCCCAGAAGTCTAATTCCGCCATGCGTCAACATGATCAAGGGAACCCAGAAGGTTTCAAACCTGTGCTCTGCCAGTGAGCCAAAGTATCATCGAGGGTGCTGCTTGAAAAACCCGACGAAACAGAGATATAGATGAAGTTTTTCAATGTTCTTGGAAAATTCCCGGGAATGGCCGGAAGAGCCTGGTACACATCAGACTAAACTAGCAATGGAGGTTTAAGACATGACTCAATAGCATCAGTAGTATGGATACGACCACAGAGTAGTATATTAAAGTGTCCTTTGCCCTTTTGTCCGATCTCTTTACCAAGAAACCGAGCTTCAAAGCCGTCGTAAGGCGTTTTTACATTGAAAGCCTTCCGGGTCTCCTCCATTTACCCATGATGCGTTCATCTATTGTGTCTTTCCTTATGGGATTCGCAGCTACAGCTGCTGGTGAGTGATGCACACGTTTAGGCCAATGATAACAGTGAATCCCGCACGCACTAACACCAAATAGCTGTTACTCTCACGCTTCCCACAGATAGTGCATGCATTGACTTGACCAAAAATTTGCTTGTCGAGTGGACTGCTACTGCGTATGATCCCTATCACTAAGGCCTTCCATAGAGTGACAGCTCTATCAAGATCGTATTAGGTCATTGCTAATTCCTACCAGCCAGGAGGTTCAAGATATTACAGAGGTTTCCTTCCGACTTGCAAACTATAACGGGGCATACCCTAATGTCAACGATCCACTACCACTATCAGTTGATGGAAGTGTTCCTACACAAAGGGGTTTTGTCCTCATTCCTCGCATGAGTTATGCAGATGCTCTGCGGTACTACAATATGAACAATGGGTAAGTCAGACTCGGATTCAATATCGACTACAGAACCACCAGTGGCCGAACGATTAATTTTGAACACAGGCAAGGATTTACTATCAGAATCACCCGTGGCAGCCTCGCGCTGGAGGATGAATCCCACCTAGATGAAAATCATATCACGATCGCAAGACCGGGCGGTGGGTGCTAGATCTGAAAATTTGGAATCGAAACAGCCTGAGGCAAAGTCAGCGCTCATTTGCACTGCATGAGTGACAGTATTTTACCGAAATCTTCGGGTTGACTGGGATTCTTCAACTTGAAGCCTTTTGATACCTAGGTATTTCCGAGCTTTTGTATCAATCACACTCCTTCGTGCCCAGGTGATGTCTTAGGTATGAATGCTATTGCGACGTCTATTTTGGCCGACAATCGCATAATCTTACCACTGGCACATGTACTTCAATTCTCTCACTAAGATCGCTAATATTAATTCTTCAAATGTTATTCAATTTGACCAAACTACTCCCCGCAACATCAATGTCACGGTACTAGTAGTGCAGCATTTCCTTGATGAATAGAAGTAAGACAATACACATGTGTACCTGGAAATTGAGCCTGTGAAATGAGTGACAAATTTTTGGAAAATGGTGAGCAGTCAAGAGAATAAAGGGAGCAAGTCTTAGAATAAACACCGATCTCAACTACGGGGGAGCCAAAAAATGAATTTGCATTTTCAAGATACCAAAATTGATACCAATTTACATGCGACCTCCGGTAGTATGAGGCAGGTCCGAGTCGTCTTAAGGCTGCCTGGGGTTCGAAAAAGGGACCAAAGCTCATGCAATGCTTAAGGCCAACCACCAGACATATACTTCACTTGGTCTCGTGATCGCTCTATGATCCCAATGCTCCCATGCAAAGACGACAAGATATCTCAATATTTGCGTCGTTTACAAAGACATGTTCCAGGGTAAGTCATGTTGACTATCGAAGATGCCAAATCTGGGAATATATTCCTGTCGTTTCAGATCTAATCCGTGGTATAAGCATGCGTCCGGGCCCCAAATGATTTCGAGACGGAGTGGTGAACGAGAGTTCAGTGGCGTTCCGGAGATTCGCCGATAGCAGCAGGCAGATCTGACCGACCTGCAGCTTGAAAGAACAACATAACGGGATCATCCAGAACAAGACATCGGGATCATCAAGAACGCGACCGGGGATCCTTGACAAGACCACAGTTGCGACATAGTTGCAGCGATCACCCTGGGAGCTGAGACAAGGATGAGGACAAACAAATCATCTAGACAAGACAAACAAATGCGACACGCCTTGCCGTCCGAGTTGTTACTTGGCGAGAGATCCTCTGCAAGGTGCAGAAAGTGCAGAGGATTCGTCAACTGTGGCCTGCGGTGAGCGGGCTGAGCAACCGCTGCATCCGCTAGAGCCAATCTGAAGAGCGATGGAGGGGTGGAGCCTCCTACGCTCTGGGAGCGGGATGAGCTCCGGGTCGCGGAGATAGTTCCTGTCACGATAAGGAAGCTCTAGATGAGGCATAGGCCACATGGCCCATTCATAGCCATTCTTCCCGTCTGAAATTACGAAAGCTGACAGAAGAGTATAAATAAAAACCTGACTCGGTACCGAGTCTTGAAAACAGCAAGCCGAATTTTTGTCGTTCTCTCATCTGCTATGGGATCAATTGAGCAATCTATTCTGCCGGCCGATTTCTTGTGGGGGTTCGCGACAGCCGCCTACCAGATTGAGGGTGGCGCCAATGAGGATGGTCGTGGACCTTCGATCTGGGATACCTTCTGCAAGATCCCTGGGAAGATCGCTGGTGGCGGGTCTGGCGATGTGGCTTGTGACTCCTACCACCGAACTCACGAGGACATTGCCTTATTAAAATCATGCGGTGCACAAGCCTATAGATTCTCGATTTCATGGTGAGTTACAACTATAAATCATTACATTGATGATACCATTGTTGACAATAGATATAGGCCGCGAATAATTCCCAATGGAGGTCGCAACGACCCTGTCAACAAGAAAGGGATACAATTCTACCAGCAATTCGTCGACGATCTAATCGATGCAGGGATCACCCCCATGGTAACCCTGTTCCACTGGGATCTGCCAGATGAGCTCGACAAACGCTACGGAGGTCTTTTGAACAAAGAGGAATTCGTTGCCGATTTCTCAAACTACGCCCGGGTGGTATTCCAAGCACTCAGTCCCAAGGTCAAGCACTGGATCACATTCAACGAGCCCTGGTGCAGCTGTGTTTTCGGTTACAACACAGGGTACTTTGCGCCAGGTCACACCAGCGACCGCAGCAAGAGCCAAATTGGCAATGGATCGACAGAACCGTGGATTGCGGGCCACAACATTCTAATAGCACACGGGGCGGCGGTGAAAATCTATCGAGAGGAATTTAAACCCAGCTTCGGAGGGGAGATTGGTATTACATTGAATGGTGAATTCATCTTCCCTTGCAGCATACTATTCCCAGCTAACACTAGTCTAAACTCCAAGGTGACTGGGCCGAACCTTGGGACCCAGAAAATCCAGCCGACATCGAAGCCTGTGACCGCAAGATCGAGTTTGCCATCTCCTGGTTCGCCGATCCCATTTATCATGGCAAATATCCAGATAGCATGATCAAACAGTTGGGGGACCGACTACCAACTTGGGAACCTGAAGATATCGCTCTTGTCTTTGGCAGCAATGATTTCTACGGAATGAACCATTACTGTGCTAACTATATTCGTGCCAAAACTGGAGAGCCTGAGTTGAACGACATAGCAGGCAATCTTGAACTCCTCCTTGAAGATAAAAATGGCCATAGCATTGGGCCAATTACACAGTCCCCCTGGCTGCGACCGTGCGCGCTGGGATTCCGAAAACTGATGGTGTGGCTTAGCGAACGTTACGGATACCCCAAAATCTATGTCACTGAAAATGGCACTAGCGTTCTGGGCGAGAATGATATGCCTATTGACCAACTTTTGGATGATGAATTTCGGGTACAATACTTCCGAGATTACATTGGGGCCATGGCGGATGCATACACCATTGACAAGGTCAATGTTCGTGCATATTTGGCGTGGAGCCTTATGGAGTGAGTGTACCCTCTCCATTCCATACATAATGCTTATTAACCATGTATTGTACAGTAACTTCGAATGGGCTGAAGGTTATGAGACACGGTTTGGTGTGACCTTTGTGGACTATGAGAACGACCAGAAGAGAATTCCTAAGAAGAGTGCGAGGAGCATCCAGGGCATTTTCGAGACTTATATTGACACTAGTAAGCCCCTAGCCAGATTTTGATGGGAACATGACTCGGAGTTGGAGTACCAATGAAACCTTGAATGTTAGGCAGTTGAATCTCTTACTATTTGAATTTGATCATGTACCAACCCGTTGCTCGTGTGATTGGAGTATTGTTTTGATGATAGACTGGATCGCAATACTAGTATAAACCAATGCAATTTACTCAAGTTGATTCTCTAAATAGCTTATACAAATGTTTTCATCTTTTCCATCGTATTCTTAGGGGTTTTGGAAGGTACTAGCAAATTCATACTCGGGGTCCCTTGATTGTGTGACGGAATACACATCATGAGAATACTGCCCAGGTGGATTATCAGACAGCGGGACTTGGGAGCGTAATACTGCGTCTCAACATGAAGTTACACTAGTAGAGAAAGAAATTAGTTTAAAATTGGATTCTGTCAAATGTTGACCTCCCACTGGGTGATCTTCGATGTGTTTTTTAAGTATATGAGTACCGTGGTAAAGCCTTGAATGGGAACTTGCCTACGTCCCAAGGCACTATGGGGTCCTTTAAGAAACTTCGTGGAATATTCCATAAAATAACAAATTCCAGATTTAAGAAAGAGGAAGTTCTATCTAGCTCTCAGAGAGAAAGCCACAGTGAAATTCAACAGGGAAAATACATCTTTCCCGCAGAAAGTGACCATCACGAAGCGACGATCCTAGGCTTCCCATCCAGAAGCTCCCTTCCACCCGACAAATACGACGCTGTATGTACAGAGTTAGCAGAGCTCGCAGTCGCAGTCGCAGAATTTGAGCCCGTGCGTATTTATGTGCGCCCAGATGAGAAAGACCTCGTTGAGACCCTACTTCACAATACTACGAAAGACCTCTCCCGTGTGACCATCACCCCATGCCCGATCAACCACTGCTGGGTGCGAGACACGGGCCCAATCTACGTCCGTGACGCGACTGGTAAATTCCCCGATCGACGTTTCGCTATCAACTTTCGCTTCAATGAATGGGGCGGAAAGAAACCTGAGACTGGTGGACTCTCCTGGGGGCAGCGATGGCCACCAATGGATGATAAGGATCTACGAGAGAACACGGACTTTGCGCGCTGGGTGATTGAGCATGACACCGAGCCATACCCTGTGACCAGGATTGATTCCCCCGTCCGAGCTGAAGGGGGTGCGTTCGTGACGGATGGAGAAGGAACCCTTCTGATCACGGAGAGCAGTATCATCTGCGACATGCGCAATCCCGGAATGTCCAAGGTTAGAATCGAAAGTGAGCTGAAGCGGCTATTGGGTGTTGAGAAAGTAATTTGGTTTCCTGGACGTCGCAATGTCGATATCACTGATGTGCATATGGATGCCGAGGCTCGATTTGTTCGCCCTGGTGTCATTGTCTACTCCAAGCCCCATGATGTGGCACCAGACCTGTGGAAGGAAATATCCAGAGAGATTTGGGACACCCTAGGACGTGAAACAGATGCCAAGGGACGGCATTTGGAAGTTCATACGATATCTGAGCCTGATCCCCGGGGCTTGACCAAGACGGACGCGGAGGAGCTGGCGGCTAGTTATGTCAACTTCTATTTTGTCAACGGAGGATTAATCATACCCAAGTTTGGCGATGAGGAAAGGGATCAGCAGGCCCTCGAGATTTTATCCACGCTGGTTCCTGATCGAGTGATTCGACAAGTCTATGCTAATGCCATCCCCCTGACTGGAGGGGTATTGCACTGTGTGACACAACAGATACCCTCTATGTGATTGAAGAAATTATATACCAGTAACCTTCAAGTTGGGACTATCAGAACCCCAGATCATGTTTAAATTCTTTCCAAGGTTAATCAGTGAAAGCTAGAGTGAGCAGTAGGTTGTGAATTGAGGGAGATGGATATCTTCGAACAGGCTACCTATACCGTAACTCTACAACACCGATCATGTTCATCATGATGATCGATATTCGATATTGAGGAATTCAAGAATTGAAGTCGGATGAGTCTGCACAAATTCGAGACTTGAAAGGACTCAGAAAAAGAAAGAAATATCATGATAGACAATCATGACGCCAGCAGTTCTAACTGCCCAACCTGACAAAAGTACCTAGTCGGCTAAACCTCGGCAGAGACTCCGTGTCGAGGCCTTGAGTTGTGTGGCTTGAAATTGCATGCCAGTGCCCATTATTACTTGAGCCACTAAGACAGCCTGGTGAGGTCAAGTCGGCCTCAAGGATCTCCAACTTCAAGTTGTTAATAGAAAATTTTCGTAGCTTCATTCCTTCCAGATGATTTTGAAGATCTAATCCGTATCTTCCTCTACCAAGAATTGAACGCTTCTTCTACCCTTCAGATATCCTGCTCCATGTTGTGGAGAATAATTAGTACCATTATTCCTGACCGCCAGATGGGCGTATAGGGCTTAAGAATCCGATTATAACGTTTGTCCTCCGAGTCATTAAGGTGTCACTCTCATTATATGCATGGACGAGATTTATTATTCTTAAGTGAACGTGAGAAGAAAGTTAAGAAGAAAGGTAAGAGCTTTAATATATTAGTCCTTTTAGTTTAACTCTTTGATCATATATATGCCTAGTAAGATTATAATACCAGTCTGTTTACTTTTATCAGAGCTTTCCTTTGGGAAGGACTGATAGGTTGTCATCATCCTCTTTCATATACCGCATTCCAATCCCTCAAGTGCTACGAGGCTTCTCATCCTCTATTCCCTCTGATATCCAGCACACAACCTGATCTAATTCAATTTCACATGGAGAAAGCCTACCACGATGGCCAATGGTAAAAGTATATGCCCTCTCGCACCTTCCAGTTCGTTCATCTTTCAGCTCACGTCTTCTCTCTTCATCAGCTCTGGGCCTTTCATTTCGTGAGTTATCTGGTTTCCGCGTTCAAGACAAAGTCCGAGGCCAAGTCCCAGTATGGGCACTTCCTTACCACCAGGGCTTTTTGGAAACATTGCATCGTGGAATACATTGGTACCATGGTCAATCTACTAAGCCTTTCTAATTGAGCTAATTCGGACACAGCAAAGTATGAAAATGGCTATGACGACTGGGATCGCTTCATCAACCACATCAACGACTATCCAATCTGGTCACCAGGAAATCCCGTATTGATTGGGGCCTTCTTTAGCGTGAGAGACCGACAGTCACGCATCGCGACCGTGCCCGTTTTCATTCCTGAGGGGGAACAGCCGTTAACTCCACCAAGGTGACGCCGAGAGGAATTACAGCATTAACAGGATCTGATCAGGCCATGCAAGGAGAGTCCACAGCAGCGGCATCTCTGTCTAGGGGGGATACAGGACCTCACAATGGAAAGCAGAGACACAGAGGCCACGAGGGGTCTAAGCAAATTCCTTCCAAGGTTGAGGCATACAATACAGTGCCTTTTACAAACAGCGTGAACGACGGCGGACCCAAGAGGCCAAGATCAACTCCAGCTTTATTGACGTGCGCTACACGACATGTCTGCTTTTGCCACGGAGCGTAAGAGGGATAATGTGGAACGACAAGTTCACTTCAAGATGGGTAAAGCAAAGTACATCAGTATCGTTGATGGTGGACTGGTGGACCCATCTGGAATATGCCATGCTCCCACTGAGGTCAAGCCGCAGGCACTTGAGCAAGGAAACATCAGGCAAGTTTTGATGCAACACGCATTGGAGTTTGTTGCATGGATTGCAGAGATTTTGGGCTTCTATGGGATTAGCGGATGGGTGCCAAAGGATAAGATCCTCAAAATCAAGAGGTGTGCTTGAAATCGCGTGCGCAATCATACCATGTTACTACTGATGAAACCATTATATGTGGGTTATGTTAGCCCAATACGCCACGGATATTCATATCATTGTGGCTGAACCAACCACTGAGTACCTGGAATACTTATCGGGCGGATGCGCACCTATCAGTTCACCCTCACCTGGGCACAATCCTCCTCAGCATTCTTTCGAGCATACTAAATTCTTGTATTCATTTGAGGAAAGAGATTCCCAAGGTGTTGTATATACCCAGGGCCAGTGTTTAGAATCTGTTGGGCTCAAATTTGGGCAACCACCTCCACCTTTCAAGTTCAAGTTGCTATAATGATCCAGCCAGATCAAATATACAAAGATAGTATTAGGGTAGAATTTGTTTGATTCTAACTTGAAGGTTCTAAGGTTCCATGTAGTTGGAATCTTTGTCACAAGAGCAGATTGTAGTCAATCAATGTTTAAAGATGAACTTTGGAATATGTAGCTAAATAGGCCCTCACTTCCAAGGTTGTAACCCATCATCACTTAGCACTATGTGACTAAAGTAAATTTTCCGTTTAGCCCGTTTTATGATAATTTCATGCAACAATGGATATTTGCTACAAGGTCATATCATACTGAAGATGCCAGATGCGGGATTTTGCAGTGTTTGCCCCCTGGGGCAATCATGAGGAAAGACTCTGATTGCGCTCAGGATTTTTATCAGCCGCCAATCTATTCCCCCAAGTCCATGCACTCAGTGGATCACCAGAAACCAGATTAAAGAATACTAAAGAATAGTTAGCCCACATGAGAAAAGAAATTCCAGGAATCCAACGTGAAATACCTTGTCCAAATGCTCCTAAAGTCTCATCCAGCTGAGTGTCAATCTCCGATTGCTGTCCATATCCCAAAACAGGAAACTCGAGATCGCCCACTCCAAGATTGGAGGTTGCACTGATACCACAGGGGGTTGACATTTGTGGAGCTGACTCAAACCTTCCAGCATAAGGTTGCGTTGGAAGTGAGTGTGTGCCCACCTGTTCATCTGCAGAAGCCCCAGTAAGGGTTTTCCATAAACTCGGTCCAGCTATCCAGGGCCTCCAAGCCATTCACTAACGATCCATCGTATCCGCTCGAAGATGCTGTCAAGAATATGTGAGTCAGTCTGGAAAGTCCATATATCGGTTTGGATGTTGGAATTATCGATATGCTTTGCTTACAGTAAAGAGCCAGTGAGAGAACACAAAAGTTCAAGCGACGAAGATTAGAGCTTCTCCACCATGACTCCTGAGGAACGACTGCCAACAATAGATCCTCGTTTGGAGCCTCGGGTGCATTTTTCATTGCGGACATTGTACCGCCGCGGATGCTCGATTCTTGGATCACCGTATTATTGAACTTGAAGTTCTTAAGATCTGGAGATTCCGGGGGTTCTCGTTAGAATATATCATTCGGCATATTCCGGGATCATCAAGCCATGATTCTATCGGACTCCAGGGCTTCTAACTCAGGATGGCGCGTGACGACGCCTTTCCCCATACCACTTGATTCATATTCGAATCAACTTGCTCAAAAATTGCCGTTATCCTCTCCGAACTTCTGGATTGCCCCATAATAGGAAAAACCTTCGTTACGGAAAAGTACTGAGTATTTCTGGGGTATGGGGGCATCCATCCGCCGGAGGTTCAGCTCCGCCGGAGACTCCAGAATCCAGATGTCCAATTATGGGGCCCCATCCCCACATACGCCTGAAATACGAAGAGAGAGGAGAGCGAAAAAAAGCGTATGATCAGGTGAGGGCTGAAACCATTACCAGGAATTTGAGAAAACTTAGATAACACAGAATAGTTGAATGAGCATAGAGGTTGGATGACAGAGAAGTGGTGAGCATCATATTGTTCTCAATGATCCGCGGAGTGCAGTTTACTGCACATGTGGGATCATGGATGGACATGTGATAGCCATCAAAATTTGAACTTCAAATGTTTATACTGTGCATGAAGTCAGAGTACCTAGTATCCACATTCAAGTTCCCACCTACATAGTAAATAGTATACATATTCACTTGGGCAACTTATCAATGTATGATAAAAAGTTTGAGTACATCCATGGATAGTACAGACATTCAAAAATTTTGGATTCCTTTTCAAGCTTGTAGGATGTACTAGTAGAATATATTATTTATGTGCTTTCGTGTCCATCAAATGGTCCTCCGGGCTGCAAAAGTATTAAACCCCGATATACTCAATGGTCTGTGCATCCCCAACAGCGCCAGAATCCTTCTTTTCCAGCATCACATGTTCATGGAGAGCATTTCTCTCGTCCTCATTCAATTCATACCATCGGTTTGCAATATTTGTATCGCCAAAAAGGCCACCAATCTCCTCCAGAGTGCAGCCCTTGGTTTCAGGGAGATACATGAAAAGCAAAATAATGTAGAAGAAGCTCGGGCAAATAAGCACGAGATAGAACTTCCACCCGATGCTATTCATAGCAATAGGCGCAACTGAGAGAGTCACCTCGGATGCCAGATAAAAGGAGGCCACGCTGAATGCAACGCCCACAGAGCGTAAATGACTCGGGAATATCTCAGAGACATAGCTATGGATGTATGTTAGGAACAAGCTAGATCCAACGCTGATAATCAAGAAGGTATACATACACGTATTGTGTGGCGTCCATGAAGAAACATCACCAAAAGATTTAAAGGAAGCAGAAGAAAACCGCAGCCCTCAAGCCGGCCTGGTTATTGCCACCAATGTATCCTGCACTCAGGGCGCAGAGACAAATGGAGGTGCAAAATGTACCTATTGCTCCAACCCGCAAGAGTGTACGACGGCCAAACCTATCGACGTAAAAGGCTGTCCACGTATTGCCGAATCTAGGGAATAAAGTTAACTTCTCAAGATGGCTGGGTGCCATGGTTACAAAACAAGATTCACAGTGTAATTTTTGTCCAGCATGCATTCAACAAAAGAGATGGAATTCCCTTCGCCAAACTGAGCATAGATAGGAGCGCCATAGTTTGAAATAACATATACTCCGAGGAATTGATTACCAAACATCAAAAATGAACCAACAAGAGCACGTTTCCGACTGGGAGCGGACTTGAATAGATCGTACCATCGGTTTGGGAGACTACTATCGACTTCGTATTGTTTCTCGGTAAGGTAAAGCTCCTCTCAAGCACGGAAATTGTTGGGGTCGTCATTTGATTTGTGTAGATTACACATACTTTGGAAAGCTTCCTCCTGTCGACCCTGAGATAAGAGCCATCGAGGAGAAAGGGGGACGAATTTTTGTGACCACATAAGAAGATTAGTGGAAACACACATTGGAAGGCCAAAGGAAAGCGCCAGGAGAATTGAGAGTATTTGCTTGTCTTCGACATGAACAAGCAAGCGTATCCAAGCCAGCCGGAGAGGCTGTAGCCCAGTGCATATGAAATCTGTAGGGATGCTTTGAATCAGTCACGCCGATGAAAATAAGCGACACCTGAACCCGGAGTTAACTTACACCTGTGATCGATACCATTGCACCACGGCTTTCTGGAGTGGATATCTCAGCTTGATACATAGGAACTGGAAAAGATGGGTCAGTTCCTTTCTAAGGCTGTTTGAGTCGAGGTATCCAAAATCCTTTCACTTACCAACGCAGGCCAATATGCCCGATCCCTGGTATTATAGAGTCAACATGTGGTCCATTCTTTCCAATGGATCAATCAAACTAGGACTCACAATTCCTGCAACGCCACGGCCAACAATGAGCATCGCAATGTTGACTGAGCCCGCACATAGGGCGCCACCGATAATCAAAATAGACGATTCAATTATCATTGTCTGTTTGCGACCGAAACTCTGAGGTCCAAACATGGCATATGCAACCAATAATAGCACCAGCAGAATTGACACCATTCAACGCGGCGATGATTCGAGTAGTATGAACATAGCCTGGCTCACCCTCTGTGGCAAGATTCAAATAGGTGTAAAAGTTGGCCTGGTCGACTGCTGATCCGATGATTGCCAATCCATAGGCAGTAGAGATAGTCCCGATAGCAGTAAACACCACTACCCAAAAGTTGTAAGGATTTACGATGAGATGCGTGACCATTTTGCAGAACTCAGGAATTTGGAAAACCTCGTAGACACAACTTGAAGGTTGGGATACCTAACTGACGAATAAATACCAAATATACTTAAAAGTGACATCTCGATATTCACGTGTCTTGACTCTTGACTCGGACTAGTTACCCCAATATTTAGAAAGTTTAATCTTATCGCTCCGGTGGAGATTTAAGGGATCTTGAATCTTGATATCACTGTGGCGCTATCCAAATGCGGGGAAGTCAGGTTTCGCGTCTTCATATACTAAACAAGTATCAACTCCGATCATATTATCTAGAGTGGGGAGCCTGAGCGAAGTTGGGACTAGGCATCATAGATCAGGTTTAATTTTTTACCTGAAGTTTTGAGGTCATGTTTCCACTTTAATCTAACAACTTCTCAAGTTGGCATTGAGGTTCACATTTTCGACTGGAATCTTAGATTTACAACGCCTCTCATGAAACTTCACAGATCTGCAGCTTTACGAACTATGGCTTTCCATACACAAGGTGATATGATCCATTTCATCATATGTAAGTGCCGCCTGGACATCAAAACAAACTTGAAGTATACCGCGAACTTTAATAATTCTTTGACATCTGGATAATTGCTCTTGCCGCACACACTAGGTGATATCAGGCTTGACTTAGAAGTATCAATGCATATCCTCGGAAATTTGTATTTCATATTCACCAAAATTCTGCGCCAATGATACAAGTCATCGACCACCCGATGCTACTCATTGACCTTCGATTTTACGTCTTTACTCTATTGGTGTTTGATTTTTATGACTAAGTGGGAAAATATTAAATAAAAGGCGCAGAACATGCTCTAATTAGGAGAGAGAAACTCACTTACTAAAGGTAATTCTAGAAATGGATCTATGGATGGATGCAGTATGGAGCGTAAACGACCTCATACGCCGTTTCACTTTCACAATCGCCCTATCACATGTGCATACCTATGGATTACTATCATGATGTCTTCTTGGAAGCACATCAACGATAGGTGAATTGATATATATTTCCGAGTCCCTGGGAGATTTTGAGTATAAAAGGTTAAAGATTTGAAGGAGGGTACATAGGAGAGGAAACAAAAGGCTCTTGAGAGCTCAAAAGCTCATTCACTGTGGTTCTTGATCGAGTGACTCCACGGTTACACACAGTAGGTCTAGCCTAACATTTGAACACGATTCCTCCGAGTCTCATTCCAAGGTTGGACAAGCATTATCGTGCATGACACAGAAGGTACCTAGGTGAGGTCCACATGTGCATGTGATTGGGGACTTCATATTAATTAAAAATTTTCTAATAACATTTGAGCTTATACTCACATGTGCAGGTACTTTTCCCATTTTGGGTTAGTAAGATATCGGTCTCTGACTATACTCCGTGCCACCTATTGGCAATATACTGCATGTAAGCTCTCAATATTAAGAATCACAAAAAGCAAACTTGACTTGAAATACCAGCCTGTATAAATGACATGAAAAAGGGAAAATATAATAATAGAATGTGGTGGCTCCAACTGCCTAACACGGGCAAAGTACACAGCCGGCTAAACTTCGGCAGTCCGGGCGTGGCTCCGTGTCCCCGTGCCAGTTTGAGCTCGAGTTCCACATCTCCCCGCCTTGAGCTCGGGGAGATTATGATTCTCTCTTATAAATCATTAGAACTCTCTGGAGTTGGAAGAAACATTTAAATCTCAACTTTTCCTGTGATCGCAAGGCAAAATCTCAGCTCTCCATAACTACCAAAAAACACTAGACACATCCCACCTGGGCAGGAACTCGAAGCTACCCCTTATCGCCATATCAAGACCGCAAATAACCTCGATTCCGTCACCATGGCGCCTATTGACGTGGAAAAGGCGATTGAAGAGCTCACACTGGGAGAGAAGGTCGCTCTCACTGCCGGTAAGCTTCATATTTTCCTTATGGTCCATTGGGACGCGAGAAACAGCAATTCCCAAGCTGCTCCTAGCTATCTTGCCGATCCCCCACTATCGGCCCAATGCTAAAACGTCAACACCAGGACGCGACTTCTGGCACACAGCCCCGATCCCACGCCTCAATATCCCTTCCTTGCGTATGTCAGATGGCCCGAATGGCGTTCGAGGAACCCGGTTCTTCAACGGCGTCCCGGCAGCTTGTATGCCATGTGCCACTGCCCTGGGCGCAACATGGGACACGGAGTTATTATCACAGGTGGGTAGTTTGATGGGAGATGAAGCCATCGCCAAGGGTGCGCACATTGTACTTGGCCCCACAATCAACATTCAACGATCACCACTTGGTGGTCGTGGATTTGAGTCTTTCTCCGAAGATGGTACCCTTTCTGGTACGCTAGCAGGTCATATGTGTGATTCTATGCAGAAGAAGGGTGTCGCTGCGACATTGAAGCATTTCGTTTGTAATGATCAAGAACACGAGCGGATGGCTGTTAACAGTATTCTTACGGAGCGGGCTCTCCGTGAGATCTATCTTTTGCCTTTCCAGCTCGCTATGCGAATTTGTCGATCTGCGTGTATCATGACTGCCTATAACAAAGTCAATGGCACACATGTGAGTGAGAACAAAAAATTGATCGATGATATACTGCGGAAGGAGTGGGGTTGGGATGGTCTGGTTATGAGTGACTGGTGAGTTTTACTAGCTTTAAAAGTGATTGACAAGCCACTAATTTTATCTTACTTTTCAGGTTCGGCACATACAGCACCTCGGATGCCATTAATGCCGGTCTTGATATTGAGATGCCAGGCAAGTGTCGCTGGCGTGGAGAGGCTCTTGCGCATGCCGTCTCCTCAAACAAGGTAGCTCAGTTCAAACTTGATGAGCGTGTTCGTAACGTGCTGAACTTGGTAAACTTTGTTGATGGAGCGGGCATCCCAGAGGGTGCCACTGAGACGGCACTCAATCGACCTGAAGACCAAGCATTGATGCGCCGAGCAGCGTCGGAGTCTGTGGTTCTTTTGAAAAACGAAAATGCAAACTTGCCATTGAAGAAGGACAGCTCTTTGCTGGTTATTGGACCAAATGCCAAGCTGGCCGCTTACTGTGGTGGTGGCTCTGCCTCTTTAGCACCTTATTACACTGTATCACCATTTGATGGTGTTTCGGCGAAGAGCAAGGGCGAGGTCACCTTTTCCCAAGGTGTCTACTCTCACAAGGAGCTGCCTCTTATTGGCCCTCTATTGAAGACTGCAGATGGAAAGACCGGGTTCACCTTCAAGGTATACAATGAGCACCCAAGTGCTGGCACAGAACGCACAGTTGTAGATGAGCTTCAGCTTGTGGCATCAACCGGGTTCTTGATGGACTACATCAACCCCAAGATCAAGTCGATGACCTACTACGTGGACATGGAAGGATTCTTCACACCGGAGGAGAGTGGTATCTACGAATTTGGTGTGACTGTCGTGGGAACCGGCCGACTGCTCATCGATGGCGAAGTAGTCGTGGATAACACCAAGAACCAGAAGCAGGGCTCAGCATTTTTCGGCACAGCTACCATTGAAGAACGAGGTGAGAAGGAGCTTCAGGCTGGTCAGACGTACAAGGTTCTCTTCGAGTTCGGCACAGCACCCACTTCCGATCTAGACACTCGCGGCGTTGTCTCATTTGGACCTGGAGGCTTCCGCTTCGGTGGAAGTCGTCGCGTCAGCCAGGAGGAACTCATCTCCGCTGCAGTCGAGAAAGCCAAGACAGCCGAGCAAGTGGTTATTTTCGCTGGTCTGACCAGCGAATGGGAAACAGAAGGCTACGACCGCGACGACATGGACCTGCCACCCGGTAGTGACGAGCTGATCACCCGTGTCCTAGCGGCAAACTCCAACGCTGTTGTCGTGCTCCAATCTGGCACTCCAGTGACAATGCCATGGGTGAATGATGCGCGCTCAGTCGTGCAAGCCTGGTTCGGTGGTAATGAGTGCGGCAACGGTATTGCAGACGTTCTCTACGGCGATGTGAACCCTTCCGCCAAGTTGCCTGTTACCTTCCCACGCCGTCTACAAGACAATCCTTCCTACTTGAACTTCCGCTCTGAGCGCGGTCGCGTCCTGTACGGTGAGGATGTATACGTTGGCTACCGCTACTTCGAGAAGGGCGATGTCGCTCCTGCATTCCCCTTCGGTCACGGTCTGTCATACACCACATTCGCTCGATCGGACTTGCAAATCAAGACTGTGCCGGAAGAGAAGAAATACCAGGAGTCTGGGGAGCCGATCACCGCTACAGTGACGGTTACTAACACCGGTTCCGTTGCCGGAGCCGAGATCGTTCAGCTTTGGGTTCTTCCCCCCAAGACGGATGTTAACCGGCCGATCCGTGAGCTTAAGGCTTTCCAGAAAGTTTTCTTGCAGCCCGGTGAATCCAAGAGCGTGGAGCTTGTTGCTGAGAAGAAGTTAGCAACCAGCTGGTGGGACGAGCAACGCGAGCAGTGGATCTCTGAGAAGGGACGATATGAAGTCCTGGTTACCGGTACCGGTTCAGAGGAGCTTCGAGGAGAATTCGAGGTTGGCAAGACTCGATTTTGGTTGGGTCTGTAAATGTTACGATGGAATGATGATGACTTCACGTTGATGACAGTTTCGGGTTTGTAGAATCATTGATTTTTTTTGTTTTCATGATATATGATTGAAGGGATACACATAGAATGGCAAATTTGACACCCTTTGAATTATTGCAATGATCACGAATGACGCTATTTCATCTCAGGAATCCGGAATGTATTGCGCATACAGACCATCTTCACTCTGTTTGTAGTAGGAATTCTGAACTGTCCTGTAATAGCCGCGGCAACTAGAAACAAGCTGCAGGTCACAGTAAATTGTATGTAGGATTAGTCTCCCAGTGCCGGCACCGGGACCCGGTCTGTTTTATCGTATTGTCACAATACATACCAATACACACGCCCTATTCGACCAAGGGGTCCCACAACGGGTAGTCTCGGTGAAGAAAACGGAAGAAACACGACTTGATGGAGCCATTAATATAGTAAAGAGGGGCATAAATAGGCTCCAATGAAAGTCCTGTTTTCAAGTCTTGAACTTGGATTATCCTAGGTAATCTTCCCCAGAGTGTTCGGCGATCACGCTCGGAGCGACTAGCCTATCAGTGTCGCCAGTTTACTATCATTTCCAATTGCTACTACGGAACATTTGGTGGCACCCGTGGACTAACCATGCCATCAGTTCAATGTTCGCCGCGGGCGCCACCGGGGGCTAGAGGCGAATAACCCACTATGTCGATCCACTTGGGGGGTTCGCGTGGTCTGGGCTTAGAAGCATTGACCCAATCCAGCGTAGCTTGAAAATGTACTACATGTACATGTAGTGTCTACAGTTCAAAGAAAATTTTCATAATGTCTAGACTTTTATGACATGCAAGATAGGCTCGTAGCTCATATACAATAAATTTTGAAAGGCGCCCATGAGAACAAGGAACAAGGGAAATTTACCAACCGCGACCAGCCAGCTTGTCGCTCTCAGGCATCTTCTGCACATTGATGCCAACCATAGCCTCACCGAGACCCTCGCTAACCTGAGCAAGGACCTTGGGGTCCTTGAAGTGAGTGACGGCCTGGACAATAGCCTTGGCGCGCTTCGCAGCATCGCCGGACTTGAAGATACCAGAACCAACGAAGACACCATCACAGCCCAGCTGCATCATCAGGGCAGCATCGGCGGGAGTAGCGACACCACCAGCAGCGAAGTTGACAACGGGCAGACGACCCTTCTCAGCAACCTCACGGACAAGCTCGTAGGGAGCCTCAATGGAACGAGCGAAAGCGCGGAGCTCAGGCTCGGGGTCGGCACTGGAGAGAAGGATGCCACGGGCACGGGCAACCTCTGCGTTGACAGTGCGCATGTGCTTAACAGCCTCAACAACATCACCGGTACCAGCCTCACCCTTAGTACGAATCATGGCGGCGCCCTCAGAGATACGGCGCAGGGCCTCGCCAAGATTACGGCAGCCACAGACGAAGGGAGCCTTGAAGTTGGACTTGGTAACGTGGTAGACATCGTCGGCGGGGGTGAGGACCTCGGACTCATCAATGTAGTCAACGCCAATAGATTCGAGGATCTAATTATGCCAGGACAACGGTTAGTCTTAAGATCTGGCATTCGACTTTACCCCGCGATTGCGTGGCAAGTGCGACGCGTGAAGTTGAGGAATGTGACAGGACAGTTAGCACGTACCTGGCACTCAACAAAGTGTCCAATGCGAGCCTTAGCCATCACCGGGATGGTCACAGCGGCCATGATTTCCTTAATCATCTGGGGATCAGACATACGAGCAACGCCACCCTCCACACGGATATCGGCGGGGACACGCTCCAGGGCCATGACGGCGGCGGCGCCGGCCTCTTCAGCGATGCGAGCCTAACAATCGGAACGATATCAGTGAGACTGACGCACAAGATAACAAAGGATTGATTCCAAATAACATACCTGCTCGGCATTGACGACGTCCATAATCACGCCACCCTTTAACATCTGCGCGAGACCAGCCTTGACAGTGAAGTCATTGGCGGGGATACCGTTTTGAGCCATTGTGCAAGGAGGAACGGAATTGGGGTATTATGGAAGGAACTTAAAGAAGGGATGGAAGAAACAGAGAGGATAGAAGGGATGAGAAGTTAATAAGTAAAGAAAAAAAAGTTGTCAGAGAGTGAGTCAACACCAGGGCAGCGAGTACTTTCCCCAAAGTTAGAGACGCCTCAGGCCAATCAGGCGGGGAGAGCCCCTCGCAATGGATCCTTTACTCTAGAATGGATCCTCTCATACGGAGACGGTTAACAGTGGTTACAGTGATCATACTGGAGCTTTGTCCACTTTGCCCCATTCCACCCTGCGAGATCGGGCGATCAAGGTTCAAAGTTACCCGAGGATACCGATATCGGGTAAATTACAATACATTTCCCATTTGCAATACACAATACCTAAAGCCGCGTCAACTGGTGGGCTCATATCCTATCGATTCCCCACACCAGGTCCACACCTAGACCACATACACCGATAGGATGTCTTTCCCTTCCAATGTAGTCTTTTAGATTCCAAGATTTGTTTTGCAAATTCCTGAGATAAAGGAAGTATTCCATTCATTCACTATGTGATCTAATATCATGCTGAACATCAAAACAGAGCACACTGACAACCAGCCATCAAGGGGCAAGCCCGAAGGGAGATTATCATCGCGTGCCACTATGGTGGGATTGGAACGTTTATGAATGAATCAAAAGTGAGAAATATTTGAATTAAGAGGGACTAATACGTACGGTTTCATCTTTTTTCTCTGCCAGCCATATAGGGGTTTTGGCCATTTGGCTGTCATAAGGCCCCCGCACCATGGGGTTCAGCAGGTGGGGCTGGGACACTTTTTCGTCATCCTGCAGGAAAGGATGGTCAATTCAAGCTATCGGGATAGGAGGTGTCATATTGCGATAAAGGGTACGGACTAGTTGTGGAGAGACATTCCCGATGTTCAGCTCGAATAAGTGTTAGCTTCTTGACTTTACATATAGTAGCCTGCTATTTCAGTACAGATACCATGTGCATGCAACAGCAGGTCGAGCATGGAGAACAGCGCATGGAATACGGAGTAGTCTCTGTGTTGTTTAGTTCGACAAAAGTGTAGAATAAATGCGTAGCTTCGCTGTCACTGGCAGGGATCGACAGCATTTCATTTTCCAATGCATTCGAGTTCAGCTGAATCAACCGAAGCTCACCATTCCCCCAAGTACGATGGATGATAATCCAAACCGGAACTACCTTCTTGCCACAAACCTTTTCCATACATTTCCCGGGTATAGCAGTACAGGCCGCTATGAGAGGATTACGTGCACTCTGTTGTAGCAAAAGTGACCAAGACGCAGAACACAGCAGCAGCCCGACCAGCCCAACCACCTCCTACTAAGACCACGCACAATGCGCCGAAAATCAACAAAAGACCCCGAATCACTTCGAATGACATGATACCAGAGAAAGATGATAGACCAGAAAAGCAGGAAAAGGGGGGGGGAAAGGATGAAAAGCCAGGTCCGGTTGATCTATGGAAGGAGGCATTCGACAAGTTAGACCCTTCCAGCCAAGCGTACCTTTCTACAGATGATATTCCAGCTATAGTTGCCATCGATCACGTCATTCAAGATAACACGGCCAAATATAAAGAGTGGAAAACGGGCGGTCTCAAAATTCGCCGGAAGGATGCAGATGATATAAATATACGTGACTCGGTGGATAAGATCATCAGCGCAGCACAGAGAGCTCGCGATGTAATATCAACCTTCGCATCTTTCGACCCAACGGGTCACGGTAGGTGGCCAAGCTTATTAAAATAAACCCAAGTGCTAATGGGAGCTGTAGCTTCCTCCGCCTGGACGGTGATTTCCTTTGGAATGAGTGTAATATCCCCTCTCTCTGGAGCTTCCATTTTCACACCCAAACTGAGACTCGGAATCGCAAATGCAGATTGTCCAAAATAGATCGGACCGCCGTGATGCAATCTTCGATGCATCAGATTACCTCGCTGAGCCTACTGGTACTTCCAGTTCAGTGTCGATGCAACACAAGCTGTGGATACTATGATCAGGTCGCTAATCAGACAGCTAAGTCGATCACCGCTAGCGCAATCAGTGTCGAATCTCCGAAAGGAATATCATCTCCAGGGGAGCCAGCTTGACTCCAAGGCCCTCAAAAGTGTACTTGAAAACGTTCTTTCCAAAATTCCAGGCCAGGTATATCTTGTTTTTGATGCACTGGATGAGTGTCCAGAAGATTCCCAGGTCAAAGAGCGAAGATCACTTCTATCATTTCTCGCGGGCCTTCTTGAGCGGTATAAGGATAAGGTCCATATTCTCGCTACCAGTCGCCCAGAACGGAATATTGAACGAGCACTTGGGAAATTCCCTAGGATTGACCCTGAAAGCTGCCTAGGCAATGATGTGAGAATATTTGTTACTAGATCAATTGAAGAGGGCGAGTTGAGTGAACAGTAACCTGACGTTTAGAAGTCAATCATTGATACATTGCTTAGCCAGCGGGAGCGGTATGTTGTTTGTTCCAGATTCGGTTATATGGGTAATAGGATACTAAATCAGATTTGATCAGACGCTTTCGTTGGGCCGAGCTGCAAATAATCGAGCTTGAAGGGTGCAACAATCCAGAGGAAATCCACCATGCCCTGAAGACCATTCCTCACTCTCTGAAAGAAATCCATCGAAGGGTTCTCGATCGCATCAAGCCCAAAGATGTCCCCATTGCGCGACGGATTTTCGCCCTCATTTCTTTTTCACCCGTGGCTCTTCATTTGGACATGGTCGCCGCGATGCTCATCATAACTGTGTCCGCCATCCTCAAAATCTGCACGACTTCACTTGTTAACGTATTTGAGGGCAAAGTCCAGTTCGCCCATTCCTCCGTACAGGAATTCATGATCGTCTCCGAGTCGGATGAGGGGGTTTTGCCCGCGCATCACCACCCATGCCAATTTAAAATATCCAGTGGAAAACTATACCTTGTGGAGAAAATCGCAGATCTTTTGCTGGGGCAGACGGAAGAGTTGAGTCAAGTCGAGGCATTAAGGAGACCTGCATTTTTATATTCAGCCAGCCACTGGAACACCCATCTTGCTTCCTGTGAGGATATCAGTTAAATTCCTGCAGAGATCGAGTTGAAAATTCACCGTCTCTTTACCACACCCACTGTCTATTTCAACTGGATACGTGCTGCCTACCGTGATGATGATGACCATTGGCGCAATCCATGGATTAAACCGCTCAAGGAGTGTCCAGCACCACTTCACAAGGCCAGCTACCTAGGTTTACTGAAAACAGTGGAGGTTCTTGTTTCCCAAGGCGCTGATCCCGCAACTTATTCCAAGTTGCCAGAACGTGGGATGTTAGAGAGTTCAATCTCAGTCGCCGCTTCCTTGGGACACTTGGATATTGTACAGTTCTTTCTACAGAAGGGTTCTATGCAACGCAGGGACGTTTGGTGGTTTTTCGCCTACCTTGACCACCGCAAAGCTGACAAAGCGAAATTGGAAACGATTCTGCGCACATTATGGGATCAAGGCCTTCCGTGTGGAGAGTCGCCCGATCGCTGTAACAAATTTGATGAGGAGCTGCTGGAATGGACCATGACTCGTCGATCCGACTCAGAGGTAGAGATTCTGGGTATTCTTTTGGATTGGCGACCCGAAGTAGACGTGCCAATTACAGATGACTTTATTGCCCGTCAGATTGTCAACGGACATGCCTCCAAAGAATGTTTCCGTCTACTATTCAAGAGATGTGATATCTATGTGCCAAACATCCCAGAGAGCACCATCAAGAAACATTGTGATTGCTATATTGGTCTTTACTCTGGGTTTGCCTATCTCGCTGAAGATTGGCCGAATGAGTTGCAGATAGGTGAGTCGCTAATTGCCCGCTTTGCGCAGTATGAATCTCCGAAGAATTTCGAGTCTCTTTTCAAAAATAGGAGAGATGATATTCTGATAACACAGTCTGTTTTGGCCCGGGCAGTCTTGAAAGGTGAATATCCCAATATGTTGCTATTCCTTTGGCCCTACAGAGAACCCGGCACAGAGATCACCCAATATATGGTAGCAAACGCTACAGGAGGGAGGATATATTAGAAGAGCTTCTTAGATTCCTGTTGGAGCAGCTCAAATTGTACTCAACATTGGAGACAGACACTCTGGCCCGATGCCTTCGTTGCTCTCCGGATGGAGTCTCCACTTTGAAATTGCTTCTAGAATATACCACATCCTCCCTATGGGAGTCCGAGACACTGGTTAAAACGATTTGCGATCACGCAGATGCAGCAAATATGCTCAAATTGCTCACACAGATAGACGGTTTCTGTATTCCTATTACGGAAGACATTGTGTGCTCTGCAGCCAAAAATGAAAATGGAGATTTGGTGGTCCACTGGCTGGCACAAACACACCGAAGTCGTCTTCCAGTCACAGAGAAAGCTCTTCTTTCCGCAATTCAAAATCTAGATACCGGTGTTGAGGTTCTGAGAATTCTGATGCAGGATTTTCCCTCCGCCTTGTGGACGGACGCTTTATTTGAAGGGGCGTGTGAGAACAAAGACGCCCTGGTCTTCCTCCTGGATCAACATCCAAAGGATCTGCCAATTGAGAAAATGTTAGAAGCCGTGGAATATGCAAGCGACGTACGGGAGTCAAGAGATGCACTCCGAGTCCTCCTTGAACGTGGCATCCTCAAGGCTGATGAGAAATTGATCGAGACTCTTGCACCTAGCCCTAGCTTGCTGGTTTGTATGTTAGTCTTTAATCCGGATGTTGACATTACACACGAGGCTCTCTTATCTGCTGCATACAATTCCAGCTCAATGCGACTGATATTCGAAGCCAGAGAAAATTCATTGCCCATTACGGAGGATGTCCTGATAGCCGCAATTGAAGCTCAATCAGATAAAGAAATGTTTGAACTTCTTTTAAAGAAACAAGGGTCATTACCTTTAGCCGCCAAGGTTCTTGATACGGCTCTAGAATATCGACCGACTGGAGCATGCTTTTTTCAGGTACTACCTGATTCCGACATCAGAAAGCTCTGGCAACCCTCTTGGTGTGATACTGAATTACCCATGAGAGACAGAACTGAAAGTCTTATCCGTGTTTTGAGGATTGAAGGATCCAAAATGACGGATCAGATTCTGGAAGAATTTCCTTATGGTCCAGAGGATCAAGGTAAATCTGAGTTTGATGAGTTCATTGAGATGATGTGGACTGAAAGGGCCTTGCCTGCTCTACTATCTGGGACTGAAAGGGCAGCAGAGATTATCTTGGAAAGATGTGGCAACCAGGCAATTGAGTTGTTCTTTCAGTGTGGGGAATACCAGGGTCCAATTACGGATGATTTGATCCAGGCGGCGGGAAGAAATGAGATCGCGGATGGAGGGAAGTTGATGTCTTTCCTTGAACAGAAGAAAAGTGAAATTTTGTACGCCGGGTACTAGACTTTATGCTGGAAGACGGGCGTCCTTGAAAACGCGTCCATGATCCACTTTTAGTACTAGTAAAGTGATTGAATGCCGGGAGTTGCTAGTGCCAGTCCACATTTTTGGCAACTAGAAATTAATTTCAATCCTGAACACTGGCGTGCACTGGATAGCCTACGCTGGCTGGGCTTAAGGTGGACCATGTCGATATTCATACAAGCCATCGGCGCCCCACCGAGCAGCAGGTCCAGACTTCATTTGACAAAGGTAATGTACTAGTCTGTGGCAAGTAGACTGTGGTAGATGATTGATCAATGCATTTCCCATTGCACTATTCTGGTTGAATCTCTCTTTTGACATGAGTTGGAAATACAGATGACATATTAGACAATGAATAGATATGCTTTGGTCACACTGGCAGCAATTGGACAAATAGTATTCAACAGAAGCTGTTCTGCAGATCTTAAATAGGTATATTCATTTTCCAACTTTTCTGTGTCGCTTTTGAAAGACATACTTCGGCCTAGAGCGAAGCAGACCCATCCGACCCAGATGCAGCTTTTTTCGCTCTTGATCGATTTGTCAGAGCGACTACCAGAACATAGGTTACGCCAACAATTCCAATGACAACCGAAACTGCAATGACAGCGCCCCAAGGTGCATCAGATGGATACTCAACCCTCACGAAGTGTAGGCCTAGTCCGACATTAATGATTCCCAGCGTAAGCATAACGCGTCCGAACCAACGATGGATATAGGCAAAGATGCTCTTGCCACCTTTCTTTCGGAAGTGCTGATGCTGTAGGAGTCCCATAGCAGGCTGGAAGATGGTGAGACCTGCACTAACAATCATCCCAATCACTGGGTGATAATGGCTGAGTAGACCGAGTGGTTTGGCCATGGCAATTCCAAGACCAAGTCCAGCAATGGAAAGCACTAGAGCAAATATTTGAAGACTGCCATGTATAGCCACTGTGTGACGCAATCGAGAGATACGAAGGAAGAGGCCCGCCAGAGGGAATATGATCACATAGGCGACAATCATCAAAACGCCATGAGCTATCTTTTCTCGCTCAATATCTTCGATGTTGAATGTCATCATGCTAGTGAAACTGGCGCTGGACGGCATTGCTCGGGCGGATAGGCTCATTGTGGGTGGGATATATGAAAAATATTTCATAAGTGAGTAGATTCAATCAATGAATTGAGTATGGACTCGGAGCCCAAGAGAAATAGACTGGGGGATCCGAAAAAAGATTGATTTGGCATAATCAATGGCGACACTTCTTTTATGTAAATCTGACTCTTTGAAACTTGATTTTCAAAATCTACCCAGGGTCTCTTATCCTCTGCGATGCGGGATGATCATCGACAAATCGACAAATCGACCATAGAACATAGTAGGATCATGAAAGTCGACCATAAGCATACGTAGTCCTCATACAAAGAACTACGTTACGTATGCAGTCACTTTGAACTTTCATCCTTTGGGCGTTTCGCACTGCCGCGTTATGCAAGCAAATCCTTGCCAACCTTGGAAGTTGCAGCTAGTCCAATCACCAAAGTGAGTTTGTAATTCTTTATGCATCTGTACGTCGATCAGCTGGAGTCTCATCCTAATTTGCTTTAAAGCTGACGATCGGCTCCACGCCGGGTATAATTCCCTCCTGGCCCGGGCTAGAACATACGTGGGAACAAAGGCAGACCCCGTGAACTTCGTAAGATCCCCGGGATCATCGTAACACATGAAGTCATTTCCAAAGTAAGGAATCTGAAATTTGGGCTCTCAACGGCTTGGCGGAGCTTTGTTTTCTAACTGCATGCTCCGATTGTGACAACATTTGAAAGGTTCGGGGCCACACCGAAGCTAAATAGAGCTACCCGGATGTTATTCGAATCCCCTTCGGCTGTGGCTTAGCTCAGTTGAGCTATGATGAATTTGACCAGAAAATGAATTCCTGCGCCTTCGCCGACAGATGACTGCAGTGGAACATCTCGTTTGACTGGCTTTGTGTTGATGACATGATTCAATGGAAGATATTTGGAAGAATGCTTATCGATGGTTTAGTTGGTCGACTGGTGCCAGTGGATCAAAGAAAAACTTCCAAGGTCCAGATTGAAGTCCGACCTGGGAAGCATGACTCGGAGGAATCTCTCACATCCATACTGCAAGTAATTAAAAGAGACTCTCGGAAGCACTGCTCGGGGATAAATATCCTATGCCTTCAAAAAGAAGTTGACGACAATAAAATTTTCCAACTTGAAGCAATCTGGCTCGCTGATTTCACATGCATGTTCTCACATGCAAGAGGTAAATTTTCCAACAACACGAGTCATGATCGACATGAGCCTCAGGTTCCAAGGTTCAAGTTTGTCATAAGACTTCAATTTGCATCGGAACTTGAAGGTCAACATTTGAAGTTCTCAATCCAAGTTGGTCTGAAAATAATATTCTCAACCTTCTAAGTCTCAAAATGTAATGTTGGCCTTAAAGCAGACTTTAAAGGGGTAGGTAGCTGCTATATGTTCAAGTTCGGATGAGGAACTTGAAGAAAAATAGGTAGAAGTACCGATTCAAGTTAGGTGCCTGTAAAGTTGAGAATGGCAACTGAAATAATGCTGGACCGTCAAAAAACCTCCAGTATCAGAGTAATAGAAGAAATAAGAAAAAGTCTTGGTCTATAAAAAGAGTGTACGGTGTATATCTTGGGATGACTAGACTCGGACTTTGTATTCGGTCAAAATTACCTCACGGGGGAAACCCGAAGATAAGAGCTCGGGAATATCATCTTATCGCCGAGAGTGATCGCCGAGCCTAATAACATCATTTCATCCCATGCCAATGAGGGGCAGAGGCGGTGGGGTTCACTGTTTCACTTGACTTAATCATTTAAGTGCTTAACCTGACTTCATATCGCGCTATACTGATTCAGTCAACATCATTCACCCGTCGCTATCAAGATGACTTCTTTTCCCCTCGACTCGTGTTGCTATAAGGGTGTTAAGCATGAAGGTGTTGCCAAGGGCAAGTTGTCTAAGATCGGCGACTTCGAAGTATACACTGTCTATCCTGAAAGCCAGTCGATAGAGAAAGCTATTTTGATGTAAGTCAACCACTCATTACAATCCATCAGCTCCAGTCATCAGAACTAACGCTTCATCAGCTTGACCGACATCATCGGACATACCTTTATCAATATTCAGCTCATAGCTGACCAATTCGCCGCTAATGGCTATTGTAAGCCCCTTGACAAACATGGATGACCTACCGCTCGGGCATGCTAATTCCTTCAACCCAGTTGTTGTGATTCCCGATTTATTTTCTGGTGACCCCATCCCATTGAACAGACCCGGTGATTTCGATATGGAGAAATGGCGTCGAGGACACTACCACCCCAAGGGAATTGCACACACACCGGAAAATGTCGATCCTATTGTTGAGAGCTCCTTAAAAGCCATGAGAGAGACCTACGGCTGCAAGGTAACTTTGCACCCCCAGCATACCAGTATTATTCCTAGCTAATTGTCGCAGAAAATTGGTACCGTGGGATACTGCTTCGGTGCGAAGTATGTCGCCCGTTACCTTCGACCAGACCTGGCAAAGGCCGATGTTGGGTTCTTTGCACACCCCAGTAATGTCACAGATGAAGAGTTGCGTGCAATCACGGGTCCTCTTGGAATCGCCGCAGCGGAGACAGATGCGAAGTTTCCACCTGAGAAACGGCATCAAAGCGAGGTTATCCTGAAGGAAATAGGACTTCCTTACCAGATCAATCTGTATAGTGGTGTCGCTCATGGGTAAGTGTATTCCTCCGGCTTGTTTTCTCTTTTTTCGTTTTTGCCGATTGCTGATTGGGGTCTCAGATTTGCCGTTCGGGGTGATCTTAACAACCGGACTGTACAATATGCCAAAGAGACTGCCTTCTTACAAGCTGTGCAATGGTTTAATGAGCACCTGAGAGTCTAATTTGACCTATGTCAGTTGTCGTACAGTATCGCCATTAGCACTGGCCTGGAAGGATAGCAGATACGTCTAAAGATTGGAATGTATCAATCTGAGTCACAGTATGTAGGCAATTGAAATTTCAAGTTAGAGCCACTGCTTTTCAGTAGTAAAAATGTATACGCGGAGCTGAAATTGCAAATCAAATAACTCCATTCCCATTTCAATCTATTTAAATCGACGACACATCTTATCTCGAGCCTTTAATCAATCTAGGAAGCAAAACTTGTCCATCTTTAGCCTTGCGCAAATACATTCCAAGCAAGGGGCTCATTCCTGCTTTCTCGGCCAGATCCACCCACTCGGAAACTGTGACCAGTTCGAATTCCTCTCCCGTCCCTGATTCCATTAATTCTTTGACCTCTTCTTGCCCCAGCTCAATCTCTCCAGACTCATAGCGGAAGTGCACAGCGTTATTTCCTTCTGTTGAACCGGACAGATGTACTGCCTCCAGGATCTGCGATGCCACAGACTCCACAGTAATCAAATCAAATCCTCCAGGCCATGATGACGTGTCTGGGATTTTCTTCGTGTCCTGGCAGTATCGCATGACATTACTCATCAGGTCAAGCTCGGGCGCATTGTTGCCCTGAACACTTGAAGGTCGGTGAATCCAGACCGGAAGACCAAACCGCTGGCCAGCGCGTTCTAGATAAACCTCACATACCCACTTGGCTGCCATGTACCCATCGTCGGGAACCTGAGGAGGGGGGGAAGTCCGCTAACGATGTTTCCCCAAAGCTCTCTTGGGATGCAAGTCGGGTAACACTTGCAGAGGAAATGAAGTGGAATGGGATGCGCCGTGGTAAAGCAAGCCTGACAAGCTCCTTTGTAGAAGCGACATTCGTCAACTTGAGAGATTGGTAGGTCTTCATGAAGGAGACATCTGCGCCATTGTGAATAATGACATCCGTCTGGCTGAATATTGAGGCTGCATCATGATTTGAGAGTCCCAGTTGAGGAGAACCTAGATTTCCTTCATATACATGAACCTTCGGATGTGAGAAGATCTCTGGTAGTTGGGTTCGAGGTTTGCGAACAGCAACACAATGCACAGCCTGAACAAGATCATCATCAAGAATATTCTGTAGAACCTCCTTGCCTATGAAACCCGTTGCGCCTGTTAGGACAACCACAGCCGCCCCGGAAGGCTTGTTGTGAGTGTTGCTCCAAAGTGATTTACTTTGAGATGAAGCTAGCAGGCTTTCAATTTCCTCATCCCAGTCAATAGAGGCTCCATAATCATCCGGAGACACATTGGTAATGAGAGATGCCATTCCTTGTAATGTGCTTGCCTCGAACAGCTGAGGTAATGTGACTGATACCCCAAGACGCTCTTTCACTAAGGATTGCAGGTTCACTAGGGAGAGAGAACTTCCACCAGAATGGAAGTATTCGGATTGAGAGTGAATTGAATGGTACGAGGCAATATCACGAGGAATAGTTTCTTGCCAAATCTGACGCAGCGTATCTTCAAGGGGACCAATGCTTTCCACAAATTCATCGGTGGAAGGGAGCCGGGGAATTGAGAAGTCACTAACAGCGAATCTGTCCACCTTCCCGGAAGTGTTCTGAGGGATGGAATCAATTGGGATAATTGCGGCTGGCAGCATGTATTTTGGAAGTGGCAAATGGGTGTGAAGTTGGGTCAGGAACTGCTCTTGACTTTCATCTGAACAGGTGTCATTGAGCACAACGAACGCAACGATGAACTTCCGGGTATCGTCTTCGGGGGATGAGCGGAGAGACACAACAGCTTGTAAGACCTTTCCTTCGGAAGACTTTATGATTGCTGACTCAATTTCCTCAACATTAATGCGAATACCGTTTATTTTGACTTGCGTGTCACCACCGATGCGACCCATAAGCACAAGTCCACCATCCTGAGTCAGGCGAGCTCGATCCCCAGATCGATGAATCATCGTCCATCCTTTACTTTGAAAGAAAGGACTTGCGTGCTGATCGACCCCAAACCGCTCCTTCGTCTTCTCAGTATCAAGATAACCCTTCGCGATTCCCGCACCCCCAATTATCAGCTCACCAGGAATGCCAATGGGAACTGGTTCAAGATTTTCATCGACAATGTAGACGGAGTTATTTGGCAATGTGTGAAGTCCTTCTGGTGAAGAAGTGACCGACATATAAGAAACTTCAGCGGCACTACAGGCCATAGTTGCTTCAGCTGGACCATAGGCGTTTATCAGCCTTAGTGCTGCTTTTCCAAGAGATTGAAATTCTTGTATCAAGCCATCTGAGAGCATTTCGCCACCTGAAATGGCCGATGTCCAAGTGGAGGATTCCAATTGGAGACGCCCGTGGCGGAACCATGAAAGATACTCCGTTGGTGTTGCGATTGTGGTTGTGACTTTCTCCGATTGAATGAGAGATGTGAGGTCCGCTGGATCAAGCCGGTGTTCAGCATCTGCAATGACCAAGGTACTTGCGCTGGCCAGAGAAATCAGAATTTGGAAAATGGACATGTCCCAGGTGTAGGACGACTGATGCAGTATTGTTTCTGTGGCTTCTTGGATCCCAACTGCGTGATTGAAGGCGTAAATCTGGTCCGAGTATTCGGCGTGTCTGATCATTATACCCTTCGGGACGCCAGTTGAACCGCTTGTATACATTATCACGGCAACTTGTGTCTCGGTAGCCAGATTGGTGACATTATCACACACCTGAGTTGGAATATTGGAGACATTGAGTGCTTCAGCTGAAACGCCGAGTTGATTCAGGTCGCAGGTAGTGGTCTGGTCGGTAATAATAGCAGCGAAGGAGGTTGTCGAGGTAATGGCTGCTAGTCTGTCCATGCCAGCCTTTTTGTCCAACGGCACATATGTTCCTCCAATGTACCAGACTGCCATCATTGAACATATCCAATCAGCACCGGGCGACTGGAAGACACCGACAATACCTCCTGGCTGAACACCTTTCTTAACAAGCTCATTCACGATCGCACGGATGCGACATGCCAGTTGTGAGTACGTGAGCTCAACTCCTTTCGGCTCCTTAAGGGCGACACGATTCGGAAAGCTGGTGGAAACATGTTCCACCCGATGCACCAACGTTGCGGGCCACGGATTCTGGATCTCGGGACCTGTAATCAATCAGCGACAGTCAACCCATGCAAAAAAAGAAAATAAAACTTACCTCTCCCAGCATTTAAGGCTTTTTGGATATCATCTTGTGAGAACAAAGAGGGCCAAGGCACTCTCACGGCAGGATTTTGTAAGAAAGCTTGAAGAAGATTGTGAAAGCCGCGTAGAAGAAGGTCTGCGTGTTCTTCCTTGTACAAATTCTCCTGTACCACCATATAAAGCGAAGTTTCTCCTCCTCCGACGTCAACGACATCGAGATGAAGATCGTAGGAGATACCACCAGCTGTAAAGAGAGAGCCTTTGGCAGTGCATCCACAAAACTTGCGCGAGTCTGCAATGCCAGGTCGATAATTGAAAGATACCTGGAACAGTGGACTATGAGACGTAGATCGAGGAACATCTAGCTCAGATAGTATGATGCTCAGTGGCACATGCCCATGAGCAAACGCGCTCTGCGAAGTCAATCGTGTGTCTTTCAATGCCTCGCCAAACGATTGAGATGACTTGGGACGGAATCGAATAGGTACGAGATTGAGGAATAACCCGATACTTTCCTTGACATCGGGGTCCGTGCGATTCCCGTCACCAAGACCAATGCAAATGTCATCAATGTCGAAGAGACGTAGAAGGAAGATCTGCCAAATTGCGAGATGGAAATGGTAAGGTGTGACCTTGAAGCTTGCAGCACATGCTTTAATCTTGTCTGACAATTCTTTGTCGAGTCGCATGTGGGCTTCGTGGGAACCGAATCCTGTGCTCTGTGGCCGAACTGAGTGTTTGGAGAATGGAAGTAAAGGCGCGACCGGTGGAATATCTTTGAATTCCGATCGCCAATAGCTCAGGTTCTCCTCCCAGGCACCGCTTTCATATTCACGTCGCTGTCTCAGGGTAAAGTCCGGGTATTGGAGCATATCTTGCGAAAGAGCGGCACCGTTATATACCCGCTCTAACTCAGACCAGAAAACTTCGAAACTGAGACCATCCATATTGATGTGATCAAAACCAATGACCAGCCAATGCTTATCACTTCGGAGTGAGAGGAGTTGTATGCGCAGGATCTCCCCATCAGCGATATTGAAAATGTGCGATTTCATCCGCTCCTTGGCAACCTCAACTTCACTCTCGTCATTGATCAAGGCGCGCTCCAGCCTCACGTTGGACTTTGTCAAGATACCCTGCATGGGCTGCTTCTCCAGATTGGTGAAGAAGAATGTCCTTAGAGCTTCATGCCGCTGCCCAACTAGTTCAACAGCCCGTGCAAAGTCCTCAACGCGAAGCTTTCCGCTGACTTCAAACACAGGAGTAACATTGAATGCAGTTTTATCTTCAACAAAAGACTTCAGAAAATAGAAGCGAGATTGCCCGTACGACATGGGGATGGTTCGTTGGACTTCCCGTTTCTCGACCATAGTCACATCCAGACTGTCGTCGACAGAGCTAGCTGAAGAAGATGCTTCATCTTGTTGCTCTGAGCTGGAATCGGCCTTGGTTGACGCAGCAGAGCTATTAACGGTACTCTCATGAGATGGGAAATAACCCAGATTAAACTCTTTAGACTCGTCACTGGACCCGGACATGGAGGTTGATTTCGAGAAATCGGATCTTGGTGTGACTTTTTGAGACAAAGGATCAACAATATCCAGGGTCGCATTTGGTGGTGCATCCGCAGGGGCCGGGGCCGTGCCAACATTAGGGATCAATGCCTCCGGAATGAGTGTGAGAGCAAATTCAAGCAGCTCCTTGATCGATGCCGCATTCAAAATTTTCAGGACTGGCATATCCACACCAATCTCCTTCAGGAACCAAGATCGAAGCTCAACGGCATTCAAGGAGTCAACTCCATACTCATCCAGACTTAGGTCGATGACAATCTTATCGGGATCGGCTTGAAGTGCTGAGCTCAGTTTGACCAGGAAACCACCTATCTAATTAGAATTGTGTTGGAAGCGCAGATAGCGAAATGACATGCTTACTTTGAACAATTTCCATGACCTCGTCGCTAGATGACGCCTCAAGCAGTTGAATCTTCAGCATCACTCCAGCCTTGTTCTTTTTACCAGATGTAATGAAGCTATTGGACTTGGTCACCAAATGCTGGAATATGGGGTTTGCTACCCAATTCTTCGACTCGTCATCGTCAATTCTCAGTGAGCTGCACAATTCAGAGGAGCTTCCAGTTCTTTCTCTACATGAGAGAACTCCCTCTGCAAACACCTCGCGGAAATCTTGCTCAGACATCCATGAATGACCCACTCGGTATAAGTAATTTTGCTGATCCATATTGAGCTCGCGGGTCACATAGCCGTTTCCAACGATCGCTCCAATGTTAATCGCATACCCAGCCAATCCTCGACTCCGTCGCTGGGCTGCCAGGCTGTTCATGAACATGTTAGCAGCATTATAGGCAACCTGTCCTGGGTTTCCGGTAACTGCAGCCATGGAAGAAAAGAATATCATGAAGTCCAAAGTGTCCTCGGAGAAGAGTTCATCGAGCAGAATACTTCCCTGGATCTTGGGCCGAAATACCTTATCTAGGCGAGCAAGATCGAGGTCAAGGAACATTGTGTCTTGAAGCACCATTGCTCCTTGTGCAACACCGCCAATGGCTGGCATTGAGGCAATGATTCTGTCATATGTCTTTCGGACAGATTCACGGTCGGTGATATCGCTAGTGTTGTCAGCAACTGGGATTTCATCGAGCAAGGACATAAGCAACTTACTTTGCAAAGATACGGACTGTGCATCCAATTGCAGCCATTTCAAGAATCCAGTTCTCATCGAGCTTAGGATTCCGACTAGACAAAGCAATGTAGCGGGCACCCTGGCTCGCCATCCACTGACATAGAGAAAGTCCGAGACCTCCAGTAAGACCTACAAGCCAGTAGGTTTTGTTGTTGGCAAATTTCACCGTCTTTGTTGCTGGGAGGACCTGCAACGGGAGTTCCTCTTCCCACTTTATGATGGCCTGCTTTTCTGGCTCTGGCTGGGCCTTTATGAGGTCTCTAAGACTAGAGGTGGACACTCTGTTCATGTTAAGAGGACTGGTATCGTTCTGGACGTTTGCCCATGCAGCTTTCAATCGCGAAACAAGCAGAGTCTCATCAATGGGGAACCGTAAAAAGTCTCGTGTAGCTTCTGATGTGAGACTGGACTCGGTTTCGAAATTGCAATGAGATGGCAAGGCCTTTCGCAGGACAGACACAATACGTTCACCTCCACCCAGATTGACGAGGGTAACTATATTCTGTGGCACCTGCTTCGTGATCTCACGACTTGTGGAGTTCTGATGCATGTAAATCCAGGGTGAACAGCAAAGACGGTTCTGGGTTGTCAAGAGGACGACCTGCATACCACGTTGGGCTGCATATTGAGTGATCGATGAGGCCATGGAAAAGTCAGGCTCTAAAACCCCGACACAAGTGCCCGGTCTCACATTATCGAAAATTGCTTGGATTAGGAGATTTGTATATAGGCTGAGCAGCAGGGGAAGTGTTTCAGTCCCAGGTTCGTAGCTTATCATCCAAGATGAAGGTACGTCTACGCATGAATCGAGAGTCCGAGAGAAGGCGACAACGTTGCGACTCGTTTTGAATTCCGTTCCAGCAACCAAAAAGAGTTGATCTGTATCGGAGATCTTCACAGCCCGGAGAGTAGAGTAGATAACGTGAATTCGAACTTGATCTCCGAAGAATTCCAGAGCAGATGGTTGTCCTTTCAGGACATGGTATTCATCATCGAATCTCCGGACTGACACCCCAATCTCCCTATCAACATTTTTCACAATGAGTCGCTTGGAAGAGTTGTATCTGTCATTTCTGTCACTGTGGAGCTTGAGTCGAAGAATGAAGACCTTCCCGTTATGAAGTGAGATTTGAGGCTCTGTGTACCACAGGAGCTCCTGAATCTGACCCCTTTGCTCCCAAATTCCCGAAGCCTCCAGCTGGAGAACTTTCTGCGCAATGACCTGAGGCTCTGCATCGTTGAGCGATTGTAAATTCATGAACTGCACACGCAAGTGAGGCATCTCAACATGCAAGGTGCGCTGTATTCCGGTGATCATGTTGGCGTAGGGATTTTCACCTTGAGCACCATGCCCCACCCACAAAATGTTCTTGCTCTTCTTGAATAATTCTTGGAAAGCTGCCAGCTTTGAAGGGGTCATGGAAACTAGCAAATTTTCGTCGAGCTCGGACAAACATAGTACGGACCCCATGACTGGAAGGTCCTCCAGGGAGATATCGTCAAATGTGCAGTAGAGCCTGACACTGCTATAATGTTGGTAGACTGCCTCCTTGATGTTGAAGGCCAAAGATGTGGTTAAAGAGCTATTTCCGCCGATTATGGTCAATGACTCAGCCCCCAAGGCCTCATGCGAGGGAGAGAGAGGGTTGCGCAAGAATTCCATGCGCGGATCAACGGCTTGCGTCAACATCACGGAGAATGGGATTGGGAGGTTTGAGTCAGAAGACATCAACAGCTCGGTCCCGGAGAATCCCGTTCTCTTCATTAACGCGCTCCACTCTGCCGTAGATATGCAAGGCGACAAAGTTCGCCCTTCAGAGTAACCCATCCACCAGGCCGGCAAGCTACCCAAGACGAGACCAAATCGCATTACATCAGGGTTCGTCAATTCCAGGAGGATGAGGTATCCGCCTGGCTTGATCAGGCGACGAACATTTGAAAGTGTAGCTTCGAGATTGGTTGTTGCGTAGAGTGCGAGGGAGGCAATCACCAAGTCGAATGACTCTTCCGAAAAGCCTTGCTCCAGGACATCCTTTTCGATATCAAGCACCTTGTAGGCCATTCTTGATTGGTGTTCCTGGAACCTTTCCTGGGCTTGGTCGAAATGGGTGTCCCAGAAGTCTGTGTAGGTATAAGAAGCAAAGGCAGACTGCATTCCATCAAGCATATAATGGGTGGTTTCACCGGCGCCAGCACCTAGAAGGAGTGATTAGTACGCGTGTGCAAAGGGTTTCTTTCTATTACTTACCGATCTCCAGCACATTGATTTGGGGGAAACGATTGCTGATTTGCGCAGCTATCTGAGCGACACGGTTGAGATAAGGCTGAATGCCTAATGTTTCAGCGTAGAAGCGATTCATGAGGTTGTCTTTCATCAGAAGTTCCAACAAGTTGGTTTCTCCGCGAACGATAGATGGAAGGTTATCACCAATAACTTGCATGAGTTTCATGTCAACTGCCTGAGGGTACCTGCTATGACAATATTTTGATCAGCGGGAAAACCATATGTTGAGAAATAATCAAACCTACCTCTCAACAATCTCTAAAATATCCGAGGCAGTATCATGACTCCATTCCAGCCGGCCATAAGGATGATTGCCGGAATTCACTTTTGAAATGCAACGTTTGGAGTATGCCAATAGATGGGCATGATTTGACGCAAGGTCCAGGACATTAGAATCACTCATAGACAGATGGAGTTTCTTCAAATAGAAGTGAGCAACCCTTTCCATTTCAAAGGAGAGGTCTTTATGATCACTCGTCAGCGAAGGGGTGTCGAATTCGCATTCAGCAGCTTGTTCAGGGGCCCATTGCATCTCTGTGAACATGGGAATATCAGTAGCAGATGTCAGTGGAACGAGAGGTGTTGTATGAAGCCCTTGAAGTTGCACAACTGTGTACTTTCCATCTGATGAATAGAGGTCCACATCTCCAGACAACTCAGAAAACCTAGAGTTGGCCACTGATGCATGGAATGGGAGTTTTGATCCAGGTTTCGCAAGCTGCATGCATGTATTCAGGTTGATGCGAATGCTGTCAATCTTTGTGGGTAGATAGAGACTTCGTAGACGACCATCTCCTGGGAAAGAATAGGCAAGCATGATGGCTTGAATGGCAGCATCGAGCGACCCTGGATGAACCAACAGTGGACTATCGGAAGTTTCCACCCTCGGGACCGCGATCATACCGGTAGCCTCATCCATTCGTCGCTTCAAGTCTGACAGTGCTTGGAATGGACCGGTGTATCCAAATCCAAGTTGTGAGACAAAATCATAGAAACGGTCGGTTTCGACTTCGAGGAAAGAACCGCGGGATTGACTGCCTGGTGGGAGGTTTTCAAGATCTGGATCACCCAGCTCAACTTGTATTTGGGCAGAAGCGTGCAAGGACATCTCTGAGGAGCCTTTGTTTGCATCGGAGTAGCAATTGAAAGACATCCTCGCGGCAGTCTTTGATGAATCAGAGATATTCAGAGAATATACTACCTCAACCCCAGTATTCTCTTCCAGAACAAGCGCTTGGCCAATAATGACATCTCGGAACTCGACCAAGCGAATGGAATCACCGCCGAATTGCTCAAGTAAGAGCTCCACTGCTGCAGAGATGTACCCCGCTGCAGGGAAAACCATTTGTCCTTGAACCTGGTGGTGAACGAGCCAAGGGATTTCGCGAGTATTAAGATAGTTTCTCCAGCGAATCCCTTTTTGAGTACCATCTGGGCACTTGACACCTAAGAGTGGATGGAACTTCTGATTACCGTCCCGGAAAGCCGTGGAGATTCGGGATTCATGCCAGTATATGCGATCATGGTCCCATGAATATGCCGGAAGGCCCTTCAAAAGTCTTGCTCGTCGCCCTCTTGGGAACAAAGCATCGTCCAATCTTGAAAAGTCAACCGCATGCTCACCTAGGTATGTCCAGACCGCTCCAAGGGCAGAGGAAAATGCCTGAGTGCTATCTTTGCCACGGGCGCAGGTTCCCGAGTACGGAAGTTCGTTACCAGACACCTCCTGGATCGTCTGCAGAGCAGGGCCCTTCAGCGCCGGATGAGGACCAACCTCGATAGCCATATCGAATGGTCCGAGGGCACCTACAGCGAAGCTGACTGCCTGAGAGAAGAGAACAGGGTTGATCATATTGTTACTCCAGTATGTATCTGCAAGGCTGTCGTTGACACTGTCGATGTCTTTCCCGTATACACTAGAGATCCATGTGGTGGAGGCATGAGAACGATCGCGAATACTGACCCTGGACCTTTGGACAGCTTCAATATATGGAGTGGCACAAGGCAACATATGATGAGAGTGATAGGCCTTGTCAACCTTGAGCAAACGCGCAAACTTCTTCTCATCCTCAAGGACCTCTTTCATCTCGTCGATGGCGTCAGCGTCACCAGAGACTGTTACGCTGGCAGAAGAGTTACTAGCTGCAACACAGATTCGTCCGTCAAGAGTGGGCATTCTACAGAGTTCTTGCGCATCTTCAAGGGATGTTCCCACGGCCATCATTGCTCCCTTATTACCTGTGGAGTCACTTGAATACTGCAAGGACCACCCACGATAATAAGCGATTTTTATGGCATCGTCTGCAGACAAATATCCGGCTGCATATGCAGCGGAGATCTCTCCCGACGAGTGTCCTACCACAGCGGTGAATATGATGCCAGCTGCGCGGAGAAGATCAACGAGCATGATTTGAATGGCCGTGCAGAGAGTTTGAGAGAAAAGGGCTTGACCGATACGAGACGAGCTAGCATCTTTCAATATCTCTTCCTTCAACGTCCATTGTGGTCGATGCTCAAGTGGGAGTCCTTGAAGAGCGGAGTCGAGACTTGCGATACAATCACTCGCTAGCGACGACCCTCTGAGCAACTCCGACCCCATACCTGCCCATTGAGCACCCTGGCCAGTAAATATGCCAAGATACTTCGGCTGTTTAATGCTTGATGATTTTGAGCTTGGTGTAAACTCAGATGGTGATTGTGTCATCGCTTTCAATTTAGCAGCAAGGTCAGATGAATCTGATGCGGAAATCGATACCCGAACAGGGAGAGTGGACCGACGACAGTTTAACGTCCAAGCTAGATCGCGCAAGTCGATTTCAGGATTATTGCTGACATATTCCGAGTATGTCTCTAAGTTCGCAGAAAGTGATCTTTCAGATGAGGCTGAAAAGTTGAATGGGGTCAAGGAAGGAACGGTGGAACCCAATGTCACAGTATCCTCCAGAGTCTCGAATGACTCCAAGATTGCATGGGCGTTAGCACCTCCAAAACCAAAGCTATTCACACTGGCACGGCGTGTTGTTCGATCTCCAGTCCTCGGCCATTGCTTGGCATGCTTTAGAATCTGGAGATCGTTATAGAATGGCCTCACGGCCGGGTTCAATTCGTTCAACAGCAGATTTGGAGGGATCACACCATGCTGTAAGGCGAGTGAAGCTTTGAGAACGGCAGCCAGTCCTGCAGTACCTTCTGTGTGGCCGATTACCGTCTTGATAGATCCCACGTATAAAGGGGCCTCCTCACTAGCCTTTCGGTGGTATCTCGCGTGGTTGCCAAAGAAGGCCTTGCTGATTGCCTCGGCTTCGACTGGATCTCCAGCGGGTGTTCCTATGCTCTATTAGATTTTTGATCGAGATTATGGGAGTATTTCATATCCTCCTCTACTTACCTGTTCCATGGGCCTCGAAGTATTGAGGTCGATCACATTCATTGGACAAGTCAAGACCTGCCCTCGCATAGGTTTTGCGAATTAAGTCCGCTTGAGCAATTGGATTGGGCATCGTGATTCCCTTCGTACGACCATCTTGATTGATTCCGGTTTCACGGATGAGACATTCAATGTGGTCACCGTCGGCCAATGCTGCACTCAAGGGCTTGAGGATGGCAACTGCAATTCCATCTCCACGAGCATAGCCATCCGCATCTTTATCCCACATACGAGAGCGTCCTGTGGGGGAGAGCATTTTCAATTTACTCTCAGCGACATATTGCTCTGGTCCCAGGAGAAGATTTGTTCCTGCTACTACCGCGACCTTACTTTCACCATTCCGTAGACTCTGAACTCCTTGGTGAACTGCAACCAGACTGGAAGAGCAAGCGGTATCGATGGTCATCGACGGACCATGCCAGTTGAAGAAATACGAGACACGGTTGGATAAGATACTTCGAGCTGTTCCTGATGCGAAATAGGTGGGGAAATTCTGAATATCACGACCCAACAGGTCTGCATAGTCGTTTGTCATCAGTCCCACATAAACACCAGTGTCGGAGCCTTGTAACTTCTCTATTGGGATGCCAGCTGATTCAAGGCCTTCATATACTGTCTCCAAGAGTAACCGTTGTTGGGGGTCAATTGAGTTCGCTTCCACTGGCTTCGTCCCAAAGAATTGGGCATCGAAGAGTCTAGGATCTTCAGACAGGATGTAAGAGTGGCGGACATTGCTCGTTCCATGGTGAGAGCTATCCGGATGATAGAAGGCATCTGCATTGAATCGACTGTTGGGTATCTCGGATAAGACATCGTGTGGGTTCTCCAGTAAATCCCAGAGTTTAGAGGGTGACGTTGCACCACCAGGAAATCGACAAGCACTCCCTACTATCGCTATGGGTTCACCTGCAGCTTGACTATCGTTGAACATCGCGTCTCCGGAGTCTCACGAATTCTGGGCGATTCAGTGCAGACGGCTTGTGATACAGTTTCTGGGACGGTGCGGTGTGAAATATCCAGATAGCTAAGATCTCATGACTTATCTGAGATGAAGAAATCTGCGATCAAAGCTACATATCAACCCAAAGGACCTTCCAACTGTCAAAATCGGACATTTGTTCGGATAATAAGCTTAGTAGTAGTTAAGCCACTTTACCCACTTTGCTCGGATCAATCCGAACCCACATGTTGCCTCGCGCGTTGATCAGAAATACAGACAAATCAAATCATTCAACTGGCCATGATGAACGGCTTCGTCAACCGATCTGGGACTGCACCTGCAGCTTCCATGAGACAGCTAGAGTTCCCGCTGCAGCCTCCCTTGGCCACATGAACCAGGAACATGTTTCAGCTCCCGCGTTCATTCTGAAGGAATTCCAGTCCTGTCGGATACCGAGACCGACTCCGAGTCCGAGGTTATGGATGGTTCAAGTCATCGCCAAACAAGAACTGGGTTTAGTGGATTGGATCCTGCGCGCACATGGCGGTCATGTTTGCAAGATTCTGTCTATTTCCGATTTCTCAGATCTCTAGAATGCGCCCGAACACATTGCGCTTGTTTTCCGAGAGTGGAATAATTCTCTTGGTGCAAGGGGTTGAGAGAATGAAGAGGAGCATACGGAGTCTCCGTACACCGTAGTGTCTCCAGGCAATTAGCCGTCAGCTTTGACCAAGGCGCGTCTCACACTGGAATTGATTGGTCACATCTGACCCACATTATACACGTCGTCAACTTATCACTTTTCTCTCTTATGATCCCTTGATTTGATCAATCTTTTCCAGTGATGCCAATCAGAAATATGAACTATGTATCTCATTTTCTTATTCTTTTTATGGAAAGACACCTCATCAATTATTAGTGTCCAGATGCCTACCTCTTGCCTCTTTGGGTGCATGTATACAGTATGAGTACCTCGGTACCTACTCATCTACTAGAAGCCTTCGAAATGTCTCTTGCTATATGAAGGACTTCGCAGAACTTGAACCTTTGAATTATGATTAACCATTATCCTGAACTTGAACTTGAAGCTCATTTTTGGCAACGCGTTCAATTCCCAGCCATCGTCTTCCGAGCGCTCTACGGGCCCCTTTTGATGCCAAAGGACGTCCATGTTCGGTCAATCATTGAATTCCGCGTCTCTAAGATTTGTATTTCAAATACGGCTGCAATATTTCTATTTGATCACGGGTAGCAGACTGACAAATATTTTATTAGAAGTCGGTTTCCAAGGATGGAGGGTTACCTCAATTAGGTATAATGCTCCGATGGAAGCATACACGATCTGACAGGAATATGCACGACTTGTTCGAGAAAGGGCATGGTCGTACAAACTCATGGTTATTGAATTCTGAGCGTCGTCTTCAGCACCATCATCTGGCAGCCTCCCTACCCAGTGCAAATGCATGTATGGTCTCCCCTGCCAGTTGATTTCTGATTGAAACAAGTCATTCGTCGTCTTGCCGTACTGAGGCGTCCCGTCTATCGCAGTCCCACTTTTTCCCTTGCAGGTTGGGTACCTCGAGTCATCCACTCATAGGCCTCTTTTACTACTTGGGTTCCTGCACTTTTATTCACCGTCTGTCTTGATACCCGAGGAGAGCCTACAGCTTATCCCTAGGGCTGCCCGTTGCCTATATCCAACAATACACTGACAAGAGCTAACCTTCCCTTCCAGGTAATCCTCCAGGCAATCCTCCAGGTAACCCTGTAGGTACCTACACACAAAGAGGGGTCGGTCATCAGCCACCTGTAGATGCTACTGACTCGGACTGAGCCCTGTACTTAAGTACATAAACCCACCTGGCCAGGCACTTGAGTGCTGGGGACATATCTTTCCCATTTCAAATGCTCGCTGCTATGTACACTGCCCACCTGGCAGTGCCGCGCGAAGCGCGGCGTGAGGACTTGTCATATGTTACTTCAGTTCCCCCATACCAATCAACTACGCACCCAGGTTGTCCAGTTCTAGCCTGGAGGTTGTTTGCATGTGCGGCAGCTTTGACGTGAAGTATGAAACGGTTAGTAGTGTGATTCTTTGTTGTCCATTCATATGGGTACCTGGGCAGATAACAGTTTGCAAGACGATCAAAAATTCACCTTTCAGCATATATGGTCCGGTCAGCATTTTCTGCAGTCCCAAATTTTGAAAGTTATCTCTACTTGAGTACATAACTTGAAGCATTGGGGTTTGCGCATTCTACAGTTCTTATCGGTCACAGTCCACAGGTGTCGGCAGATACAATCTCTCAGGGGCCAACTCTTTGCCCTGCCTTGCGCTTCTTTGAAGAGATACTCAAAATGAAGACCTCAAGTGTTTGCACTCACAAAGATACATGCCATATTCAACTTCAATTTGCTACTAGAAGTCGTTCTCTTTAAATCATATCATTTTGGATCCTCGCTATGGTCTGAAACTCAAGTTCCTTACGTTTCGATATCTCAGTCCATTTGCGTTAGGAATCATAACCTTATAGATTGTTACCTTGTGTTATCAGTGACATGCTCTCAGTTAGTATAACTTCAAAAGAGTACTGCTCAAAGCAACGAGCAGTACTTAATGCCGTGAATAGCAGCAACCTACAAATGTCAAAACGAGTTGAATCAAGCTGTCATTCACAATAATATCTGGCCCCGGTGGCTGCCTAGAACTACAGACCAACTTGGACCATGGGCCTCATTCACTCCAGGCTTCAACACACGTGCAGAGTCCCTATAAGGAGTGCTGCCTTGGGCCCACTAGGCTTCCTTCGCGCCTCATCGGACGAAACTATCTCTTGATATATGCACTTCTCATATTGCCGCACATATTTCTTGTCCACTCTGCCTCTGATACCGGACTTGCATGGCAGAACATATCCCATTAACTGACTGTTCCAATTTCTGCCTGCCAAACCCCACCGCCATTGGCCTATAAATTCACGATTTCTTCTCAATCCTCTTCTTCCTTCTTTCCCCTCCGCGCTACTTTTTCTTTACCCTCTCTGTCTCTGCTCTTCCTCAAACCTCGTCTTACGACTCGTTGTGCTCCCTCAACATGCCTTACAAGGCCCGCGCTCCGTCTAAGGCCGACCCGTCGGCCTCCTACCTCCTCTTGATCTATCAGGATGGATGGGATGATGTGAAGTTGAAGAACTTCCCTGGTGTCCCTATTGCCGACCCCACTGTCTTCGATTTCTTAGGTCCTCAGGAGATCACTGTGGAGTTGGCTGTTGCTCTTGCAACTGATATCGCCGATAACTCCTGGGGTTCCTGGACTGCTTTCGAGGGATAGTAAGGATCTTGCAGTTTCCTTGTGAACTCTGACTCACAGAATGGCTAACTTGTTTTTTAAAGTAAGCTTTGCGCTTCCTTGAACACCGCCCCGCGCACTTGGTACGTCATTCTGAAGAAGAATAACGGACCTGATGTAGCTCGCGTTGCAGACACTGAAACTGAAACTGAAAGCATCTGGGGTAATGCTTTTGCCAAGGGACGTGCTTCTACTTGGTCCCGTGAGTCTGATGACAATGCGACTGCAATTCACTGCAGTCGTGATGACAGCCCCGCTGAGAATGACTGGAACGATGGCTGGAACGTGAATCACGTTGAGAATACCGAGCGTCGCCACAGCTCTGGAAGCAACGGTTCCTCTGGAGAATGGGCTACTGGTGGAAACTCTTGGAGTTATAACCCTTCTCCTCAGGGCAGTGAGAGCAACTACTCAGCCACCAATGATGACGGACAGAATGCCCCCGTCAGTATCGCAAAATGGTAACTCTGTCTGTGAGTTACTGAAAATCGGACTGCTCACCTCAAGAGCAAGTTGGCATTCTGGGTTGATCTTCCCTCTCCTATTGAGAGACCTGATCCTTGGAGAGCCGATTTGAGCTTCGGCGTCTCGGCATGCAGCTCTAGATTTCATTGCGACCGGAACCTCCTTCGACTTTTTTTATATTGGACCACTGCTCTATACCCTACGTCGCGAATGATTTTCACGGTCCTGCTTTCCGTGCAATCTCTACCTTTTTTTCCTCTGTTTTCTCTCGCTGCCATCTATACTCATCTATTTTGAGAATTACGACCCATTCTCAGATTGATTTTTTTCGATGCATTCTCATATCGACTCTTCTCGACGCATTTTCAGACTAATATTTTTTCCGGGTTCAAAAGTTTTCTTTTCTTTGCTTGCAACAACGCATACCATGCATATATGTATTTCGGGGCATCTTTTCCCACTGCACTTGACTTTTCTTGCAAACCAAAATTTGTGAAATACCAAAAAAAATCTGATTTTCCCCTTGTGAAACATTCCAAAGTTAGTATCTAGTAGGCTTTAGGATTACTAGTAGTTAGGTAAATTTCTGAGTCATTCGCCAGCACTCGAGTGAACATGTATAGCCTATAGAAGCTTGAGGTAACATGATAAGTTGAATTGTATATGGACACAATCTTGAATTAATTGGTTGAGCGTGTAAGTCCCCAGATTGATGGACTTCAGATACTAGTACGCGTACCTAAGGACATCTGCACAGGTATCTGCACATGTGAATATGTATACTATTACTGCATCAATGTGTTCCAGATGTCAGATGTTACTACTATGAGTTGGCTAGACTGGGACCAGCAACCTTGGAAAGTACTATGTAACATTTGAACATTTGAATACGTCAATTTGACTTCCTCTGCCAGAATACCTGGTTGTGTACCCCTTTCAATATTCGAAGGTTCATGTTGATAACTTGAACTTGAAGTACATGTACGTGTAGTTACCCCGGTATCTACTACTCTATTTGTTCCAGGCACTAGTATGTAGCTCTAGAGATCCGAGTCTCTTTTGAATTTGTGTTTGATAATATTCAAAGGCTGGTCCTGCAGCATCTATTATTAAGCCATCAGATGTTCATGTAGTGACATGGACTCCATGATATTGAGATCAACTTGAAATATTACTATTATAAGAAACTCGCGTTTTGATTGGACAATCCGTGTTCAGGGAAGGTGATAATGGATAGAGAGTACAAATGATTGGCTACTATTAAGGGACGCCCCATTCTCGGGATACCACTTTGAAATGTGTATAAGCCGGGATCCCTTTAACTGCCTAAACAGATGCCCAGGTGGTGGATTAAATGTGCTAGGTATATGAATGGCTTCGTGATTGAAATGAATGGTATTCTTGATATCATCACCTTCCCAAATGGTTGTCTGTATCACTGGCACCTGTAATAGTAAAATCAAGAATTCACCTCAGAAGAACTATAAAAGGAACGTTATCCCTCACTGACCCCAATATACAATCATTCAAGTTCAGAACAAGGTTGAAATAGTAGCAATCCCTCATTCTCTTTTCTCAAATCATCCACAATATGTCTGAGACTCTCAATTTGTCGTTGTTGAAAGGAACTCCTCAACAAAGAAAGGATATCTCTGCTGCACTTCTGCGCACCCTGAAAACCAAAGGATGTGCCAAATTAAATAACCACGGCCTCCCTGATGATTTGATTAATGAAATGTTTAATCATGTGAGCTCATGCATGCGTCTGAGATTTGCAATATTACTGGAGTATCTGCTAATGAAGCCTCTATTTAGACACGTCAATTCTTTGCGCTGCCCTTGGAAGACAAGATGCTCGCAAAGCACCCTCTCGAGTCAACGCCCAATCGCGGATACAGTTTTGTGGGACAGGAGTCAGTTTCGAGTATCAGTGGATTCGAGAAGGGTTTGCCGCAAGGCAAATTTGTCCGGGACATCAAGGTATGAATTGGATCACGCAAATAAGAAAATTGACCACTGACAAATAAAAACTAGGAAACAATCGACATCGGTTCTGCGAATGATGAACTCGTTGATAACATTTGGGTACCCGAAGACAAGCTACCAGGCTTCCGTCAGTTCATGGAAGATTTCTATGACAGTTGCTTCAAGCTTGAGCTTGAGATTCTATCTGCCCTTGCGATTGCTCTTGGAATCTCTGAGTCTGAAATGACCATGCTCCATAACAAAGCCGAGAACGAGTTCCGTCTACTTCACTATCCCGCCATTCCAGCATCTGAACTAGCAGATGGCACAGCAACTCGGATTGCAGAGCATACTGATTTCGGAAGTATCACTATGCTTTTCCAAGATTCCGTCGGAGGCCTGCAGGTGGAGAACCAGCAGAATCTGGGTGTCTTCGAGGGGGTTGAATCCCTTGATAAGACTGAGATTATCTTGAATATCGGTGATTCGTTCCAACGACTGACGAATGATACCTTTCGCGCTGCATGCCATCGGGTCACATATCCTCCAACTGTCAAGGTTGGCTCAGATGAGGTCATTCCAGAACGGTATTCGATTGCTTACTTCGCTAAGCCGAACCGCGCTGCATCTTTGTTTCCTTTCAAGAAGTTCATCACGCCTGCTACTCCGTGCCATTATGAAGATATCACGGCCTGGGATTACAACAACCTCCGTATCGCCAAGCTCTTTGGATAGGTCACGGTGATAGATATAATGGATGGATGAATGCAATGTTTTTTTTGTCTTATCATATGTATCCGAAAAGGGCAGGTCTCTCCGCGGCTAGCCATGGAATCAGCATCAATAAGGTGACCTCGGGACTTGTTATTATTCCTTTAATTATAGCCCGAGTCTACGACGAGTAGAACGGACAGAAATTTTTCTCTTTTAAATAGCACACCTCCAGGTCCCTCCAGGACTGCAGCCTGAGTATGGGTTGCGCATTCCAGTACGATTGCGGGAGGGTTGCGAGCCGGAGCCGCATGCCTCTTTTGGCGAGAGATAACTACACCTGGGCATTGCGGGGATACTGCTCGTTCAACAAGACCTCTTCACCATCTTTCATCCAATTTACTGTCTTCAAAGCCTTTTTCTGCATTATACTTGATCAATATCTCACACAACTATTAATACTACGAACTAGCCAATTTGATCATGGAATCCGAGCCATTTTCTCCACATTTTTTATCCCCATTAGAGAGTATCACAGCGACAGCCAACGATAGACCACGAACACGCCACTTAACATTTGTGAGCAATAATAGAGGGTATGTTCGTACCCTCAGTGCCAAAGATGCAGCAAGGAATCGTCAACCGATCTTCACAGGTAAAACAACTTGAATCAACATTCTTTTTTCGCGCCTTCGCCTTCGCGGTACTGACCTTGTATAGACACTGAGCGCCAGCATATGAGCAACGAAGTTCTGAAATCAGTCCCAGATCAAGATTCAGCACAAGCCTTACTTGAAATAGAGAGACTGGACTGTCTCGGCACTCCAAATACGGCATTCTCTTTTTTCAAAGGTCCTTTCGGCATCTCCAGATTTGGAACCGATCCCATTGCAGATCAATCGACCCTTCAGACTGATGAAGATATAACGGTTTATCAGAGCGACCACACAATTGAAACAGGAGAATCATTGGATTGCACTGATATATTTTCCGATCTAATTGCCGACATATTTGAATTTCCAGATCAAGATCATGACCAAGGCTATGATCTCCAGTTCGGTGACCTCATCCCGGCAAGCGCAGCGGTTGAGATTGAGCCATTTCACTCCCTCTCCGATTATTGCGTTGCTATATTCAGCCATGAGTCAGAGGCATGGAGCATCCTTTCACATTACGAAGAAAAAATCGTCCCGTTGATTTCACCTCTGGGTTTTGGCCAGCAAGCTTCATGGGTAAAGTTGGTCATGCCATGTGCTGTAAGCACACTCGGCGATCTCACATCAAGTCTATCAATTGATCACTCCAGAATTGCTTTACTAAATGCTGTTCTGAGTACTAGCGCTTTTCACCTGGCCAACCATTCGAATCTGGACATTGAATACTGGACAACGAAAGGCGAAAGCTATCTGTCCCGGGCCGAATATCACTTCCTCAAATGCTTCAAAACACTCACTATCCAGGCATACAAGACTGCCAAATACAAAGACATTCTGATGACGATCCTGAGTCTCTCAACTGCTTATGTATGCACTTCAAAAAGATCTTGGGAGTTTAACTTACAACTCACTTCAATAATGCATCCATGACAACTAACATATTCTCCACATTAGATGATCAAAGGCAACTCTGAGCAACGATTATCATCTCTGATTCAAGCAGAGAAATTCATATATAACAGCGGCTTCAAGAAATCTAAACTCTCACCTAAACGAAGGACTCTTCATCACTGCTACGCATACATGCGAATCATGGCAGAAACAACAACCATAACCGATGATCTTAGCGCCAATCTCTCTAATACCAGTCTTAGTGACTCCAACAACGAGATGATGTACTCAGACTTCCGAATATATCCCAATATCACATTCTCAGATGACATCCTGGCAATGGAAAAAGATCCTACAATCGCACAACGAGACCTCCATCTAGCCATACCAGGCCGCTGGAGCCTAACATTGTTCCCGGAGATATACGGAATTGCGGAAAGTTTCCTCATGCTCTTATCACAGGTGATCCGACTTGCTAACGAGCGGGATATCCCTATACGACGTGAAAATGAAACTGGGATGCTAAACTTGCGAGATTTCTGGGTTCGCACCAAGGCATTGGAAAAAGCTATTCGCGTTTTGCTTGTCTCAAGCAAAACAGACTCAATACATTCATCCCAGGATGATGGTCAAATTGGGATTGGGAATCCAAGGACACAAGCGATGTATACCGCTCTATTGATTTTCTTCCATCGAAGAATCTATGATCTCAATCCCGCTTTATTGCAGTCCGAGGTAACTGCTGTCCGACGATTTCTCGAAGAGATCCAAAGAAATGAACTTGGGAAGAGTGATAACATGGCAACACTTATATGGCCTGCGTTCATTGCTGCATGCGAGGCTGTACAAGTGGAGACTCAGAGGTTCTTTTCCTCCTGGTTTGAGAGCTGCTTCACTGCTACTGGGTTGAAGAATGCTTCAATGGCCAAGAATATTATTGGGATTATCTGGGCTAAGAGACAGGAGACAGGTCTAGACGGGGAGATCTGTAGTTGGCCGGATGTCTTAAGAGCCACTAAATTAAGGTTGATGTGCACATAACAAGCATTTCCACCTCTTCGGAAGCTTAATGAAGCAACTTTTCAAACTCCCTATGATATTGTGTGGCTTCCCTAGTATTTCTTTTTTTTGCTGCCATTCACAGCTGTTTTCCGCCCGTCTCTTCTTGATTGGCGCGTGTTATCTAGCCGCAGCACTTGGTAACCGCAGTGGCATCATTCCTGTTTAAACATTCGAATGATTAGCTTTGACATATCTTCTCAAGAATTGAAGATACTGCAGACTCACGGCTTTGCTAGAGACAGTGCCTCCCAAGAAAAGATGAACGATCCGATGTATGCACCGATGAAGATACAGATGATGATGTATCCGTTGTAGTACATGGCAAGGAGCATGATGAAGTAGGCGACTGCAAACTGCATGGTGTGCAACAGTGCGCGGATGATCTGTTCAACGAAAGATGGTCTGTACAGACCGAATTCAACAGCATCGTGTGCAGGGCTTTGAGATGGTTCGCCTACTACACTTTTATTGGTCCCCAATGAGCTACCTTGCTCTTCCGTGGAGATTTCACCGGGCGGAGTGGGTAGGGCTAGAACATGTTTAACCGTACCAGGGACAATGTCAATATCTCTAGGCATGGAGCTTGAGGACTTCTGGGCCAAGGTCTTTTTTTTCGCGGTCGGCATAGTTGTCAGGGGGAGTTAGATACAAGTGGCGGATTCGAGCTCGACGAAAGATGAAAGCATCATATTCCCGGCCCAGACGGCGCAAGCCCTCCAGGAGTATCACCAGAAGAATGACACCGATGCAAGACCCAGCAAACATGCCACTAGAGCGGATATGCCAAGAGTATGTCAGGAAGCCTTGAAATCATTATATATTGTTAGTAAAAGCTGAAGATCGAGACATGGAAATATGTGAATTCGAAGCATACAAGAATCAACTGTGTACCAATTCCATAGCATCTAATCATAGCTAATTAGTCCAGGAAGAATCATTACCGCAGTGTACTAGACTGACCGAGATTTTGCAGCTCATATCCATATCGCCCATGCCACCCATACTAGGTGTTCCCGTGGTACTGGTCGGCATCATGCCGGACATGGTCGAAGTAGGAGCCATGGTCATGGCGGTAGAATCCATTTTGGCGTCTTTTTGATGGATTGAAGAGTTGAAGGATTCAAGAGCGAAGTTACCTGAATTTAAAATGGATTGAGTCGGCTAGATATGAAGTGCAACGTGATACGCGCAAGAGGTGGAACGTGGTTGAAGGTACAAAAGAAAAGTAAACAACCTTGGAAGGTTAACTAGAACCCTGGAGAGGAAAGGAGCTGCTTGGGACTAATGTATGAGCAGATTTCCTACCAACCAGGCAATCAAACTACGGGTTGAGTACAATTGAGCAGATTTAGGAAATCGCAGGTTCGTTCATCTCTTAAACATAATGATCTCGCAAATATCAATAACGGCATAGTTGAATTCAATCCCTGTTTAAAAAAGTATCATATGTCCAGACGCCATTCAAATGCAATCAGTTGATATCATGTGCTCATGCCCGGCTTGAACTCTTAATAACTCCTTCAAACAACTCACGGATCTGGCCACATCCGTCAATTCCCACAGCCATCATTGTCTCAATGTATGTGGTGTGGACCTTGGAATCCATGCTCATAAAAGAGATACCGGTCTCTTCTTCTTCGTCCATTTGATCCTCTCCAACAGGTACCTTAGTCGTAGTCGCAATAGTCATGAACGGCAATTCTTGCTCTTCAGGGAGCGCCATATCCAGGAGAGGGTCAAGCTCATCACTACGAGGATCTTTGGGTGTCAAGGCGCTGCCACTCATACCAGATGTACAGGCACAGAGCAGACCAGGCATAGGAATACCGGCATCAACCAAAGCCAGAGTGCATGCGTTGATAGCTGCGGCGAGCACAGAGCCATCGGCGGAGAGAATGGAGACGTGAATGCTAATAGTACTATGTGGGTAGAGATGGGTGTAAAGGTGTGATTGGAAAGCAGAGCGAAGAAGGACCTCCATGCGCGAAGATTTCCTATAAGATAAAACATTAGCATGCTGCCACATCTTCAGATCATACATAACATTGGCGTGTGGTCTTACTTATCGCCTCCTCCACCTCGTCGTCTGCGATCCACCGCAGCAAATCCCGCAAGATTGACATCCACATCGACAATAGCGCCCGCACTTCCTGCGGAGCCAGTAGCATCACCCCGACGACCTGCCGCAGGTCCGTGGACAGAGCACATGACCGAAGTATTACCCATTGTCAGATAAGACGATCCAGAGCTAGCGGCGTTGGTCGAGATCTGCGCTTGAATCAAGCGCAGCTCGTTCCACCGCCGGCCATCCAGCCGGAGCTTGGTGAGAGGGTATGTGGTAGAAGTATCGAGAGGCATCTTTGCTCTTAGGTTGGATTATTTTAGCTGGAAGATATGAGAAACCCTGCGCGATGTTCTGCGCGGTATCGAAGGTGGAACGCCTCAAGTATCTCTAATGGCTGGATTGCAGCGGAAAGTCAGCGCATGTTCATCTCACTAGGTCAACCCCCAGGCAAAATTGAGGAGTAAAATAGGAGTAACTCACCTTCAAGCTGGTCGCAAATCAAATTCAGGCTCCAGTAACCACTTGATTTATACGTATTGGAGATGTGAGTACAAGCTCGTGTGGGGAAGAGTGCAGCTTTTTTTTCTTTCCGCCTATCGGAATGACATCGCCCATTTGCTCTCCGCCCTCTCCGCCTTTACCATCTGATACCATCTGACGCGCATTGTACCACAGCTTCGTCTTATTCAATACACCACTATTATGCTTTCAAAATGGATGAGCAAAATGACTTTGGAGTCATTACTATTGACTCAGATGATGATGATCTGGAAGTGACCCGTTACGTGAATCGAACTCCCGTTGCGACTGCATCAAGTAAGTACTAGATCCCGGAAGACGCGACCTGCAGCTAACCTGCGGCTTTGCGTTCTAGACACCAAATATTCTGCCAGGGTTAAAGACGAAGATCCTTCTACTCCCAAAGCTGAAAATTTGGATACTTCCTGGCAAACAATAACAAATATTCCCGTGGTTGTCGAATCCGACGAGGACAGCGACGGTGGGTTCAACGATGGGGAAGCCGCATACAAAAAGTTCAAGGAACGCAAATCGCTCAAACGAAGACAGAGTGCTGCAGCAACCCGGAGAGCGAGAATTTCAAAGCTACCCAAGAGAGAACAGCCAGCTGGCGATCTGATCGTGGGCCTTGTGAAGACAGAAGGCTCCACATCTAAACCAAAGCGAACTCAAAAGGAGTATGGCGATGTATCGTCTGAGGGTGAGCTGATGGAGTATACGCTACCAGGCCATCTAAAGGAGCGCCGTCATGACTTTGATCGAAAACAGGAGGACCTCCAGGAATACGGGTTAAAGCTACCGCCATCTTACGATGATGTGGATTTCTCAGATGATGAGCGCATGGAGGAGCTTCAGGAAAGGCCATCGTTCCCTGGAAGAACACCGGCCCGGGAATACAAGGACATCCCATTAACATATTCACTTGGGTTGATTCCTGCTCCGATCGCACAGTGGCTGCGCCAATATCAAGTTGAAGGAGTAGCATTTCTCCATGAGAAGTTCGTCTACCAGAAAGGCGGTATCCTTGGAGATGACATGGGCCTAGGAAAAACGATCCAGGTCATTGCGTTCCTGACAGTAGCCTACGGTAAAACTGCAGACGAGCGGGACGCGAAGCGAATGCGGAAGATGCGCCGGTCCGGGGATGTCTGGTACCCTCGTACATTGATTATTTGTCCTGGAACCTTGATCTCAAACTGGATAGCCGAGCTCAACCGATGGGGATGGTGGTCAGTGGAGACATATCATGGTGCTAGCAAAGATCTCGCTCTCAAGGCTGTAAGCTCAGGCAGTGCTGAAGTCCTCATCACGACCTACACGACTTACGTGAACAATAAGGAGTTGGTGAATCTGGTCGAGTGGGATTGTGTTATTGCCGATGAGTGTCACAAGATCAAGGAGCGCAAGTCCGAAACGACTAAGGCGATGAACGAGATCAATGCATTATGTCGCATCGGTTTGACGGGAACAGCTATCCAGAATCGATACGAGGAGCTGTGGACTCTATTGAATTGGACCAACCCCGGCGTTCTCGGCCCAATTACTACGTGGAAGGCGCAAATCGCTGAGCCATTGAAGATTGGACAATCCCACAATGCAACCGTCAACGAATTGAGCAGAGCAAGAAGAACGGCCAAAAAACTTGTCGAGAACCTGCTTCCCCAATTCTTCCTCCGCCGAATGAAGAGCTTGATTGCCGACCAACTACCGAAAAAAAGCGACCGAGTGGTTTTTTGCCCTCTCACTTGGTCACAAGCTGACGCTTACGAGAATTTTCTCGATAGTGACATCGTTCAAACGATCAAGGCTTCTACGGATATTTGCGACTGCGGGTCAAAGAGGAAAGCCGGCTGGTGCTGTCACAAGTTCGTTCCTGGTACTGAGACACCCTGGCAGGCATATGTCTTCCCAGCAATCACCGTGCTACAAAAATTGAGCAACCATCTGGCTATCCTGATTCCTCAGGGCACTGATCCACGAGAGAGGCAAGAAAAAGACAAAGAGATGCTGCAGATTGCGGTACCTGATCGCTGGGCCGAGCTTTTTCGCACCCGCGACTCAATCGTCAACTATGCCGATCCTGAATTCTGTGGGAAATGGAAGGTCCTACGGAAGCTCCTCAAATGGTGGCACTCAAATGGAGACAAGGTACTCGTGTTCTCGCATAGTGTGCGTCTCTTGAAAATGCTGCAAATGCTTTTCAAGCACACTAGCTATAATGTGAGCTACCTCGACGGGTCCATGAAGTACGAAGACCGATCACTAGCGGTCGACGAGTTCAACTCAGATCCCAAGCAATTTGTCTTCCTAATCTCCACCAAGGCCGGTGGAGTAGGCCTGAATATTACATCCGCGAACAAAGTGGTCGTTGTTGATCCAAATTGGAACCCATCCTACGATCTACAAGCACAGGACAGAGCGTATCGCATTGGCCAAGTTCGGGACGTGGAGGTCTTTCGACTTATATCCGCCGGTACAATAGAAGAGATCGTCTACGCACGGCAAATCTACAAACAGCAACAAGCCGAAATCGGTTATAACGCCAGCTCGGAGCGACGGTATTTCAAGGGTGTCCAGGATCAAAAAGACCAAAAGGGCGAGATCTTTGGAATGCAGAATCTATTCTCGTATCAATATGACAATGTGGTTCTCCGAGACATCGTGAACAAGACCAATGTCGCCGAAAGTCGAGCCGGAGTTCAAGTCGTGGATTTCCACTTCGACGAAGACGAAAATGCCGCAGCTGCAGCCGAACAAGGCCCTGTGAAGACAGAAGAGGAGGTTATGAATCAATACGCCGCTATGGTCCGTGGTGAAATTGAAGAGAACGATAGCCCCAAGCCTCGCACTGGCGCTATGCCAGCGAAACACGACCCCGTGCAAGCAATTCTCTCCAGCGCCGGTGTGGAGTACACTCATTTGAACAATGAAGTGATTGGTTCCTCCCGCGTTGAGGAAAAACTAAGTCGTCGCGCCGAACAGGTGACCAATGACCCAGATGCGAACGTGCAAATCTTTGAGCCCTCGTCTTGTACAGCCGATCTGGAAGATGTCTCATTTATCTCAGAAAGTAGGACTCGGATGACCCGCAACTTGAACATGGACCATCTGCCTTTCCGCTTCAAATACAACCCACCCGAGGATGTCAAACGCCGTCAGTTCTGCAGCATGGCGCAGTGGATGGGATATCCTGACGCCACGGAGTTTGGGTTAGTTGTTGAGAATATGAGTCAAGCTGAAAGGAGAGCATGCCTTGAACGGTGGTATGAGCATCGGCGGAACGCTTTGCTAGTCAAGACGGAGGACGTGAAAGTCGAGGGAATAAAGCCCGAGTTGAAGAATGAGGAATAACTTGGGTTTTGGAACATCATTCTTATTGCGATGGCTCATGATTTTAAATGCAGGATACCCTTAAAATTATGGCTACAACGGCGTTGAAGTGAATTGATATTGATACCCAGGCTTGATTTTTTGAAATACAACTACTAGAGATCGTTATATTTCTTGCCTCGTCACTACTTGCAAAATCCTAGAGAATACTAGTAGATGCTACAGAAGAAGTCCACGTATAAAAAAAAATATAGTAATGAATTATAATCTGACATCTGGAGCAAGAACGCGAGATGCGACATGCGAAAAGATAAGAGAGAAAAGGGTATCTCAGACATAAAGAGCTAAAGCCACGCCAAAGTCCACAAAGCCGGCAGATTCGGATTCTTCTCCTGCCACTCCGCCAGAATCTCCGGGACCAACTCATCGAAGCTCTGACGCGCAGGACCAGAGCCATTCGCCCATCCTTCCGTTCCGTGTCGCTGACGCTGGGAGATCGCCGCATTGTTAAGCCTGTTGGCCAGGTCGAGAATCGCCTTTCCTCCCACAAGGGCCTCTTCGTGATTATCCTTGATATCGACGTTAAAAACGTGAACGGGTCGATTCAGAGACGAGCCCTTATTCATGAGGTCGTCGACGACAGCATCCCAGCATCGCTCTTCGCAGGTAATGATAACATCAACGACGCCGCCTTCCGTACCGATCGCGCCCTTATCACCCTTCGAAAGATGTTCAAGACGCGGCATACCGGGAACCCAGTCCTGGAAGCGCTCAGGACCCCATTTCAAGTTGCGATTGCGATCCAGCATATTCAGGATACCATTGCTGCGGTAAAGACGCTCATCCTTTGAGTGCAATTCCTCGTACATCTGGTTGTAGGACGTAGTATTGAAGCTGTAGACATTTGGCTGGGTGATTGATGGACCTGGGAGACGGACCAAGGAACCAGTGCCGAAGGAGATGACGGGGAAGGCGGTTGGAGCGGTAGAGAGACGGAGGTGCGCTTCCATGGAACGATTGTTGTTTGAGGCGCAGACAGTGCAGAACTTGAGCTTCCAGTTATCTGGAGTGCTTTCATCTTGGCTGGTTGTTGAGTCCATTTCGGTAGGTGTGCTAGACTCGGGTGGTGGTGGAGGAGGTGGAGGAGGGGTTTGGGGAGTAGTGCTCCCCGTGTTTACACGGCGAGGATCATATGCCATGATGGATAATTATTATGACGCGAAGCACGAACTCCTTTTGTTGGGAGATGTATGATTCAATGTTGGTATGATATGGAAGAGAGACTAAGTAGGGGAAGATTTTGATAGGGTAGAAAAAAATTGGAAAATAGAAAATAGAAAATCAAGACTTGTTTCACGGAGGCTTGAAGATGAGTTTACTGGTTCCTGTTTTTGTCTATATTTTGGTATTAGCCAAATTTGATCTTTAATCCAATGAATCTCAAAAACATTAAGCATAAATAGATCGAGTGTTTCAGAAAAAAAGCGTATAAAGGTTTGTCCGCATAGCAAAAGCTCAGACAGCTCCAATAAATAAAGAATTCATCACATAAAAACGATCGCGATAGAATAGAACACAAATATTTTACGTACCTGGCAATGAATCATGATCCAACTGGTTCTGTTACATGAATTGGGGCCGTAGCCCTTGAGAAAGAAGAAGAGAAGGAGGTTTTTAACTGTGAAGTTTCGCGCTTTTACCGCTTGGATGACTCAGCCAAGCTCCCCCGCCGCCCGCCGCTATAAGAGAGCTAGAGTAAACAATACACGCAATCAATTTGATCTCCCAAATAATTAAGATTTCAGTTGCAGAAATGGGTTCCGAAGCTGAAAACGGGCCTTTTGTGCCTGCCTTGATTGTGGTTGACATGCAAGAAGACTTCTGTCCACCTGTAAGTGAATATACTTCCTTCTCGGCTAATTCTACTCGGAAGTGTGGTACTGATACGAAAGCTATGAGGCTTATAGAATGGGTCTTTGGCAGTACAAGATGCACGCTTAATAGCACCTCTGATCAACTCACTGCTTGCCCAGCCAGGCTTCGTGTCACGTATCGCTACTCAAGATTACCACCCGGCAAACCATATCTCCTTCGCTAGCAACCACCCCGCCCCAAACAACCGTCCATTCGAATCATTCATTGAAATGACGAATCCCAACCCAGCTCCAGGCCAAGACCCAGAGACCAAGCTTCAGCAACTGTGGCCTGTGCACTGTGTGGAGGGTACGTCCGGCGCGGATGTTATTCCCGAGATCGAGGCCGAGCGTTTCGATTTAGTGATCCAGAAGGGCAGACACTCGCAGGTCGAGATGTACTCTGCCTTTGCCGATGCCTTTGGAAATCTCGATCCTACTGTGACGAGACAGTCTGTGACTGTGGATATTACCTCTGAGCTCCAGGCCAAGGGAGTGACGGATGTCTTTGTGGTTGGAGTAGCGGGGGATTACTGTGTGAAGTCCACGGCCATTGATGCTGTCAAGGCTGGATTCCGAAGCTGGCTGATTGAAGAAGGCACAAAATGTGTTAATCCTGCTGGCTGGGAACAAGTCAAGGAGGAGCTGAGCATTGCGGGGGGTCTCGGTCATTCATGCAGGTGATGCAGTGTTGCAGAAGCTTTCGGTCGCAGCGCAGTAGATATTCCGTACATAGTGACCTGATGACATTTACCCTCTTTATCGAGGATCATGATATTTACATAAACATTTTCAAAATGATATAAACAAGAGTTATATAGTTGTTATGGTGTCTTCCTTTCAAGTTTCAGTCCAATCATGATCACCGAGTGGATTCTTGCGGGACTATTGACCCCAGTGATCGACAACATTGAATTCCAACGGTTCCTCGGCAGGAAGTACGTTGTTTTCAAGGGTCATTTGTCATATTTCTTTTCTTTACCCCTAACTGCTGGGGCAAGGGGTGATATCTGGGAGTCTCCCCTATCCAGGTCTCCAACTACAACAAAGCAAAGTCTCGAGATTTCCTTCGATGAAGTAGTCTGCTTCTCTATGATGCCGCACTCTACAGGGGCATCCACGCCAGCAGTGGCAATAACCGCGCTTGATGAGAAACTTACTGATGCAAATACCAAGTCGTCTGCTCAGTTTCTCCATGATCATGGCCTTACCGCGGATAACCTCCCATACTGGCTAATGAATGTTCCCCACTCCAAATGGACCGCCGAGTGCCCACCCTTTCTACTGGGTCAATCACCGAAGAACATTCGATGTCTCGCTACACCCGATTCACAATACCAACGACAAAACTGGGAGCTGGTGCAGGAAATAATCAGTTGAGTGGAACTGTCTCTTCCTGCATTGGGGCCCATTTGTTTTCGCTGACTCGGAATTCCTCCCGCAGGAACGAACCGGATTGATCGATTCCAACGCGTGCCTAGTGACTTGCGCAAATATCTGGAATATGTGGCCCACATTAAAGCCGAGTATGGATCGGTGATGCGGTTTGTTGTCAAAGAAAGACTAGGATGGGGTAATGGAGACACCAAAGACTTGATTCCCAAAGGAGAACCATTTGAGTTCGACGGTATGTCGTGTTCATGGGAGATTTGTACCCAATCAACTCCTAGTCTTGAAAACTGCTTGACTGATATGCTATGCATGAGATAGAGGATATCCGCATTCTGTACAATGACTGGCCCTATGGTATTGACACCGACATTATCCACTTGGTCGTATGGACCAAGTTTGAGCTGCCCGATGACCCAATTACGGGGGATATTACGCCCGAAGTCCACCTGGCCATCGAGCAATATGTCCAACGAACTTTCTGCTCTCGAGTGGCAGCTGAACAAGTAGTCTGGTTCAAAAACTGGAAGTCTCTCAAATCTGTCCACGCGGTCGAACATTTCCACGTCATGCTTCATCGACCAGATCTGGTATTTGTTAGGGAGATCACGCGTGGGGACATCCCGCAGATTGAACGGGTCTGATTTGACCTGATTTGACCCTTAATATGTCCAGGTGGAATTTGTGGAAACGACTTGGGAAGAATACTAGTGGATCTCTATTACTCTGCAGTGACGGAAACCTGCAGTTCTTTTTTTTTTCTCTCTCTTGCAAGTACAAATTACATACTACGATATTATGTACCCAGTTCTCTCCCACTCTCCGCCAAGATGTTGCCCCTCATGATGATCATAAGAGATACTCCGTTTGTTGGGAAAGGGTAAAGGGGGAAAGTTGAACTACATCAGATTCCCTTTTTTTTAATAGAAGAGTAGACAGATGATTCAAGATTCTTCTCTTTTATTCTATTTAATCTATGGATCTTCAACTATTCTCAAGCCAACCCTTTTCAAGTATAGTGAGGCTTTTCAACGTCACTGCCCCATACTAGTAAGCGCCGTCTGTGTCGTATTCTTATTCCCCAAAAACTTTTTTTTCTTTCTCCTCTCACCAGGAGCTCATTCTTTTTTTTCTTTCTATGGTGAACCTCGATATTTTCGAATATCTTCTCTCCTTCGATCATATCTATTTAATGCAGTAAAATCAAAACATCATACTCTTTCTGTCCTTCCGAACACAGTCATGCCGGTCCCGCACCTCCGCCGTTCTTCCTTGGCGAGTAAGGCAATCTTTCCCACAATCTTCAACCCACACCATGCCTAACCCAATCCTAGGTAGATCGTCTGTGGACGATTCCCCCCGTGAGCGGTGATGAAGAAATCGTTGAAGCCGACCAGGGAAATGGTAATGTTGAGTCCGGAGTTCTCCGCAGAATCTCATACTGACAGCACCTAGTCTTGTCGCACATCATTTCACAGCTCCGACCAGGCGCCGACCTGAGTCGTGTCGTGCTTCCTACATTCATTCTGGAACCCAGGTCGATGTTAGAGCGAATTACCAAGTATGTATTATACCCTATATGCGAGAAGTTGAGAGGGAAAGCTTCGCGAGGATTCCCCCCATACTGACCTGTTTTTTTTTTCTAGCTTCATGGCCCATTCCGACACGCTCCTTCCTATTCCTACGTTCGATGATCCGATTGAACGATTCGTCTCTGTGGTCAAGCTTTATCTGAGTGGATGGCACATCAAGCCTCCGTATGTCGCCCATGCTGAATTGCTTTGTTGCCCCCCGTTCTGACGTCAACGATATAGAGGTGTGAAGAAACCGTTGAACCCCATTCTCGGCGAGACCTTTACCTGCTACTGGGACTATCCTGATGGAACTCGTGGATATTATGTTGCCGAACAGACCTCGCACCACCCGCCCAAGTCCAGCTACTTCTTTATGGCACCCGAGCATAACATTCGTATCGATGGAACCCTTAAGCCCCGCAGTAAATTCCTGGGCAACTCCGCAGCCAGTATGATGGAGGGTATTGCTATTCTGACACTGACGAACCATGGCAAGGACAAAGCAAAGGGCGAACGATAGTAGGTCCTGTTGGGAAGCTTTGGGATGTTGAGTGACTAACAGATCAATCAGCATTCTGACACAACCGAATATGTATGCCCGGGGAATTCTGTTCGGCAAAATGAAGTACGAGCTTGGCGACCACAGTTACGTCCGATGCCCAGAGAACAACCTGGTGGCCGACATCGAGTTTAAGACCAAGGGATATTTCTCAGGCACATATAATGCGATTGGAGGAACCATCAAGAATGAAAAGACCGGCGAGGTGCTGTATGAGCTTTCAGGCATGTGGAACGGCGAAATGATCATCAAGGATGTCCACGTAAGTTTCATGCACATTTCCCCACGCCAAGAAGAAGCTAATCAGCTAGCAGAGCCACAAGAAGGATGTCTTGTTCGACGCTACCCACGCCAAGCATTCGAAGCCTATCGCCCGTCCAATTGAGGAACAGGGAGAGCGTGAGTCACAGCGATTATGGCAGGAGACCGTCAAGGCCATCGTTAGCCGAAACCACGAAGCTGCCACAGATGAAAAGACCAAGATCGAGGATCGTCAACGAGATGAGGCCGCCAAGCGTGCTGACGAGGGTGTTGACTGGAAGCCCCGATTGTTCCGTGCTGTTCAAGGTGGTCCTGGTGGCTCTGAAGAAGGAGAGGAAGATCTGGATTGGATCATCAACGCGCAGATGTAAGTTCCCTGTCTCCCGGCTGTATACGCTTCATGATTAACTGTTTGATCACAGCGACCCTCACGACCCCGAGCTTGCCAAGAAGCAGATCCTAGCCATTGCGCCCATCATCCCAGGTCAGAAACCATCATCGCAATTCCAGATCCCGCCATATATGGCTTCAGCGCATCCCACAGCAGGCGGCTTCCCAGGACATCACAACTAATACCGCCTCCCACCCATATAGGAAACGAAACCGAGCCCGCTGCACCAGCCGTAGTGGAACGGAAAGATACTGAGACATCAGCTGTGGAGAAGTTCGTTGACGCAGAGGAAACGCAATAGAGAAACCTCGACCAAAAGATTATCAGAAGGGAATACCTTCTCGCCGCCATTCATCCTAACCAAGGCCGCCCACACTCCTTTCATAAACTCCCACCCTACCCTGCTCCTAGCAGTCCGTCAGATGATGTAGTCAACCTGCACAGACTACCCAGCTTAATCCGATTTTCTCGGCGGTCGAAGACGACGATGACGATGATAATCCCGTCCATGTCTACACCTTCTTTATATTGCCCATGATGTTCAACACAAGCGTTTCCCGGCCACGACGCCGTGCCATTGCTGGATACCCGGTTTCATCCTGGATTTGCCCCAAACAAACGAGCCCAAAAAAAAGTCCCAAGACTCAGAACTTGACAGAAATTAAAAATGAAAAAGAAAAGAAAGAACCCATTCCCCATTCCCTTCCTTCGATTTAACGGATCCCATTTGCCTGGTTTGAATGAGGGCATGAGGTACATAGTACCTGGTAATGTTTATTTGAGATGCATTGTATCGTAACGAGGAGAGGGAGATAACAAGTGAAAAGAACAAAAAAAGACTTAAGATGCAGCATTCATGGTAATGGTTCCATCTATAATGACAGGAGTGCAGGATGAAGTGATAGACTCGGAGTGATAAAGGACATCTGGAAGGGATTCTACAGCGTTCAGAGCGGATTGAGTATTCAAGTTCCAGTGGTGTTGGCATGACTTTCTCTTCGAATGTATTGATTTTGAAATGGATTATTTTCTTTTTATCTTGGTCTTCATATCAACTGTACACAGGTTCCTTTCCCCGGGATATCACAACAAGAAAAGAGAAAGAAGTAAAAGTAAACTCCTCCACCAGCCACCTTAACAAATAAACGCCTAAAACACCATTCCGAAACACCAGTTGACCGATGGACTGGGAAAAGCAAAAAGAGCAGAAGGGAATCACCTAATCATCCAAATTATGAATACAGTTCCCCCTTATACCCAGCACCCCGTTCTAACTCGCGTCGACGAACCCCACGAGGGATACCACCAGCGGAACCAGGAATAGAACCAGCATTGGCCATCATAGAAGCAGCAACAGCTGAACCATTTCCTTCCCTCTCCTCAAACTCCTCCTCCATCATAGCTGTCTGTTCTTCAATTTCCTTCTCCGTATCCTCACGTAAACCCAGAATATCTGGAGGAATAAAGCTCATTTGAACAGAAGGTGCACCCTTGAGATATCTCAACTGTTCATGCACAGCTTCAACAAGACCTTCAAGGTATTGACGAGTATTCTTATTCTCAATCGTACGTATCTGGGACAAAGCCGGGAAAAGCGAGTAATCAGGACCGAAATGATTACGGAAAGCGACAGATTCCGGGATAACAGGATCGATGATTTGATCTGCGTCTAGCAGGATGGATGTTTCGTGTGCCCAGGCGCGAGAAACATTTCGCGGTGTGTATCCTCCACCACCGACAACGAGAAGAGGTAAACCGAAAGTTTTTGTAAAAGCGACGCAGGCACCGTGGGCGCGGACGTTTAGGTTAAAGCAGCCGAGTCGGTCACAGCCTAGACTATCTGCGCCGCATTGTAGAACAATAGCACCTGGACGGTAAGTCTGCACGCAGGCGCCGATGACTTCATGGTAGAGCTGGATGTATGATTCGTCGTCGATGCCGTCATTCAATGGGACGTTAATGGAGTGGTGAGCGCCTGGGTTTAAAGGGTGGGTTGGACCTGTATCATCGAGGGCGCCGGTTCCAGGAAAGAAATTATCTTTATCGTATTTGTGAAAAGAGACTGTAAGGACGCGATCGGTAGACCAGAAAGCTTGTTCGACGCCGTCGCCGTGGTGAACGTCGATGTCGATGTACATGACGCGCGGGTGGTGGCGGAGTAGCTGTAGGATACCGAGGACGATATCATTGATGTAGCAGAAGCCGCTAGCCTCAGCCTTTTTCGCGTGATGCAAACCACCGGACCAATTGATGGCGATTTCAGATTGGTCGTTACAGAGCTTGCGGGCGGCGTCGACGGTACCTCCGGCGTACAGGGCGCAGTAGTTGTAGAGCCCGTCGAAGATGGGACAGTCGTCACCGAAGTTGAATCGCGCGACGTTTTCTGATTGTTCTGGGCGGTCCATGTCGGCGGGCATAACTTGACTGAGGAATTCGAGGTAATCCGACTCGTGAAACTCTGCCATCTCTTCGTAGGTCGCGGCTCGAGCCAGGTACAGGTCCATTGCATGATGCATGCCGTACGCTAGGACCAGCTGCTTGGTCAATGTGAGGCGCCATGGTTTCATGGGATGTGACTGGCCGAAATGGTGCGGCTCCACGGCTGGGTTGGCGTGCCATGAGACACGGTAACCTTGAGGTCGAGTGACGCGATAGAGTTGTCGTTCTTGGGAGACCTTTTGGTCGATACTTAAGGTTGTCGAGGGCGCGGCATACTCCTGGACAATGGCGGAGCGAGCCATCGGTGGGGGTGAGGGAGGAATATCTTGAAGACTGGATCTGAGAGGAGGAACTAGTCGGTTGTTGGGCGCATTTCAGGATTCAAGGTGAATTGAGGATTGAATGTCTCGGAGATTGAGATTTGACCGAGACGCACGACATCCATCACTGCCTAGGTCCGCGGGTGGATTCCAGGTTCCCGATGACTAAGAATCAAGATCTTCATAAAATTCTCTAAATCCACTTTGAATTACGGATACATATTCCACTATACGACTACACGGAGTAGACGACTTGGAAGAATCACTGGCAAAATCATACTCCAGTCTTGGTCTTAGCCTTTTCTCCATCAGAATCAAACCTAACATGTAACTAACCTCACATAAACCTAGAATAAATCAGAACAAATGAGTCAAAAATAGAGATAATTAAAGACCCCCAACCCTTAATTTCTACTATGTACTAGTATCAATTATATACATCATCACATTACCTAGGTAAGTATACTAGTAGCAGTATGGAGTATTTCAAGCACTTGAGTATTATGATGCATTCGAATGTTTGCAATTTCAAGTTTGCCTTTCTGAGATATAGAAATAGAACAATTGGTAATCAGAATCTACCAAATGCGCCCTGGATCCTCCTTATAGTCTTCGTCCTTGTCCAGGGTGGCCATCGCCTTGGATCCGCATTGATTGCTGGGGTTTGAACTCCTCTCAAGTGCTACTGGCTGCGTTGACTTGGGAAGTCCAGTGTCCAGCTTCAAGAAGCCTATGTTGTTCCCACACAGTTCTTCCCAAATGCTCAAGACCAACTTTGTCCAAAACAATATCACGATCACTTGGAGCGTGGCTGCCTGTGAAAAAGAGACGAAAACGGAATCGTCATGCTTTCCTTACTTTATTCAACCTCATTCGACGTTATTGCGTGACTGGAAAATCAAAATGAATTCGACCGGGTCATTTCAATCTTGTTCCCAAGTCGTTCCCATTTTTCAAGAATGAGAAAACGAGAACAGTGATCGATTTCGCAGGTCAGGACCATGTTCACGTTCCCCCTCTATGGGTCGAGCCAGAACTTGACATCCTTCACAAGTTTATCAGTCGTTTCAGCGAGACCAACCAATACAATCCTGGGTCGAACTGCCGGAACACCTCGGGGCCTGGTGCTCTCCCAGGTGCATGCCTGGTCTGCCTGCTTGCTGCCTTTGCCATTGGTGCATGAAATGTAATATGATTGAATCTCTCTAAGATCAGCTGCGGATTCATCGTGGTGACACTTGTTGTGAATCTGATTAATGTGTCAATGGCTCCACCTGGCTTTCCATGCGGAGGCAGGAGAGACCACTTGCATTGATCCCGATAGATGTCCGTGTAAAAGAGAACTGGGATGAAACATCGCTATACTGCTGCTCTCTGTGCTCAGAGGATGTTGCTCGTGGAAAAGGAGATTTGTAGGATTTGTAGGCCTGATGATGAACATACCTCCGTACTACTAGATCCAGCACAATTAGATGGCGTGGACCTAGCAGAGCTTTCTATGCCCTATTTAAGCTCTTTCTGGCAGAGAACAGATTTGACTTGGGAAACTAGTGAGAACTTGAGTGAGGGTGTTAGCCCTACTCATGTAGAAGCAGAAGCATTTTGATAGCGAGAAAATTTTGTGTGAGATAGGAGAATCGGATGGTAAGGAACTTGGTCGAAGATGTAAATTGGTGTGCGTCTGCTGGAGTAGAAAAGTAGAATCGAACCAGGCCACTGGAATTATGTCGATAATCAGTGTCGGGGATGTGGCGGTGCGGAAGGTCTGCAAAGTCCGTGGGTAATTCAGTAATTGCCTCTTTTGGACTTGAAGGATCGAAAGAAAGAAAGATTGAAGGCCGTCTCGTTCGATAAATATCATACAGCGCTTTCTGCAAGAAGGCGTGCTCGGTGCTCCAGAGGATATCTTAGGTCGTGATGAAGTCTTGACACCAGAGCATCATGATACTCCTCAACAAGAGCATGATTTGTCCTTGTGAAAAGATTCCAAAGGTTCCTCTCAAAACTCATAGTCTCTCGCAGTTTCCTATTGTTCGTAAATAATTAGATATTTTGACATGAAGGAACTTGAGTCCTCCGAGACACATCTATCTTCTGGTTGAGCGGTGCACATCTCATTTTGGTCTCACTTCACCTTCACTTTGCTCTCACTTTGGAGATATATTGGCAGTGGGAGTTGTGCCCAGTGTCTGCCCTGGCTTCCTTTGCTCTGTGGCTCCGACGGTCAAGCGGTGTCTTTGGGTGACGGGCTAGTGTCCTTCGTGGCAGCTTTGGCAAGGATGGCTTTGGGACACTCAGGGACACCATCCTTCGGAGCCTCAAAGTAGATTTCTTTCGCCAGGTTAGGTAGCCATCCTCAGCTGGACTTGTCACGATTTTCATAGCGTTAGGGTCGAATCCCAAGTCCCTCTCGCATTGTTTCGCGTCATTGAGGCGGATCAAGCCTCTCGCAGCAGAACTGTGAACATATCTACCTTCGAATTATTCTAGCAGAACTGGGCTTTTGTGGTGAGGTCAGATTTCTCAAAATCATAAACCACTGTGTTTCGCATCATCGCTGTATTCGTAATGAGCATCTTCAACATCATTGTTATCCAAGTTGGAGTGTTAAGGTGTGATCCAGAGAAAAGTCACATCCAGTTGAGGAAGAGAAAGAACTAAAAAGAAGAGTCGAAGCCGTAATGTATTTGAAAAAGAAAAAGACCCTTGAAGGTGGGGAAAGGAACTTAATAGCTGGTTGATCACATAAAGTGCCAGGATGTTAGAATTTCAACCCAGAGTGTTCGAAGGTGGTGTTGACCTCTTTACGATCCGGGACTTCAGCACCAGTTACTTCATCGGCAAGGACTTCATTAACCGAGACAGAGCTTCGGCCATCCTGTTCCCAGTCCATCCAGTCAACCGCGCCTCTCCGATTACCCCGGGAGTCAGGGCCCGTTGTTTTCGGAAGGAGCCGTGACGATGTCAATGGCGTTTGCGTCAAATTCCAAGTCACCGTCGCAACTTATGGCCTCTCTGAGTCGAAGGAGGCCTCTCGCAGCAAAGCTGTAAAGTATGTCCGTGTTTGACTCATCTCACTTTTCTGAGATGAAACAGCTCTCCACTCGAAAGTAACTGGAGCGTCCCGAGCCACCATACCACATGCTATCCGAAGCTCCACCCCAAAGTCCTTGGAATGAAGATGGACGGCCGTTCCATTGAGTATTTGTAGCTTGGGGAGTGTTTGGGAGAGATATTCTCACTGACTTGCACGGCGCAAGGGAGGTCGATGCTAAGGTAGTCAGCTGTAGATCCTGACATTCCATCCGAGCTTGATATCCATTAGTACTGCCCTGATCTTGTTCCTTAGCATTTTTGAGCAGGAGAAGGAGGGAACAAAGATGCACGGTTGAAACAAGTGCGGAGATCGCGGGAACAGGGGAGGTGGAGAAAGGAGATCCTGTAGTCATTATGCTATGGTATAAGAGTTAGAAAACTTAACGTCCAGAGGTTGACGTTGATGAGCTCTTCCTCATATGCCACATCACTCAACATTTGAAGCGTGGAATCACCTACTTCACCTGATCCTGCAGGCCCTCAGACCACTGCACAGTCTATAGCTCTCTACTTGGAATCGCATAGCCTGTACCCTCAAGCATCTTTAAATTCAGAGACAAAAGGGTTGACGAGTGATCTCCTCACTGGAGATCTTTCCATAGCTTCTGGAGAATGAGCGTTGGAGGTAGCATATGTACATATATGATGAAGAAACTGATAGATGATGATTAGATGTGTCACTGTGTATGGTGTGTGTAGTGGTAGGTAGTAGTAAGAGTGAGAGAGAAGCCCTGGAGGTGATATAGTATCAGGTGATCCACACCACCTGGTCTCAACAATATACTACTTGATCCATCAGCAGAGAAACCTAGCTACTCAGAAACCTGTCAGTGGATATCCTTGATGATTCAAGACACTACCATGTGACTCGAGCGTAAGGCAGCGAGCAGAAGAGCTGGCCAGAAGTCAAAGCCTCGGGCTTTGCGCGACTCAAAGTCAGCCGTGGCAGAAAAGCTTGCAGGAGGGACCATTTGATATGTTGGCTACTGCTATCACTAAGAGCTCTTATTCAACTTTACAGGTAAATCACATCTTAATACCGATAATACCTCGGACTGATTTTATTCTCATTTCAGACGCTCATGTCACCTACTTTCAAGGCAGATATCTGGTTACGACATAGTTCTTAGAGCTGCATACCGGCGGTCTCAACAATTGACACCCGTTGATGCACGGCATTATGCCCTTGTCAACCGCAACTCAGGCTAGTTTCTTTTTCCTCTTGGCTTCTAAACAGAAAGTCAGTGTCATACGCTGACAGGGCCAAGACCGATCGTTCATTCTGGCTATGCTTAACGATGCCCTTGAAATTAATCATGGAAATAACGACCATTTACTAGCACAAATACCTGTCCCAGAAGTAACAACGAGAATTCAAATCGGTCCAGGCCGCGCATAATGGCCACCTCTTCTACGCAGTCGCTGCCAAAGACCTGGTCCCAATGTCCATGTGGAAAAGGCAAAAGAACACGATGGATGTTGGAGCTTCACAAATGACCTTGTCCTACAAGCAGACTCGGGTGTTCATACACACGGTTCCCAAAAAAACACGTATTTGAAGGCTTTGGCCTCTAACATGCCCACATGTGCAGACTCTGGAACGCGGCTCCAGCTTTCGCAGCCCTGCTTGAAGATGCTTGCTCGAAGCACTTTACCATCCCACCAAGCACCGAGTTCTTCTATCTTTGAAACCATGAAAGGTCTGGTCAAGACAATGCCGGCTTCAATACAGAATTTGGAATCCGTCGACTGAATCGAAACGATATCAAAATGATCCGGATCCAACTAAAAACCCAGCATTTATGCCTATGCCGAAGTGGTGCAGCAAGAGCCATTGATGGCCCGTTCAAGTTTGGCGATTACCTGGATCTATGGATTTTCAAGTTTTACTTAGACTTTCCCAGAGAGAAATGGATGGCCCACTGACAGAACCCAGATAATATGTAGTGGAGGATATATATCTCACAAAATCGCGTGGAAGAAGAGCGTGAATCTCTCCAGGGCTCGAAGACACCGATGAATATGCAACCTGGCTGTAAATAAAGTCAATGCATGGAAACTTGAACAGAATATCACCAGACCCGCGAAAGTGCAAGGTAATCGCTACATTGGTCGCTGGTGTTGAAGTCATGCTGGCCCGTCCGTGGGTGCCGCCGAAATCAAATGCCGGATTCAGGTTGAGCACCATTTATAAGTGCACGTCAAGCTCAAAAAACTACGGATTCGTTATTCACGATATACTCCAGCGAGACGACGCGTGTTACCAGCCATGAAACTTTGTACTTTACCAACAGCGAATATATCAGCCGTCCTAGAAGTGGACTCGGAGGTTCAAGTTTGAAGAAGGACAAAGTTAGTGAATACGCTGTCATCCTCCTTCTATGCCGTGAGCCTGGATGTGACATGGAAAAGACTTCCAAGGTTGAAGATTGGGGAAACCAATCCCTGCACACAAGAAGATTGATTACTCAAGTGCTTGAGGGCTGGAGATGAGGGCTGGAGATGAGGATCCAGAAAGTCTAACGACCTGAGTACTCAGAGAAACCATGCTGGAAACAGAGACTGACTTGACTTAGCTCTGAAACATCATGATAATTCTCAACTTCAAGGTGAGATTATGTTCTTTTGAAACTGCTCGAGTATACCCCGCTCAAACAACTGCCGCGGTCGGCAAGTAGTAGGTAGCTCCTCGGCCCTGCATAATGCATTGCACACCTTCGTATCAACTCAACCAGCTCAATCCCTTTGTTTACAAATTATCACCCAGGCTACAGCCAAGAAAGTAATTAGAAGAAATTTTCAATTGCAATGTTTTTCTTTTTTTACTCCGCATAAGTTCGGCATCCGTACAAGTAAAAAGAAATGCCGAGTGGCACCGGTGACATCAGCCCGGTATCGGCCCCGGCCCGGCAGTGGAGAGCGCATCATCACCGCGCAAGAACAGTTCATAGGTGGGGAAACAAGAAAAAAAAGACTTGGAGGGGGAGGCGAGGGGATATAAAGACGGATATACCGCCCGGACAAAGCTGAATTAAGTCCTGTTCATCTGTATCTATCATTGAACTTGAATCAAGTTAGTGACTATTATATCTGCATATCCTTGTTAGATCTTGATCAGAATATCTTGATATCATCAATCATCATGACTTTGAACCAAGGCGCAACGAATTTGCGACGAGCTCTGGAGGATCCCAATGGGTTCGTTGTGGCACCTGGTGTCTATGATGGCATGTCGGCACGACTAGCTCTTGCCGCTGGGTTCGATGCGCTGTACATGGTAAGTATTAGTATCACTGTCAAGAGACCGATATGGAACAAGAGCTAATCAATCTACTGTGGTTTAGACCGGTGCAGGAACCGCCGCTTCTGTACACGGACAAGCAGATCTTGGTATCTGCACATTGAACGACATGCGCAACAACGCAGAAATGCTCTCCAACCTTTCACCAAGCACACCAGTCATCGCCGACGCAGACACCGGATACGGTGGACCGATAATGGTAGCTCGTACAACGGAACAATACGCCAGATCAGGAGTAGCGGCTTTCCACATCGAAGACCAGATACAAACGAAGCGATGCGGACATCTCTCCGGCAAGATCCTCGTCGATCGCGAAACCTACACAACCCGAATTCGAGCCGCGGTGCAGGCACGCCAACGACTGGGTAGCGATATTGTGGTGATTGCTCGCACCGACGCGCTGCAGGGACAAGGGTACGAGGAGAGTCTGGCGCGGTTACGTGCAGCACGCGACGCGGGCGCAGACGTCGGGTTCCTGGAAGGAATCTCCTCGCGTGAGATGGCATCGCAGGCAGTGCGGGACCTTGCACCATGGCCCTTGCTGTTGAATATGGTTGAGCATGGATCGACACCTTCGATTTCAGCGGCTGAGGCGCGCGAGCTTGGATTCAAGATTATCATATTTCCCTTTGCGACGATCGGCCCGGCACTCACAGCCATGCGAGACGGATTGGAGAAGCTCAAAAAGGATGGATTGCCTGGATTGGATAAGGAAATCACGCCACAGATGCTCTTCCGGGTCTGTGGACTGGATCAGAGTGTGCAGTTGGATGCAGAGGCAGGTGGAGCTGCGTTTGAGGGGGGCGTAGATTTGCGATAGACAGGAGAGTGATTCCTACTCTTTCATTTCCCTCGAGTGACGTATCATGAGCATAATTTCCCTGTTGCCTTGTCAATTGTTTCTTTTCTTGTTTATGAGGAAGGCAGTGAAGCGCTCGACCAGTTCTGTAAATAGTAACGTCTCCACCAGTACGGAGTATCAATTGACGATTTCAAATGTTTATTGATTTGATCAGGCATCCAGCCACCGCTCGTGTAGATGACAAAAATAAACATGAATTGTCCGATGTTGACCACTGAAATCGCCCGTGTTTATGCTTAGATCATCGTTTCAGAATCGGCCCAGCGCCAGTGGAACAAATCGCTGATCATAAGCCCGACCACAGAACCCCTGCAGATTTAATTTACCGAAATCTGCGGGAATTGAGCTGTCAATTGCAGCAAAGGTGAGAATTGTAAAAATTGTGAAATATGAAATCTGCTCAATCAGAGAAATGCTCAATTGTTATCCTCCGTGGGCAGCTTTAGGGTGATCATAGCCCCCATTAATCTATAATAGTCGGAGAATATCCTGCAACGGTACTCGGGACACCGAAAATCACTCAGAAGAATAAAGTTCGAAGCGGGATGAGACATTCTGGGACCGGCCAAGACGTCTGGCCAGTCTGGATTGCCAGCAAGAGCCACTGCGTCCACTGCGTCCACTGCGCCCACTGCGTCCACTGCGTCCACTGCGGCAAAATGGAGTCACCAGTGGAGGGAATACAGAAGTAGTGGAGTCGAAGAAATTCTAGGGCTTCTTTCATCCCTGACCAGAAGTACCTTACCGCGCAATATTGATTGTCCCTCGCACGAAAAGACCCAATTGCCTCCTAGCGGAGCCTGCACGCACATGGGTCTTTTTGGTGGGCGATCATTGTGGTCCAGGCGAAAGTGGATTTGAATCGAGTTACTCCGTAGAGTCCGCACTGAGTACTCCGTACTGAGTACAATTTTGACGGATTCGAATCTCAATTCACTATTAATTTGGCCTGATGCGTTGTTCTTGGGCGCGTATATTTAGTTCGGACCTGTCGTGTTGAGCTCGGATTTGTTGACATCACGCCCTATTTAGAGCCGTAAACTCGTGTGAACGTTTCATTTGATCGATAAAATCTGACGCGTAAGACCGAGTTAGTGCCCTGGTGGAGAAAGGATTGATTGGTGGCTTGAGAAGAGTGGAGTGAGTGAAAGATGCAAGATTTCCCGTTAAGGGACAAAAGGGTTCAAGCCATCAGGGTCCAAAAGGGTTCAAGGGTCTCATTTAATTAATTACCTATAATTATAGTCCTCATAGTGAATAATATAATAAAATATGGGATATAATATAGTAAAGAAACTGAAGGATAATAGAACGTGAATAATAGTGAGAATTATTGTTTTTTGAGGTAAACCTTCTCTCATTTGACCCGAATCTGGTGTAAAAAGGTGTAAAAGAGTGAAAGTATTGAGTACCTGATCTTAATTATTGATTCTCCATATTACCATCAAGTATCAAGTACTTCAAATCCCTTAATCAGGGTCTCGGCCCCTGTTCCACTGTTGCACGCACCAATCAAGGATGATTTCTGGGTGAATGGCGTTCAGGAACCACCAAATAAGATCCAATTAAATGATTGCAGTGAAATAACCCCTGATCCTCATTTTGACCTGAACTCGCCCAGCTGCCCAGAGTGAAAGGTAGTACTTGGTACACTCTTTGTGGCACATTTTCTCTCCTTCTCTTCCATCCCACACACTCTTTTTTTTTTTTGAATCGGAATCTTTTCTTTTCGAGCTTCATCGCTCAAGTCACTCCTTCTATTCCAATTCATTCTTTCAAAAATGCAGTACAAGAATTCCGTTCTTTTCTTGACAGCCCTGTCTGTGGGCTCGGCTGTCGCTCGCCTCCACGGCCATGACCGTCGCCATGCCCACGCGAAGGTTGGAGATGTTGCGCAGAACGAGGAGGCGCCGGTCGTCGCCCCGGCTGCAGAGAAGATCGCAGACCTCGAGCAGCGAGATGAGGTCTACGCCACCATCGACGGTGTTCTCGAGTCCTGGATCAACAATTGGGCTGTTGAGGTTTCCACCACTTCGACCTCGACCTCGACCTCCATCTATGTTGCCCCAACCACCACCACTGCCCCTGTGGCCGTTTTCACTTCCAACCCAGCTGTCGAATCCACCGTCACTCCCGTTCCCACCAGCTCCCCCAGTGGAGGAAACTGGTACGAGACCCCCTCCGACGGCGAGTACTCTCGCTCTGGATTCGGTGGTTCCACCGCCAGCCAGTCCACCGGATCCCTCGACTGGGATTACATCGGCAACGTCGGTAGCCCTTGGGGAAGCAACATCATCCAGATCTCCGAGGACGTCGCCAACCAGTACAAGCACGTTCTCCGCTTCGAGGGCAGCAGCTCCAGCTCTCAGACCGTCGTCTTCTGGAACACATACGGCCCCAACGGCAAGATGGACGGTTTCTGGAGTCCCAACAAGGCTCTCGAGTTTGACGTGCCGGCCAATGGCGTTGCTTATGTTGCCATCGATGACAACTCCCAGGGTGGTTGGGCTGCTGGCTCTGACTCTGTTCCTCTTTCCGGCATCGGTGAATACGCTGGTACCTGGGGTGAGTTCGACATGAGCAGTGAGAAGAACGACGGATACTCCGGCTGGGATGTTTCCTCCATCATTGCCCAGCTGGCCGGTCTAGACGTTCAGGGTATGAGAATCTGCAACCACGAGGGTGAGATGTGCTCCAGCATTGCCACTGGCCTTGCCAGTCTTGTCAATGCCTACACCAGTGCTGATCAGGGTAACCCTTCTCTGGCTGTTTCTCAAGCCGAGGGCCCAGTCCGCTTGGTTGTCAACCTCGACTGGTCTTGAGTAAATCTCAACCCCTCAACTTTGATGTCAGCGAGTCCTTTACCTTTTGATCCCCCTTTACCTTTTCCTGCGCATACGATTCCAGCAGACGAGGATATTCCCGAAATTTTTCTTTGTTGTTGGCCCTTGGCCGCTCTTCCGTGGATCCTTCCTTCTGCTTATCCAACGAAGCGCATACATATCTTCTATGATCTGCGTTTTCTTATCTTTCTCTGTACATATACCATTCAAGTCATTAGTTCTTATCGAAGATTTCCATTTCTTTTCCAATTCTGGATGCTGTGTTTTCTTTCCTTCTGTTCAATAGTCGACATACGACATGGTGACACTTGAGCTCTGCACTTTCGGCAGTCCAGTTTCAGAGTCTTACCATGCTTTCCGCATTGTGAACCACTCGATCGTGTACCTTCTTGTACCTTGTGTTAGTAGTAGTTCTGTAAGCGGTTAGATGAGGTAGAATCTCCAAATTGTCTCATTACGCAGGGGTCTTACCTTCCTGACATCTAGTACCACGCTTGACTCCTCAACAGCAAAACATTAATACCTTATTGAGTCTTGCGTGGTACAGGTGCTATGCATAGCATCATTGTCCCAGTTCTGTGCCACATTCAAGTTCCGCAGGGATCTATGCCACTGGCACCAACATGAATTTGAGTAAATCAGAATTTGGATCAAAAGGTAAGAGCAATAAGAGCACTTGAGTGAGGTTGAGAGAAATCCAGATTCCTGAGCAAAGAAGTCCAAGCCTTCTTATAATATGCAGCGGGGTTGGTATGCAGGGTCAAGAATTCATCACATTTAGTGCAGAACATTCGATCCGCCCAGACTATACTTTTGACAAGGGTCCAATATCACAGCGCTTACTCGAAACACCGAGTCATCTAGTTGCATAACTGTGTATAGTGGCTAATATTCTTAGTGACGCTAAATTCCCACTAATGCAAGTTTTTCTGCTAAGTAGGGGACTTCGGCGCTAAGTGATGGCCAGCGAGAGGCTAAGCAACGGGTAAAAGGGTCTAGGTCTACGGGACTCGGCGGGGGCATTCTCCGCAAACATTGCCTCTCGGTGTCTTTATTATTCTATGGAATTCATTCTATCAATTTATTATGAGGGTTTTGTAGTGTAGCATCAATTGATTTATCACTGTTCCTTTAATGCACACTGGTAGTATTCAATGGAGAAAGGAACCTTGGAAAAGAATGAGGTCTTAATGCGGGTAATTGATCCCACCATGCTCAAGAATGGGGCCAAATGCAAGATGGCACAGCACGTACATGATAACGGTACTAATGCTCATCCATATCTTTTCTGGGCTTCTCTGCGTCTAAATAATCATCCTCATTGGACATCTTGGGACCCTTTACAACGGGAGGGATACTAATTCGTGCCTCGACCTGTTTTTCCTGCATCAGGGTCTCATTCGCTTAAAATTAGGTCAATAAACGAAGAAGACTGGCCACTGCATATTATAAGCTAAAAGGATTTGACGCATGCTTTCTGTTTCTAATGTTATTATAATATTTCTTTTTGCCATTTACAATCCTCAATTGCGCATCGCAAGGCACCTGGAGTGCCGGTTTAATTTTTAATAATGACTACACGACAGTATAATGCATCAAAAGACCGAGATCGAGATCGGGATCTCTTAGGTCAATTTCCTCGCTCTTATTTCTCCTATCTTGTTCCATCCAGCAGGTCTGGATCGAAAAGACGAAAGAACAACTCTCCAGTCTCAAGTCTAAAAAGCTCCATCGGACCAGAGCCCACGATAAAAGAAGAAGCACCAACTGCTTGGATTCCTAGCTGGGTGCCATATACATTCACCCACATTTTTCTGGCAATTTTGAGCTTGAGTTCCCTTGCTCTCTGCTTGATTACGTTTCTATTGTGGTGGATTTCCTCGACGCACTATGGTCTGGGACCAGATAATGGCTCTTCAGCCATGTTATTTGGCTGGCGTTATAGCCCCACTATGATAGCGGTGATATACGTCCAGATGACTGCAGTGCTATTCGAAGATGTGAAACGAACTGAACCTTTTGCTCGCCTGGCGCGGCCGGAGGGATCATCTGCACCAACAAGTATTCTTAAGACACCTGGAGCTTGGTGGAACGCGCTATACGATGGATTCGCCAAAAAGAAGAACGGAAGGCGCAGCTGGGTATTGGTCTGCGCTACATTGGTCAACATCCTTGGCTTCATGGGAATTTCATCTCTCTCATCTGCCTATCTATTCTCAGATGATGTTGTTGTTCCAAAGTCAACTGATTTTCTCACGCTATCACCTGCATTCAACTCTCCATTACCTATAGATGCTGATCGAGCGACACATTTTCGAACAATTGCCAATCTTTTACAGAATGTATCCACTTCACCTTGGATCACGGATGAATATACGATCTTGCCCTTTTGGCCTTCCAGTCTTCAGGATGCCCCAATTACTTCATTACCATCAACATCTTCTCAAACATGGAGGGCAGACACAGTGATGTTCAAGTCAGAGCTGACATGCACTCCAATGTCGATCCAATCTCAAGCCAACGAGACCATCCAATATACAAAAGGCGTGGTAAAAGTACCCTCTATCTCCATCGTATGGGAGTCATCAGATGGCTGTGAATATGGTTTAGCAGCAGACACAGATTTCTTCAATATGGGAGGTGGCAGTTGGTCTGATGTCTCAACATTCTACTACGCAGAAATGGCAGTTGAAAGTGGTGTTAATACAGTATTCAGCACCAATCATACGAAACAATGCGATGGTAAAGAGATCATAATCGTGACCGATTCGTGGGAATCTGCGGACGCGAAGTATGGAGCTCAGCTGTGCGATACAAGCTATTACATGGCCAATGTCACAACTACTATCGCGCTCACTGGGGATGACCCTGTAATATCCTTCAACGAAACTGAGTTTGAGAAAAACAAAGTTACTATCCCAGATATTCTGCTCAACACCACTGAATTTCGATCAATGATGCTTGACTCGGATTGGCCAACTTATATGATCTCCATACTATGGTCGCAGACAGCAATGATGGGTGGGCCAACCATTTTATTAGGCGCTCTCTATGACTACAACATGACAGCCTTGGTCAATGATCCAGATTGGGTTTCTTCCGCCGCAAAAGCACAACAGAGATATTTTGGAGAGGTGCTTCAGGCCGCTCTGACTCAACAAGGCGCGTCCCAAAAGATCACTATGGAAGGTGTGGTTCGCGATGTGAAATCTAGAGTTGTGGTTCAGCCGGGTGCTGCCATTGCATTAGGAATCCTCTTTGCCATCTCGTTCTTCCTTGTACTTTTTGTCTGGTGGTCTACACAGCTACAACGTAGACCTCTCAATCTAAACAGAGACCCAGCCACCACAATTGGAACGGCTTGTCTCATATCTGATAACCCACTCGTCAGATCAGCATTTCAATCATTCAAACAGCCCTCCCAGAAAGACATGGATGAAGCCCTTGGCGACGAATGGTTCTGCACCGATTCATATGGACTTTGCCGACTCCATACTGACAATCCAATCGAACACAACACGAGGATGTCTGAGAATGGTACTCCCATGCTCCTCCGTCTTCCAGCCATACTAGGTCTGATCACAATTCTTGCTGTCGTCATTTCCGGCATCATTGTGCTGTACCATTTTGCAGAAGGTGCTGGGCTATACGAGAAGGCATTTGTATACCAGGTTCAAGTGTCTCTATTCAACAGTGGTGTTTCATCTGTTGCTCCATTCTCAATGATTCCAACTCTCATAGCTACTGGAATTGGTCTATGGTGGGGTGCTATCGATGACAATTTTCGACGTCTCACACCATTTCTAGAAATGTCGAGGGAAAATCCACAACTGTCTCGTGGGGCTGCATTATCATACCAATCTTCCTTCTGGCTCTGGGCTTGTATGAAAGCAGCATTTAACAAGCATTGGCTACTTTCAATTCTCACTTTTGGAAGTTCGCTTTCTCCAATATGTATGTTCCTCCAATAAGAGTCTTTTTCTATTCCCCAACTTACTCGGTTAGTCACAACTTCCATGTCGGCTCTCTTCGATCGCAGCCCTGGAGATGTGACAAAATCAATTACCTTCAATAAAACACTGGAGATTCGGGATATCCCTCTTGTGTTTAGTACCTCGCAATCCCTCTACCCCGGAAGCTCAGACGACTACGCAGGTGCCATCCTTGCCGAATTATACACGAATCTCTCATCTCACTGGATGTACACAGCTGCTATCCAGTTAACGCTAAACGGTTCCGAGCCTTCCTGGAGCAAGGATGGGTGGAGTTTTGTACCAGTTGAGCTGAACGATCTCGATCGGGTCGATCTACCAAATAATCTCGACGAATCCGACCAGACACTTGATGGACCAACATCCAACATCTCATTTACAACACCAGCAATCCGAGGCCGCATCGAATGCTCCGAATACCCAGCTACCACTTTAACCAATCTCTCAATCTGGCTCACACCCACAGCTCTAACCAACCACACAATCTGGAACGCAAGCACAATCCCGCACAATCTCGAAGGCGGATATCAACTCGGCGCGGTATACAGTGAACTCCCCAGCGCAGTTCTCCCAATCACATCCTCTGAGAATATAACCACCTGTCCAAACTGCACAACTATCTTCGTCAATCCCGCTGAAATAATCTGCTGCGGTAACGGAAGCAGTAGTTCATGGGATCCCAGCATAGCAGTCGGATACTGGTCCCCAAACACCGACCCAGCAACATGGACAGTACGCAATTGGCAACGGAATTTCACCGCAAAGTGGTTTCACGGAAATGCAGTAACGGGAATCAAGCGAAACGAAAATGAGAATGGATACTACGATGCCGATCTGCTTTTTCCCAAGGTGCCGTCTGTCACAATGATGAATTGTAGACCGCTGATCGAAGCTGCTGAAGCATCTATCACCGTGAACCCAGATAATGGGGAGATCCAAAGCTACAATATCACGAGCACGCCATCCGAGCTGACAGAGGCATTTTCGGATAACTTCTTACCGCATAACCAGACGAGCTTTAGTCAGGAGACTGGTATTGTATACTACAATGTAACATTGAGGTAAGCATCCAGGATGATTCCCATTTCAGAATTTGCAAAACGAAGGGAAAAAGATACCAGCTACTAACATTCGAATTATAGCTACGGCCGACTCTTCATGGCATCAATGTTAACAGCGGCGGACACACTGCACCTCGGCGGAGCCTCACACGTAGGCGGATACAGCACAGAAGATCTGGATGACAACACCTACAACATCCGGGACACCATAAACGGACTAAACATGGACTTCATGAGCTATTCCATGTACATGCAAGCGAACAAAGATCCCACCGCTCTTCTCAACCCAACAAGATTTACAACTCTAGCCGAGAAAACGTTCTCAACTTTTTTCCAGCATTTCGCTAGTAATGACGTTTCTCTTCTTACAGGTGGATGGACATACCAGGAAATCAACGCCAGTTTACCTACTACACTTGGACCAGCACTGGTACTTGGGGAAGATGGGTTACCTAGTGATAAGGTGACAAGTTACCAGGATACTATGCATCCGATCTCTCATACAAACCGAACAGTCTCCGCAGAGATATCTCAACGCGTCGAGCTACTACAGATGAATACTGTTGCTGTTTGGTTAAGTGTTAGTATAATGATCTGGTTAATTTTCACAACGATCATCGTCGCAATACTTCAACGACGGTATTTTGGAAGTTTAGTTCGGAACGTAGAATGTCTCGGTGACATTCTAGTTCTTATTGCAGGAAGTGCAAATTTCCTACAAGTGGTGCGAGAGATTGAGTCAGGGAAATTGGTTGAGGGTGCATATGAGAATCTAAGGACAAGGTTGGGGTGGTTTGTTGATGAGGATGGAGGATTAAGGTGGGGAATTGAGATGGAGGAGAGGTATAGAGATGGGCCTGGAGTACATTGGGTTTCTGAGCCTGAGTATTTGAAGGAAAAGGGGGGAGTTTGGAATATAAGGGATGGAGAGGAGAATTTATAGAGGTTTTCATCCGAATATTTGGATATTTGGGTTCCGGATTTTCGTATTGGGATGAGATGAGTTCTTCAAATTGGTTCTTAAACAAGAAATCGAAGAATCCAGGATTGAAGTATTCTATTTTCTTCTCGGTGCTCAAATGTTTGCTTTGACCGGCGAATTAGCAGTAGCACTTGAGTATGGTCTCGCTGCATGGAGACCTGATTCCCGAGGTTGGGGACAAAACAATAACTAGTGCAATTTTCAAGTTAAACTTGAACTTCGGCCCATGTATAGGTCCCAATGTAGCTTTGAAGCCCAATTGAGCCACAATTGCGTCAGAAACTGCAACTAAAAAGAGGATATTTGAATCCATTGATTCCGAGGAAAGTTTGGAGGAAATCTTGAACTGATTAAATTTGTTCATTCAAATTGTGATTGAGTTAGATATTAGCTAAACCATCGGACATCCAATCCTTAAAAAAAACAGATATTCATTCCAGAATACAATTCGCTCATTGAAGAAGACCCAGAACCCATTACCCACGCTATGCATCGCAGCCAAAGTAAAATAAATCAGAAAAGGACAGGTCAGAGGACCGTTGAGGCCCTCCAGCATATATCCTGCAGCAAGTGCTGCTAGGAGTGTGTACAGTAAGTAATATGACACGTGTCAATCTCTCTGTGGTACACAGACCGATGCAGAGAAGAAAGACAAGAAAGGAAGGAGATGACGGAGAAGGTAGAAGGGATAAGGTGAAAGGGGAGATGAAAGAGGAGAGGGGGGAAGTATAAGAACAAAGATGACGAACCAGGCATCATCACAAGACAAGATCAGCTCAAAGGAGTGTCAGCGAGTCAGGAATAGGTCCAAAAGGGAAGCGAAAAAGGAAACCAATAAATCCCAAAAACACCGATCGAGAAACTCCGCAAATGATGATACAAGGGTGCACTAGACCGAGTAGAAGCAGGGGGATCAAGTGGATCCCTCCCCCAGTGCCCAAAACACACCCCAGAAAATTGGGGAAAATAAAAATCTGGGGCAGAAAAAAAGGGGGGAAGGAGAACCGAAAGAAAACAGAAGGAAAAAACAAGAGGAAAAAGCAAATAATTCCCCAGCGGCGAGTAATGGACGATTGGTTCAACAAACCAAAAAGGTAAAAGGAGACTAGATCCAAATTGGATCCATATGGCGGTGACGAGGCAATCATCCCTGGAATGGAGAAAGTCCCCAGAATAGGGGGGGATAAAGGCCCCAAAAAAAACGATAGCGGGAATAGAAAATCCCAAAATCGCAAAAAAGAGATTCAATTCAAAGAACCAGATTGTATCTCAAGATACTTCAAAGTAAGTATCTCCTGGTCCAGAACAACCAAAGAGTTCTGATCACGTCGATCACCGCCTCACTTTCGTTTTAAAAGTTGTAATCCAAGTTCTTTTCGGTCCATTATGATGGTCGGGTTCGGGTTCATATCCAGCCGGGCAAGCCGCGCGGATAACAAAGAATTGGGGCAAGAGAAGAGAGAACAAGGTGAAAGAGGAAAAGACCGTAATTGATCTAACTCCGCCCCATGTCTCTCTTCCCGCCCCAACCGGCTTATTTCGAATTGCTGCTGAGGAACCCTTGAACTTCGATTTCCGAGACTATTTCCAGCGTTGTTTGTCCCAGTCCGATGGACGAGTTTCGTCGTAGATTTGGCCGCCTTTATTATGAACGATGACTGGGGGTTTTCGAATGGGATTGGCGTTTACTGCGGCGCGTCTGCATTAGCCGGGCTGAATCTGGAGATCGGGGCAGGGATAATAAAGAGTCATGGGGGTTGAAGAAAGGGAAAACGGAATCGGGAACTGGATCGACGACGTACCTCGGACTTCTGTCGCAATGACTTGATCACCACTACTGCCTCTACTGGCGAGTGTGGAATTTGAGTCGTTGGTAACCTTGTGTGGCATGATAGAATGAGGTGAAGTAATAGAGGAGAGAAGAGAAAGAAAGCTCGCAGTATTGAAACTTGAAAGAGCCAAGTCAAGAGCAGGTGACCCAAATGAATGGCGTTGTATGATGGGCTGATGCCGTTTGAACAGGGCTACGGCAGTGTTGAACTGCGAGCGAATAAGAATAATATGGAAGATCTATGATAGTTTGCACGCGTAATGGAGAATGGGGGAGAATGAAGAATGCCCCGGGGATGGATAACGAGAGTTATATAGAAGTAAGTGTGTGTGCGAGTGTAATGCTAGGAATCAGACATCTGGAATGAGCGCTTTTTGTATACTCAGGTACGGGCCATTCCCAATTGAGCGTGCATCTGATCTACAAGATTTCGGGCTATCGTCGCCAGGGAGCTTAGAGTGAGCTTTTACCATGGGGAATGGATCGCCCCCCTGACGTCCGTGTATTTTGGTTGTATCTGGTTCCTGGTAACTATCTTGTATTACAAGGATTGAGTGATTCATTGATTGGTGAAATTATCAAGTTTAAAGCAGGGCAGCCTATAGGAGATGAAAGATTTTGGTATTGGATTTGAAAGTGGATACCTTTGTACCGTGTATTGTCACAGAAAGTGGACCCAATAATGATGAGTCAGCCATTCCTCCAGAAATAGCTACGGAGAGAGAGTAGCCCCAGGCTGTGTACCTGGATCATGGATTATGGAGTTATCGAGTAAAATGAGCTATTGGAGTTATTGTGATAATTGAGGTCATTTCAGATTCAATTGACTTAGATCTGATTGTCTTAGAGTTCCTACATTACTAGTTACTACCTACTATGTACACAGTAAACGGTATACCATATCCAGTATAGCTCACCGCTATGAACCATCAAACATCGGGCATTTGGGAACACATACATGGGGACTTCTCTACTCCGTACTCCGTATGTGTACACTCACATACACATGTACTCCATCCTAGGCATCTAGGTCAATTCCCTTAATGCAAAGATCCTACTTTGTCGTGCGTGGATGTCTCCAGTGATGTCAATGATCCAGGGGGGGTCCCTCACCGACACATCCTTACCCGGTCCACTGGGGTCCAGAATTCTCCCCCGTGACTATCCAGGTCAAGGGAAGTTGATCATTGCGATAGTGTTGGATCTAGCCAATATCAGAATGGATCAGGCAGATCCCATCTTAGGTAATGGAACCTGGTTTAACCAACTCTTAGCACTTAGGAATTATTCAATGGGCCCCCTGCAATACTACGGGTATTGCCTAGGAGAAATATGATGTTGTCATCTGTACGGGGTACTACTAGTACTCGGTACTACACGATAGGTCAAAAGCCACATCATGCATTTCATACCGATGTGCGTCACTTCCCCCAGAACGAGATTCCTGTGGAGCCTATCACAGACTATCAAAGTTCCATTGCTTGGGCACTGCCTAACCACGAGGCAGATAATTCGCAACTTCTTTCTCCACTTCCCTGCAAACCAGTGCTGGCGAGATATGAATGGAGTCATTGACTCTTTCAGTATGCGTACATTCCTTTGATAATAATAAAAATTTATTCATTCATAATAATTCCGTCAAAAAAAATAACCTTGGAACTGGTAGAAATCTAGGCCGGATCTTCTCATACTGGGCCTCCACCACCCTCGCGTTTCATCCGCTCCTCCCATCCATTCATACTCCGCCGGATACCCAATGTCCGTCGCCCCGATACTGAAGCCTGCTGACGAAGCATCGACATTGTTGTCGTATGAAATGTGACAGACTCAATAGTGCCGGTGGAGTTCCCTGGTTTCATCTCTTGCGACCCAGTCCCTGCGTCCGCTGTGTTGTTTCCATTCAGAGGCTGGGTCATCTTCCGAGCGGGTTTCACCGTGGGCCTCGATGGAGCCGCCAGCCACGTGTAATTGTTAGGTTCGGTAGGCTCCAAAGAAGGTCGCGTAGGTTGGAGAGGTCGCGGCTGCAGACGATGAGAAGAGAGTGGCGCGGGGACAATGCTTGACGGGCCCGGCCGGGGGTTGTTGTTGCCTGTCAGATGATTGTTTCGTCGGACTGGCGCAACCGGTTGAGTTGGTGTTGCTGCATGACTAGTTGTGGCGGATTGCTTCTTCTGGGAGGATCCCGGCCCGCCGAAAAAGTTCGAGATGCTGGCTTGGCTTAGCCCATCTTTACGCCCGGCTTTCTTGGTCTGGCTGACCGATGTAGTTTCAGTTGCAGCCTTGGATGTGGTTTCTGCCTGTGTCGGCTGACTAGCAGCCGGGTTGGCTGTGATGTAGTCACGAGCAGAGGTGAAACCGGAGCTGAGTGTCGTGGGGACCATGAAATTGGACGAGGTCCCCATGCTCTGCATACCTGCAGTCATGTACGTAGTGGTGGTTGGCTGGTTGATGTCAGAGCGGCGCCTTTTAGGATTGGGCTGCTCTGAGTCATGAGGCTCAACAGATCCCTTCCATCCTGTAGCAGCCCCTTTATCCTTCTCTTCGCCCTCGGTTGTCCACTGGTCATCAAGTGTTGATGGAAGGGAGTGTAGTTCTTTGTATAATTCCTCTGCAGCGGGACGAGGTCTTCCGAGGATGTCTGCAATTGAGTAAACTACTTTTTCCAACAATTGAGGGCCCAGCGGACGAAAGCGAGTTTTGGTCAGTTTGGGAGGAAGAAATGAGGTCAATGTGGTAGATGAATCATCTCCTTCGCCCAGTCGAGGCTGTCGCAGAGGAAGGCTGAGATATAGCAAAGCTTGGGCTCTGGTCATAGCAACGTAAAGTAGTCGTCTCTCTTCATCAACTACCTCTGCTCGAGAATGTGGAATGCTACCATTGTATACAGCCGGGATGAAAACAACCGGCCACTCAAGACCTTTGGCGGCATGGATAGTGGAGATAGTAACTTTCTCCGTGACTTTCTCGCCCTCATCTTGAGTTGCTGCCTCGGTCGCAAGGGCCACATTAGCTAAAAATCGCGAGAGAGTTTCTTCTCCGACATGAACTTGTTCTTGCTCGATGCCTTCTATCTCAGGAAGCTCTTCCTCCTGACCCGGATCTCCACTTGAGATTGCAGTCTCATTAGCTTGGCCCATCAGCTCTCTGACATTCGCCCAGCGACTGTCTTCATCTAAAGGGTATGTTTTGATGAGATAATCCTGAAACGAAAGGCTTTCAGTGATGTACTCAAGGAGCACATACGGCGCGGAAGGATCTTCGCACTCTTGTAGCTTTTGTCTAGAGGCCTCGACTAACTTTAACAGTGCACAGAGTCCCAGCTCCGCTGCCTTCTGTAACTTCTTCTCGGTAGATCGGCGACCTTGAATAACATCTTTTATGAATTCCCAGAGAGTAATCTTGGCCTTCTCAGCGCCAGTCGTCAACTGTCGGATTGTCTCCTCGCCGATTCGGCGTGGTGGAACATTGATGATGGCAAGCAGAGCATCAGTATGACCAGTATGGCTAACAACTCTTAAGTAGTTGATCAAAGTCTTCACCTCGGTGCGATCGAAGAATTTGCGACCGCCAACCATCTTGTACGGAATTCCTGCGCGTCCGAACGCTGTCTCAATACGGGTCGATAATGAGGCTGATCGGAGCAAGACCGCAAAATCCGACATTCCCAGAACACCGCCCATCATGGCAACACATCTTTTAATCTCAAGCACCATCCAATGAGCTTCGGCATTTGCAGTAGGAAGTTTTCGCAAAACCGGCATAGTTCCATGAGAATGAGTTGGCTGCAATTTCTTAGCCGGACGAGTAGTGTCTTGTTCGATAACATCCTGAGCCGAGCTCAAGATCGAGGCCGAAGAGCGATAATTTGATTCCAAAAGCACAATCGTTGTATTCGGGTATCGCTTTTGCATGCGCTTGAGGTTCTGAACTTCAGCCGATCGGAAACCATAGATACTTTGATTGGGGTCACCGACGATCGTGATGCGCCGGTTCTTTGCCGCGAACAGGTTCATCAGATCGTACTGTATGATATTCGTATCCTGGAACTCATCCACAAGCACAGTCTGTACATTTGACACACAATCCGGATGCTCTCTCAGAAGCTGAACACATCGTACGAGAAGATCGTCGTAGTCCAAGAGATTGGATGCTGCAAGCGCAGATTCGTATTGGCGATAAATATCGACCAATTCCAATTCATCGGCTTTCACCCGTTCAGCCAGGTCATCTGGTGAAAGTCCATGAGCCTTATGCCGGGAAATTCGTCCCTGTGCAGCTCTGATCTCGATACTGGCGTTCAACTTTTTGATAATTCGCTATGTTGAGTCAGTACGGACAGACCATTCAACGACGCAATAATATGCAAGAACGACATATGCAAAAGGATACCACATACTCGAAGAATTCCCCGACTATCATCTGAATCCGCAATTCCGAATCCCTTCTTCAACCCAATCAGATAACCATACTTGCACAAGTACCGCCGACAGATCGAATGAAAAGTTCCCAAAATCAAACGAGACTGTACACGCTCTCCAACCAGCTTCGAGAGACGTTCCCGCATCTCCCGGCTAGCTTTAATGGTGAAAGTACAACAGATAACATCTTGTGGTGAATATCCATGGTGTGATAAAACGTACGCGACGCGTGCCGTCAACGTCTTAGTCTTTCCGGAACCGGGTGGCGCGAGCACCTGAAGAATAGAATTAGGAGAAGTCACTGCCTGACGTTGGGCAGAATTGAGGCCATCGAGGATGGGGTCCATGATCCATGACCTCTTTGATAAGATGAGGGTCTAAGAGGGTCGCTGTGGCTTTAATCTGATTGCCAAGGGAGACGCGCCGACACGCGCTATCATGTGACGTCAAGTATGCGAGGGAGCAATCTATTTGTTAGCTACGAGCACGGAATCAAAGTGATAAAGTGAATAGGAAAATAATATTCAATTGTTCAAATGTGCATTGTATTTTTCGAATTTCTCCATAGTACATGGGTCGTGACTCGAAGGTATCATCATCGGCCATTCAGTTCTTCATGATAGACACTTCTACATCCCACATCAGCACTAGTCCTAACATGAAATTATTGGGACAAATAGGTATACTATCATAGATAAGTGATAACTGAGCATACTACGCTCTAATGCATGGAATCAAAAGAAATCATTTAAAATGAATTTCAAGTAAATGTTCAACATCATATTTACAAAAATCAAAGATCCTCCGCTGGGTATCAGACCACGATCCTCGCTAAGAACTTCTCACAATAATTTATAACGGGCCCACTGGCATTCAGCTGAAAATTCCCAACGGAATACTCATGGAAACCTCAAAATTGGGCACATTGACAATTTCAACAATTTGCAAGTCCCCGGCAACACTTGCCAGGATATAGGCTTCACTGCGGGTAAGGTTCTTAGTGGAGACCAGCCACTGAACCAGATTGCGCGTGGCGCTCTTCGCAGCCTCGAACAGATCCGGCGAAACTCCGAGGGCGCCATAAGTTCCAAGATCCGGCAACGGATTAGGTATTTGAGCACGAGGTGGAGTCTGGTACTGGGGAGTAGTCACCCAAGGCTGATTCTTGCATAGCTCGAAGCGCAGGGTTGCTCGAATGGGAGTTTCGATAGCAGTTCCGCAGACTTCACCGTGGCCCTGAGCTGCGTGTCCATCACCACAGCTGAAAAAAGCTCCAGCGGTTTGCACGGGGAGGTAGACGGTTGAACCGACGCTGAGCTCACGGCAGTCCATGTTACCGCCGTGGTGTGTGGGTGGGACGGTTGATAATTCATCGTCGTTGCCGGGGGCCAGCCCCATGCATCCAAGGAAGGGTCGAAGAGGAATGCGCATATCGTTAAACTGTGCATATCCCTTCTCACGGTCCAGAGACCAGATCTTAATTTCGGGTTCGGGGTATTCGTCTGCTAATAAACCGAAGCCGGGAATGATAGCGGACCAACCCCAATCGGCAACTTCAAGATTAAGGATCTCCACTTTCAAGACATCGCCTGGTTGAGCATCTTGGACAAGAATCGGGCCGAAGACAGGGTTGGCGATGCCGAGATCTAGTGTCTTAATGGCCGAGGCATCGGAATCGGGTGTAAGTTGGCCGTTACTGCTATCGATCGCATCAAATGTAACAGTCTGGCCGGATGAGACGGTTAACTTGGGAGTGATATTGCGTGACCATTTAACATGACCACAGTCTTTTCCAACATGAAAGTTACTCCAAGCCATGTTGCAAGATTTGGTATTTGTCTGTGTTACACTCATTGGAGAGGGGAGAAGGAGAGAAGGGAGGAAAAGGGAAGAAAATGGGTTCAAATGTTGTGTTAGCAGGTTTAGATGAGAGATGTGGGACATAGGCTTTATTGTAATTTTTTTTATTAAATTTCCAGAGACACGAAGATGGCGAGATCCTCTTCAGGATTGACCGTTAGGGAAGGTGGTTATTCGTAGAGCCAGATCTTATGCTTGTTCAAGAGATCTCCACTTGGCGAACCGAGCTCATCGCCTGCCTAATCAGGCATGACAGGTTTAATTCTGGGTTTTTTTTCTAGGCTTCAAGATTGGTTCATTGGAGCCTCTAGGGTTCAATATAAGAGCACGGACGGCGGTCCACTCCGACAAAGTATACATTAGATGAGAATATGCAGTAGTACTAAGTAGTGTACATGGAGTTATTCGTCATGGTTAAAGAGATAACTATTGGAACCTCCGAATCTCCCGAATTTCGGGATCATTTTGCTGAGTCATGGGAGAAAGGATTATCCCTCTCTTAAATGGAGAAATCAAATGATGAACAACTCTTTTTGATAGTTCGGAATTCCCGTATACGAATTCGTATTCGAGAGGGAAACGCCACTAAAGAAAATAAAAAGTAGAAATCCCTTTCAAGAAAGACAGTCCGCGTTGAACCAAATATGAAGTGTTATTGGTTCAGGGATGTTAGACGCTATGCGGATCCAGGCAAATGCTCCGTCTTTGGAGTACTTTAGACTACTTATTACTTACTCCAATATGCAGATTTTTTTTTCTTTTAACGTAGATTGAAATTTTTATTTATGGATATTAGAATCAATAAATGGATTTTTGCATTGTAAAAACTCCGAGAGTATTTGAGATGAAAGAGATTAATTCTTCTCTTTTACAGTTCTACTGATAAAGTATTAAACATTTGAAAGTCACCGTATCTCTAAGCCACAGAGTCACGACATCAAATTGCATAATTCAAACCACCTTCTTCTTCTGGATAGTTAGGATCCTCTTTTCCGCACGCTGAGTGGGCACAACATGCATAACACATTTAGGGCCCCGAGAGTGGACCTCCCGGCTCCTTCATCCCATACTTCCGAAACGCCATTGCATTTGGTACTAAAATAAAAATAAAAAAAAGGAAACCTGAATAAATCCAGGAAGTTTCAAAAGAGAAGCCACTCATGCTCTCTGTCCATCCAACATCGCCACAATACACGAGGCATTATCACTTTTAACAGATCGAGTACTATTCGCCGTCACCTCTTGTGCGATCTCACTCGCTCGCATCCCCCGCATCGCCAATTTCATCACGTGTTGGACCAGGGCCACGTCGTTTGTGTGGTCACTGACCCCGTCCGACATAATAACCAACAAGTAGCGTCGATCTGGTTGCAATGTCCGTCGGGATGTATACGGGTCGTTTGAAAGGAAGTCTCCACGGACCGCGCTCGATGACGATGAAAGACGTCGGATCCGGGGCATGCAACTTGAATCCTTTACTTCATTGACAGGGTTCTTGTATTGCAGGTCACCGAGAGCGCGAGACATATTCAGAGAGCCTACGCCCTCTTCCCCGGTCATTATTTTTTCCCCTTCAAGCTTGAACGGGTAACTCCGAACTCACCTAACCGAGCAATACCACTGCGCATAGTAACTTCGCCCCCGGCCTCTTCAATCCGTCGTCGTTCACTGGGTACCTCGGGCTTGTGTGCTTCGGTGAGTCGTCGCTAAAAAGCCGGACTTGTTTAGTGTATTCGCAATTTGCAATTTTTCCACCTATAAGATTGTGTAGCTCGGAAATCATAGGAAATTGAACCTACAATATGATAAGGACGGTCTGTTTTGGGGTCTCGCTCCGCCAGGATAACATGCGAGTCACCTAGGTTAGAGACAATCAACTCACCCTGAGTGAGGTTCACCAAACAAACTGCAGCCGTTGACCCAGAGATAGCAGCCTCAGTCGAGTCCTTGGAACTTTCCAGCAACAGAGCATCCTCATCGGCCAAGGCAGCTTTGATAGCTGTAGCGTAGTCTCCCTTTTGAAACTCGGGTCGTTTAGTGAGCAGATGATGCAATTGTTTACTAGCGTGCTCCGATACCAATCCAGATCCACTATATACCAGTCAATATCGGGAAGGTGAGGGATTCTCTCGTCGGTATGAGGTCTCCGTACTGGCCATCGTATACGGCAAGGAATGCCAACTTATCGTTCGTCTTGGCAGGAAACTGTTCCGGTAGAACAATCACACATCGATCTTCCTGGAATTCCCTCCCTCCTTTTGACTGCCTCGTAGAAAGAATCAGTTGGCTAGTCATCAGATATCCACTCCGGGGCTGTTACCTGACCTGCCCCAACGTCGAAGAGTACTACAGCATCAGACGAAGACATGGCTGTGTGTCGAAGAATCTGATCCCGCACTGCCCGATGTGCAAGAACCATGTTGAATAGCTAATATGAGGGTACATCCTCAGGAGAGTGATTCGATTCAGCAGTCGTTGGTTGAGGTTGAAGCTCGGCAGTTCCGTCGCCTTAGTGCTGTGATGGTGGACTGACATCATGCACAGTTCTCTTTAGCAGTGTTAGGACCTCATAACGACTTCTAGAACAAACAAAACTGGAAGAATACCTTATTCTGGTCTAGTTTCGTCAATGGAGCTTGTCCCGGTCCAAATTTTCTCGATTCTTCTCTAATACCAATGCGATGAAGGGTATGCTGATATACTTAACATAGTATTTTCAGGACTTTCACCACATTCGAGTAAAAAAGGCTAGTCTCATACCTTGAACGATCAAATTCAATAGAAAATGATTTGATTCAAAGATTATAACTATTCATGATGAGCCTCATAGTTAATCCTCTTCTATTGATTCGTCCATTTTGTTGTATAAATAGCAGTGCACGGACCAACGGGTCCTGGATGACATCGGAATCGGCGAGATGATGACCAGGATCATCTCTAACAGCCTCAGTCGTTATGGGCTGGGTAAGCGTGGGAGCGCTCGTCGCGACTATCGCATACGTTCTTTATCGATATCCTCCTCATACCTGGTCCCTCGAGTCTCCAAAATCTCCCATTCCTCCAGTGTCTTCGGATTCCAAAGCCGATACCGTCGCCGCCAACAAATCTGAACCAACTCAAAAAGAAAGCCCCACGACCCCTCCATCGGAAATACAAAGAAAGAGTTCAACTACTCCGAATGTCTCCATTCCTTCATCATCGCTACCAGTCCTCCCTGTGCCCACATTAAACCTCGAACAAGCCCCCGCCACCAAGCGTGTCGCGACCGAGCCACCTGTACAGCAGAGCATGAATGGATCGACACAGCCAGTAGTGTCAACGGGTCGCAATGGAGCCCCAGAAAGAGTCTCCTCACAGCTGCCATCTCTCAGCGCCCCGTCTCCTCAGCCCACAGTAACAGCAACAGCCTCATCCTTGATGCCTCCACCTCCACCCCCCTATGTCCCGCCCTCGACCAACCCCCCCAACCCAACCGAGCCCCTTCAGGAGGTCTTGCACCACCGCGGGTTGGTGGATCTCCACGAACACCGCTCTCCTCAGCAGCATCAGCACGTCTTGCTCCTAATTGCGGTGGCACAGGACTCAGTAGTAGCACCCTGGCACCTATAACGCCAAGCGCACTCTCCTTGAAGAAATCCTCCGCATCCAAACGAGTCATTCTTGAACCTGGATATTCACCCCTGGACTGGGCTGCTCTTGCAGCTAAGCCTAATAATCAGCTCCGTGGAGTAGGGATGCCCCCTGGTCTCCTACGTGTCCCACCTTCCCTGCTGAAAACGCAGAACGGGCGCAAAGGAAATGATGCGTGGACTTCGTATCAGGGTAAGGTGTACAACATCACTCCCTACCTTCCGTATCATCCTGGTGGAAAGGGTGAACTTTTACGCGGAGCGGGGAAGGACTCTGGGAAGTTGTTCCAGGAGATTCATCCTTGGGTTAATTGGGATGGAATTCTTGGAGAATGTCTAGTTGGGATTTTGGTCTCGGAAAATGATGTGCAAGCTGAGAATACTCTCGATGCGATGGACTGATCTGGCAGTACTCCTACTTGTCATTTCTGCCAAGCTTGACTGATCTCGGATTGGACAGATACTTCATCGCTCAAGTGCTTACTGTCATACTTTTTTATCTGTTCATATACTTCTTCACAGGAATACCCATTTGCTGTTATTTCAGAATTATAATTGATGTGTACGAATAGGAATTGTGGATATCATGTAATATACTCTTGATCAGTCTTGAATATGCGAACTCTGGATCGAAACTATTGCTCAGAACCCAACTTTGAAACCATGTCTATAATCTAGAGCTGGGACGTCCGAGTCCCAGCCTGCAATCGAACATCTCCGAAAGATCACCACCTTCAAGCTCAAGCTGTACAGATTTACTCTGGCTGTGATTCTCGGAACTTGCACAAGCAAAATTCCACCATTTCGGGTTTTTCTTCAAAGCGCACATGTTACAGTCGACAGACCTCATCATACATATTGTGGAACAGTCAACACAATACCAATGCTTACAGCGCGTCTCCATGAGCTCCTCATCCTCTTGAAGAGCTTTGGAACAATTCCCGCACTTCCGAGGTGCCCAATAAGGCAAGAAAGTGCCAGTCCTCACCAGCTTTCGACGCGAGTAGCTCAACTTCTCCTGATCAAATGGCTTTGCTGATGCGATATACCTCTCATATTTGGCACGTTCATTGGGGTCTGTAAATTTCGTGGCGCCAGTAATCTCAACTGGGGAGGAGGTCGCCTCTGTTCCTTTGTCCGGCCAAATCTGACTAGCAAAATAGAATTTTGCTTCTTTGGGCCGATAAACTGACACAGAATCGGCAAGATGGAGAGGAAATTTATCTCCTCCCGGTCGTGTATGTTGATCCCTTGACCGTTTGTACATCCGCATGAAATCCTCGAAGACCATTTCGATGGTCAATCCCAATCGGCCAAGCGAGGTATTATTGGTTTCGATATGTGGCATGGCTGCATCATAGCCGAGACATACATCCTCGTTATTATGTATGAGCGCTCGTTCTCGAAGGATCGTAATGACATGAGCACAAATATCGCGGCCGAAGTTATTGAAAAAGAGTAATGTATTTGCCGTAGCACTCCGATCTTCCTGGCTGCCAGTGCAAAATCGAGTCAAGCACCGGTCAACCAGCTCCTTGATTTGGTTTCTCAGCTTAATGCCATCAGCGTCGGGTCTTCTGGCTACGGGATCCATGATGGTATTAGAGGGACTCGGGCTGGTGGGATGGAAAAGTTCAGACAACCGGAATACTAGTACTCAAGTACTGCTCGTGAATGACAATATTAAAGTATAATCAGTAGATATGGATGGATGGGCCTGCGAACCTCAGCTGTTTATACGTGCCAGTGCGCGTAAAGAAGTTTCGGTCTAATCGTGGCTTTGCGCCTACAGAGCTCTTCAAGCCAGTAATATGTCTATTTTGAATTCAGCCCAAGGCGAACTTAATAAAAGAATGAGCTATCTTGTGAATGGGGACTATTTTTGGCATCAAAGGGCATAAAGGAATATAATATAAGCTTCTTTTACACGGATGTTTCATACGTCAGACTAAAGCCTAGGGTTGGCACTATAGCAAAGACAAAGGGCGCTTAGCGATTCGAGACAACACTTTTCATTCCAGCATATCAGACAAAAACACGCAAATCCTGGTAGTTACGACAGCAAGTTTATTGGTGAAAATTTGGACATGGAAACTAATCCACTGGACATTGGAGGTTCATGAAACTTATCCATGTAGTCCGAGCCCCATAACAGAGTCCAAGCCTCACACTAGACACTTGCCCAAAATTTCAACCCTTGTTGATACACAGCCCCTCAAGGCCTCAGTTCAATTTGCCACGATAGTGTGTCGTGGCCAAAGGCAAGCCTACCATTTACAAACGACCCTCACTTAACGGTGCAAACCTGATCTGACTGCTAGAAATCTCTCAGATTTCCTCTATTCCTAACAAATAACGCCTAATAACGCCTAACCAGCCATGGAACCATGCAAATATGCAAATCAACATCTTTCATCAAAAGTAAAACTCGCCCTCTTCATCATCATAGAAGAATGGCAGCTCAGGAGGCATATCCGAGTCACTCGCATCTGGGAGTTCAACCTTACCCCGACACATAGGACATGTATCCTTGACACTCAGCCACGAATTAGTACATTCAACGCAGAACCAATGCTTACAGTTCAAAACAACGACCTGTTCATCATGTTTCAGCTCCTCCTGACAAACAGCACACGTCGCCTCATCCCCATCCTTCAAGACCTGGCCAAGCTTCTCCCTAGGTAAGCGAAGTACATCAAGAGGATTATGATCACCCCCAGAATAAGGATCGTTCACTATTGTTCGAATCTCCTGAAGGAAGCTAGGTACATCCTCAGCTGCGGCATAGATAGAAGGTTCAACTCTTAATAGAAACTCAGTGGGAAGCAAACGAGCTGGAACTTCAATGACTTCACCACGTTGCTCAGGGGGAATTCTAAGCATGGCGACATTGCACCATCCACCATAAAGAAGATTCACATTCTGACGGATCAAGTTGTGGGATCGGAGAATTCGCACCGATTCGTTGAAGTAGGCTCGGCCGAAGAGAGTCATGAATACGATTGTGTCTTCTGCTGCGACTCGTGCAGTCTCTCCGGATCGATAGCGTTGATGCCAGCGTCGACGGGTGATTCGCTCAATAAGGCCCTTTTGCTCTTCAGTTAAAGGGGCAGAGGAATGATTGGGACGATTGTGATGATCCATTTTGTCTAATTGGGTATGGAACTATGATAGGGATTGTTTGGTAGCGTATACAAAGAGTGGTATGTTTGAGATAGGGATCAAAGTACAAGACTCGGACCTTGAGAATGAATAGCTCTGGAGTATATAGTTCAAGTTGTAATTGAGACTGTTTGCTGCTGTATAGTCTTTAGATGGAGGGTGTCCGAGAATTTAAGTATTTTGAATCCGCCCAGGTGGAGCTTTGAATACTATTAGGTGCGTTAAATCGAGATCTTTTACAAAGGATTGTCCTGATTGTCTATGACAATGCGTTGGTGATAAAGAGCAGCTCTGAATAGAACAAATATCTAAGGTCCTATATTAGATGAATGCATTGTAAACTCGAAATTCAGATGAATGAGATCAATGAAATACGATATCGACAATAGAATCCAAAAGTATAGGATTGTTTCTTCAACAAAGACTTGAAGCCACTTCTATTTTGTATCCCATTCTCTGTTTCAGATATTCATGCCAAAGAATGACTTGAATATTGGAATAGTTTCATGCCACAATGACATGATGAGACCACAAGGCTTTCTTTCTTGATGTGGGCGAATGGACATTCTAGCAATAGCCTTGTGATACGGAACAAGAAGCCTGGGGAGAGCTAAATGGAGATTGTAACAGAGAATCCTGAGACGAGGATAAGAAGGAAGAATTAAAGTAGATCATATCACAATGAACAGCCATTTGCGGCTGATCCTCGGGTTCGGGTGGTTCTTCAAGGAATATTTCCATATCAAGACAATATCTTTCACAAATCACTATCAAAGAATTCATGTGGAGTACCTGGCAACTCGCCTCCCTCCCAGTCAGCACCATTATCCACAAGTAGCTGCTGCACAATCCGTGGAGCCCACTTGCAAGCCACATCCAGTGGAGTGCGCCCTCTCTCATCCACAGCGTTAATATCCGCCCCGGCTTTGATCAGGCAGTGCAAAATTTCGATGGCTACATTATCAGACTCACGCCATACAGAGCAGGGAGCTGAGACATTTAGCTGTGGAGTGATCTCTACTGGACGCACAAATGACTCCACGGGGCGTCGGAAGCGCCTAGGCCCCCTTAAAGTACTTTGGAGCCATTGGGAGATTCTGACTGCATGATGCAGAGGCGTTGCACCTCTCCAAACTCTTGTATTTACATCACAGCCTTCATCAACCAATAGTTGTAGTATATCCAGTCGCCCGGCACTTATAACCTTTCCGATGTTGAAATTATGGAGATGAATCCCGTACTCGGCCAGTAAATCAATTGTCTCAAACGTGCACCCTGATATAACCGAATTCAATATATTTGGAGGACATGTTGTTCCACGCTCCAGTAACAACCTGGCAGTGTTGATGTTCCCAAATTTGATCACTCGATTCAAAAGTATCCCATTTTCATCATCAACAAGAGTGATATCTGCTCCATGGTCCAGCAGAAACCGAACCAAATCTGTCGAGATATTACTATCAGTAGCCACTTGGAGCAGAGGAATGGCGTTTTCATGGATTGGGGTGTTAAAATTTGCACCAAACTCAGCCAGAAGCTCAAGCATCGGTATCTGTGCTGTCCTCAGTGCCCAGTTGACGAGTCCTCCTGGTAAATATGCGGGCTTACTATGGGTGATCCCCATTCCAACAAAAGTCTGACAGTACTCACATGCCCTGACAAAAGCGCATCTTGAACAGGGGGGCTTAGTATATGATCTTGCAGTGAGGGGTGTCCAGGGCAGATTCTCTGGATGCACTCCGTTGATTTCGGCGCCATGGTCTAGCAAGATCTTGACCATTGTGTCATTTCCAATATTGGCCGCTACGTTCAGTGGTGTGAACGAAAAATGCCAGGGCACTGGCTCGTCAAGGGTATGGGAGCCGGTGGTGGCATTGACGTTGGCGCCATAGCGTAGGAAATGCAAGGTGCCTCGCTCGTTTTCAGAAGCCACAGCTCTGAAAAAGCCCATTTGGTCTTTAGATTTTCGTACTTGGTGTTTAGATTTGTGTATATGGCGCCGGTAGAGATCGGGTAGGAGAAGATCGTATAGAAGGCGGTTCACCTGTATGAGAGAAAAGTGATCGCTTTCGGAGGCTGCTGCTGCGATGAGCAGTAATAATTCAGGAGGTACTGTCATTAAAGACATCACACACATGCTTATGGATGTAACCTTTACTGGCTTAAAGGAATATTCAGTATGTTCAAATATTCTTCTGGGGTATCATGGCTTCCAAGGTTCATGTATTCAAATGTTGGTCGCCTAGGCTAAGCCTAAGCTGGCTAAGTACTGTCTCAAGGAGTGTGGCTTCCTATAACTCACTAGCAGTACATAGCACGTGGATGATATAGCTGCAAGACTCCTGTACCTACCTATGGTACATACTTTGTCCCTCCTCGCCATATCACTAAAGGTTGTTTCTTTGTGTAGTTAGAACTTAATAGTATAGTCCGGCCCCCAAGTTAGTGGCCCCGCATCCCTTTCCAGGATCAAGCTTCTTCCCAAATCTGCACTTATCACCTCCCAAGGAATCATGTCAGATAATCAAGCTATTCCCAGCACCCAATCTACGGGTTCAACCGACATGAACCCCACACCATCATCTCCAGAAGCCAAGAACAAAACAGTTTCATCAGATGAGCTACCCTCCACCAAATCACTCCAGAAGAGCCAGGAGTACACAGTCCTTGACAAGAAGGGCGAAGCGCACACATTCAAGAGTCTCTACGATGGACTCGAGTCCACAAGAGTTCTAATCATCTTCATCCGCCACTTTTTCTGCGGGGTAAGCAAGCCCAGCTCCACCTTCATGCGCCACTCCGTCCCAAGATATGTAGCTAACATGATCTCTACAGAGCTGCCAAGAATTCATCTCCGCTCTCTCCCAAGCAATAACACCTTCAGATCTCCAAAATTTCACCAGTCCACCCTCAATAATCATAATTGGCTGCGGCGATCCAGGTCTCATCGATTTCTACGCCACAGAAACGAAATGCCCCTATCCCATCTACGCAGATCCCGAGCGGAAGCTCTACAAGGAGTTTGGGCTGGTAAGTAACTACGGTATGGGCGCTCGACCAGAGTATTTCAGTCGAAGCATGCCACTTCTGATCGCAGAGTCAATGATACAGACACTGAAGCATTTTGGATCGGGCCTTATGATGAAGGGAGGGGAGTCGAGTCAGAACGGCGGAGAGTTTATTTTCGAGGGCGTTCCTGGCTCTGGAGAAGAGAAGAGTCTGAGTTGGTGTCATCGGATGACGAATACGAGGGATCATTTGGGGATGGAGGAGCTTAAACAGGTCCTTGATCCTGAGGGCCAAGTTTGGAAGAGCGCGGTTAGTTATGTGGGATGAAATTTTGAATGATTCAGAAATCATCTGGGACCATGTCGAGTGTTTAAACAGTACCATATAATGATACACATCCATAATTGATTTCATTCAGGGTATATCCACTCAAGAATCACATTGAAAAGCCCTCACGTCATAAGCCTCATCATAACTGTATAATAGACATCCCAATTGCAACATTCCAACATCCCCATTTACAGCTCATCCTTATCAACACCGTCAATGCCAACCAACTCGGTCTCGAAGATCAGAGTCGAGCCACCAGGGATAGGACCAACGCCACGGTCACCGTATCCGAACTCAGGAGGAATAGTGAGGGTACGCTTCTCGCCGATGCACATATCAAGAAGACCTTGGTCCCAACTACACAAAAAAAAGAACTAGTTAGCAAATATCCTTAATGAACTCCATGGAATTGTCTCTGCAAGAAAGTCAATCCTGCGGTTGGAACCACTCACCCCTTAATAACCCGACCAGTACCCAACTTAAAGGTCAATGGCGCATTGCGCTTGTAGCTTGAGTCGAACTCCTTGCCATCAGCCTGCAATGTGCCACGGTAGTGCATGGAGACACCGTCGCCGTTCTGTGTCTTGCGGGTACATTCGACCTCGTGGGTTGTTTCGATACCGAGCTCAGCGGCAGCGGCGATGGAGACGATGGAGAGGAAAATGGCTGAGAGACGCATTTTGATGGTATGTGGAGGGCCCGATTAGAATTGAATTTGGAAGTGGAATTGGTATTGGAATTGAGATTGGGGGTGTGAAGACGGTAGGAACGAGGAGCGGAGAGGAGAAGGCAACGTGGGCGGAGGAGGTGCGGAGGTGTGGGTCACATTGTATAGCTGTGGAACCAGTTGGAATTGATGTTAATACCGGATCATATTCAACTTTGAATTCCAATAATAATTATCTGCTAGTATGTTACTATGTAATACTCTTTTTATGGAAAAGGCACTTCATAATCAATGAATTCCTAGCAAATAGCTCTATGGAATGAAAGCGTGTCATAAGTCTCATAAACGGGGCATCAGCATAGTAGCGGCATAGAAAATAAAAAGCATCAACCAGTGCTAATGGCATCCGTAGCCACCTCTATCTCGTTAGCGATGCCACCCGAAATGCCCTGATCAGCCTTAGCTTGAAGATCATCTTCGCCCATAGCCTCATCCCATCCCATCGAAACAAGATAGGCGCGGAACTTTTCATCCCGAACTCGTAAATCCTCACCGGTAAGATCGGGCACGAAGAAGTAAGTGACTAAAACACCGACGACACCACAAATAGCGGCGATAATGAAGGTCCAGCGTTTTCCAAGGCGAGCCTGAATAGGTTGAAATGCCTGTGTACCAACCGCCGCTCCCGCTTTTCCAACCGCCGCCGATAGCCCGTAGCACGTTCCTCGCACACCAGTAGCATAGGACTCGGAGGAGATGAGTCCGAGCATGTTACCCGGACCAAAATTGCCGGAGCTTTGCATAAGTCCGTAGAAGACAATGAATAGTGGAAGGATCTTTGTAATTTTTTCATAGGCACAGCCGATTATCAAGCCGAAGACGAGGTATCCAGTGAATCCGATCATCATTACATTCTTGCGACCGACTCGATCGCAGAGAATTGCGCCGAGGAAAACACCGGGTAATGCGATTGCTCCTAGTAAGAGTTGCCATTCTCCAGTTTGTAAAATTGTGCCGTTCTTGACCACTGAAGAAATGATTGTGCCTGAGAAGACGCCGTTCGGGAAAGTGACGAAGTCTATACAGGAAATTAGTATTCATTCCTGGAAATTCTTTTGATCGGCCTTACCATAGAGAAACCAAGCACCACAGGTCCCGATCAGCGATCTCCAATAGTATCGAAGCACAAACAGATAAGGAACATGTCGTTTGATAGCACCACGTCGATAAAGTGTCGAGTTGAGTATACGAATCCGAAAGTAGAAAATGGAAAGCGGCCAGATACAACCAATACCAAAGCAGACACGCCACACAGTACTGTAGTGGGATTGACCACAAGCCATTAGGACTATCAGGAAGACCGAAACAGCGAATGGACCACCGAATGATAGCGGGAAGTTGGTCACCATGATGAATGCCGGGCCACGGTGTTTGGGTATCAAATCATTAGCCGATTCGGAGGCAGAGGTCGAAGATGCCGGGTATTCTCCACCGGCACCTAGAAACATTATTAGTCTTCAATGGCTGGTAGGATCTTGTCGAGATATCTTTTACCGAATCCAACGATACCCCGAGCTACCGTCATCATCCAGAACATGCCGTTGATAGTAACTCCATTGGCAGCTGTAGCGAGAATTCCACCAATAACGATCATCAGGGTGGTGAACACAATCGCAGTCTTTCGACCAAGGTAGTCGCATGTAAGCCTAAGCCCCAATATTAGTCCTCCATTCATACAGCTCTAGCAAGGTTGATATCATACCCGATCACGATCTGGCCGATCACCTCGCCAACGAGCAAGGCATTGGACACTCGGGTGCTCACAGTTGTAGTGTAGTCATTGGGGTATTCTTTCTTGAGAAGGACATTGGTCATAGTCCTTAAACCCGTCAGCAAGGATCAAGAATCAGATGGTTCCTGAATCATCAGCCCACATAAGGTTATTCTGGTATCCATCACTGATCAACGCAAATCCACTGGCAAACTAATCGCATCCACATTAGCATTCGAGCCTCAATGAGTCAGGTCTTCAAACTCACAATTGTAAAGAGATCTGACAAGCTTTGGCGCTTTCGTGAGACCTCGTGTGAGGGGTCCTGATCCTCTACAATGTTATCATGAACCTCGGCCGATTTGGCCTCGGGCCCAGGAACTGCATCCACGAGATTTTCTGTCGCCATATCGGGCATGTTGGTAGGAGTCTCAGATATTGGGTGTGTGCATGAGGAAAGGAACAAGCCGGAGGAAGTAAAATTGAAATTGAAATGTAGGCTGCGATGTTTTCTGCTAGAGTTGAAGGAGGGGCTCAAAAGGCACCGCCGATCTCAAGGTAGTAGTGATAAGCGCCAAGTTCCGGCCACGGCCAACCTGAAACGGAAACCCCTCCACCTGGGTAGATGCATAGATCGCAGATACATAATAGCAAACGTACTAAGCAGTGAACTTGAATGGCTGCATCGGGGTTGATCTACATTCCCGTCAGCCACGTTGATCCCGCTAGGGTAATGATTGGCGGGAATGCGGGGGACGTGGTGATGCGGGTCTTATCCTTTGATCTTAATGTCGCGTGCTACCTTGGAACTAAAGAACATGTACATTAGAACAAATGGAATAGAGAAAAATATCTTTGTAGATTTGCTATCCGGGATTTCTAAATGTAAATGCCCCCATTTGCGCCTTGAAACCAAAATAACGCCGATTATGTGAAGCAGTGGGTATCAATGCTATGTTCACGGGGGATACTTTCAGATGCATGTCCCTGCACACATCTAGTTCCTTTAAAGAAGAAATCATTTGCAAGTCATCAAAGCACGGAATCAAGAAAAAAAACGCAACTTTTATGCCCACTTGCCCAGCAGAGCCATTAAGCCGGCACCCATGCACAACAACAAGAATGCAAGTAAGACATCACGAATGGGCGCTTGACGCATAGAAGCACTGAACATAAACTCGTGCGCCATCAACTCCACTAATGCAGTGTAGATAAGGATACCAGCAGAGATCGAGTCGAAAACGCCAGTGACAATAAGAGTCTTGGCAGAGTCTGGAGGGTAGATTTGACGAACACCCAAACCAACAGCAATGGCGATAGGGGTGGAGAGACCAAAGCCAAGACCGAGCCAGTATGGTGTGAGACGTTTGGCTTTGGGCCAAGGAATCTGAGCCAGGCGAGAACCAAGACCAAGACCTTCGAAGGTCTGGTGAAAGATAAGCACAACATACAGAGTGATAAATCCAGAGCCGGTCACAGCAAGTGTCAGACCAATGAAGGCGGAGTGGAAGATAATGCCAAACTCTAGGATGAAGATCGAGGTCAGCTGTGCAGCATAATCCTCAACTGCAGCACGTTCTTTCTCGGAGTCATCCGCGTCATGGTGCTCGCGTGTGTGGCTTAGATGGTCTTCTCCCGGGATGTAGTGCTTGCTCTGTGTCACCTCCTCAGTGATAGGAAGTCCAGCCTCAAGCTGGGTGTGAGAATGGCCTTCATCATCGTGTACGTGACCGGCGCCAAAATGAGAGAAACGCATCACCATTAACTCGACAAAGAACAAAACGATAATTGTCATCAGAACAATAGCCTCGACCCAACTGTATTCTGTGATCACGCCAGTCAAACAAGTATTGGTCAATGCTTCTTCAGCCGGAGCGAGTAGATGGATGAAAGCAGTGGCAACAATAACACCAGAACCGAAGTATTTGGCAATGAAAAAAGCCCACTTGGGGGGCACCATTACCCTTGCTGAATCGTTTGGCAAAGACGGGGAAGAGCGCACCGAAGGTTGATCCGATCATAATAACGAAGATAGAAGAAATTCGGAGTCCCATGTGTCCATCATATCCATTTCCGTTGAAACAAGAGTCCCGTTTGAGGACGGTCGTGAACGAGTCCATTTCCATGATGATGTCAAAAAAAGCTTGGTTTTGAACGGTGGAGCCTCGACAGGGTCTGAATAGACGCTGGGTATCGTTTCAGGACGGACTGGAATGGAAAGATCTGCCGCGGAATGTGCGAATCGGAGTAGACAGCGGGTGAGCACCTTGGGAGAAAATAGTCAAGGTCAAACAATCAGGACGTCGATTGAAAGTGGAGGGGTTTTGTGCGGGTGTAGGCTGTGATTGTCTGTAACCCGCAAGGTCCTCAGTAGAGACAGGATGGTCCAATGACTAGTGCAAAACACAACCGGGTAGGCCTGTCGAGGAGGAGACCCTAGTGCAATGCAGCTCCACGCATAAGCGTACGATTCGCCCGCGTGTATGACTTGTTCGACTAGAGCAGCAGTACGTCGTTTAGATTAGTTTTGAATGGCGTTGGAATTTTCGGAGTGCGTACGCTGTCAGAGGGTCGAGTACCTTGGTGGCCAGATACCACAACTCGTCCTCAATGAATAAATAGAGCGCAATTAAACGACAACTACTTTGACAACGACACTGAAATCTCAAAATCAAAATCTGCGGAAATCATAGCCCGGCTACCCAGCGGGGGAGCAAAGTGGGATCCATGGGGACCTTGGGGGGTTGGAAGACGTCAGATAGTGAATGACGAGGTATTGGGTACTTCATTTTACACATAATTTTTGTGTGATGAGAAGTACTCAGTACATAATTTTTTCGGACCGGTAAGTGAGTACCTTGGTGGCCAGTCAATCTTTTTTCGGCCTCCGTGGTTGGTTAAGGTCACGTGGTTCCTTACACTCATTATATTATGAGGATATAACTCGATAATGATTTCAGGGTTTTAGCATCACATCGAGATCATGGCCTGTGGATGGATGTCAGGTTTTAACTTCTTCACAGGTTGAAGATCAAAGAACAGGGATTCTTGCATGTCAAGCCGATCGCCAATCAAAGCCCCGGAGAGATCTGGGGCGGAGCGGAGCTCACCTCCGAGATGCCTGATGATGCCTGATGATGCCTGATGATGCCAAGCTCTATCCACTCAATACCAAGCTTCCACCACAGCATTTTTCACAGTGTTTGATGTGCATTGGAATGTCCCATGTGAAAAAAAATTTTGATATGCCGCGAGATTCCTTGTCCGACCGTTAGCGGATTTCGCCGATAGCACCGAGCTTTCTCAAGCAGCCCGAAGCAAGTCAATGCGACATGATCAAATTACCAGGTCCGGCAAATTTGAATCACTATCAGTTTCAATACATCAATCCTCCATCGGTATTGCAACTTTGAGATCTGGGCTCCAGTGCGAGCACAGTAGCTTTGGGAGCTCAGAATGGTGACTGCGCCAGGATTGCGCAACCAGCATTTGCCTAGATGCGATATTTTCAGTCAGCCAAAAGGACATGATCATACGACGATTCAAGAGAAATAATCTTACTTGTGCAGCATCAGATATGAAACTCATTTGAGGGTGATTTGAAGGTGATGTGAATCCAAGGTTGGGAAGTATGCTATGACCTCCAAGACAACGCCGCGTCGGAATAATACATTAACGCGTTTTGGTACAAACTGCTTAAGCGAGGGTCCAAGATGGGATGAATTTTGTCCCAACTCCATCTGAAAACAAGTCATCATGATATGTTATTTGCATTAAGGTACCCTGCAGAAGCCCGTTCGTGGATGACCAGGTTGTCATTGGCACATCGTCGGTGTAAATATACACGTGACACAGAAGTATAGACGTCATGAGGTATATTCTCCCTCGCTTGTCTTAGAAGCGAGGTATTTACACATTTTCATAGTAAGCAGCCACTGGCACCTTTTGGTAGGGCTGCAACTCTGCAATTTAGCCATGTATGACAGGAGGCCCTGGAAAGCCCTGCGGCCGATCACGCCACCTCTGCAGACGTCCGTGTAATGCGGAGAAAGCTTGATTACCATCCAGGATTCTGGAATTCCCTCTCTATTTTTCAAGCTTGAAGCGAACATTTGAAACCTTGGAAGCTGATGGTGCACAGCCCCTAATGGCTTGATGTTTTATGTGTTACGCAAGTGGCGGCGCAGCTGATTCTATGTAAATTCAAGACCAGGTTTCTAGAAGCCGCCCGGATTACAATTCCAGGTCGCCGCGAGGGATTTTTGATTTCATCCCTGGAGCTGCAGGATGCTGTGACCGTTTCTAGAAAGGCCGCAGATGAGGAGCAATGAGACATGCTCGCCTCGCAACCGAGTAGATTTCTTCGGTTTGCGCGTCTCGGTTGGGTTGGTTATTTCTCCACCAAATGTGTATACTCGTTTACACGATCTGTCATTATGATCAAAAAATGTGCAACTTGTCCAATCGTGTTTCTCTTCTTTTCTTGGCTAGACATGTTGGTTCCACCTATTTTCCACTCTGTGGACACGGGAAGATACAGCATTTGACATGTGTCGACCTCGGCATGACTTTTTTTTTCTGTTTAATTTTTTTTCTAGAAGGTGAATTCCGTAAAAAAAAAATAGGCTGATTACAGCAACCTTTCCTCACGGAAGGAGTGGAGTTTCCTCTGATACAACCCGCGCCCTCCACTTTCCATGATCATAGCATACATGTACATACCAGACTGTGTACTCCGAACGCCGTAATCCGTTCCTTGTGTAAGCGGGTTGCAAGCAATCTCCGCAGAGAAACATTATCGGATATAAATGGAATACCACAACGGAGTAGGTGTCCACCTTGGTAAATACATTAGCTTATATTTTCTCGATCTTTGACCGAAAATTGATATAGAGCATCGCCACGTGCGGTTCCCGGTACCGAACCAAAAGAATAATATGGATCCTTCAAATGTTAAGAATCCTGGAAACAAAACTACATCAAAGAAATATTTCAATCCCGCGAACCTGGTGAACCATGAAAAAAAGAAAAGAAAAGAAATCTCCGTGTCAACTCCCCAATCGCACGTTGTTCTTTTTTCCCGAAACCTCCACACCTGCTTTCCAACGGTGCGGAACGGCGGATGGAGGTCTCCATCTATAGTGGATACTTATGGTCCTCGCTTTACCTCTTTAGACTCGTTATTGAAGTTTGGAACTCATTAGCGTGCGCAAGTTTTTTTTCTTTCCTATGATCCCGTTTTCTGTCCCTTGTTTGCCACTGATCTTCACCACTTTCTTGCTTCCTTCGGTTCTTTTGCCTTCTTCTATGGAGTACGGAGTACATAATAATTTTCTTTTTCATCTATGTTGGGGATGTGGGAACCGCCTAAGCCGCGAACTTATGTCAGGTACCCGTCTCTGTGGCCACTTGGCAAGGTTCAACAGATTCTCAAATCCCGGTCACACGTACCTTAATCCCTAATATCCCCGTGTGACAGGGCTATGGTCATGTGGCTCATTTGGCTCATTTGGGTTCCTGAAGAGTTTTTTTTTTCTTTTGTCAAGGTTTTTATGGAGTACAAGATTATGGAGTCTGGAGTACGCCATTGCCATTACATTTCTCCGTAAACCATACCATTGATCAACATTTGTCAAAACTTTCTTTGAATTCATAGAACTATTTACTCCAGACTCCATATTTCATACCTTCTTCTCCGTAGAATTATTAGAATCGTCATCTGGATTAGTACTTTTAGACAAATAGAATTCAGGAAGTGCGGAGATGATCTTCCCTCAGGCTTCCGGGGCTACCGGAGAGTTGCGTGACATCTCCGATTTGGAGAGTAGATCGGGGATTCCGTTTGCTCTTGCGTAAGCCTATTTGTCGATTATCCTGATACGGCACCTGAGAGTACACAGACACTACTTCTTAGTGTCAAGTTCTAAGCACGCAATGGGACGACGCCACACCGCTGGGTAGATCTACCTATCTTGAAACGCCGAGCTCAATGATGTACGTGATCAACCTGGGGGTATGCATATGTATGTGATGAGCATAGATCGGGATTTCTGATTCGCTTAGATATCCCTCACAGGGGTTCTGATTTCCAAGCGCGGATTTATCTTGCGTAAAGCAGATAGCCCATGCATCAAAGGGATGTGCATGTGTGCATAACCAGTTGACCGCATTAGGATTGCTGCAGATTCCATCCTTAGTACTGATGATAGCACTCCTAGTTGAGACCAGATTAGTATAGTTACAACACTAGAGCATACTACTACTCAAGTGCTACTACCATTGCTCCATACAGCTAAACGGATACCATCACTAGCCACAGCCTAGTGTCGGGAATCCCTCAGCTACGTTCTCCGTCCACGGGTACGCCAGACTCAAATTTAAGATGCATTAGGGCTTTTCCAAGGTTCTTCAACGTAACCTCTCGGAAAATACCCCAGCCGACACAAAGAATCTCCCCGGATAGACAAAGCGGAAAGGGTCATTAACATTTGAAAGAGTTAACTTTGAAAAGGGGGGAGATGTCTTTCTTTAGGATAAGAATAGGACAATCGTCAATAATCACCCGCACTTTATTTGCTGGGCAGTGCCGGGTACCTGAAGAAGAACCGTGGTACAATATGGGTCCCGAAGTGAGACTCTTAACCCTGGTTTTTTTTCTTATTTTATTTTTCATTTCACTTTATTTCATTAAAGGAAGTTTTGTAGCAATCTTGAAAATCATCGTAAGACCCCTGAGATCTGATCTCAGAAGTTCGTAAATCACAAATCATTTGAATGTATGATATTCTAGCCCCCATAATGTACTCGTTAACTTGAGTTTTGACAGGTCGTGCTGATACGTTGACGTATCACATCATGTCATATCTCAATAGACATAGCTCAAGTGCAACACGAATCAAATTCCCCTGCGCCACAGCCACAGCCTTAACCTGGATGCCTAAAGAAACCTTGGAACCTTTTTTTACTTGAACCAAACCAGTATAAGCGGATACCATACGGATCGGCCATTACCCGTGTGAAGGAGATTTGTGATCTTTTTTTTTTCTATGTACGGAGTAACTCCATAGTTAATTTGGTTAAAATTTGCTTGATATTTCCAAGGTTGTTTTACTCCGTACTCCGTACTTTGGAAATCTCTAGTTTCTGATTTGCTTTGATTGAATTAAAATATTAATTTATTTCTAATTTCTTTTTCTTTTTTTTTCTTATGTTTTCTTTTTCTTAGCGATCGACAATTTAGCACGTGTATTATCATGGACCCTGGACATGTTCCACCCTATCACTTTTCTCCAGGGCTTATTCTCTCCCGCCAGGGCTCCGGTGGTTTGGTTCAGCACTGACTCATCCCCGTGTACTTGGGTACTTGGGGGTGCTTGGGCCCCAAGTTTCTTTGATGACGGGTTGCACAGAAACGATATGAAAAAAAATAAAAATAAAGAAATCAAATCCTCATAATAATAATGTACTCCATTCCTCTCACCGCATCAAAGAATTTGATGGAGTCCAGTGGGGCCACGGGAGATTGCCCATTACCAGTTGTCACCTCGCGTGGTTTCATGCTGATGATCATTTGCTGGGTAGCCATGCCGTGAAACCACTTAAGAGCGCGGCAAAGGACATTCAATATTCTAGGAGAAGACCGGAATGAATGTAATCTATGAGAGATTGAGTACAACATTTGAACAAAAAGGAAGTTAGGATTCGGTCTGAAGTGTACGGAGTAATCAGTAATCAGTAATCAAGAGAAGATGTATGTCTCATTTGAGGATTTTTTTTTAGTATTTGGTATTTTGCTTTGATTTTATTCGTGTTATTTTAGTTATTTTAGTTATTTTCTATTTTCTTTTTTTTAAGAGAAAATGAAAATAAAAAAGAAATATATTTTATTTTATTTTTTTCATTATTATTTTTTTTTTCATTTCAACTCCACCCCCTATACCCTAATCCACTAGTGGTTCACCAAACGCCACACGGGGGGTGGAGAGCTTCTAGAAAAAAACTTCCATTGGATTACCGGTTGCAGCATTATTCATCGGTCCCAGTCAATCGCAATAATTCCTACGTCAGATCAGGTGGATACTCAGCCTCCTGTTCATGGGATGCTCGATGAGGGGAGAAAAAAGGGTTAGTACACTGCCACTAACGTAAATTAGTGATACTGTAATCATCATTCATTTTGCTATAAGAATCCTCGCGCTCCTCTTTTTTTCTCTCTTAAATTACTCCAACCGTGAACTTGAATTTTTTTTGGACTGCAAATATTCTTATATTCTCACACTCAAAACTACTCATACACATTTAGTAGCTATTCCTTGCTACTCTTATCTCTCAACATACAACATGCCTTCCGTCGGCGGTTCTCAATTTCCTCCTTGCCCTGGTCCTCCACCCAAGGGCCCTCTCCCTCCTCTGCCAAAATAGATGCTCTATCTCTCCCCCCCAATGACCATGACGACTCTGGTGTGGTTCTATCTGAACACACTCACGACTGGGCCTCCTCTCCTCGGCATATGAATGACCTCGACTTCGATCTCTGGTTTCGGCTTAACGATTCTTTGTTCTCGACTCGGCTTTTCAATCTATTATAATTTCTCCACACCATCCCCGGCCATCCTCTTTCCGATACCACCTCGTATCGCAGAATCTAAGCGCTCGCGCTCATCTGGTCCCTAGACCCAGAGCTCTACAAAGCAGAAGGGACTCGCGAAGAGGAAGGAACTACGGGCAGCAGCCAAGGCTCATCTTGCAAAATACGAGCTTCCGGGGAATAATTGCTTTTCCAACCCTCTACAACCCTCTTAATATTTCCTTTTGGGGATCCAGCGCCGGCGCTATGAGGTCTCCACACTATTGCATGGACAGCCATTCTACAATTTTCGCTTGAAATTTTTCTTTTTTTTTCATTCTTTGATTTCCTGGATATCTGGTACCTCCAGTGTTTCAAGTTCTCGCATTTACTATCTCGTGCGGGGTTCAATTTACCTGATAGCGATATTGGGCTTTGACGCGTATATGCGGAGAACGATGCATCTGCAGACGCTACAGGATTTGAATGCCGGCGAATCAGTACCCGCCTACTTCCCAAGAATCCAGATCTTCTCTACGATTGCGATCACTTTTGCGTCATCGTTTCGATTCATTTTCTTTCTTGTTTTGCATGTCGCTTTGACAACTCATTGCGATGGATTCAACATTTTGTAATCATCTTTTTTGTCTTTCTTCTTTCCCTTCTTTTCCTACTTTGTTCTTTAGCCTCGCATTGGGCCGAACCTGAACGGCATGTATCATAGACTTAATATACCCCAAAGCAATTTGTCTTTCTCTTTCATACTCATATTCATATTCATATTCATGTCGTGCATAATCTCCACCCCCGGATTGGTACAACCCATCTATTCCACCTAGGTATTCAAGTCCCAGGATCAAAGCACAGTAACAATATGAAACAGCTTGCCCCACTCGCTTGTTTCACCAAAACGCCCACCACTCATTTTACATTTTCATTTGAATTCAATGAATCATCACCCGTGCAACGATAGGACAGGAGTGGTATTGACGGGAAGACAAGGATTAGGCAAATCGGTTTAATCCAATGGCGCAACTCATTACTGCCTAAAAGCGGGCCCTGAGATGTCAACAGTGCAAGGTCCAAGTCACAGGACTACATTGCTTATTCAATATCCAAGATCGGAGCTGATCCGATCTACACAAGTTACTATTCTATTGATTCCCCGCCCTGGATTTCAAGGTTCGGGACATTCTATCAAAGCGTTTCAAAGCGCAGACCCCAAGTCTTTACCTCATGTTCGTACAAAAACGACATCCTAACTCCGAACATAAATAGGAGTCATGACAACACTGGCATTCAAAATGCAGATCCTCACATCATCAGCCCTGGAGAATGACCGTTATGGTCCTACCCGATATGAATTGGCATGGCGTGATTTATTTTAGTGCGACATATCCCGTTGCTGCAGTCATCAATATCGCAATAATTTCAAGCTCCAAAACCCATCCCAATTCATCCAGCTGCATTGACAACACATCGATAATCTCAGGAGCCCCACGAAGCATGAAAGAACAAGATGCAAGTGGTCAGGGTATAACATTCCAGCCGAGGACAATCCAAAATGACAAAGATAAAGAAAAAAACTCAATAATCATCCATCTGATTCAAGTAATCCATAGATACGTCCATACGGAAGATATTTCCCCAAATAATACAGTCCGAGCGCATCGGCGGGATTTGCTAAATATGAGCCTTGATGTTCTCTTGGCTAGGCCCCATATCCAGGTCATTGGAATACACAGCGATTGGAGGCTTAGGCTTTCTACCTCCACTCATGCTTTGATACCCGAGGATCGTTGGTCTGTGTACTTCATGTATGCCTTGCAGCTGAGTTCAACTGTCACTCCAGGGCTACAACCTGCAACTTGAACTTAATAATAAACGAACAAAAACCGGTCACAGCCACACTGCCAAGTTCCTTATTGACTTAATACTGGTAGGGCGTGCTAGTCTCCGCGAAAGCCGTTGGTTAAGACCCAATTTAACCTTGCTTTGTCTCAGCGTCTCAGCGTCATCAAGGTTAGGGATGATTCCATTTTTGGTTTTGATTTTAAGTTGATTTCAAGTTCTATTTATCCCCGCTTTGTGATCTCAGACATATCCGGTTCTACCGTGATTACCGTGGAAAAGGAGAGACAAAACCTGCTTTGACTTTTATTTCCATTCAAAAAAAGAATTAAAATAAAAAACAAAAATAACTTTTTTCCCCTTTTTCTCCTTTAGGTCTTACTCCGTTCTCCTCGGTAGTTTGGTGCCTTTACCCGAGCTGAAGAGAAGAGGCTCTTGCGCATCCACGTGTATCGTGTCATGGCGTTGGCTCTTATCGCGGTTATGCATGGACTTTTCGGATCCGACACAGCCCTGTGGATTCGGGTTCTCCTGTCTTGGATTGAAACAGTTTATCAGCTCAAGTTCCAAGTTGTTTGAGTATCGGGTTGAGTGAGATACACAAAATGCTTATGCATTTCAGATGTCTCGGATAGATACGAGACGTCGCGAGGCTATTTTAGGACCGAACCCTTCAACTGTTGATCCTGATAAACCACCGGCATGTTTGATTTTTAGTACGGGGTACGGGTTTGAAGATTCATTTGAATCATACTAGTAGGCCAGTGGGTATCATGTCACATGCACGGTTCAAGCTCAAATGCCGGTCGAGGGTTATGTTGATCGCGATCTCCGAGTCAGGGCATCAATCGGAAACTTGACTGCCTGTGCCATATATATTGCCAGGTCCCGAGGTCCATTCTAAGTAGTAGTAGTATCACAGTGATAGATAGTATGGACATACGTGGCCCGGCTTATTTCAAGTTGCTACTAGTAGTTGATAAGATGGATAATTTCTGATGCAAAGATTAGTCTCAAGTAAATTATCGTTAAAAAGAATTAACTTCAATTTATCTCAAAATGTTCATAGTTATCTGATCGACGTCAACTGGTTAGATGCACGTGATCGCGGGCCTCCAATTCCAGGCCTCATCTTTCTTCTTTTGCCCGCAACAACAATGAAGCTACGACTGCATGTGTGGGGCCCTGCCTTTTCATTGCCCTCAATTGAGGCGCAATGTCTGGCTGCGATTGCATATTGCTCATTAGCCCTTCCAAAGGATTCATGGGAGCTAGTCGCAAGCAGCGATCCCTCCGTGTCCCCTACGGGTAAGTGACGTGATACTCGGGAGCTATACCATTGAAATCAAGGTCGCCAAGAGAACAAAAGAAGCTGACCGCATTATCTCATCTGCAGGTGAGCTGCCCGCCCTTCAGAATGGCTCAATTTGGGTGAGCCGATTCCGCAATATCGTGGATTACATCCGAAAACACTCGAACGGGGAATGGGATCTGGATCGGGACTTGGAAGAGTCAGACCGTGCAGATAACACTGCGTATGTCACCTGAAGAATCCCAGACAACATCTTGCATCAGATAGATGAGATCAAAGAGGGGAAAAAGAGGGGAAATAAACCATGCGCTAACACCGTGTCAGCTTCTCCTCTTTCGTCGAATCCCGCGGTCAAGCCCTTATCGATCTCTCCCTCTACGTTACCAGCCAAAACTACTATGGCAACACATCACCCGCATACGGTAGTCTTCTCCAGTGGCCCAATCAATGGATCCTCCCTCCAAAGCTTCACAGCGCCGCTAAGACCCGTACCGAGCCCCTGGGTCTCTCATCCCTGGACTTACAAGCCATGGAAGACCAACGACAACGCGAGCACTCGGCCGCCGTAGCCGCTGGACACATCCCACGGAACTTTATCCAACAACCGCGTGAAACAGTCAGCGGGCTGCTCGGGCGAACATCCCAACAAAACCATTTCCGCATCGATGCCCTAACAGGCGAGTTCTTCGAACCTCTAGAAGCCATGCTCGGTCAAAAGACTTCCCTCCTCGCCGCTTCTACCCCTTCAAGCCTGGACTGTATCGCGCTCGGATATCTTTGCCTCGCGCTCATCCCGGATCTCACACAGCCTTGGCTCCGAGATGCCATGCGCGCTAAGGCTCCGCGCTTGTCGGCGTACACGGAGCGCATGCGTACTTTGTGTTTCGGGGAGACGCCCATTGAAGCCGCTCATGCGTACACACCAGAGTCAGCTCCTCCATCTTCTCTGCCATGGCGGGCGCCAGGACATATCTCCGTAACTGCTGTTGGTACTACACTCCTGTCTACGTTGGCAGACTCCACACCATTCTTAAGTGAGATCCGTAGGAATAACCGTCTCAAGCAAGAAGTTGAGTCTGAAGATTCCGAGCTTAACCCTACAGAACGCACAGCCATCTCAATGTACGCAGACGCCAGTAAGAAGGACATGTACGTGTCTATTGCGACTGTAGTTGGAGGTGTTGCTGCTCTAGTTGGCTACATGGTCCATGCTGGGTTGATTGTGATATCCTCTGGGGGAAACGAACCAGAGGAGGAGGGGGAGGAGGAAGAATTCTCGGATTACCTGGATTCCGGAGCGGAGTTGAAAGTAGCTGACTTTCTATCTGGGATATAATGAGGTCTGACAAAATACCTTTGAATTATCATGGCGTTGAGGCATCTTGTTATCGTAGGATGCGTTTTTTGACTATTCGGATCGAGGCATATGATCCAATTAGATGTGTACTACCAACCTCTGGCATTCTTTCAACTCTCTCAAATACACTTACCTGCCATTTGATGGATACCAAACACTACTACTATTACTACTTAGATGCATACTAGAAATTGAGCTTGGTAGTTCTACTGAGCGCCTAAGTCATGGCGCTCAAGCCTTGAGAGTGATTTTATGAGTGCAAGGGATTGAATTTGAGCTATCCAGAGGTAAGCTGGGACCTTGACTTGTTTTTTGTAGGTTTTCCTTTTTCATCTTTTTTTTTTTGGTGTTTGTCATTTTCCGCCTTTTTTTAGTAGCCTTTTGCGTCAAAAGAGCATTATCCTGGACGCTGAGCATCGTAGACCCTCAAGGTTGCCAAAATAACCCATCGCCGGTTTTCATCTGCTTCGCGTCGATTTCAGCCTTGATGATCATTTCCCGAGCCTCATTTCCAGCCTTGATGACCATCTCCTGAGCATCATTTTCAGCCTTGGTGACCATTTCCCAAGCGTCATTTTTAGCCTTGATGACCATCTCATAAGCAGCATTTTCAGCCTTGGTGACCATCTTATGAGCGTCATTTTTAGCCTGGATGATCATTTCCCGAGCGTTGATTTCAGCCTTGATGACCATCTCATGAGCGGCATTTTCAGCCTTGATGATCATTTCCCGAGCGTTGATTTCAGCGTTGATCACTATCTCATGAGCGTCATTTGTAGCCTTGGTGACTATCTCCTGGGGATCAGTTTCAGACTTGATGGTCATATTCTGAGCGTCATGTGTAGTATTGAGGGCCATTTCCTGGGCTTCGTTTTCAGTCTTGGTGGCCATATTCTCAGCAGCCCTTTTAGCTCTGTTGGCTATTTGCGACGCAATCCATCCCTCGCTGTGCTTCTCAATGAACTTGTACTGGACAACAATATCACGCGCTTCCCAATCTCTCAGAATGGACTTGAGATCGTTGCTTTTGCTTCTGAGCATATCGTCGCAAGCTTTGCCAGTCGCGGCTAAGGAGGCAATCATGTAGCAACCTGACCTCGCCCGGGTGAGTGCACTGGCCAAGCGTCCTCTTGTCGGTCACAAAGCCTGGCTTGTCGGTCACGACAAAGTCAAGAACAACAATATCTGCCTCATTTCCTTGAAAGCTATCCACAGTTGAGATTCTGATCTTGTCCGCATTGAGTTCAGGCTTTTCTTGCTGTAGCTGCTGCATATTTCGTTCATGCAGCTGTTTTTGAGCGTTGTAAAAGGTCAAGATGCTGATATTGCTGGGTTTCACTACGTTACCCAGCATTATCAGAAGCAGAGTAACCAGGGACACAACGGCCTGAGCATTTTTCTCGTTCGAATTGGAGCCGCGATTGTCGTCGACCTTCTGCTTGCCATGAGGGTTATCTATGACCACAACGTTGAACTTCTTTTTAAATAACTCATTGTTGAACAGACGGATCAAGCGCGACAGATTGTGGCATTTTTCATTTCCCAGGAAGTGCGTAGTTAAAAAGCTTCCGTAAAAGAGATGCTTGGGACAAGCTGCAATGTCTCCGTGCATTCTTCGTTGCTGTCGTAGGATTGTTAGACATAATCCACTTGCAACCAGCCGGTGGAAATAAGACATCTCAAGCTGAACCTTAAACTTGGACTCATTGGCATTTTCCATAATCACACGGGGAACTTGAAGATGGTCACCGATGAGAATCATCGCCACGAAATTAGCATTGTTTGCAGTCGAGACAAGGTTTGGCCAAAGTAATGGCTCGGCGATCTGGCTGGCTCCATCGATGATGATATGGCTGGGCTTGAGACTCTCACGAATCCACTGTTGACACGATGCGAATTGAGTGGTAACCACAACATCAGCATTCTGGACGTCCTGAAGTGCTTCGATATTGCTCTCCACATATGACCATGGGAAACGTCGTACAGCGGCGGGTTCCTTGTCCTCCTGCACTTCTTCTCTCAGGGTCTTCTCGATTCGCATGAAGAGGTTCTCGGTCTGCTCATTCGTAGCAGCAATTGCAAGAATCTGGTGCTTGTTCCCAGTCTTCTCATTCTTATTTTGTACCAGAGGAACCAAAATACGCGAGGCCCAAAGTGTTTTGCCGGTGCCGGGGGGTCCTTCTAGGGCAACAAACTTTCCTGGCATATCGGAAAGCTCTGTGAACGCTGCGGTTTGATCGCGATTGAAGTCATTCGTAGTGGACGAAAAATCAAAGCCAGATCCTCTGATCGTTCCAAAAAAATCTACATGGTGAAAATCGGAGGGCCGTTGCATCAGGAGATATTTCCAAAGTTCATCTACTTCATTGCTGGTCTGAGAATTGAGCTCATCATGGGCAGCAAAAACAAAACGACGCACGGCCTTGGGAATTTCGAGTGTGTTTGCGTATCCGAGAGCTGCCCTGTACTCGGCTCGGTGCATGAATGCGACACGCGAGCGCGCATTGAAATCACTGAAATCAATAGGTGCAACTGGTACAATCCAGGCATTATTCATACGATCGATGATCTCATAGATGGTGTCTTTGTCGATGGGCCGCAGCAGGTTGATAGTGCGGGAATTGGTGATGTGATCCCTGATCTGAGTTCATCTGGCATTCTGCTCGCCCAGTTGTTTTGGGATGTGCATATTTGCAACCAAAGGCGTCTGGGTGTGTTCGACATTGATCTGGAGGATATGCACAGGACTCTGACCATAGCCTTTTGGAATAAGACTGCTCAGTTCTGCCTCGGAAAGAGCGACCCGATCTCCCACAGTGACTGCCTGAGAAAACCCTAACTCCTGCAAGTCGATGTTCTATAAGAAGGTTAGTATCATATCTCCAACTCAACTGGATGTAAAGTAAAGTAAACATCGGTGTCTTTAACTTACATCGTCGCTTGTGCGCTCCACAGTAATCACTTTGAGACTTTTCACGTTCCGGGCCATGTAGGCGACATAGGCATACTGGGAGCATCGGAGTCCGTTCTCGTCGACGCGTTCATCACGATCATCCAAGCCTTGGTAAATTTCATCTCCAGCTTCCTTGGCCGGGACAGGCAAGTGATATGCACATTCGAAACAGACCTCAATGACGGGGTCAAAGTAGAGATCATCCGCTGCCATGGTGCAGCTGACGAAAGAGTGGTTAGAATTGCGATCCTCGGTCAAGGGAAGAGCTTTATCATCGATGAGGACCCATGGAAAGGTAAAGTCCAGGAGATTCGAAGAGGGTTGGCGCGCCATGTTTGCAACACTGGAATAAGGGTGAGGGACAAGAGGACTGTATTGAGTGTAGGAAACATCTGGAGGGCTTAAAGAGGCACGAGGGGGAAAGAGATGAGCGAGCGTGCTGTTTACATACCTTTGAAGCAAGATGTGGAAAATGAGGGAAAAGTATTAAAAAATGCTGGCTAGCAAAATGTCCTGTTACAGAGCCAAGAGATCGAGTTCGTGTTGACTTGGATAGTTGTTACTAGGTAGTCACAGAGAGAGTCGAAGGTAATGGAGTGAAGTGAAGTGAATTCAAGAGGGTTGAAAAGTTCTAAAAGATACGTGTAGTATCAATGTCCTGTCACCGGAGTCAAGAGGACTGCCAGCTATAACTTAATAGCCAGGGAACTGACAAGCACAGAGATAACAGGTCGAAGAGCGTGATGAGCAAGGAAAGTCGGAAAGGAAGTTGGAGAGGTGGTGAAGAAAGAAAGTAGAAAGTGAGGGGGGAAATGGTTAAATAGGAAATCAGAAGGTGGCTCTGACTAGCAAAATGTCTAGTCACCAGAGCTAAGAGACCGAGTTCGTGTTGACTTTAATAGTCCTTACTAGGTAGACACAGAGAAAGGAAGTTAGAGAGGGTGAGAAAGGGAGATGGTAAGGCGGACTTCGAAGAGCATGAGAAAGAATGTTGGGAGTTGGAAATGGTCAGAAAGGAAGATGGTGAAGTTGAAGAAGGTGAAAAGTGAGAAAAGAAGAGGCTGATAAATGAGGTAAAGAGTTCAAGTGTCTGTGCCTTGCTATCTCTTCAAATGTTGTGCTATATGTACTGACAGATTCATATTCTCCAAGATCCAGGATTCTGAGTCAAGTTACCAGACTGCCAATTTTACCTATACCTTCAAGCTCCGACATCCATAGCGTCTTCAATGCTGTTCCCCTCTGCCAAAACTGTCACCATGACTTCAACCACTGTGTGAATCCCGGATTTGCAAAGACGGACTTCCATCGCTGTAGGCATCTTCATCGAATATGAAATTTAACACCACCAGAGACGCATGACTACCTAGATACTGCTCCTATTTGACCATGTCATTCTACCAACAGCATTTGAATATTGCGAATATCGAAAACGCAAAACCCCGAATTCCCCTGACGCTACAAATATTTGAATAGATCGATCTATATTGGGGGGTATGGCTGCATACCCAGAATGTCCCACCTGACACTTAGGCGACAGCAACCGGCAAATCCATTCCGAAATATCTTGTATTGGCTACCCCAATTCTGCTTGATCCTAGTCAACCAGGGGGATCAAATCATACAACTTTGGAGCCTCTACTTTGTTGACGACTCCCAGAACTACCAGCCAGAATCAGACTGCTTCACAAGATTCACAATGAAGAGAGCAACACTGTCAGTCAAGATGAAGGTTCACTACTGCAGGCATCTTCATTAGAGCGAAGTAGGACTAACAGTTTAGCTGATTATATAGATATGGGTGCTTAATTAAAATTTTATTAGGATATATGGTCACGGTGTTCATTGAACAGAGTTTCCTAGCCAAGTCAAAAGCAAGAAAAAAGACACTCCAACTAAAAGAAAATCAAGACTCAAGCAACCATTTCTGAGTATGGTCATTCTGATTCTGCGATGGGAGTATGGAGTTCAGCGTACGCTCCGACTGCGAGAGAAACTCATGTGCTGTCTTTCGGCGCTTTGATGACCTTTCGCTGGTTTCTTCATTCCTCTTCGGACTTCGAGTCCTACGTCGCTCCAATGAAGATACCACCTCGAGCGGTGAACCTTTATCTTTACTGATAGTGTTGCTCTTATCATTCTTAGAATCTTGGGAACCAGTCTGATTCTGACCATCATCTTGAGAACCAACGTAGGAATTCGATGGCTCAAGGCCCTGGCTGTCTGGATCAAAGTAGAGGTCTGCAAGTTGTTTTATCTGCTCCCGTGTTTTGACTGGAAGCCCGTAGAACTGGGGAGAGCAGGGCAGGGGGAACGCACGTCGCAAGGCGTTTATGGGTCGGCCGTGCCAAGTTTTTGGCACTGGGCTGATCTCGCATGCCAGTGGGTCTCGGAGATGGAACCATATTCTCGAATACAAGCCCCATGTACCACTCGGGGAAATGATATTTTGGTCTTTTTGGTGTTGGTAATATTCAAACTCTGTTGGTACCCGACGCGGCCGACCTGTAGTCGCGCGTTCCTGGCGGTCTCTGATCTCATAATCGATGAAGTACTGGAGATCTGTCGGAAAGAAAATAAACCCCAGACTGTCATGACGATCGAATGAAGAGTGGCAGCTTGGACAGAGAAAAACAAATTTGGCAATTTCATTGGAGTTGTAGTCTGACAGTATCAGATTGGATGCCTCGAAATAATCGATCTAAGAGAACATGAATCCGTCAGTACATACAGCCCAAGAAGATAGATGCTAATATGGTTACTATACCATGATATCATTTTTCCCTAGAACGTGACAGCGACCAGTCGGAGCCGAGGGGCTTTCACACGCCCAGCAGAACGCAGGATCATGATCGCCGCAGATCGCATCTCGATCTTGTGTGAAGGAACTGGAGAAATTACTGGTAACTCTGGAGGACCTGATGCTTTGACTTGGTGGTGGATCGGAATAATCAATAAGACTCGGAGCGAGATCTTGGGCTAAAGGGGATGAAGCCATCTTCTAAGTGATATGTTGTCTAGAGGGGGAATAGGGTAGCGTACAAACATCTATCTGGGGCTCCTTGGAACAGTCTTGAGTTATGAGGACCTTGGAAAGAGCCATAATCCCAGTGTAGAGTATGGGGTTGTATCAATATCCACACTTCAAAGGGATCCAGGAGAAACGAAGTTGAAACTTGAGGATATAGTGGCTATAAAGCGGCAAAGTACCATAGATCCGATGCCCGAGATGGAGGTACAAGGGTGAATACCATAAAGGAACCAACGAAACCAATGTTGATTTGTGGAGATTCAGAGATAAAAGGCTCAAAATGAATACGGTTGTAATCATAGGTAATTTCTGACTCATAAAATATCCTATTACTAGAGCTAAGAGAGACTTACTTCTTACCCTTTTTTCCTTCTTATGTCTAGTATAAGTATAAATAAGCCTTTAATATGTATTATCTAGCCTTTTCTAACTCCTCTTTTCTCAAATGTTACCCTTTCTTCTCTTATCTTTGAGCTAAGATCTCTTACCTTTAATATTAGCTAACTCTTAGTTCTACCTTTGGATACTACCTAGGTACTTAGTTCAATCCTTAGCTACTACAACTCAACTCTCACCAGTGTCTTATTTAGCTCTCAGCCCTGGAGTATATTCATCTTCCTCTCAACCCTCTCCGCTGCTCCACCACTTGCTCCATCTCCACAGCCTTGCTTCATTACCTTATACCTAGGTAGCTTCACCGCGTCATCTTTGTTCGTCAAGCAGGCGCCAGTTACTCCAGTAATGCCAGAGTCAGCTATACTCTTCCCTGATTCTCCAGCAGACATCCCTGGAACTGCTAGAGGCCGTGAGTTTCCCGTTAGCTTTGACATTAGAGGAGATGATGATATCATCAAGCCAACGATCCCACCCTTGGTCGTGGGCCAATGATCTGGAGCAACGGTCTGGCATTTGTTCCAATCTTCAAAATGTCCTATGTCCTTTCCAATGAACGCATTGATTCTTCCTTTCTCACCATCTTCGACTTCTTATTTCTCATCATCTTCCACCTGAGAGGTGTATCATATTCACATACCTGATATTTCCTACACTGAACCTATGACTTGCCCGATCTCTACAGATACCAGTGTCCCTGAAAATACTTCAGGCAACGTTGCTGATCCTTGTTCAGATTCCGATAGGGTTGACCCAGATGAATTTGGAGTAATTCAACGACCTTCCAAATGATTCTGAAGAGCGGGCCGCCGCTATTTAGAGAATCAAAAACGACGGAAAAGCCGCATACCGTGCTCTTGAACCGAACATCTCAGCTCAAATTCCCCAGGGGACTGGTAAAATTGCAGATGCTCATTGGTGAGTTTCGGACGGCTGGAGACTTCATATTACTGTGAGCAGAGATATGGACTTAGAGCCGTTGCTCCAAGGCTAGTAAGTGAAGCATATTCCTCAATTTACTCTCAATAAATAATCTCCTCAGTCCTACCTCAAAATATCATCTTCATCAGTCTAACATCATCTAGCCAGTTTGAATACAATTGGCAAACCAAAGCGGCAGCACGGCTCTACTTCGCCCTACTGGCCCGAATTGACGACCCAGGTCTGATGTCAGACTCGGTTGAGCTTCCATCATCAATCCCCAATGACGAGCAGCCAGGCACAGGAACAGAGGCTATACAGTCGCTACTCAGTCTGAGAGCACCACAAACGCTTCAAACATTACCAATTCTCCCCCGCCCGGACCTGATGATCAGACTGCAAATGCTCACGCCGCTAGCAACGACGTTCAGCCTACCCTCTTGCTCACGATGTTTTGACCATGAAGTCTGACGCAGAGCCACCTTGGGCAGGCTGTTCATGGGCCGATAAAACATGGTGAAATGGACCTAATGCAACATCCATCCGATTTCCATCATCTGTATTTCTTGGAACGATTCGCGCAACTTCTCTTACCATCCTCAACTTCTTTCTCCCCTTTGTGGGGGACCCCCAGGCACTGAAAAAACGTGCTGGGCCTCATGTATTGATTTCTCTCGTACAGAAGGAGTCGAAGCTATCAAATTTCTCCGATGGCCGCAACAAATGAGCAGGCGGACAGGTTGTCGAGCTAGACAAAACATTGAGATAGAGCCAATACTCTGGCCAACTCTCGCTTGGTACACGATTGTGAACAAGCCCAAAACCGTGATGTGACTTCTACCATGGCACGTCGAGAACAAAATCGTCGATCAAAAATACCGGAAGATTCGCGAAGAGAATCTCCCTGAAGACAAAAGAAACATCTGCACTCATCTATGAAATGGTCGAGTTGGATAGCTTGCATACTCCAACAGTGATGCAAGTGTGGCCCAAAACGGGCTCATCCGAACTCGAACCGCAATTGATCCGTGCATCAAGCATCCATCTTTCAATCTGGGATCTTATGATTGACGAGTTGGAAGAGGATGAGAAAAGAGCAAATCACGAAAACACGGCTCACTCGGAGAAACCCACGACGCTTTCAAGCTTAGACGTTGTCAAGAGCCTTCATCTTCCGTTCACGACTCCAATTGAAGATCGAGAACTTTATGAGTCCACGAAGTATTTGCTTTTCACCCAGTTGGGAATTGTCTACGATGCGGATGCGCTTGAGCCCATCATATTTACCTAGGACTCGAAGCCTTTCATATCAGCATCTCGAGTTTGGGGCCACCTTCGAGAAAGATTTTGCGATTTTAAACCCGACCCAGGTGTGGGCGAAGGGATCAGAGCACGCTGAGGACAATTTACATATCCCACGAGCCAACCCATTTACCCTTAACTCGTCCACCTCTAGTGATTCGATTTGGCGCTGATGAGATTGAGTAGACCGTAAAAAATGATGTTCGCAGAATGCGAAATCACTGTGAGGATATTCGCCTTAAGTATCTATACGGCACTTTTGACGAGAAGCCTTGAGTCGCAATACCGCCACGTCGGACGACGAATTGATTGCGCAGGCGATCGGCGAGAATAGCGACCTCGATGACCTATCGCTGTACCAGAAACGTATAATCAAAGTCCTTCGGGACAACGTGATTCGGAATACTGATTTTCATATTATCATCGATGGAGGCAGTCAGTCACAGAGCCAACACTTTGGCCAACTCTTGCCTGTTACAGGACTGTGAACAACCCAAACTTCAAGCTCGTAGCAATAATCCTCTGGATAGCTCAAGTTCCAAGGTTCAACTCAAGTTCTTTGCATTCACAAAATCACACCCATTAACAAGCTATAACTTGAAGGCTAGAGCGCCATAACTTAGCAGGTACCTGGTTGAGTAGATATGATAGAACTACTAAGCTCAATTGAATTATGATATTATTCAAAAAATGTTATCCATAGATGTAGGTACTAGTAGGTATTAGCACTTGAGTAGTAGTAGTAGTAGTAGTAGTATTCAAGTTGTTTAACGTTCAGGTGGAAGAACATCCACTGTCAGTGGCATTTGAATTCGGCGGCTCCGAGTCAAGGTGCGGACCGAGTCTATATTATATATTCATGTTCCAGGGTTAAAATGGGACGGGAACCTTCAATGTTGGAATTTCCAGATGTCGGACTCAGACTCGGACTTCGGATGGATGGGTCAGGTACTAGTATTGATTATGTAGGAAAACCTTGGACTGAGGCAAAGCTACTGGCAGTTCTATATGGTCTACAAGAATAATCTACTACTAGTAGGTAGGCACAGGAAAAATGATAAGTAAAAGTACCAGGGATGAGATTTCGTTGGTATTGTAGACGATATCAAATCCACAGAAAGAATCACAGAAACCACTAACCCTTGTCAGCTTTTCAAAGAACAGACAAAGAGAAGTGTCGTGGGAAAAGCTAGGTACACAAAGGGGGGCAAATTGGGGAAGATTTCAATCTCAGACAGTAAATGTCATAAGTCCCCAGGAGACAGCAATGTTTGTTTTTTGCAGAATTTTCTCGCTTTTTTTGCTTTTTTTGTGGCCATGGACAGTGAAGTCTCCTCAAAATACTAATCGTTACATGCGAGCCGTCAATTAAGACAGCAAGCTAGGAAACAATTTTCGAACAAAGAAACTCGAAATCATCCACCCGAGTCGATCTCTAGGACCAACCGCAGGCACAAGGCTAAACACATGAAAGGCTTTTTTTTCTGAGGGGAATGGGGAGTTGTTTGGGGGAATGGTGTTGACAAGGCGGGTTGAAGCAGCCGAGCTGCGATAAAGATCGTCGAGAGTTGGAGGCAAAGGCGCAGCGCCAACGGGCGCGCAGCAAAGAAGAAGAAGAATGAGTCGGGAATCCTGTCAGTATTCCACGACTGAGAGAAGTGAAGTTGTTTGTGGGTAATGTCAAATGCAATCAACGGGAAAATAAACAGAAAAGGCTCGCTCGTGCAATGCTATGTTGGTAAAGTGATCAAAAATGCGGATAGAGGCCCTCATATGATGGGCACAAGGAAAAGGAGGGGTATGCAATTTTTGTGACAAGAAAAGGAAGAAAAGGCTGGTCTCGGGACTCCAGTCATTAAAGACCAGAGCCGAATGCAAAGCGTATCGGAAAGGTAGAAAAAAAGGGGGGATGGTTGAGAGTGGTCGAGAGATGATAGCACACAGGGTCGACTCTGACGAAGCGCACAAGGACATTAGGGTGGTATTAGCCGAGCCGAACCAGCATGAAAGCAGACGCTCCTTCGAAAAAGATCTATGCAGGCGAAATAGAAGAAAGATGCACCGAAGAATTATGTGCAAGACGCCAAAAAACACTTTTGGAAGGCTGCTTCTTCTGTCGTTTCCTCTTTTACATCACACCAGCATAGGCCGGGTCAACGACCATCTGAGCCTGTGGAGCATACTGTTGCATCTGGTGCTGTTGCGGCTGAGTGATGACCATGGCATCTTGTTGCTGTTGATAAGCGTCAGTGCTCATGTACTGCATCTCAGACGAAACGGCGGCTGATGTGGAGCAGGTGTTCACAGTGGGGAGATTGAACATTTGACCCTGGGCGAAAGCGGCGTTCTCGGGAGTGATGGGAGGGGTAAGATATCCGTGAGGAACAGTCAATTGCTGAGCCTTCTGAGGGGTGGCAAGACCCATTTCACCATTGTACGGCTTGGAGTCCACGGGGGGTCTCGACCGGTGGGGTGCAACGAGAGTAGTTGACCATAGAGGCTTGACGCTTGAGGAAGTTCTCCAGGATCTTAGACACACGCGAGTAATGAGCGGAGGCGTACTTGCGGGCAACAACGACGGAAGGCTGATGAAGCTGCTGGGACAGACCGACCAGAGTCATCGAGTCATACTGGGAGGCCCAGTGGGTGTGACGAGGCTGAGGACGGTTGAGGATGCAGCGCGACAGAGCCAGGGCAGCGCGGGCAAGTTCAGACGACGACTTGGACACAAAGTCACGGTGGAAGAGGGCAATCTCCAGGATGTAGAGAGCCATATGCTCCACCTCGGGGTCGTAAGACTCGTCAAGAACGGCGATCTGGAGGAAACTGTCGACGGTCGGGTGCCCAATGGTCCAGCCGAGGGTCTGCAGAACGTGCCACTCCATTTGGATGAACATGTCATCATCATACAGAGAGCAGCACATGGACTTCAGCTCCTTGACAGTGGGGACTCGGTCCTTCTTGTCGTTGTACTTCGAAGCAATGAGGAGAGCTGCACATCCAACCAGCTGGTAGTGACGCTTGTAGACCACACGCTTGGAGCAGTAACGGTCCAAGAGGTTGATGGCCAAGAAAAGGGTCGACGGCATGAGCTGGAAGGCAGTGTGGGCCTCAATGAGGAAGTCCAGGAGGTAAGGACGCATGAACCACTGAATCTCGGTCTGAATATCAATCGACTCGACATCCGGAAGGGTTTGACCCTGTTGTATAGTATGTCAGCTATCTGATTGGTTTGGTTAGGAAGTATATGATCACGTGATGCAACACATAACATCGAACCCATATGTACTTACATCCATCTCAATCATGTGGCTCAGCACATCATCACGAAGCTCATCGCTAGTAAGACGAGAGAGTCGATCCGCAATAGCATACTGACGTTCTCGATTCACAAGCTTATCATGTTCCTCTTGGGCCTGCTTCTCGGCACGCATACGGTAGTCATCTTCGACGAAGAAGGTATCGCAGGGCTTGAAGCTGGAGTGGGGGCGCATGTAATCCATAGTTGAGACAGTGGGTTAAGCGAGAAGAAGATGATGAGGGAGGGGGGGAAGATATGATTAAACTTTGCGTAAGACCTTGAACCGAAAGAGTGAACCTGAAAGACAGCGTGGTCTTGCAGGTAACGACGGGTGATTAAGAGAATGACAGTCGTCAAAATAGACGGGAGTTCAAATGAATGACTGGGTGGTTGGGGTAAATTAAGGAGTGGACCAGCGTCAAGACAATAGTCAGAGATGCTGAGAGGAATAAGCCGAAGGTGCTAGGAGGAAATCTTCAAAAAGGATTGAAAGCTGTTGAGAGGAAATTAAGTTATTAGCGTGAGGCAACGACGACGTTTGACGTTTGACGATGACAAATGAGGGACGATGCAATTAATGATTAAGATTAAGGTGCAATGATTGTTGGATAAAGAAAGACGAAATGGAATGGAATCAAAATGAGAAAAGGACGGGCAAAGGCATTTGATATCAATGGCCAGTGCAAAGGGTGTGCAGACTCCTTCGGAGAATACTAACCCAGTAGGAAGCCTTAGGGCAGAGGGCACAATGCAACCCTTACCGTGACGGCAAGCCTGGCATCTAGGCTAAGGAAGCAAGCAGGAATGATCCAATGAATTAAGATTCTTTGGGGATACCAGTCCAAGAGATGAAGCACGAGTTAACGTTTTCACCCCTAGGCCTGTTACTGCGGAATGTGGAGTGCAGGATACACAGGACGACCCTATGTAGGGGGGGTTGACGATCGTCAGGGGAGGGGAGAACATGCGACAAGAATGATTGGAACATACACTTCACGAGTTAACGTGTTCTAGATGAACCTCAAAGCGGTTTGAAGAAAGAAGGGAAAGTTGGTGAAGGAAAGAGTATTTCGACAAACTTTCAGAGAATCATCCGTGCAGGATCAAACGCTTAAAAAGTCAAGTTACTCAACCGATTCTGCAAATTGCTGTCAGTATGCTTGCTTTCACTCTGATTGGAGTTAAATCAGAAGTGCAAGTGGTATGTGTTGCCCAGGTGTAGATCCTCGACTCATGGTATGTGTCCAAGTCCCTTTTAGGATTTTCAAGGCCCCTTAAGTTGGTCCTGCCTTAATCCAATTGACAGGGTTATTCAAGTTGAATAACAAGCCTGTCATCCCCGGATCTTGAACGGAGACCTTGGAGAAATGCATTCCTTTCAAGTTCTCGCTGGCAGTCGGATATAATCCCACCCCTGATCAAGATATCCTTTTCGAAAAAAAAAAAAGTGCTGATTTCCAGAGGCCAGTGATGTACCCATATACCCCTCCTCACACTGATTTTTCGACTTGATGAGAAACCGCATAGATGCGTTCGGCTATCCTGATATTTCAGGGTCCTTGATCTTGGGGTATAATATTTGACCGCACATCAATTTTCAAGGCTGATGACCGAGTCTGATAATATACCCCTAAATCTGCTTATTCCCCTCTCAAGCAAAAGTCGTCCCATTTCCAATATCTCCAATGCATCTCCGTCAGATCTCCATTCAACGATATTTCAACCCGGTTCCTTGAAGTTTTCGACATTCGGACCTGGACAACCACTTGCACGACCAATTTTTTTTTTCACTCTCAATAACTTACCCAAACAAACTCGTCCACAATTAAATCAAATAAGCGAAAACAAAGGGTTCTCGTATCATCCGAAAACGAATTCGAAATGATGTCCCTACGCTGTTCGCTCGTCTAGCCGGCAGGAGCTGGACCAGGAGGGATTCGTCGAGAGTCCGAGGATCAGGAAGGCACCGAAGGACGGGATAGGACGAAAGGGTCGCCGTTTGAGCTAACAAACGTCGAAAATGTGAGGATCGTCGGAGTACGAGGAGGGGATTCGACTCGACAGGAGTTCCAGTGCAGATTGAAGTGTTAACGAAACTCAACCGACCAGACTCCGTGCTCTCCACAAATTGGCAAGGGGAGAAAGGGAAAAAAGAAGAAAAGGGTATCGAAGAAGAGAAGGGGAGGGGAGGGGAGTACAAGGAGGAGGAATTTGAGGATTCTCTCTCCAGGCGGGTGTGGGAAAGAAAAGAAGAAGAGCTGAGACAAGAAGAAGACACGGAGCTAGCTGTGCGGTACTGTCATGACGGGGTGGAGGCTGAACTTCGTAATACCTTGTGAATACTGGATTACCTGGATTACCGCGATGTGTATCTGAGTGTATCTAAGTGTATCTGAGTATTCCCAGTATTCCCGTAATGGTAAGGAGGCGGGGGTTCAATTTCGGCTCTGGGACCTGCAAGGACGATGCACAAATGGGTTGAAACCGTCTTGAAGCAATGTCCCAGATTCAGTTGATTTAAAATTAAATTTCTATATTCTATTCTATTAAAGGAGTTCATTATTATACTATCTTTTCATAATCATAATTTACATAGTAAAATGTTGCCCTGATTTAAATGTTAGAACTCTGTAATAATGATCCTAACCACGGTTTACACCGACCTCCACTCCAGCCCTCATGTTTACCCGGTCCAAGGTCCAAGTTCCAATACTAGTACGGAGTCCATAATACCGAAATTGATCTTAGCAAATTTGAGATTCGATAATTTCACATACATATTCATCAGATCTCTCCTATTTGTTAGTCTCCATTAATTGAATCCTTTTTTCCATCTTATTCTACTTCTATGTATTGTTCCCTCTATTAATTAAAAAAGGAGTAGCCTCAGGAGACTGGAGTGCGGTCTGAGCCCTTAGTGGTCCTTGCTCGCGTGGGAAACCGGGTCCATTACGTCCGCCAACGATGTATCTACTGCGACAGAAATTCAAACTTTTGTATTCAATTCATGTGCATGATGCCTAAACTATTGATAGGTATGGAATACACAAGTACGGAGAGTACAAGATACGTCTACAATTTTTGGGAAAGGTTCAAATCTTGGAGATTTAAAATGTTCAAATGTTACAGGGTTTCAATGTTGAGTCGCGACCCAGTCATTTTTGCCCCATATATCACGATACTAGTACTCCATACTATTTCATACACTAGGTAATTCGGAAGCCATTGAAGATTCTCGAAAATCACCCAATCCGGTACTTTCTCCTGGTCATTTTGGTACTATGTCCTTGTTTTCGGATCCTCTAGTTTGGTACAAACTAAATTATAGTAAAATCAACTACTCCATAATTCCATCACAGGAGAAGTACTACGTAGATCATCCCATCTCCTATTAAAAATGATTTTTTTTTAAAAAGAAGGGGAGATACACTACAGACATTCATTACCAAAAGATAAGTTAAACACAAGATGGCTTAAAACACAATGTGTATAGAGTTCTGCAGCAAGGATAAGAATAACCTCAATGCTTCTCTACCAATGATATCTTCCATTTCCTCTTCTACTGATACTCTCCTTGTCTCCTTGAAACCCCAACCTTCAAGCACTTAAAACAAAAATACGGGGGACGAGCAAATTCCCGCCCCAAATTGCTTCTGATTGACTCGTACCGCGTATCAGTGCCAAATCGTCTCTCGTTGGCCCGTCAAGGCGACCTTTGCCCCTGGGCTAACTAGCGCTGCGTTGGCGGGAATGGTTCACTACTCTAGGCCCTTTTTGATACGGTCGCGTTCCAGGGTCTCTCCTGCAATCTACGCTCCCTGACTGGCTCATTGCCCAGGATTAACCCGGTCATTGACTTCATTCTACCCCCGCTGGCCCTCAGCTGGACTGTGGATATCTATTTCCGCTTGGCTGCCAATAGCCAGCACCTCGGTCCCCGAGCCTCCTTTACTTTGCAGGGATCTTGCCTCTCATCTCGCTTTCCATGTGGGGATTAGATTTAGTTGCCTAAGCTGGTTCAATCTTTCTCTCGCTCTCGCTGTCTCTCTTTACAAGAACACGGCCCACGTTACCCGAACCATTTCCATGGAACATGATTTGATTAAAAGGTTTCTCACCCGTAAACGCGTTCCTCTTTACATCTCATCTTCGCATCTTAATTCGTAATTAATGATTGCGGGTCCCCCCCCCCCCCCAATCTATATGCTGCTGCTCACCGAGGTTATCAATTGCACACGCAAGTCTTACTACGTGGAACTATTTACTCCATCTCTCCCTGTGCAACTTACCCGAGAGAGATGATTTGTCGCCGACTTCATAATCCAAGATAAGGTTTTCAATAGCGAGATGATCGGATCCAACTCCCATTTCAATTTTGAAGAATAAAGCATAAATTGCATGCACGTCAGGTCTCATATTCTTGGAGACATGCGACAAATTCAAATGTTCCCGTAAAACCTCCGCCAATAGTACCGATCTAGTCCCACTAAATGATGTCTACGATTTCGGGGGCTGACGCGGGGATCCCCTTACTTGACCCAGTACTCCGTACGTTCTGTAAGGCCACCAAAGGGTGAATTACTAGTATGAGGGTCCCACTCCTCCTTTTCCGTAGGGAAATACTCCATTGGCGTATGCGACTTGGCCGTTTTTACAATCAGAGTCATCCCGACCGAACGATTCACAGTATACCCAGTGATGTTGTCATATATTCCAGAACTATAACACAGGGGTATAGTTCCAAGGTTGAGGCGTTTCTTATTCAATAACGGACTATGCAGCTCACTACCTCAATCCGTCCAGACACGCAAATTCAATACGCGTTTACAATGCTCGGCGGTCACTCTACGCCATTACATTTCGGTCCTTGAAATAATCTCCACTTGGCGGACGGAGAATCTCAGCCTCGTGGGCGAACTGGGGCGCCGGAAATCTGAAGTCGAGGCAGTGAAGATGAAAATAGGAGTAAAGGGTGGCGTATCTGTACTACACAACGCATCCAAGTAAGGGACTTCCCAATGAGGCAATTGAATGATAGACATGATCAAAATGCAGCGATCGCAAACGCACTTCTCTAGAGTTCACGGAGTAACAGAGTTGAGAGGAAAGAAAGGATGGTATGCCAGGGACATAACTTCAACGCCATACCCGTCGATCTTTAAATTGCTTCATTTGCTTCATTTGCTGGCGCAGAGTACTATA